TGACCTCAAACACTGGGAACCATCTTGATTCTTCGTGTGTTCTCTTTTACGTTGTTTTTGATATGCCGGAACCAGGACTAGTCGAGCTATTTTACACTTAGCAACGCTTTAAACAACTGTTTTTGCATATAAAACTAGCTTGTTTTACCGATTGAGTCTATATGGCCGCGGAATACATCATTTGGGACCGTGGTTTTCGCTTGTACAGCGCATACAGAGGGGGCACACACGCAGTAGCTTACTAGACTGTTACTTTTTGAGGCTTACACTTTTCTCTTTAGCATCCTAATACTTTATCGCATTGCCAATGCAAGTATTAGAGACCATAAAATATTATTGGCGTTTAATCTAAGAAGATCCGGAGGCGGAATTTCACTGGATTTTCGTCAATAGCGGCTATAGGAGGCCACAGGACGGTAGACCTATCATTAAAAAGATTTGGAATCACGATTATTACCAATATCCCAAGTATTGACACCAACAATTTTACCAACATGCTTTTGTGAGTCACAGGCCAACTAATAGGTTAAACCGGCTTTACAACACAATTTTCCTTCCACCTTTTCAAGCACAGCCTAATAAATTTCATGCTTAACCTCCTCATTAACACCATTTACTGATGCAAGCACATTCGCTCCAAGCTGGTTGGCTCCAGCAGAACGACTTACATTATCCAAAACACATATCCTTAAAATCCATTCTATTGCTTCTTTGCAGTAAGATGGTTGTACGGCCAGATATTGGTGATGGTTGTACGGCCAGATATTGGTGCTGGCTGTTATTCATCCAACACACAGCAATGTTGTTAAGCTCCTCACACAGGCCGTAACACATGCTTTGACACTGGTGTACTCGCCATATGACATTCCTATTTATTAGCATCTTGTTGAAATGTACCACGTGTATTAACTCTAAAGAGTACAGCTGCTAACTGTTTCAAGTATGTTTAAAGATGTCGTCGAGAGACGGTCAAAGTGAATTATGTAATTGAAATAAGACGGGAGTCTATGAACTTTTTCGTACGCTTAATAGCGATTGTAAAGTCATGCGCCAGATATGTATTTTTTTTCCTGTACCTCGGTGAAATATCACAGACGGCATAAAAAACCGTGTCCCAGAAATTCACCTCATCAAGTATGTAGGCTCTGTTATCATCCTAGTTACAAGAAAATTAATATACACGATTAGAAAATTCAGTAAGACTTTATTCCACGAAGGTCATTAAGCACAGAGTAATGTAACAAAAAGGCGTTTTATGCTTTTTAATACTATAATGATTTTATAATCACCGGTGTGATTTTACGCTGACCGATATGAATGTTGTAATGTTAAAGGTGTTTTACACAATTATATCTCATTCGACACGTTAAAGGCAGAGAAGGAAAATAGCATGAGCGCGGCAAATGGTTAATATATAATATTTGATTTAGTGGCAGTTGATAAGTTCTGGAAGACATGTTGAGAGCACTTCACTTTTACGAATAACGATTCCAAATATTATTAAATTGTTTATTATAGGAGAGTGTACGTATACAGTCTACAAGTAACACCGATTAAAACAAATCTAATTCATAATTAGTAGGAGGTGATAGAAAGGAAATAACTGCATAAATCATATGAATTAGGTGTAAATAGTTTTTTAGATGTTAATAGTAGTAGATAGTAGCTCTATAATCTTAACATTTGCCGATTGTTCATATCAGAAGATAAATGAATTTTTGAAAACATTATTAAGCCACCATCAGAAATAATGGTCATACTCTCAACACGAGACATAGGGCAAGGTATGACGTGATGACCCGTCACACAGAATAAATTTGGATTGCATAAAGAACTCACAACCCGAAATTATTAAAATAAGTAAATAAATCAATGCTAGAAAATATGCATTTTGTTTATTAAGATATTGCCAAAGCGCTGTATTAATGTGTAGTGTAGGTGGCAGTCTGGGAAATACTAGGTAACGACGACTGTAAGATTCGATAAATTGTAAAAAGTGAAATGTAACATGCTGTGTTTTGATGGATCTGGTGTTGAAGCTATGCTGGTTACGCTATATCGTTGCAACATCACCACATTGTGAGAGTGAACGTCAACCGGTGTTGAAGGGATTAATTAATTTGCAATAAAGCTGTCTCGAGGCTACGTACCTCATGAAAGAGTTATAAGGCGTCAACAATGACGATAGAGGACAAATAAAACGATTAGAGGTGCTCTTGCATATGAGACACTGTGTTAGGACCTTGTCTGGATAATGATGTGTGTTGTATGTGGTCTGATTTCCCCCATGCACTGCGTTACATTGATATTTAGAGTGACTGTGTTCTAAATGAGTGTCGACGAACTGTTGATTGACGGTCGTGGGTTTTTGTAAATGTTAGTCGCACGTGGTGAGGTATAGGGTGCTGTTGGCCACTCGTGTATTGCGTACGTAATCGTTACATTTGTGGAGGTGCCAATCGGTGCGTCAAACCGCGGGTGTATCTTATATGCCAACGATAATCGCGTTGGCCGGCTGAAATGAAGCTAAATGGTGGGACATGTGGGGAAGGAGATGGCGTTTTACAGCTCCCTTTGAATGCACTTGGAATATTTTACAATGCAGTATAATCGAGAAATATAATGTATTATTCAATACAGATTTCATTAGCCATCTATGTCCCATGTTGCTGTGGTAAGCCTTATACCTTACTAGAGTGCCGTGACCCTCGTCAACAATGCATGTAATGAAAAAAGTCACATCTGTCGCTTCCCCCTCGTAAAGAAGGATACATTATTCGCTGGTATCACCAACTGATTTACTAACACTTTGTTAAAAGCCACGAAGTCCTGCGTTGGACGTATCTCGCATACTGCCAAGCAATACACAAGCATGACTGTGCTAGATGTGATTACGGCCACCGTTGTGGCTGTAAACAACGCATCAGGACATTTGAAGCGTATTATCAGGTCGTGAGGCCTCCTACATTCGCCTCAGACGTAATGGGTCTGATAACGTTGGTGCCTGTGGTGGAGTAGGGGCCGCATGTCGCTGAAAATGCCATCGCTTGAAGATATCAGCCCGAGTTACTACCTATTTGGTCTAATCACAGGGCTTATGTATAAGGATATCCGTCATTATAAAGGTGGATCTCGACCTTGACGCTGACCATTTGCAGACAACCTCGAAAATGTGACACCTTTGCCCTGGAACACCCAACAACCTTTTTATTAGAGAGGCTGCTCCCGTTATTTACCACTCAGTGGAATTCAGCTATATCTTTGGACATTCTGTAGAAAGAGCTGTGTTGGAATGACGGCTATTTCAATACCACAGCTAGGGTTGTGCAGTGTTTTGAATATCAGCATAGCAAGTTTGTCGCACTTTTGTCGTAACCAGCGTTAAATAATGTTTTCTTGTAATGATGCAATTTGATCAAGGGACCACAAACTATTGCCATGTGTTGGAGAAAATGGTGACATAAGGGCTGTGGACTGTGTCCACGCCTGTGGGAGCATGCGAATAGCGCGGAGGTCTTGCCGAAGCACTCCGATCTTTACATACGCTTCATCACCGAGCTTTAAGGGCAGTAATGTGCTATATATGGGGAACGGCCTCAGCAAAGCTTTGTGCCGCGTGGATGGGGCTGTATATAGAAGAAAATGGAACAATGTGGCAAGGAGTAACGTCATTTGATATTGCATCAAGCTGCTATTTAGGGCTGCGGTTCCCCTTTCTCGTCAAAGGAGTTGTATATTAGTGGAAAGCTTCGATAGTCCTGGCTGGTTCGATTGCATGTTGAGACGTGAGAATCTAGTTATATACTAGTAAGAGCGTTGTACCATCGTACGAGTTGAGGATTCATCGCTATCAAGTGTTAGATATCGTCTACTACGTTGTCGAAGCTGGTTGCTTTATACATATTTACGTTTGTTGTTTACTAAAGGTGGAGGAACACAAGCGTGCTGGAGGCATAGGCATGATGTCTGTTACGCAAATCATGCTGTTAATCCTAGTTTCGTTGTTGAAGGTAGTGAATGGAGAAAAGAATCATCTATCAACTGGGTATATTAGCGCTGAAACGCGTTACATCACCATTTTTGGTACAGACTACACGGAACTAGAAGTTACCTTCGGCGTCCTCGGTTTACTTGTTCTATTATCCTGTATCATCATGGTGATATTGTGTGTAACCAAAGGCGATACTAACTCCAGTACGTATGCTTTTGTCATCATTCAATTAATTTTTACGGTTCCCTTTCTCTATTGCGCCTACCGCCTATCGCCGTTGTACGCTCGACACTATCAAGGAAATATTCCAATGGCGGTCCGAGGTTCGGAATTCGACTGAGAAGAGGGTTTCACTAGGATGGTCGGCTACGGGTCGGATTTGTCTAAAAGTACTGGACACAGCTAGCTGAAGTCTACTTTTTGGGTTTTCTATAATCCTCTGTATGGTGGATGACAACTAAAGTCACAACACGGACGTCATAACATGGCGTTTGTGGTAGTTGCGGTACAATTGGCGACTTTAACGGTGTTTTATACGTCGAACAGTACTGATTGGATGGTGAAAGGTATATCTATCCCCTGAGGGGGGTGCGATGTAATGGCGGTTGTGGACGGTGACCGTGAGCGTGGCTACGTGACTAAGCCGGTACACTCTGTAGCATTCTGTAGAGGCTACGTCAACTAAATCGAAATGCTGAACATTATGTTTCAGAGTATAATGGCAGTTATGTGGAGGTTTGAGGCTATTCTGAGGCTCGTAGGTGGGGTCTAAGTGTAGACATGCTGCACAACGTGCCCGGTGGGTCATATAACGTAGTATAGCACAAATGCATTTTATGTAGCCCCGGAGCCCCCTTGATGTGATAGGCGTGTTAAATTGGTGTGAGAATGAGAGAGTTGTGACCGTCGCCGTTGCATGATTCAATCTAAAGCTTCTCGAAGTACTAGTTGCAGCAATACTACAATTATCACTACTGAAATATATAACAAGTCTCTTCCGTTTTCCGCTATGTCAACAACATTCTTGAGTCTCCTAACATTGCTATCTCTGGCGGTAAAAGGGGATGGCGTGGAAACCATTGGTGAGGCACACCATAGGATGCCAGGAGCATTTAGGGAACAAACGTCATTTGAAAAACTTAAAGGATCCCAGAAGATATGTGTCATACTGGGTATCCTCATAATTACTGCCATAGTATGTGCGATCATTGTTGGAATAGTCAAAAAAGATAGCAATACACTCTACTTCATCATCCCTGCTGGAATCCTTTTGCTAGTGGGAAGTTTCTGCGCATCACACTATCTGGGACCTACAGAGGTTGGATTCACTAAAGAGGAAACGATTTTAGGTGCAATTGGATTATCGGTGTTATTTAGCATCTGCGGTCTCACCATTTTCGGTGTGACAAAATGTGAGGAGGCATATTTCCCCGCCATGGGAGCCTTCGCCTCTATTTCCCTAGTCGCCTTGGTCATATATTCTGCGTACATCGTACGATACCAACCGTTTGAACCTCTCCTTGAAACAATTTTTGGTGTTAGCGGTGTTCTCTTACTTTCAGGTTGCATCGGTCTAGCTGCCGTGCGCATAAATTGTCATTACAGTCCCCCACCTTCTGGTGCCAACGCGAGTATTATTCTCTCCGTGCTCGACATTGTCTTGGTGGTTGCTGTGCTCTACTTCGCCTATCGCATAGGCCTGCTCGACTCTACCGTCTTCAATAAAGATAGAAGTGTAGCATTGGGGTATTGTATCGCTTTGATGATTTTCATAGGCTTGGTTGTAGCATTGGTATATATGTTTACTGGTAAAAAATGCGAGTGTAGTAAACGTCAGTGTCAATGTCTTACCGGCGATAGTTGTAACTGCAATGGCAAGTGCAGCATTATGTGTGGCTGCGAATGTTACAAAATCGTGAGGCGCGTTTGCATCGCCATTTTCATATGCCTCCCCGCCTTGACAGCTGCGATTTATTATTTTTATAACGTCTTCAACTCACCATCCGGCAATACAAGCCTACGCACTCCACTTGTAATGCAATAACGAGTTACAACTTTACTAACGTAGTTACAAAAGCGTTTATATCTATGCATGGGCATTGTCACGCGTCGCTGGCGTCTGCGACCTCTGTTGTCGTTTTAGGTGGCACGCCGCAATGCGTGGTTATACCTACCATGTTTTTAATAATAGGCTACTCCGTGTTATTCTCCTTTCCATATGCTGAGTATTTTATGGTTCATAAAAGCAGCCCCGTACAATTTCCATCTCTTTTGACGGGAACTATGGGTAGTTATCAACGGTGGTTTTGGACAGAAATTGAGCTCATGTTAATTATGTTAAGCAAAAAATGCAGACAGTGTTGTGTTATGTTACACCTTTCACGACGACTTCTTACATGATGAGTCTCTAATTGGCGTCATCGTTTACAGGGCGTGGTTGCTGGTGATTCCGACACTTTTCTATCTTTCCACGACATGGGTAACTCCATTGCATATTATCGCTCCTTTGTAAATCTACATTCCAATTTCGGCACTACCTGTGATACTAACAGAGTGGAGTCTGTAACGTATGCCGAATTGCCTGACGTCGGAGGCAAAAATGCGCAGGAGATTAATACTTCCAGGCGCTCAGTAAGATACGTGTAGTAGTAATGTGAAATTAGATGGTTGATTTTTATAGACACGTAGCCCGCTTAACGCCGGGTAGTGTGTACTCCAGGTAGCGCTCACTGCTACTGTGCAGGTTCACGTTGCTAGACAAAACATACCAAAGTCATAAATCAGTTTGCAGCTATTGAATGTTAACGAACGTCGTATAGTCTACATCTATTGCAAAAGTGCAAACCTTCCACTAGTGAATGCAATCCACTGGTGAGAGGCAACTTCTACCACAAGTATTGGCATGCTTATCTGTTTCCCGCAGGGTAGCTCGAGTGTTCCGCAACGAGTTCAGTGCTCAAGCACCATTGCAACGAGATCTATAACGCAGCTCCATATAGCGAGATGAAGTATTCTGTACATGCGACGAAGCGCATGCACGCGAGTCTCTGCAGCGTAGTTTTCCACGAGTAACTCGCGTCACCTCGACCGGCTTCGTTTACCTTACACTCTTGGTTACCTTTACACATTATAGTTCGCCCACATTCAGATATAATCGTGCTGTAACACATCCATAGTATCGCCCGCTACACATTGCCTTTGGGTGCTCTTGTCTAAATTGTTGGACTCCGATATGCATTCTCTGTATAACACTGTCCCGGTACTTTAATGGATTCACTGTGTCCTATTTTTACGTATTATGTTCTCGTTTCATAGAATAAAAACGGTACTTTTTACGAAATGTCAGGATTCAAGCTTTTTAGAATCTTGATTGCCTTCTTGGCTTTCGCCAACGTCATCGTTGGTAATCCTTTGGGTGATGGAGTGGCGGTTGATGATGAGCAAGTGGATTTGCAAGCTGCTAATCAGCGTTTCCACGGTTTGCTTGACCTGATTCCAGAGGAGCTAGCCAAAGAAGTCACCAAGTACGGCGAGTATGAGAACGTTCCCAAAAGTATCACTAAGAAGGTTGATGATTATTTCAGAAAGGTGCGTTTTGCCGAGTTAGTAAGCCGCCTTCCTGAAGAACTGGCCGAAGAGGTTGGCCAGTACCCATCGCGCAGTAAGGTCCCTAGCGAGCTTAAGCAAAAAATAGCTGCTTATCGTGAGCAGAAGTATATCAAAGATGTTGCCGAAAGTCTCCCAGAGGATCTCGCACGAGAGCTTGGCAAATACTCATCTTTTGACGAAATCCCTGCTGAAGTCAACAAAAGGATTCGTGCTCATTTCGGAAGGTCTACCGAAAAAGCTACCAGTGCTTCCACTGATGAAAGTAAACAGGAGAAACCCGTTGACGATGGATCTGCTCCTAGAGTTAAAACCGTCTCCGATATATCGGAAGAGCCAGTGAAAAAACCCGGATGGTTTGAAAATCTGATTTGGGGAATGAGTAATTTGAAATGTCACCCTGACTATTACGTAGAGACTATGTCAGGGTATTACGAGGATGAATATGATAATCACTATTATGATGAAGAACCAATATCAACCTTTGCAGCCAGAGTGTTGGGCAGTACCAAAAAACACACTGATCCGCAGGAAGAATCTGCTCCAGCACCAGGCCAGGTGACGGACGAGAGCGAAATTACAGTACCCCAAACACCTGAAGTAGCTCAGGAGGCTGCAACTGAATCTGTAGCCCCAATTGTATCTTTTGAAACAGCAGATGACTTGGTATTTAATGAGCGCGCCGGCGATCGTATTAAGCAATTCATCGCCATGCTTCCCTCTAACATGGCTGACCGTTTCGACCCGTATGCAAAGCGCATGTTGCCTGCACGCCTTGCTGAGGAGCTTGCCGCTCTCGAGGATAATAAGCTTACTCGGGAACAGGCAGAAGGCGTTGCTAGACATCTGCTTAAGGAGTATATCAGGATCATTATTAACGATCCCGCTTGGATGCCTATCACCCCCGAACTTCGTCAATACCTTGGTATGTATTTCTTCACACTTCTCTTGTGGAACTCTGATCCTCAATACTTGGCTCCCAAGCCCAAATTGGATCTAGAAAACTTTAACGAACTTTACGATCCCGAGGTGATGCTAGCAAGCGCTGGATGCAAGAAACGTGAGTCGCACCTTGACACTGCTCATGCAAAGGAAGAACCAACCTATGTTGCTTCATCTGAAGAAGTTGAACCAGTTGTTGAAGAAAGGAGCCGTAAGAAGCGTCTAAATGTTCTTCTCAAAAAGTTGCCTACTTACCTGGCAAACGAGGCTTCTAAGTATCGCGATGTCGCCAGCATGCCTCCATACATCAAGAAGAGGATTAACGAAATCGTTGCCGCAAGGCGTTCTGATGATTTGCTATCTGTACTTCCCGAGAGCTTCGCTCGTGAAATCATGATGTACTCCAGCGTGTGCGAACTTCCCAGCACTGTATTGCATGACATTTTTAACTACATATACGGTAAGGTCGAAGCTGAAGTTGATGCCCACCCACACGTTGGCAAAGATCGTCGTCTCATACTCATCTCCCAGCTTCCTGATGAACTAGCTAGTCAGATTAGTGCTGATGATGAGGAAGCGTTCCCCGAGCCCCTCGCTAGGGACATTGCCCGTTACCTTGCCAAGGAAACCGTTGAAATTTGTCACAGAGCGTGGAATGCCAATTTGCTAACAAGATACCTCGCTCCCTCATATGTAAAACATATTCTGTTCTTCAGCGATGTTTTGCGTGTTGCCCATGCGCTTAACATCTACTAGGCACGCAATAAAATCCGAGGTGTGTTTTGTTCTAAGACATAAATTGCTAATGCACTTTACAATAGAATCGCATAACAATTACTATAGTACATATAAATGTCGTGGGTTACCGTAAAAACTTGCGCAACTCATTTGTTCTGTGCCCAATGGCAAAAACGCTGCCCTAGCTGGCTAAAAATACTGTAATTAATTCGCCATATAGGTATGGTTGCATTTGACTTCTGCCTGGTTGTGAGATTAACTCTATGAAAGAGCAACATGTTGCCATTTGTGATAATGTAATGTTTATAGATCTGCTTTGTACAGGGTAGACAAACAGTTGTGTATTGTAACAAGCCGCATTACTGTCATGATGCGGTCCACCAACTGTCCAAATCATGTACCAAAGGTAGTTTAAAAATATAAGATACAGCGTATAATTCCGCCTGCTTTACCTTAGTATTTTGCTAACAGATGCATTTGTCTTGCTCGGATATATTGTTCGCTTGGTTGCCGTTGGTTTTGACAAGCACTACGACGAACCTTGACGCCCCTCCTGTTAATGTCTGGAGGCCCACATGCCGCAAGTGCAGTTTTGACCGATGAACCATTTGCAATGTCTCTGCCATTCTATCATTTCTAGACGGTAGCAGGAATACAAGTCTCCCTCGCGGTACCAGCATAGTTTCAGCGATGCGCAACAAAGTCTCTATTAGGCAATCTACAACTCCATCGCCAGCTCCATCATTTAGCAATCTCCGGTTTTTTGCACTGGCTCTTATACCTACCCAGTTTTGTGAAACTTTAGTCTTTGTGTTTCTTACCGTATGGCGGGTCTGCGATAATTGCATCGATCCACTCTTTGCCCTTGTACGAGGATTCGTCCATTGATTTCCATACCTACGACAACTTACAACTTTTCTAAGTGCTATATCAATAGGATGTAACGTTGTCCAGGGTTACTTGGTAAGATATGTAACTGTATCACTTTCTTACCGTGCATCGGTTGTCAAATCTCAGCATATCTGGTATGGGCAGTCCGTAGAATATGAAGTTGGTGTATGCATTCTTATTGAGGTCTGTAACATGTTATACTCTACTGATTGCAGTTACCTGATGGTGGTAGGTTGCGATTGTGATGTGCCATTGCCCATCCTTGGAGTATTCTCATATCGATGTCACTACCTAGGCAGACAGCTCTGGAAGTATTAAGTATCGATGCATACTTTGCTTACCCGAAATGCGTTGCCGATATCAATGAACCTGCGGATCCGACAAAAGGGTCCAATACTACAGAGCCCTTTTTAACCATGGCCTGGGCATATTATTTTAAAAGTTCAGTTTAATGTGTTATGGGCATTTATCATAAATTGATATGTAGAATGTATAGAAAGCGACTTTCGGGATTTTTATAGCTTTTTGCGTTATTTGTTCTCACCTACCAGATTTGTCATGATGAATGCAAGCATATTTTCCAATGTAGTTGGTGCCAATATAGGTCGTCTAGATAGGGAATATCTATCCCACCAGTATCCTATATCTCCCCGGTCCCTTATGTAATGTCCGAAGTATATAGTCCTAAGATCTTTCGATGTGAAACCTGCGTAGCTCTGCAATATGATGTACCAGATATACTAATCCTTCTTTGTCTCACTAACCTCTATGATTGCGATTTTAGTTTCAGGGTTTTTGATATCCACTTTGCCCGCTCTGTCGAATATTTCTGCCATTCCTTCGAGTATCTCTACAAGTCTGTTTTGATCATTTTTTCCGTTAAAGCAGTTGTATTTGGTACACCATGTCTTCCCCAATAACTTCTGTTGCACGAGATGTTCATATTTTTCTCGTATTTGATTAAGTATTTCTTCGTACGTTTTCCCCTCTGTCCAGACCTACTTAAATCAGCGTGTCTAAGGAATGACCTACATCAATGATCCCCTTGATTAGTACAGAGCGATCAAACATTGCTATTGCAGTTTCGACGTTCGGTACAGTTGCGTAGTAGAATACATTTTGTCTATGTTTTTTCACCCTTTTATCTTCTCTCGTTTCTCCGCATACGAGTGCCATATAGTAGTCATCAAACTTCATGTATGATCCATCTTCGTCAAACCTATCCGTTTCGTCCGACTCTTCATGTTTGTGATGTCTTAGTTTAAACTGTTCTGGTGTTATTCCGAATAATTCGGCAAGTGATTCTAGTTCTGGTTCGATAAGTTCATTGTAATCCGGGTTCATTGACATCCAGAAGAGTAGTCTGACCATCTCTGCAGGACTTGCATGGGATGAGTAGCGTAGAGTATCTACGTTTCTGTTCCGTGGCGGCGGTGGTGTAATTTTTTGACCCTATATAGCACACATCGCGCTAATTACTTTAGAAGTATCGCGATTAACAACGGTATAGGCGTTATCATGCCGGAATATATCGATACAAACAGTATGGTTTGATTTTTCTTTAATCTTTTCGATCAAATTTTCATCGCATTGCGGTCTTCCTTGCAGGATGGCGAAGAAGTCTTCCTGTGGTACCGGGTCAGTTAATAAGAAGGTTATTAATAAGGTCGGCAAGTCTTCTTCCGATTACGTACTAGAAAAATCTAAATTGAACAATCTGTTCAAATCCATACGAGGAAAATCGGCTGCGGTTGTATCAGCTTCAACGTCATCTACTAGTCGTCAACCTGCGTCGAATAAATCTGCATCGATTTCTCGCACATCGAAGTCAAAGGACGGTTATTCTGAGGTGTCAGTTGGTGTCAGTGTGCGTAAGCGTACGGAAGATAATCTTCCCATCTACACTGTAGAGGAGCTTAATATCGGTATGTGTTGTTACACCCGTAGGATTACTGTTTAGACTGCATAGTCATTGTGTCACAGGAAAAGGTGGTGATACCGAGCTTTGCCCATTCGACTGCCACTGCTGCTATTGAGCTTGGATGACCAGCGACACGTGCTTACACCTTTTCTGTGTAACTGTTTCGAGATTCCTTATACTAGAATCGTTTTGAAACGTACTATTTGTTATATAAAGTCTTAAAATTTTACATGTTTCATTATTAAATTTTCGTCTTAGTTACCATTTTTGGTCACACATTTCCCACCTTTTCTAGTGCTCTGCGCGTACTTACCGATGTTGGTTTTTAATATCCTGGTTACATCTCTTATAATTTGCAATGCAAATACGTTTTTTTACTTCGTTAGAAGACTGTCGTTGGCGGCTTTTGCTAAAGGTTGGTATGATCGTTTGTTTATTGTATTAGTATCAGGGTCTTCCGTTTGACGTTACTCAAGAAGAAATTCGTTCAGTTTTCCCTAATAGCGGTAGTATAACCTCGGTTACTTTAGTAGGAAGTGGGTTTTCATCTCTAATTTATCTTTAAAGTTTTTTAGAAGGTTCCACACCAGCAGGTTGCGCCGTGGTACGTTTCGTGTCTGAAGTGGAGGCTATTCGTGCTCTGAAGTCATTTCGTGACATATACATTCGGAAAAGGTAAATATCTTTCATATATTTGTGATTCTAATTTGTTGTTATGGTTTTGTATTTTGTTCCTATTTGTTTTGTGAGATACAATTGCAGGCATATTGAGGCTACACTTGATTTTACGGACTTTTCTCAACGCATCCAGCGTGTCCACAAACCGATAGCGGTGGACCGTTTCCGTCTACCTCTACGTTTTTTCTGATAATCCTTGGTTACCTTGCAATCTTGATGCCCGCTATCGTATGTTGACTTGCTTGGTTCCTATGTTACGTTTCCAAGTAATGCGCCTCAGGCGCCATCTGTTTAGTGATGTGTTCTTGAAAGGTTCTTTTACAAGATATATCTCCACTACCAATAATAATGTGTCGTTAAGGGGATGTGTGACACCCCCTTTGGGTTGTACGGGTATTACCTGTAGTCCTATGCATCGTCATTTTTCTACGTTTGCGGGCAGTTCACTTAAGTCTGGGATGATATTTCTTCATGGCGGTACTGCTATTTGTTAGTATTGATTATGTTGTTTGTAGATAAATATTGCGAGGTTGTTTCAAATCGTCAGGTGAAGCAAGGTCGAGGTTCTGCATCCCTTCAGGTGGAGTACATTGAGTTTCCCAGCAGGAAGCCGATGACTTTAAATTTGCCCATTGGTGCTAAGGTCGATAAGATAGATTTGGAGAAGCAGGGCGCGTTAGTACAATATCTTGACTCTGATGCTCGTGAGCTTGTTGTATCGGACCACAACTTTGAAGAGAAGCGAATTCCCGCTTTAATTGTCGGTGACGGTGCTAAGCTATTGGAGGCTGGGGATGAAATCCAACTATTCTACCACAACGAAACTATCGTTAAGGTCAGCCTGCCTAATACCATTACATCGCGTTTGAAGTAGGTTGTTTACTACGTACGCTAATATTTATTACAGGAAGAAGTGAGACTTTGGTTGTAACAGCCTTGTAATATATTGTGTTACGTTTTCTTAGTTTATTGGAGTCTTAGTTCTGCATCTGTTATTCTATTTTGTGGACCGGTTGCCTTTATGATGTTTATATTTTGGTACGTGCTACGTAACCGAATGAAGCATCCACGCACCTTATAATGTGTCATCTCTATTTAATAGAGATGATGAGGATGATAATATGACGGTATGTTGGTGTGTATATAACATGTTTTGTATTGGTGTGTAGTTGTGTAGGCGGTATATATTGTTCCGTGTGGCGTGTGTCGCTGGGGGTATCGTGAGTCTCCATTTGTTTTATCTGTTTAAAATTTTAGTACTTGAATCCTTGTGTTTTATTTTGTACTCGATGGTGACCGTGTCATCGCTATGTGTTTTTGTTTTAATGTAACGCGCGCTGATGTGTAATTGATATTTCTGTTGCCTCTTTTCTCTACCTCTAGATCTGCAGGAGGTATAAAAGGGTTATATATTGCATATAGATGCCACGGGCATTTTTTATTTTAGATAGGTAGCTCATTCAATTAGTGTTACTGTTTGGCACTTCTTCGTATCTGGTCATGAGGAACTATCTAGAGGGGTTATTACCTGGTTCCAGGATAACTGTACCTAAGGTTAGCCCTTCAAAGAATGATAGCGTTTCTCATCCTGTTTATCAATTTAAATTGGTGATTTTAGGTGACACTTCTGTGGGCAAGAGTAGTTTGGTTGGTCGTTTTGTGAAGAATACTTTTTTGGAGTTCCAGGAGTCTACTATCGGTGCTGCATTTATGACACAGAGCGTAAAATTTGGTGACCATACTGTAAAGTTTGAGATTTGGGACACTGCGGGGTATGTCTTTGTGTATTCCTGTCAATTATTGTTTCAGTCAGGAGCGTTATCGCACGCTTGCGCCTATGTATTACCGTGGTTCGTCTGCTGCGGTGATCGTGTATGATATAACATTACGTGACTCTTTTCAGCAGGCTAAGGGTTGGATCCAAGAGCTGCAGTCTCATGTTGACCCTAACATTGTAATGGCTCTTGCTGGTAACAAGGTTGACCTTGAATCATCTCGTGAGGTTGCTCGTGAGGTGGCTGAGGAGTTTGCGAATGCTAACAATTGTTTGTTTATGGAGACTTCTGCTAAGAACGGTGATATGGTTCAGGAGTTGTTCACTGAGATCGCCAAGGCTATTCCCAAGGGTAAGCGTATTAACGAGCTGCACGAGGGTTTTAAGATCGAGTCTCAGTCTTCTTTGCCAAAATTGAACTGTTGCAATAGGTCATAGCATTGATATTTTGGCTCATATCAGCGTATTCGCGTACGCAGTTTGCAGATTTCCAATGGCTACATTATTATACACAGGGCGTGTTTTCTGATTATATTAATTGTCACGTGAAAGTGTATGTATTTACCATTTTCACCTTGTTGAAATAGGCATTAAGCAGATATTAGGTTGCTTCATGTCGTCTAAGGTTCTGTTTCCGTGTGGTTAGTTTTTTGTGCATAATGGTTGAAGTATTCCTCTTCTATATCGTGTAGTTTCGGTGCACAAATTACCATTGAGTGCAGTGGTTCTCCAAATTGTACGTTTTTCAATTGATCCAGGGTGCCTATCCGTGGCTATTAATCTATTTTTTGTATTATTCTTACCGGCTACAATTTTTGCTGTCTTTGAGCCCAGCCTTGCTACCCCGAATGCTCTCGTACTGTTATTTATCTGTTGTTTTGTCTGGTCCACTTGCTGTATTTGTTCTATAGCTACATTTACTGTCATGTATCTGTGTTGACATGTCTACGTTTTGTTATTTTGGTTACCTCGGAGGTTCGAATATCATTTTATTGGCCATGAGATTTTCCACTGATCTTTCTCTAACCTTGATATCTGTTTTGTGAATAACGTTTTATTGTTTAATCCTACCTAATAGGCATAGGGTGTGGAGGTTTGCGTTCCTATTTTTTACAATTTTGTCATAGAAGCTGTCTGGTGTCCAATTCTTTTCGAAAAATGGTATCGATACGACCTCTCCAAATCGGTATAGTTGTAATCCCGTTCTACCGATTGCGTTTATAATACTTGCATTATGTATGACTTCTACTTGTACCCCTGCCTTTTCGGCACGTAGGCATATATCGCAATGCGTTGTTGCGCTACAAAATGGTGACCGTGTTGTTATTTGTGTATAGGTTATGTATACTAGGCACTGACAACGGCCTATATTATCTGTGTATCACTTTCGATGGGTTCATTTGTCTGGTACATGAGCGGTGCTTTCTATGATTGTGGAACGTTTATGGAGGTGTGATCACTCACCTAAGTGGGTCTCCGGCTACTAATAGCGCTACCGATTTGTGTTGCGCTTCATTTAGTATAACATCTGCTTGTTCCTCTATACTAATACGATCGGCCTGTCTTATGGGTTTTTCGAAGAAGGCCTCCTACATTGTTTGATTATTTTGTTTCTTGTGACCCACTAGTTCTTCCACGGTACTATCTATTAGTGTTGATGTGTATATTTCAAGAATCACTGTATCAGCTTGTTGAACTGCCTTGAGTCCTCTTAGTGTTATATCTTGGACTTCTCCCAATCCAAGTCCCACTAAAGTGAGTGTCATTATTCAGAAATACTCCTTTTCTTCTTTTCTTGGTGTCGTGGTGTTTACCTGTGGAGTTTCCTCCATAGTGGGCATGGTGGCTATCGCTGTTATGTGGTTATTCCACATTTGATTGTGTTGCATTTCTCGTTGCTATTGCGGGATATCTGCACAATCTAAATGTTGCGAATTGTGTCTTTCACTATTTCACTTTTGCTTGCCACCATGGGCGGCCTTGAGGCGTATGAGACTGAGACCCTACTCCAGGAATTGCAACGCCGCTATGACTGTCTGAGCAAGCCCAAAGGGAACTTCATTTTTATGGGTGCTCCCGGGTCTGGAAAGGTGTGTGTTTGTATATTCGTTTATGTTTTTCCTGTTCTTGACCTATGTCGCGTGTTGTGTATGTTTCTTCTGTGTGTCATGGTTGTTATTTTAAACCTTCTATGCTTTCAACATGTATTTTCAGGGTACGCAATCTTTGTCATTTCGTGATTCTCACTGCTACTGCCACCTTTCCACTGGTGACATTTTGCGTTCTGCTATTAGGAAGGGTGACCCTGTTGGTATGCAAGCCAAGGGTTTCATGGACAAGGGTTTGCTTGTTCCTGATGAGCTTGTTGTGAAGTTGATTGAGGGTAACATGAACTCTCCTGCTTGTCAGCGTGGATTTATTCTTGATGGTTTTCCTCGTACTGAGGCTCAAGCTAACCGTCTGAATGAGATGTTGTCCGCTGCTGGCAAGAAATTGCATGCTGTATTCCTTTTTGAATGCCCTGACTCTGAGATTGAAAGGCGTATTAGTGGTCGTTTGATTCACGAGCCTTCTGGTCGTGTGTACCACTTGACTAGCAGGCCACCTAAGGTTCCCATGCGTGATGACATTACTAACGAGCCTCTCATCCAGCGTAAGGATGACACTCCCGAAGTCATTCGCACTCGTTTGGAGGCTTACCGCAAGCAGACCGCACCTCTTATTAATTACTACGACCACATGAAATTGTTGAAGCGCATTAACACTGACAGAGACGAGAAGCTTGTGAACGCTGTAAGTACTACGTGTGTTGATCTTCGCTTTGTGTTGGACCATTTATGTGGTTATTATCTATTTGTGTTATATTTTACCTGCTTTCTGTGTATAATGATTCATATGCGTTTAGGACATCCAAGATGTCATCAACCGTGTTGGCGAGAACTAAGAGATTTATTACCATTGAATATCAAGGCGTTAGAATTTTCGTGATGATATTCGTAACTGACATGAACCGCTAATTGCAACTAATGTGTTAACGTCTGTTAGTTTATTTGTTAGTTCACGCAGAGCCTTTCCAGTTGTGGAACAGTTTGGCTCGTCTTTCTTCTATAGATTCGCTGTCCACATCGCATGCTAGTTTTGTGTTTGCCAAAGTTGGCGGCGGTATGAATAGTGGCGCTACCCCTGGTGGCCTGTAGTGTTGCGTTTGCACTACCTTTTGTTTTTCCGATTTAGTCTCCTCTTCTGCCCTTGCTGCTGCGTTTAGTGCACTATTCCTACGTTCTCTCTGTTCTGTTGCATAGGCTTGTCGTATTGTTGAATCTGGTATCCCCCTAGCACTGCTGAAGCCTTGTGTAGGTCTGGTGGTTGTTGGTGCATCGCTGAACCCTTTTGGCCTTGAGAAATCATTTTTACTGAACCCTTGCGGTGGTTTTGTTGTTGTCGGTGCATCGCTGAATCCACCTGATCTTTGAAAATTGTTAGGGTTTGTGAATCCTCCAGCCCTTTGAAAACTATTATCACTGAACCCTCCTCTTGCTGGTGGGTTGATTGCTGCGTTTGTAGGTGCGTTACTGAATCCCTTTGGTGCTGATGTGAATCCCTGTTTTGCTGCTATAGGTCCTCCTGTTGTGATTGGTGTAGGTCTTGTGGCTGGTGGTGCTGGTGTGAATCCATAGCTACGGCTTGGATCGATTGGTTGTCCGCTTGGTCCTAGAATTAATGGTCCTGAGCCTACATGCCCAAATCCTTTTTGTCTTGTGAAATCATCTCTTGGCTGGAATGTGTTGTTTTCAGGTCCATTTGGGAACCTCCGTCCTCTTCTTTCGTGTGCTGCATATCCTGGTGTTTGGTATGGCATCGGTGGCTGTGTTCCGTAAGCGTGCATTGGTGGTTGTGGGTATGGTCCCTGATGTGGATAGTTTGTCATCATATCCATTTGATATGGTGGCATTTGTCCATATGTATTTTGTACCGGATGTTGTTGTTGCGGCATTTCATTTTCTTGGGGTGCCGTAAATCCTGGGAAGTATACATTTCCTATAGACAGTTGTGCAAGGAACTGTTCCGGCGTTGGTGCCGTTGATACAATTGCCCATATGATCCTTTGTTGTTTTTTCGTATCTATATCTCCCAATTTCTTTTGGTACTTCATTCTATGTTCTTCAATTGCCTCGAATGGCACTCCTTGCATTCCCTGTACGACTGAGGTGATGTTATCTCTGCTTTCTAGGGCGAATGGGACCTTCCTCTGTATGAGTTTGTGTACCTGTAGGTTTTATTAATTCGGGCATATATGTATTACAATATCATAACTAATGGGTATGAACGGCATATAATTGTACTTTTTGATTTACTTCAGCATTTGATATGAAAGTTTTATGCCTCGGTTCCTGTTGTAGCAGTACCTCATGGTCACCGCTATCCCCGAATTCCCATTATATAACGTTAGTTCAGCATAATATAGATATATCATGAATGTATCACTATCCTTATAACATTTTTTTCATCTTTTTTTTTTGTTGTATTATCATATTTGTTGATATAACTTTATCTTACCTGTTGCATATGTACCGCTAGGCCGTTAGCGGTTTCGAGTTTGCGATTACATTCTGGGCACTTGAAGTGTTTCGCCTTTTGGTGCATAATGAGTATCTTTTCATCATCGAACTCGCGATTGCAGAAGTAGCAGAACGGCTTAAGCTGTAGCCGTCTACTACTCTTTCTTCCCATTGTTACACCTTGTTATTTTAAAATTATTGCGATTATGTATTATTAATAATCTGAGGCCTATACCGCTATCCGTTATGCCTTCACCCCAATGCCTGATGTCGTGTCTCATGATTCCGCCGTTATAAGGCTTTTCTAAGACGCTTAGATGCATCCATTTAAGTTCTAAATGACTCTATAGACTATTTGGTGTCGTGTAAGTAGTCTCTATGGCTGCACCTCTACCTTTTTGATTTTGCTGTGCAGCCTCGACATGGTTTGCACAGCCCTTGGCAGATGTATTGTGCTGTTCCCTCTGGGTTCTTACGTGGCATTATGTTATGCTTACTAAGGCATACATTTCGGTGTTAGTTCTGCTGTAACATTAGACTATTAGGGATACTCTATGACATCATGTCTAGTGTTGTACCTTGTCGTTTGGCTTGTGCCAATCCATTTGTTTGTGCTCGTGTGTTTTTGAATCACTTCTACAGTGGTTCATCCCACGGTGTACCTGTACGCAGGCGTGCAACATCTGTTTTTACCAAGGAGTACGGTACTGCCGTATGCAAACCGCGTAGGGATCACTCGAGTATTCCTGTATCGGTTGAAGAAGGAGCGGTATCGGACATCGGTTCGAGTGATGGTCTATCATCTTCGTTTTTTGTTAATGATACTTTTCAGAAATCCAGGTGTGTTGATTTTGTTTTAATATCGTTACGTTGTTTACAGTGACCTTATGGACATGTTATCTTCGATGGTTCATAGCGTGTCGACTAGATCTCGTATAGAGTGTCGTCCTGTATATTTGAGTGTATTATCGCAGCCTTCTATCGCATATTCTCACCTGTTATCTACCGCTCTGCGTCACGACGGTGTGGCTATTACGGCACTACCTACTGACTTTTCGCTGTTACGTAATAGGCTATCGACGTGTCCTCCGAGTTCTTTTGAGAAGCACGTGGTAGACAACTGGAGATCACTATTGGTTGAGTCTCACAGCGACGTGTTGTTGACTACACGAGATTATTACTCGTTAGTGTCTCCTGTGTGTCGTGAGCTTGCGATCCCTGTGTATGTATTTTTGGATTCTTTTGGTATCCTCTCATCTGTAGAGTTCGAGTCTGCTTTACGTGCTGGTCATGGTTATTTGGATTTTATAAATAAGCCAAGGGGTTATATCCAGATGACTTCTGCCAAGTCTGGTTTATTTTCGAAGTCCTCCACAGGTTATTCAAAGTTCCATGTTTTTTCTGAGATTGGTTCTTGTAATAGCAAGGTAGCGGTTCATAGTTCGGATAGTTTGCTTGCGGATGTTGATAGTGTGCGTTCCACTTTGCATTTGCAAGCTGGTGACAGTGTTCTTAACTGTTTGTTTCCACATGACTACAGTTTCACGGTTTATGGCGTTGCACATGCTTCTGAGGTTGGCGCAACAGTTCATTTCCCTCTAAGTATCGGTTGCTTTTCACAATATCCACTTATGAAACTGCAATATCCTCTAACGGTTAAGCGTGGTCTCTGCGACACGGTTACTCTTACCTTGTCTCAATCTGTTTTCGACTTCGTTCGATCACATCGTTTGCGACCAACGGTGTTATTGTGTGGGTCTGACATGTTGAGGTTACTTTTGTCTTTCATTAGTTGTGAGGAGCTGTCGTCTTCTGAGCGGAGTGCCTATTCCTCTTTTTGGAGCGATTTGAGGCAGATATATATTTTTGATAGCGCATCTGAACTATTCAGTACCCCTTTACATGATACTGTTTCGTCATTTTTAGACTTGATGTCACTATCGGTTTCTGTGACACAGATTTTTACCTTGGCCGAGGTTGGAGCGATAGCGCATGTCAACCTTTGTGATCGTTCTTGCGTTGCTGTACCATTTCCAGGTATGTATATATGTATAATATTTCGATTGCTGTTCTTCAGCATTTCTCACACATGTATAGGTTGTGATATTATTGACAGTGATGTCAAGTTCGCAATACGTGCCCGTACGGGTTCTGTATTTCAGGTTAGATTTGTATGTGAAATTTATTTATATATTTACAGGCATATTTGGGTCGTTCGCTGTCAACTGAATCTGTCTTGCATGACGGCGTCTTCAACGTCAGTTTCAACAAACGTTTTGGTGTAACTCGTTTACTTTCTCGTCACGGCGATTACGTTCGTTATTTCAAGCGTCGTCGTGAGCGTATGTCTCGTTATCCGCAGGGTTATATAAAACAAGTCCCTGTTCGTACGCAGTTTTGGGGTAACTTCACTGGTCGTCATCGTCACCATTCTGTTTTATAATACGGTACACAATTGTTCTAATGCTTGTGTAACGGTTTTTCTTTTATCTGCAGATGTTGTATCTACGCAGGTTTCATATTGTGATTCCAAAATTACGCAGCATTCGTCATCAACTGTGATTTCCACGGGATATCCTTCATTTTGGTTGCGTATAGCGCATTCTGTGAACCCTAATTGTATAAGTTTTCCCATTAACTGTTGTGGTGTAAAGGTTCCGAATGTGAACTTGGAGTCATCCACTACGTCTGCTGGTATTAGCGTGATATCATCTGCATCATTTACTTTAACATTTACATTTGCAGCTATTGCAGAGGTTCCGAATGGTCTAGCTTGTGCGAGTGTTTTTTTTGCATCATCTATTCCAATTTCTGCGCGTATGTAGCCATTTCCTCCCTTTGTGGGCACTTTGACATCGTCCCCGACTAGTACATTGAGTGCTGATGGTATCGATTTCTTCATATTTTCTGATACTATGATTTTTGTTTTGTTATCTATAGTCCTCAATAATTGTTCTAACTTCATTCTGAAATCTATTGATACGGATGTAACATCAGCATGTATTTCCATTTCTTCTGCTGTTTGCAAGAGTTCTTGTCTATATTCTTCTGTTGTCGTGATTACTTGTGCTCCGGAGTGTATCCTGCCAATTATGAATGGTATTGTGTATAGATCACATGCTGCTATGACTACCGAGGGTAACCTATATACATCTTTGATGTCATTGGTCTTATTTCCTACGAAAAGGATGTTACTTTCTCTCATTTGTGCAATTTCTAGGAAAGGTGACAATGGATTTTCATGATGCATTGTAAGTTCTGCACGTGTTGTTTCTACCCATTCTGCGCACTTATCGGCAAAGTTGAATATATCTATCATTCCATCTCCTATTACATATATATAAGCTTGTTGATGTTGTTCCATGTGTTGTTTCAGATACTTGTATAGTTGTTCAATGATATCCATTATGGTTTCTGTGTAAGGATCCGTGACTATAACTACACCTTCTTGGTGTTGCATTCCTTGTAATGCCATATCGCATAATGCCTTCATTTCTGTATCGATTTCAGTATAATTTTCATTATCCAATTCTCTTTTGATTGTTGTTTGTATTTTGATTTGTTCAACTTCATTATAGTGTGCGACAGCGTTGTCTAGTAGTATGACCATGTCCACCATGTTAAGGAAGGATAGGTCCACTGGTGTGCAGTACCTTTTGTGTTGTATTTCTCCCGTTTCTCCTATAATAGCTATATATGTGTCACTATCTGGATGTTTGATAGTCCAATTGGCAGATCCCAATGCGTATCCACTGCTGAAAGCGCATATTTCTATTTGTGTTTTGAATGATGCTATGCTTGTGCTGATTAGTGGATATTGTTTATCGGCGTCCCATGCTATATCAGTATCTGTTTTGTGTGTTGCGGTTGTTGTTGCATCTATTTCAATAGTAACTGTTTCATTATATGATAGTGTTATTAATCGTTTTGTTGTTGGGAGGTCCGGATCCTTTAGCACAGGTATATCTACTTTCGAATCGTTTGTTTGATTGAATGGGTATAATGTGTCTTGTGTATTATTTAATATTTGGTCGATTTCTAGATATTTACTGCGTGTTTTTACCCAATCATTTTCATTGTCGGTTGCATCAGGTGATGAGCATTGCATGGATGATCCGTCTGTTTGTTGCGATACGTTTGAATGTTCACTAATATTATCAAATTCCATACTCAATTCATTCCATGTGATATTTTCTGTATCATCTTCATCATTGTTTTGTTCATTTTCATTTTGTATATAATATTGTTCGTCATGATTGTTTTCTTGTATTTCGGTGAGATCTTCTTGTTTTTTTTCTTTATTTCTTTTTTTTCTTATATCCGGTTCAGTAACTATTGCCGCTACAGGTGCATCTGTATGTCTTGTTGTCAACGCTATACTTGCTATTGTATATACTGGTCTTGTGCATACAATATACGTTTGTTCAATATTGAATAGTTCCTTCAGAGTATCCAATCCGTCTAATCCTCTTGCTGTTGTTGCGATAATAAGATGTATATCACTTGATACTATTGTTTCGTATATTTTTTGGTTAGACGTATGTTCGAGAGTACATATTGGTTGATCTACTAATTCCTTTTGGCATTCTCTGAGTAGTTTTGTTGGTAGGTTACATAGTATATTTACTCCTGCTATTTGTATAATCCTACTGCTACATCCTGTGCAATCGCATACTACTCTTACTTCCATATTGTAGTGTCCTATTTTATCGACATTGTCGTTTGTTTATATCGGTTTGATATCTCTATTACCATATATTGGTTCCTGCTTCGCTTTGCGCTTATCTTTTGTGACTTTATGATTGTTCGATATATATAAATATCTCTTTAGGTCTTGTTTATATATTGTCGTGATCCTTGCGAGTTTTATGTTGTGTATCTGTATCTATTTTCTTTTATATTTTTTAGGTTGTATGTATGGATTTTATTGATATTTTTATATCTTTGACTATTTTTTACTTTGTTTCATCTTTATGTGTTAGATTAAATATAGGTGTGTATGAGTCGGCGTGGGGGATTGTTATTGATTTTTTTTTTCATTTTTTATATATTTGTTCGATATCTATTACTCTATATCTGTTAATTTAGATCAATATTTTTTTTTGTTTTTGTATAATTATCTATATCGTATTTTTATTTTTGTTAATTAAATTTGGCATATTTTTCCAGCTGTCTCTTTAATTGATATTTCCATTTCATTATTTTCTATCGCATATAAAGATGTATAACTCTGGGGATGAGTATTCTAATTTAGATTTTTTGAATTTTCTCCCCGAGACTGTTGCTGAGGATGAGGATGCTGATTCCCTTGGTATTACGCAGCCGTATAACTGTTCTGTTGACCCCTCTTACTGTGACGGTGGTCAATCTTATGGCGGTGGTGACCTTGCTTTGTACAATGCTGCTGAATGTGTAGCTAGTGGTTCATTGTATAACAATTTATCTCGTTATTCTCGTTATCTTGACCTACGTTTACAGGGTAAGTTAATCTCTTTCTTCTTTTTTTTTCCTCTCTCTCAATATTCTGCAGTTCCTTTTTGCGGTACTCCTGTAATTCAGAACATTGTTGCATCTGTTCATTTAGGTCGTGAGATCGATTTACGTGAGATTGCGATATCTACTCGTAATGCTGAGTATAATCCTCGTAAGTTCAATGCTTTGATCTTACGTCTTCAAAATCCTCGTTGTACGGGTTTGATATTTCGTACTGGTCGTTTGATTGTAACTGGTAAGTGTTGTTTTTTTTGTGTTTGTGATTGTATTTAGGTTCTAAGACGGTGGAATCTGCTGTTTTAGGTGCTAAGCGTATGGCTAAGATGATCCGTCGTGAGCTTGGTGTTGCTGTAGAGTTTAAAGAGTTTAAGATTGAGAATATAATTGCTACATTTAATTGTAACGTTCCTATTCGTTTGGAGCATCTTTATGAGGAGCATAAACTATTTTGCAATTATGAGCCTGAGATTTTTGCTGGTAAGTTCCAGTTCCCTCTATATTTCTATTGTGTATAGGATTAGTATACCGTATCGCCATGCCGGACCGTACTGACGCTGTACTATTGGTGTTTGTGTCTGGTAACGTGATCGTTACTGGTTGTCGTTCTCCTGAGGATATTCAGTTGATCTATTCTCAGATGGCTCCTATTTTATGTGAGTTTAAAGAGTAGTATGGCGATATGGTTCTTTTTGAGCCATTTATTTGCGTTACTGTATCATTTGCATTCTGCTTAATGTGTGTTGGTACATCCGTTTTGCTTAATTTTTGTGGAAGACTATCTTGGGCATGGTTATTTACGGTTGCCCGGCTCATGTTCTGGGTCTGTATTGAGCACCCTCTCGTATCGCTTCTGTTATACGGCATATACATTTTTCAAGCGGGGAAGGTTGTTTGAGGGTTGAATTTTGTCTCAAAATTGTTCTCTCCTACCTTTTGTTAACTTAATAATGTTGAATATGCTATTTTTTATATAATTGGCGGCTAGTTCTTATAATTGTTGTTGGCTAGCGTTCTTATGTATCTGCTGTTGTAGTATATTCGGTGGGTTTTGGCTGTTCCCGCGTTTTGGTCTGTGGGGGTTGGTGTGTCTATAGTTGCGCGTCGAATATCTATCTCAGTTGTAACAATCCTCGTTTCCTCTACATATATTCGTTTCATATATGAATCGTTGCGATTATTTGTTTTTTTTTGGGTTCTTTGTTGGTTTGTTATCGCCTTTATCCGGCGATGTATCTTGTTAGGTAAATTTGGGAGACGTGTATTAAGTGTTGTTGTTGCCTTGTGCCGCCCATCGGTTTTCCGGTGAGAGGCACATAGTGCGTAATAGGGTCTTGGTGGTTATATGTGTTTCGTTTTGACTTGTTAGTAGCGTTTCATCCTGCTTTTGGTTGTATATATCGGCTAGTTTGCTGTTTATGATGCCCTACCAATTTTCTACGTTGGCTACTAGTATGTTGAAGGTTACTATTAATAGTTTTTTCGCGTTGGGTATTTTATGATTCTTGATTTTTCATTGGTAGTGGGTGTATCGCTTGAAGACCACAAGACCGGCGTATTACTGTGACCTTTATTTATTCTATAGTTTCTTCGAAGTGATTTATATATATATATATATATATATATATATATATTTATATGTATATAAATTCTTTGTTATATGGTTTTCCATGTTTCGTAGCGTATTGTTCGATGTGGTATGTTTTTTATTAACATCGAGTTATTTTCTTTGGCGTCGAATAGTGCGTCACTTTGAACATGCGTAACTTTTACGATCATCATGGACCGTTCTTCTAAGCGTCCCTTTAAAAAGGGTATGTCTGTATCTTCGTCTACCAACAGGAAGGGTACTTCTCCTGATACGGCCCCTGGTTCAGGTTCAGTCGTCGGCAAGAATTTGCAGGTGTCTGGTGATTCCGCTGAAAACAAGCGTGGTAATAGGGGTCGTGGTAATTGGAAATCCAATTATGGTGAATCTCGTGAAAAATCTGTATCTGCTCACGATTCTAGACCCATGAAGTTTGTTGTTGACGATAATCAATTTTTGAAGTCATCAGAAGTTGATTCTCATAGTAAGCCTGTGGATATTTGTTCTCGGTCTCTGGACGGTGGCGAGAATATCCACGTTAGGCCTGATGATACAAGAGTGGACGAGGGTCGTAGCTGGGAGCGGGGTCCCAGGGACCCTGAACTGACCAATCGTCATCGTGCACCAAATTCATCTAAATCCGGCTCTATTAACTTCACGGATAATGTGGATGAGCCCAGGGATCTTGAAAACGATGTTTCACTACATGATTGTGATACTGACTCTCGTCCAAGTGTAACTACAGCGGTTGATACCAACCAAGGTAACGACCCGCAGCTATCACATTCAAGTCAGGGCCCATCTGTTAACGGTGACTCTGCCGGTAGGGTATCATCTGAGAACGTTTTACCTGAACCCCGTGAACCTAGGGAACCTAGGGATCACAGGGAGCCCAGGGAACATAGGGATCACAGGGACCTTAGGGAGCCTCGGGAACCTAGGGAACCTAAGGAACCCAGGGAGCCCAGGGAACCCAGGGCACCTCGTTCTGGTCCCGCACCTCGTTACGGAAAGCATAGCAAGGGGTTCACTCACCGTGGACCCAAGGGTAACCAGTCTTCTGAGGACCGTGTTTCTCAAAACGAGAAGGCTATGCATTTTCCAAAGCGTGTTGATGTTGGTTCTGATAATTCATCTATGGAATTATCTGGTCGTCGTGTTGCTAGGGAGCCCGATGCTGAGCGTCTTTCTCGTCAAGATCCAAAGGGTGACAGGCATGGTGAAATGAGTCCATCTGGTGATGTTATGTATACATCTCCCGGTCACCACAAGCGTCGTACTTCTCCCAGGTACTCTCCCGATGCTAATGGAACTCCTCTTTCTTACACCATGGCTGGTACTGATGGTAACGTGCTACGTTATGACCAATCAAATCGTGCACTGGAGGTTGATTACAACCATTTCCAGATGCAGGGTCGTGGTCAGATGAACAGTGGTGTTGCGATGCCATGTTACCCTAGTAATTACCCAGTCCCCGGTATTGCGATGCATGGCATTATCCAGGGTGTCCCTGGTATGCCTGTAGGTCAATACATGGGTAACCGTTGGGTTGGTACTCCTTCACCTCATACCCCGACCTACGTTGCTCCTGGTCTGGTAACATCTGTTCCAGGGCCTTTGTTTGTACCTCCTGTGCAGTCAGTGCCCAGTGGTCACCGTGTGACACCGGTGCAAGCTCGTAAGAGTTCTGCATTTCAGATTCGCAACCCCGAGACTGGCGAGGTTTTGAATACCGAAGCGAAGGCTCCAAGTGTAGCTAAGCCGAAACCTTCTGTTCCAGCCGCTACTTCTGGTGAAGGACCTATGCAATCATCTGGTGAGCGTAATTTGATTGCTTCTGCACCAGGTACCGCCGTTGGTGTTTCACCTGTTGAAGATCCAGCAGAATTGGCACCATTATCTGTACCTATGATGGTTCCTCCAATGGCTATATCTCAGCCTGTTGGTCAGGCTTGTCCGGGTGTCTATTCCAAGATTTACCCGCAGGCTGGAGCTACGGGTTATGTCCCCGTGACCCCTGTGATGTACACTCACGCAGCAGCTACCCCTATAACCCCTGGACGTATGGATGATGATGTAACTCTTGATGATGGTCGTGACCAGCGTTCTGGTGGTACATCTCAGATGATGGCATCAGCGAGTTTATCTCCTGCTGCCGGTTCTGGTATGATCCCCGTCATCACCTTATCTCCTATGGTTACTGAGCGTACATCGCGTACTGGAAAGTACCGTGTGGTTAACAAGGCTGTGGAGTCGAACGATCTTGCTGTAGCGCTCGCTGTTCGTCATCCTCTATGTGATTATGCAGTTCGGGCCGCTGTCCGTACTCGTATTACTAATCGTAGAGTTGACAATACTGATTATGGCTACATCGATTCTGGTTCATCTCCTGTTCCTGATGTGCCGGTGCCCTATTCTTCCAGTTCTCCTACAAGGACTGCTACACCTACTGAGGAAGACATCAAAACGGAATATGACTGTGATACGATTTTACTTCCCCCATCTTCTAAAGACGATGAAGTTGAATCATTCGAGCCAATTTCCGATACTGCTACACACGATGCTGAGTCTCCAGAGGTGGCTGAAGAGAGTGGTGCTGTTACAATTGATAGTGAATTGGAGTATGTGACTGAGTTACCTGAAGAGATACCCGTTAATGAGCTGGATCCTGTTGAGGTGGTTGAGGAATCTGATGTTGTCCCTGAGGAGTTTGAAAAACCTGATGAGGCAACATCTGAGGAAGTTGAGGAGGAGTGTGTAAAGGGTCCAGTGAAGGAAGTGAAGAGTGCTCCAGACTCTCCTAAGGTATTACCAGACCCCTTTATACTTGATCCTATGGAGCTTCAATCGGCTCCTATTGTTGGTCTTACTGTTGATTCATCATTTCCTCGTGATGATCCTCATTTTTCTCCGGTATACACCATAGAGACGATTTTGAGTCATGGTTTTGCTTCAAAAGCTAATGTGCGTGGTAAATCTTTAGGTTTTAAGCTTGTTCCCATCGGTGGTCATTCTGACAGTGGTCTTCGTGATTTACGTGAGCCTCGTGAATCTCGTGGTCGTAATTACACTACTCATTCATTTTCCGGTACGCCTCAAGCATCTTCTTCTAGTTCCAGTGGTTCAGCGCACCGTAATCGTTTGTTTGAGCGTAGCAAGGTGGATACTAAATGGCGTCGTGAGGTGAAAGCTGAGCCTCCTCGTGTATCACCTTTTAAGAAAGCAGACATAAGTCGTGAGGAGCAGTTTAAGCGTACAGTTCGTAGTTTATTGAACAAATTGACGGTTGAGAAGTTCCTTACAGTTGCTGAGAATTTGGCTGTGATTTACGAGAACTTGACAATTGAGGATGATGTGATTGCTATGGTTGACCTTGTATTGGACAAGTCTGTATCGGAACTAGATTACAGTGATGTGTATGCTGATTTGTCATTTTTGTTGAAATATCGTTTCAACAGTAACTTTGACGTCGGTTTCAAGAGTACTTTATTCTACCGTGTTTTGTTGAATAAATGTCAGGATTCTTTTGAGGCGTTGAGTAACGTTGCGATGACTGCATCTCTTTTATCTTCTTCTGAGGATTTGAAGGATGATGCTGTTGAGTGTGAGAAGGATGATTCTGCTGTTGACGTTGATGATTCAGAGTGTTCTAGTTCAGTGAAGGTTCCTCGTAACCGTACAAAGAAATGGGTATTGGGTAACATTCGTTTTATGGGTGAGTTATTTTTGCGTAAGATTTTATCTGTTGGTATTTTGAAGCGTATAGCTCGTACTTTGCTTCAAATGGACGCAGAGGGTTCTCGTATCCCTTGTGAGTATTTGGTTGAGAGTTTCCTTGAGCTTATAACAACGATTGGTTATACATTGGAGCAATCTGTTCATGGTCCTGATATGTTGAATGAGTACATGGGTCATTTGACTCATTTGAAGAAGCATGGTAACTACAGTCTTCGTATAGTGTACAAGATCCAGGATCTTTTTGATTTACGTTGTAAGAACTGGGTGAAGAAGGTGTTTAAGGAGCGTGCAACATCTGTTGCGGACATTCACCTAGAGGCTAAGCAGGAGGAGCTAAAGGGTGGTGCAATTCACTTGAACCAGGAGGGTAAATTTACCACTGCAGGTCGTCAAGCTCGTAGGCATTACACAGACTATTTGGCTAGTCAGCGTCAGATAGCGTTTGAGAAGACAGTGAATGGTTTGTACGTTGCTGCTGCTAGTACACAAGTAGCATCTTCATCTGCAGATGCTGACTCTACGTCTTCTAAAGTGGTTCCTCCAAGGGTAGCTACTACCACTGCTTCTGCTCCTGTTAGTGACTTATCTTGTGGTGTTACTCCTAAATCTGCACTTAAAACGGATATGGGCAAGAGTATTAAGCGTAAGACTGGTGAGGTTCGTTTTGCTATGGATGTTGTTAGCGATTCCGTTGCTACTGACCTTATAGAGGTGTTTTTACAAACTCCGAGTGCGTCTCGTTTCGCTATTGAGTGGGAGCAATATAATCCATCTCGTGAGGACAGTTTGGATGTTGTACGTCGTATGTTGCACAAGTGCGTGAACGCTCGTAACATGTCTCAGGCAGAGAGCCATTGTGATTTATTGGCTTGTACTATCGGTCGTTTATTGAGTGACAGTGTGACAGCTATAGATGCGTTTTCTATATTTGAGGATAGTTGTTTGTTGCGTCTTCAGGACGAGGTTCTTGACAATCCCGCTGCGGTTTCGTTGTTTTCTCGTATTTTAAGTCAGATATTGGATGCTTTCGCTGCTAATCCTGATATTACGTTGGAAAAAATCACGTTGCCAAGTGATTTCGGTTTAGCTAAAGATTTAGCACTTCGTGTCTTGGCTGAGATGAAGCGTAGCACATCGCATGTGGAGTATGCTCGTAATTTGTTTCGTCGTAGTTTTTCATCATTTAAAGATGAAGACTTATCGTTTTTGGATTCTGTGTAGATCTTCTCTTACCATGATGGCTTTAATAGCTCTGTTGTATCTATACAACTTAATGGTGTTTTGGCGTTTGCCATTAGAAAACAGTGCAATTTTTTTTTTGGACATTACTACAAATTTAATATGCGTAGAATGACCACATTGTTCTGCATATTTTACAGTTTTATGTGTATCGGTTTTTCATTTTCTATTTCTGTGTGTTGGCGTTCGACTTGGATTTCCTTTTGTATGATATGGTCATGGGTAGGGTACCTTCGTGTGATGAGTACGGCGGTAATCCATGCTGCCCTTGCCATTTGGAGTATATTGTTTCTGAGTGGTTTTGCGTGTAGTGTTTGCATTTCTATGCATGAGGCCACTATCCTCTGCGTGTATGTATTTTGTGTATATTTTGACGTACGGCATTGAACCTGATGAGTGCTGGGTGTATGGTCTTTTGTTTCATTTCTTCTATAAGTTGCGTCAGTGTCGATCCATTTGCATTGAAGATAAGGTGTGCGTGTATCAGTAGTGTATATGTGACCCCGTTCATCTGTATGTTTCTTGCTCTTATATTTTGTTCAATTAATTGCAACTTTGGTGCATCATATTTTTTCATAGCATTCCATATACTTTTATGTATTTTATTTGTTATATTGATGTTGATTTCTTGGATGTTAATTTTTTTTCCAGATTTTTCCTGTATATGTTCGGTTGTTTTATTTTCAATGTTATGTATCCCTATTTGTTTTCTAATCCCTTTGAGAGCGTGGTTAACATTTTTGTTATCATCTGCTATTCCCGTTTTCGTTAACCTTATAGCTAATGTGGATGGCCTAATTTTGGCCATTGCGTACGTGGTCCAATGCATTATTTCCCAATAAACCCTGTGTATGATAGTTTAACATTGATAATTTGTAGTTACCGGTTCTATTTGCCATTTGTTTACGTTTCAGTTGATCGAATTGTGAGTCTATCCATTGGCGTCTTCTATTCTGTATTGGTTATTACAATTTGTGTTTTTCGTGCTTACCAATTGTGTATTTATTCTTGTGCGTCTCTTATTCTGTATATTATGATTGTTATTTTATTGGTTTTTAACTTCTTACCGTTTCTTTTTTTTGTATTTCTGAATATTTATGATGCATATATTGTTTATATTTTCTTACCTGTTGTTTGGTCTATTTTTGTATCTTCTTCCAATGCGAAATTGATAAGTGTGTATGGCGGTTGATTTGTTTCCAATAGTGGCTGTGATAATATTATTTTGTGTAATGTGTATGTATTTTTTTTCTTTCAGTGTTTTTCAACAACGTACCTGTAGTGATGTCGCGTGTGTCTGGTTAACTACTATAGCTACCAATATGGTTACTGTTATGTTCCGCATTTTCCATTTGAACAATTTCCTTGACCTATATCCATTTATCCTTCTGGGTGTGTTTGTTATTATTTCATGTATGTGTGGTGTACTATTGGTGTGTGTAGAGTTCATCGTTGTTTTGTGTGGTATCGTGAAAGGGTTTTCGTTATTGTATTATATATTGTTTTTTTCTATAATCTTTTCTATACTAGATGATTATCTATTTAGTTTGTGTATTTTGAACACGGTTCAGTTTGGCTCATCACGGTTAATATTTTCGTGATGACCTTACTGATTTCGGGCTCCTACTGCGATACGGTGACATTCTTCCCCTTGAATCATCTCTATATCGTTTTGCTGATGTTCTTGATCTTGAATCATTTCTGCGTGTTTTATCTTCTTTTCTTGTTAGACTATGTCTTGATTCTCTTTTGTTATCATATTTTTTATTAGTTTCGTTATCTTTGTTGTTATCATATTTTGATGTTTTTTTTTCACTATCATATTTTTCATCCTTCTTCGAGCTGCTGTGTTTACTATCTCTCCATTCATCTTCATGTTTATCAATTTTTCGTGTCCTTTCATCTCTTTTATCTTTCTCATCTCGTTTTAACTTTTCATCATATCGTCGTTTATCTTCCCTTTGTTTTTCACTTGGTGAATTATGTCTTGATTTATAATTTGGCGATGGTGTTCTTTTCTTTTTGATTAATTGATTCATTTCTTCATTATTTTTTTTTAGTGTTGCGATTTCTTGTTTCATTTCTTTGACCTTTTTCGTCAATAGCTCAGTTTCGGTTTCCAGCTCTTCATTGTACTGGTATAACGCTTTAACCTGTTGTTTGAGTATATCTTTTGCCTGTCTCTCTTTATAAAGGTCTAGTGTGAGTGGTTGTACCCTTCCTTCGATTACAATTTTTCCAAGTTGTTCATTTTCTGCGATGAGTAGTTTGCATCTTTCTAGTAATGTTGTTCCTATAGCACTTTGTGGGTTATAGTTTTGTGCCTGCATGGCTTGATTTGCTGCTCTGATTTCTTCATTTTTATCATTTAGCAGCCTTTTGAGGTGCAGTATTTCACAATTGATCACTGGATCGATAAGTGCATTGATTGAAGTTTTTTTCTCATACAGGTCATCAAAATTATGTATTGTCCTAAAATCTGTTACCATATATTTTGTTTTTTGTATTTCCTTTTGTTGAGCTGATACTATTGTCATAAAGTATGCTTTGATAGCATTAGCATCCGTGAGCTTTTCAGCTCCGTTAACTATGTCCTCTATGGTCTTTCCTTTGGTCATATTGTCGTTATATTTTCCCCCCCCCGTTGAGATTATATTTTGATTACCACATGGTGTAATCCTATCTATCCTTTGCCTTCTATGATTGTTGCTTAAATCTGAGTATTATGTGCGAATGTCCTCCCCATGTGTCGCCCTGTCGTGTCCTAGTCTGGTGGATTACCAATGTTATTGTCTCGATTATTATCGTTATTATTTTTGTTCTTTATAGCTGCATAATGGGAACTGCTAATAATAGTGTTTCCAGCGTGCCTTTGTCGCACACCTCTCATGTAGAATCAGTTACATCTGATATAAATGCTTTGAATAATTTCGCTGCAGCTTCTTTGCTTGGTGACCGCCAGACTATGATTGATTGTTTTAATAAATTTTCTTGGAGAGATTGCCGTGTATTAGGTCATGTGGATAGATATTGCGCTGCATCTTCTGAAGAGCGTCAGTTGATTGATGATGTTTATAATGTTTTATGCCCATCATCTGGGAAGGTTCAAGGTCCATCATTTTCTGCTATGAGTCTTTGGTTAAAAGTAAGGTTACATATGCAGCATGAGAAATCTCCGTTTAGTCCTATTTCTCGCTAGCTATATTTTCATGTAAATGCTGATTGCCTGATTAGCGTGATAAAAATTAAAAGTTTTGCCCAATGATATTATTTTATTATATTTCATCGGATTAGTTCTGTTTTTTATATAAATATAATATCGTATTTATTTGGGAGTCTTTCGTTTGTCTCGAGTCCGTGGATCTCTTTCGATGGCTACCTTTTGGTTAACTGGCTGTTAACACGTTCATCATGTTATCATAACGTGATTAAACGTTATATTTATGGATCTGTATATATGTCTATATATATATATTCCTTGTAATAACTTTGGGATCTAGGGAGTGGTACAGGGTTGGCGTGGTATATATGTGTAAGTTATCTGCAGAGATTAGATAAGGTTCTATATACTAAGTTATATCTTGGATGATATTCTTATGTTATACTGCTATTAGGATATGCTAAAATTGTATATATCCCGTTTGGCATCATTTGCCTTTTCGGGATTAGTTGTTGACCTTCTTTGTTTAAAAAATAACCTTCGTAATGCAGCGATCATTTAAGGGTGCGGCTGTTGGATCTTCCTTCAGTGATTTTCGAGATGCCCGTTTCAATCAAGATAGTTCATGTTTAGCTGTGAGTTGTGCAACAGGGTTTCGGATATATAACTGTAACCCTTTTGCATTAGCCAAGAATCGTGATCTATCTGGTCATGCTCGTGGTACTCTACGTACGGTAGAGATGATGTACCGTTGTAATATCATTGCCATTATCGGTGACAGTGCTTTACCTTCTGACGTTAGTTCCAAGCGTTCTGCTCACAAGGGTCCTTTATGGCAGGGCAATGTATTAATTTTATGGGATGACAAGGCTGGTTGTGAGGTTGCGCAATTGGTTTTTAATAAGGAGATTCTTAATGTGAAGTTATCGCGTAACTTACTGGTTGTTGCTGTTGAGGATAAGTTGTACGTATATCAACTGCAGACTGTTAAGCTCCTTGATACATTTTCTACATGGTACAATCCCCAGGGTCTATGTGCGTTATCTGAGAACGAAGCTATTAACGTTTTAGCCTTTCCTGGTAGTCATCGTGGCACTTTGTGCGTGAGGTTGTATCATACTGATAGTGGTATCGATACATTTTCTGCTGACGACAGCGTGTTGATTGAAGCGCATGAATCTGATATTTGTGCCGTTGGGCTGAGCATCGACGGTTTACTTGTTGTTACTGCTTCTAGTTGTGGTACCTTTGTGCGTTTATGGAGTGCTTTATCTGGTATAAAGTTGCAAGAGTTTCGGAAATCAGCCGGTGGCGGTGTACTGCGTATATGTCATTTAAGTCAGGATACTCATTTTTTGTGTACGGTCAGTGATAGTGATGTGGTTTGTGTTTACCGTGTGCGTTTACGCGCTAAAGCGAAGCGCCGTGTTACCCCTGGTGGTACTGGGTGTATATCGGACGCCATTTCATCCCCGTCGTCTTCACGGATCTGTTTACCATTGAAGATCCTTCGTCATACACGTTTATATTTGGAAGCGCCATCACCATACAGTAGGTTTAGGTCACCTGCATCGGTGATGGCGGCCACTTTCCTTCCAAATACTAACAACCTCTTGCTAGTGCTTGCCAACGGCAGGGTCCACAGGCTAAGCATTGCAAGCCACTTTAAATTGTTAGGTAACCACGCTCTTTAATATTTTCACCTTATTCATGTATGCATCTATTTCTCATTAGATTAAATATATAAGTTTTCGTTTTTTTTTAATTTGTATCATTCTGGTTACCTTTTGTGTGATTATTGTAATACCGTTTTCGGTATCGGTGTTTTTTCCCTTCCTCGGTGGTATTCCTACCGCCATTTGTGTTGAGTGTGTTGATTTGTTCCGTCAGTTGGCTTATACTTTCATCTACGTTTGTAGATTCTGAAGCCGACAAGTTTGTTGAGGGGTCCTTGTTTCTGTTTTTTGTTTGCCCCGCCGGGTTATCCACGGTTGTATTTCCCGTTGATGTACGTTGTTGCCATCTCTTACCACGTTGCCTGTTTCTTGCAGTGGACTTTGATGTCGGATTCACATCTTCTTGTGATGACCCTGGACTTGGTCCTTTTGGCTTACGTTCATCTTGTGATGACCCAGAATTTGATCCTTTTGGCTTACGTTCATCTTGTGATGACCCAGAATTTGACCCTTTTGGCTTACGTTCATCTTGTGATGACCCAGAATTTGATCCTTTTGGCTTACGTTCATCTTGTGATGACCCAGAATTTGATCCTTTGGGCTTACGTTCATCTTGTGTGAGTTTATCATCGCCAATGACTAGATGTTCCGTATCTTCTGCCGTGGCGCTGCTATCGGCATATTCCCGTTCTTTATATTGACGACGTTGTTGTTGCATATCCTTATCATTTTTGTTACTACGCTCGTTATTTTTTTTTCCATGTCCTTGTCCATCGGTCGTTCCTCTTGGTGTGAATCCTTTATTATTTCCTTTTTCGAAACTACGACTTTTCCATCCCTTTCCTTCATCCGTTTTATTGCCAATGTCCATCTGTTCATCCTTTTTTCCTAGATTATCGCGTGATGATTTTTGCGTTGGTGGTGCCGAGTTGTAATGTTGTTTCCTTCCTTCTTTGCGCCATCTTGTTCCTGCTAGACCCTTGCTGTTACTGTTTTTGGATGACGTTGGTGGTGTATCTGGTGGCGGCGGTGGATTTTTGCTTGTGCCTTTACCGATAAAGTTCTTGTAGCCGAGTGGATATGTCCCTTTCATCCCTGGTATAAGGAACTTTTCACCAGTATCACCATCCAGTATACTTTGTGACGTTTTTTTGTTATCATTTGTTTGTTTATTAGTTTCATTTGTAATATTTTTAGCTGCATTTTTACGTACCTTCGGATCAGAGGCTCCTGTATGTAGTCCTGGGAAAGATGCTTCATCAACGGTCCTACATACCAAATTATTTTATTGTCCATTGCTCAGTACCTTTCTGGTAATTTTGCGGTAGCCGAGCGTGTATCTGATTTCCAAGCGCTGCTAAACGTCCTTGATTGGTTTGTGATATTAACCGCAATCCCATGTACACTAATTGAAATTCCTATATATTTTTGTTAACCATGTACATAATACACATACCGCTTTTTTTCGTATTTTTCGCTAAAAGCCTCTCGCCCAGCGACAGAGGCGCGTTTACCGGTAACGTATCATTGGCCTTTGGATCATCTGGTACATTATTTTCCATAGTTACCTATAACCTTGATCATAAATGTTCTAGATATTTAACATAACACAATTATACTCCAAACACATCTATGACATACCGAGGGTGTTATCGCTACCGCTATTGGGGTGATTGCTTTCGGCGCAAACACGGCTAACACTGGCACGGCTTTACAGCCCTATAATCAAATCTAGCCAATAAATATATACAATGCACGTGAAACAAAAAATTAGACCAGAACTGAGTATATATATAAAAGAGTCTCAGACAATCACGAGCCCGAACCGACAAGAGTGCCATATAGGCACTGTAATTCCCTATTAAATTCCTTTTCACGCTGAACTTGGCCCATTTGAAACGAAATACGTGATTCTGCCCATGATTTCTCACGAACCTTCATAGACTTATACGAAACCAAGTCATTCTCCAAATCGATAATGCGATCGTAAAGGTCACCTGTATAAACGGTCATTCCACATAGTTTACACATACCGATACTACGAAGTAACACCCCTTGACGATGTAGGTATCCTCCAGTGGCGATAGTGCACTTGCTCTCTAGTGACTTGTTGCGTTTGGCTAAAGTATCAAGATGACGCTCCATCTCGCGGCATTCCACTCGTAAAGATTCTAAGCGTTGCTCCACGTCCAAATCGCACTCCCGCACATACCTCTTGCTATCGGTACTATAGGCAAACGACCCTATCACCTCGCTACAAAAGGCTAAAAATAATCATAAAACAACCCTACCTCTCATAGAGAGGGTCCATGGGCTCCTCAGGAGCTCCCCAGATGCCCCTTGTACTTGCAACTTCATGTTGAAGTTCATATTCAGCTGCCTAATACAACGTTCAACACCCAGATCATGCAAGACTAACCTCGAGGTACTTAGATTCAAAGAGCTCTTTTTCTCCAACAGCAGATAGGCACGGCCTACCTCCAGGTTGTGGATGATGGACGCTATCCCATTGCAACATGTTAATATATTCCTGTTGTAAAAGTTCTTTAGCTTCTTTTGACTCTGGGTCTTCGGCATCGCAATCGGGGTCGTCAACCAACACTATAGTGTTATAGTTTAATGGCCTTTCTACACGGTTGCGGATCACACTGCTAAGGTTACTCTCTTGTACCTTCTGGATACGCATTGCACGGTGACGCTCAAGCTCACCCTCATCCATATCCACATCTTCATTATAGACGTCACTTGGGCCTTCAGGAACAGATAGAGTTATCTCGACATCAGATTCAGGTGCAGGTAGGTTTGAGATACTAGCTTTAACATGTAATCTGGCCATATCCATTCGTGCCCTAGATTATAATATGCTATTAGTCTAAAAGGCGACATACCTCGCACCTATCGGATCTTCATCATCGTCATCTTGGTCATGGTATATGCTTAACGGGGTCTCACTGTATTTCGAATTTGCTGTACTACCGAACTTCCCACTGAATATACTCATTGGCGTTTTAGCCTGAAACATTTGCGTTAAATCTCGATTTATAACTTACAATCAGTCTCTTGAGTGGGTTTGGCGTTGCCGGTACTGGGAATTGATCATTGCCCTCTTTCCTCATACCCGCTGCTATATTAGTTTCACCTAATAACGGTGTTTGAAGCCTGCTTGAAGCTGCTGCCATACGTGCCTCTTCCATAATAGAGGTCATGGGAGTCCTTGCGAAGGACGACGTCGCCACATTATCATCAAACATCTGTACATCAGCACCCATTTTAACAATCTGTACAATCTCATCATCGGTCATTGTGGGAGCTGGCATAACCAATTTATTTCTTGTTGCGGTATGTTCATCATATTTTTGGAACACTGCCATAGCTTCGTTTATATTCTCTTCTTGTAACCGTTTAAGTTTACGTGAATCATCATTTCGCATCCTTCTAAGTTCTTCATCACGACGTTTACCTTCAAGTTGTTGAATACTACGTAAAGATTCATCTATCTCATGACCAGTTTCCGGCTCATAGAACCCTTTGGGTGGCTGTGTTTCAAACGGCACCTCTTTAACATAATCCATAATAGATTTATGTAATTTCAATGCTCCTACATTTACACCAGCTTTTTTTAATTCATGGCGTTTCTGTAACGAAGCTAATCTACGTGTCTGTTCAATTTGTTTCTCCCTTGCTTTTCTCTTTGCCTTTTTACCACGGGTGTTTGCCAGACGAGCTCGGGCTTCTGCGAGCATCTCTTTCTCATCATCATCCATATCAACGGCATCTGCCCGTGACGGTTTAGTTTCCGGAGCTGGATCTATTTCTCCTGGTCTTAACCTCCTTGGATCAAGTTCATCATCCTGTAACATAACATAACTTGAAAAGAATGGATGGTTTACCTCATCACGTCCTTGTGCTTGATCTAGCAACCTTTCATAATGTTCCAGGCATTGATGGGCTGTACGGCCTATCATAGGTCCTATAGTCCTCCATTGTGTTGGAAACAGTTTGGCGAGATGAAGTAGTTTCTCTTCTTCTTCGCGAGACCATTCTGTCTTCTTGACATACGGGTTAAGCCATTCATACCTATCCAGATTATATAAATTAGATTTTAGGTAGACTTACCATCTCGCTTTGCATTGTTTAGCAGATTTGCGTACTAATAGTGATGATACTCTTGACCAATTATTAAGTCCATATTTCATAACAGCTGCTTTGAGGACTTCGTCCTCGCTGTTCTTCCACACCCCTCCTTTAAGTTGTATCCTCATTTTTTAGCACATTAGTTCCAATATATAATATGGTATAACAGCGTCTTTGGCACAGCGAGCTGTTGACGTGTACGTCCCCATGATTCTCGCCGCCTTCTACTGCTAATAGTCCCCGAATTTACACACTAAAGTTACACAATGCAGTTACACATGTTAAAAAACAGAATAACACTGAATTTATATAAATATTGCCGTCATAAACATAGATCGATCTCACGCGTAACGAACCGATACATGTCTACAACAGGGGCCGGTCGTTTGGATTCTACAGAGCAGCATCATCACATATCCGATCTCCAAAGGTCTATAATCGGTATTTCAGCATTATGTGCAACTGCGGGGTCCGCATACCTGCTATATGATGCTTTATACGTACCTCCGGCAGTCCGTTTGGCAATATCTGAGATCAGGTGAGTTGCAAATATTTACACCTCAAAGGGACTTTACAGGACTAACAAGAAAGTTGCAAATATTCTAGGTGATAATATAACATTACGTAGCGATTGGACCATTGAAGACCATGAGAACTATGTTATAGTCAGGTTAAACGCATCCGGAACTATATCTAATGGGATGTTCACATGTGTTCTAGCACGTTCCACGAACGATTGGAACATCGTGAAACTCGACGTTATCTATAACGAACGTAGGTTACACATAACCCATACTAAAAGCGATCAGCTAGGGAGCCTTCATCACTATCATCAGCTTCAGTCTATGACGCACTTGATAAAGAGTTGGAAAAATGATTCAATTCTTGATCAAATCTTGCAATTGAGATGCCAGATACTCTAATTTACTCTAAAAAGGCACATATATAACTTTTATAGTGGTACTTTATTACCTGTCTAGAGCGATTCTTCCAGTCGAAATAGTTAACACTAAGCACTTTCCATCCTAGTGAGTTGACAATTTTATATTTTAAGAGTGTAATAGCATGAAAATCTCTAGATTGATGATAAAAATGAGAATATCCGTTAACCTCTATAGCAACCTATCCGAGAGATATAGATAATTTAATAGGACTATACCTTTAGTTGCGGCAATACATAGTCCATAATATATGGTCCTATTCGTTGTTCAGGTTTATGTTGTACCTTTAGACTATCCAATAACGGTCCTATTTTATACTGCATTTTAGACGTACTAGGCTGAAACTCCAAGTCTAGTCTGATAATATCGTTTAGAAGTTGCTGATAATTCAAATGAAAAGGTTCCAGTTTACACCGTAAATGGAATAAACTGATACATAATTGGTTAACTTCTATATCTACCAGCTTATCCAACTCCGTCACCACTCGATCAAGCAGTACTCCAACAATCTCCTTTAGCTCCACGGTATACTCCTGATCCTGGAAAGCGACCACCAGTGCGAATATCACGTTACAAATCTCCTGCGGGCTGAATTTATAGATACAACTCGGTAGCCTTGAATATACAAGTTGCTCAAAAAGTCTAGTATTATATTGAAGCACGGCAAGTGAACGTATAAGCATTGCCACTAGACCCTTGTCCTGTGAACAATATCCACTCCGAGATATAGATATATCTTACCTTACACAGTTGATCATAGTTCCCTGTTTTTAACAATTCAGCTGTAACAGCGTCTAATATTACGCTGTCTACAAGTCGCAGCTTAGCAGAGACATGTACCAGGAAGCACAGATCAAATGGCGAGAAATTGTGAAAATCAACAATACGGCCACGTAACACCGCCTGGAACGTAGTAGCCTCGACATGTTCCAGGCGTGTGGCGTCAATAAAGTACTGCGTTACAGCCCTAGGTCCTAAATCGCCATGGCGATGTAACACCATACGTTCCACGGCATTCATGAACGATATCTGTATTGTAATCAGACTATTTCTGATATATCCTACCTTTTTGTAAGGTACCTTGGCAAGTGCATGTACTACACGCAACACATCGTTGATATCGTTACTTCTAAGTTCAGGCTTTAATCTGTCACATAACCTGCTCCACAGGTTACCATCTCTTACTCGTGTCTAGGTCAACATTGACAAATAGGTTATATTGGCATTTACCTTGGCAAGGTTCTCGGCGGCGAACAGCAGTTCTTTGAAGCTTAGCTGTCTGATGTTCTCGGTCAAGGGGTCAACCTTGCGGCCACACTTGACGGAGGCAGTAACCGTAACAGCGTCAGCTACATTTGTAGATATACACCTCGCACGCCACATACGAATACATCTAACGAGGTTAATATTAAACTGATTATAATGTATACATATATTGCACATTAAATAGGCGCGTTTCGACCTGGTAGGGTCGTTTTCGCGCCACTAAAAGGGCTATATATCTAACACATAGCAATGTTTCGACCATATTATCGACGTTCCATGTCCTTGGGACTAAATGTGTTTGTAAAAGGGGTAGAAAGGTACCGGCTGCTTACCGCGGAGGATAAGCGTAAGCTACTGGGAGCCCATCGTTTAAAGGTAAATGATACCGTTAATTACACTAAATAGATGACAGAATGTACCAAATGATACCGTTAAAGAGCTGGAGAATGTGTTAGAGGTACCCTTGGAAGATCTATCCGCTTCAAAGTCGGATCAACAGAATCATGACCATATATCTGATTCCACAGGATCCAATCGCATAACCAATGAGCTCCGTCGGCTAAAGACACGGGGGAACGTTAGGGAAACGGGACGTTATCGTCCATTAGGGGTTGGTGTGAGTAAATATTTCATGGGCATAGACCCAAATACACCGCTAGAACCGTATGATATTACGTAAGTTGAGATAAACGAGTTATATTGTCTATGTAGGAGCCCTTTATTTGATGAAAATACGGAGTCGGAAACACTAGTATCGGATATACAAAAAGCAAAAGCATATGAAGATATACAAAATATGTTCAAAGCTATCAGACCTGTTAAACAGGATACTATAACAGATAGGTTCCTGGACATAATGGCTAGAGCTATTGAACAAAACGTATTACGATTGGAGTAAGTATATAGATATACAGATATAATATTTACAGGAGCCCGATATTGTGCAACGAACTATCAGAGTTCCAATCAAGCTACGCAATGCAAAGGGCCACGTTACGTAACTTGCTAGTCAACAAGTGTACACGTAACCCGTTCGACGAAACACGTGTTGATCGATTCCTAGATAGGCTAGCATTTTCATCACAACGATTGGATGCACCGATGCCGCCAGAATCTATAGAACCGCTCATTGCTTTCTCAGGGTACACCTCTTACTCTTTCGACCCTCTTATAAGGCTGGGACAGAAACTGCATAACCTTAAACGGCTAGTAAAGGCTATAGTAGAAGGTAAGTGCTGCAAATCAGCTTGAATACACTGCACAGGTGACGAGGCTTATTTACAGACACTGGGTACTCCCCAAGAGTCTGCCGATGTGACGCAATCAAGATACCCATTTAAAAATTACTTCGCATTCAAAAGCTCAGTGCCGGATGACCTCACAGGGTCCATAAAAATGGGCAAACCAAATGATGGAGCTACTGTGAGGTACCACAATTTGCAAGGCGTGGCACATTCGTTGCCCGCTGACCGTAAATATCGCGCTATTGTAGCACATGCTATCAGGGTACTAGAAAGAAGCAAAGGATGGGACCATGATAGCAAAATAAAAGCAATCAATCGGTTAGTACAGGTATATAACAACCTTGCACCGGCATCATATTATGACCGCATATTGAACAAAGCTATACCGTCTATACGTCGCAAAGGAGATGTAGTCAAGACAAGATCGAGACAAGAGGTGTTCAATAAAGGGCTACAGTATATACCATCACTTACACGGAACCACTGGATGAAAAGAAAGTGACATACATTCTTCACTGGTTATGTTACACTAACATAGAGTAACAGGTAGATGTACACACCATATCCATTTTACACACAATAATGTGTTACGTAATGTCTAATTTTCCCGAAATATGGTGACAGAAGTGGGGTTCGAACCCACGCCCTTACGGACTGCGACCTGAACACAGCGCCTTGGACCACTCGGCCATTCTGTCCCTATCTAGTGGCCTAATTTTTCAAATCAAAATCGACCATGGACCATCATTGACCATCCCTGTGTCACTACTTTCACACATGTTAATCTTTAATATTTAAGCATGATATAGCTATGGGTATACTTGCAAATATTCGTAGCCGCTGGAGCGCGGCAAAGAACGCAAGTGTGTCGCAGGACAAAGTCGACTCGCCACCCTCCCGGACGTCAACTATCATGAGCAGTACTCAAGATCTGGTCACGCAACAAACTCTCATACAGGCCAACGATAATCATGAGCTCCGTACAACCGCAACACAATCACAAGGACCATCGGCAGATTGGGAATCTGTAGATTATCCGAACGGATCAGATTACTTAGGATGGACCTTTGAAGGTAAACGTGAGGGGCCTGGGAAGATGCAAAATGGCGATGTTGTATATGATGGACAGTGGCAATGTGACCTACCTCATGGTAACGGCTTATTTGCCGGAGACGGCATAATATACGAAGGCAACTGGGAATACGGTCTCCCTCACGGTCACGGTGTAGCAATGTTCTCAGATGGCTCGAAATATGTCGGTGAATGGCGTGATGGAGCATGTTCAGGTGAGGGTAAATTGGCATGTGAAGATGGACGTGTATACGCTGGTAACTTTTTGGATGGATTACCAAATGGCGAAGGGACCTTGGTTAACGCTGAGGGGATGCGTTTAACATGTAACTTTGTTGACGGTGTGTCATATGGAGTAGGGGAGATAGAATGGCCTAACGGCATGCGATATGTTGGAACCATCATAGAAGGTGTACCTCATGGCCTGGGCAGGCTTACGGACGATAAACGTGTCACACTGGGGTTATGGAGAAACGGAACACTAGAAACAAGATTACGTGCACATGGCTCGCTACCAGATGCGTTACGTGACGACCCCGCAGCGAAGTACCTCGCTGCGCATTAAACTATTACATAGGACCAACAACAACTCACATATAGATACAATAAGGGCGTGAAAATACGCATAAGACACATATCATACACTAACGAAAACATTAATCAAATAGTATCAACCTTTGCTTGAAGCTAATAGTGACATTATATGTACCATGCATGCCTCAATATGCCATATATCCCTAGAGCCTTGTTTCATGGTATGTGAAAAATGGGCCGCCACGTGTACGATACTGGGGATCAAATCCGGGTTAACACGCTTGCTCAAGTGATCGACGATAGTCTCCAAAACCACCTCCCCGGGGATACAACATACCAATAGTTCATACACCTGCGGACGTAACATGCTTATAGCTGAAGGGGATTGATTATCCATGACAGATTTGACAATCTTAGCCACATTACGCTCCCACGGCATCAAAAAATTAACAGGACTACTAACAAAACCACTCATTGCTATGGTCTCCAATGTCAATATCGCTCGACGTAGGTTACGGCCACTGGATAGTGCAATCTCACGTAAAAAATCATCAGAAGCCTGCTTAGATGTTATATGCTCCTCGTTACAAATCATACGAAGTACATCAACAATCTGCTCAAAATAAACTCAGGGATATGGGTTCACAAACCTCAGCGATGCTATGACTTCCTACACGAATGCATAAACAACGGCTGCGTAACGGCAATATTACACGTGACAACTGCTCAACGTGTAGGATCATGCGAGCGTTCTTGATATAAGTCTCCATCGTACGACGAAGGGCAGCTTGAGCGGCCAGCGACAGTGATTCCGCAGCTTCAAATACAAATACTACGGAAACTTAATATATCATTACATACACCTACCTCTATATGTAGGGCCTTTCATAAAGTAATTTGACGCTGTGGGAGATGCGGATAAATTACGAATAATATCCTGTACTATCACACGATCTCGGTTACCAAGCTCCGGACATGGTACTACACAAATGTGAATACATAGTGCAGAAAAACCTACTTTGGATATGATGGTCACTCTGACAGACTATAACTTCATTACTGGTATCCACATTAGATATAACCTCAGTCTTCACCTATACAAACGATTTAGAAACACATCAAGAAAACAATAATAGACATACCCGGTCAATAGACGAACCGAATACCGCTCGTAATGTAGCAAGAATACGCGTCTTCTTACCAGAACCAGATGGACCATAAAATAATAAATGAGGCAACTCGCCATGCGATTTAGATACCAATTTCTTAAGAAGATCAGTCACAGAACCATGGGAACTAAGATCTTCCAGACTCTTAGGACAATGCTTGTCTATCCACAACATCGTGTGTAACCCAAAAATACAACAAATAATATGCTATATACACAGACCTAGCATAATAAAAATAATATATAGCAATCATATAGTCAGCATATATACACAAATGCAATATATCGAATGAATCTTTACCGAACCGCACGGAAAACACATATGTATAACAACGCGACATACCACATCACCATAGAAACCAACACACATATATATATATTATATTATATATATATCAAATGTCTGAACAAACTTGAGCAACCGCATCAATCAGAGAACGTGTCTGACTTGGGATCGATTTGAAAGAATCACCACCAAGGTTGTAACGAGGGTTGCGGAAAAGCTCAACAACAGTAAGCTTAACACCCCAAGGACATTCCACAGGTGATAATAAATGCTCCAATAAAACACGCAGCATTATCTGACGCAAAACCTCGTCACGAGCAGAACGCAATTCGTCGTACATCCAAAAGATAAGACAACTGAAAAAATGGGTATGCATATTAGGATAACGTAAATGACGACAAATTGAACTAATCAACATATGCTTACCACACATGGATAAATGACGATATAACTCAATGTATACATATAAACGACCCTCATCCAAACGATCACGATCAGAAGCACTCTTGGGGAACTCTATACCAATGTAGTAACTCAAACAACACATCAATGTCGTACATTGACCAGGGTCACGCAATATCATATCATCAATCACACGAACCAAACGATCCACGTCACCACGGTAACTGCTCACATGAGATACACGACTAGTCTGCGTCCTTGTACGCAAAACAGCGTCAATATAAGACTTCAAACCATGACGAACCAACAGTGTCACTACCAAACTTGAAACAGTTGGTGACACAACCATAGCAGGGATATGGTCAACAGGCATAGATAAAGCTCCTACAGGAATGATCTCAGGGTTCAAACTACAACTACTAGCAACACGCTCAATCCTAGCTGAACCACCGAAACAGAAATAATGCTCCACAACAAATGATGGGTGATCCTTACACATTGATACAACCAAATCGTAGTATTGACCCTCAAAAAGACCGATATTATCCAAACCACTGTTGGCATGCAAAAAACAAGTCATCTCAAGGAACAATGTTGCTAAATGAGGCCAACAACGAGGGATAAGTATAGCACCAGGTAACAAACTCTTGTGACCTAACAATTTCAACCAAAAGAAACAAAATTCAGGAGCACGAGTAGGATTTATACTACGCAATGATAGCAAAAATGTTATACGACATACAACCTGACCACTCGCCTTCTCAACCTTGTCAAAATAATCCAATAAAACTACCCATAATTTGTAATAACTTACAAAATTATGCTCATACACTATCAAACTAGATGTAGCAGCAAGCAGCTTCTGTAAAGCACTGGTAGGAGGAACGTCACTACCACCAACCAGACGTAACATCACATCAGACATCTTAGCTAGAGCCCTTAAACTCTCGATATTGTCACTGGAAAAACTAGTACTGTCAAGATACTCCGTTGTTATTGGAACCGATGGCAGCGATAATGTACCGAGAGCACTGCCGACACAAATAGCGAAAAAATTGTCAGTACCACCATCCATCTTAAAAAGACTTTGCAAATTAAAACGCTGGAAAAACTGACGCCAAGCCATCAATAAATTCTCACCCTCATATGGCAAACTACATTCAATCCATTTGGCAAATATGATACTCACTATAGCACGGTGAGAATCTGAAACCGGAGGGGGAGGAGCTACACGACGAACACCACCAAAACCAAGGTTCACCAACTTATAATCACGAGCCGAAAACTCAGGTAAAGGATCTGAAACACTTGAAGGACAGAGGACAGTGAAATTACCACCAGTGATGCAAGAATCAAGGTTACGCTTCATTACAGGAGTAAGAGAACTTATAATAGGACGAGTCTCACCATGCAACTCCATATAATCCTTCAAAAGCTTAGAACGAGCATCCTTCAATAGAACACCGGAATACGTCTCACAAACCTCTGAACCACATTTTACAGCAGCAATCTCACGAACCATACCAGATGCAATATCTGGAGCTACACTACGCTGGTCAATAACCGAAATCGCAGTTACAACTATAGACATCTCCAAAGCATAACTGTTACGACCCTTGTCCATAGATACAGTCAAATAATGGGCCAAATGAGACCAGTCCAACAGATCGTACCTCAATAAACCCGTTACAGTTACAACGTTAAAAACGCTGTTCATACGGTCTAGAGGCTGCGAAAATATCACTGAAGCAAGGGATTGCTTCACAGATGGGTTCAAACGGTTCAAACCATCCAATACAGCCAATAGAACCTCAACATTCAAACCAGCCTGGGCCCCAAGACCCTCACAAAGGAACATAAGTAACCGATGTGCAATAGTTAAAGAAGCAGCCTCAGCATGAGCAGAATTCTCCAAAACATTCAAACAACGAGAGATACATGAAAAGAGCTCATGGTCAACAGGTAAACTGTAGAGCACCAATAAAGCATGGGTACTGAACATAATAGGCTCGTAATCAGGCTCTATAGGAGTACGACTGTACAACATTGGAGGGAACAATGCAATGTCACGCAATGGCTCACGAACCTCAGCAAAACATTCTTCAAAACGAGACATCACAACGTTACAAGCAGCCATCGGGATAGATACATTCGATGGGTTAGCAGAAGACGACGACTGCTGCTGATGTTGTGGACGCGGGGAACGTTGTGCCATTGGTGGATGGGACATATGCTGACCCATCCTTGAATGTTGTATATGTTGATGCGGACTACCCTGCTGCTGCATAGAGGCAGCATGAGAAAGGACCCGGTTAGGGTTCTGGAAAAGACTCCTGTAGAGAGTAAGGTTACGCTTGTCAACACACACATTCAACTTGTTCCATTGCTGCAATAATGGTGGCAAGTTTATAGGAGCGGGACCCTGAGCCTTGGAAAGCTTAACAACATCAGAAATCATAGCCTCAATCTCTCTTAAAGCCTGGTCACCAACAATCTTCTCAGCAACAGCTACAGCTTGAAACAAATTATCCTGGCACACTATCTGAACAAGCTGCTCAACAAGTACATGGTTATTACAATCTTGGGCACTGTAAGCCTGTAATGCGGCACGCAAACTCTCGTGAAATGCTATCCTAAGAGGCTCCTTACAAGTCGCAACCACTAATGAAGTAACCAAAAATTCCATCATCGACAATATAGCACCACGTAAAGTGGTTTCATCAACCTCACCAGCAAAATCATTCGCAATCAAATGACGAGTAGTAGCACGTGATATCGATATAGCATGCTCCGATACCAGGGGTAACACACGTCGAACAGCTCGTTCTATAGCAATAGGGACACAAGCTCGTAAATGAGGCTGCATCTCAAATAGAGCAATCGAGGGCGAGATGATAATCGAACTCTGAAGCTTCTGTAAAAGGTGCTCGGCGTAATCACCTAACGGAGCCATCTGAGCGTCGTTGCTCATAGTGACAGTGCCAGGAGCCATATGTTGCGGATGTGATACCTGAAGCGGCACTCCATTTATCATATAGCTATGAGGATGCTCTTGGTACGCAGCAGTGTAGCCACTCTGGATTTCGCTATGACGAGCATCGGTTGCAGTAGTAGTAGTTGGTGCTGCCGCTCCAACTAATGGTGCACGCACAGCACCAGGACCTTCACGCATAACCTTTGAAAGTAACATATTCAATTTCTCCTTGACAGTATCTTTCACAACCTCACGATGTGGCATCCCAGGCTGTGTGGAACGCAATAAATGATGAGGTGCGGAAGATACCATAGCAGGGACCTGGACCGGTGGCGCTATGGTAAAACCTTCCGATGGCCTAGATTCCTCAGGACCCAATACAGGCTCACGCTCGGGAGAAGCCTCTATTGTAGAAGTATCGAAATCAGGTGAATCTTCTGGTCTAACGCGAGATTCCAAAAGCTTAGTCTTGTTACTAAAAGACATGAGATTTAAATCCAAATGCTTAAATAATACCTCGATCTCAAATATCAAAGAGGTCTTTAAACCACGCAGGCCATGGATCTCACCTAAAAAATTTAACATGGCCGTAGTCCATGGATTAGGTGGTTTAAATATCTTAGACACTTGGATATGCTCAAGAGCTTTACATACAAAAGGTAAAGCGGCTATCATAGCACCGTTCTCATAAGCATTGAAAATAACCTGCTTAATGTCCAAATGACGACTCATTATAGGGATGTTACGACCAAGCGTTATCCTACCTAACCAACTACCAAGGTTCTTTAATAAAGTACGATAAGATGGGAGCTCCTTATGCTCCACTATCGGTTTCAAACATGCCGTTATACACAAATAGGTTATCTGAATAGCGACATCAAACACCTTGGGGATCTTTAGAGTCTCAATGAACATTACAAACACCTCATGCAAATTCTGCTCCTTAGAAGCACGGGTCTTGATTATGTACAAAAGTAACCAAGAAAGGTTCTCAGGTTGTATTATGTCATTGACCTCATAAGCCTTCTGGACCACAGTATCAGTGGACATGTTATTAAATACAGCGTATATTTGATTCACAATAGCTAAAGATGGAGTTTCTAGGGTCAAATTGTCAGAAACACCGTTCATCAAAGTCTCCATCTCACCAACATCAAGACGATCTTTATCCGTAGTAGCAGAAGGTACACAAGATGCCTGACTTTCGGCAGTAGTACGCGACTGACCACTAGGCGAAGAATCACAATCATCAGGACGTATAATTATACCTTTAGATTGGTCGATATACAACGTACCCCGGATCTTATCAGTCATTATCGCCTGTAATTTCTCGCAGGTCTTATAAACCTGCGGAAACGTCTCACGGATATCCGGTAACTCTAAAAGAGCCGTTGAAAACCAGGGATAATTAGCTATCGAATTCTCAAATTGAGATAACGCAATAGTGCCAAATTGAAACATCTTGGACGCACGACCGCGCTTAAGCGCTTCAATAATACAACGCAAAGCCAACATCAAAAGATTGGCATTAGATAACAACAAACAGCTCTTAATCATTTTACCAAAAAGCTCTGCTGTTATAGCCAACTCTTGGACAGGATACTTAGGGAAAAATCTACACTCGTTGAACAATATCTTGAGCATAGTGCGATAAGTTTTGCGATTACGAGACTCCGGAGGCGATGCTTCAAATTGACGCATGACATCAATAATATCATCCGTAGTCAAATTGGCAACATATAAATTGTAAAAATATTTGTTTACACGCTCCTCATCTGACATAGAGTCAGCTTCTTCCAACTGTTTAAGTACAGAAGAACGATTAGAGGCTTGTGTGTGAGATGTGGTCGCCATTTTCACCAATCCACGCAATAAAAAACAAACAATTTACTTAATACGAGGATAAATAGAGGCTAACACCTATAAACGCAGAAATATAACAACAACATACACCTTAACCTCAAGAAACCATATACAACCACGCTATAACACGCAACATAGAAACAGACAACACCAACCCACCAACATCACACAAGACATATACATTAAACATTTCACGGATTAACATGTCTCCGTTTTATTCTCACACCACATCAACCATCCTAGCCACAGCACAATACAGGGGGCTGCAAACCAACGACCACAGAAAATTAATTAGTTACAAAAAAATATAATTATAACCATTGATATACATATAGTTTATTATAGATAATAAAGGTGTATACAATTCAAACACCATCCTTAGAACCATGGCAAGAAGCACGGACACGCGTCGCGCTATGTAAACCTTCCGATTGACGACGTAATAAACCATACTTCTTCGAATCTTTACGACTCAATTTTACACCATCACGACATCCTTTACCACCCTGATCAAATTTACTAGACAACAAACATATCCCAGACTTACTTCCCAGTGAGACGAACTTGATCCAGTATAACCACGATTACAATTACGACATTTCTTGTTAGAAACAGGCTGCTGAGTAGAACAGTGACCGCAGACCAAAATATTAGCAAGCTCATAAGGATGGTCACTTCCCTCGTCATGACAGATGTCACAAGCAAATAACTACACAATAATTATACACAAAAAAATTTGAACAAACATACCTTCCCACAACAAGGAAACCGAAACCATCGAAATGATTTAGAATAATGTTTACAGATACCGTTATCCGGTAACGGAGTTCCAACCTTTAGACCACGACTTACAGATGCACTCGAACGACTTGTTCTAGCAGCAAAAGAAACCTTCTTACTAACAGATTCTCTATAACAACATAATAACAAAAAACACATAGAAACTAACCTTACAGGTTCTGCGGAAACACCAAACTCAAGACTATTGAAACCCAAAACGAGGTTCGAAAAACATCCACGACAATTACAACGCTTACAACTACCTAAAAATAATAGTATTACAATCATAACATACAGAGAGACTAACCATTCTGTACATCGCGAACCTTGCATTGAGTATCGCAACTCTCACAAGTCACCAAAAATTCACCAGTAATAAAGTCCTGAAAAAAACGTAAAAAGACACAATATATAAATATAGTACCTTAAAATGACAATTATCCAAACTCAAATTGCCAAGGACACTTTGAGTAGCGAAACAAAGCTGAGGGTGGAACTCTATACGATGACTAATGTGACAGTTGGCACAACATCGCGATAACACTGCAGCCTTACTATTGACATGAGAAATACTAGAGTCAAACACATCGCCACAACGACGACATGACAACTGAACGACGAAACTCACGACACTAAATACACTAATCGCAGACAAATCCAAATCAACAAAACGAAGAGCGGCACTGCGACTCAATACGGGCTGAAGCTCATCCGGAAGACCCTCCAAAGCTTTCTTATGCTAAACAAAATTACACAAACTAAACAAAAAACACACCTCAGATGATTTATTAAGTAACTGATCACGACATCGTTGATAACGACGACGACACTCTTCAGCACTCTTGGTCTTCACAATACTCGACACAGCAGACCAACGTTCAACAGGATTCAATAGTGACTTAGTTCGACCCAAAGCAATCTCAAGACTGAACAAAAACACTCACTAAACAAAAAAAATAAAACATACCTCTTCTGCTCACACAAAGACCAACTATCATAATCACAACAACCACTGGAAACAGCAGCATCAGTAACACTTTTAGCACTTAACGCAAATATGTTACACAGCTCACGATCAACGAACTTTAGACATTCGTACACAGCATAAGCTTCGGAAGCAACATACTTGCCCATAAAAGTTAATATCACCTTCTTAAGCACAAGCTTTACACCACGAGACACACTAACACTCTCTATAGCAATGTCAGAAGCATGACCTATGGTATATGGACCGTGAGGACCATCCGAAGAATCTAACGATACAGATGATACACGGTGAAGCGTCAAACTCATACGTAGGCCACTATCACCACCAAGAACTGATAGGTCAAATCCAGGGTCAGTAGGACGTATAAACACACTAGCACACACAACTTCCTTCCGATAAGCTTCCTCTAACGATAACTCCTCAGAATAACAACTGACAGACTCACTAGAAGACAACAACACTCTATAACGCGCATCAAAGAGCTTATGTAACTTAAAAAGCTCAATGTAGGCAGGGTCACTTGTTGATAGAAGTTGAGACATCACGATCAATATACATTGCACGACATATCAACAATATATATCGACCGCTACCATAGCGGTGGTGCTGTAAAAAAAAATCGATACGCAGACCACTCTCGACCCAATGCAGAAACCATAGACGGACACACTACCATTAAATATATCCCTAAGTAAACAAAAACAATACGAATATACCCATGAGATATACACATCGACATAGGAAGGTCAATATAACGACCAGAGATCTTAGATAGACACCCCGCGCACTGACGTGCATACACATAAACCTAGACATCCATATCACGATCATATAATAAACACATCGAAACAATGAAGATAATAAACATATATTACCTCGCAGCTATCGCGACGAACCTATACTACACAGTCGCAAATGGCTACGAAGAGGCCGATTTACCAATTATTAATGAGGAGGACACATTTTACAATAACACACCAAATATAGAAACAATCTACTTTGGAACATATAAACCAACAAAACAACAGATATATGTCGCTAAAACAAGTATCGCCGATCAAGATAGTAGAGAAACGGTTAAGAAACTTGTAGATATACTCAGGGAATCAACCACCGCAAACAAAGAAGAAGAGGGCAGTATAGAAGATTTCACAAACGAATTCGATAATGAACCGGTCGCCGATGCAGCTTTCGGGATATCAGAAGATGAAAGCCATGTTCAAAACACCAACAACAATACACAACAACAAGAACATATAATGCCCCAAAGACAAATACATATACACGCGAACAGAGATGGAAATATCACAAACAGACCAGTAGTGGTGCCACAAAATGGCCATAGTCATCATGGACAGCACGCCAAGGAACACATCAAAAATACACACAACGCAGCTAACGTACACCCACACGTTAGCGTATACGGTACACTCTCGAAATCAGAACTAGGAGCACTACACCTAGTCAATCGCATGTGCCAGTCTCTACTCAGAAGCCCCGAATATATCGCATTCTGCAGGGACAAAGATGTACAAAACATAATCAGAAACAACCCAATGATACTGGAAGAACAATATAATGTGCAGATCATCGGAAAACACAAAGAAATAACAAACAATGATATCGTATCGGATTTTAAAGATGCACATACAGTCGAACAAAGTATGAGATATATCATTGCAAAAATATGTGTAGGACCACTACCAGCTGCATGCCAAAATGTAGCTACACAAACTTAAATCAATTGTCAACACTAGATAACCAATCAAAGATCAAAGCGTAAGACTCCATCAATAACGCAAGATTAACGATCAACGAAACAGAACCGAAGTGATGACTAATCTCATCGTATAACGACTCCAGAAACTGAACATATATATATAATATTCTATATTCTAAAGTTACCTCACAGACGTTCTCGCTATTTAAACACTCACGTTTAGAAGAAACTCTACCTATAAGCGGACTATCACAATCCAATTGAAGACGGCCCTTGCGATCGAAGTCACTAAATGTACATCGTGCTTTCAGACTCTCGTCAAATTCTAAACGCATCACTATGGAAGCACACTCGTTCGCAAGTAACCAAGCACCACATTTGTATTCGTAACGAGATACGTGGCCTCTAGTTAACTCACATGGTAACAGAAAATCCACATCTAAACGATTGTAACGGTAACCATCGACTATATGGTAGTTCCAAATATGCTGGTGAGCAACTCTGTACCACCACTCTAGACGATCACAAAAAGCAGAAGGGATATCATTATCCTCTAAACTAAACTCACCCAAACCGCATGTATCACATGAATCAACATCTTTACTACCATCGTCACTTGTAGAAGTGTTGGAAATCTCGCTCTTATCAGAGTTAACATCAGAATTAGATGTTATACGACTCAAAAATGGAATGCTAAACGGATATAACGGTTCCTTAACACACAAACGACCATTGGCATCCAATGATACAATAAATTGTAATGGAAAAGCCTTAGATGCAGTTTCACTATTGGGCATCAACAAGTCACGCGGCGTCAAAAGACTCATGTGCAAACAGTAGTCACTATCACGATACTTCATCACCTTAAAAAGAATCTCACGGCTAGGACGACATAATGATAACAGCTGCATACGAACTAAAAAGTGATACAACAATGGTGATAGCTTCTTAGATTCAGGCAATTTCACACTATCAATATGAGTATCAATACGATGCGCTGTAACCAGCTCTTGCAACTGCTTACTCAGCTGCTCTAACCTCCCAACCAATGCCAGACGACGACCGTTCAGAGACGATTGCTCCTGCAGATAATGGTCGCACTCTCGAGACAGGGCGTCACACTCACCCTTAAAATTAATACGGACACGCATCTCGTTACGCAGGAGTTGAACATTCTTATGAAATGGATCATCAGAGACCACTGAAGGGATCTCATTAGACTCAATGGTTCCACATGAAAGTTGTTCCGATATAAGCTGCCATGGTGAGGCAGCAGAAGCATCAGCTTGCCTTTCAACCTGGGTCAGTAATTGAATCTCGCACACAAGATCCCAAACAAGATGACTCATACAAGAGTCACGCTCACTTAATGCAGCACTCATAGTTCGACACATAGAAGAATAAAATACCATGTTGCGATTCGCTTCCTTAAGCCGAACCGCAGTGTCTAACACATGCTGAGATTCACAACGATCCAATGACGAATGGACCAAACTTAAAGCAGTTTCAGCAATAGAACGCATCTCAAAAACCCAATTACACCATAAAATCAAACAATGCAATATAACACCAACCGAATCACGGTCAGTATCATCCGGCAATGATACCGTACTCTCATCCTCAGAACACTCACCCATGTCCGGTACACCTTCTATATGAAGATCAGCAACACATTGCTCATCCAAATATTCCAAAAATATATCAACCACTTGAGAAAAGTACGAAACGACACCATCAGATTCTAAACTCAGAGCATCCAATTGCTCCTTTTTATCGAATCCAGGCATCTTAATAATACAAGTTCGCAACATATCAAGCGCATCTTCTAAAAATAACAACTCTCCGACCCTAGGAGCTACACAGAAATTTGCAGACGGGCATGCTGCACTCACACCCTCACGATCAAAAGGCAGAGTATCACGAAAACGTTTGGAAGCATCCTTTCTAGCACGCTTTAATATAAACCGAGTTTCGATAGACGACTCAACACCCGCATCCGGTCTATATAACAACCTTATAGCATCATCCAAAGGCCGTTTGGAAAATACATGGTTACACCCGCTGTCCAGTATCTCAATACCACGCTTAGGAGATAAGGATGCATGGCTCTCGAGACTATCTAACAACGTTACAGGATCCATAGTCAATAGAAAGCTATAATTTGAGATTTGTGACCAACCGGGCCAGTTTCAACAACACATGTCGCGACACAGAAGAGACTACTACTCCAGGATAAACTATACGATCATAGTACCAAAAAAACCTCGCACATAGCCATAAAGGTAATAGTTATACATTAGTAATCGTCGAAGGATCAGATTTTTTAATGGAAGGTTCCACGCATTACCTCACAGGCAATTAACCCAACTCTTAGTACAGACTTTTACAATTCACATGATAAACACCAGGACATAGAGAACGTATAAGAAGGAGTATGAAAAGGAAAAACACCTGGACAATATCATGGGAATTAACGTACTAATCGGACACCACCTATGCGGTGCAGTTACCACTCACACACTGCTCTCAGAGAAGAATATAATAGCATCATCTTTGGGCAGAAAAACCCGTAAGCATAACCAAAGAACACATTATGACACACAGGATATGCTATCGTGACATTAATCATATCCGCTCTAATATGGAGGGAACTTCCGAATCCACATCGGTCTCTATACACAACACTAGGATTACCAACGACAGCATCACAATATGATATAGTCACACTTCATGCACGCAGCAAGGCAGAATTTCAGGTAATATAACGATATAACCCCTTACAAAAAATATAGAAAAAAGGATCACCAGAAAATTTAGAAGAAGTCAAAAATGCATTCCAACTACTCATGAACCAGGAAAAAAGAAACAGATATGATAGGTTTGGCGACTTGGAACACCGTAAGTTCGAAGCATTATACACGAAAATTGCAACAGCCGTCATCAATGATGCAAACCTACCGATTGTAGCAACGGCACTAGCTATCGCATACCATCTGCTCTCATGTATTATCTGTTTCGCATTCTACAGAAACAGACAACTATCGCTCACGAGACATGTAAGTTAATCACACAGAATAATTAAATATATAACATACAGGTCATGAGCATGTATAGCGCTATCGCATTCGCACTGGAAATGGAATGCAGATTTGTCAAAGGTAGCACGACACTCAAAAATATATACTATCTCAACAAACTGCTACCATTCCAACAAGTAGAACTACTTAGGGGAGTCGCACCTGCATTGGCTCTACTCGTCAACATGGTATGCGTTTGCCTTTTTGTGGACTTGGACAAGATGATGCAATTCCTTTGGCACTCATCCGTTTCGACTAATAGGGTCATCTTGGAAAAAATGATAGATGTAGTTGATGCAACAAGTAAGCACACCGCTGATGCCATAGAAAAACAATTAACAGATTATGTGAGGACCTTGACCGAATCGACTACAGCACATTTAAAAACATCGCACGAAAACCAGGTATCATGAAAAAAATACATCAGAATCATATATATTCATCAGAGGAACAAGCAAATCGAAGAGTATACTGATGGTACCAGCTCAACAAATAACAAGTGTCACTCGAAGAACACCGGAGACATCTTGAACATTATTGAGTCTATGGATGAAGCCCAGCGACAAAAGGTAGCAAACCTTTTGAAGCTATCAGTAAGCTTACACATGGAATGTTGACACAGTGATTCAGGCTTCGGAATACAACGAACGAGACAAGACGTGGAAAAGCTGGATAGACATCTTAAAGTCACCAATTTTATGCGTAGCACTATTCATACTCATGAAGTACTACTGGGGATAATTGTTACTTGTTAAGTACACAGGCACCCGAAAGCGTTGCAAATGAGCCAGGAGCGCAAAGGTGCCCCTTTTTCACAATTTATTCGCAATGGAAACGGATAATTCGGAAGACCAAGTTATAGGCAACATGCTGTTCGAAGAAGGCACTCTTAAGAACCAGCGAGGTGAAATTGTACCTGTAGCACAACTTATGGGAAAGTCCGTTGGACTGCTTTTCTGTGACGGCAGCAGCCCACTATGCCTCTCCACGGTACCGTTTCTAATACAGGTAGGACATGTTACTATATTAAAAAGTATGCAAATCGATACGCAGTTTTATAACAGCGTCAATTGCAAAGGGCTGATGCAAAAAATCGAAATTGTATACATTAGCTGCGACGATACACGAGAAGCATTCGAGAAAAATATTCGACGTATGCCATGGCTACATGTCGATTATGAAGATAAGCTACTACCGATACTGCGACACAGATACAACGTTATAGATGCCGCAACGGAATATGGTAGGTGCACGATTGTCTATTGCAAATGGACAGTTATAAAAACACTGATATTGCCGCAGGGAGCTTCAACGCGGTAGAAATACCATCAATTATCGTTGTTAATAACCGTGGTAATGAGATTCAAAGGTTCCCACTATATCATGGACGGGATCAGAGTGCTCAGACCCTTAGAAGATGGGATTGGCGCAATTGTATATATGCGTAATATGCAATGGCGACAATGGGAAACTTGATTTCAATGAACTAAATTGATGTGTACATATTAATAGTAGATTGCATGCTATTATAGCCATTTTTATAGCACGGTAAGTGTGCGGATAACAAAACCGTGAACCACATAACGTAGCGTCAAACACAAACACAAAAAATCTACTTATAAGTCACAACTATTTCTTATAATTAACATGATAACAATAAACACACTTAATGTCTAACGTTTTTATAAAAAGGTGACTCGTGATTCGCGGGTACACAGGACGCGATCGTAACACTTCACCATATTAACCAATAAACAACAAACACATTAACAAATAAATATCATACAACGCTATTTTAGAATCCACTCAATCGTATCATGTGTCAGTAATTATTGCGGGATAACCGATATTACATTAAATGATAGTGTGTCGTCGATAGTAATCACAAATGCACGGACATGTGTAACTGACGCAATTATAATTTATATATAGCAGTATCACTAAAACTTTATTAACGACATGGAACATCGGAATCACGACGGATTCGACGGTGCATAGAGCAGAGCACTCAGGGTGCATCAATATAACAAGGGCATTACACAGAAACATACTATTAGCACAGATGATTTGTGACACATGGATCACAATAAAGTCACATTTGCAGCTGATGTAAATTTGGCCAAAAATCCTAAATGGCCACCAAACCGTACACATCGACAAGGTTAGTACAACAACCAACAACAAAAATTACGCACACAGATCATACAACAACCATGGAAAATAACGATGAATATGATAGGGAACCTATGGATGACGATGTGGCCACAAGCTCAAGGAGACCTCTGCTACCGGAGGTCGACGGAGACGCCGAACCGAATCCATGGATTGCAAGAGGCATTATTGCATTCTGGTTTACTATGACCGTAGTAGCGATATTGTATCGCAAAGAGATCACCGAATTCGTACGCGTTGTCGCAACTAAGGTTTGTTTTATATATACCAATACATACACATTACGAATATAGGGAGCCGAACAGGGACCACTACTATACATATGCTATGTCGCACTTTTCGTAATCACAGTAGCATTCTGCGTATCACTAGAAATTATGGTATGTCATGATAATACATTAAAAACAGTCACTACAGCTCATCTCCGCCGGGTTCATCTTCTCCCATATACATGGACAATTTCGTAAGTTATGCTTGAAGAATGATATATCGATATCAGTCGGGGTCGGAATAGCTACAGGAATCAGCTTCGTAGCGTACTTCATCACAATGCTTCTCTGCTTCTTGGCGTCCAGACATCTGCTAAAAGGAATTGTATACAAGTACTTCAGGCACTACAAGTACTACGGCGCACTAATACGCGCTACTGAAAAAGAAGGGCTGCAATTGGTTACCATGATCAGGCTATCGCCTTTGTTCCCACCTACTATTGTAAGCTACATATTCGGTAGCACAAACGTATCCACGAGGGAATATTGTATCGCCAGCTTCGCCGCGATACCCTCTATTGCGTTCTTCTCCTATCTAGGATCTCTCATCGAAGATTTCTCAAATGATACTAGTAAGTGATAAACTTTGATCAATTACCATCTTTAGAACCACCAAAAACTACAGGAGAAGTAGCCATCTTTATCGGCATATCAATTGTAATCACCGTCGCCGGACTATACTACACCCACATAGTAGTCAAGAGGCACCTGGAGCCAAACCGCTCACCTCGAAGACAAAACGACGATGAAACATCTGCTGCATAAAATTACGCACCCTCAACAATCAGTAGGGCAAGCAGAAGCGCAAAAAAATTATGCGCATTAACACATTATGTGCGTTATCACTTTTATAAATTTTAAGAGAAAAAAATATTTAATAGACTCCATGACAGTAACATAAGCACTGACATGAATTCAAGTGTTAACAAGGGGGACATTTTTGATTCAATGTTTGTCAATGGAAAGGACACGCAATTTTATGCGAAGGCCTGACCAAGAGGAATGCCTTTAGTCTCTTTCAGGAACAGGTAGACATACACGAAACCCAAAGCACCCATACCAGCGTAAAGGGAATACGTCACTTTGTCGTTCCAGTTAAGGAGAACGTCAGAAGTCATGACTGTAATCGCAGCGAACGTCCAGTTTAGACATGTAGCTACACCAAAAGCAGCGTCCTTGTACTCCGTGCCCAAAGCTTCAGCGAAGTAAAGCCACATAACACCACCAAAACCTAAACCAAAACCGATCATGTAACCGAAACAACCCACAACAAGCACATAGTTCGCCCAATCAGCTTTAACAGCTATCTTAACAATCACAGCGGGAACCAGTAAAATGGAAGATACACCAATACCCACCAATAACATCATCTTACGACCCAACTTGTCAATAATAAACGCTAAAATAGTTGTCGTAATAACCAGTAACAAAATTCCCACCAAACCCATCACACTAGCAGTGAAGGTTCGGCCCATTATAGTAACGAAAAGCTTGGATGCATTCGCAACGAAGATGTTAATACCAGACAGTTGTTGCATAATCGACAAACCACAAACAATCAATATAGCTGACCGGTATTTAGGTACCTTAAGAGCATCCATAAGACTCAATTTCTCAGTGTTGTCCTTCTGGGCTTCTACATCGCTCTTAATCTCAGCAAAAATCTCCTCGGCCTTCTCTTCACCGTGTAACAACACAATCACACGCTTAGCGTCCTCTTCTTTACCTTCCTGCATAAGCACATAAGGAGTGTCATCCTTCACAACGAAGTACATAATAGCCAAAGCAATCACACTAAAAACTATGGGCCAGAACTGGGCTGCTCTCCATACAAAACTATCGTAAGATGTGATTAAATCTGTGCCAGTACTAGGGGCAATCTTATCAGCAGTTCCAGTAACAGCAGCATCCAAAACACGACCGTGTAGAAGTTGCCATGCAACCATTAACAACTGGCCTAACGCAATGAACATCGGGTAAATAGTACCATAGGCACCACGAGTCTCACTAGTACAAATCTCAGTTAAAAACATAGCTACCAATCCCGAAGCTCCGACAGAAACACCAGCTATGATACGACCAACAAGGAACATAGTGAAACATGTTGAAGCAGTTGCCATCAAAGATCCCAAAATATTAATGAGATGGATAAGAATCATACCCTTCCTACGTCCGAATCTTGCAAAAAACCCAATACACAGCGAACCAATAGCTCCACCTACGAAAGTGCCACCAGCAATCAAGGAACTATACGTAATAGCCAACGGACACTCATAGGCCTTCGCTTCACCTTTACACCATCCCATATCAACAATGGCAAATTCTTTGGAAACACTAAAACTCACCGTGTTGAGGCCAAAATTGTACGCCACAATGGCGGCAAGAACCAACGAACAGACAAAGTACGACTTCATCCTTGATTGTTTATTATTGTGGACTGAAGCCGGTTATAGAAAACAATTATAACAGATGCTTGAACCTTGTCAAATAGATGTAAGACTTATTTCATATGCCACGCTGTACCTGTACTCTCACACTACTGGGGATCAACGCGCGTCTCCATAGTAATCAGATATGTGCGCCGCACATACCCCATAACTAATCGAGATCTTGCTTATAGAGCCCTCGTGATGAGTTGGATTCTCGGACCTTCGGCCCCGCCCGTGCTCACAGCTCCTCTACCAAGGCCCGTCGTCCTTGTCGCCCTACCCCCCTGAATATTCCCTTAATGCTACACACCTAATACAAATCATAGATTCAACGGTTTACGTGTGCTCGACACATGTCTATGGATCTGTTATTAGTGATTACATGGCTATGTGTACGCTACAAAGCTCGAAACTTTGTGTACCTAGTGTCCAATGGCCTAACAGAATGCCTACCTTCTATCTGGATTCCATACATACAGCTACCGATAAAGTGGCGATGCACTGTTTGGAAACAAGTGCGCGTGTTAAATCGAATCTAAATTATTTTGTGCACCTACACTTAACTTATCAGCAAAATGGAGTACATGGTGGAATCCAACCGATGAAGACAATATTGAGACCGATCATCTAATCTACCGCAAATGATACACTAAATAATTCGACACTGTGAGCACTATATCTACAACCGTCTGGTCATTTGACCCAGTTTAATCGTATTTATGGCCCTAGCACCGCAGACACCACCAAACTGGCATTGCGTGACCACCTTATGTACTTCTCACGACTAAACGAACTTATGCATACTACATGGCAAAAAATTATAACTCATAATATTATTATTGTTGACACCTGCATCGATGCAACATTTAACCATTCCACGTGTGTATGAATGGTGACAGACGTTAGAAACGCCACCTGCAGCCAATTAAAATGTGTGAATGAAATGCTGCATAAGGCTAGAAGCCCACATTTACATGCCCATATAGCAAGAAGATGCCAACATCGAGGGAGTTTCATTAACCCATGAGGTCATATGATCATTGTTTTCATGATCAGCTCGGACGGATCCGAATTTTATCCTCAAAAAAGTATTATTAAATTCTCCTTCCAAATACTACAGCTCCACAAAATGACCAGAAATCAAGCTTGAATTAACAACGACAGTAATAACCCTAAATCCGTACCAACGGAAAATAATATACAAAACACCTAAGATTTGTATCCTAATAGCATTAATATCGATACCTGCACATGGCAATCCATTATCAAACCAACTTCATAATACCAAAATATACCAAATGCCGACAACGACATGTATATTGCGGATCCTGACATAACATTCACTAATGTAACTTTCATAGTTGCATTACTACTGTAACAAAGCACACTAACCCTTGCTTGTATTCTATCCTATATCCAACCCATATTACGCCCTCATATTGTCAATTAACTGGGCGGCATCAGATACTTTATCCTTGGGAGAAAAACCAAAAAATCGGCCAATTTTATTGAAGATTTCAGGCGTTGTAGCGCCTACATATGCTTGGCCTAACGGAACTCCAGCGGTTTCCTTCACAAACAATACGGCAAATAGGCATGATATGCCTGAACAAACGACATACACCCAGTATACATCCTTGCCCAAACTAGTCAGCAGTGGTTTCGCAGTCGACACAACGAATGCAGCTGTCAACCAGTTAATTACACTGGCTCCTGCATAAGCGGCATCTCTGTACTCTGGAGCCAGTGCTTCCGAAAAGTACATCCACGACACACCACCGTAACCTGTTGAAAAACATGCCACGAAAATGAGACATGACACAATCATAAAATATTTGTGCCAAGCCCCATTTACATTACCTAGGTTTGCACACTTCTGGGAACAACAACTGTGAGTTACGCCATTTTTAGCACAGCAGCATTTGCCTGCACCGCTAGTGCAACCCGTATCCTCTTTACAACAACACTTTTTGTCTTTTTTACAACAACAGCAATCAGCCTCTTCACAGCATTCTCCTTGGCAACCATTACAACAACAGCATTTACACTTGTTTCCTCCGTCACTACCGCTCTGCGTGCCGTTTCCACAAGCGGTCTGTATCACCATGGCGACAGCAAGGACAGCAGTGCCTATACCACTGCCATATACTAAAAGGGTGCGTCTACCGAATTTGTCGATGTAAAGTGGCAAAAAACAACATACCAAAAAGTTCACCACAGGACACAAGGAACCCAAGGCAGCAGCCAGTAACCCCTTTCCCACGATCTCACCAAAAAGTTCAGAGGCACTAAGCGTAAAAACATAAATACCACACAACTGTCGTAGCATAGCAATACCAAACGTGACTAGAATTGCATAGCGCGAATCAGGAAGTTTCAACGCTTCCAGTAAAGTAATCCTGTCCGTCCCTGTGTTTTGGGCAGAAATATCGTCCATAATTTCTCGATACCCCTCATTTATGCGACTAGTGCCTTGCAACAACCCTATAGCGCGCTTAGCTTCATATGTTAAACCCCGTTTCACGAGAATGAAAGGACTGTCCTCCAAGACAACATCATGGAGAAGGTAGAGCGCGATTAAGCTGAATATTGCACCATAAATCTGGCCCATACGCCAGATAACACTGTCGACAGCATTGTTTTCTTTTTCCCTACAACATTTACACTTTGCGACGTCAGTTAAGCTTTCACCATGACTTAATTGCCACATACTGATCATGCATTCGCCGAACGTGACAAAAACACTGTAGAGTGCTCCGTAAACTCCACGCTTGCTACGAGGGCAGATTTCACTGAGATACATAGCCGCCACTCCGGACATACCAACCGAAACGCCAGCTACCAAACGTGCCAGCATGAATAACCACCATGTGTAACCTATGGCAGCGACAAGGCAGCCTATAACGCTCATTATATGGATAAATATCATACAATTTCTCCGGCCTAAGTGGGCAAGCAATCCAATACAAGCCGATCCAATGGCACAGCCAAGGAATACAGAACCATCAATTAGACGTCTTTTAAACTCGTGCTCATCACCATCCTTAATTCCCATATTTTCGTAAGCAAAATCCTTTGAAGGGCCTAAACTCACACAAATGACACCGAAATTCAGCGCCACAGCACCAGCGCAGCATAACGCTGCCCAGAAGTACGTCGTCATGTTTCCGGACAACTACAATGCAGAGGTATGCTGAATTTGGTTGTATATATCTATTAAGACCGAAGGGTTCGGCCATTAAACAGTTTTGCGGACAATGCAATCCATATATGCACCAACAAAAAAAGTTTCTGTTTGGTCGTGAAGAGTGGGGTACGAAACGTTTTTCCCCGTACACACGCTTTCGAGTACTAAGAATAAGTACGGAATACACACCATCCTCCTACGCTATGAATAAATACTCAGAAACCTTTTGCAACACATGGAGCATCTTTGCTGTAGGTAATATTATTTATGGCACCAGCGCATCGCTTCGCCTTTAAGAACTCTCCTTAGCGTACAATTGCCTTCATATATCAAGGAACATATTGCATGGTATATTGTGGTGGTTAGTTATTTCATCAGTACGAACTGTAATATAAATGTCTATGACCTACTATCGACCCGCGTTAACTGAATGTACAATCAAGTTTACTTACTTTAATTGGCTATCTTGTGATTCAAATGTTCAATAAAAGCATTATTTCATTATGTCGTGTTGTATTCTACATGACAAAATTTAACGTTTAACATGTGGTTTTGTGTGTACGCGCTAATAGGAATGCAGTTTTAGCTGAACCGGAACCGAAGAGACAGAAGATACCCCTAAATTATCGCGCAGCTGAAAATAAATATTTACCTATACATTTTTTGCTAACACATGTCGACAATATTCTATGAGTAAAGAATTGTGATCGGTGTACGTGTGTACTAACAGTTATATATGCTGAAGCAATACACATTTTCATAACAGTTCTATAATTCTCCAATTACGCTTATGAAAAGTCTAATGGAATGGTCGTAGTGCCGATTTGATCTAAAATATGCCCATCAGCAACAGTTGGATCTCAATACGCTGGTTGCCGTTTGCAATCCTCCAATCCATACATTAGACGGTGTGGCTGAGCACAACCCAGGGTCATTGCATATCATGTATAGTAGCTTTGCGCTCTACAAGTTGCTAACTGACCACTTCTACTAACTTCCTCTAAACAGGCGGCATACAAACTATGTGACATTCTCTGTATAAATCACAAAGCCAATGAAGCCAAACGTGTAAACTTGTTTGTTGGTCAATTCCTTCACAGGCATTTTAATACCGATGCAATAACTATTACAAATATGCAGAGATCACTCACACCCACATTCCTTCCACTACCTGGCGGAGCTCACACTAAGCATAATAATCATGTATCGGTTACTGCGGCTAATACATTGAAACCCCCGATAGTTGTCAGAGGTACGTTGCGCAGAGCTGGGAAGAGGCGTCGCGCTTAGTTACCACCCTTAATCTTCTTCTTGGGGCGGAGTTGGCTGCAACGGCCACAACCCTTCTTACGGCAGTTGGTAGCACGTGGAGGAAGACGAGCGTAGCAACGACGGCATACCATTTTGTCACAGTTGTACTTCTGGGCCAGGATAACCAAAGAGGGCTCAATAATACCACCCCTCAGACGAAGAACCAAATGAAGAGTACTTTCTTTCTGAATATTGTAGTCAGACAATGTACGACCATCCTCAAGTTGCTTGCCAGCGAAAATCAAACGCTGCTGGTCCGGAGGGATACCCTCCTTGTCTTGGATCTTGGCCTTAACATTTTCAATGGTGTCACTGGGCTCCACCTCCAAAGTGATGGTTTTACCCGTTAAGGTCTTCACGAAAATCTGCATAGTGCCTACAAATATATTAAAACAAGGCAAACACAGAACTACCGCGTGGAGACGGTGTTCAAATACAAACAAATATTAAATAAAACACAATAACGACACTCACCTCAGTTACTGTTTTAATAAGAGAAAAATAATTTGTGTTCTCGCCGTTGTACGTATAAAAGTGACGATGATTTTACGCGAACACCGCTGGGGGAGACTCACCGTGGAACCTAGTCGGGTTCCATCACGCACTCAAACTGATACGACATATACCTTGACAAACGCGACAATAACACGCACAAAAGTACAATAGAATGATTCTACCAACCACGGGCCAAGGAACTCAGATTCCTAAATATTGATCTTCACCTGCACATCCCGACCCAAGAAACACGGTCAATGGATAAGTGCCAAGCGATCGCGAAAAGCGACGCTAATATAGTCACACAAACAATCACAACAACGATAGTCAAGTCTCAAGCGAGCCTCAAATTGGACAAAGGTGCCTCTAATCGTATAGCAAACAGTGAATCGACTGTTATAGCACTCGATGTCACTTCTGACAGCGTTGCTGAGCACTTGAAGGCGGTACAACATGAGGTCAACGCATGGATAACGTCATACGTCATAGACAATTAAAATGGCCATAGATAGTGCCCAAAAGGGCGGAGTAAACGCCATCGCAGCAAACAATACAAGAAAAGCATACGACAAAGAAACGTTTGCTGCACTAGTAGAAAGCTGCAGTCGCCTATTTTGTTGTGATGAAGAAATTATCATCACAGATCTACTTTTGGCTGTTGAAAAAGCTGTATCAGAACGCGATATCGAGGCGGAAATTGGACTGTCAGAAAGAAGGGTACACGAGTCATTAGTTCGATTAGAACGACACGGACTCGTCACCAAAGTCACCACAGGACACGGAACTGACATTCTAGCAAAACCTGTTCGTCAACCTAAAAGGTAACTATAAATGTGTAATTAGGTGTTGCTGTAAACGGGGATTACACTGCTCCCAATTTTTTTCCTTACCAGACTCATCATATTACAGTGCAAGAGATATACTACCACCGCCTCCGCAACCAAATACACACAGCTACTGGAGATTAAGCAAATATTTCGTTATTGCGGTGCATTACAAACTCAGGAAAATGGAAGAGATACTAAAACAACGCAGGCAGAGCCTGCATGACTGTGATCGATTTGTTTGTCATAATTGTGGTGCGCTATACGATAGTTTGGATGTGCAGAAACTGGAAATGGACGGATTTGATGCACATTTCCTTTGCTATTGTGGATCTAAAGTGGAACTTGATGTAAGTGTTAATGACCACACCACTATGTCTAATTCACAATGCAGGATACCGCAACGAAAGATTCAATATACACATCACAACAACAAAGATGTGAAGAACAGGTCAAAACACTAAAAAAGTGTCTCGCAGCCGCATGGGGGATGGACGTACCACAGTTCCCAGTATACGTAAGAAACAAGGATAAAGCTACAGATAAGTCTCAAGAGGAACAGGAAACAGTAAATGCCTCGCAAAGTGCTGTTGGCGCTGCTTCAAGTGTAGCAAGTGGCGGGAGCGCTGTCAGTGATATCAGCAGCCTGAATACACCTAGGCCGGTAGTCAAGTCGCTACTCTCGGATATAAACAAACAAAAGACTACATTTGGTGCCAGAGCGGAACAAGGGAAGATTAAGTTCCATATGCACGGTATGACTGGCAAAAAAACACACACACTCAGTCATTCCACTGCAGCCGCAAAACTGGTCGCAGAGCAGTTGCATGATACGGGAATGAAGGAGGCGCAGAAACACACATCACACGACGCTAACACAATGCCAAAAGCTGCGGAGCAAAGTACACAAGTTGAAACGGATGAAGATATCATGTTCCACATTGCAAAATTAGGTCGCTCTTTCCCACTGGCAGAAGCGCAGAATCATCAACAACACATGAGTAATGAAGAATTTGAACGATTTCTGGAACTACAAGACCAATATCTCAACTTTTTGTGAAATGCGCTACCGTTGCCGCCCTTATGCAGGTGTGTTGGGGAACGCCATTGGGCAGCGCAATTTTCCTACCCCAACGTGGCATATAGACGACACAATTTTGGCGTTAACTTGATTGAGGTCCCCTAGGGGGGCCCGGAACAATATGGAGCTTTGTAATGTAGTTGAGTAACACCTCGATTCAAGGGAGCACATTGTGTTCTCCTACAGTGTGTGGCTTCTCCGTTAGGCGTTGCGCATGCCACCACAGCAGCTTATTGTGCTCTAATTAAGCGCATGAGTGACTCATTACCACTTTAAAGCTACTGTTTTATTGCGACAACAGTGTTTTCAACTTCATATCCTTTAAGGAAAAATTTCCCCTGACGCGTACTAGCGTACCTAATGCGGCAATGTGCCATAGGGTCTGACTGGTACACTACGTAGATGTGTTTGGGCAGATCATGTTATAAATTCAACGGCAGTATGACCGACAACGTCGTGAGACTTCGTGGGAACACGGAAGACGTGGCCACGAAGGCGAGTCCGGTGCCTGGAACCAGTAAAGAACGCAGCAATTCTTTGAGGGCGACGCCTGGTATGTTTGTCACGTGTGCAAGCGGAACGTTTCGTGAAAACTACAAGGCAATAAAATTACTGGGCAAAGGATCATTCGGAGAAGTATTATTATGCCTCAACCGAACTACCGGACAACAGTACGCAGTCAAAGTCATTATCAAGACCTCTGTCAAACGCAACAAAGATCATGAATCATTGTTACGAGAAGTCAATGTTCTCAAGTCACTTGACCATCCGAACATTATGAAAATATTCGAGTTCTATGAAGACGACAAGTACTACTACTTCGTGACAGAGCTGTACACAGGAGGGGAACTTTTCGACGAAATAGTTAGTAGAAAATGCTTCTCCGAAAATGATGCTGCCAAAATCATTAAGCAAGTGCTTAGCGGTATCAACTACATGCACAAACAAAAAGTAGTGCATAGAGACCTCAAGCCTGAAAATTTGTTGCTTGAGTCCAAATCACCGAACGCCAATATCAAAATTATTGACTTTGGACTTTCTACGCACTGCGATGTCAATTCGAAAATGAAGGACAAAATTGGAACTGCATACTACATTGCACCAGACGTACTCAAGGGTGTATATGACTCTAAGTGTGATATCTGGTCTGTGGGTGTTATTTTGTACATTCTTCTCTGTGGATTCCCTCCATTCAACGGAGCGAACGAATCAGAGATCATCAAGAAAGTACAAACGGGCAAATACACCTTTGACATGCCACAATGGCGCAAGGTGTCGGAGAGTGCAAAGGACCTCATTGCTCGGATGATCACCTACAACCCAGCAAAGAGAATCAGTGCTGCTGAGGCTCTGGAACATCACTGGCTCACATACATGACCAAGGACCACACCGTTGACCTACCAAGCCTGGAACTTTCAATCAACAATATGAAGAACTTCTACTACACACAGAAACTCTCACAAGCAGCTTTGTTGTATATTGGTTCCAAGCTTATCACAAAGGAAGAAAGTAACTATTTGACCGGTATCTTTAGCAAAATGGACAAAAATGGTGATGGACAACTTGACCGTGCGGAGCTCATAGAAGGGTTCTCTGAGTACTTGAGACTCAAGGGATCACCCTCCGAAGAATCAGAACGGGCAACAGTAGAGGAACAAGTAGATCAAATATTACAAGAAATTGACTTTGACAAAAACGGATACATCGACTACAGTGAATTCCTCACAGTAGCCATGGACCGTCGTAGTATCATGCAACAGGACCGACTTGAAAAAGCTTTCAAACTATTTGATGCCGACGGTTCGGGAACTATTTCCTCAACTGAGCTTGGAAAATTGTTCGGTGTGGCAGATGTTAGTGAGGAAGACTGGCAGCGCGTGCTTCATGAGGTGGACACCAATAACGATGGACTTATTGACTTTGAAGAATTTCAAGCAATGCTTACAAAATTGAATTAATTGAAGCGCGTACACGAAACACGATTAATATTATTTGACATAGCGCACTATTTTCCTGAAGCAGCGATGACTTTTCTCACGCAGTTTGAAAAACGTGTACCGTACGTAGCGGTTGATGTAGACGCGGCTTTTGCTGGACCAGTTAGAGAAGTTAGTAAACACAATGCTGAGAAGTTCATGGAAGGCTGCGGCTCTGGACAGGTCGTGTTCTTTTGCACCGGTGGGTTAAGCTTAATATGTGACGTTACACGGGTACCAATGGTACCACTGTCAAGCGTTTATTGTTCTTTGCTATTGCCTATTTTTCTATCAACGTAGCCTACGTGTTTACATGAAATCGGTGCCACAAGTTCGGGACAGCTAGCGCAGTCCCCCTGCTCAAAATTATCCAAAATGGATGCGTGGAACAACCGATTACATAAATTTTTAAAATGACCATCAACATATCATTTTATTCACTTATCTGTTATGGTTATACGTTGAATGATCATCTGTTATTAAGTGTGTGGTTTTTAGACAGGGTCCTTGCACGATCAGTGAAGTACCTCTGATACTACTGTACCATGGCATCTCCCAGGGTAATCTACTCTCCCTGGGGGGACACGCACTATATTTGGGGAACATAGATGTGCAGGAAGAGGGAGAAAAGAGTCCTTACGTATCCTCTACGGATACTATGAAGGTCTGCCATTGTACCAGGGATACCCTGGCATCTATCACAGTGGAGCCATCGTCCTCGACAAACAAGGCAAACTCATCCAAGGCACCTACTTCAACCGACAAGCATTAACAAAGATGGTGGATATTGTCACGTATACCAGTCATGAAAGGAACACCGTATTTTGCTCATTCGACAGATGGCTCGTTTTATGTGATGACACCTCCCTTTTGACCACAGCATTTTCGCATTTCGACGTAGATATGACACTACATCGTTCTTCAAAAGAAGAGATACTTAATAGCGACATATCGCAGATCATCATATATGATTATTCGGACATTGTTAGAGTAATGGGTATGTTCGACAACGTTTTATTCAGGCTCAGACGCGATCAACGTGGTGGAGTACAACTAGGACCACTAGGTGTATCTCCTGCTCGTGGTATTTGGAGGATTATGAAATATTATGACATAAAACAAGATATGTGCGCTTATGTCGGTTACGAATCTGAAATAGCCGATTTTGCTGCAATAGTCAGCGAAACAGATGCAGATTCGAGCAAAGAGGAACGCAGCCTACTTTCCAACGATGTTCTTAGGGTTATCAGTCCTAAATGTGTAGTAAAACCGACTGGATCAGTGAACTGCGATGTAAAAGAGGAGGATCAGCACGTTGATAAAAATGCTTGAATACAGCTCGGGGAAGTCTCTAGTTCGTAATGTGGGCAAGGTTTACGCTACTAAATAACACTAGCTATAATCTTAACCGTGACAGTGCATATATGTTTCAGTTAAATCATACATCAAAGATAATACCTATCATTTAATATATGTTCTCACAGCAGCTCCTTGTTGTGGTTAAGGTGTAGAAGCAAAAAAACAATTTAGAATTTGGGTATTTAAACTGTTCCTATAACCTTTACAGCATACAATTAAGCATCAATAGCTGGAAACACAATTGATACTCCTTTTTAAAGAAGGTAAGCTATGTTACACCCTCCCTAATCATAGCCTGCCGATGACCACTTGCCCCTCTGACAAAAATATAGCAGAATCATGAAAAGTTTACCCCAAGCCCAAGCGTTTTAACACGTGTTAAATCATTATTACCACATGTGGTTCTCTGAAAGTGGCTGTGTTCTTAGAATCTCTTTCCCCCGACCCCTAATTTACATCACATGAAGTCCAGCGTATGATCGAAAAATATATCTTGTTGACCCGGTTTCATTCTGAATGTCAAGTAATCCACTATCAAAACTTCTAGATAGCATTGGTAAAGAATGTAGAGCTATTCGGTCCTCCTGACTTCTCCTACTGGTGGGCTACCAGGGTAGAAGTAATGGGTTACAGTCTCGGTTGTCAACGTATGAGTGATTATGCCCCTGTAATCGGCAACAAAAGCTGAGTATGGATGAATCACCTCTAATATGTGTTGTTACATTCAATCATGCATCAATTATCTACGATTAAAATAGAAATCAGTAAGGTTTCTATTCCAGGTGGCTAGTCCCCTTGTAATACTAGGAACGATTAATAGTGACACGCTGCTATCATCGCTTGATACATTTCAGCGGTGTTGTTAGTTTAGCGCGCTTTATGGTTTAGACAAACAAACGGTGCTGAGAAGATACTAGCTCTAATTACCCAAGGGGTACCAATGTGAAATCATGATTGAATGACGTCCAATTTTTTATTTTCCAAAATTTATACGCCATGGAAGTTGTAAGCGATGACTTACATAATGTATAGGCCGTCTACCAAGCAAGAATGAAAACGATACGCAGTACCGCGATGGCAAAACCGGACGTACATTACAGGGAGGAACAGTCTTATTTAGAAGTCCGTCTTAGAGACTTAATTATAAGAGATATAGGCATATATATGTTCTTGAGACTCTGTATGACCATATTTATTATACATTACTCAATACCTATCGTAATGTAGCAATGTATGATTTTTGATTTAAATGACAGACAGCTGGGTGTTGTAGTCCCGTAATGCAGCCAACTAGGACACATAACTGTAGATATGAGTGAGTATATTGTTCAATATGGAAAGTGTGGCTAGAGCCATCGGTCGCTAACAAGAAACACGGTGGGTGCAGCTCGATAAATAATGAACCTCGATATACGTGGAAGCCGCAACAACAGTCAATAGGATACAACTCAGCGGTGGGCATCAAGTGATATCGGTTTCAGGATCTAGTACGCCGCTTCAACGCACTGACCTTCATCGCCTAGAAAAGAATATAGGTGGCATTAGCTCAAATGTTTTCTTTGCGAACGCATCATATTCCCTTGATTGCATTGGTGTTGAAAAACCACATAGCTACCGAAATCTTAACGGACTGCGTGAAAATTGGTCGCCGTGCATGTTACCTACCTTCGCGCGCGTTCTGTCTAAGAAGCGCTAGAGTGTGTCCGCATCCGGCTGTGTACCGGCGTTCAATATTATATCTCATACTGTACATCTATATAAAAGCATATATAAGTGCACGTAAGGCGATCGTGGTTAATTTCCACTCTTATTGACACATTGAAAGTTTTGACTTTGTTGAAGGCCATTAAGATGGCGTCGTTCATTGCTTTGTTCGTAATTCTACTCTTCCATGGGTTGGTGGAAGGCTGTGGTCTCGAAGGCAGCAAAAGTCCGTCACCCGTACATGACAAGGTACCTGACTACTTCGCCATTGATATTGATGGCACCTTCTTGACCCGTGATAGGGACGCTATGAACAAGAACATTAAAGCTTTCAGAAAAGCTTTGGATGCTGGCCATCGTCTGTTCTTCGCCACTGGTAGAGGTATTGCGGGTGCCGAACACGCTTTCTCTCGTGAGGATTTTGATGCTATGGGTTACAACGGATACCCCGGTGTCTATTTAGATGGTGCTATTGTTTACGACGATGCAGGTAATGTGTTGAGCACCGCACATTTGAACTCACGTATCGTAAAACAATTGGCTTTATTGGCCAAGAAGAACTGCTACAGGTACAAACCATTAATGGTGACATCCACAGGAATGTACCTTGTCTGTGAGATTGGTCTGTTCTACAGGGAATTGTACCGTCGTTACGTTCTATCAAATGATCCGGTAGTGATAGATGTTGATGAAATTGATAATCACAAATTCATCTATTTCGTGAGCGATCATCTGGATGAATTGTTGCGTCAGGTTGACGGTCTCCCCGGTGTGGATTACAATGTAGTGCCAGTTGGTGGTACCTACATGAAGATCACTCCCATCAACACTAACAAGGCAGTTGGCATCGATATCTTATTGAGGCATTACGGTACGGATATGTCCAATTGTGGTTGTATCGGTGACCATTACAACGATTTAGAGATGTTTGGCAAAGTTGGTGTATCTTATGCTGTGGGCAATGCCGTTCCTGCCGCTAAAAGGGCTGCTAAACACACCATTGAGGAAACCAATAACGAAGCTGCTTTTGCGAAGGTCATGGAACGCGTATATGGCATAGTGGTATGAGAATATTGTTGTATATCAGTGTTATACTACCCGCTTATATCGGGATTAAGGTACAGTGGTTTGACACTGTTTATGTTTGCCCTTAGAAAACGGAGGACCTAAACAAAGTAGTTTATAGTTTTTACACTTCACATATCTGAATTAATGTAATTTTATCCCATAACACTTCCATGATAGATGTCAGTCCTTACATATCAGCAAGTTGACCTGTGCCGCCCTGTATCCATTTGGTCACAGCGTGATACTTTCATCTTTACAGGGGAACGTACGACCTTCCACCATGTTATTAATGAGTTCCATTCATAACTTCGTACAAAATTTCTAGTAAGATGCCAACCGTGTGCAGGATGGTACTTAGGAGTCACCTAGTTGGTTGCGGTCATAGTTTCTCTACACACCAATTTAGGTATTATGTGTATATACATATTTTATTGTATGATGTTCTTTTAGTATAGGTAATTAGATGTTTCCTGTATGATTTATTAGCTCAGATAACTTTTTGTCTTTAGAAGGGCGCTTGTAAGCCACAGGGTTGGAGTGCCGTCCGCCGCGCCTGGGGAAATCCATCCACGTCTAATCCCCATAGGTTTTCTTTTTTATAGTTTCTGGTAAAAAATGCTGACGGTTCCGGAATTCTCAGCTCCTAGCACACCTCCCAAATACTTTGGGATCGACATCGATAGAACATTTCACGCCCATAATAAGGAGGCCGCCGCGAAAAACCGCAGGGCTCTCCGGAAGCTCATTGAAGCTGGGTATCAACCTTTATTTTGCACAGGTTTGTTACTCTTTAGCAAAGTTTAATATTTTTCAGGTCGACCTTTATATTCGGCAGTTGATGTGTTACGCGAGTTAAGTACTGAGGGTGTCTACAAAGGTTACCCAGGTATCTATGACAATGGTGGTATTGTATTTAATAAGGAAAACAAGGTGATCCACACAAGTTTGTTCAGCAAGGAATTTGTGTCTGAGATCTGCGATAAGGCTATAGAAACTGGTCTTGAGAGTACGGTTTTATTTTTATCTAGTTCTGGGCTGTATTCCCTTGTTAGCAAATGTGAATGTTATGATCGCCTTGTAGATATATGGGAGATGAATATTGAATTGCGTGTAGCTACTAAAGATGAGATTTTGGATGCTGGTATCATTCAGATTATGGTATCAAGATATCATGAGCTTATGGACCAAATCTCTGCTAAAGAGGGTGTTGATTTCATCAACAAAATGGGTACCTGCAAGATCGGCGATATGAACCCACTTGGCACTACCAAAGCGGCTGGTTTGAAAATATTTCTAGATAGCTGTGGAGCCGACTTCAATGACTGCTGTTACATTGGTGATGGTTTAAATGACACTGAGGCTATGGAAGCTGCACATATATCTTTTGCTGTGGCAAATGCATCTGATGAAGTGAAGAAACACGCAAAGTATGTGTTAAAACTGACTAACGAAGAAGCTGCTTTCGCCGAAGTGGTGAAACTGGTATACGGTATCCACGTTGACTAATTTTTCGCTACCCGGCTACAAAGCTAGAGCTTTTCGTCTGGATATGAAGATTCCGGGTTGTTATGATGTACCACTGTTAGTTATTTACATCTTCGGATATGATTCAAAAGTTAAAGTACATTACGCTGTTCGTGTTCAAAGGTCTCAGTTAAGTTGCCAAATAAAGGCAGTATCAGACATGAGCCTCCAAAAATGACCCCTTGTTTAATACCTGTACATCAATGGATTAACCCAAACCGCTAAATCCAAGGCTGTATCTACGGCGATCTGTATCTGTAAGTGGATTTACCGCAACCAGAAAGTATATCTATCTCGATATTATTCCAATGACAGCTGGTTTACGAAAGTGTGTATGATCTATTTCGGTAATTTGCATATCAAGGGCTATACAGTGTCGCCGTCGGTTCCATTTCCCAGTGTCTATATGATCAAAAAATTTTAGCTATTTAGTCGCTACTGCAAGAATCTCATGTGGAGTAGAAATATTCTGTGATTTTACATATTTTTTTCGTTTTTTTTATGGGGTAGAAGGATGTCGCGATCCATTGTTAGACGTCGCCAACGCTTCCCAAGGACCTCTCATTGCGGCTGAAAAATAGGCGCTTTAACCGGCCTTTTGGGCTTAATAGCTCATTAAAAACACTCAAATATAATTTTTTTACTCTCGTCAAAATTGCTGCCACGAAATGGTGGAAGCATTTGCCCATTATTACTTGTGGATTTCCCTTTTTTTCATGGCGACAGGCAAAAATTGCCTCTGTGGTAAGTTAATACCATCGTTTAATTCCCTAGTTTCGGCGCCTAAACATTTTGCGGTGGACATAGACGGAACCTTCCTGACGGCCGATGACGCTGCCCTCGCGGAGAACAGGAAAGCCTTTGCCAATGCGCTTAGAGCCGGATACAACGTGTTCTTCTGCACAGGTATGTCTATAAGTCGTCCTTGTAGACACACACAGGGCGACCCTTGGTAAGCTCTCTAGTTGCCTTGGGTAACGACTTTGTACAAGAGACTGGTTACCGAGGTTACCCTGGTATCTACCACAATGGCGCGGTCGTCTATGGAAAATCCGGCAATGTTCTTCGTATGGAGAAGTTCAGCGAGGATTTCCTCTCTGGATTCTGCTCTTATGTTGAAGCTAACAGATTTGAACGTTATGTCGGTTTTTGCGACATGCATCACACGTATATGCTTACCGATGACAGCAGCCAAATGAAGGCGGCTATGGACGATGTAGACATCTACGAACCTCCTATAGTCGTAACACCCTCAGAACTGCTGACCAAGGATATCACACTGATGATGCTGCGCAAACAGGAGATCATCACTGGCCAGCCCCAATTGTCTAGGGGTGTTGACTATATAATGAAAGAAGGCTCGCTTGGTGGTTGGGATGTAACTACATGCAACAGCACAAAGGCCGATGGTCTCAAAATACTGTTGGATAGTTATGGTTCATCCGAGATTGACTGTGGTTTCATTGGTAATGGTACCAATGACATTGAGGCCATGGAACTGTGCGCCATGTCCTTCGCGGTGGGAGACGCCGATCCTGGTGTGAAACAGCACGCAAAATACGCTTTAAACGAGTCACACCATGAAGGGGCGTTCCGTCGCGTGATTGAAGTAATCTACGGTGTGTCTTGAATTGACTTCCGGCTCAAATCATTCACATATATATATAAGCCTTTAGCTTTTGTTCTAGTACTATGTTGCTTCATTTTTAGCAAGTACTAATGGTGGTTTGCCCAGAGATCCCGTTTGTGATACTATACATGTTGAGTTTTGATCTAGGCATGGAGCCAGGCACTGCACAGTATGACACATGCTGTTGCGGTACTTACCGACAATCCTGAGAATCTCATTTCAATAAGCCATTTTTGTACACAGTTACGTAAAATACAATAGGCCGCGTCGCATACGCATATCTCCCAGTTGACTATCTCCATACCGCCCCTTGGGCAAGTATTTAGGGCCAATACACAAGCTAGGAAGTCTTGACTCGAGCTAGCTGCTCCAGGTCCTAGGCAAAACCTCACGACTATTAAGAATGGGTTTCCCCTATAAAAATTGACTTCATCCTTGAACGTACTAGTTGGTAATTGCGATACCTTGGCTAAAACGCGCGACGCGCCGAAGGCGAAGCACCCCTCATCCGATACGACGGCTTGACACCCATATATGCCAAGAGCCAAGATTAAGGTAAAGAGCGTACCGTAGGCACGCATTATATTAAATATATATCGTGTTGCTACCCCATTGATGATGTCTCATACCCTTTTATAACCACGCGAGCCTGAGCTTCTCCATCGCGTGTCTAAGAGTGCCCTAATAAGCCATTAAAACAACGAATGGTATCTTTACCTGACTGCTAAATATCCACTTGCGCATAAATGATACGGTCTAAATACACCATAGTGTGTGACTACACTTCTCCTGTACAGGTGTGAGTGTACATAAGCGGCAAAATGGAGCATTGATACTGCACATCGAAAACCGCATCCACTTCGGATCTTAATACGACGCCCAAATTGTGATACTTTACAGCGTGTATACTCACCTATTTGCGTGTACTGCCTTAGCTTGTTCTGCTGAACACTCTGGACACTGCGGATAAAAGTACTGCCGGGGACGCACGAGTGACAATGGTATGATATGGTTGTCAAGTAGGAACTTAATAGATGATCTTTGAAGTCTTCGTTTTACCACCCCTGATGGAGGTTGGTGATCGGCGATATACTTGCCTGAACCAGATGATCGTCCGCAGGTATGACAACCATATAGTTTGCCTATCTCTTGTATAATCTGCTTCTGCCTCTTATTAGCATAGTTGTATCCCTCCGCTAGTAGTGAAGCGCTGGGAACTGCAAATGCACCGGGATGAGCGATATTACTTGGCGTGAACGACTGTAACCTGTGATTACAAATTAATAACACGTGAGCATAAGCCGACCTGCCACCTAGTAACATGAATGTTGCAAAACAGTAGAAAGCAATAACTATGGCCTCTTTTCTGCGTCCTGTCAACATCTGGGAAGGACTCGCCTTGGCTCCATCCAAACCTATGACAGCCCGCTTAGCTTCATTGGTCGGGTTTCCCGATGGCATTAGAGGCGTCAAAGCTTTAGACATGCGCCTATAGATATCTAACTTCCTTGTAGCGTTGCTAATAGCAGCAATGGCGCCGAGGGGCATTGATATTGAGCGTTTGCTACGTGATAACAATACCGCCAGAAGATTTTTGCCACAGCTTATTGTGCCCCGTACCAGAAATCGCTCCAACAGATATTCAGACAACTTATACGCCGTATAACCACCTGCCGTCACGGTAACTAACCCAGCCATCTGGCCCATAATAAGGGAGGCGGTATCGATGTCAAGGGTTTCTTGCAACCTCTGCGACAGCAAGGCCAACGCCACGAAAATAGCATTCACAACGATAGCTTGGCACACATATGCCCCTGTATACGTTATAAATACGTGACAAGGGTCGTTACCTATCACAGACGATATCAAAGGGACGTCGACCCCAACGGGGATGACCCTTGGTAGTATCGAACTGCCATCCTGTTCGCGGACGTTGTCCCTGGCTGCAGCTGATGAAATACAGGCAGCAGGAGATGAACTGCGGTCTTCTTCACTGTCTTTTGCCATAAGCTCAGGGACGTGTCCGTTACTATCAGATAAGCGCGCGTCTGCTGGAGGAATCTGCGCAATTAGCGCAATGAGACCCGCCGCCACGACGCACGCATTCATTCAGTCTATTTTACTGACCATTATACTCTTGATATTAACAACATTTTCACAATGTGTGAGATATATTGCCTTCAACGTTATTGCGACCTTCCGCCCCCAGGCAGCTTACACTAGACAGCTCTTTCCATACCAGATCGCTCATTATGTTTGACCCGTACAGGTGACATGGGCCTACGTAACCCTATAGCGTTTGGAATCCGTATAGTGAGGTACATCTCAACGGATGTATCTAAGGAATCCTCTAGCATTCCCGGACTTGGCGAGGATCCTCTCCGGGCTATAGTTGCTGCCAAGTCTCGGGAAGCAATAAGTAGAGTAGCATCAACACTCCTGGGCACTGTAGTAAGTGACTCTACTAAATCTTTGGCGGCTATTGGCTCCCTTGAGCCATCTGACTTGGGACCAAGTTTCGACGAATATGGCAAAGGCTCTAGGTCACCTATCTTTCCTTCATCGCAACCATCTCCGCAGTATAACGACATATACACGGTAGTGGACCGTAACAGCGTCTGGTGTGCAGCAATTGGCAACGTTATTCGCCAAAGGTGTACAGATGTAACAGTATGGTCTTTCTTGTATGACCAGCTGGATAAACCACCCCCGGCTAGCGTAAAATTTGACCTGGCTACTGCATATCGTGTGTTATACGACATTAATCGATTTTACTGTAACAACTGTGTTGTTAAGGCAAAGGTGGATGGTATTGTTACCAAGCTGCTGGCCAGGGTTGCCACCCTTGCCAGGAATGAGCTAGGCAGCGGAGTCTTAGACCTGAAGATTCAACCTCAAAAGAGTGTCTTGAATGAATCTCTTGGCGTTGCAAGTGCCGTTGTCGCCTGCAGAGGATACAGGCATGCACCAGATAAACCGCTCGATTATAAGGAGGTATGGAAGCTCTGGTACCTGCTTAACACTAGTAGGACTGTCCATGACAGTGATGCCTCCCAGTTGCTTCTTGAAGTGTTGGATTTGCACAAGAGGAAGATCAATACCTTTGACCTTGGACGGGCATTACGTACCATGTCGGTGATACTTCAGCGTGGCACATCATTCTCACTGGTGGAAGAAAGGTTACTCATGAAACTCTTTCGTAGGATCATAAAGCTGTTGAACACCAAACCTCCATCGGCTAAAATGTCAGATAAGCTAAGCGGCGCTGATGAATATTACGACCACAGTGCCAGCGAGAACCAGGTAGATGCAAGTGACATACATGTACAAGAGTTATGTAGGCCTCATGATAAAGTATCTGATGAGCGACATGGTGATTTAGCATTAAAGCAGGGCAATCTTTACCTGACTGTCGGTCACATCCGGAATTTACTAGAGGTGTTATCAGTGTTGTGTAAGAATATGCCACCAAGAACGTTTTTACCCATGTTATCATCTGATACAGCTGTTAGTGGTTTATTTCGGTTATTTGATACGGCTAAGGTCGTGGTTGAGCGTTCTATATCCCTTAAATGCCGGTTATATAGATCATTACCCGCTGAACTATCCCGAGAAGATTTACGTTATTCCGATGCTACGGGAAACGTGGACTTATCTAAGAGCATGGCTGTATCGCATGTGAAGTTACTTACATCCGCTGTCGAATTCGCAAAGTACATTGATCTTTTAAGATACAGGGAAGAGGAATACTATGTGTCGTTAAGTCCTCTACGAAAACCACTCTGGGCATTGTGCCTAACACACTTCCGATCACCTGCACCTGCACATCTAGACCTCAATACATCACAAGCGTCGGCAGGGTACTATTTGCTACTCTCTTCAGCTGTGAACGGCGAATGTTGTCTTGACTACATACATGAGGTTGTATCGTGGACAGTTGCGATATTGCGTGAGACGTTGGCATCGAGTGTTATGCGAACTCGTCCATTGGATTGTATACCATTTCTAATTCAGGTTGACAAGTTGTTATCTTTGTTTCGTGATCTTGACGTTGTTTCTCCAGATTTAATAAAGATGGATAATACGATCAGCTTGATATTGCAGCAATTGGATGTTGATAGTCATCTATTCGGCATCGGTGAAGTCTCTGGCGGTAAGAGTGCCGTGCTACTATTATTGTTGCAAAAATACGATCTGCTGTCAGCACGTCTACTTTCATCGTTCCTAGATGGTCTGGTTGGCAGCGACGTCCGGTGGTTGGATTGGGATCCTCGCAACATCTCAATATTGTGCGACGTGGTCACCAGGTCCGCCTTGGAACGCTCAGATAATCTGGAGATTGACCGTAGGGGTGACGTGTTATTTAACGATAACACAGTTGTACAGACTTCCGATAGTGCTATGTTAGCATCTGCCGAACGGGTATTGCGTTGCATCAAGCACCATCTAGACGTTGAATCAGCAGATTGGTCAAGAAAGTTTAACAATGATCAGCTGCTATCACTTGTTCGTTGTCACTTCTTAGTTTGCGGCATTGTGGATTGTCCTTTGGAGGTTATGCTTATGAAGCGTTGCGCCGTCATGAACTTGCGTTCGTGTCTGAGGTGTCTGAATTTAGGTTCTGATTCTCTTGCGGGTTCGGCATTGCGGCGCATTACCTCATTGCTTGGGAGACGAGATACACCCCTTGACATTACACCTCTGTTGGATTTCCTATGCAGCAGCTCGTCTGTGCTCCGCCCAAGTGTTGAAATTGCAATACCTGCGTTTCCTGGGGAAATATGCGATGGTGGTTCGGTTGATTTTGTGTTACTGGAGCGTCTACGTGAAGCCCTTGTCGCAGCCGATCGCCATCTGTTGTTACTTGATGCTGTGCAATACCTGCAACGACGTTTAGAGAAGCGGCTACATCATAATATCCGTCTGTACCATCGTGTTGGTTCTATTAGAACCGATATGTACGTTGATGCTCCGATGATCGCTTTACGCAGCAGCGCCGAAGGGTTCTATGCTACTTTCGGTATACTCCCAACTAATGTTTAATGTTGTGTATACATGTAGTTATTAAGACAGGGTTCTGCATAACTCTCAAGAGTTTATCTTTGTCCCATGAGCTTCATTCCTCGTCGTCGTCTAGTATATCATATTCGTCGTCAACAAAATCGACCGAAACATTGTCCATGTAGTATGCCAGTGGTGCGTGCCATAGCTCACGTCTAAGTACCTCTCCGAAATCTGGTAGGTTGATCCATTCTTCGGTGGTGAACCTATTCCCATTTTGTATCTATTATTAGTGAACTGACTTACCATTCGAAAAGTGACCAATCGATACATCCTTCTTCTGATCTTGCTTTTAATGCGACTTCGATAGGACTCTTTTCTGGTTTCCATTCAATTTTGGTGCACTCTGCTACTTCTTCCTTAGTATCTGAGAAGACAACATGTTTTGTTAGAACTATTGGTTCCATATAGTCTCTTGCAGCTTCAGCGAAGGTCAAAGTGACCTTGTATGAACCGTAATTGTCCAAATTGTCATCAAGTTCTACTTTTTGTAGTAACTGTAGTATAGGTGCATCGGCAGTGGTTAGGTAGCTTAGTGCCGGATGATGTGACATTGCTTTAGCCCAGAACCCTGGTATTTTATCTATAATTTCCTGATATATTTTGGTATTCGTTATTTAAATTTTTTACCTGTCTTTTTTTGAAGTGTGGTTGTTTTTTTCGATCATATTCGCGTTGTAATTCGATTTGTTTGATGGCGCATTCTTCATCAATTTCTAGCAAAGCTTTCTGCACTGCAAAGTAATGACTGCATTTATTATATATTCACCTTCATCGAATTCGTGTATATGTGGCATAATAGCCTGTGTTTCAGGATTATCTTCTTGTCTGTTGGTTGTATTTTGTAATATTGTCATGACTTACACCTCAGGTACTTGGCCTTCCGGCATATTTTCCTCTAGACTACGTTTCATTTTTTTGGCAATTTGTTGTAAATCCAAGCTTCGAATATCACAGCTTTGGAGCAGTGATTTGATGGAATTGACGTTGTTTTGATTCCTTTTTCATTCAACTGCGCCAGTAGGCTGTGGTATAAGTGGCTGGGTGTTGAAGTCCTACAAGTCGTCACACCTTCAATTTTATTATTCAAAGCAAGTATTTTCAGGGACATAAGACCGTAATTTTGCTATTAGCTCTGTTTTGTCCTGTCCCCACAGCAAACTGCTGCCGTCATATTAGTTATAAATGCCATTATCCGAGCTCGTATTAGTGATGTAAAGTCGACATTGTTATTAATGTGTAGCGGTGACACCGCCCATAAGTATAGTATACCTGGTTACCTGGCAGTGTCACCCTTTGTAATTTCCGCGTCGTATATGTATTTTATTGGCTACAATTATTCCTCATTACCGTACATAATGTCTTTTTAAAAAATATAGACGAATAACAATTTCAATGGTTTAGCTTCCGTACCCTTAACATTGTTTTGCCACTAATCACGTCACTTGTGTACAGGCGCGGCGTTACTTTATTATGTGAGCGTTTGTTTTTGTCATATTAGCGGCATTTTAGCGCTATGATAGTCTATCTTTTATATGTGTCGTGTTAGTACGCGGTTTTGCAGATGTATCGGGTTCCGATACCTCTATGGTACGGCCTCAAGAGGTCACTACAAATGTCTCAAGATGTATGCCACCGGTGGTAACTCATTAATATTATTACTTTCTGTAGCTTCTTTGGCAACTTTTTCGTTTTTTGCCATCTCTCCTGTTGTTGCCGATATGTATGTGCCAGGCCCATGCCCTAACCGTGGTAACGGTTGCCCCCAAGCCGGGTAAGTTCTCCAGGCATACGTTCACATATTGATCAAGGACCCACGATAACACCCATATCCATCTAGGTGGATTTATGAGTGATGATGGTTTGCCACCTTTCGAGATCACTGTTTTCAAGAGCGATCTCACGTCAGACCTTCCATTTACCCTTACTGCTGACAGCCAAGTTTCTACTGGATTTTCATGGCTTTGTTTGGGTATTTATACCGAGGAGCAGCGTGCATCTGTAGCTGGTCGCCATGAGGAATTTTACAGGGACCTTTTGACTACTGATTTCATGAGGGATTCTATGACGAAAGGCAAGGATGCTTACGGAATCTCTGTATCACCATTTGCTGTTCACTCTGGTAAGTATGCTGTTATATGTTTTATAAAACTCAGGTGGCGCTGGTGTTGATAGCAGCATCCAGAGGGTTTGTGTAGGCAAGAGCGAGGTATCGAAGGCTACGCTTACGGTTCGTAGCAGTATCCAAGAGGGAAGCTATTACGTCCATTTGGCTTATGCTTCACCTTTTAGGGATCGTCCAATGGTGTGTTTCAAGGAGCTGCTAGTACGCGTGCTCCCTTAGATCTGCTTCGCTTAACTTCACTGTTGATAAACACACCTACGATTTACAGTATCTATAATATAATTTGAATAGTTATGTTTCATCACGGGCCATATTGATTTCAGAAAGCTAGTATCTAGATGTTATTACCTCATTGCCCGCGGTTGTGCCTTTTGTAGGAGACTGTGTAACGATTACTTTTAGATAAAACGTTATCTTCCGTGAAGATGCTTGTACAAAAATGGCAAGACAGACTGATATGCTCAAATATACGGAGCACATCAGGAACGTCTGCTTCCTTGCTCATGTTGACCATGGTAAGACTACCCTTTCCGATAGCCTTATTTCAAGCATCGGTTTGTTTAGTGAGCGTATGTCGGGAAGGTTACGTTATTTAGATAATCGTGATGATGAGCAAAGGCGCATGATCACTATAAAGTCTTCTAGCATCTCTTTGCTCTATGCCGCTAATGACTCTGGTAATCGGACCAGTTGTAATAGGCCCTTCAGCGATCAGCCGTGTATTATTAACCTTGTAGATTGTCCTGGACATGTAGATTTTTCGGTAGAGGTGTCTACCGCTGCTAGGTTATGTGATGGAGCTCTTCTCATTGTCGATGTGGTTGAGGGTATATGTCCTCAGACTAAGGCGGTTCTGCGTCAGGCATGGCGTGAAGGTGTGCGTACCGTTTTGGTTCTTAACAAGATTGACAAGTTGATATTGGACTTGAATATGACCCCTGCTGAGGCATATACTCGTTTGAGGGATCTTGTAGACCAGGTCAATGCGTTAATGTTTCAACTGTATAACGAGTACCTGAATCAAAATGCTGATGATGATATCGCGCGTGTGGATACTAGTACTAAGAAGTGGTTTTTTTGTCCATCTGAGGGTAATGTTGTATGTTGCAGTGCTATCCATCGGTGGTGTGTCAACCTCCCTGACTTTGCTCAACACATTGTGCGTAAACTGAATGTACCTGCCAATAAGAGTGCTGGTATACTAAAAGCTTTGTGGAGTGACATGTATTACTGTCCTCGTACAAAGGCATTAAAACCTGGTCGTGGATGTGATAAGCCTATTTTCGTTCAGTTTGTGCTCGAGCAGATATGGCGTGTATATGACGCTATAATGACGAATTGGAGCCCTGTAGAGATTGAAAAATGTGTGAGATATACTGGGGCAGCACTGAGTCCGAGGCAAGTCCAGCTCATAGGACAGGCGACTCCACCAGCCGGTGACGAACGTGAAGAGTTGTTGACAACAGTGATGAGTGCATGGTTACCTATACCTGCAGGTATCATCCGGATGATTGTTGAATGTTTACATGATCCCGTTAAGGCGTCAAAGAAGCGCCTAAAGCGTATATGTCCTGCTGTTTTGGACTACCCTGCCTACGAGGAGGTTATCTCCTGCAGTCCTACAGCGCCTACTGTGGTCCACGTGGCAAAGTTCCTGGGATGTGACCTTAATATGATGCGTTTGACTGGTGACGTATTACATGGTGATGAGCGTGCAGGGGAGTTTGTAGCTTTTGCTCGTATATTCAGTGGTTGTCTTAAGGTTGGGAGTCGCCTTTATATCTGTGAAAGCCAGAGTTCTGCTGGTGGTGGTAAATTTGCTGACGTTATTCCAACGGACGATACACGTAAAACTGTGTTTGTTCGTCGTATAATGATCTGTATGGGAGCGGATTTAATTGATGTGGAAACCGGATGGCCGGGTAACATAGTTGCACTTTACTTGTCACCACATGACTTTGATCCTGCTGATCCTGGCGCACCAAGTGACAATTCTCCCATACGAAGCCACAATATGGACCATGTAGGTGATCACTAGTATTGTATCGATCATATGTTCAGGTTAAAGAGGTTATGGCATGGATTTTATCACTTGGCGATCCTCATCGACAGAAGGTGAAGAACATGGGCGATGCGTATAACAATCGTGGTCGATTTACAAGGCAGGGTAAACTGTGTAGTGTGGACCGACACCTGACTTTGAGTAGTGACCCTGCGTTTCCAGGTTTCCCACCGCTGAATCTTGAGGTAATATATCATAACATGAGATATATGATGTGCAGTTTAACAACCCTATCATTCGGGTATCTGTGGAGCCACAGAATGTCAAGCATACTAACGAGTTCCTTACTGGTTTAGCATATTTGTATATATCGGACCCTGCTATCGTGCTTGATGTTTTGCGTTCTGGTGAGTATGTTTTAGCATGTTGTGGCGAGATCCACTTGGAGCGTTGTGTGAACGACCTTGCTAACCTTTATGCTAAGGTCCCTATAAACGTTTCTAAACCGCGTGTATCTGTTCGTGAGGGTGTTGTTAATTTACATCCTATCGACAGCAGTGCTGTTGCTTATTCTCGAGTTTTTAACAAGATGGTGAACTTTCCCCCCTGGCAGAATAACGCTACCGAAGAGCAGCCTACAAATACGGATCCCCTAGCTGACATGAAGTCTGTAGCCCCAATTAAAGGGATGTACGGTGTCTACGTGACTACATCTGCTCTGAAGAACGGCACTGAGTATACGCTTACTGCTGCTGGCGACGTTGTTTTGTTAGTCCGTGCGGTCCAAATGCCCCCGGAATTACTGGATTACATGGATCAGAACAACGATGATATCAAGCGTGCCATATACGGCGGCATGCCACAGCCGCATATCGCTGCAGGATCAGCTGAGGAACGTTTGAGTTCTTACTTTGAGAAATTGGAGAGTGATGTGTTGTCCATATGGAAGTCCAGTACTGGTCAGCGTGTGTCTAAGGTTGATATAGGTCACCTTTGGGCCATCAGTGCTAATCGTGGTAGTCGTGCTATGCTTTTCTATAACGATAACCATGGTTTACAAATTTTAGAAACCTCGGACCACGATGGTAAGGTTATTTCGCCGACATCTCACAAATTGGTGAGACCATTACCATTACACTGGCGATTTCGTGACACTTATCAGCCAGAAGAGGTTAACTCTATCGAGTGTTCCAATCTTGTGTCTGCTGTAGTATCAGGTTTTGAGATCGCATCGCAGTTTGGTCCTTGTACTGAGGAGCCTTTGCGTGGTGTTATTTTTGTGATTGAGGGTATTCACACCGTTGTTGTACCGTCATCTGAGCCTAAGCAGGATAGTGTTACCCATTCAAGGTCTTCTCATGACCCTCGTACATCATCAGGGTTACCATGGCGTATCCGTGAAGATTATGTGGATTCTGACAACTTTTCTGATGAAGTTTTGCATGATGTCCCTGAGGATGTATTATCTGAATCTTATTTCGATAACAACGGTGAATTGAAAGGTACCCTGCGCATAGGTAGTAATGTGGATTTTGCTGCAAACGAGGCTACTACATGTGACTCTGGTACCGATGATCCTCCTGATATATCATCGCAACTAAGTGACGTTTTGACATTTCAGTCTTCACGTAAATCGTCAACCGGTGCTTCTAGTACTGGTAATGTGAGTTTTAGATGTTTTTTTTGGTTTTATATCTGTGTTACAGATAATTTCTGCTATGCGTAATCTTTGTCGGAAGGCGGTAATGCAGCGTGGTCGTATCCGTATTTACGAGGTTCTTTTACGACTGGAGGTGCAATGTGACCAATGTGTGTTGGGGAAGATTTACAGTGTGCTTCAGAAGCGTCGTACTCAGATCGTAGCTGAGAATGTGCGAAACGGCACCAATACTTTTATGATAGAAGGTTTGATTCCTGCTTCGGAATCTTTTGGTCTTGCGCAAGACCTTCGTTCTAAGGCATCTGGTGGTGTTATTTTCCATATGCAGTATAGTCATTGGGAGATGAACCCTGATGACCCCTTTCCTGAGGCATCTATGACCGATGAGGTTCGTATGTTATCTATTTATTTTTTACCTTACCTCAGGAATTTGAAGATGCTGGATTTAACATGGGTGCCGTGATACAGACTAACGTGCCACGTAAGATCATCAACTACATTAGGAAGATGAAGGTTTGTTCTATATTTATATTTGTTTCCACTTTCACGCAGGGTCTACCTACTGAAGAGAAGGTGGTAGCTTCTGCGGAGAAGCAGCGCACTCTATCGACTAAGAAGTGAATCTTACGTGTTATTCTTAATATAAACTTATAACAATGCATCCATTTGTTTTAGCTTATCCAGTGCATCGGCCATGCTAAGCTTCCCACGTCGTTTCTGCTTATTTGTTGTTGTAGCGATATGGCCACTTGTATTATCATCATCATCATTGCGTTGCCGTTTATCTATGGTGACGTCAGATGCATTATCATCGTTTTTCTTTGCATCATTGGTATCATCTGTGTTATTATATTGTTCTTCTTTTTTGTTTTTTGATGTATTTTTTTTTGTGGGATTTTTGTTGAGGCACTTTTCACCACGTTCGAAAGTTCCGCAACATTGGTAGCCCCAACGTCCCGTTTCACGGTCATATAAACTTCCGAATACAGTTGTATGTCCATGTTCGAATACGTCTTCACGATAGCTTGACGTTATAGCTATTTTTTGTATGCCATGATCGTGATCCTTGTGTCGTGATTCTAGAGGTTTCTTTGTTATTATAAGTCCTGTAGCTCCACTTTTTAATTTTGAATCTTCATCTGTTACTTGATATTTACTGGTTGGTTTTTGTTGCAATATATATTCCTTATATCTTTGTTCCTCTTGTTCTCGTAATTGTCGTTTTAATTCTGTTATACGTATTTCCTCTGCAAGTCTCTCCTTCATTTCCTTTTGCCTTTTGAGCTCTGCTTTATGTTTTTCTTCTGCTAGCCATACTTTCTCTAGGTTTTCTCTGTTACCCGGATGAAAGTGTTTATGGTTTATGAAGGAAGCAGACTTGTTTCCTATTTTTCCCATCCACATTTTGGCTATAATATGTATATATTTCCTAAGTTATTTTATATAATCTGTAATCATTTTTTTGGTGTCGTTTTACACCTAGATATATAATGAGGGTTGTACGGCCACCTGTATATCTGCACATTGGTCATATGTACCCTATTATTGTGTTATGTGTATTCCAATGGGTTAAATATATACACCTTTGTTTGTATATTTCTTATATGGTGTTGTCTATCTTACCAGATGGACGATGTTGAACCTCGTATCGTGGAGCTCTTTGCTAAGGTGATCCCTGGGGAGTCTTGGCAATATCAACGTCAATATTTTCCAAGCAAGATTGGTGGATTTCCTGCTTGGTTAGACCCTGAGAACCTTCCATCTGAGTGTAATTTGAGTTGTATTATCTGCGGTGGTGTTATGAGTTTCGTACTACAACTGTATGCCCCTGACGACGACGAACCTTCAGGAAGTGCTTTTCATAGATCATTATATCTATTTGCCTGTCAGCCTTGTGGTACTCAATGGCGTGTATTTCGTTGTCAGCTTCCTCGAAAAAATCGATACTATGATTTTCACCCGGTCCCCCCGGGAACTATCTTCCCTCAACCGGACCCTTTAGTATCAAAATCATGTTGTCCAGCTTGCTGTATACCATCAAGTGGTGACAGTGAGGAGTGTCAAGTGTTATTATCTCATTCTAAGGTGCAGGATATAACCGATAATGCGGGTTAGTTTATAATATCGGAGTATATTATTGTTAGTTTGGCGTGCATTACACCCGAGATGTAAAATCGCAGTAACACATAAAACTTTGGAAGCTACATTTCCAGAGTCGCTTTTAGAGATTTGTGAGGGTGCTATCCAGGAGCCTGATGACTACCTGTCTCATGAGCGTGAATTGTATAGAAAGTATCAAGAGAAGAAGGCTGCTGGTACTGGTGGGTCTCCATTTTGGTATTGTTAAAATGCACCTTAGTGAAAGACGACGATATCGATGAATCTGAAGAGCAGGCTATAGAGAGTATCCAGCGTGATCGTCTTGCTGTGGATCGTAGTTTTGAGCGTTTTTGTAAACGTACGACTCATAACGACGTTATCTACTACTGTCGTGATGGTCAGCCTATTTGGACGAGCGATCTTACTCCCAGGTTACAATGTGTTATGCAAGTTAGGTCATCGTCTACGGTCTCGGGTGTTCCTTTATGTGAACTTTGCGGTGGTCCTCGTGCATTTGAATTTCAGGTCCTACCGCAGCTCCTGGCACATCTAAAGGGTACTCGGCTTGATTTTGCTAGTGTGGCGGTGTATACATGTGCGGATTCGTGTCCTCTTATCGACCGTTATCATGAGGAGTTTGTGTATGTTGAGCAGGACCATTCTCTATCACGTAATTGATGCGTCCTATTTTTACTCTGATTAATCGCATTATTTATATAACATTTTCTTAGTACTTTTTGTATATATTTATTTTAATGTTAAGTTATATATCGGTTCTCTTTATAGATTGTGTTCTATAATTTTTTTTTTCCTATAAAGTTTACTATTGCGTTATAATTTTTGCGTGGTACACACATGCATTGTTTGTTTGAATTCTTTTAAACTAAGAGCAATATCTAGTTTAATTGTGCCACATTGTGGCTGTATATGTTGTTCTTTCATCGTCGTGTTTGTTGCATCACACTTTAGCCCTAGTGTCGCGAGTCACTTGGGTACTATTTCATATATCTCTTATTCACGATGTTGAGTTCCGCGCAATTGAGTTGTAATATACCATTTTGTAAGAGGCGCGAGGATGGTACTAACATCTCCGAAGTATGTGCTTCTCACCGTTATCAAACGGTGGATGCTATGTGTGCCGCCCACGGTCCTGTGAGCATTCCTTCTTGCATATTAAGGTTTGTGCCTTTGCAAGTGCGTCTGAAGTACTTTGCGGTTGATATTGACGGTACATTTTTGGCTGTTGACCCTGAGGTCTACCGTCGTAACGTTGAGGCGTTTGTTCGTGTTCTGGAATCTGGTGTAAAGATATTCTTCTGTACAGGTAATATATTGTGTTATGTTTTCATCTGTTTTAGGTCGTGGTCATTTTGGTGCTATCCGTGAGATGCCCGATGAAGTGATTGAGAGGCTTGGTTTTACTGGTTATCCAGGTATTTATCACAACGGTGGTGCCGTTTATGATGAAAAGGGTCAATTGCTTGAACATGCTCTGTTCGATAAGACAGTATTGAAGCGCATTATCGACAAGGTTGTTGGTTGTAATCATATGAAATACACCATGTTCCTAACTTTGGATGATTGGTATATCATAACTGACGATCGTTCATTTTTCAACGAGTTTATTACATCATTGAGATTGGACAGGCCTTTTATGCGTGCTACTGCTGAGGAGGTTCTTTCCATGGATATTATGAAGGTTATTATTGTGCGTTACGATCTTTTGGCTGAGTCATTCAAGGACATGCGTGATGTGGTCTTCATTGCTAAGCGTGCTCTTAATGATATGACTGACTTAACCCCTATGGGTATCACCAAAGGCAGTGGTCTTGCGTTGCTGCTTAAATCGTTTGGTGGTTCTCCTGATGAATGTGGTTATATCGGTGATGCTTGTAATGATTTAGAGGCTATGCGTTTGGCTGGTCATTCATTTGCTGTTGGCAACGCTATTGATGAGGCTAAAACGGCAGCTAAATACGTTGTCCAGCATACCAATGATGAAGGTGCTTTTGCACGTGTGATGGATGCGGTGTTTTCGCCTTTCCTATGAATACTACCTTACACCACTTACAGAATATCAGTCCACTGTCGCTGAAGATCTGCTTATCAACACAATCATGGTATGCTTGGTGAGTACTATACATGTATTATGTATATATAGTTGCAGGGTAAACATCTCGAGCTACAAAGATCTTTTGGCACTTGTTGCTACCGCTTGAGGGCTGGCACAGGCCATGCCCCTCAAGCGGTAGCGTATCTTCTTCCTATATATTAGTATAACCTACATGTAATAATAGATTATGTTCAATTCTTTATATGTATCTAGGTTAATTTTTTGTGTACTGTGTGTAGTGTGTCTCTCTTTGTTACTAGAGCTTTTATCATTTTCGACAAATACATTTCGAGGTTCGTTTTATTTTCGTGATTAAGTTTTGTTTAATAATGTGTCCATTTCGCAAGCACATTAGCGGTTATCTGGCCGACCTGTGTTGTCTATTTCGTGGTAATGGGCGTTCAGAAGTATGTGGACCGTTGTACCTTCAGCCGCCCTGTCTATAGGGTCTATAGGGTTATATTTTTGATTTTTAAACATGTGTCTAGAACTGGGTAATAGGTTTATACGTCCGTTGAACCCCCACAAGTAGGATTCCACGTCTTGGGTAGAGTGATGGTCAGGATCCCGGACGGAGTTCTTGGGATGGTAGTTAGTCATCTATAATATACATGTTATCGTGTTGCTTAATAGTTGCGGAATAAAAATTCGATCTTTTGGTCGAAGGTGTGCGGTGGAATCCTCTACGTAAAGGGAGGACGGTATTAGACATATACAATATCTGACACGGAGATATTGTATCTAAACACACACGGTTGTATTGTTTTTGGAGATGATGCAATTATTGATTTGTATGGCCTTTTGGCTAACCTTCTGTCTTATTCCGGGAGGGTTAAGGGCGGAAGTTGAAAGGCGTGACAATACTCCAGTGGTCATAGATGAGTACGAGGCTTTGGTTACAGTTTCTGATGACGCCGATGGTAACACGTCGTTTGAAAAAGCCAAGGAAGACAAGAGTTATGACCGCTTAACTTACATTCGCGATGTGCGCAATGCCATTGGTGGAAGGGTCCCTATGGACCCTGAGAAGGTATACACAGTTCATGCTACGTTACCTGTCGGTGAGATGCTAGTGCTCGCTACTGCTAGTGGTTGTTCTCTTTTGAGTAACCCTGAAGAAGATGCTAGTGGTAAGGTCGAATATCTAGAGTTCACTTTCCGTCTCGCTGACCTTGAGGATTGTGCAAAGGTTACTGATAGCATAATTACCGGTCTTCAGTCGGAGATAGTCGCCGCATGGGGAAGCCTTGGAGGTACATCTGCGGCGAATGAGGTTGCATCATCTACCACACTTCAAGGTATCGGTATGAGGACTAACAACCAGACCTCTCGACAGACGAGTGCCGGTGACTCTGCCATGAATATCGGTATCCAAGACATGGCGAATGCGTTCATTGCTGCTAACCTCGAGGTTAGAATGATACCTACATCTGCAGACGGTGTCCTAGTGATGCACTTTGACCTTAACGGGTCCGCCAGTGCGAAGGAGATTGCTGAGATGATGGCAAACATTGATATGGAGAAGCTCAATAGTCTTAGCGAGGCTATAAAGGCTGCCAACGAGAAGATCGTTAATGCGAGCCCTGAAGAGCTTAAACAAATGGAAGATCAGCTTAAGGCTATGTATGAGCGTGATCTTGAAGAGTTACGTCGTCATGTTGATGAGAACAAGAAGTTGCTCGAGGAATTGAGCAGTGATGGTGTCACTGAGCTTGTATGTTCATCTCTTGCTTTGGGTGACTGTAAGTCTGTATCTAAGTGCAGTGTTGTGAAGCTGAATGGCGAGGAAACATGTGCCGTTTCACCAAAGACTGTATTTTTGTTGATGGAGACTGGCTGTGGTTTACAGTCAAAGGCCGGCCTTATGTCTATTGTACGTGACATTGTGGGTAGCGGGCTCATGACGGAGGAGAATCACCAGACGCTTCGTCATAGCTTCGACCTCCATCAGATCTGCAACGCCATTGTACACACATACATGTCTGCCGACATATCGGAGACTGACCAGCACGAGACTAAACGTAGTTTCGAGTTGTAACTTCAGCATTAATCGTAGCTTTATCTTATTTCTAGCTAATGTCGTGATAGCGGCGGGTCATCAGGATTCCACCGGTAGCCCTATATTGGTCCACCTGTTTTGCGTCTTCTTGAAAGTTGTTCATTTATAAAAATATATATTGCTACAATGAGACCTTTAGTTCTCAGAGGCCATCGCAGGCCGTTAACATGTGTCAAGACTAACAAGGAGGGTGACCTTCTGTTTACTTGTGGGAAGGTATGTAATTTATATCCGTGAACCGGGTTATTTCCCCGTGTTAATTTTACTATATAATGTTGGATATGTTATTTATTAACATCTATGCAGGATGCCAACCTTATGCTATGGCGTACCGACAACGGGCAGCAGATCGGTGTGTTGATAGCTCGGTGGAGCCCAGTATAATTGGTTTTATAGGCAAATATAACACTGGACGTGGTGCTATATGGGCTTGTGATGTCACTTTGGATTCCAAGAGGTTAATCGTTGCTACTGGTGATGCTCGTATCCTTGTTATGGACACGCTTTCTGGTGAACTATTGGCTGATATAAAAGATGAGGGTGCGTGCAAGTAAGTTTTAACATAGTTTTTTTGAAATTATACTTAGATATGTCGAGTGGAACCATCATCCAAAAAAACAAAATATGTTTGCCGTTATCCATGACGACTTTGGTGAAAACGTATTCATGGCTGTTAAAGTCTACAAGGTAAGTCACTCGTTCTATGTACCACTTGACAACTAGTAGCTTAACTTTGTGGAAACTGCTGATGGAGAGCAAGTTGTCGAACATCGCATTCTCTGGGTACAGAGAGGATACAGATCGCGTGCAATCCAATGTCATTGGGGTCCGTTAGATAAGGAGATTATTACATGTCACGAAAACGGTACTATCCAGGTAAATCAAACATATACTTGGACTAATATATCTAGGTTTGGAGTGCCCATGATGGTAGTAATCTACATGTTATCGAGGCCCATAAACAGTCTGTGACCTGTATCTCATTTGACCTCCTGGGGCTTTTCATGCTATCGGTAAGGACCCTTGATTACCCTATAATAATGTGCAGTGCTCAACGGATGGTACTGCAAAGTTATGGGAAACGCGTAACTGGACCACCATCAAGGTAAATCGTAACACTGTCAACAAATCAGTAATTGCAGAACTACAAAACAGACCGACCCCTTAATGCCTGTGTAATATCGCCAAAGTTCAAATTGGGCAGTGCGGAGAAGGCACATATATTACTGGGAGGTGGTCAATCTGCTGACGAGGTCACAACAACAGGTAGGGTTCAATATAAACATCGTCATCAACTTTACAGCTGCTTCTGAGGGTAAATTCCAGGCACTGCTCTACCATTTGATACATGAGACTGAAATTGGCAGTATCAAGGGTCACTTTGGTCCCATCAATACTCTGACATTCCTTGCCGACGGCTTTGGGTATGTCAGCGGTGGAGAAGACGGTAACGTCAGGATCTACCATTTTGACAAAGATTACATTCTTGACAAGTACGATTAAACCATTTTACCTAATATCAAGGTATATCTAGATCGTTTGTCTATACAATTTGATGTTTCGTATCTATCCCGGCAAGTTGTGATATCACCGACGCCTCGGCGCCGGTGATATTTAGCCGTTTCCTCCTGGCGTCTTTCAAGACGATTTCTGCCAATTGACGAGCGCTCATGCGTCCAGGATGGTTCATTACCTCATCTTTGGGAGGTTCTATGGCACGGGACAACAGCCGTTGTAACGAACCCACCAAGGCAGATGGTGGCGACACGGGTAACAGGCGCATGGCACCGGTAACAGCCAGAAGTTCAGATGCATCAAAATGGCTACTCAAGATGTAAAAGGACGCATATTAACATACCCGGCCCCCGTGGAACAACGATTAAACGTCAAATATAACGCCCTTCGGTGACGATTTGGGATCGTCGATCCATCGCTATGTTTGCCATATGCTTGCACAAAAATTTGCAAAAGTTTAACAGCACCGCGTGGGTCCAAAGATGGGACTATGCGCTCGGCGGAGTGTATCAACGCCGTGCAGATGCCGCTGTGATGATACCCTGAGCGGACGTATATATCCGAAACTCTGGCAACCTCAGCGGGATGAAAGGTATCTATAGCTGTAGCAAGGGCATCACCAGCCATTTGTAGCAGGTACCTATCACATATTCTACGTGAACAGAATGATTCCAAGGCTTTTATCAGGACACGAGGATTGTTATGCAGGCCTGAAACACACATATAACGGCTATATAAACTCCAGAGTGCAGATGTGCCCATACCCATGCCGCCTATATATGACAGAATAGAGGACATATATACCACACCATCGGTAGACTCCGATGGTTCCAATTCTGTCTCTATAAGGCTGATCAAGAACCTCCCGAGCTCCTCACAATACAAATCAAATGATCGTAACGACTCGCATAACCGTCCGAGATCTGGGAATTCTATACTGTACCCATCAAGAGGTATGCGCTGTGCCACTTGTACCATGAATGCACGACAAATGGTGACATTACGACTACCCGGTACCATGCTTATAAGATGACAACATGCTGTATATACTGTAAATGGAGATATATAGAGAAACCGATACCTATAGCACGTTTCATGTCCTTTATATTGTAACAATATGGTACGATCCGTTCCAAGCAATGTGCATTGGAGATCCTTAGCTTTACCATAACATTGAGATATGTGCATACGTTGACATCATCCATAGCATGACCCATCTGTGTAGCACAGGTAAGAAGGATACGTTCTATTTTGCAACGATCGGTACCCATAGCACCGACACGACGTAGTGCCTTTCCAACATGTTTGGTAGGTACCAGCTTAGGATCAACTCGAAGTATAGAATCGCCACCATTAACTGCAAGAGATTCTACAGTAGTTGATATCTATTTACCTCTATAAAATGGTGTGTTCCTGAAGAAACCAAGGTAAGGTGCCCGGGACTTTAATCGGACAAGTGTCAGTTTCCATGTCATCTTGTTCACGTGTTGCGTAACCTAGTGATAGCTTCTTCAAGCAAATGAACAAATGTGTCAATCTCAGACTTCGTGTTATACATGGCAAGTGATACCCGCAATGTGTTCTCAACTCCCAGGTGATGACTGTGTAAGATATGGGCACAATGTTTCCCTGAAAGGACATGATCAGTCAGGTGGCTGTACATACCTGCCCTGACAGCCACGTTACGTAACGATAATAACGCTGCTAGGTCAAACGGACTAACACCTTCGACGTTGAATGATACTATGGGACAGTGTTCCGTATCTCCAATGTTTTTGGAGTGGCTATGCACGGTTGCCAGCCCTCGTAGCTTGTTATGAAGGTGGATTAGAAGGTCACGTTCATGTGCAGCAATCTGTAACAATGTAATCTATAACTGCAGTATATTACCTTATCTAATCCTATGTTACGCAAAAAGTCGATAGCAGCTGAAAACCCGACAACCTGTGCCACTGGAGGTGTACCAGGTTCAAATCGATGTGGTATATCGTCTAGATTATACCCGGTAGATGTCACGGTCTGTGATCTATTCACCAAAAATATTGGAAATGTACCTTTACCATACCACCCCCGCCTTTACAAGGGTGCATAGATTCTAGAATAGAACGTTTAGCATATAGGAACCCTAATCCGGTTGGTCCATACATTTTGTGTGCCGAACCGACTAAAAAGTCACAATCCAGTGTATGTACATCAACCTGCAGTTTGATATAATGTTACTAGAGTAATACATACTGGTATATGTGCTAGGGTTTGGCAAGCATCTACTAATACCTTAGCTCCATGTTCATGTGCTATCCGGATGATATCTTTCAAGTTTTGCACATGACCCAGGACATTTGATGCATGCCCTAGTGCCACTAACTTTACCCTTCCATTTACAAGTTGACTTTTATAATCATCTAAGTCGATAGACCCGTCTGCGTTGAGCTGCAACTATTTAACAACAGCAAAGGATAGATGTACCTTTATGAAACGAACATCGCAACCGCTCCTTTCCGAGTGCAATTGCCACGGTATTATATTGCTATTGTGTTCGGACAATGGTAGCAATATAACGTCACGAGGTCCTACCTCCTTTGGACTGAAATTTATTTCGTGTAGGTGCCAGTCATGACCTACCACCATGCACTGGCTACTAGGTTGATAGCATCCGTAGCACCGCTGGTAAATACGATCTCGCAAGGATCCTTAGCACCCAGAAAGCGTGTTATGTTCTCCCGGCCACGCTCGTATTTCTGAACCGGTTATGGTGTTATGTATATGGTAAGCTTACAATAGAGGCCGTGGTTGCCAGTGGATGTTGTGATCGATGTACGTTTGAACACGGTGTGCTGTAGTAGCTATTGATAGCCTATAATGCTATATTATTACGTTCTTGTTGTATACCTCAATGACCGATTGTGGTTTCTGTGTAGTAGCAGCGTTGTCGAGATATATTAGATCATGAAAATCTGTTGAATTTAATGCAGGAAATTCAGACCTCCACAGTTCGTCAGAAGGACATGATGCCCGTTCTGCAGCTTTATTACGCCCTATAGTTGCCCTTGACGTATTACGTAGATGGATGAAGGTTTTACAAAGATGACCTGCAGTGGTGATAGTGAGCACTGTATCGAAGATATTGAATAACTGTATATATAGTACACATTCCCATAATAGCATGTTTTAACTAGCTCTATTATCTGGATACACTTTTATATGCCGTTTTAGCAGACAGAAGGTTACGTTGGCGCCGGACAAATACCGACGCGTGCCGTTCATACATTATAGTGTAGGCATAAGGTATAATACTGACTAAATTTTAGGTTATTATTGTATAGTAATTTTGTCGGTGTGCCTATGGCACGAGCTCCGTCAAATGACGTTGAGCTTATGTCCTCCGGCCACCGTTTGACGTAAATATATATATAGATACATCGTGACAATATTCTCTGAAGAGACTTAAATATAGTTATCAACAGTTTAATAATGCCGGGCCTACTTACACAAATATGGCTTAGGCCTCCTTCAGGCGCTTTCAGGCCGTGGTATAGAACCCAGCTGTTCCCGGGTATCTATAGGCGTACTCAACGTTATGGTACCGCCTGCCATGGGACGATACCAACACGCAGTGAACTAATGGAACAATTTAAGGCACTCAAGATCAACCGTGTTATGATTTTGGAAAAAATTACAAAATATGAACTGGAGCTTCGTAATGGGCTCACAGAAACTGAAGTACGCAAACGATTCCCACGTAAGTTATTAATACAACATATAATATACACGCAGTGGCATATAGGACCCATCAAACGCATACAAAGATCATGGATGAAATTGTAAGACAGCTAAATGAACGATACCATATACATACCATTGTCGTCAAGGCACATTCACATAACATATCGCTTATCGACATGCATCGATCGGCATTCCCTCCAGATATTATTATCAGTGCTGGTATGTCAATCATCATCTTTTTAAACAAATACATTCAGGTGGTGACGGTACATTCCTAGAGGCGGCTGCCCTTGTACCTCCAACGAAACCACCAGAAAAACGATTATGGATCGTTGGTATTAACACAGATCCTGAACGTTCTGTCGGTGCCTTGTGCTTATCATACTTCAAACGGGGCGATACTGCATTCAGGCGAAGTACCGGTGCTGAGGGTGACGGTTTGGAACATCTCAACCCTGATGACGTGCCAAAACAAAACATGATAAGGTTTAGCGATACGGGCACGCTTGTCAGAAAAGAATGTACTTTCGACACAACAGGTGCAAAGGAATGGTCTGATATTGCCTCAGCGTCTTTCTGTGATACGCAAAATTCTCAAGATCCACAGTCACAAAGCAAATGTACCGTTTTATCCAAACATACCGCCAATATTTATAATCTAACATACGATGAGTATGTAGGCAACTTGTTAGAAAGACTCATAGTCAAGAGAGACTACGAACCCGTAGCACGGCAAAAAATAAGAATAAAAATGTTAAAGGGACATAATAATGCACCGGCCGATATTAGTGCTACTAGGGGTGATGCAACTTGTATAGAGGATAGCCTTTTTTGCGGAGCTGATACATGTTTCATAGGAGATGATATCTGTGCTGAGCTTTGTGATACCGGGAACGGCATAATGCCATATGGTGCCGTGAACGACGTAATAATCGCTGATAAAAGCTTCGGACGCACTTTCTACGGACTAGTACAGGTAGACTCTTCTGAAATTATGCGGGTAAAAAGCAGTGGAGTTTTAGTTTCAACAGGTTAGTTACGATCCCCCCTGTATATATAACGTAACATATAGGTTCCGGTTCCACAGCATGGGCGTATAATATGTGCAAAATGACCACGAACAATGGGGAAAGACTATTTAAAAATCTAATCAACCATCCATCGTTTCCAAAAGATGCAGCGAAAAAAATTGATCAACAGATGATGCGAGAAGCTATTGAGGAACATAATACCAGTCTGGTCTTCGCTGCATCACAGAATACTTTAAAGTGTATCATACGTGAAGGCATAAACAGCAAGTGAGTTATACTTTACACCCAAATAACATGTAAAATCAGATCTACTGTGGATGCCTCTACATTTATGGGTCGCCAAGTCAAGGTACTTTCATTATCTAAGAACGCCAGGATGTTTATCGATGGCTCTAAAATTTTAAAGGTTGACTACGGAGACGTTGTCGTTATGAAAACATTTAGCTCCGATACTGTATGGAGCTGCCTTTGACCACATTAAGAACAAATGGGTGCTATCCGCTAGCTACGGAACAAAATACACCGAATGTACAATCACGTTAATGTTACCTAGATACCACGATAAGCTCCCTACGCGAGTGTAACGGATTGACTAGCGCGTACGCAGAAACTATTCGACAAATTATAATAAGCCGACATAAAAAAACATGACATACACGTTATAAATCAATGCTACCAACACGTAAAGATATCGTGATTAGGTTTCAAATAACGTTTAATAACTTAGATTGCAATTGTGTTACCTCCACAGATATAGTGGTGAAATAAACCAAGTATCAATCGGTATTTGAATTTGTCAAGAAAAATCACGAAAATATGACGGATCATAGCTTATTGAATGAGACGATGTTGGCAGTTTGTACCAAACCAACAACCTCTTCATCATCGTACTCTTCTTCACCACCGCTTTGTTCTTGTCTGCGACGACGCTGCTCCTTCTGCTCGTCAGTAAGACCTAACTCCTCAATCAATTCTGTAATCTCGTTGGTGTTGACGAGGTCATCCAAAATAGTACAGGAGACCTGTAGTTTCTGGATACCGTATGCCAAGGGGATCTTTGCAGAAGCAGCACCCCAAGTGACACCTTCAAGTTTGATTTCCTTAACAAGGCGCAAAACCTCATCAAGATCGGTATCCACACTAGCGGGTTCTATGTGAATAACAAGGGATGACTTAGCTGCCTCGCGTTTCTTACCCTTGCTGGCCTTCATAGCTTCCATCTTCTTCTTCATAGCCTCATCCTCCTCTTCATCATCGTCACCGAACAAATCAATGTCATCAGATTTCTTCTCCTCTTCACAGGGGAACGACCCTTTAGCAAGGTTTGTAGGTGGGTGTTGTGCCCATGTTGCTACGTGTCTGTACCATCTGTCAATGTGCGGGTACGATTTGGCATCTGGTACTTTGCCAAGTTTCCTGTATACAGCTAGGTCATCAGTTGAAGGGGCTTTGATTCCAGCGACGAAGCTATGGTATGATAGGAATTCATTTAGCTGTTTAAGCCCTTCGGGCGTCGCGACCGTTTTTATGTTGATTTGGACGCCAGACATTTTGTGAGTCGTGAAGCAAACGTTAATTACAAATTGATATCGATATGGTCAATTTCGCAGAAAGGAGTGACGACGACGATACACGCGTGTCACAACAGTCCATTCATGGGGGCACGCCAAGCTACAAAAGGTACATCGAATCACACGATATCAATTTTCAAAGCGAGACACTGAACATTAAGTCAGAAACATTATCATAAGGTTTATATTGATGTGTGTTTTAGAAGGATTCTACCGCTGATGCCACCGGCACATCGGAATGTCTGTGGTACACCTAAATAGTCTAAAGAAACGTACTACCTAATACTATCCAGTCATTGGTCCTTAAGAGTACCCGCTTTCTTCGAATAAGTATACTAGATATGTGATTCCATTACCATTTCCCTAATTGACCCATCCTCTCTGCCCCGAAGGCTATGGCTCTATATCATTTAAGCTTGGTCGCGGCAACACCTGGTGTGTTGCATTACGGTTACAAAGAGCATTGTCGTACTGATGGTCATGAATATTACCATATCTAGCAGAACAATCCCTCTTTGGTTAGCATATGTCTTGATGTGTAGAGATGCACCCTTACACTTGGCTAGCAAGCCCACATACCAATACGTCTACCATTGACATTGTTACTACACTAACACATTATAATCACAGACGCGTAGTCACTTAAGATTATAATAACGCCACTACCTAACGGCTATGTGTAGAATCCTGAAGGTGCAAATTAACTAGGGAAAATCATCATGACAGGACAGAGTAAGCAAGACACCTTGGCAGATATGGGCGGGAACTGGATTCCTGACTCCTCTGCTGTCAAAGGTGTAACTGCAGTAAAGAGACATCGAAGCTTAACACCGCCTAGAAAATACCCATATAGAGGAAGACTTGCATTACAATTAATGACACCTCAAACAAAATTGAAAAACGGAGGATCTATCATTCAAAATCATGAAACAGAGTCATATGGCATTGGAGCTACTGAAACTTTATATGAAAAGTCCATGTTTATCGGAGAACCAAACAGGATAAAATCTTCATGCAATAATTTGATACAACAACAAAGACGTGATATGTATGACGGACCACCCCTATTACGTGACCTCGAGGTAAACATAAGGTATGGTGGCAATCCTACCAACCTGCAATTATCTGGTGACCATGATGGTATGCTACCACCAGCTATTAGTACACCAGACAGGACCATGGTAGACCAAATACACAATAACAATATGATCATACCTACCAGATCATGTACATTGGACGACCGTATACAATGCCGAAATAATATGGTATCGAGATTACCCAGCCCTATACCCATGGACGAAAACAACGTGAATTACTACATCTCACAAAAGATAAATGATGAATTGGAATCTTTTACACTGGAAACAGATACAAATGACTTTATGCACATAACAACAGGGAATACGCAATGTCACTCCCATGGCAGCCAATTAAGCGCAGGTTTAGAAACCATATCACCAAGTTGTAGTGACACTGGGCGCAGCCCTTATGTCACCATTTCTTCTAGCACACGTGAGAACATCAAGGTAGTAATACGGTTACGCCCAATCGATGCATCGGCAATACCCGCGATTAGGATTATTGATAACGTGGTGGAGGTACAGAAACCTGGCAATGCAAGAAGCGTTTTGGATTCACAGAGACCAAAAATATGTAAATATAAGTTCGACCATGTATTCGATGCAACGGCATCACAAATAGATATTTTTGAAGCTACCGCTAAGGAGCTTATCCCCAAGGTTTTCCAGGGCAACAACGGCACGGTATTCGCATATGGGTGTACAAGTGCAGGTAAAACGTACACAATGCTAGGTGACGATAATAACGATGGGATAGTGCAAATGTCAATACAAGCTCTTTTCGACTACAGAGCGGAAGAAACACTAGAATCGGATATATCATTCTCGTTCATGGAAGTTTATAACGAATCTGTTTTCGACTTACTATCGCCTGTACAACGACCTCTAGATATACAAGAGGATAATGGCGAGGTGCGAGTATCGCACCTGACATCTTCGAAAGTGGATGATTTGGAAACAGCACTTGCACTGTTGTCCAAGGGCATGAAGGCACGAAAAAGAGCAATGACAGATGCCAACAGACATTCAAGCAGGTCACATGCGATAATACAGGTTACTGTGGATATTAACGGTGTAAGAGCAAGATTATCGTTCGTAGACCTCGCAGGATCAGAACGGTCAGGATCCAGTGATGGTAGTGGTGATAGAATGAAAGAAAGTTCATATATTAATCAATCACTTCTGGCATTGGCAAACTGTATCAGTACCCTATCTGATACATGTTCAGGTCGTATTAAGGTGAAGTATCGTGACAGCAAGCTGACACTGTTATTGAAGAATGTACTCTTTAGTAACGCCTATGTTGTGATGATAACCGCTATACACCCAGGTTTACAATTCTTACACGAGAGCTGTAACAGTTTGGTTTATGCGCGTAGGGCTAAAAACGTTAAAGTTGAAATGGATGTACAGAAGGATTGCACAGGCGCCACTGACCACTCTCTAGCATTAAAAGAAGCACACATTGCCATCGCACTTATCGGCGAGACAATTAATGATGAGTCACGTGATGATGCGATAAGGGTTCTCCAAGCGACACCATTGTCTGGCAAAAGGCAGTTGATCAGCCTGCTAAACTCGCGGTTGACACCCTCACGGAACAATCACTTTTAACATAATATAACCACAATGGTGAACCTAATTACGCCTATAAAATCTATTTCATTAGATAAACTTAACGAAGAGCTTATTGAAGGTTGGTTAAAATTATATCAGCACATTGTTGCTCAGCTACCATCGAGAAATGCGCAAGCTTCACCAATGGGAGGATACTGAACGCCATAAAACAGGTATAGTATCATGGATGAAAGGATATAAAAACGATATAGAGATGGACAGAAGTATTACGTCAGCGCATGGATGCTGTCAACAGGGGTGAACAATTTACACACTTTGAACAACCTTCCACATCGGTAATTAATCTACCTTGTATATACCTTCAAATTATGGTACAGTATTACAATGTAGAACCTGATCTTACACCGGAAATGTGGGTTAATGTTATCTTATGAGCTCATCGTTATTTAGGGAAGATTCACAACCTCAATCACCTGAACCTTCCGACAACGAGTTCGACGATGCAGATGTAGAGAGCGCTAACCCACAAGAGTCATTGGACAGTGATGCTGTCATAGCCGGGGCTACGAAGGAAGCAGCTCCGCCAGAACCACCACGGCCTCAAAATGTACCAGTGGATCATTTGGATGATTCGGAATCCGATACTAGCATATCAGATATTAGTGAGCTTGATGATAAGGAGCCAGAGACCAAGGATGTTGTTATCGGGATGTTAGATAAGGTATAGTTATCTTTATCCCTTTTATGACCCTTCATAGATCACACGACCTAGTAGTAAGAGGACGGCCACTCCTATGTGGAAGGTTAAGCTAAAATATGGTGTACTTCAGGTGTGTATACATTATGTGTTGTCGATTCCACAAATTACAGGTTAATGGTGTCGAAGTACCTTTCGACAATCTGGAAGGCGAGTTCGAGTTCTAAACACCACCTAACACCCAGTGGTCATATACACACATAATATATGTTATATATACTGCCATTAAATATCGGTACATAATGGTTATTTCCCCCGGCATATAAATAGCCAGGGGTCATATGTTGTGCCTTCGGAAGACGAGCCGCCATCAAGGCGTTTCGCAATAATGACACTGGTACCCATACCTAACCCTCGTGTCTTCCTAGACATATCTATCGGAGGTAGAAATGCAGGACGCATGATATTCGAGGTATGTTAATATGGCTCCAGTTAGATGCATGGCTACGAACCTTTGTATATTCGCAAAGATATATTCCATGTTGCGTATCATAGTTTTGACAAAGAATCGATTCTATAACTCTACTACAGCTATTCATGGACAAATTACCTTATACATGCGAAAACTTCCGAGCGCTATGTACAGGTAGGTAACACCTTGGCAAAAACATGTATAACAACATCAGGGGAGACAGGTTTGGGTTACTATCTACGTCCTAGATGGTACAAGGATACACCAATACATCGCATAGTTTCTGGATTTGTAAGTGGATACATAAATAATATGCACCTGACACAGATGTGCCAAGGTGGAAATTTTAACACTGGCAACTCTTATGGAGGCGAATCGATATATGGTCAATATATGGCTGACGAATCATATGCATATATGCATTCCAAACGTGGTAAGTAACAGTCTATTGTCTTACAAATACCATAGGGGTCTTGGGTATGGCAAAAACAAGACACAAACATTCCAATGGATCGCAATTCTATATCACATTCAAACCTTGCTCACATCTAGACAATAAAATGGTAAGAATATATCATATTTATACTCTACTCCTACTTTCTATAGTTACTATTCAATAATGTGTCACAGGTCGTCTTTGGTCACCTGGAATACGGCGACGAAGTTCTAGATGCAATAGAGGAGCAAGGATCTATGCTTGGCAGGCCAAAAAGGCCAGTCAGCATATACAACTGGTAAGGTTTATATTCCTATAGTCACATATGTGCGCAGCGGTGAAATACCGCTAGATTGTGTATATGATCCAGATTTAAACAACCCTGTACGCAAGGATGCGTCGATTTACATAGCAAAAACGGTTGGTAAGCAACAATGAAAAGTCAACATGTTACAGGATAGGGAGAAACCCATTTTTCGCAAAGAACTATGGGATCGCGAACAGTCTCCAAAACTCATCATACCCGATGAAGTATACAAACGTGCACATTATAACTTTTAATACGAAAATAGACGCACCGTAGCCATGAACATACATAGATGTGTCGCCGACATGAAGGCTCTGCAAAGTTAAATTAGGACGCGCCATGCAATATCAATACTCATTCACACATTATAAAATTTAAAAATACACCTTTTCACCAAGAGCAAGCGACAGCTCCTAACAATTTCCACACTTACCCGACGGGTGTAACCTCCACACCGTTGGCGCGAGTTATATGCATAGTATTCATAGAACCGCCTCCATACCTATACCGCTGCATATTTAAGAAATTTGCCTGCCCTGGAATCTTATTAACACCAGCTGCGTGGCTATAACTCGTCCAATGCGCGGCTGATAACTCGGCGTGTTATCTAACTAGGAGTAAGGTGTAATCTAAGTGTTCAACCTAGTTGTACAAAATGACTGGATCAGGATCACAAACCTCCACCACCCAAACTCAACCTGAAGTTACACACGACATGGGCTACTACGCGAAATGTATGTTCGGTGGAGTCCTTTCATGTGGTATCACTCACACCCTGGTCACTCCCCTGGATGTAACGAAGTGTCGGATGCAGACCAACCCCAAAATGTACACCGGACTCATATCCGGAGCTAAAACGATATATCATCAGGAAGGTTTGCGGGGGTTGACCAGAGGATGGCAACCTACCCTTGTAGGTTACTCGTTCCAAGGGCTTGGCAAATTCGGCCTATATGAAATGTTCAAAGATTTATACGCAAAAATACTGGGAATAAAGAATGATAAGAAATCCAGTGGCACCATGTGGCTCGCTGCGAGTGCTTCTGCCGAGTTTTTCGCAGATGTACTGCTGTGCCCTTGGGAAATGGTCAAAGTAAAGGTGCAGACCGCACCACGTGCCGAGCAGTGGTCAGACAACCTATTTGTCTCTGCAAACCGTATGTGGGACACCAGAAAGACAACGCAGTTCCCAGTAGGTTTCTACCTAATAGACATAATTACACAGTTGTGATATTGCATCATGTATCAGCCACTTCTGTTTCATCTGTTTCCTATACGGTAACATATTTTCTTGCAGTTCGGAAGCCTGCAGGCACTTTGGAGCCGACAAATACCTTACACAATGGCCAAATTCTATTTCTTCGAGAAGATTGCGTCTCTTTTTTATGAACATCTTCTAAAGGAAAGTGGCAAAGATACATCTAAGGCCACACAACTCGGTGTGACTTTTGCGTCCGGTATGTAGTCGACTAAATTCAAACGATATGTCGCAGGATATCTCGCTGGCATCATTTGTGCAATAGTCTCGCACCCAGCCGACAACCTCATCTCGCAACTTGGAAAGGAACAGAATAAAGGAAAGCAAGTTATGCAAATATGCAAGGAGATGGGCTTGGTAAACCTCTTCACACGTGGATTGGGTACCAGGGTACTTATGATCGGTACTCTAACCGGCCTGCAGTGGTGGATTTACGACACATTCAAGGTAAGTTGTTTTTTTTGCTTTATATGTTTCCTTCCAGTCAATCGTCGGTCTACCGACTAGTGGTAGTAAAAAGAACACGGAGGAAAATCAAGCGGCGAAGTGAACCCCTGCGCCTCGTTGAATCTCTGGTCACTTGCAAAAACTCGCAAATAATATTCTATAATTTTAATTGTGAGCCATGTGTGATGTTAGCGACGACGTAAATCTGTTGCAACGGCCAGTTGCGGCCAAGGGGCGTAACACCTTGGCCATCGTCGTGATAGGGTATGCCACTGCTTTGAATTCCGATGCTCTCATGACCATTTCAGCATGGCTGGGAGCGGGAAGACGTGTTACGTGAGGGCGTTGATTGACAGGCTCAAGTCTGACGGCAAGAAGGTATACTCTATCAACCTCGATCCCGCGGTACGCTAATATATCTACCAAGTTAAAAACGGATTCAGGTCACCAAAATACCATACACACCAAACATTGGTAAGGTCACGATTGCCAAAATCTCGGTCATATATCCACAAGATATACGAGAATCGATCAAGTACCGCCATGTCATGAAGAAATACCGTCTAGGGCCAAATGGAGCTATTATGACTTGTCTCAATTTATTCGTTACCAGGTTAGTTCTAAATTCACTCATCTCTGTATATCACCCAGATTCGACAAAGTTCTGGAAATCCTAGACCGTAGATGCGCTAAATTGGATTACATAGTTATCGACACGCCCGGGCAAATCGAAGTTTTCAACTGGTCTGCCAGTGGCACTGTGATATTAGGTACGAATAGCAGATTATAAACATGCTTATCATCTGTATAAACAGAATCTTTAGCGTCATCGTTCCCGACAACAGTCAACTACGTGATTGATACCTGCAGGTCGCAACTGCCAGTGACCTTTATGGCAAACATGGTATACGCTTGCAGGTAAGTTCAAAACATATTCTATAACAGTTTAACAGCGTAATGTACAAATCACGAGTACCTTTTATCGCATGTTTCAACAAAATAGGTACCGGAACATATGGCGTAGTGCAATAGTTGCAGATATCGACCGCCATGAAAAATGCCTAGAGTGGATGGACGATTATAACGCATTTTACGATGCAGTCATGCAAGATGATTCATATATGGCCAGGTAAAAATTAACAGCACCGTTTTGTGACCAACCTTCAGCTTCAGTCGTTCTTGCGCATTGATGCTCAACGAGTTCTACAGTGAAATAAAGGTATGTTGCAATATATTCCGAAATTAAACCTGTAGTGTAACGGCATATCTTCAATTACTGGCGAGGGATTTGATGAACACATCAGGAAACTTGATGAGTGTCGTGAGGAGTACAAGACATCATACCTACCGTGGCTAGAGGAATGCCGAATGAGACACTGCACTGAACAGATGAGCCGATGCAAATTATCGGGAACATAAGTGATCCTATTTAACCGTGCAACCGCAATGAACCCATTAATTGTTTTTGATATTTTTGTGATGCATTAGTCACCGGAGTAACATCAGAACTAAGAAAATAGTTACATCAAAATACTTTGACATAGCTAATCTAAATCTAAGAAAATGAAATGTAGAAGTTATAGCATATTGATCAAGTCTTTCAATCTAGGTATAAAAATTGCTATCCTCATAGTTATGAACTGTTTTTGGGGTCACGGGTACTGACATTAAACGTGAGTTTGAATAATTAAAATCAATGGATATTAGAGCACAAAGAGTGCTTTGTAATTGGAAATCTCCATTACCAATAAATGATGAAACAACACTCTGGATTACTTATAACAAGACAATCTTCGAGGGTCTTGATAGCGCTTCCTTGATGTAAGCCCTTATCATGTCATAACGGCGATCCCATCTGATTCCATTCTTCCATCCGTCAGGACGATCGCCGTAATGTTTCACCAGTAAAAATCTGCCAATGTAAACACTGAGCCAGTCGGACAAATAGATAGGAATTTTACCGGGTTTCGCGTTACGTAGCAGTCGTAGAACCTTCTCATGCCCTTCAAGGTCAAGTAGACCATCGCTACCTTTAAATATATGTTCATATGGTTTAAGATATGACTTTTGGGTCACATGTGTGCTAAGACGGTCAATGAATTGTTGGAGGCGCTTTTTGGTCAGGTCATCATTAGCTGCAGGTGATTCCTTGCCGATCTCACCATGGGCATGGAGCTTTACGTCAGGTATTTGTCGTTCCCATGAAACCGTTTTAATACCATTTTCGTCAGTCACAACTGACTTATGGTAATTTCTAGGGATAGGGAGTTGCCTGGAAATTTGGTTGGCCATATGGAGAGGTAGTTTTCCAAGCATTCCGAAAACGCGGTCCCAACCATATCTTTTCCTGGTTTCCATCAACAGAAAATTGACCACCTTTTCTACAATGTATTCAGGGAGATAGCTAGTTGGTCTCCTGGAAATAAGGACAGCAAGATGGTGAGCAAACATTTCTGGGAAAAGATCAAGAATATCCTCGTAGAGATCCCTAGTGAGTCCCTTGGAACTTTTCCTTGCGGCCTCTTCCTCAGGTGTCTCTGCAAATCGTTCTCCCTCAACATCGGCAGATGAAGCAACATTGGTTGGTTCTTCCTTTGCATGAGCAGCACCAAGGTGTGGGTCACGTCTCCAGCCAGGTGATACACCGTTACCGGATACATCCTCAGGATCGGCGGCCCTCATGAGAGTTGTGTAGAAATACATACCAAGGTATTGACGAAGTCTGCGGGTGATAGGCATACCAGCGGGATTTTTAATAATGATCTTGGTGTACTCCTTGAGGAGGTACCTAGCAACACCTTCTGCCTGTTCCCTGGTCAGCTTGTAATCATTGCGTTCGGCAAGCTGCTTAGCAAGGTCTGCAGGCAGCATATGCTTGGCTTCCGGGTCGAAACGGTTAGACATGTTAGATGGAAGCATGGCGATGAATTGCTTAATACGATCGGAGGCACGCTCATTAAATACCAAGCCATCTGCTGTTTCAAAAGATACAATTGGGGCTACAGCTTCAGTTGCAGGTACCTCAACCTTTCCACCTTCTACTTCACCTGATGGCTCACTGCCGCCATTGAAGGGGCATGAACCAGGTGCAACCCTGAGAAAAACGGGCTTCGGATCTTCAGGGGCAATATCAACTTCGGCCTCTACGCCATTACCAGCGACGATCTGGACGAAAGCCAAGAAGGCAATCAAGAATCTAGAAAGCTTGAATCCTGCCATTTCGTAAAAAGTACCGTTTTTATTCTATGAAACGAGAACATAATACGTAAAAATAGGACACAGTGAATCCACTAAAGTACCGGGACAGTGTTATACAGAGAATGCATATCGGAGTCCAACAATTTAGACAAGAGCACCCAAAGGCAATGTGTAGCGGGCGATACTATGGTAGCTACTTCAGGTGTTTGGGGTACTGTAATTTCGCTCTCGTCCGTCACCTGGCCTGGTGCTGGAGCAGATTCTTCCTGCGGATCAGTGTGTTTTTCGGTACTGCCCAACACTCTGGCTGCAAAGGTTGATATTGGTTCTTCATCATAATAGTCCTTATCATATTCATCATCCTCGTCCTCCCGTGACATCTCTGTGATATAGCCAGTTTGCCATCTCAAATTACGTTTTCCCAAAAACCACTGTTTAAACTTTCCGGGTTTTTTCACTGGCTCTTCCAATATACCGAAGAGGGTTTTAACTCTAGGAGCAGATCCATCGTCAACGGGTTTCTCCTGTTCACCTTCATCAGTGGAAGCACTGGTAGCTTTTTCGGTAGACCTTCCGAAATGAGCATCAATCCTTTCGTTGACTTCAGCAGGGATTTCGTCATAAGATGAGTATTTGCCAAGCTCTTGTGCGAGATCCTCTGGGAGACGTTTGGCAAGATCTTTGATATACTTCTGCTCATAATAAGCAGCTATTTTTTGCTTAAGCTCCCTAGGGACCTTACTGTACGATGGGTACTGGCCAACCTCTTCGGCCAGTTCTTCAGGAAGGCGGCTTACAAACCCGGCAAAACGCACCTTTCTGAAATAAGCATCAACCTTCTTAGAGATACTTTTGGGAACGTTCTCATACTCGTCGTACTTGGCGACTTCTTTGGCTAGCTCCTCTGGAATCCGGTCAAGCAAACCGTGGAAACGCTGATTAGCAGCATGCAAATCCACTTCTTCAGCAATATCCTCGGAGACTTCACCACCCCAAAGCTTACGAACGATGACGTTGGCGATTGCCAAGAGAGCAAGGGTGGCCTTAGACAACTTGAATCCAACCATCTTTAAAACTCGCTTTTTTGTCTAGCTGAAAGCTATATTATAACACAATTAATATTTACGCTTTTATGGACAGAAAGCCTATCCGAATGAGATATTCTATGGCACATAGACAAACGTATAATGACGATTCTGTCTATGGTTGTTGTTCACCGTGTCTATACTTAGCAACAGGCAACTATAGCGTCCCAGGTATATAATAGACAGAGTAGCATACAATGGCAGACTCCCTGTCAGAACTTATGTTGTGTTATTAGTCCAAAAACCCAAGATCCAACTACCATCTGATGCTGTGGTGCCTAAGACAAGCAAATGCATGTGCTGTGACGTGAAAACAAATATGTGGGTTAAAGAGGCTGCTCTATTTTGAATTACTACGATTACATTCCCATGGATGTGTTAGGCAACTATGAGTTTGGTTATTCGTAAAATCCTGATTTTAATGCTGTGGTCGCCAGTTTCATCCTCATATTCTAGGTTAGGCAGCTCAACACAAAGGGGATGTACTGCGTAAAATGTTCCTAGCTACTCATTATGCTGCTAATACTTTTGGTAAGAGTGTATTTGATGTTAACAAAACTACACGAAACATGGCGAACGGTGTTACGTTCCCAATCTTAATGTTCAACAAAATATAACCCTAACAACGTATGCCGTTAACTATCCTATAACCATGTCGACACATCTGCTCACATATGGCGATAATTGTTGATACCAATGCTAGAAACGGGTTGGGGCAGATCAAGGAGTGGTGGCTGTGATCTGTAAAATAGCACTTTTATCCCCAGGTGCATACCAACGCATGACCTCTCTACACGGGTCTTGATTACACCTCTTTATTCGATACCTTGCTGCTTAACGCAATCTAGACACTTATACAGAACATCTACACAACATCCTGCCCATTAATAAACTGATTGCAATAACCAATCAAGTTATGGGTGAAAGGGACCATAACGTCGCGATATCACCTTCTTCGACATTTTGCAACTACGTATTTCATACACAGATGAAGTTTACTGCTATAAACTGCCAACACCTCGGTGTAATCGGCTATATAATATACGGGTGATAGACTAAGCTAATAAGTAATAAGAACAGATGTTACTCATAGGAGTTGTATGAAAAAATCCATAGATCAATTCAGAGTCAGGTTATTCTTCCTCGGTTTCGGGGATGCACGGCTCTGGTATATGCTGCCTTGAGGCAGATGCCATAGCCTGCGGTATTGTTTTAAATGCGAGCCCCGCCTCCGTTTCGGCAGGTTGAGATACGTAGACAGCGAAGTCAGACTTCTCCAATTGCGGCCCTACAATACCTGAGAATATTTCTAGTAATCTCAGGTCGTCCTCTCCAAAGTGTAGTAGCTCATCCGCTTGTTTGTTGATGACCTCTATAACTGCAAGAACACGATTACAATCACTGCTTTTGATTGGCACCCATGCCACGTTTCTGATTTCAACTCCAGCACGTGAATCGACTTCGGGTACAAATCTTTCGTCCTCGAAAGCATTTTCGATGACAATGACCTCACCACTAATAACACATTTGCTTGCACATCCGTGACTGAGTGGCACTATGACTTGTGAACCGTCGTCAGATGAGATTGACCAGAGTTGGTCATGTGATCGATCTACGATATATACAGTACATCTTTCAGCCTGTATGAGTTTCCTTGCGTGTGTTGTAAGGGCAACAACGCAGGATTGTATCCCCAATCTGTCTGCGAATAAGGAGTGCATAAGCGTCAAGAGACCATCGGCCTTGTCCCTTGTCGCATCTAATTGTCTCCATCCGATTGCGTTCGAAATACATTGCCCACCGATATCACATATTTGTAAGGCAAATGTGACCATACTTTCATCCCATACTAGGCTTTCATCGTTTATATTTTGTAGTTGTGCATCATCGATCGGTCCACTATCCCCTTCTGAATCGTTGAATGAAGCCGATACTGCTAGGCATGATGGCAGGTCGTCTGTTGAAATACTGTTAGCCACCGAGAAAGAGTTTGATGCGCTGATTGATTTTGTTGAAGTTTCAGGTGAGGGCAGAACGTTTGGGTCCGATAGTCTTTTCGTTTCACTGACTAGTTCCGACACGGGTGTTGAGATGGAATATTGTATTTGATAGTTTAATCTGTCTATACCAATCAATGGGCAATTAGCGATTCCAGCTACACCCCATACTAACTTTTTTGAATCAACAAGAGGGCATACAAGCATATTTTTTGGTTCCACATCTGTATGTTTGTCGAATAGTTGATCATATAATGGATGTTCATCACAATTATCTATTCTTACAAACGTTCCATATGTGAAAGCATGATGGAATGCGCCAGCATCCGGGCTTTGAATATTTTTTTTGTGTAGTACTCCATCTTTGCCTACACTATGTCCCACCCAATCGTTGGACTCCTTATCTGGATAACAAATTTCAACCAATTCTGCATTTAGATTGGTTTTTAGCGCCTTGAGAGTCATGAGTATACATTTTACTGGTAAGCTCTGTGACATGATAGCGTTTGAGAAGCACATGAGTACAACTAGTTGTTCTTTCGTCAGGGCACTTAGATCATACCGTTGTAGAACGGTACTTTCTGTTAATGTTTGTCTATCCAAGCTTGGGATATCCGATATAGTGCTGCCTCTTTCTGATTGCACTAGTGATAAATTTGAGGGTGATCTAAGATGTGGGCCCCGTGTCAACGATATGGCCTTAATATCATCCATGATTGCTAATTCCGGTACAATAGTTATAGATTTCCTTCAAAAATCTTGTTCGGTCGTCTACAGTGTCACACTACGGATATAATATTAATATCCCGTAGGGTTGCGGGGTTATGAATATTTTTTTTGTGTAACGTGCGTATGACGCCGGCCTTTTGTCCCCGAATAGCCAGATGACTAATGGAGTTACAAATTATATATGCTTATCGCATATTCATCCATCTTTATGTTTAAAAAATCGCGGTAAGTTGCTCAATCCACAGCGCGGATTTTCACAACACCTTTAATTGCAACACAGGTGTGCTATTTTAGCGTCAAACACGCTTAATTAAAAAGTTCTTGTACCTTTTAATTGGCTTTCAATCTTCAATCTATCTTGTACATTCAAAATCGGTTAATATGGATACAATTTTCCTGTTTCCTAGCCACCAGACGGGGTTCGAATAGATAATACCATCCGTTGGTTGCCCAAAAGGTCTCGGCGACAACAGGTAATTCACCGAACTCTTTTAATAATATAGATCGTATGTCGCGTAGCTTTTAAATAGCAGTTGATGACGCGGTGGTTGGGTGGGTACCTTATTTGATGAAACCTTCGGACGTTATATTTTAATCTTAGTAATTAAGGACAACTTCGTGCAAACAATCTGCACAATAACGTTCTAGAAATGTTATATGTGTAATACTCATCAAAAGGTCGTGATATGGGTAGGGGCTGGCGTGGTGAGGCAGCTACCACACGCTGATACAATCAGATACTACCGGTTTGAGACTACTTTAAATCCTATCTAAGGTGGTGCAAATAAATCATATACCAAACACACAATACGTGGAGTCACGATGATACCTATTACATACGATGATCGGACAATAGCTACCTAGTCTCTATATATCCAACACTCTCTAACACAACGTACTCGGATAGACAGGTAGCTCATGATAGACACACATAAAGACATTGTTGATCGTTTGCATCATTGAAAAATATTGTCATTGCCACCTTTTTGGTAGCCAATGTTAGACACGTCCTACCATGGACCGTGTACCAAATTGGCAATGTATCGTGCACTAATTCGCAACGGGACAAGAGATAGGGGTCCCCTTGGCTTCAGTGACGATGGGTGAGGTTAGTGGGAGTGCATATGATCGATTTTACTGCACATGTAATCCCCCACAGCCAGTCCCCGCATTGCCATATCAACTATATAATAGCTTTAGTTGATCCAAAAATGCTTATGGCCCAGTATATGGGTAAACTCGTGTGTAACTACATTGTAGAGCATTGCTCGCCTTACTAGGCGATTTTGTACTTCAAATAAGACTTTGCTTGTTCCTACCGACCCTTTACGTTGTTTAAATGCTTCAAACAGTTCTTCGACCTTCGTCTTGTCTAACAGCTGTATGGTTTCATTCAAACGTTTGTGTTGCATCATGTGTATCGGTTCGAACCATTCCTTATTTTTCAGGTCATTAAGAGCGGCGAGGTCACCGTTTCTCAAAATCATAGAAGATTTTGGGTTTTCTTTAAGTTGCTTGATCCTCAGATATATCCAATTCTCAAACGCAATGTATTCACCTAGAACCCAGCGGTAAGATATAGCCCTTCCAACATCTAGCATGTGACGTACATTTTGTCTTTGTTGCGCGTAGAACGCGGGAACTATATTTTTGAGTTTAACTGACGCTGCCAGGAGCAGATATGGGAAATCTGTGTAGTAGTACGTCAGTGATGGTGGTGGCGTTAGATGGTGCATTAAATCTCCAAGTACAATAATTTCTTCTTCTACTGCGGTCATACCGTCAACATTGGTTTTCCTATCCAACAGTGACTCTTCATATATCAGCCATTCCAATAACGTATGTGGAGTAGCTACCATCTTTACATCATTCGTTTTTTTGGGGTATAGAGGGTCGCCGAATGTTCTCATGATACATACTCCGGAAAGGTCTCCCTTAAATCCGCCTGCATGATTTGTTGAACATGGTCCTACATTTAAAGTAATTTCCGATGCTACTACCAATTTGAACAGTTTTATAAGTCGGCAATCTTGTTTTACATTGTTCCCGTTAATAGTTTCGCCTGGTTGCCTTGATAGCATGGCTACCCATTGGCCGATACTTCCCGCTGCTGCCTTGATTCCTTTTTTTTCTGTAACTGCCGCATTATAAACCTTGATTGACAAAGCTATTTCTTCACGCCACGCAGCTATCATGTCCAAATTTTGGTACTGTATCCTACGTGCCAACAACTGCTTGATTAGGCTCTTCAATCTTAAAAAGTATATGAAATATTTATCTTTCTTTTGCAAAAGTGAATTAACAATATCATTTTGTAAGTTCTTTTTGATTTTACGTCCATATCCTACTGGCATTGGCATAAACCTAACAGTTCTTCTTCCAGCTGCCTTTGTTGTTCCTAAGAAATAACCATCTGTAGAAAAAACTCCATCGTACATTGGTGCGCCTCTAAAATTGATCCCTCCAACTCTCGAGAACCCCGGTACATTGCAACTAGATCTGAGTGCGTCTATGAGTTCCTTATCGCTTCTGGCTTCTATGATATATCTGGGTATCATTGAGCGGTTTTGCCATTCTGCAAAATTGATCCTTACTGTACCAATTCTTTCATTCATGGTTTTATATGTTCCCGGTGACACTATTCTGTGAAGATCTTTCATTACTAGGCGATCTAGAGTTCCTGTTGGTGGTCCTTCCATCATTAGGGCGCATAGTGATTCAACTACGTTCATCATATACCTACGGTCTACACCGTACATCATTGTCGCTGCTGCGGCTAGTGAGCCTGCTGAGCTACCTGCCATTGGTGTTGTCATATTAATGACATTGAGTTCGATTAGTTGGTCTACAAATCCAATAAACATGGATAAGAAGAATCCTCCTGGTGAAAGCGATATACCTAAATCTTGTTTAACGGCACCACGTTTCACAAATTCTTTATTAACAGCTGTTACTGTCTTTATGACATCTTTCAGATTTTGTGTTTGTCCTTTCGTTATCTCTTTGGATAGAGAGACATACTTGAGTTTGCTATAATCTTGCAGTATGTCTCGTACTATTTCTACACAAGATACGGTGGCTCCAGTAAACAGTTCAATTTGGTTACATGCTTTCTCTAGATAATCAAAATTCGTTTCTTCATTTTCTTTATCAGCTGATATAACACGTTCCACGCCATCGGCGACAGCATCGTATAGATGATAGAGGCTTGGTGCTGCAGCGGTATGATGTGCCTTTACGTGTTCCGGTGACTTGTAGCGTATTTTGAAATCTGTGTCGTATGCATTGTAAACCGCTTGTTTATCATCTGCAGGTGTTACATAAGATCCTTTTTTCGGTGTTTGCTTGAATACGAAAGCTGTAGGATCTGGGTCCTTACATTCTTCTGTTAATGAGACGAGATGTGAGAGATGTTCTAGAACTTCGCGTATCTTATGATCCTGGAATATTACTTCACAAGTAGGTTCTTCTATATCTATTCCTTGTTCCTGGAAGTATGACCGTACTTGTTTCTTGTCGAGATAATTGATATTTTGACATATATTCCTCGCTGCATAACAGTTATCTATGTATATTCTTGGTCCTTCGAACACCTCTTCGGCATTAGAATATGCTCTAGTGGCGTCGATAGAATCTTGGCATTCATGTTCCTTGCAGAACCCTAATTTGGTCAATTGTTGTACTTTTGCATCGATACTTTTTGTAAGTTTGTAATTTTCTTTCCAGAAATCTTCATGGAATGCATATCTTCCTGATAATGTGGTTGCCATTTGCAAAATTCAAAACAACATCATCATTTTCATACACATTTATTTTTATAGTCGATATTGGTCGTCATTTTAACCTCAAAATTTTAAAAGTTAAAGATATCCTTGTTGGTATTATCTCTATGTGAGAAATATAAAGTGATGTTATTACTATGCTCTAACATATGCACCATTCTAAATGTATATGAGGTACGCGCGCGGCTCATGGTACTTGTATGTCGCATTTATCAGTGCCCAAATGAATCTGGCATGTAAATTTGCTTTATAAACATGTGTTTTACTGCGGTTTATCGAGAAGAATCTCACATGTAAACAGTACTACATAACATCTTTTGAGCTTGTCAACATCCCTGGATGCTACATTCACATTAATATCGCTCTCGATTTGATTAAGGATCAATTGTGATGTTGCAGGTGTACATCGTTGCGTCAATAGTTGTTCCGCTTGACACCTAAAGGGTGTACGTGTCGGCTGGTTTCTCCTTTTTTTCGCTGGAAGATGGCTTCCTGTACCAGCCTTGCCTACGCAACTCTCGCTGAAGTTACTTCGGCGGACGCATTGTTGTACGGCAACTTTCGATATCCAGAGTCGAATGATGTGGTAATAGTACGTGGCAAACAATTAGCACTCTACACCTTGCTCTCAAGATCGGATGACACCTTCGTTCCTTTTGACAGATATGACGTACAAAATTACAAACGTATGACCAATACCGATGGTGAATGTCGTTACGGGCGTTTTGCCACAACGGAGTCTCTGCGCTTCATATCAGAGACTACATTGATGGACGCTCCGCTGGCAGCACATGTGCTACATGACGGCGTATTCCACAGTTACCATCGCATTAATGCTGACATACCATCAACATTGGATGAATATGATCCGACATCGCCTGTCGAAGGAGATGCTGTTCACCCCGAGCCCTCACGGGTGAAAGGTGGATACCCCTTTAAATCGTACAAGGTTTATGCAACCAGTGCTTTGGCGTTGGTATTTGAGAATGGAAGGGTGTTGGTATGTGCGTTTAACACACTGCAAAATGCATTTGTCACTTTGTCGTTACATGTCATCGACCAACGTGTCGATGCGAAGGACGATTCGCAATATTCATCATTACCCCTTGGTGACAAGCAGCGTCTAACATCGTTAAAGGAGACCCATGTATCGGTATGTCAACTCGATGGTTGGCGTTGTGTTTATTATCGTACTATTGGGAAGCAACGTTTCGCAGTATATGAACATCGGTTCGTGATCGCCTTGTGTCATAACGAACGGATAGTCTATCTAATTCCTCTGATATCGGAGTTCCTATGCCCTGCAACAGCCACGGAACATCAATATCAGCCGTTTTCAGAACACCAGGAGGGCGGTGTGCGACCTTCAGACACCGAACACCATAGCATGTTTATGGTCCCCTGGTTAAGGATGGGTACTATAATTGAGTTTGATGTTGATTTAAAGTTAGGTTTATGTGATGGTCGATACTTCGTTCGTGGTCTTGACGTTATTTCCGATGCTAACGGTTGTATTTTAGGTCTTTTATTGGCAACAAAACCCGAGACTGTCGGCACACATGTTGTAGATGGTGTTGACTATGTGATTGGCGGTATGAGTTTCGTTGCTGTTGCTCTAAACAGTGTAACCCGCCGATGCAACGTGGTCCAACGTATTGACAGGTTACCTATGGATACAGTTGAGATTATGGGTGTCCCGAGGTACTTGCATGGTGCACCTACTTTTATATTCCGTTCTTTGGATTTTGTAATGTGGGTTACTTTAATGTCACCGACATTATTCTGGCAATTTGTTTCACCTGTAGGGTTGTTGAATACGAATTTCGATAACAAAGAGAATTGTGGTCATGATTTTGTGTTCCTGAATGCCATGCAACTTAACCTGGACATTCGTGATCATATGCTTGCGGTGGCTGGAGATTACTTCGTATTGGTTCCTCGTAAAAGGGGTTCAATATATATCGGTAAGCCTGTTTCTACGTATGACGGTACATTGCAAGACATATTTTGGTCGAAATTGTCAACTTTGGATTTTGAAATCTCTTCATCACAGTTTGTAACTGTTGACGACAATTTGGAATTTTTGGCTACTGGTAGTGGTGTTTCTATTTCACGTTTTTCGGTCACTTTACCTTCTGGTTTTGTTGAATTCGATTGTAATTCGAACAAATGTGACGGTACAATGGTATCATGTGAAATAGCAATCCCTGAGATTCCCACCAGAGTGTTATTCAAAATATCGCCACTCTACGAGTCCTTTATCGGTTCTATCGGTGACGGTTCTTTTTATCCATTATCTATGATTGCTAATCATGGCGCTGTGCGCGACCCTAAAAATGTATCGCTTCCGGAATTATGGCAGGTAGGATGTATCCGCCCTGCCAAAGGTTCAGTAGATGAGGACCAATCAGCTCGTAAGTCTCGTATAGCTGCTAAATTCAAGGCACAACGACGCCCATATGCTGTAAACGATCGTCAGGTGATCGAGGTGGCAACTGTGGATTACCTATGGCCTCAACAACAGTCACTAATTGGTGTATGTGACGACAGTAAGCTGGTCGTCCTAATGGAGAAATACCCACTCCATACGGTTATATCTGTACCTTTGCAGAGTAGCTCCGTTTTGCTGCCTCTGGAGTATACTAGTGTACAACCCAGTGGCGATGCAGAGCATCTCCGTGACACGCGTATGTTGGTGACATGGAAGGACCGTACCGCTCCAGTGACCCTAAATGACGATCTTTTGTGTATCCAGGGTAACCACCCGTTTGATCGTCGTAAACCGCCTCAAAATGAGTCTGTAACTGACCCTGGTGACCTAGAACTGTCAACAGATGAACGTACTCTGGTATATGCTACTGTGTTAGGTAACACTTTTGCGGTTCAGATAACACCTAAGCAGGCCATTTTCATTGACCTTGTTGAAAATAAGCGTGTTTGTTCCAAGGATCTAACATGTTTCGATGACGTTAGTGACAGTATCGTGTGTTTGTCTGAGGTATCGGATGACCATATATTCTGTATGTTCAGTAGCGGTAATGTATGTGTAATTGGAATCTCGCATGGTCCCACTTTGGCATTGAAAAGGAAAATCGGTGGTGGTATTGTGCGTTACATAAGTTTATATAGACCTAAACGTGTGAACAATGTGTTTGGTGGTCTATGTTTATTGGTTCTAACTTCTAAGGACATGTTATTTTGTTATCGTATGGACAATTTTACACGCATTTTCGCTTTTAGCGGTATCACACAGGTATTCCCGCAGCTCTTCAATGAGGATTCGTTATGTTTTGATATGGAAGAGGTTGAAGAGGATGTTGTAGAAGTTAGCAATTCTGGTAGTAACTGCGCCGTCGGTAAACGTACTAGGGGTTCAAAGCCGGCTGCCACTAAAGTTGATTTGGAAGAGACGTGTACTAAAAAAGGGCGTACTAAAGGACGCAAGACCGAGCCTATAACCAAAGAGTTAGAACCATGTCTATCGGAGCCATCGGATATCGTTTCGCAGGAGTATAGCCAACCGTCGCAAGAATTTGTGTCAAAAACTATCTCTCGATGGAAGAAAGCACGTGAGCATGAGTATACCTTTGAATACGTTTTATCTATCAAAATGTTAGACGTATCACCTACTGACCTTGGTCCTACATTGGTTATACTAATGACAGGTCGGCCATTGCTCATCTACAGGTCATATTTGTTGGCAGGTAAGGACTATGTATTCCAGCTGTTTCCTCACAAATTCGTTAACCCTATCCCGAGTGCTGTGGCTAAGGTTGACGGTAAAGGGTCATCTCAGCAGTTGCTATTGATGCGTTTGCGTAAAACTCGTGCCGTTGAAGGGTCTTGCATCAGTGGTGCCCTGTTGACTCACGTTAACCTTGACCAATTTGATGTGAACCATGTAACGGTATCATATCCTCATATATCTGCGGAGGACGCTGTGTATTATCTTGTTGGTGCTGAGAGTAACGAGCTTAGTGCATCGGCGAAGCCATTGGCACGTACAAAATTGGTTTCCACTCCAGAATTGAAATGCGCAATGGAAGTTCATACTACGCGTTGGAAAAACTTTCGCCCCCCCTCTTTACGTCTAACATCGGTGGGTAACAGGTTACGTCTCCATGAGTATGACATGGAGAATGCAATTGACGTGGAGACAGTATTGGGAGATTCTGAGTCTCGTGTAACATCTTTATATAGCGTGGTTACTCACAGCGCTCGCTACATAGTTTTTCTGACACTTCCTGGAAGCCTAGTGTTATGTGTCCCAGGATCGTTACATCAGGATACCTCTATCAATGGTGACTTGAGTTTACAGGAGATAATAGCGGGTTCTGATGAGCCTGAATATCTAAGTGCGAAACGTCCAGTTGAGACCACCTATAACCCATTGTATTGCCGTTTACGTAGTGATGATTGGCAAGTTGTAAGTGCCGATCTGAGCTGTAGGAGGTTGTCTGACCATGCTGGTGGTCTTGATTTCACTAGTGACTTTATATCCCAAAAGTACCATTTGGGTGATTTACACGGTGGTTGTACGGCAGTATCTCACAAGAACTATTATTTATCTAAAGGTGTGATCCGTGCAAATCGTAACGCTACTATCGCTACTTTACCTTCCGGTAGTGATATCCATGCGGTATTTTGTGGGAAGTTGGTTGGTCTTGTGGTTCGCAAGCCTATCCCTGCAAGGCAGGAGCTTGTTGGTGTACTTAATGATCGTATAAATTTACAACTTCGTCAATTGGAATCTGAACAACTTCCACCTGGTACAAAGCCTATCGACATTATTGAACCTAACAAGCAGATTTGTACATTGATTCAGACTCTCGATTTGCTGCCCAAAGATACATCTGCTTCTGAACCGTTATGGCGTGACACAGTTTTGATATTCCACATGGGTGATTTACAATGTTGGTATGGCGAGTATGTTGTGGAGCCTATGGAATCCGTTCTTTCTCTTACATTTGGCATTATTGGCAACCGGGAATACTTATTAGTCGGTACGTGTACTAACTTGGGTGAGAATGTGGAATCTAAAGGTGACGTTGTGGTTATTGATTTGCAATCTTTGTTCCAGAAACAGCGTGTTAATGAACCTGGCGACGATGTATCTAAGGATAATATAGTGAGGCGTTCACCAAACTGTGTGACCTTAAACCAATATTGTAAACGTATATTCCCCGGTCCCGTTACTTTTCTATCATCACTGAATACCGATTTTGATTTAATATTTCGTCCTAATTTTAGATTCCATGAGGACGTTGCTAATATTGTGAAATCTGAGAATGTGATGATATATGGTAACGAGGACAGTGGTCGTTGGACAGTGACCCATTTTTCACCTAACTTTGGGTTATTTGTGCATTCAGTTGGTCCACGTCTATTTGTTCATGAGGTTTCTGGAAGGCAGTTTTTACGTGGCGCTTTTGCGGAGGTGCCACTATGTGTATCATCAGCCTGTGTATTCGATAAGTATGTTGTCGCCTGTGATTTGAACCAGGGTGTTCATTTTTTCATGTATCGGCATGATGCTGTGAACGATTCTCGTACACTTTGCAAGATCAGTTCTACTGTGAAGAAGGTTGACCTTTCTGTAGTTGCTTGTGCGCCTTTGGTGAACAGTGATGCTTTGGGTTTGGTTATCAGTGACTATTATGGTAACATGTTGTTATTTCGTAGTGAGAGTGAGAAAAGTGGTCGTGAGACTCTTATAGTTTCGTCTGGTTTACGTTTACCTACCCGTGTTACCCATTTTGTACGTCGTCAACCTGATTTCAGGCACATATGGGTTCCATCTGGTGTTCTTGGATTTTGTGCAGACGGTAGTGTGTTATCTGTGTTAATGCCTGAGTCACAATCTTTTCAATTTTTCAAGAGTGTGCAATCGGCAATGGAATCTTTATCAGCAGTTCCGCTTGGTGTACCACGTGCTGAATGCCCGTTATACACTTCACAGATGTCACAAACTCAGGCTGTGTGGCCTGGTGATGAGGCTGTGTTACACCTGGATGTTTTGCGCCAACTACCGTTTCGAAGTGCTTCGTTTCTATCAAACGTAGTGTCGAAACTATCTGAGGATGGTGGGTTGCTTCCCTATCAGCTGCTTAACGCTATGTACAGCACATTGCTGTCAGTTTAATATTCTGATTATATAATGCTACGATGCACATTCATTCAGTGTTCCTTTTTTGTGTACATCGTTGTTTTGGCAGCGATGCCAGATGCCACTGCGTTGATCACATGAAGTTGTCATCGTCGTCTAGATCCTCGTCATAGTACTCCGTCATATCTAGCCGGTATCTTAAGAAACCGCCTATCCCACCGAAACCCATTTGGAACTGCGCTCCTTCTTGTGACTTGTTACTTACAAAGTGTAATGTAGCTCCATAGTTTGAATAGTTTTCTACAATCCATTCTGTTAGTGGTTTGCGATCTACAGTTTCCAGATCTACATTATTCTTGGTATCTTTGAAATCCTCGTCCCTGCGCTCGCTCTCGTTAGAGAGGAAAATGACCGTATCCTCTCCTGTATGTGGGTTATGTAGTGCGACTCTTATAACTTCCAGTGCTTCGAAAACTAGTAAAGTTTCTACTGTACCGTTTTCTAGTGCGTCTATAGTTTCCTTTGCGCCAAATACATACTTTCCAGTATCTTGTGATATTTCTTCAAAGAATTTAGTGATTAATTTCTTTTCTTGTATGAATTTGACGTTTGTTAGGCATTCTGACGATAGTTCTATGGCCTGTTGGAACCCATTTTCACCACCATAAGATACATCAACAATTTTCAACACCTTTGCAGCCAGACGTTGATCAAACATGTCTGATCCCATGAGATCGTTTTTGAAATCGGCACTTCCTGCTAATATGAGTCCTGTTACATTGACCTTATCATTAGTAATAAACATCAATACAGCATTTTCTGCTACTTTCCTTACGTAGTTGTGTCGTCTTTCCATACGTAGACGTGCGAAACGTAACGCAGACTGTCCACCCCTACCGTGTTTCTTTGGAAGGTCCACACTGAACGTATGGAGTATCTCTTTTGAAGAGCCTTGGAGAGTACCGTATAGAGCTCCATTACCATCCATGATAATGAACCCGAATTTATCATCAGATTCCAGCAGTTCCTTCAGCGCTTCTACGTGGAACTTGTTATCACACAGGTACAGTGAGGTGTTTATTGGTTTGAAAGGTTCAAAATCTAGCGACACCCTCTTTTCTTTGCCATCATCTGTGATAACTGTGCCACAGTACAATACTAATCCATTTGGGGGCGTGCGATTGTAAAGTTTCAACTCTAAATCATTGTGAGAGATGTTTTGTAGTGGACTTACTTTGTTGTGTAGAGGTAATAGCACCTAGAACCGATAACCGGTTGACCCGTGATTTAATGTTCGATGCTGTACCATATTCATCTGCCAGCATTTTATTGATCCTTGGAATTTCATCTTTCGGACGAATGATCAGGCTGATCATACTTGTTCCATTGCTGCAGGTGTATTATAAAGTTTCCAATAGCGGGATATCGGTTTTCACGTTCTTTTGCGTGAACCTGGACCCTAAATAATAGTATATACTTACCCTTTGGCAGCTTCAAGTGAGCGTATAAGCTGCTTGATCTTCCACTGTTCGATGTTCTGATCGTTGTCTGCCATTGTAACATTTGCGTGCCATTCGATTGTATAGTACTGTGCGATTTCGCAAGTCTATATATAGCCGCCTGTATTTATTTTTGTGGAATGATCGATGTTTTTGCTTGGAACTTGTTATTATAAACATGATCTTATCTAGGCGCGCGACCTCTACCCACACATTCGAGTGCAATATCGACTCTTTTTTGCCTATCATACAAAGCTCTGACCTTGGTAATACAGCTGCCATATACCTTGTATGGACTGTTTATCCCATAGGTTATGACTTTTTCAACAATTGTGGCACTGTTATCATAGGAAGCTCAGAGAACGGCCATAAAGTACCGCTATTATCGCTAATAAAGCCCTATATTAGCTATATATTCACATTAGTGCCAATATAAGGTGTTATTACGCCACATTCCATTGTTATCTTCCATACCAGAGCTAATATTACCGCCATTAGACGACATCCTTCGTCGTTTATTCACAAAATATAGGATAAATGCCAGTCAAGTGATCGCTCTTCTTGAGTGAGTTGGGGATAAAGGGTTATAGGTCAACCATGGGCCATAGAACCGGGTTATGAAGTGGCTTCAGCCCTAACATAATGATACCAATTCGACCTTTAGCACGAGTTCTTACTCAGGTGCTCTGGATTGCCGGAGGGAGTATTATCAAGGCAACCCTTCGTGCATATAGAGAGTCAATCGCACATAATAATGCTATCGGTGGTTCGGTCTTGCGTAGGCAGATGTCGCCAGAGGAGGCTTCTAAAATACTAGGATTGACATCGACGAAATCTTTACCTACAGCTGACATAGAACGCGCACACCAACGTCTTCGTGCTAACAATATGGCTTCAAATTCATTCCAGGGTTCTCCATATTTGGTGGAAAAAATTGATGCAGCCCACATGGTCCTTAAGCAACATCTTGGAAAATCATAGATAGTTCTCATGCAGTTACGCGGAAGCGACGCCCTATGGCGACTCATACGAATAGTCGCACCTAGGAGACCGTACATGGCCAATGGGATCATATCTGCCATAGCAGCGAAGAAGATCGGAATGGGTAACCCCTTGTTATCTCTTCTGGACGTCAACCGTAGCCATTATCCATTGGATTCTAGCCTTGATTACCCATTGGATGCATCTTCACCAAGATATAACAAGGATATAGTGAGATACGCTGGTTTGACCCTGTCGCATCTCACAAGCTCCGGATTCTACACAGCAGCGGTACACTTGCACAGGTTACTGGACATTGTACAGAGTTCGAGGGACATGATACAGCAGCTTGATTTGAGTGTACTATTAACTATGCTAAAATCATGTGAACGCATATTAAGTGCGAACTACCCCGTAACACGACGAAGAACCGATACTGCCACGACAGATATCAATACGGTTAAGCAGCGAGCTTTAGAATGTGCAAAATATATATCATATCATGTTTCTGCCGTAGGTCAAGGTGAACTAATGGGCGATTTCGCCACGATAATCTGCCGTATGCAACTACACAATCAGTGTTTCACCAAACGTCTTTTAAGTGAGATTGATGAAAATGTCAATAAGTTCTCGACCGACGGACTGATAGGGTCTCTACGTTACTTGATTTATCAGGCTATCAATGACCCACGTGGATATTTGGGCGCCATATATCGCATTTTGGATGCACTATCGGACGCAAATCTCACCTGGGAACATACTATTGACGTATTGGGGTACATGGTACAGGCCAAAGTCTTCCATCCAACTTTTCTTGACAACGTAACTTCAAGTTTGATGGATAACAATGAATCTCTTGGTAATGAGGTCTTAGGTATGGATACAATCTCGAGTCCACAAATTTGTGCTATTTTCAGGGCATTCTACATACTGGGTTATGAAAAACTTGGCCTTATATCAGATGCTTTTATTAATCGCTATAGTTATCTAGATAGACATGCTACTAATGATAACATGGTCTTGCGTGATATGAGAAAATGCACATTAGCGGACCTCTTGGATCTGCTGAAAGTAATACTGGCTAGCGATCCAACCCTTGTCGGAGCAGGCCGGTCGTGGGCGTTGCACATATTACAACACCGGGTTACAGTGCTGGTGGGTAAAGCGTCGTTGTATGATTTACAAGAGCTATTCCATGTGTTTGGCAATCTGGACCCCGAGCTGTATCACTGCATCCTTGCTCCTAGATGCGACGCCAAATGGCACTATGGAGTGGGTAAGGTCAATGTAACCAGTGCCCTGGTATCCAACACACCACTACTAGGACCTAAGGCACTCGCCAAGGCTGTAATATGCTATTCCGTGACATTACAGTGCTATCTGGACATGACCATAAGGCGTGACATATCGCGTTGTATCCAAACCATGTGCTCATACGCCCTTAGGATGCTCTCACAATCATCACTCATCACTACCAAGGTTCTTTCGCAGGCACATAACTTTCAAGATGATGATAGCAGTATCTTAGTTTCATCTGTTGACCACATTACAACGCCAAGTGGCACTAGTGCGATTGCTGACGATCATGCTGGCACGTTTTTGTACGATCCTTCCAAGAGTTCGAACTATAAGTATATGAAATTGGGTGAGAGTCGTACAGATGCTAAAAACAGGGAATCGTTCCGTTATCGGAAACAACTATTAGCAAAGGCAAACAAATCTCAGGATGTTACTGTAGGAATGGGCAAACCATGCAATACGGATACTGAAAGCCCTGTGGAGGGTGACCTTGGACCAGTTGCTAACACTGGAGAATCTACCAACACGCTGATGGAGGTCTTACGTGTGGTGCACCAAAGCTTGTGTATACATCATCAACTCTGCTGTTCCATGCTAACCAAACCCTATAAGGACTGGAGCGTGTCCATGTTAGAAGTTGTAGCAAGGTTTATCAAAGCCTATAGGTTATTCATGAAATTGCACGGCGCCAATTTCCAGTCTATCGAACATGAATCCGCATTATACGGAGTAGATGGGTCCTATAATTCACGGATCGTGAAGGCGTTACGATCAGTGGATCCCGGGTATGTCGATTCGAGGTTCCTCTGTACTTCTGAATCTCATGAAATTCACAAGAACCGGCAAAGGTCTGTCCCTAAACCCAGGGTACTGGGAGCTAAATTACGTATCGTACATGTTGACGTTGTGAAACCAAGTCGTAGCAAGGTACGATTAAACTGGGATCATTTCGACGACCCTTCGGAGCTCAGGCGTCAGACACGCCCTAAAAAGGCGAAAAAACTTCTCGATGGTTTACAAGACGAAATCTATCGCGTTTCACAAGCTGTCGATCAACATGTACACGGTCATCGAGAATTAGTTGAATATTACGATATGTTTGTTTCTAGACATTTTAAAGGCAAGCTGGCGTGTCTCTCCAAGGAGTCGTCAGGGGGCACTGTGACACCAAGTGGGATAACGACATCCAGGATGCACAAACAAGTTACCCAGGCACTAGAATCTATCCCGGGGATACAGCTAGAGGCGGAGGTAGCCTGCGGTGCGTATCATATCGACCTTGTGGCACAGTTTCAACAATCAGCTTAATGTTTATACAATCGCTACGACTTAACATTCATATTATCATCTACCATGTTGTTAAATACGCCGGCAGTTTTGTGCCCCGGTTAGAGCTCAATTTTTGGTCTCGGATTCAGGATCGTTCTCCGAACCCTCCTTCGTGCCAGACTGCTGGTTACCCTGATACATTTGTTGCGATACCTTCCACGATAGTTCCTGGAGACGTTTGTGCGAGTCTTTAAGTCTATCGAGATCTTCAGTTGACATTTGTTGTCGAAGTTCGCCAAGTTGCTCCTCTAGCGATTTCTTGTCATCCTCGGAAATCTTGTCCTTGAAATCGGTCAACTGCTTCTCAACGGCGTAGCAGAGCGTCTCAGCTTCATTGCGAGCGTCAACCAACTGCTTACGCTGCTCGTCAGATTGCTTGAATGCCTCAGCGTCCTTTACCATGCGCTCAACCTGCTCGTCGCTAAGACCGCCACTGCTCTGTATAGTAATCTCCTGCTTGCGACCTGTTGATTTGTCCACGGCACTGATGTTCATGATACCATTTGCATCTACATCGAAGGTCACCTCGATTTGTGGTACACCTCGGGGGGCTGGGGGGATACCTACAAGTTCAAATTGGCCTAACAGCTGGTTATCAGCAGCCATGCCACGTTCACCCTGGTATACCTTGATACCAACTTGAGTTTGGTTATCGGCAGCAGTTGAGAATATTTGGCTCTTTTTGGTAGGTATCGTTGTATTGCGGTTGATGAGTCTTGTGAATACACCACCAAGGGTCTCGATACCTAGTGACAGAGGGCAGACATCTAGAAGTAGCAAATCTTTAATTTCACCCTTGAGCACACCGGCCTGGATAGCTGCACCCATAGCAACAGCTTCATCGGGGTTAACAGATTTCGATGGTTCCTTTCCGAATATACGCTGTACGATGTCGCCGACCCTTGGCATTCTTGTCATACCTCCAACCAATATGATATCATTTAGATCTTTAGTAGATACTCCTGCATCTTTGAGACACTTTTCACATGGCTCAATAGTCCCCTTAAGTAGATCGTCACATATCTCTTCTAGTTTAGCCCTGGTTAGTTTAAACTGCATATGTTTGGGTCCGGTCATATCGGCTGTAATGAATGGCAGGTTGATTTCTGTTTGTGTTTTGCTAGATAGTTCGATTTTTGCTGATTCTGCAGCTTCACGTAACCTTTGTAGCGCTAATTTGTCATTTGTAAGATCGATACCCTGCTGTTTCTTGAATTCGGATATAAGGTACTTGAGTATACGTTGATCGAAATCTTCACCACCAAGTGAAGTGTTTCCATTGGTAGCCTTTACCTCGAACACACCTCCAAGTATCTCCAATATGGAAATATCGAAGGTACCTCCACCCAGATCGTACACGGCAATGGTCTTTCCATCATTCTTTTCAAGACCGAACGCCAAAGCAGCTGCGGTAGGTTCGTTGATGATCCTCAATACATCAAGTCCAGCAATTTTACCGGCATCCTTGGTAGCTTGGCGTTGGGAGTCATTGAAATATGCTGGTACTGTAATAACAGCTTTGGTTACCTTTCTTCCGAGATGTGCTTCGGCAGTCTCCCTCATCTTGGAAAGGATGCACGCACCTATCTGACTTGGGGAATATTGTTTCCCTTGTGCTTCGATCCATGCATCACCATTTGATGATCTTACAATTTTGTATGGTAACGTTTTCTGTTCCTTTTTAGTGACGTCATCGTCAAATCTACGTCCGATGAACCTTTTAGTAGCAAAAACGGTGTTCTCCGGGTTAGTAACGGCTTGTCTCTTAGCGACAACACCGACAAGTCGCTGACCATCATCTGTGAAAGCGACTACAGATGGTGTTGTCCTCATACCTTCTGAATTTTCGATAACTTTCGGCACGGACCCTTCCATAACAGCTACACAGCTGTTGGTTGTACCTAAATCGATACCAACAACATCACCTTGTACTTTTGACTTAAGTAACCTGGAAGTTGTCAGTCTACGATGAGCCAGGGTGGCACGGCGGGCTGGCGAACCCATAGAGAATATTCGTGCTAGGAAGTTCATTTTTATATAACCACGTTTCCTTGGAGATATTTGCGTGAATATAATCGCACCACTATGTTCTTGAATATAACTGTTATTTTGGATTTCACGATCAGAACCAGCTTGGTTGCCAGTTACAGTTATATAACTTTTACTTCGTTAATTTATAAGGATCCTTCGTTGAGCACGAACCCTTTATAATGTCAGAATATCAGCTCGCTTTTGTTAAAATTTAGGTAATGGCCTTGGAAGAACAGCCGAACGCTTATACGCTTACCGGTGTCAAGATTCCATAGGTCATATTGTGGGGAAAGTTCAAGTAACATTTACAGGAGGTGTCAAATAAAAACACATATACTACTCAACTGCTAATCACGCAAACCAAGCTCAATCTCGCGTTACAACCTCATAAATGTCATGTCTGCAGCACCAGAGCATAATGTGCGCCCTGGATATTGTTCAAGTGATGTCGCTCCAATCTCCACGATGATGACACACTTAACTTATCTAAACCCCTCAGACCGCCTCTATAACCATTTACAAAATATAAATGTAATTTTTAATACACTGATTCTATCTGACCTACTACTTTACAGTAACATTACAGTTCTAACACACTCTCTGACTCATAACTAAAATGAGTATGACCTGGCTATTTAGCAGTTGTAATAACCCATATAATCTCAATGTTATTTTTTGTTGTGATTAGTTAATAGAACAACGGTTCCCCAACACACATATATATAGGCACACGGTAATGTCCATGTCTACATCATAATAATTAGGTTATCAACGTTATTTGGCGTATGAAATAGTTCAAAAATATTTTATAAATAACACAAATCTTCAATCCACAGTGAGAGTATTGATACGGATTACCATTGGCGATGTCGCACAAAGAAGATGTATAGATTGCTTCGCTTGGCGATATTGGCTTCAACCGCCGTATTGTTACAAGTGTGTGGATACTACGCTGTAGAAGGGCAATTCTGTACCGCCGCAGTGTGCCAACTTTGCTGTAAAGCTACGCAAAACGGGTGTGTAAACGCGTACACTTCACACGCCAACGGGACGTTGATGAGCAATAATTTGTATTGCGAGGTATGTAACATATACATATAATATGATATATTATTGCAGCAATGTAACTGTGATAATCCACAAATCGGTAGGGACCTGTACCCCGGGATGTGTAAAAATGTTGCAGGATGCGGGTGGGTAGGCAGAAGGTTCAAAAGGATCGAATGTACATCCTGCGGGGTAATAGAAGCTATGCTACAAAAGTAAGTCACAAACTAAATTGTTAATATCATATCTAGTAACCCAGAATTGCCAGTAGCAGGTTGCGGCAATACCGTGGTAGACGGCGCTTTGATATACACTAGTTGAAACCTAGTATATAGCCACATGGGACCAATACCGTGGTTACGCGGGCTATGGCCCCTACGACAGGAGAAAAAAAATATACCCAGCTCTGATGACACTATTGTTCTACACTATAGTCGCTACTGGCTTCCACCACCCATAGAACATAATGAGGAAATGGATGATGATGATATGAGCAATAACATCGAGGTCATATTGGAGCCTTATGTACTGATGTTCTGTCTATTGCGCAGGATAACTAATTGCAAGTTCCGCATGGTACCAGTTGCAGATGAACTCTTTGCAGGCGGACCTATGCCAGCATGTTATGTCGAGGACCCGGAATGCTACAAGGGCGAACCTTTACGTCAGGAGCGCCTGATGCAATACCTACTTTTGAAAGCGGATCCAATATCAGATGAAGCAAGACGATTGCTAAGAAGTGAATTTAGACTATACGATAGGGAACGGGGCTCCGAATCTCCAGCAGTTGCACATGAAGATACCACATACTATCATAGCAGTGGGTCACTGTTGCCAGTATATGTCGATAAGCACTTGAGGTACGCCGTGCTTTTCCTCATATGGGTATACCCCAAGATATCGCAAAACGTCACAAAGAGCATAGTGTTAAATTCAACACCGTGGTTATATGGACACTACGTGTACTACACAAGGGCCAGGGAAATAGCGCGAGAATGTGCTCAATGTGGATATTCTAACGTCGAATTTACATTGAAAGAGTTGACGTTAATGCTAAAGGAGCTACAGAGGGTCCTAAGAACTGCCACAAAATCAATAATACACAGGTAAACTACCCTATATATAGCTAATCAACTTACTATAGGCCTGGATATTGGACGGAAGGTTCGGTATTTGCCAATCTAGCATTACTCTTCAGTATACCATGTCATGGTATGTTCTACCACCCACTTTTTATAGTCGTTATAGGTATTGAGGAGCTGCTTTCATTCCATCGAGAATTTTATGATCTAAAAGCTTATTGTGTTACAATCAACAGGACATATAATGTATGTGGACTACAGCCACCCTTCCTATGTGGGAACACATTCCCAATCAGCCACTTTATCAAGGAGAGGTATGGCCCATTAACATTATTGGCCGGTGCTTGGGAAAAAATCACAAGCCTGCCGCCACTGAACCTACTTTACTAATATATACATGATTAATATACAAAGGCTTCAATTATGTTATATTAACAGTTCTATTGCACTTTGGTAAATCAGGTCACCTGAATAGATCAGGTCTATAGCCATATTTCCGCAGCCAACCTTCTCTTGCCACTTGTTGGAATGCCATTTTCGACATCCTAGTGAACCTGAATACCCCGTGCCCATATCCACCGAAAATACATCTCATACGTATACGATACAAGCCGACCTTGTTATCTATAGGGATATGCCCTTTTAAACCCATATTGCGATATACCACCTTGTACACCCGAGTGTTCACCTCAGACTCCCGAAACACACGACGCGATAAACAATCACGTTGTACCCAATTTTTAAAAGCAGGAAATCCAAAAGGTGGATCCAAAATTATAGGTCCAGGGTTACGTGCAGCCATAGTGACTTTACATGATATCTCGCGATATCAAGGTGTGCGACACTAATGGTCACATAAATTCAGGTTTCAACGAGATGAACTTGATCTTCTTATTATCCTTATCTTCACTACTCATAGTACATTTCTTTTGAATCACATTCTGTATTCTACGGAAATCGTCATTCTTAGCAGTGATGTTGAAGTGAGCAAGGACACCCTACACAACATAGTAAGACGACGATGGAACACCTACCTTCACCGGCACTTTACCATTATTCTCACGTAAAAAGGCTAAAACACGCTCTTCGATAGCCTGGAACCTATCGATATCCATTTTAGGCTTCTTGGTTGGCTGCGCCTCGGGGGCTTCCTGCGATCGCTGCTGTTTAGCTGAAGATGATGCTTGAGAACCCTCGTCCTCTTCGGAGTACTCCCGCAACTCCTCGTCAACTTCACGGTCGATCTGTTGTTGTAACAGCGTCTTCATTTTCTACGAAAGCTCACACAGATCACGATATATACACTTACGTGACCGTATAACGTCAATTGAGGCTGGTTAAGCGGGTCATCTCCATCATCTTCATGCTCTTCCTGGGGGTACAACTCTTCATCATCACTTGGTGCCCCGTCATAATCCCATTGGATCTTGGTAACCTTGTTACGGGATGATGGCTGAGGTGAGCCATCACGTGGAGCCTCCTCAGGCACTGTTATATCATCAAATTTGCCTAGTCTCTTTAGACGCTCATCCATTATAGTTTTGCTCTGAAAATCAATTCAAAATTAACATGTGATACATACCGATGTCGCACGCGGCTCCGTAACGCTTGTTGGATTTTTAGGTTTAATTATAGGCTCCAGCATAGTATACTTAGATACTGGGACTACCATAGCGCTATTCTGGCCCTATACACAATGAGTCATACGAAACACATATAGATACCTTATCTTCGATTAGCATGAAATAACAATCTGTATCAACATTTCCAGGTCTAACTTTAAAATCTCGCGTTTCAACTTGATCATTACGACCTATACCAGTACCTCTCCAGCATTCTATGTTCTCTTCATCTTTCGCTGATACATTTTTGTCCTGTCTCGCTTTACAATTTCTACATTATATGACTACCTTTAAAACGGGCTCCAATGTATTCAAAGTGAAATGTTTCATCAAATCAGACATACATACTACTCCAACATCGAAATGTTCAGGTATATTAAGTCTTAATTTAGTAGTAAACCCTTGCTCTTCAGGGGTTGGTTCAGGAGCCTTCGGTGGCTGGGATTAATATATACCTCATTTACATCTTGTACACTTACCTCCACACGATACAACTGTGGTTGTTGCTGTGATACTGCTGCCTGTAATCTATGTCGTCGTGGTTCCTGGTTACCACGCGCTGGGTCATTAACGTAACCACCAATAGGCACGTAGAAGTTATGCATCTTGACCTACTGTATATTACCAAAACAATTATATTATAGTATAATACCGCAATTTCGCAAAACGGATTCATATATACCCACCGAAGCCCATATCATGAGGCGATAACATCGATCTATATCTAGCCCTTATTTTCCAACTCTCATTATATATGCCAAAGCTATCTTATAATAATCGATTTGTTCTATTTTTAATATCGCCATTTCACATTGGCATTGACCTATGTGTTATTGTTTAGCCGCGTAACATGGGATATCCACGACCTAGCATAAAGTCAATTTATTTTCAATGAACAAAGCTCCAAGGAAAATTATTTCACTGCAATTGAGTGTGTTACTTCAAGGTGTATACTTATGGATGGAAATCGAGAAGATTGTACGACATCGCCAATGGATAATGTTTCCGTGAAAAATGCGGAGGGGGATGCTACCAAGTCCACGAAGAAGACATATTTCTGGCAGGATCCCCAGAAACGACAGCTTATTCGATCATACCAAAGTAGTTTGAATGACAAGGGATCTTCCGCTAAGGAGGAAAGCACTGCGAACGACGATCATAACAACCCCAATATATATGTACTAAGGACGACTAAACAAAAGACAATAACCTACGAAACATATCGCAGACAAAAACATGTTCGTTAACTAATACCGTATCAACCCAGTTCGTCAACATACAAACTAGATGCTTTAATATTGCACCCTAAATATGCTATCGCTGGAATCCCGACACATATCGACGTTCACGCTCCATATCTCAAAACACCACTTTATAATGGTGAGTATCATTTAGATAGTGAATCATCCTTAAATGATGAATGGATGTTGGCAGTAAATGTTGTATTTAATATATCGGGTGGTGTAGAATCACTTACGTTTTAAAATGATATGTTATAGTCACGAACAATGAAACTTTTATAAGTCAGTTAATATCACGTTTGAGATTTCTGTAGATACCAAACGTTTCATTAAGTAGAGACTCTGGAACAACATGTGATTCAATCTGCGGATATGGTAACATTTCTAACAATATAACCATTTTCTCAATAACTTTTCAGATAATACCAGGTTGATCTGCATATAGGCCACTGACACTTCACCTGTGTAATTAAACTTAATGAGATAACTGTGAGGTGTCTGATAAGAAGACATAGATGTGTAGTAGGAGGAACTGAGCTATTACCACGACAATAGATTGGTCAATTGGCGAATATATTACACAAGTGGATAGATGGTAACGCCTATGTATAACTATATATGACATGCACGACACCGACTTGTTCTAATGTTGTATAGACGCGCGGAGAATCTCAGGCTAATGAATTATACGTGTCCTGGAGTGCTGCCACATCCAATACGTTGGATATACTTTATCTGTAAATTATATTTTAAACAGGGATATTTCATTACTGTTAACGATACACGTTTCACACTTAAAGTTAGGTGAAGTAACTTTACAGACACTTCTGTCGTGTATTTTGTAATATACAGGCATTTTATCAACTCGTCGTAAATTACGACAGTATATTTATCAAGAAAAAAGACAATCTGCACCCTAGATATTACGCGATTCATTGATAGTATCAAGAATATGGCAGGGCTCAAGTTGCCAAAATTAATCATTGCATTTCTTGCAATCTCCACATTCATCGGCAAGCAGTTGGTAAACGCCGATATTGACCATGGTTTGGAACCTATTGTTGATTATCCATTTGTAATCCCAGAGACTGCAGACGATGGAGAGGACAACCAGGTGGACTGGTTGAAATGGCTCATTAATGAGATCGGAAACGTTCCTCACGACAATGATGTTAGTCACATCACAAGGACACGCGCATTCAAGCGTATGCATCAAATCATTGACCTACTACCACCGCATCTTGGAAGGCTACTTAGAGTAAGAGATGTATTCCATGTTGATGAGAACTTGGTTTACCAACTTTCGCAACAGCCTGCTGGAAAGTTGAATGAAACCTTGGTTGAGGGACTTACAAGACATTTCATCGCAGAATTGCTATGGCAATACCCAGTATACTTCAGTGCCGGCAAGTATCACATAGATTGGGAATCACAAATCAAAACTGCTATACATCATATTCTATCGGTGGCAACGTTGCCAGAGATTGACGAATACTACGTTGCCCCCGAGTTCACAGACGATATCGCGGAAGAAGATGGTGAAACTGCCTATGAGGACCAATTCGATCAAGTCTTCCTAGGTGATGACAGTGACTCATTATCTACAGTTTCGGAACAAGATATAGGGGAGGTCGTTGAATTCGACGAACCATACCTAGAATCAGAAGATTACACACAGGAGGACAGGGAATCGGAATATGTAGAGTCTCATATGGACACTGATGACTATGGATACTCATTAACTGAAGATACCACATTAACTGAAGATACCACATTAACTGATTCTGAGTCGGACGATTACGAGGTTTCAACAGTTGAAACAAACAAGAAACCCATTGAAACTATCGTATACCCCAACTTCGCTGAAGAGAAAACCGGTAATCTGGTTGGTTACCGTAAAAAGGATGAGGAACAATCTGGATGGTGGAACCACGTAATTGTTGGCAGGCGGGATGAGTCTGATCTACGTCGTGGCTACGCTTACTTCAAGCAAATAGTTGACCGTGTGCTTGAATACGAGCCGGAGGTTGAGTCATTCCTACAATACAAGGATACCGTTCAAAGTCTTAAACACATGGGTGACATTCATCCACCTACTGAATTGGCTCAAGAAATTGCTGCTTTGAAAGCTGATGATGTGCCCACAAACATCCCAGAAGATATCACGTGGAAAATCGCGCGATACATCGCCCAAATCATATTCGATCAAACCTTCAACCATCTACCCAACGACACGATCGGAAACGTTCAAAGGGAGCGCCATTACAAAATTTTGAAGTTCTATGTGGTGCAGGCCTTAGAGGCTTAAACACAGCTCAAAATGGAACGATTCAACGGCTAACTCATGGTATAACACATACTATAACAGCAATAAATGAAGACCAAGGCCACTGAAGCATAAATATACATTGCCAAATGCAATCTAACAATTATCAATTTTAATAGTTATTCTCTCACTGAAAGAGCTTAACGCGTGGTTCGACACATATAATGGATCTCGTTAATAGAGTTCTAGTTTCTTTACCATTTAACGGGGGGCTGAATATTCATATTTTATTTTCGATAAACTGTGTGATGTAAATCCCCGCAGTAATACATATCAGAATGTCTCAAACTTATATCACATTGTGATTAATGAGACGTGCCGATTACAGCAAAAAAATGTGTTTTCCCATTGTGTTCTTTTTGTAATAGACCACTAATATTCGTGGAGAATATAACTTGTTTTATAACATCGTAACTGAAATATTAACATGAATACTCCAACATACTACTGATGCTGGCGCATATTAAATTATAAATCTATTATATAGAACACGCTACAAACATACATGCTGTTATCAATAGTAGAGTTTAATAGGGCAATGCCTGATATGACAAATTTTGGAAAAACCGAATAACATTTTAGGGATAGTAAGAAACATATACCGTATAGATTACGGGGCTAATATAGGTGGATGATATCACTTAAAAGCAACTCAAATCCTTAAGTTTGATTAAGATTGAGCCTTTGATTGCCTAGTTAATCATGTCGTTGTGTTTATCTACAACCACAAGCTATAATAGGCCACCTTGTGGACCCACCAAGCCGACCTCGCCTTTTCGGGTAATGAAAGCGTCATTATCTTTTCTTATTCCCTGTTATTAATTTCCCCACAGAGTTTATCGGAGTTGCATGGTTCCTGAAGGTCCCTAGAGAACGGGTATAGGCCAGTTTCTCAAGGGATCAAACCCACCTCCAATAAATTTCACATACTCACTGGCATCATTTTGTCAATCTAACAAGAGGGAATTATAACCCAATAAATATTCTTGTTCTGTATAATAACGCCAAATGCTCAATATAAATTACCAGCTATCACTTTATACAGGAATAATGTTCCTCAACTCGGTCAATTGAAAAAATGGTTTACGAGAAGTTAACGGAATGCCCTCAAAACCTGAAGGAAGCTATTGACTGGATATTGAGGGTCACGGGTAAAGATAAAAAAAGCAGTTCCAAAGGTAAGTAACAATATTATAATGCATTATGACTATCATGTAGACGGTATAAAAGGGTTGGCTGAATCGGTTCTAGCATTACTCCAGGACATTGAGTTAGAAGGTGATACTGACCTTGATTTATTTAATAAATTTAAAGATGCATTGAAAAAAGACGTCATCCAAAATCCCAGTTATGGTTTAATAGGTCTGCTTAGTGACAATCTGAAGACCTGCATTGGATACGCCGGAGGGGAGCTAATGGGTAGTGGCATTGGTTACAAATTGGTTAATGGATCAGTTTCCGCTTCTGCACCTAACAAGACGATTTATGCGTCCGCTTATAATCAAACCACAGCTACATGGGAGAGCGTAAAAAGCAGTAACGTTAATATGGTCACTTGTGCCCATATATTTCTCGGCTGTATTCCCCTTATATTTTCGGGGTTGACTTATCTCTACTGGCAATTGAATGCTGGGACCGGAGGGAGTTCTCCAGCAGTTAAAGATGCTAGGTGGAGCAATTATAGCTTAGACGATGTCAACGAGGAACTCGGACGATATATGGAATCAGTGGGATACGAAACGAAGGAGCTGAGTACTATGACTGCTGAGACGGTCACAAAGGTGATGCAAAGTATACGAAGCAACAACGTCGCGCTGACTTATTCCGAGTACGTTTCAGGATTGTTGACGACGGATATAACCTTGGTTCGAGCTTACTTAGGCGCGTCATGTTATTTCAAGGATATAAGAAAACGTGAAAATTTTAAACATATGAATCATCCAACCAGTGTTCGTGATATGCTCTTCTGGTTTACGGCGTTGCCTCAAGCATCAGTTTATAGCAGACTTAACCCTGAAAATTTGCTTAACTTAACAGGAAAGAAGGACATTAAGTTCATCAAAGGACCAAATGTAGGTGATATTTTAACTGTAAACGTCGACCTAGTCCCTTCATACATCTTCACATCGTGTTTGAATGCCGGTTTATTGTTACTGCGAATACAAGGTCAATTACGTGGTAACAGAGAACAATCGAAAACTTCCGTACCGTACGCCGCATTTCTACATCAAGTTTATTCGAACAATTACCTGAAGTTATACTATCCATACAATATATCCGAGTTATTCGGGGTGCTCTGGGAAATGGTAACTATCCTCTTTTTTCAACTCAAATTTTTAAAAATACAATGTACAACATGCAATAGTGTAGCTTGTGGGTGGCGATGGTGTAATTACGGTAAAGGCATCCAGGACGGTGAAATTAACTCATGGATATGTGAGGACTCAACACAGCAACATGATGACAAATGTGAATCTTGCATGAAACACAGTCAAGAATGTGGTCAGAATTCAAAAAATGGTAAAAAACATTCCCCTCTTCATGCCTATCTCACTGACAACCTTAAATGTTTTAAATGTGAAAACAGTGAAACATCTTTGCCATATTATCTACATTCACAACATATTTCATCCAGTCAAAGGTGTCATATACCCATGGGCTTTCTCGAGACACACTTCAAAACCTCCAGAAATGGTGAAAATCTTCGCGGTATTTTGAAAGGAGCTGTCGACGAATCGATCGGTCACAACAGTATATACAACATTATAATTTCTCTATTATGCTTTAAATTGCCTACGCCACTTACCGCAGGGGACTTATTCGGTTTTTTTTTGCGCTTAAGTGAAAACATGAAGTGCAGTGTTACGATTGTCGGACGTAAAGGTACCTCAGTCATAGACAAGGAAACTAGCGTTGAAGGGGAACTTATAAGCTTGATCGAGGATGCGCCTGGAAATTATGATGGATCATTCCTCACGTTGGCCGCTGAGAAGCTGAGTGGCACGAAGCATACATCATATGGAGCTACTCACCTCAGCTGTTCTGCTAATCTCCATAGTTTATATGACAGTGAAATGCCCAGAGGAGGCGGAATTTGCGGGAAGTATCTCTCTCCCGTTGCATTGGGAATATACAACATTTTGCGTCTGGAATTTGCTGAAGTTTATCTGTCGTGGTTAATATATTTAACCGATGAATTCCAGAATTATTTAGAAGCATTAGTCAAAGCATTCAAAGGTATCGATTGTAAGAAATCTGGTTGTATGAGCTGCAACGGAACTAGCGCGTGTCAAAAGGGTAAACATGCTACCGACCGTTGTAATTGCCCAAACATTGTAGAATGCGCTGGCGTTCTTCCTTTAATGCATAAATTTGGTTTCACTTATAACAGTGCAGAGACTTTGAAGGGGTCTGCGGCCACGAAAGGCGTACAGGGTCCTGTCTCAAACAATTCAAGAAGTTGTTCTGATTTCTGCCAACAGCTGACTAATGTCAAAGATGGCCCATTGAATGAACTTATTATTGCAATTGATCATTTCTTATATTCGATTCGAGAGGGTTGTCTCATCTATCTCACTTGTTTTTGGTTCCTCGGAGTTTTGTATCTTACCTATGGTTTAACTATCCCATTGGATGTGTTACGTCTTAAATCTCACTTGAGATTTTCCTACACTCATAAAATTTTGCCGTTCGCTCTGTTGGCATGGAAAGCAGTTTCTCCATCGAGTACTCATTATTTCAAACCCTAAACCCGAGATCACTATTCTCAGTGATTTCATTTATGATATTGTACCATATAAGTTTAATATTTTAGATGTAGTACATTAAAGATATATAATATGATTAGTGTACAGATAAAACTATTATGAAATGTAACTGCTAATTATGCTGTGTACTATTGGACATGCCCTAAGGCACTTACTGACAGTGTAACAACTAGGTGGTTTATTTAGAGACATATGGTGTTTTATAGCAATTTATTTGTTTATATAGATTACTACATGTTTTTAAGCGTAGTATTGATTCGTTTCTGGCATGACATGTGTTTTTCCCGAGTTGAGGAAGCTTGAGAACTCCTCGTATACAGAGGGCTGAAGCTTAACCTGCCTCCACAGGTCTGGTGTGAGGTATCCGTAGGTAGCAGATAATGCGGCAAAAACAGCTTTGAGGAAGTTTCCTCTAGTTTTAGTTGAACCTGATGAGCATGAGAAGCAATCCTTGATACCGGCGAAAGACAATAGTTTTTTGGTAGTTGGGGCACCGACGATCTGTGTTCCCCTTGGTGCTGGCACGAGCCTAGCCCTTACACTTCCACACTTTCCATGTACCTTCATAGGTACAGTGTGTGGCTCGCCAATCATGTTACCCCAGTATCCACGTCTTACAGGGATAAGTGATAGTTTGGCTGAGATGATAGCTCCTCTGATGGCTGTAGCCACTTCCTTGGCACACTTTGTACCCAATCCACAGTGTCCATCGTAATCACCGATAGCAACGAATACTTTAAATCTTGTACGTTGTCCGGCGTTAGTTTGTTTCTGTACTGGTACAATCTTGACGACATCATCTGCTAGCTTCTTGTCAGTGAGTGTTGGTTGGAAGAAGTAGTCGACAATTTGGTACTCTTTGATTGGTATAGAGTGTAGGTAGATTTGTTCAATAGATTCGATGAGTCCTGCTGATACTAGTCTTCCAAGTTTTGTTACTGGTACCCAGCTCTTGAGGTCATCTTCAGCTCCACCACGGCCCCTGCGGCTACATGGGTTAGTAGATGTTATAAAAGTGTTTTATGAATTACAAACGGCACATTTATGAATATAATATCGTATTTTGATGTATTACAATGCTAAAATTGTGCATACCTTGAAGAACCGCGTCTACCACCGCGTCCACGGCCGAACCCAGAGCCGAAACCACCACGTTCTGCGTATACATGTCAAGAATCCGCTGTAATATTGTCTTACCTGCCATTTTGTTATTGTTCAATGTATCCGCTTGTCGTTGTCTTGCTGATGAGATTGTACTACTCGATGGGTATGTAACCCACGGCGTATAGGCTTATGTGGTTGCCTTTATATAACGACTTTAGCGGATTATAAACCCCGCAGAGATGATATATTGAGTGAAATAGCCTTGCTAAAGGTGCATTGAGGCAAGTAACACTCCCAAAAGCTGCTTATGGGGTCACTAGTCAACAGGTGGAGTGTAACCATATAGGTTAAGATGTGTCGAATTGTTCGACACACATTATTATAATAGTGTCGAATGTTTGTAACTGACCTTAGTTATATGAAGTGTATCATTTTTGGTATGATGATTTTTTCATCATTCGATCTCTGCGCCCATTAGGTTACACCTCGACAAAGTAATCACCAATCCCTCTAGTAATGATACAATCTATCCCTTTGAAAATGATGGAACACATCAGCACACCAATATCTCGTTCTGCTACGCCATATATGACCATATACTATCGCAGGCTCCAGCGTCGGTTCTGGCGTCTGTCGTCGCAACGTATTTAAGTCGAACTGATAAAAATCCATGTTTTTCAAATAACACTGATATATAGAACTAGTTAACCTTTCTGTAGCTGAATGTGCGTTATTCTATGGCCATACACCGTTGTCTCGAGTGTATGAGCTCGGCATATAATAGAAATGCGATTGTGATATTTTTTGTAATAATGTAACAACTGTTGTATAATGTTAAGCTATACACGGCTTGTTGTACTATTATGTGTTTTGAAAGGTATATTGCCGCTAGCTAGGGCATCGTCTCCGGAAAGCGTGGTTGCCGAGACTGCTGGCGGTAGCCTTGTGACGCAGGAGTTTGAACGTTATAGTTTATATCGTGTGCGACTATGTAATGTGCCAATTCAAGCTAACGCGGAAGACTTCCATGTTGAGCTTATAGGTACACAATTTGTTCATGTATGTTTCAGTACCTATATTATTAATCGTACTTCAGATTACTATTGACGGTAGTAGTGTTGACTGGAAGATTCGTCTAGATAAGGTATAACGTTCTTATTGTTTTTGTTGTCACATCGGTGTAGAATATCCCTCCATCAGTAATATTTTATCCGGAGTTCAGCTTAACTATGGAAGAAGTTAAGGGCGATGTTGCTGTGTGGTAAGGTTCCTTCTTAATGCACACCATAGCTGGTCAGGATTGTAGACGTGCGGATCCCGAAGTATTATGACCTTCAACCTATTACTCTAAGTCGTGAAGAATTATAGAGATGGATATTTCAAGGTGTCAATCTCCTTTAGTCAACAGGTTAACAACAACATTGACGATTGTACTGTTAGGCTGGTGGATAGCTCTATATCATTTCAGCGACCGAGATAATGATAAATCTTCAGTTGTTACTAGACTTCATGGCGTTACATGGACTCATGTGCTACCACATTTATGTTCACTTGGAAAAGAGCATGTCCATCCCTTTACACAAGGTTTACTGTTCACCGGTCAATACACGTTGTTGGAATCTTCAGGTTTGCATTCCAAAAGTTTTCTGCGTGAGTTCTCATTATTGACTGGTCTTACTCTACGTCGTGTTGATTTACCTTACGATTATTTTGCTGAAGGTGTAGCTTTGGTGGTAGAGCCTAGTACCCTGCGTCTACATATCATGGTACTCACATACACCAATAACGTGGTATTGGTGTATGATTACGAAACATTTCGCCTATCCTATATGTATCGCATGAATTATATTGGTTTCGGCTTAACATCGAACTACTATATAAACTGTCTTGATTTGGGAAAGTTTGTTAAACGGCAGAGGGTTTGGATGACCACTGGCGGTAGTGAATTGATATCTATTGGTATCCCATCATCGTTCAGCACAGGTTCTCCTACCGTCGAGGGTGCTGTATCTATTATGTTGAACGGTTGGTCTTTGCGTAACGTGAACGAGATGGATTTTAACCATAAAAGTGGTACTATTTATGCGAACATCTGGCAAAGCAACTATATAGTGGAGATAGATGCTGATACTGGCAACTGTATAAATATGTGGGATTTAACGTCTATAGCATCACAGCAACCACATGATAGTGATGTGATGAACGGTATAGCATGTCATCCATTATATTCAGGTTGTATTATTACTGGTAAGTTATGGCCATATTTATATAACGTTGAGTTCAATGAACTTGGCCTAACTACACGTGACATCCCTTCTATTTTTTACGACACTTTCTGTAATCGTCCTGCTGCTAGTTCAGGATATCAAGAAGTGAGTTGACGAATGTCTCTACTCGTACAGTACCATTTTCTTCTACTAGGTTCATATCATTGAAGAAAGCGTCGATTTGTTCATCTGGTAGATGGTGATTTGTCTTCAAAATGTATACTATGGTCCCTTTACTAATAGCTCCTGTGCTACTAAGCCCCTGATGTTCGTATAACACAAATTATCTATTGACTTACATTAAATAATTTTGTAAGTTCCTCTTTTGTATATTGTTTGTTCCTTAATGTGTCAGCGATTGCTGAAAGTTGGTCTATTGTGACCTCGTTTGCTAGCACATCATCACAATCGCTATCCCTTTTTAAAAATTACATTTAAGCTGCATTTCTGACTCACCTTACCGCGACCCCTAATGCTGAGATTGCATCTATAGCTTCGCTCTTAGTCAGCACACCATTTGACGAGGCTCCGAAGAGTACTGCTGCTTCTTTTGCCTAGAATTATATTTGTCATAAATTAGATCTATATACTTACTGTTACACCCATTATTTATTTTTTTTGCTATGTGTACTCTATGTGTCAGTGAGCATGTCCATGCGCAGCGCGGTACACACTGATCCGGCATCACATATCCGTAGACATTTTTTGCATATGCATAGCTATATTTGTGGTGAAGTTCACATATGATGTTATATATTTTCTGCAGATTCTGTAGTTGATATATAAAAAAATTTTGTAAGAAGTCATTGCTAGACAAATTTATACAACGTCGTTCTCATGGCCAGTTGGTACGAGCTTTGCTCAATCGCCCCTTATAGGTGGCTTCAATGGTTTCTGTAACGCCACCGCCATCCGGGCGGGAATCCGGGCGCGGTTTAGCGATAACACGTACCGTAGTATTTTTTGCGGTAGGTTTAAAAAAATATTTTTTCTTGATACATATATATTTTTTGCAGACCTATGCCCTCGCATCACAAGCAGAGTATACAACGACGGTTCTTACTTTGAAGTTATGGTTAGTACAGAAGATGAGATTGTATATCCAAAAATGTATCAGGAATACAACACCTGCAGTTGCAGTTTTTGCAATATGCTGGCATACACTATTACTATTCCTTGCACTATGGGCGCATTGGATGTGTACATTGAGCGATCCCGGTCGAGTTCCTTTAATACACGGTAGGTTTATAATGTCTATGGGTATGCCTCATAAGATTGTAGATGAACAGGTTGCAGAGGACGCTATAAGATATGGATTTACAGATTGTCCCAGATGTAAATCCGTCCGTCCACGTCGTGCTCATCATTGCAGTGTTTGCAAAAGATGTATCCTCCACATGGACCATCATTGTAAGTATCTTGCTATTACGACATCATGTCCACATTTTCAGGCCCATGGATTGGTAACTGCGTAGGATTATTTAACCAGAAGTTTTTCATCCAATATACAGGAGTAGGTTCCAATATCCGTTATTTTTGACAAATATTTTCTGTAGTACGTGTGTATTACTGGTACTACCGAGTTGGCAATAACAAGTGTCGTTGGTTACGAGATGTACCAATTATATAATAACGATGCAAGTCTCCTTCTTCGTAAATATGGAGCTTCTTGGATGGTAGCGAGTATTGTACGTTTTATCCCTTATCCCGTACATTGTGTATCCAGGTACTCTACTTCCTGGCGATAGTGTTCACGATGTTCACCTTCACGTTGTTCGTCGATCAGATTTACAATCTCTATCGCAACACAAGCTCGATAGATAAGCTTAAGCGTATACCTCCTCGTGAGCAGAGTTTTATACAAACGCTTACGCATGTATTTGGAAGTCGTCCTAGTTGGAAATGGTAGGTATCATTATGTACATATTTACATTACCCAGGCTTTTACCCCTACCAATGAAGCCTCATTATATCAGCAAGACACTGTCTCTGTCGGATATCATTGCCCTATCTGTATTTGATGATACAGACGCTGTATTAGCCGACCGCAATCATGAGTTCATGGGTTTAACTGATGATACAACCGATACCCCTCGCCGACGCCAATGGTTGCCAAAGTGCAAGTGGCGTTGTAGAAAGAAGCAAAATGCAAATAACACATAATGTCTAATTGCTTTAATTTGGATTTTACATTGTGCTCATGTTGCTACGCGCGCCTTACACCTTCAGGATTCCTGAGCAGGTACCACAGTGCTATTCTATCGGGGTTATTCACACCAACCCGTATATAGGCACTTTTCAATACATCTAAGCAATCGGTAGCTATTGTGCTTCCTTCCAGCTTCTAAACCATCGTTTATTATATATTTTATGGCTACCTAATTATGTGGCTTTAGATTTACACATTTATTTTCCGAATTCGAGATTATATACAATTATTTCGAAATGTTTTAAATTGAAATAGTTATTCGGTTATTTTTTTGGCCATAGTCAAAACTAGACAATGGCTTCTGGTGGATGGTCCAGTGAGTTGCCATTACCGGCACCAATGGACGCTGCTTGTGCGGCATCATCGCAACCACAAGACCTAAGTAGTGATCTCGGAACACATAGGACGATGGTAAACCTCTCAGGACGACCTCCTAGGACCGAGGCACCAAGCTCGGTGATCGAGCGTTACAGCGGAGCACTAGAGATGTTAAGGAACCAACTCAGGAGTAGTACCGTTACTGGAAATGTGACTTTCGAGGAAGAAGATATTAACCAGCTTGAAAATGCCGGACATCTATCGACACGTCAAAGGGACCCATCACATCTTATCCCTATAGAGCGTGACCTATGTGCTAGAAGCTCACTGTTCTTACAACAGCTACTGTTACGTGCAAATACCGTCTCCACTTCAGTATTAGACGGTGTACTGTCTGACGATGAAGTGATCAAGCGCTTACGTCATTTGAACGATAACTTCGAGTTCGGTAAACGTCTATATCTACCTGAGGATGATATGGCTCCTGAAATACTTAACGTGGTACGTACGGCATCGGCAGTGTTCAATGGTAGCTGTGTTACTACAGTCATGTGGCCCTGTACTGACGTACTGGTTACCAACGAGGACCGCGTACGCATTGCGGAGTCGACAATATTCGAAGCATTGCAAATATATTACCTAAGGAAACATAATCGCCAAATATATGTTGAGTGGGACGGTACTGCTTCTGGGTCGAAAACCGATGCTGGGCCGCTTCCCGTCGACGTTACTGACGCAGTTGTTGTTCGTGAGATATCGGATACTATATTAGACGAGTTGCTTGCAACATTATGGTGTGTTGGATACTTAGCGTTACATATCCATACTGTGGGTTCCGATAAGCTGAGGTCCTATGCTGCTTCCATCATTGGTGATCCTGAGGAGTTGACGTCCAAATTATGGGAGTATTACGTATCATTCACAGAGCATCTGACCGCTCGTTTTGCAAGGATCAAAGCCGTAGATGACACTTTGAAAGACAGGTTAAGTGGCCGATTGATCGTTGAGGCACACGGGGTACTGGTACTACAATGTGCAATTGTCAAGGCGATACTTGATATCCATATAGGCACGCGTGCTATGAACGTGGAACAATACCAAAGTTATGCCAGTTATTTTGGTTCTACTAATTTCCAGGGCGTATTCACTACGGCATGCGACCTTATAGGTAAAGATGAATGCTCCCAGTCAAAGCTCCTGATCCATGCGTTACATGAACTGCAGGCGCTTGGGTCATTGTTACTTAGTAGTTTCTACATATATCGATGTTTCGTAACTGATAAGAGCCCCGCTAACAGAGACTCGTTTATAACAGAGACAACAAATTGGATGAAATCACAGTTGAAGGAGATGGTTGCATCGGATAACAAGGCACGTGCAATTTGTATCTTTTCATACACATGTTTCCTGCAAAGGTTATCTCAAAGTGACATAGTATGCAATATTGATAACGAGTTCGTTGATGAGGTGTCTAAGCACCTTGACAAATATGTGAGCGGTTTGGAATGGGTAACATTATCCCGTGATATTTTGGGAGGTATTGGATATTCACAGGTTAGCTCCGATAATGTAACAACATTTCCATGTCGTATGTTGTTGATAGAATCTCTGTCACAGGTCATCGCCACATTCGGTATTGAGCGTTTACCGGGTTTAGACACAGCTGTCAATGCTGTATGTTATTTGGTTGGCAGGGATGAGCATCTTGGACGTGGTCATCATGTTACTAAGGTCTCGCTTTTGGACCGAATTAGTAAATATTTGATATCACAGTTCCCATTTGGGCTGAATACTCTATTCCAACTACTGGGAGCATTCTTGCCGTCATGCACTGGGCAACACGACGACATATCTATTGACAGCGAGTGTGCTACTATGGAACATATTGTTCGATATCTGCTGACAGAATTCCGAACTATAGTGGTCAGTCCTATTACCGCTCCACTAGAGTATAAATCTGATACTGGTGAGATCGAGTTAACCGAGGACGTTTATATCGGTGTCCAGTTATTGCATATGTTAGGTCTAGATAAGCGTATGTTATTAGAAAACTGGCTTAACTGGGAAATGGGTTCATGTTTGTTTGTATTACCTGCGGGTACTACTGGTAAGCAGGTGATTGTGAACGACTTGAAGAATTTATCGCTGAATGCTACGGCACCGTCTAATAGGGACCAGGAAGACCTCTGGGTTGTTGACGCTGGTATATCTACGTTGTCACCTAACCATTCCTTAGGCGCGTTATGGTTACAAGAAGCATCTTTGAAGAAGAATGGCGATATGGATTGTGGTATACGTGGATGTAGTTTCGACTTGGAAAATACCGTGCCTGTTGAGATAAGCGCGGGCCATAAAGGTGAACTAGATCGAGGAAATACTAAGTTCACCCTAATACGTGCTTTATGGCTTATTTGGAGGGGTACCATTTTAGCCATAGCAAATAGTGACCGTGATCTCTCAGATCACCTGTTACGTACATTTGTAACAGCCAATTCTATGTTGACCGGGTTAATATCCAAGTATCCCCGCGTGATGAGCTTGATAGAGGACCATGTATCCTCGACATTACATATGAGGGAACCTGAGAGTCAATACCCCTTTGGCCCTTCTAGCATAATATTCCATTATGCACTATTGTTCCTCGTTTGTTTGAAGAAGCCGCAACTTCACGTGATGTTACCTGAGGTAATCGACGCTTTAAGAGGTTTCCTCATCCCTACTTATGTTGTCCCTGTTGGTGACAATGCTACGGAGATCGAGTTTAACCGTTATTGGATATTTTTACAGTCTCTCGAGTTCTGTTCTCAGTACATCTCTGACGAGGGTGGTTTATCAATATTCAACCTTCTGGAACGTGTGATGCAGGAACAAGAGCGCCCTTTGGGTACCTATCCTGTAACACGTGGCGTCCTTAAGTTCTTCAAGGAGCTGCTTGTGCAATACCCTCCTGAGCTTTGGATGCTTAGTGGCTGGCACCACGGCATGTTGAACATGTCACATACCTCTTTGGATATGGAATCTAGCAGTATAACTCATGGTCTAGGGTTAGGTTATCTATCAACACTGAAACGATACGTTGATACCCATTCATATAAAGCAGCTGAACTATACGATCCATTCCAATCTAAGCTGTTATGCGAGCTATTTAGTTATACTTTGAAAAGTGTGTCTAATGGCCTTGTTGAATCTGATTTCAAGGATAATGGTGAAAGGTTCGATATTATGGGTGACATTGCCGAGATAACCTATCTGACATGTCGTATATTCCGGGTATACAATTACGACAATAGTAAACCATTTTACTCAGAAGCGTATAATGAGGATTCATGGGTACAAGCGTTAAACGAGCTCATTAACCATTTGCTACTGACCCTATCCGCCTCGAATTATATAATGGAAACTTTGCGTACATTGACATATCAACTTGATCTGCTACATTATCACGAGACACAGAGTGGAGGGTCACTGGTCATGGTAAATGCCCTGGTCTATAGTGAATCTAGCCTAACATTTTTCACAAACAGAGTCCTTCTGAGGCGTTATATAGGTCTGGATATGCAATCGGATAATCTACCTTTAGGTACCTATGCATTACGTTGTCAATCGAGTTACAAATATCGCTGGTTCAACCATCAACAACGAGTTTCACCATTAGGTCAGTCTAGAAGTATTTTGGGTAAAAGTCTGAAACTCCTTCGACAACTCTATATAACAGCTTTACCTCCAAACCGTAACCCGCTGTTTACTACACTCGCCGAAACCCTGGGTTCAACCTTTTTTATGAAATGTCGTACGGAGATTGACCTAAGGGGTCGTTTTTTGACCGGTTCTCAATATCTGGCAACCTGTAAGGATCCTGTAGCATACTTTGCGATGCAACAGGTGACCATGATGTCTATAAAGTTACCGCAGAGTTCGGTTATACAATCCATGGTGTTCCACACCTACACCATCTCCACGATCTCCTCTGCCACGGATATAATCTCTTTGTACCTGTTACTATGTGAACAGCGTAAAATACGTACTGGTGAGTATCTGGATACTTGGATTGCTAATAACATGGTTATGTTACAGCAGCTTGGTAATATCCGTAACTATTACGACGTTATATCCCAGACTAACAAGGATGAATCATGTTTCTATGAGCATTTGATAACAATGTTTCTGGATCCTCGGACCCGTAACTACGAATCTAGGATATCGATATTGCAATTCTTGTTAGTAGCACTGAGTACTTGCAGCGGTATGGAGATGTTATGGCGCAACAACGGTGTTGATATAACCGCTCTATTGGAATTTATAGACTCTGTGCTACGGTACCATTTATTACATGGGCGATCTCATAACCTTGGTGACGTTACACTGGCACAATATTCCATGTTGATATTCTCGCGTTTAATAGAGCTCTCTAAAGGGCAACACAAATATTGTTGGAACACTTTGCTACAATCTGTTCGTGTTCTAGTAGATCTATGGCGAAGTTTCGATTCGAATTTATTTGTGGATCCTGATGTCAATTTCAATCAGCAAAATGTTGTCCCTCGTACTACTATGGTCAAAGAACTATGGTTTGATAAAATAGAAGTTGACCTATATGTCGACATGAACGATTCGATATTGGAACGTCGAATCGGCCTACTGCGTATAATGGGCTCTATCTATGCGATATTAGATTCTCTGAAACTCCAACTTGGATATTTGCAACAGGAAAGGACACCGAGTGACGATTTCCTGAAACTATTATCATTTGTGACGATGAATTGGGATTTCATGGATACACTCTTTCCAATAGTTGTGTACGACTCTGGTTTCGTGGATACCTATGTGAAAAACGACGTTACGGAGAATAATATGAGGCAGTACTACAGGTTGGGTCTATGGTTGGGTGAAGATTGTTTGACTCCGTTATCCCGGTGTCTACACTACCTCAGTGATATGAAGGTACCATATTACCATCTTTTGATGCAAGGTACTTCGAATGGAATAATCGAGCCTTTGGATATATCAGCAATACTTTCTAGATTCAAAACCAAAAAGTTCGATGTTAAGGATATGTCTAAAGAATCTATAACTTCAATATTTCACTCTTTGCTCAGTGACATTATCCAGCCGCCAGAATATAACGGTCTAGATTCATTGAATTTGGAGAAAGGTGTGATTGGTAGAACAACAGAACCTGGATTACACAATTACAGTTTCTATACATTCGGTACCTCCTATGAATTTGGGCACGGCTATCTCATGGATGTAGAAAAGTTTCACCATTTCTGTATAGTGCTACTGACATCTTCCGACGAGAAACTGAACGTGTTGCTTTGTCATGAAATCGCTAGTGTACGCAACTGTATAGAGTTGGTACCATATATCGAATCTCTCAATGAATTGAAGTCTATGATACTTGGTAAATTATCCAATTTGGTTACTGTATTCCGTTCGGTCGGTTTCGACTTGACATTACGAATGAAGAAATTGGTTAAGGAAGATCGTGGTATGTGTGACATAACATCACGAAGGGCTTTATCTTGTACAATGGACCCTTTCCAGATGTTCGCTTTCAATGGTACAATGCTACTACAGTTGATACTTACACGACCAGATTGCCTATCAGAGCATTCTCTCTATGTCGGTCTCCTAATCGACTTATTACGTCTAATATTCAAGGATGGTATCGACCTATCTAAGTTAGAACATAGTTTTATCAATTACTATGAATGTTGCGGGTCATCGGATAACGACGATAGTGGTATTGTGGACTATATAGTGTCCCGTGATATGGTAGGCGCTACGGATCCAACAGTGGCTCCCCGTGTTAGGCAAAGTTCTGACCATGATATTGTAGGACAGGAATTCCGTCTATTTGCTGTGAATGTGTTTGGTGGTCTTGTGGCCCAGATAGCTCGTTGTATATTGGAATTTAGTGACCATTTCCCAGCGATACTGAATGTGAACTTCACATTACCTGTGGAACAGAGACGCCCGCTTAAAGTTCGCCTAGCAGCTTTGGAATCATGTCAATACTACCATGGCCGTGGTCATAGTGACGATGAGGATTCTAGTGATATATACAGTGGCGATATGGGTGGTAATCGTGAGTGTGTCTGTACCTATGCCGTTGGTAAAGGTATAGAGTTATCTATACTATCTGTATGGTTACATTTCAAGATGTGTTCATTTTTCAGCCGTCTGTATAAAATCTTATCCTATGCCGCTAAGAAGAGCCATGAGCTTGGGCCTCGTGGCGTCCAGGACGGTATCCTGGATGACTACCAGCGTGTCACTAAGTACTCCCTCAAGAGCTTAGCTACTAGCTGTCACAAGAACATTACGGCTATCTGTTTCGAGAATGATCGTTTATTGCAATCTTTTGTGGATCGAGGTATATTGCAGAATGGTGAATATGAATCAGCTTTTGTCTATATCTTAGGTCCATATGCATGTATATTGGCTCTAGAATCTATAATATATACCGATTTCAATTCAGGATTCTTGCAAGGGTCCGGTTATACCCATATAGTTAATTTGGCAGAATCGCTTACTATGTTACCATACACAACTTCGGCATGTATATCGGATTATCTGATTAGACTAGGTAACTTTGTCAACCCTATTCTCTTGATGAAACGTGATAAGGAGTATGTAGTAGACTGTTTGGGTAAGGAGCCATTTTGTTACGAGAACCGTAACTGGTTACGTGCGGTACTATTTAAATTATTTGAGCGCGTCAATGGTATGTTAGTGCGTGCTGCCTCATCTAAGTCTCTATTGGAAGGTTTTGCTGATTCACAGTTGATAGAACGGATATATCTCTATTCATTTTTATCGATATTTGTACAACCACTGAGTCACGTCAACCCCAAGGTTATACTCTCGAGCTACACGGGTCATAATATGGACCATATAAATGGCAACTGTGTTGAAGTTATACACAACACCGTTACTCTATGGTACCCATCATACCAATATTACCGTAACGGTGCTCCTGTCCGGTGTCCTTACCATTTGCTTCATTGTGGTCTACTAAGATTCGTTGTTGATATGTGTAACTCCTACACTACCGAGGTTGTAATGGATACCCCAAATTTCCATGGTAGCGTGGTACCGCTGGTAATGGAGCTGTTACATATGTTACGTGAGCGTACTAGGCATCTTCTGGATTCGGAAAAGCTAACTATGGCTATTCTTGAAGAGTGTCATGTAATATTCGGTTTATTACGTCATGTACCAAGTTGGCACAGGTTATCTGATAGCGACATTGCATTGGTTCCCTATTTGATAAAGCACGCGAAGCGGTTCTTTTCAACATTAATGCAAGCTTTCCAAAGCGGGTTAGAGAAGATATATGACCATATCCCTGGTTGCAGTATCGTTGAATCTCCGGAGTTATTGCAAAAAGAGCCCAGGGTCAAAGCTGCAGCATGGGAATTGAAACGTCGTGAACGGAAATATGGTTCCTATAATCAGCGATGTCTATACCTAGCCTTAAAGATTATAGAATCTTATGTAACTTTCCTATTGAATACGGATATCACTTTGGGTTGTGATTGTGATTTACCACCAATAATGGACCACTTTGTGAAAAATTCAAATGTAAATAGGCGAAAGCGGTTATCTGGTGTAGACCGTATAACATTCCAATCTGTTTTACAAGGTAGTATAACAGCAAGGATAAGATGTATTGTGGATCAGCCTTCAGTTTCCCCAGATGAACCCTCTTTCGAGTTGATGACCGATGTCTTTGAAACGTGTGTTGATATTTTCGTTTGGTCCCTGCGTCTGTGTAAGGAGCTGCATAGCGACAAGGACCCTTTTATCTATGCGGTACGTCGACAAGCCGAGCTGCGGTTACCGCTAAGTTTATATATTAACGCTCGAGGCGACTCTGTGCAAGAGCGTGTGGATGGAGTGAGCTATATAGTATACAACGATAGGGTTGTTACACCGCACCGACATGTGGATGTGGCACCTATGGATGTCTCTTTGGGTGAATTCCAGGTACTATTCGGTTGTTTAATCGAGAAGAGTGTTCTATTTTGTTCACGGGTGGTGAACACTGCGTTCTTGCAGAACCAGTTATACCCCTATGAGGATCGAAGGTTGGCTGTAGATTGTAAGGTATCACGTGAATCTAGAGATCATGTGGATGTGAAAGGGACGCCTTCGTTCCATTCTACATTGACACTTTTGCAGAACGCATTTTCAGAGGTCGACGCAAACTCTGCGTACCTCTCAGGGTCGACTTCCAAGTTCTGTAGCGTGTTAAGCGGGCACATATCACGTCGTATCGCGCAGTCCAAAGTGCTCTCTGAAGCTTTTGGTGACACTTATATCTACCTGGAACGCTAGTCGTTGCATGGTGGGTACTCCAGTGCGGTCTTTAGCGCAACACTTTGTCAATATATCGCACCTTTATATTCATGATAGAAGATAGTGTACCAGATTCCATAGTATTCAACGAGGAATCCGCCATACGGCGGCTCCTGGGCGACGTAAGTGTAGAGTTGTTACACACACATGTATGCTCAGTTTGTTGAGCCCGTTCCTCTGGTCCAGGTGGTCGGTTTGGGTACTAGGGAATGGCAACAGCAATTTGAGTATTTCCTCGATCGCAACAAGGTGCCATACGGGTCACTGGATTGCGCTGCTTTCGCAGGTATGGTTAGGTAATGGCGATATTACTCTCAACAGAATGCCGGAGTAGCAACCCTTCTGCGCTTATGCACTATGTATGGTCACGGTTCGTATTGCAGCTGGTGAATAGGGTCTGTGCATCGTTTCCTCGTGAGGCGTTCATGAACGGGAAGTTGAAGAACAATGAAGTGCGTAACTGTCTGGATTTCGTACGACTGTTACACTCACTGACAACTACTGATGACATCCCGCAACCGGAAAATTCTGTACGCTGTATCATACTACTGATCCAGGACTATCAAGAGCTCGTGACGTATGAGCCTGCGCTGCTCAACACTCTCCTAAGGATTCATGAGAAAATAGCCAGGGTACAAGATACAGATCGGTATGTCAATGCTGATTGATGACTCATAATTTACAGCAATAATATAAGGAAAATAGTGGTGATATTCATGGGACCGTATCCGGTGCCTCCGGAAGCCGTGAAGAATGATTTCACAATACCTATGTTGCAACTAGATGTTCTGGATCAAGGAACACGCACAGAGCGTATTATAGAAGATAATTCGGATTACGCTGTGAAATTGGCGAGTATAGTGGTACCACAGCTGGGCGATGAGGTTGTCACGTTCCTTTGGGATGGTTATGTCCACTACATCATAGGTGTTATGTATCCTTGGTACAAGACAGACTCTACCTCCATGGAGTTTTATTGCAGGTATGTCACTTATTACGAGCCATTAATGTTTTTATAAGGTTATTATGGAATATATTTCTGGACCCTTTACGTGGCTGTGAGCGTCCCAATGGTGAACAGTTGGAAGAGTGTCTCCACCACCTCTGTAAAAGCGTGGATATACATGTGCGCAATGTCATATCGCATCATCAAAGCAGGTTTATATGTGACCTCTACGACAGTAGTGTATCTGGTAGCGTGCTCGCGGGTAAGCGGTTGCATAAGTTCCACGGCAGCCAGCTTGCGAAGTACCTGTTACTGGGTGCAGCCATATCAACAATGAGCAACCCGGACATGATCCGTCGTCGTATATTGCATAAGAAGAGCCGGGATATTAACATCGATTCCAACTTTTGGTGTAGAAGGCGGAGGTTCGACTTCTGGACATGGATCGCAAATACCGAATGGTTATTGTCATCTAATGAAAATGACAGGGTAACGCTGAATCATGTATTCTTTGCTCAGGTAAGTATAATGAATATTTTGTAATATAGATTTCATAGATGATGTGGATAATCAATGAGGGCTATGTGAAGACACTTAGTAATATCGCATTATGGAGGCGGCTGCCATCATCCCGTGGAGCCAGGTTATGGCGTGTCTCCGACGTACTACCTTCTGGTGACTTGCCATGGCGTGACGCTCTGTTGCATCACAGTAATACTGAGATGGGTGATTGTTTGGGCCAGATGCTGGGTACTACATCCCGTTTCGTTCTTTGCGTAAGTTATGCGTCACACCATTCACATGTAGAAACAGGCTCCGAAGGACATGATACTGTCGGTTGTGAAGGATTTGAATATAGATATGGCACAATATTTCTTCTGAAGGCGGGTTTAACAGACCCACTAAGCACCGTGGTCACATTCACTAGAAATAATTATGCACATCAAAACTAGGCTAGCACACTCCGTGCTACGCGTTAATATCAGCGCCTCTAGGCGCTGGTTTACAACGCCGTCGTATGATATCTTCAAAAAACTAAAAGACAGCTCTGACGGGAGTAACGCAACTGGGCAGACACCGAATGACCAGAAACGCAAACCTTCTGACCGGGTAACCATGTAAATTACAATAATTTAAAATTCTTATATTAGGTTATAAAACTTGCGGATGAAATATTGAATCTCACATTGATAGAATCCGCTGATCTATGTGACTTATGTCAAGAGCGTTTGGCAGGTATACAAACAGGAATATAATTTTCTATATGTTAATAGGACCTAATTTCAATGCTGGATTCTTACCTGGAAGAACACCCTTTCCACATCCACACACATTCTTCTCAGGTATTAAATAAACCGAAGGTTAATATCTATGTATCAGGAGCTGGCATGATGCCTGGAGGGTTCCCCGGCTTTCCTACCATGTATGTTATCGAATCTCGTGATACCATCTGTTATAGGCAACCTGGTACCCCCAATGTTCCGGAGCAAACACCAGCGCCGACCCAGCAGGCCGACTCCCCGCCGGAACCATCGCAAAAACAACGTATGTCAACATATAGTTCTATTACAATGTTGATTTAGCAGAAAAGACCACTGGCACGCTGACCCTGGTTGGATTTGATGCCTCAAAGAAAATAGCGCTTATCAAGCTAGTACGTATCATCACCGGGCTGGGACTCAGAGAGTCGAAAGAGCTGGTAGAAAGTCTACCCAGACAGTTGAAGAAGGACATGGCTATAGAGGATGTACAAAAAATGGCAAAAGATATAGAAGCTGCAGGTGGTACTGTTAAGATAGATTAATGACGTTGTGAATCTAATGATGATACCGAATCACCATCAGACACATAGTTTCCCGAGTTACCCCTATACTGCATGGTTCGATTGTAGCCAACACGTCCTCTGTACCTAGAAGGTTTACGGTAACCGTAATTCTCATAGTATCCCCCCTCACGGTAAGGTGGCCCCCTCTCACCGTTATACCGCGAATCGTAGTAGCCGTAGTACTCCGACCCCTGAGGCTCCTCGGAATGCGGGTAATACGGAACCCTCGAGGGACCGTGCGCGTTGTCGAAAGACCACCTACCCCCCTCATCACGGGTCGCCTGTGCCGTGGGACGGTGGTCGGAGTAGTAGCTCCCACTATGGCGCAGTTGCGGGGGTTCGGCATACCGTTCACGCGGCGGGCTGTACCTCCTATAGTCTCTAGGTGGGCTATACTCCCGGTACTCACGTTGCGGGTTGTATTCCCGAAACTCGCGGGGAGGGCTGTAGATGCGGTAACCGCCGGAACGTGAGTGCATGGGCCCCTCATGGACCGAAGGTACTGGATGTGGCGCCTTTATTCGAGGACTCGAGGATATCGGTAAGGGGGCCGAGATAGGTGACGCAGCACGCTTCTGGACAGGAGCTGCCTTCACCTGTGAATGATGAATTGGAGGCGGAGTTACCAGACGTTCAGGTCTGACTACCTTTTCAACATGCCTTGGTACCACAAATGATTCTGGCGATTTAATACTATCCGGAGACTTCTTCATCTCCTGGGATTTGATACTTAAAGGTGATTTAACAGTTAAAGGTGTCTTCTTCATCTCCTGTGACTTGATACTTAAAGGTGATTTAACAGTTAAAGGCGACTTTATTGTTTCCATTGACTTTACAGTTTCCGGAGACTTACTCATTTCTGATGATACAATATTCTCTGGCGATTTAGCAGGTTCAACCACAGCTTCCTTCTTCCGCTTAGGGATCTTCAGAACATCGCCGCCATCAAGCTTAAAGGACTCCAAAGAGTCGTTTGCCTTCAAACTACGCCAACTCTCGACATTCCTACTCAAACGACTCCTTATAATAGTACGTTTTGTAACTTGTTTTGGTACATCATTTCGGGTTGCCGACGTACTTGTAACTTCGATGGTTGTTTCTGCAACCTTTGATATCCTCGAACCTTTTGGAGTTACAGGACCACTCGCTACCTTCACAGGAACACGCTTATCATCCACCTCCGTCGCGCTGTCGTCACTCACGTCACTAAACAGACTGGGCATATTCTTAGGGTCAAAAGGCTCAGGTACCACCGGCTCCGGTGGCGGAGCTGCTGGTGGAACTGGTGCTGACACTGACAACGGTACTGACACAGCTACTGGCGTTTTCTCTTTCGCAGATGCTAATGAGGCTGATCTTGTCACCCGTTTCGTCACTGCTGCCGTCTTGGCCTTCGGACGCTTTGGTGTACCCTTTGGAGGACGGCCACGTTTACGCTTCGGCGGTTCTACCTCAACCGGTATCTCTTCAACCACTGCAGGTTTCTCTTCTACAACCGCTTTAGGTTCATCTTTGGCAGAATCCACTACAACTGTTGTCGATTCCACTGGCTTCTCGACAACCGGGACTACACCGCTATCACTCTTTATAGACGAAGCACGTGATACCACAATATCCGATTTAACCATTTCATTACTCACTTTCCGTTGTAATGGTTTAACCAGCATCTCCGACTTGCCCATTTCATTACTCACTTTCCGTTGTAATGGTTTAGCCATGTCAAATTTGACGAGATCACTGCTCAATTGACGTTGAAGTGTTGGTATGGTGGTCTCTCGTATAACTTGAGGTGTCGGTCGCATCGGTATTGGCAATGCTTGCATCTGTTTGATTTTTTGATAATCGAACTTGGCTAGTACGGCGTTTAAGCTGTCCATATCTACATGTTCTCTGTGACCTTCCTGTCGGAGTGGTCTGAAATCAAGTAGACCTGTGTACCTCAGTTTGACAGGTATCTGTTTACGAAGGTGTTCCAAGTGTTCCATGGACGCTGCACGATATATCTCGATGAGGGAGTTGATGAACTCCGATGGAATACTGGATGTAAGATATGAATACTGTGCCAATTGCTCCATATTTTGAAGCATGCGATAATAATAATTAGCCCTTAGAGCAATTAGCTCTAGGGTTGAATAGATGATAATTTTACGACGGTCGTCATTTGAGTAGATGTTCTTATGTAACAGGTCCTCTAGGTCCCGCTGTAATGTCCGAAGGTCATCACAAGCCCCAAGGTGATCTGCATTATCAGAACTACTACCTAATAAACGACATGACGGTGGATCATCACGATTACGTGAATCGTGTGAACGTGCTGATGCAGAACGAGTTTCATAACCGCTGCTTGCACCCTGTTCCGTCTGTTCCTCCTGCAATTGTTGAAACTTAAAATGAATTTTCGGCACTAGTGATGTTACGATATCACTGATAGTTTTAAGCACTTCGCGTACACTAGATATATCGGTATGATGATCTGGTTCGAATTCATCCTCACTGAAGGTTAATTCCAGCTCCAATGGCGAAGGGTTACTCCTTGCCAATTTTGGTGCTGCTTTAACACGTCGTTGACGTTTCAGTTCACATGAATCCGGGTCATCATATATATCTGCGAAGCGTCTATTTGCGAAACGTAACCGTGGGTCTATACCGCTTAATATAGCGGACGACCAACGTGTTGTACGGGTTGGCGCCTCTACTGATGTAGTTGGTTCATTTTCCGATTTGTAAGCATCATCGGATCCTGCCACATCCGGTTCATGTGCTCCATCAGGTTTGTCTATATTGTGAATGTCATCGCAAGGTTCTGAAGTTGGATGCCGTGATTGACGTGGGAGTGGTTCTCCAGACGGTACCACCGTCATTGACGATAGAGTTGTATTATTCATATTGCATCACGATACTATCTTAGAACTAGCATTCAAAGGTTAGGTTATCGAACGAACACCGGGGTGTTATTACAAACGCGATGCCACGACGACAAAATAACGTGCGGGACACGCTCATAGAGGTTGAATTAGCTACATTTATGCACATTATTATATGTATGCAGTTATACAATAACATGCGAAGTTATTAATCTCCAGTTTATTAACGAAAATAGGTGGAAGGCTACGCACCCTAGGTGCGGATAACCCACGGCCACAAATCAGTGTAACATTATCTATACATGCCACATTCATGTTTTATATTACACAAATGGACCATATTATGGTTATTACCATATTAACGGCACCTTACAGTGCATAAAATACAAACACATTGACGCGACAGTATAGACACACAGCTCAATCGCCGCGAGGAATCTAGCAATCTGGACCATATCCAGAATATCTAGTAACAAAAAAATCACATAAAACAGTAATCAAATATATTACATAAATATATCATATATCAAGTTACTTATAACAATGTCAACAACGCATAAATATCAGAAAGATTCGAGACAAGGGGGCGTACCCACAATCCTCAATTCAATCCACATACATACACATAAACGATATAAGCGAATATTAATAAACAGTAATCACAAAATCGACCTAAATAAACAAAACGAATAGTGATAATTAACAAATTTCATTCAATTAAAAAGGTGTCATACCATTTAACCATGGTTAAGGATCATTTTGGACTACAAAACTTTGCAACACGACAACAACACTGTTACACATCCCTATAGAATTGGAAATTTCTATCGACTGCCCATTTTCAACGATTGAACACTTGGCACACAATACAATTTCTAAGATAAACAATAAATTGCCGAAAGAAAGTTATAACAACTTGCTCTCGGAGAGCAGGCTATATCTTCAAGCCCGCAAAATGATCAAGCGCATTGCAATATTTAGTACCATTATGGATGTACCTAATACTTCGACATATTCGGATATCAATAGGTGACCTATACAAGCAACGGTAGGAGAAGATTGTCAGAAAATGTGAATATATACGGATGGATGATAATATGCTTTCGAGATGCATTGTTAAAACTATCTTCAAAGGGTCATGGTTTCACCCATGGGTTGCAACATCGCAGGGGTACATATAAACAGTCGATAGGTTATATTCCACATTTAAAAAATGGCGATAGTCTGTGAAAATTGTGGAGAACGTGTCACGGCGACAGACGACGACGAGGAAATAACCTGTAATGTATGCGGGGTCGTACAACTCGGATACTCACAAACAGTTGTGGAAGGATATAAATCATGCTATACACAACCCACACGTTTAAGACGGGTTAAACCCAGTACTCAGACGAGCGATGCCTCCGAAAAGGATGACGATACTGAAACACGTGATTTCAGAATCATCATGGGTATACAGATGGTTTTAGAAAACCTGTGTAAAACTTTAGTCAATGCATATGGGTTCTCCAGCCAGGTTGAACTTGAAGCTAAGAAGTTATGGACAAGGTACCTCACACTAGTTCTCGAAAATGATGTACCGGTAACAAATATGTTCTCGGATCCACTTACTAAAGGACAAAAGTATTATGTAGATGCAAATTACATAAAAAGGACATTCCAAATACCAAAAAATTTAAACATGTACAATATCCCAAAGAGGATGATCAATGTCATAAACGATATGGGACTCACCAGCTTCGAATATACAACCATGCTAGGGTTGACCATATTGAAACAACGCAGAGAAGCTAAAACCAACCATCACGCATATACGGAATGGGAATTGGATGTCGAGCAGTCTTCAAAGAAGAAAAGGAAACCGCCACCAACATATGATTACAGGGAAGTCAAGGCTTATCTGGAGGACCACGATATGTCATCAAATATAGAACAATTCTTTGATACCAAGGTGGAACTCCCACAGTCACGAAATTGCACACCTGTCGGATTCCCAACATATATACTCAAAAGCTTAATCTCACACAGAAAACTACCAGCATACTCCTCCGTAACATCGCAATTCTGGTCAAAAGATGTACCACTACACATAGATCAACATAACCCATATGGAATCGCACAAATGGTAAGATACACATTAAATAAATCAATATCAACACAGATGCAATTACTATATCGACATGATTTTATATGGAGGTTAATATATACTCACCAAAATACGGACCCTTTAAACGGATTTGAAACATTTACGGGTGAATCAGGAAAAACGGATATCATAGAAATAATCAATGAGATTAGAATTAAACCCCTCGAGACAAAGGTACTTATTAGTCTCGCTCGAAAACTGGGACTCTCTCAAAATGTTAAAAAAACAAAAGACTCTGTTAAAAGAGAATCGTTTATGAGAGCTGACATAATCAACGTCATATTCAATCGTATCACAGAGTATTATTTTGGAAAAAATGTAGAATCCGATACTAACACATTCAATCTATCATGGCTAGCTCCAAAAATGGATCTCAACCTTGTATGTGGTTTGATTTTTGCGACACTACTCAGGTGCAGATACCCAGTAGTAAGTGGCGACATTGTACGATGGGTGATGCAGGGAAGGATACCCCTGAGGAGCAGTGCATGCCTACTGCCGGATTCTATCATTAGGCAAGCTTATAGGGAAGACAGGATGTCTAAATTTATGAGGTATGCCCCTAACCACCAGGTAGAAATGACCAATAACCTATTCATTAATGCGAAAGTTCCACATAACGCAACCAATCTGGAGATGCTCACAGCAAGGCTGCTAATATGTGGAATATATGGAAACGATGGTGAAGGCGAAAGCAATAGACCAAAGTATAATGTACACGGGCTATCGAGACGTATAGTTCACCACCTAAGGCTACCAAGCAATGTGTTACCCGTAATTGATATGATAATGAAACGTGTTGCAACGCTACAAACTTTGCTAAAAAACGAGGACAAGGACCTATTATCAGAGATACAAATGATACCCCTAGAACGCATGAACGCTATATATGGCAAAGGCATAGGAGCATATCCAGCACATACATTTACAGCAGCCTGCGTACTAGCTGCCTGCAGAATGCTATGGCCCGTTTTTCACTATAATCCACCAGCTTACCCGAGACGTGAACCTAAAGATGAAACTACCGGAAAGTCAAAATCTACAATGCCAAAAAACTATGATTTACACGAATCCTTCATTATAAGACGGGAAAGGTTCCCACAAACTATCGAGTTTAACGCAGGTCGCATGAAATGGATTGTGCGTCTTGATCAGCCTGCCGATGTTGCAAATTCCGATATCTCAAAATGGAACGAAGTCGTGATAAACGAGGAAACTCTGAGTATGGAGGAACGCACATTTCTGATGGAAATAGCGAAAAGCTTCAAAAAAAAACAAAGTGAACTTGAAAATGAAGAAAAAAAAGAGACTACATTAACACAAATTGATCCGACACTACATACAACAATGAAACCACCAATGACGGAGAATGTAAACGACAAGGCGCCTTCATATCTGGAACAACCTGATGGCTCAATGCAACGGTTCAGAACATTGGAGTTCTATTATGATGCAAAAAGTCGGGGATACCGCAAGGCAGCACTCGCAGCATTGTTATGGCTGTTTCACCACTCTACAGACGCAGCAGTGAGGGCGATTGCTAAGTATTACGTCGATTCGGATATGAGAGAATTGAGGCGCATAGCCGCGAACCATGCGTTGTACGTACAGGCCAGGATATTCACAAGTAGTATTGTCAGACTATACACTGGACCAGCGTGTCCAACGGGCAACGATTCCGCGCTCGTAGCTAAATTGCAGGATGAACTCTTTCGAGACCTGTGGATCAATATCGCAGGGTTATGGGCTGGCTCGATTGTACGGGCCATTGGGGCTCACGAGGAGGACTATAAAGAGCAGGATGAACGTCATCAGCATCCCGTTGCGGCAACATCAACGATAAATCTAGAAGGAATATGCAATGTCCTGCTCCCTAAATTGGACCAATTCAATGATATTGGCGTAATCACCGGGTCGTTACCGGATAACCGTGAGATATATTATACAATCACGGAACTTTTCAAAAACTACCCACAGTATACAGGATGGTCACCTGAAAAGTATTTCGAACTAGAGTATTACAAAAGTCTAGTAGAAAATCAAAGGAAACAGTTGATCAATTCGGCAAAAGAAATGCTAGCAACTAAAATTGTGCAGGAACAAAACGATACATGGGAACATATAGCAAGGGCATTCGAAAAGTCGTTACATATAGAAAGTCAAGATGGACAACGAAATGAAGAAAATTCATCTCAAAGTTATACTGTAGCTGACGCTTATGACCATGTAATGCAACACATGCAAAATAGGTTCCAAAATATGGATAATATCACGTCAACAGGACGGCAAACTGAAGTATTCCCATGGCGAGACTACAAGGAACTTGGTGGTAAGTAAACTAGTATACATATTCCCATTCTAACTCAGCTAATATGCCACTGGCCTACCTCATAGTACTCAAGTCCGCTTCGAATTTCATTGGAGCACCGCATACACTAGTGCATTCATGTCTATGCTATATAGAAAGTGTACTATTAAAAGCACAAAAGTTAGACTGTTAGCTTCCGCGATTGAGGCGGCTGTAATAACTGCTGGATACACTTAAATATGTAAATGGGCAACCAGCCAGTAAGCGTTATGACACTCACCCTCCATACAAAAGCAGTAGTAGCGATGAAAGCGAAGTCAAAGTAATTCCGCAAAATCAATATCGAGTAAAAATACACAACAGCAGTACAGATCATACTCACCATCGTAAGTGGATGATATGTATGAAGCTCAGTATAGATGTTCAGTAACTCCAGCGCAAACAACGAGGTGCAAGCAACTGACACCAAACTCAACATAGAGTTCTCAAATAATATAATCGCACCTGTCATTAAAATAGCACCTTGAAAAACTGATATCCACACCCATATCAAAAATGTCTTCACTGACATTACACGACCTGTATGAAGGGTCTGATAAAGCTCAGGAAACAAAAAGACAACCGATTCCTCCATCTCATAATCCAAAACCAAACTATACAGAGGCAACATCGTATAGTACGTTGAAAAACCGATCTGTAACCAACCTTGGAAAAATGCTAAAGGCATGTAAAAATACATTGCAGAAAATAATCCCTGCATAACAGCAATTATCATACCACGGTGGATAATGAAATGGGTCAGCGAGGCAGAACTCTTGTAACTATTACGACCATGCCACAATATTATACGTTTAATATAATGGAAACGATGAATCGAATAGTCAGCAGATAAACTAGCCTGTAAACCCTCCTTACCAACGATACCGATACCAACATCAGCCTCAGTTATCATAGGCACGTCATTGTCACCGTCACCTATAGCACATGTACGCTTACCAGTATACTGCTTAATCAGACGCACCAACTCAGCCTTAATGAACGGAGTACAGCGACAACATAACACAGCAGGCGCCATAGTAGCTACCATGATGAAAAATTTGTTAAACTCCTTTATACTAGTAGCAACCACTGCACCATCCACAACCAACATTGTTGATGTAGGTCCCATAGAAAAATTCTCCAACTTCTGCTTTATGTCGTCCTTGTCCTTAGTGTTTTCAGATGTTATTTGACACAGAGAATGACTCTTGTCCTTTATACCAGCTGAAATCGCGATACACTTCGCAGTGTCAACCTTGTCACCAGTAAGCATCCAAATCTTAATACCAGCATCACGTAAAGCCTCAAGAGTACTCTTAACATGCGGCTGCAAGTTATCCTGAACACCACTCAAAGCTATCAATATCAAATCACGCTCAATAGTAGACACTACACGCCTAATACGCTCTTCACGGTCGTTCAAACTCACACGAGCATCACGATAACGAGACTCAAATAGCGCATATTCAGCATCGGAAAGTTGACGATAACCAAACACTAAAGTACGCAAACCTAAACGAGCCATGTTGTCACACTCCTCAGTAAGCCAAACAGAACCACGAGGCTGTAATAACTTAATCAACGCAGACTCAGCGCCCTTACAAAAGAAAAACTTCTCCTTAGAAATCTCATCCTCAACAATAATACCCATACGCTTAGTTTCGGAACTAAATGGGAACACTGTCAATATCTTGAAAGTCAGAAACAAAGTACCACGCACGCATAATACCATACGAGTCTCATCACGCTCACGCAACTCAACATTACACATACGAGCAAAAGAAACCATAGCGATCTCGTCAGGCGATGACGCCTGGAAGTCTAACTTGTCCTTATCAAATATAGGCGTGACAGAATGACAGATGGCCAACGATAAGATAGCTAAAGAAAGCTTAGTATCAATATCCCGAGTAGGAGTTACCTTAGTATAAGGTATATGGATGGCAGACTTCCTCGACATCCTCCGTGGATAACCATGACTGGGTAACCCAGAACCATCAGACGATACGTTACCAGAACTGCCTTGGTGAGAAACCTTAGATACAGATTGTGATCTCAAACCGTCATCTGAAGAACCTTCGAAAGGGACATCCAAAGTAGTTTGCCTATAGTCCTCAAAGTACTTGTCAACAAGCTGACGAATAGTTTCAAGGTCATCTACCTGAAATAAGGCACGACCGATGTGGATACGATCTAAATTCATTACATTCTGGGTCAATGTACCAGTTTTATCCGATAACAGATACTCTATACGACCCAATTCCTCAGGAATCAACGTCGTACGAGGCACCGTACCAGGGATCTCAGTATCCATAGCCATTGTCCGAGAATACGTAAATTTAGCAATATCCAAGTTTATACGAAGAGATATTGGAATTATAGTTGAAAATAGTAACAAAAACTTTATCAACCAAATGTACCAACGACCCACAAAACCACCAGGAGCTACCATCGCAACTGACATTGCCAATAATATGGAAAATAAAACCTTTGTCATCAAATTAACCTCCCAATCAAAACAACCGATCTTGTAACGAGCACGACGGGCATTCAGAGAAGCACGCACCTCTTTACCAATATATATTACCAAGCCGTACACAGTACCAGCAGCAACGATGGTATTCATCCAAAGCGCATTGTCAACTGTCAAAGGCTCAACAACTGCGTCACGCAACGACTTAGGCACATCAGAACAGTCGCTAACTTTAGCAGTGACTGCTGAAAAGGAGGAAGGCACATGGCTATCATCAGATGCTAATGGAACAGCATCATCCTTCTGGGAATGTGAATCCGCACTCAAAGAGTCGTTCATAACCCAACTGGACATAGCAGGAACTGCTTCTTTATCTAATACTTCATTTTTGTAAAAGGTCATCTTACCATTAAATGAATAAATCTCCTGACGAGGTGCCTCACAGCAACACACTGCATCAAGATTTACCATATCCTCAGCACTACCCAAACACTGAGTTACATGGACCGCCTTCTTCAATTTCCAATCCGTCTCACCATCCAATTGGTCGGTACGGATGAAACTGCAACCATTAGCCTCAGAAGAACGCAACAATATCATATCTGCAGGAACACGCTGGTTCTTAGTCAACTTCACAACAGAACCAACGGTTATATTCTCCGCATTTATCTCCTTTATACCCTCAGCAGTCAAAATCTCATATTTCTGAGAATTTGCCTCCTTGTCACGCAAATAACGCTTATAGTCATCGCAACCCTCCTTCAATAGAGCCACAAATAACACCAACGCCAACGGACCAAAATACGTTATAGCAGACTCAACAGCAAGGTCAGGAATCAATTGAGAAAGGCTGATGAGCAAGTAAAAAAGGTTCATAAATACCCTGAAAAACACATAAATTTCAGTAAATGGCAAACTTACTTAAATTGCTCATACAACACATATGGCAGAAATGTAAACACATTATACTTCGTGTTCTTCATACCGTTCCACACTGAATTATGTCAAATCGGCACGATAGAAACTTACCGAAACTACGAGGGATACTACCACCACGAATAGAGACATATCGAAGACCTGGCATTAAACGAGTATTGAAGCGAGTTGCGATAAGAAACCGGATACGGTCCGTCAATGTTGCAGGCTTACGAAGCTCTTGTAAAATACGTAACTCCTTAGACGCGTCATCGGCGCCACCCTCCGCGTCGATGGTATCACTTGATCGGTCCATAGTTAAGTAGTTCACACCTTCAACAGTCCATAGGCTCCCGAACCAACACGACAAAGATATATGTACATTTTGTACAAATAGCGATCAATACTACATTTAACCCGCGAAAAACATGGCGAAATAGGTGAACCTGCGATGGACAATGCTTACACGAGTGCAAACATCTCAATACAATTAGAAGCAACACTCTCGCAATGATAATGACGCTTACATATATTATATATTCACTATTTTAAAGTGCAACAAAATAACCAAGGCACAATGTGTAACCTTATTTTTAATAACCTGCTTAGTCAGGCAACATGGACAATAAGCTCGCGTGCAATAAAGTAGGAGGAAAATCTCAATATGCACAATTAATGACATAGATCTATAGATGATATTTATTTTACATAGCTTTAAACAAAAGTGCGTTAGGACCTATGCGTGATTAAACAAGCAGAGTTCTGGACCAGGTGGGTATTAATAGTTGAAAAGGTTATAATCAAAGACGCTAAATAATACTCAAAAATACCATATATCAACATAATAAGCTTTTATAGTAGTCATAGAAATAACCAGTATGTCAAGATAAGGAGAAATTAGGTTAATTACACGGAATCAAATAAACAGATTTAGATAAAGGTGAAGCACGTGTCAACACGTTTCAGAAATATGGAAACGATTGTAGCAACCACAAATCTCATTATAAAACACGATAATTGCAACAAATCAGTCCAAAAACAGAGTAATAACGACATATAACCGTAGATGTGATCCCCATGGCGCGTTATACACAATAGCCATAAGTTACACATATGATGAAAAGACAAGATGATTCGAATACTATAAGTTAAAGATAATACTAATGGTCACACATACACGAACAAAGAACATATGTAACATCTTCTATTGGAGCTGTGCTCCAACATAGAAGAAGGCGTTACACATCCTGCAATGCGGAGACAATGGAAACCTCTAACCGCGGCCTACGCATGTGCTGTCATAGTCGCTGCGGCAATAGTACAACAAACTCTAGCCTTCCGTCAAACTTCCACCACAGAACCACTCGTAAGTTACTCCAGGAATTCCCTGTCAAATTCCTGGAGTAACGGAGCCATATACGCGGCAAACAGTTTAGGCGAAGCTCATGCCGATGATATAAATGAAGCTTCCGCAAGCAAGAATGAGGGGAATGAGCAAAACACAATGGCGGAAGCCCCGCAATATCATATACAAGACCTAGAACTATGTGAGGAAATAAGCGATAGCTTTATGAAATATGCGCTCAGTATCATACTGGGAAGAGCACTACCCGACGCTAGAGACGGACTCAAAATAGTACATAGACGGATACTCTGGGCAATGCAGGTTGGTTCATTACAACAGACCTCATCACAACCAGGATCTAAAACTAGGAGCTACAACGCCATATAGAAAATGCGCTAAAGTTGTTGGAGATGTATTAGGAAAGTATCACCCACATTCCGATAAATCAGTATATGACGCACTATGCAGATTAGCACAAAGGTTCATGATGAGAGTACCACTAGTAGATGGACATGGAAACTTTGGATCAACAGACGATCCACCAGCTGCAATGAGGTATACGGAATGTAGATTAAGCCATTTTAGTGAAAAAATGCTACTCAACGATATACAAAAGGATACTGTAAATATGCTACCAAACTTCGACTCAACAGAAATTGAACCGACAGTATTACCAGCAAAAGTACCAGCATTACTGATTAACGGATCCTCAGGCATAGCTGTAGGTCTAGCAACCAATATACCGCCGCATAACCCTAATGAAATCATTGAAGCAGCAATACTCATGGCTAAAAGACATGGAGATGTCGATCCAGAAGAACTGTTATATATAGTTAAGGGTCCTGATTTCCCTACGGGAGGACATATCACTACAACTATGGAAAATATGAGAAAGATATACAACACAGGTAAAGGAAGTATCATGCTACAAGCAAGGTTCACATTTGAAGAAAGAATCAAACCAAGAAATTCTAAAAAAGATACAGATACTGTAGTCAACACTTACAATAAACCTTCAGAATTAACTTTCTCAGCTGGAAGCCGAGCATCGATCATTGTCACAGAGTTGCCATATAACGTTAGATTAAGGGATGTCATGATATCCATATCAAAGGCCGTAGAAACAGGAGGGATACGTGGAATAGCTGATCTGCGTGATGAATCAGACAGAAGTGGATTAAGACTAGTTATCGACCTAAAGAAACAGATAACTACACATATCGAACTTGAAGAAATTATGAACAAACTAATACGAATGGGTGGACTTTGCTCATACTTTAAATGTAATTTCATCGCTCTAGACAGCAGCGGAACCAAACCTGTCAGATTGACATTGTATAAAGCTCTCAAAATATGGCTAGATTTCAGAGTGGAGACTCTGAAAAAAAGGACGAAATATCTACTCAAACATGCAAAAGAAAGAATTAATATAGTCAAAGGGTTCATCATCGCGGCACAAAATATAGACAATATTGTGCAAATGGTTCGTAATTCATCATCGCCAGCCGATGCACGCAAATTATTATCGGAAAAAAAATATGGTGCGTTGAACGACGATCAAGCAGCGGTTGTGTTGCGGATGACGCTATCACAATTATCAAAATTAGAACGAGAAAAATTTGAAGTCGAAGAAAAGGAACTTATACAGACTATTAATACTTACAACAGTCTACTGGATGATGAAAAGAACATATATTCACTCATACGCAAGGAACTCGAGGAAATAAAACAACAACCGAAAAAACACTATAACACAAAACGACGTTATACAACATTAACGGTAGCAGGACGACCTAAAAGGCTAGCAGAAGTTGATGTCAATACTGACGTAAGCACTGATATAGACACTGACGACACCGCGAGTGATCTGGATGACCAAGACTTTGGAAAAATGACAATGCAACCAGTAAAAGATAACCACGAAATGCAGGAATTAAATGAAAATAACGATGACAATGTAGACAAAAAGTACGATGACCCTACCCTTATTGTAATAAACAACCAAGGATGGATGCAACGAGTCAAACTGGATAGTAATTTTTTCACAAGCCAAAGAGCACGTTCGATATATACACATCGAGTCTACCAGCCACAAGAAAGCCAGCATTCCATAAATACAGAGCAGCAAGCAGATGATGATAAAAAAGATGATGAACCGACGAGTGTCACGATACATCATAGTCTATGCAGGCCGGATGGAACAGCCCTTGTTATAATGAATGACGGAATCTGCATAGTGTTGCCAGTGGAAAAGTTACGAATCTGCAGCCGCGGTTACAGCCTGTGGAAAATCCTGAAGAGCAAACAACAGGATAACATTGCTCAGTTCATGGTTACTAATAAAATACGACTAGATAGTAAACCTGGTGAACTCAATGAACGAAACAACACAGCTTCCATTGAACATAATGAAAAGTATTTGGTTGTTGGTTTCGATGATGGCGATGTGAGCATAATCTCTGCAAGCTGCCTTTTAACGGCCAGGGTTAACAAAGTAGGTTACACTAAGCTGAGGTTATGGAAAAATAGAATCGAAAATGTTGTATTTGCTACAATCGCTACCGCCAACGATGATATATTAGTAGGCACGGCGCAGGGATACTCGTTAAGGGTAAATATGAATGAGCTCATCACCGGCTTCGACAAACGGATCAGAACGAGTCGAAAATTAATCAGACTAAGAGATGGAGACAATGTCAGCTGTGGAGTATTACTGGAAGGCCCTTTCCAAAGACCAGAGGGAGGAAAGACGCAGGGCGCGACACAAACGGGGGATTCAATAGACGAACAAAGCCTCAAAGAGGTAGTGAACCGCCCTGAAAAACATGTAATGTTGTTATCCCAAGGCGGTAAAGCTAAGCTACTGCCAAGTAGTGAAATTACCTTGCGACGTCATGGAGGATATGGTTATGACATCACGCGACAAGCAGGATCAGGGTTGGACAAATTAGCAGCGGCCATAGTTGTAAATGAAGGTGATAATGTACTTATGGTCAGCGAGAAGGGGCTGTTGGCAAGAAAGGACCCATATGTTATACATCCCGGAAGACGTCATTATAAAATGAGGAACTTCTGGCCGAGGATGAACGATGATGATGTACTGAAGTATGCTATGAATATATAGAGTCATTGTGTGTTTATTCGTATACATGTATTCTTGCGAAACTGTTCTATTAGATAGAACATTTTGCGACCGAGAGCAGTCAAACACAGGTAGCGTTTTCCCTTGAAAAATGAAATTGTCACATCTACGTCTCATTATACACTGCAGTGATGACATTTCACATTATCGATACCCATGAACTTCTTATGTGTGTTATATTATGATCTGGACTGACACAGGGACAAGGATACTCATATATGTAAATACATGGTTATGTCAATCATAGGACAACAGTATTAGAAGAATGGATCATCACGGTTGTTCGGAGGAGATTGACACGTTTTTTGAAATTTTTACAAAGGTGACATGGACGCCGCGACCAAGGAAATTCTCACCCCGCTGGGCCATCTCAACCAAGGTATATCGTAATAGACATGAAACATGTGATCAAAGTATGTAATAATGGACTATTCTACTGTATGCAATGTGAAATATAAGCCGTCCATTGGAAATTTGGGTTTCGCTAATTTGGCACTGGCACCGCCCCTCACTTACGACAGCTTCTGAGGCATTTGAGAACCGAAAATGATACAATGCGGGGTATATTCCGTTTAAAATGACATTAACACTATGTTTGTTGAAGTGAAGACGTTTGAAACGAAATGTATAAGTTTCTTACCAGGTTCAGTCCTCATGGATTTACATGGTATACATCCGCAGAGGTGTACAGGAGGGGCATGCCAAAGAGGGCTAAAGTCATGCAACCCCCTTCGATTGAAGCATGCTCTACCAGGAAATTCTTCGGCCATATCACACCTCATGGTATAACAAAGAATGTTTACAATATGATTTCACGTGTCTACTCATCAATTAATCCACGAAAAGCGAAGCCAAACATAAATTACCGTATCAAAATAATTCAATTAACATTTTTAGCATGCGTAACCCCGCAATATTGACGCAACTCGCTGCATAAACCGTGTAATCTTCCAATGAAGCATCCCATGATTTGGACAATAGAATGAGCATTCAGAATCAAGTTCGATGGTATCGATCTGTAACTCACTTTAACCCTATTAGAGCATACGTTGGTAAGAAACAAAGGCGTGTTCTTGACTTTAGGCAGCTTCATTGTTGAATATATTGGAAAAGTTATATACTACCCTAAACAAGACATAATCTTAAACCTACAATTCCCTTTATATGAAGGCCAATCATTAATAGGAATGTCTTCCAGAGCATCCAATTCGGGGTCCAGATCCGGGACTGTACAGCAACAGGTATCCGTTAAACCTGAAAGACAGTTAGCTGATTGTCCAACAAATTTAAAAGAGGCTGTGGATTGGCTATTAAGATTGACGAATAAAGATGGCCAAGGTGGGCGGCCTAATGAAGGTAAGATTCATGCACGTCAGTATCACGTATTTTTAGTTGCTGTAAATGAGTTAGCTAAGGAAGTAGAGAAGCTACTTAAGGAGGTTCAGGGTTTCATAAAGGCGAAAGATGGGAAAGTGCTCAGTAATGTGCTTCAAGCATTGGCAAATGATAAATTGTTTACACTTTCGAATATTAATTTTGGAGGTTTCCATCCTGGAGGCATCATACTTCAATTAAGTGATGGTTTGGCAGAGTTCATTGGATATTACGGTGCCGGTATAAATGGAATGGGTATTGGTAGCAACAGCAACGAGAACACTTATAAATCGTCGTACAAGGGTGCACAGTGGGAGAGGGGTGAAAGTGCCAAATACGCTTTGATATTCTTAGGATGCATACCCATAATGTTTTTTGGCTTAAGCTACCTGTACTGGCAATGTTCTCCTGGGACGAACGAACAAAATCGTAGATGGACATGTGATAGAGGGAGTCACAAAGGTGGTTTAAAATGCCAGGCCATCACAGATTATAGAAATCCCATTTGTGTCTATTTACAGTCGATGGGCTACAATATATCTCAGATCAATTCCAATAGTGACAACCATAGAGATGCGGGGTTTCTTTTACCGCTGCTTCAGATGATTTTCATGGAATACGATACAACGACGACATCTTTGCAGAACGATAGTTCGTTCAATGGCGCCTGCTCCGTATTTGTGAATAACTTGTTACAGAAAGTAAAAGGAAAAGATCTTCAAAAGACTTACTTATTGGACCAGCCCATAACCTATCTGTATGCTACCACTGTGTATTATTTTCAAGCAATTCAGAATGCAAATAAAATGAAACCGTGTGAGTTGCAATGTCCTACAAGTATACGCGAAATGTTATATTGGATGATGACATTACCGTACTCACCGATGTACTCTAATGTCAAGGGCGGTACGCTGGCAGCCTTGTCAGCAAAAAAGGAAATTGAGCTTATCAAAGGAGATGCTAACGAAGATATTGTGAAATTTGACCTTGGTACAGTGTCACAACACCTCTTCCTACCTTGTGTTTACGCTGGGTTTCTCCAATTGACCATAGGGGGTCATCTAAAAGATGACAGAAATCCATCTACCACCCCTTTTCTTTACGGCCTATATAGCAATTCACACTTCAAATTTCATTATCCTGACGACCTTGAAAAATGGGTCAACGTAACTTGGGACGTCGTATATGCGCTGTATTATCAACTCAACTTTCTCTGGGCACAATGTAGGACTTGTGTTTCGCTAGGTTGCGGATGGAAATGGTGCCAGTATGGAAGCACCGTCAGGTGTGACAACATTTTGACGTGGTTATGTAGTGGCACTGGCGGTAATCGTGGATATACCACCGAACATCATTCGTGTGACGGTGACGGTTGTGTTGAAGGACACGGCGCCTGTACTACAAGCAGCGGTCAATGCTCGCCGCTCCAAGCCTTTCTGTGCGATTCTCTACCAAATATCAAATATCACATATTTGATAAAGAAAACGAATGCCCATATTGCCACACACGAATAACACAAGGCCCATACAATCACTGGTGTCCAATCCGCATGGGTTATGTCAAATCCGACCTTTCATCAGTACCCCGAACGGGTTATTGTCTTTTTATTATCTTGGAAGACTTTGTCAAGATGGACACGGGGGAAGCCAGTTTATATAACCTAATGTTGTGTGTATATAGCGTCAGAACGTATATTCCACGAAATCCAGGAGATCTGTTCGGATTGTTTTTCTCTCTATCTCTCTCTGCTGATAACACTGGACGCGGTGATATAAAAAATCTCAAAACGGCGGTTGAAGAGGATATTACAGGTTGTTTCTGGGAGTATAGCACTAAATTAGAAAGTGATCAGATTGTCAATGAACTTAAAAGTCTAGGTGGTAATGGGTCGGGTAGTAAATCACATACATACGGCCGAAATCATTCCCCGGATCTCAAAAGTCTCAGGGATTGTGGCGTCGATGGTTGTGGTCGGTGCCTGTTACCACTTACGCGCCATATATACTCTACGTTTGCAACTAAATACTCCAAAACCTATACATCATGGATATTGTATCTAACAAATGTACTGCATGATGGTCTCAAAGATCTTTCGAAAGCCTTCGGCGAAATTAAATGTAAATACTGCAAAAAAAAACCGAAGTGTCAGGAAGGATGTCACAACTCCGATACCGAGACACAATGTGCGTGTGTCTCCATGGCGGCGTGTGATGGTGTGTTGCAAACATTTTACAAGTTTGGATTCACATTTGCGGATGCTTCGTCGTTGAATGTCCTACAAACAAGAAAAAGTTGCTCTGACTTTGCCGATCACTTGTCCGCTGTCATAGATGGCGACCCTTTTGGAGATCTTATAAAGGCTATTAACGATTTTTTTATCCACATCCGTCTCCCATTCATCATAACCATTGCCGCCTTATGGGTTTTTGCGACTGTTTATCTCATCTACGCAATTATTTTACCACTTGACATATTACACATATCTTCACACTGGAGATTGAGTTCATCACATAAAATTCCGCCATTTAGGTTATTATCGGAGGCGGCGCCACCAAAGAAAATATGGTACTTCAAACTGTAGCATGAGAATGATAATGAAGACAGCGTCTTGACAGCCATTTTATCATGTCACCTTCCCAGGCCATTCTTCACCTTAGTCTCCTTTTAACTTATACACAACGCTTATGGTTTCCGGCAACCAAATCAGTAATAAAACAAAACGTGGGTGGCATTTCCCATTGCAATATTGAAACCGGAAGAAACATTCCTAGGACAAGATACATGAATGATAAAAACCAAAGAAATAAACCGAAACAGCGCATACCCCTGTGAAGAGGAATACGGGCGTCAATCGAAGACCTACATAGCCTAGGAAACGTGGCTAGCTGTTCATGAAATCTGATTTTGTTGAGTTCAAATGTACGTAATGCAGCAAATTAAGGTTGTTCGGCAATATCAAGGACACTTGCGTTGGAGGATCCTTTCAAGCCCGTGCTCCTGGCAGTCTTCACGTGATATGCACAGCGACTCAAAGATACCCAGCGACGACAGGATTGAAGCTCCAATAAAACTGCTATATTGCTGCTCCTCACCGCCAACAGCCATGTACGAGGGTTCTTCAACACCTGCGAGAGAGTAAAAAAATAATCATCATGAAGAGGTCCTACCTGGCATACGATCATTGAAGCGTTTCTGCAACAACGGGAGCACTGCGGAGTGTCTGGTTGTACCACCTGACAGGATCACCGTAGACAATGCGTCTGGAATACAAGCAGTGGAATCCATTTGGCTTGCAGTCTCGTATGATTTCGCCAACAATCCGTCAAGTCCACAGTATCTGCCGAAATACTGGCCCAGAGATGTACCTCCATCACCCACTCCCATAGGGAACTCTTGCGATTCCAGGGCCTTGAACTTCTTAGCATCTTGTAGATACTCAGGTTCATTGAACAGGCAACGACAAAATATTCCACATAAATCCTTACCCATATCAACATCCAGATAACTGCCATCAGGCAATGCGAAACATGAATTGCTGGGTTGCGCCTCCACATTTAGCTTCTCACCAATCACGCAACACGTCTCCTTTACCCTAGATGTAGCATAAAGTCGTGCATACTCGTAGTATTCCTTTCGTACGTACGGAAGTTTACGCAAACCAACTGATCGCATTTCATTGTTCGTTTTTTGTGATTTGTTACCCCCGTTTTCTTCTGCTTTCGGGGCCTTCACGTACTCAAAGGATGGACGGATAGTAGTACTGTTCTGGTTAAGGTAGGCAAGGAATATGCGATCTAACAGAGTGCCACCCATAGGTTCCTCATTTGTCGCTTCCTGTAAAACGAAACCCTCAGAAACCACTGCAACATTGCTGCAGGCACCACCGACGTCTACCACCATGCTGCTGCCCCGACCACTGGCGTAACAACAGAGGGAGGCTCTCTTGCACAGATAAAACTTATCGACACGCTGTGACTCCACCAGTATCTCCGCCATTGTGTGACGGAATTCTGGTGTGTGAACAGTAGGCTCGGTTGCTATCACTGTGCCGCCCTCCATTATGTCATCCACGCCTTTGGAACTAGTAGCAAACTCAAGCAACTTATCCATCACGTCGTGACTTATCTTGTATTTACCATTCTCATAGGTTACGGCAGCAACAGGCAGCGTGTTGTCGTGCTTTTCCTTAGGGTTGAGTGGAAAGATAGCATAGTCCAACCAGTTACTGTCATTCCCACCTGAAAAATCACAGGCCTCGGTTTCATGGTTTCTCAATGTAGGTTTACCGAACAAAGGAGGGGCCACAAATGACGGAATCTTCTCTCCAGCCCGTCCCACCTTTAAGCTGACTGTACCGAAATCCACGATGAACGGTTTCGTAGCCATCTCGTATAGTTTGCGATTATAACATAGAATGACACGTTACAACTGACCCAAACACACAATAGTGGCCTTACGAGGCTCCAGTTGAGCAAAAACACTTTACAGCCGCTGAGCAATTCATGCGATGCGCTATGCCACGAAATGATAGAATCCCTTTTACTCTCAGAACATAGCACGGAATAGACACTGCCACACTCTATAGGTACCACTATAAAATAGAAATGAAGAATAGATCGTGAATACCGAAGTCGTGAGAACTCTACCCCGTACCACAATTTCAGTGACAATATTACGCAGTACAACTACCTTATACACCGCAGTAATGCAGACGTGATATTACAGCACGATTATATGTGCTTTCACAGAAAGTGATAATGCGTACGAGCGCTTCCTGTGCGTTGATACCGTCGCAAACGACTGAGGGCCTCACAGCTCTTCGCGGCCTAGCTTGTGTCGTCCAATCGTCGATATTTTAATACAAAATTGGATAAGTGTATTTTATTCGAAAAATTAGAGGTGTTCTACATAGGCCTAGCGGCTGTACGTGTGTCGCGGCGTGCAACACATCGTGCTTCCATATCACGTTAAGCAAACATAACATAACGCACGAATACAAAGTTCATGGCCAATACATGAGCGTATTATCACGCGGGCATTATGCGTGGGCGTTACACCGCGCAAGCCCACCTTCGCTCTTCTATATGTCCATGTAAGGTTTGAGAATTGGCTTAAAGTGCTGCTTCTCCAATATCTCAACCTCAGCAACCACAAGCTTCTCGTTGTTAGGGATCAGTATGAGCAGTATAATTTGTATCATCCCCGAAATCATACCGATGAAATTGGGGGCGATGACGATATAATCCCATATGATGAAACCGTAACATAGAGTGAAGAACGATCCGATGAAATTTGCCAGTGAGATCTCTGTTGGCAGTGCCGATGTGCTCCGGTGTTTCATTATCTCACGAATCGAGAACAAAGGTGCGATATACGAGAATGCCTGAATTGAACCACCAAAGAGTCCAATGAAGTTGAGATACGAAGCACCTTCAATACCAACATATAGAAGCATCAATATGATACAGCAAGCACCGGAAACCTTGTAAAAAATATGCAAAATGTGCAGCTGATGCGCATCCTGACAGTACCGATGAAAAACCAGAATGTAGCAACAGTTTAGAAAAAAACCTGCAATATCATTAGTTATTACGTTAATAATAGATGTGAAAACGCATATCATGTGATCATATAGACATATAACGTGATGCAATGGTCAAGCTTTTGTTGCCGACCAGTTTTACCCGTGCGCTGTATGGCCACAAAGCCGCATAGATCATTGATACACAAGTATCCAGAACAGGATATACGTGAAATAGTTTATGTTTAATGTTGCAAAATGAGGAAAAAGGAAAAATTAAACTTGACAATTAAACAGAGCTCTATACAAACTACCACAGTTGACCAACAGTACTTTAAAATCATGAATAACAGTCGAACTCACCCGGTAGGCTCGACAGTATGATGATTGTATTCGACGACAAGATCCCATATAGCGACCAGAGGAAGTTGGCAAAAGCCACAGTAACAAAGTTCAGAGTTTTTAGATTACCTGTAGACTTGTTCCACCGAATGGTCATTATGGTATGTAAAGGTATCAGTTGAGTCATCAATGATGACATTACAGTTCCCGAACTGATAAGGAAGTTAAAGTCGGTCTGTATTATATCCCTAGTCCAATTTATGAAACTACTCAATATACCATCTTCCTTTTTTTCATCGCCAGATACCTTAACTCCATCCCTTGACACTGTTACCGGTTGTCCCTTCACGGGGTCTGTGTTAGCAGCGGCAGCCGCAGATTCAACTTTTGGAGGAACGGCGGTCACTACAGGCGCATCTCGTTTCACGTTGGATGAGCCGCTTACGGCGCCTCCGGTTTCAACATGGCCCGTGTCCCTGATAGCAGCTGATATAGTAATGGGTTTTAATTTTTCACCTCCCGACTCTTTCGTTTTCGGCGGCTCGGTCACCGCGGGACTCTCGACAACAGTGTTCTGGGCAGTAGCACCATCTTGTACCACAGCCTGCTGCGATGATAGGCGTAACCTTACTGTGACGTGGAACAGCACTAAATACAGCAAACGCCAATGACGCGACATATTGACGCGCGGGATAAACCTCCACGTCAACCCCTCTAGGCTACCGAGTGATTGCCAAAAGTTGTAAAGCAATATTGTCAAACTAAATATATTTTAATTCGAGATAATTATAATCAATTTGGTCATATCGGATCTTAGTAGCACTTAGGTCACCCTATCGCCGCGTCCTCTACACATTTATGGAGCTCCTGCCGAACATTTCTGGAACAAAACATCAAGTTTTAGGAGACATATACTTCGGGTACCTCGTACCCACGGTACTCTGTGGCCGTTCAGATGCCTTTCGTAGCGACATAACAACATTCTTAACTGATTGGATAGCAGTTGCAGTTGATACAGATTTTGAGACGTTTCTAAAGGTTAGTTCGATTATCTAAAACAAACGGTCTATCGTGTCACTCATCTAGTGATATTATGTGTTATCATTCCATAATTTATTGATCTTCTTCACGGCTCGATCGTCTATAGCTCATTAACATTCGCAATTATGACACATTTGCAGAATCATCGAGATTTTGGATTATCGTCACTGGGTTCATTCTTTCGTCAAAGATATTTTTCAAAAATTCTAGCCGTCTCTCATAGGGAATCGGCATACGACGTCTGGCAGATACTTTGGGGTGTATGGGCAGGTGAGTTACAGCGATAAAAGTTTTTACTAACCTTCTCAGACATTCTTAGGAGTGTAGTATGCGAAACTGAAAATCAACTAGCGACGGTACACAGCGCCGCCTGTATATATTTAATGTTTTATTTGTACCACTGTCAAGTAGGACGAGAAATTTTGCCAATCCCACTTGCTGTCGGTATGTTACTCACACAATTGCCACGAATGCTATACAGAAACGATATCTACCTGTATAGACGTATGCGCAGTGGCCTTGCAGCGTTTCTCTTCATCCACTGTTCTAGAAGTATTCTCTTTCCTATTAAGAAGACGTTGCATCTCTATGTGCCTCAACGACGGACTACAATATATTCCACAGGATAGATTGGGACGACCACTGGCACTTGCGGCAAAAGCACCAAAAACGGAAGGTTAGACAACGTTTTAGCAACAACAGCTCAACTAGTCGCAGACACACCTAAATCTGATCAACGTTCATCGTAACAAGATTGGCAATATACCACCCAAATGTTCGTCAAATGTTAATGTGAAAATATTGGAGCCATCCTACCTCTCATATCTGCAGATGGTTATCGCAACTCCTCTAGACTGATAGGGCCATTACAGAACGCCATTGATCCTCTTCAATATGGTTAAATTCGGCCAAGTAGTTATGGGACCTCCGGGATCGGGGAAATCAACATACTGCGCTGGTGCCAAACAACTGATGAATTCCTTGGGACGTGCTGCAGCAATAGTCAATCTTGATCCGCAGGTCACGTCATTCGAACTCCCATACACTCCCGATGTCGACATCTGCGAGCTTGTTGATAGCTCAAATGTCGCTGATACTTTTGAGCTCGGGCCCAACGCTTCGCTTTTGTACGCCATGGATTATCTTCTGGCAAATTTGGATTGGTTGACGGACAAGATTACTGGACTAGGAGATGTGTATGTACTATACGATATACCAGGACAAATTGAGCTATTCACTCACCATACGGCACTAAAAGATATCATAGAGACCTTGCAGCGTAAGCATGACCACAGACTCAGCGGAGTTAATCTTATCGACTCCACATTATGTGCCGATCCATTCAAATATGTTGCAGCATTACTTACGTCCCTAAGCTGCCAAATATTCATACAATTGCCTCATGTTAACGTATTGAGCAAGCTGGATCTTTTGAGTATGTTTTCCAAGGAACTGGCATTCAACCTTGAGTTCTACACATCGGTCTCATCCCTTGAAGAATTGATTAATTTTTTCAAGCAGTCGTCGTCATATCGGCACAACAAACGTTTCGAAAAATTCACGGCAGCCCTTTGCGAATTGATCGATGATTTCAATTTGGTCTCCTTCGCGACTCTTGACGTGCAAAATCGCAGTTCAATGATAAAACTCATTAAACTCGTTGACAGAGCAACTGGTTACGTATCAGGACCGGCATTTGATGATTTTGATCTGGATGCATATTCTGACCTGGACTACCGGGCCAGCTACAGCGATGAAGAAGCCAATGAGGAGTCCCCGGCGTGAATCCTAAGATTAACACTAAAAACTGGCTTTAATATACTCTGACATCAAGTATATTTATAAAATTTCAGCATAGACAAATACGTGTAAGGTTGTCAATAATCGACTCATTCTTTTCAAGATTGATCACTATTTGCAACAATGTATTAAAATATTAGTCATATTGATGCGACCCCATGCAATGTATCTACCTTTTGTAGCTCAGAGTCGGCGTAAGATAGTACTCACCTAAATTTCACAGTTATATCCCTATTGACAGCAATGGTCTCTCCCCCAATAGAGGCGTTTCATATATCTGCGTTTCACTAATATTTCCCAAATACAGATAAATAATTTACGAAGCTGCCCAGGCCGCCCACGTTTAGAATGTTGCTTGTCTTTTTTCGCGCTGCAAATACTTTACATCTAAGAAAAACTTGGGCGCATAGCTCTCTATCGTTTACGTGGCATCTCTTTGTCACGTTTCCCAAAGTGCTTATTAACAGACCGCGTATGAGGTCGTTATTAGATGTTCTAACAATACATAATTTTTGAGTGAACATTTGCTTGGCGTATCACCGCGAATATACCATCTACGCGGTCCCCCTATGGTCGGTTGACTTCGATGGATTGGACCATCGAATAAAAACTTCAATAACTATTAAATAATCTTCAAATGTGCCCTATTATTAGGATATGTGAATAGTGAGCCCATATAATCTGTATTTTCATCAAAAAAGTGCAACTGGGAAACCAAAATGGACATTCCTCATAGCAGCTCTTTAACGTGCTTGCCATATTCCAAAACATGTCTCCGATCACGCATCTTTGGCTTATCGATAAACAACTAGTTTAGGTGAGTGACATTATATACAGATAGTACCTCAGCAAATTCAGTTAAAATGGTTGGTATGGTGTTGCAGCGGCAAGACGAAAAAAAGAAGACATTAAACTATTACCCTATCTTGGCAACCTGTCTTCCACGTCAGTTGGATTTAGTATACGATCTATAAAACCATACTGCATACTTTCTTCTGCAGACATGAAATTTGCACGTTCTAAATCAACAGTGATCTGCTCGAGAGGTCGCTTAGTTACTTGGCTGCGGCATCATTAACTCATAATTATATCACATCGACAGTTACATAAAGAGTATATATGATGACGCAGCGAAGCATCGACCATTGTCTAGACAATATGTCCCTATGACAAGTAGTCTAACTTTAACCGTGCCAAATAGGCTTGGTGAGGTTTATAATGCCATGGCCACATTATATTTCTTGTGTCTCCTAGTTTACAACAACAGAACTCACCTGTATAAGTCCTGCAATGTGCGCTTGATATCTAACAGATGCTTGGCTTCGCTTTTGATCTGTTCAGCCGAACCCTGTAGCGCTCCCGAAGGCTGATGCATCAGCACCCTAGAATGCGGGAGACCTGCTCGCATACCAGGTGTCCCTGCTGCCAATAGAAGGGACGCCGTCGCACCGCAGAATCCTATGTTTATGGTGGCAATTTTCGACTTCAAGTGTTTTACAGCGTCGTAGAGTGCAATGCCTGCAGTGCTTGGACCGCCTTGGCTGTTTATATACAATGTGATTGGTTTTTCCGTTGTTTCGTTGTCCAAGCACAAAAGTGCGCTGATTAACAAATTCGTGTAGTTGTCTTCAAGCGGCTGGCTGACAAAGAGTATACGTTCCCTGTAAAGCCTGGTGTGAATATCCTCCCATTCAGTGCGCCGCGATCCTGGCACCTTGTACTGTACCAAAGGAATGCCTATAGGCATCATACGCAACGTACGAGCCGTATGCCGTTCTCCTGAATGTCAATAACGGCAAGCGAGGCACCTCTTTACCTGCAAATTTGTCCGGAGTTTTAAAAGCAGCGACTATGCTCTGAGAACGAATTAGTTGTTTCAGATATATTTGTCATCTAAAAAAAGACACCCGCTCTAATAATACCACAGCTGTGTCAGATAGGTTATAACAAGGTAGATGTTAACATATCAATGACGTAATGTCCGTTTCCACCAGTTACACAGTATCCGGATGTGCAATTTCACCTACTTGGAAATAGAGCACTAATGCTATAATGGCCACCTTTGAAGCGACATTCGCCATTACATTGCTTATACATATGTAATCTTGCAGCAAAATGACATTTGATTAGGCAATTAGACTTGAGACTGCGCCGCTGCAGCGGCACCCAGGTGTTTGCCGATAATGATACTGCCAATGAAGAAGTGAACGTAGTTACTAGTTTATAATAGACTCATATTTACTGTGTATGCATAAGAGTTTTGCTTGTTCGACAGTTTACAGTGGGCAAGCTGTGTAGGCTGCGGCTTCTGGGCTGAGAGAATGTGTGAAAATACCGGGCCACGGAGGCGGCATCAAACTCGCATAAATTAAACTCCTAATATTCAAGAGTATACTAAAGTCGCTCGATGGTGCCACCTGGCCTATAGCTGAACGAGGAATTCTTTAATATGGCTATAATAATGGCCTACGCCCACAGTTGGTTACAAACAATACGAGGGTCCTCCTGACCCCTAGTAACTTGTATGAACAACTGTAATTTACAAATACTACGATGAAACTGTGTTCACAATGGGTGTTAAATCAAGCTAGAGCGCAACCTAATTGATTTGTTTGTAAGGTGTTCTTATGACCATTTGCCATACTGCTGACACGGCACCCAGTTACGGTACAACGATATAAAAATGCGTGACACGAATAATCGACCATAATATTTATTCATCTGGCATAGAATTTTTTCCACTGCATGCCGTCGATTAGCACGTAGTTCAACTAGCGATTGGTGAATATTATCGGTTTCCATTATTGTCAAATCTTTTATTGATCTGAATTTTTTATTTCACACTAGATTGTGTAAGGCCGCTATTCACTTATATCAAAGGCTCCTTGCACACAAAACCTCTAAGAAGGCATTGGTATATGTTTGATTCGACTATTGCCAACGATCAGCTTCCACCATATCAAAATGGGTGACGAGATCCTTAACAAAGGGCCTTCTTCGGTTCTGTTCGTCGGCCATCCTATGATAGATCTCTTCGCTCGTGTGGATCAGTCAGTGATTGATGGCTTTAGTGTACCTAAGGGCGAATCTAACATAGTACCCAGAGAGGAATTTGAACGCCTGAGTCAACTTGTGAAAGTTGAGGAAATTACTCCAGGGTGTTCTTCGTCCAACACCGCCTTCGCTTACTGTTATCTAGGTGGAGATGCATCGTACTTTGGTGTACTAGGTGATGATGACAATGGCGATTTGTTCGACAAACACCTTTCAGACAATGGAGTCAAAGTCCTTACCAAACGTAAGAGTGGGCACTTCACCAGCCAATTATTGTCGTTGGTCACTCCAGATACTGAACGCACTATGTATCTTATGAGGGGTGCTTCTCATGCGGTGAGTGAGGACGATATAAGCTGTGATATGCTCGACAATTTCGACTACTACGCCGTGAACGGTTTCATGTTTGCCACCGAGGAACAGGTTAAGATCACCAACAAGATGGTTGACGCTGCCCTTAGCCGTGGTAAGGGTGTCATCACTCTCCTCGCCAACAGCTTTTGCGTTCGTCGTAACGCTGTCTACTTGAAACCAATAGTCGAGAAATCTGCCTATATAGCCGGTAATATTGATGAATTTTTAGAATTGTCCGAGCTTCAAGGGAGGGCAGAGCTATGTAAAGCTCTTGCCGCTCGCACAGCTGGGGACAATCCTTTAAACAAGGCTTTTATTGTAACCATGGGTGTTGAGGGTGCCCTCATCTTCTACCATGGCAAGGAGTTTTTCGTACCCCCTACAGGAGCTAATGCTATTGACAGCACTGGTGCTGGTGACTTCTTTGCCGGAGCAATGCTCTACGGTATGCTTAATGGATGGTCATTAAAGACAACTAGTCAATTCACCATTGCCATTGTCGGGGACATAATCTCACATGTCGGTACATATATGTCTCCTGAAACCCGTGAAAAGGTTGAGCACATCAAAGCCTCATCTTCGACGCAACATGGTTAAATGCGAAGTATTGCTTCAAATGTCGGACGAGACAGATATCATTGATCACATTATTCATTTGTTCTTCTCGCTTGTTATTCTAATTAAGCGATGACTTTGTAGGTTGTCTATTCTTTTCCTATATATATTACATCAGTGACATCTAATGCAGTAAAATCAAGGCTAACATTACACCGCCCACTTTCGCGAACGGCTATAAAAATATGTTTATGTGCATTCTCGTCTATTGAAAGTTTCTCTAATCGCGAACCTCAGCGGCTACCTATAATAGTTAACTACGAACATTTCGGCCACTGCTAACCAGCGAATATAATGTGATTAACCACTGTTAAACTATTGTTGATAGGGGACTACATATCCCGGACAGCCCCTAGAAGGGCCACTACATACATCGGTGTGTATGACTGGAGATAATCAACTACATTATGTCCACAATATAACATAGACACGCTTTTCTATGGTGGCGATTATATAATGTTCTATATCGTGCTTCCTCCAACATACATCCCTTCGCCATTACTGCTGTAATCTGTTGTAGAGAGTAGTGTTTAATAGAATTTCCATGACTCCCACATTAGTGTAGCGTACAAGCAAAATACAAATAATTGTCGGAGATATGTAGGACGCTTATGACTGATGAAGTGTGTCGCGCATTAATGGTGTCTATTATGGCAGATGAATAACACATCTGTTTTCACACGGCAACGACACCTTTTTTCATCAATGCCATTTAAGGTAAATCAATTCTAATAAAAATCGATGACATATGATCTACGACGCTCCTTTTGTCGTCCTTCCATGCAGCGATTTAGAGTCAGTGATGGAAAGTTTCACCGCCGCTAACAACTGAGCATTCCTGGATTCACCAATGTAGTTAACATACGTTCTGTCTAAATGACGGTTCATATGGTTAGACACACCGCTGCGGACAAGCGTTTAGCGGAGTCTGCATGTGTAGGTCCTCCGCACTACATATAGATTGTAGAAAGGAATTGCCACTGTCTATTGTATGTGTCTACGGCTATAGTGGATCCTGCAATCGTTCCTGTTGATTGCAGTTGTATAATAAATTTTAAAGATACGCTAGGTTGTCGTTTCGATAAACCTGCTCACTGCAAAGTTTTCTCACATAGAGTGCACTAATATCACTGTTTCATTTAAAAACGCACTACACTTACGTTACAATGGCCACTTTCAAATTTTCGAAATTTGCTGCTGTCTTCGTAGCCGTTGCCAGCATAATTGGTGTCAACGTTTTCGGCAATAAAGTTGAGAACGCCTCAGGTAACGAGATCCTCAACAGAGGGCCTACCAAGGTGCTCTTTGCTGGGAATCCCATTATCTATCAATTTGCCAACGCAGAGGAGTCTGTGATTGCCAGCTTCAGCGTACCCAAGTGAGAGTCGAACGTCATTCCCAAGGAGGAGTTTGAAAGTTTGGGTGAGCTTATTACCATTGAGACTGCCACTCCTGGTGGTTCGGCATCCAACGGTGCCTCGGCTTACGGTTATCTTGGCGGAGACTGCGCCTTCTTTGGTATTCTTGGTGATGATCACCATGCTGAAAATTTCCATAACAACTTGGCTTCATACGGCGTTGAGATTCTTGCCCCCCGCAGACCTGGCGCAATTACCTGTCAATTGTATTCCTTTGTCACTCCTGACAAGGATCGTACCATGTACGTGCTGCTAGGCGCTTCTCACAGCTTGAGACCTGGTGACATCAGCTACGACATTATGGACAGGTTCGACTACTTCGCTTTCACTGCGTTCATATTATCAACCGAGAAACAGATTGAATTCACTTACGAAATGGTTGAAGCTGCTCGCAGCCTCGGTAAGGGCATTATTACTCTTTTGTCCAACACATGGTGCATTCGTACCAACGGTGATCGCCTGAGACAACTTGCGGATATCTCTGATTACGTATCTGACAACGTTGAGGAGTTCTCTATGCTTTACAGCATCGAAGACCCTGAGAATTTGATCAAAACTCTTGCCACTCGTACCGCTGGTGAGAAGCCTACCAACAAGGCCATTATCATGACCATGGGTGGTGAGGGTGCCCTCGTATTCTACCACGGTAAGAAGTACTACGTACCGCCTTCTGGTGTTAACGTTGTGGACACTACCGGCGCTGGTGATGTGTTTGCTGGTGGACTACTTTATGGTATCCTCAACGGCTGGTCTGTTAGGAAAGCTGGGGAGTTCGCCGTTGCTGTGGTCGGTGATCTCATCTCCCACTTCGGTACCTACATGAAGCCTGAGACTCGCGCCAAAATTAACCAAATCAAGGCTTCTGCTTAAATAAGCTCGTTTTAATACCGAATTATTAAACACGACTCTATTAGAAGAAACATTTCTCATTTGTCAACTCCGCACTGCGTGTGGGTATTATGCAAAAAACTAAAGAGTTAATGCCCTTGTATTGCCCCAATGGCATTGTAACATATCCTTAATTTACCGTTGTATGCAAAATTTTTTTCATTTTATGTTTTGTGGTCAAGAAAGCGGCATAGGCAAGCCAAGCTTGGTGCGTAAAGCTCTACACCCTCCGGCAACGGAGTAGCACGCGACCTTGGCAGTTTTTTGCGCCTCATCGCATAGTTTAATGGCTTTCCTTAAGGTCTGTGTTGCAATTCTAGACGAATTGCCAAGAAAGCATATGAATAGTATCAATAGCTTCTTGTCAGACATTCTACCGATACACCTTTTATATATCAGTTCTTCTGTTTTTGTTGGCGACACCACGTTGGAATTGCTGCCGGTCGATTTTGCTTCGTCTAGCATAGCTAGGTCATCCACCATCTCTGAGAGTGGCCAATTCGAGGCACCTGTTATATGGCAAAGTGCATAATGCTCTTTTGGTCTAACATCGACAAGAGAGATAATCCGTTCCTCCCCGTCTTCAAAGAAAATTGGCCCACACGCATCTAGACGAACGTTTGCTATCAATGGAGCTCCCTGGTGTATGTTTTTCATGTATATCCGCCAAAAGGATTCATGGCTGATGGCTGTATCATCAACTACTTCGTTGATGCTACATGAACTCCACGGCAACATCTAGGTGATGTCAATTGTAAAACGTACTCTTCTTACCTTAATCTCAACATCTTGTGCCGTAATCCCGCAGACTGTTAACAAGTGTGTTTATCTTTATAGTAAACTTACCAGTACATTTGGGATTCTTATTCAGTTGTACAGTTCTGAATGGTTTAGTGGTATGGGTTGTATCGTATGTTATCATACGTCCAGGCGCCAATACGGCATCATTTACGCCAGCTGCTAATTTAAGTACCTCGGTGGCCTGCATCACGTTGTACAATTGTGTATACGAATCGCAAGTTCATACCTGCAGACAACCGAACACTCCAGGGATGGAACCCAGCACCCCTGCAAAACTACAAGCTCCACGTATAGAAGTGATGAATGGATTATCTTCTAAAGGCGATATGCAACGAAAGCAGGGTGTTTCAAATCGACTATTTGTTCGGTTAAACACCATCAACTGTCCTTGTGTTCCGATGGAACTTGCAATGACCAGCGTTTTGTTATATTTCACGCATGCGTCATTGATTATGTATCTAGTCTGTGGGTTGTCCGTTGCATCCACGACAATGTCATATTTTGGTAGCACAGTTTCTGCTTCGTCAGCGCCAAAAAAACATTCGTATGCGATATATGTTCCCTATAGTATATTTAGGTGTCAAATTAATTTTGGGAGCCCACCTTTGAATTAAGCTTCATCATCCTCCTCCTCGCAGAAAGTGCCTTATTCATCCCTTCATTTTCCTCATCATGTATTATTTGTCTATATATGCTATCGTTACATTTTGACAAATCATACCTATGAAGATTCGAAACCTCAACGACATCACCGTCCATGACACCGATGATACCTAGAGAACATTTAACATATGATACACATGCAACGTACCGACACCTCCTGCAGCGAGATACATGAGTAGTGGTGACCCAAGCCCTCCAGCACCGATAACAAGTACTGCACAGGTCATAGTTGCGTCCACGGCATATTCCGCACTACCCCGTGGATCGCATTTTTGCAGTGCAATGAACTGAGGACCCAAACGATCTGCCTCAGCTTTACTGAGAGCTGTGCAGAACGGTATATCACGGGATGTGCAAATTTTTTGCAACTCTTTTTTTTCCCTTCTCTTTGGAGCCCATGGCACGCGATTCTCAAGTATATCATCGATGGGACGGCTCATATCGTTCCGCTTACCTTCTGCTAGGCATCCATTGATTGGTGGACATGCAGCATTGATTGTTTGGGCCCGTTTTATACAGGCATCTACGCTTTTATGCGATTGGTTTGAGTCACCCATTATTGTATGCGATCGACTTATTAGTTTTAAAATTATTTCCACAAATTCGTGGGGAAATCACGGTAGAGATCGGTTTTCATGGACTTATTGTCAATAATTGCTATAAAGATCTGGCTCGCTTGTCGTGCACAACTAGTGTTTTGATTTTACTGAATTACCGAATGGAAAAATGTATTAAATTGTAAAAGTCGTATGCTAATGTAACCAAATGCATTATGCGATAACTGTGTCTCGATGTAAATCGACGTTATTACCGTGCTTGGTGATAGGCCATGGTGTCACTGCTTTATTTGCTGTTACTTAATTGCAAAAGATGACACATGCAAAGCCCGGCAAACATTATGAAAATTCAATGTGTAAGCATTAAAGGGTGTTAGATTTGTGTCTATAACCTAAGCTGTTAGCCTCGCGCCTTACTGGCTGTGGCCGGGTTAGGTAGGCCAACCCACCACAATATCATTAATACCTGGGTTCCGTCACAACAGGTGTGTACCCACAAGATAGTACGCGTATCTTGCATTATTAACTAAAGAAACGCTGCTCGGCATCGTATTCTGGCCAAGCAGCTTTGGTGATGTCGATTTTTTGACCGGTATTTTAGGTGTGGCATAAACAACTCTAATATAACGGTTATAGGTTCGATTAACGATATTAGGATAATTTTATGCGATAAGGGTGCCTATCTAACTAATAGAGCTCGGTGTGTACCCTTAAGCCCTCCAGGCTATTTCATGTGTGTAAGGGCCAGATGAACACGACGTTGTTTTGTTTGAAGCGTGTATGGATGGAGCTGCACAACATAGAGTCGTATATCATTTTTTAATCTGAATGTGTATACTCTCTATATAGCTATTGGTTATCTACATTTTTTTGAAAAAAACATGGCAACCACGGGAAAGAGGAGGTTGATTAAGGGAGCTGCGCGACGTCGAAGCGTCGACTCTGACGATAATATATCGTTGGCTATAACTTCTCCTGTATCCCCGTCAGCTACTACGACTGACAGTATGGATTCTGACGAACCATATGTCAAACGTCCAGCACAAACCATAAGGAAAACGAAGAAAAAGGTTCAATCCCTCCCCACACAGTTTCTGGATAGTTTCATTACTCAATTTACCCCCGAAGAACTTGCAGCGAAACGTACGGTCGAAGTAATATACGGTAGTAGCGGGTCATTTGCTTACACCTTCCGTAGCCTCGAGGAGACATTATTTTCACCGACATGCGACTCTGTGGTCATTCTATCTTTTTTGAAAGCCTTATCAGCCGTAGCGGATGAACGATTCTTGCGTGATCTACTTTCCGGAACCGTTACTACAGCGAAGGCAGCACATACAGGCCCAGCTGAAGTTGGACCAGAAACTTTACGAAATTATGAGCTCCTTCTGCTCGGAGCAGTAAAGAGACTTGATGGATTGTTAACTGTGGATGAAAGCGCTGGTGATTGGGCAAAATTGACCTCTTCATTGAAGTGCTTTCTTATAGATGGCCTTGCGGGGGAGCTGCGCTCCCTATTGTCATCGCTCTTTACTGACGCGGATTTGTCGGATGGAGGAATCATCACATGTTTGGGGCGTCTTAAAAGTGTTGCTACCACACTAGAAGGAGCCATTTTACTCAATGGAAGGAAATCAGGGGCCACCCGCAAGGGGAAGACTAACTTTGGTACAGCGGAGTGTGTCAAGTCGATCTCTCGCGTCGAGGTAATGGTCTCATACTTACAAGAGGTGCACAGATTAGTATCTACAACCGTTGCAAATCGTCCGGAGTCGGAAGGATTGGAGGCACTTCTGCATGCGATTGAGCTACTTCTAGGTATATCAAATGATTCTTCAAAAGGTGACCCTGTGGGTGTAGACTTCAAAGTCGAATCATTGAAATTGCTATTGAGTAACGATGGATGCGACACTCTGGGAAGCTCGAATTTTAAAACGGAAAGCGGTTTTATTCGCCAGAAGTTCGAGAACATATGCCTGGCTTTCGAGGAGCAAAGACGACAACAGCAGGATCACCAAGCAGAATTGGCTAAAAAGACCAAGATGAAACGGGATGCTGTTAGCTATATTTTAGCTAGATTGTCGGAAGTTGAGAGTGCAAACGCTCCACCAAGTATCCGGCATCCTTGCTATGTAGTAGGAATACCACCCTCGAAGTGCACTGAAGAAGTGATTAGACGCTGCGGACGTAAGCTAAAAACATTGTTACACCCCGATACGGAGCATGATCCGGAGTGGAAAGCTCTCGCTGAACGTGCTTTTAAAGAAGCGTCACTGGCCCTGGAGAAATGTGTAGGTTACAACAGCGCGTACCACACATCTACGCTGCGTATGGCAGCACGACCGCCGTTTGCAACGTATATAGGACTAGCATTAGCTACAGAAAATTCATCAGAGGGGAACCAGCAATCGGGCGTCTCAACCTCTGATAACGTTGTGACGCCGCCAAGCTTGGTCCTCCTCCCGACGTTTACAGCTAGCTGTATGGATAGGAAAACCGGTTCTGTCAACGTAATATTGGAAGCATCATCGTTTACTATGAATGGATTTTCAAAACTTGGCAAAAATAAGCGACTAGTTGTCTACATGCACAGGCCAACACATGGAGATGAGCCATCATCCTTCCGTGTTCATCGAAACTTAGTTTCAGAGGTCAAATCACTCTCACTGCCCGATGCCGTGCAAGGGAAACAATTAAGTGTGAAGATTGACGCTGTTCAACCCATAATGTTCGGAAACGCATGGCGATACTTTGTGGGCATACAATTGGCAGGTGACCTCGGCACGTCTTTGGTGGTGTGGAATAGCCTATATGTCGAACTGTCCAACAAGGGCCGTACTGCAGTACATGTCGGCAAACTCCTTAAGACATTTGTTGGAGCTCCCTTCGTAAATCAAGAATTGTTACAAAATCATCTGTCTCGGTGCAGAGATGGAGCGAAGGCTGATGCCGAGGCCTTCCTGCAAGAATGCGCAAAGTCAGCGCAACGGTGGGCTGACGAGCAGTAGATATGTCACGTGCAAAAGACATTATAGTGATTATTGATGAATATAATTAGCTTTTATTCGAGGGACGCCTGTTGGTTTACGCTATGACCACATTGTTAACGGCCTGATAAATTTGATGAAGCAGTTATCGCTGGAGTTTCGAGGCTGATATATCATCGCGTCGTATTCAGTGATAAATCTGACGACGTAGAAAAAAACGATGATAAGTGTACTGCATATCACACCAGTGGTGTGAAAAAGCAAGAGGAATCTATAAAGATCACTTGGGTTTAAGTTGTCAAGCAGCGACTCATCTTGCTTGGGCAATCGTCCGAGACATCCCATAAGCTGATCGGCATGCCAGTTCACATCTGTAACATATGGGTAGCAATAACTGCATGACCACACCTTTTCCCTCAAAAACGCTGGCTAAAGCGTGGCATACTACTATGTCCTCTATGTTACACCCTCTATCTTCGTCAGAGAGTGCCAGCATGATAAGTCTTTTGTTTATTAGGTATCCCGCGTTGTTGCATTCACGAATTTCTTTCTTCGTTGTAATTTTGTAGTCGAGTTTGCATGCTGAGGCATTATAAATTTTTTGTTTTATGGTAAGGTTTAATAGTATTGTGTTACCACTGCTTCACTACGATAGATATCCGTCCGACACACAAAAATATAACTAAAAGGCTCTTAGCTCATGGCCGAAAAATCCTACCGCCACATCGTAGCGGGTCTCTCACTACTTACCTGCGCGACTCTGGTGGATTAGTCTACAGTTTTTCACTGCGTTGACAGTAGCTTCGTTAAACCTGTTGACACACCACTGTCGGCTATTCGCTAGTGTCCATATAAGGCACGCAAACTGTAGAATGAAAAGGGTGGCCATAAGGAACCCCGCAATGGACGGTAACCACTTGATTGTAAACCCCAACACGGTTATAAGTCTCTTAGAATACCGGCATTCTTCCAAAGAATAGTTGGAAAACAAATTACAGAGCCTGCCGAGGAGGATCGTGATAAGTAGGAGTGTACCTGAGTTTCGTTGGTCATAAGTGAGGCACCAGCCATCCGTCATACAGGATAAAGATTTATAATTGAAAGTGTAAATTCATTTTGTCGATACGTTTCGCTGTTTCGCTTTTAAACTCACCTATCAAGATCATTTGTGTCATGATGCTGTAAACTATATTTTTACTACTCCTGGCAGAGCAGCTGTAATTGACGAAGAAACTGTATTTCGTGATGAGATAGTGCAGTATAAATGTAAGGAAAAGTCCTGAGCATTGTTGAAATACAGATTCGCTTTAACATACCCACGACGAGAATACAGCTGACGCAGTTGTAGAAGAAGCTGGCACGCCACAAATATCTGCGCCGTATCCATTTTATACGAAAGTCCTTCCAAACAAAAAGGCATCGCCGCCAAAATTCTACCATCTTGGCATATCATGGTGACATTGTTAAAGGTAGTTACACCTTGCAATGATGATCATTCGATGTGGCTTTGAATCATCTGGCACGTGCCTTTGTACGCATTTGGTACATCATAGTCTTTAGAATGACTTACAGAATTAATATCAGCTAAGTTTTCTCATAGTTAAACTGACGAACCATAAACATGGTCTATATGAGTGCCGTCAGCTCCATGCGGCAAAAGAATTTGATTAGGTTCTGGCATTGTCAACTTGGTCCGTAGTGGTGAATCTTTTACGGCACGCTACTAAACACTGTTCTTTGCATCTGAATCGATGAGTATGATTTGAATACTTGCCCTTCCCGTCATACGGTGGTAATTTGGATGCCAGATTATTTTTTACTGAACTTTAGTGAAAAGGTTTTGGAAAATATTAGGGATATTCGTCAAATAAAAACATTGCTCTATAATAATAAATATTCTACTTGTGTTATATAAGTTACAGAACAGTCTATTTATTGTCCGTGTCAACATAATCTTTGCATTGAATGATTGATTACGTAAACATTATTCGATAAGGAACACAAATTATTCGTATTTGGTGCATATGAAATTTATTATCGTGCCTTACATTTGTTCAAATTTAACTTTTGAAATATTTATTGAAATGCTTTCGAGAAACGGAGTCCTCACTTCACCAACATATTCAGTTATAATGTCCATTTATTCGAGTCAATATCTGCGAATGACGCGAAACATATCACCCAACACTTTGTAATGTTCATAAAACATATGAAGTAGTAGACTGTCTCTTAGCTGGAAAAGGTGTGCCTGCGACGTTCCATGTTCTCAAGTGTTGTGGATGTATTCAAAGTGGTGACCTAATCTATAGAATTTTTCCATGGCACAGTTCATAGGAGTCGCCGGTAATATTGCAAGTTACACAACCTTAGCTGAATCAATTACATATGTGCGGATTTGTATTAGAATATTAGATCAGGCAGCAAATGAGTCTGTAATCGAGAGGGTGCGATGTTTATTAAATATTGAATCCTATCAATGTGTTATAGTGTCATACAGCAACTAGAATGAAATACGCGTCTATTACGTCGTTCATCAGCTGTCGACTCATTACATGAAGGATTTCGCACCGCCAGTTTGCTGCACCATGGCATCAATGATGTCCCCGTGTTCAATACCGAGATCCTCCGGGGTAGCGTCACCTTTTATACGGTCTCCATCGAATAAGAACCGTACTGAAGCGAAATTAGAAAATCAATATTAGCAGTGCGTGCGAAATTATCGACTGGTTTTTTTGTAACTTACCAGCGTCAGGTGATTGTCCAAGTCTAGTGCAGTAAGTACTCATAAGTTTCTCTAGTTTTGTTTTCTTCTTAATCTTAAAGTATACTTCCGATCCATCCTGCGCATTATGTACAGAGTGACGGTGAGTACACAGAGTGTGATTGTTGATGATAATACGGCAACTTACCGGTGATCTGACCTTGATTTGAATGTGCTCCGAAGTACCAGTTTCAGTTGCTTCCGCCATTTTATCTGTCTAATCTGTACAAAGGGTGGTACAGCTTCTTTCACGGTACTTCTATGTTATCACGCTCCTACGGGCGTTACACAGATAACGAGAAATTAAAAACTAACACCGTTATATGGATATAGTGTGTTAGAATTTTGCCGTGACCTTTCTCGTTGGTAAAAGGCTGTAATTTCCGTACGATAGTGAGGTGTGTCACGGTGTAGGGCAGTTATACATAGCGTCGTTTTCGTGCGTGCTGGTATTACATGTAAAATATTGAAAATTATGCGTAAATCTGCTTTATACGACTAGAGAGTGCATTGAGGCGTGAATCCCGGTAGCGACGCACATCCTCTGCGGCTTCGCCGTTAGCGTCCTTAATCGTTTCCCCAATCCGCTTAATTAGGAAACGGGCAACACCAGGGCTACTAAAGGTTAAGTGGTCCAGTACAGTCGCCAGCATGTCCACAAATAGCAGCGTAAAGTAATCAACCAAACCCTTGGTATCACCTTTCCTCGCACGACCAAGATGTTTGCCCAGTAGCCTTGACAAACGTGACCCACCGAAAGGCCGTATATCCTGAAGTGCTTTTGTATCCATATCATCTCGCATCACCCTTTCCTCCATGGTTTCACGGAATTCTTGTGTAAGGCATACTGATAACTGCGCAACTACAGCTGACAGTAGCTTCTTCGAGTGTTTGGGTGCGGTAACGGCTTCGAGAAACAATCTCACAATGCCACGGACCCTTGCTGTTGTGAGTTCCGAGCCGTAGCCCAGAATAAACTCTCGATTCAGTGCATCACGGCCTTTGCAATGTGATGGTGTAGCATCTCCAGCGGAACACGGTGTTACCGGTTCTACTTCCACGTTAGACTCTTTATTTTGGGCCACGCTGTTCGCGAACGACGACATAACCACTGACAACAATACCAGCTGCAGTGAGGATCCCAACTTCGATAAGAAAATCTCGGTGTCGTTTCGCGCAAGGGTCTTCAGTGCTTGTTCAGCGAGACGCTGCGCATTGGGTTCCTGAGAGACCACCTGACAAAATAGAAAAGGTTCCATAGGTTCGGGATTCGTCAGCCTGTTTGCTATGACCATGTTGCATATCTCCAATGTCATAACTAAGTCTGCAGTTCCCATTACAGGTGTATGACACAGGTCTTTGCCTGGTGCTATGACGGCTACAAAGACCTCAACAAAGCTTCCTAGGCAACAAAACACTTCGTTATGGACGCTTCGTAAGCGTTGCTGACTTGCCACTGCAAGATCAGCATCTGATGGTGTAACCAGTCTCGAATATGTAGTGAGCAGTTGGTAGAGTACCATCATACTGCAAACCACCATAGCATCCTCACCGAACATTCGCACCAAGCACCTAATACTTTTGATGTCCAAATTAATAACATTCTTCAAGCTCACGAAGATGCGGGCGACAGATTGCACTAACATCCCTGCTACGTTGAATAGCCCAGCATCGTAAAAAATCTCCGACATGTTAAGGAGCAGGTCAAGTACTTCTTGCGTTGTATTGTTCTCACCATCTTGTAGATTAGCTAGGTTTGCAAATTCGGCAACACAGCCTAGCTTCCATGCGCTGCGTAACAACACATTATATGACATAACCTTAACGATCTCCTCGGGAGACCTACCACCGGTGGCGAGTATTGATCGGAGCTGAGATAGATAATCGAATGCCTCCTGGAATATGGCTGCCACGTGATTTCTTGAATCCAATTTTACCAATAATTGAATTGCAGCTCGAGTGAGCGCAGGAGCATCGAATGAAACAAGCTGTACAACGTGGTGTTCTACTTTCTGTAGATCTTTTGAATACCCTGAAGCGATAGAAACAAGGTTGCAAACTAGAACCACCAGGTCTACACGGCTAGAATCAAAACTTTCATCTACATCACATCTGAGGTATGGCAAAAAATATGTCAAGTGTGACGCAAATAGTTCGGGATTGACCTGTCCAAAAAGCTTCAGGACGCACAGCACCTCTGCAAGCACATGGAAAGATGAGCCTTCGCTACGTCGCATCAAAAACAAATCCAATAATATGTTCATCCACTTCTCCAGGGCCACCTTAATATGTGTATCCACCGCTACCCGGAGTTCCTCCTTGGGGGGCGATTGCTGGAAGGTAGAATTTGAAGCTACTTCTATTTTTTTGAAGTTAGCTTTGTAATAATCCAGAACTCGTTCAACGCAGTTCTCACGTGCCTTAAAAGCACTCATCTTGTATAAGATTACCTTTACAAACCGTTCAGCTAGGGCTACAGTTTGGTCGCAGATTCCTCCAGATTTGTTTATGAATGGGTGTGACTTCGAAAACAAGCTGTAGGACAGGGTGCTTAAAACAACTTCTCGTACTTGTGGATGCTCCTTGTCAATGTCACAACTACGTTCAGCTACCGTCGATATTGCTGGCATAGTGTTCATATCGATACCTCGTTGCCGCACGTAGTGGAATACTGCTGTGTTGGCTGATAGTCTCACTTTCCAGTTGACATCGCGCAATGACAATAAGAGTTTATCAAGTAGCTGGTCCACCGCTAGGTCATCTGGTGCCAAACGACTGAATACATTCGCCAAAAGCCGTGCGGCTGTAAGTCTTACAATATAACAACCGTCTCCCATACATGCTACCAATAGTTTGCGTACTACATGGTAACGCAAGTAATCTGCACGTTGTGTCACTGCCATATACACAAAGGCGCTCGCTGAGTTCAATTGGCTGTATTCGTTGACACTGTATAGTATATTGGTCATTGTTCTCCACAATCCCAGGAACAACTCGTTATATATGTGGTACAGTATCAGTTTGAAACAAAGTTCCGCCTCGGAATAATCCTCAAGATGCGCCAGCTGTGCTCTGCTTAGCACAAGATACTGAGCCAGCTGTGGGTCTAGTGTTCCATCCTGTTGCTGTCCGGATGTGGCAGTGAACAGGCGCCATACTATACGAGCATAACGCAATACATGATCTTCATTATTGTCAGCCCACATATGATCTGTTGAGACCTTTACGCAGTCATGCGTACCCTCCGTTTCCAGCGGTCCATCACCGGCACTAACATGACTTCTACTACTTATGTTTGTTCGGCCGCTTGGATAACACCTCGTGTGGTCATCATCTCCTTCATCCGAAAAAAAATCGATATCAGACACATCCACTCCATCGTCAGAACCTTCTTCCACATCACATGTCATTTCCTTGTCCCGTTTGGAACGTTTACGGGTTTTTGATGTATCTGCATTCACCGGTTGCAATACTTCAGAACCAATACTACTGGATTTCGACTTCTTTTGCCCCGTAGCCTCGTGTTCTTTGGCATCATGATCTGAAGTATGGTCCAACTGACGTTTCATGGAAGCCTTTGTTAGAGCACCTATTGTGTGTGTCCTGGCAACATACTTCAGTGACAGCAGGAGTACCAGGTCACATACTCTAGCATTTTGCAGTGATGAAACTCCTAGATGTGACATGTACCTATTAGCGGTTTCACGCAACAAATGTACGTCGAAATCCTGGTGAATCGAGTAATTTTCGGGGTTCCCACATCCTTCGAGCAGCTTGAGGTCGAATATATCTATTTTGAAAATAGAACTGGAATTCGTCTTGAAGCATTCGACGTACTCGTGTAAAAAGCCACACCTGTCATCCACATCATTAAGTATGGAAAATACAGATTGTGCAATTGTCTGAAGTATACGTAAACATCTACGCTTGTCAAGTACCGCGGTCTTTGTTTCTCTGATTCGTTCTATCATCATTTGTGCGATGAAAAGCACTGCAAAGTGGGCTACCACATTGTGTGGAGTTTGGATGAAGCTATCGACGAGTGATTTGAGGAAGTTAAAATTGGTCAACAATGCAGTATCAACAAGGGTGTATAAGGCGGAACGACAGTCGTGGAACGCACGTTTCATGTGAGCGCTTGAAAGCATGAGTTCGAACAGTCGCAACAAGAGGAACGTTATATGCGGCGTATGTTCAGCAACTGCATCCACCCTCGTGTTTACCATTTTGACTACAACCTGGTATTCCTCCAGAGTATTGCATCGGTTCGCTGCCGATGCCAATAGACTTCTCGCCGGCGCACCCAAGGGCAAAAGTTTACCACGCAATCTGAAGCTGAGTTCCACGGATGCATCCATTAATGCTCGTGCCACTTCGAAAGGCAACTCTTTTGAAATCAACGGTGCAGTGGCGTCAAGTAGCATTTGAAACACTGTGGTTCCTGCGATATCCCAATTATCTTCGTTAATAGATGTCAGTAGCCGTGTCATAAGCTGCACGAACAAAGACAGTGTTGTTGGGTCTGGTTTTCGCATCTCAAGGAAGAGTAACAATACAAACGCTAGCTGAGCACTGTTATAGTCACCTGAAGAGTTTGCTGAGCGCATGGCGGTCTCGACATCCTGCCTACATTGTTCTAACTGTTTCAGATCAACCATGTGCAGTAGATCTGGTATTACGTGTTGATTTGACTTGAATGCATTTTCGTTCAATACCATCTCTGAAATAGTTTCAATCTTACTTGGTATGGTTGGAGGAATTTCATGGTATACGACCATGTCCTCTGGTTCGCTTTGAATACTATGGAAACGAGTCAATCCTCCTGCACTATCCTGAACCCATTTTTTTGATATCCCTGCTGTATCTTCGGCTGCAGTATCTGTTGACATATCATTTTCCGAGTCATCTTTCGTGACTTCACATGTGTCTATTTGTATATCGTCTTGTATGATATCGTTAAAAACTTCATTTATGTTTGTGTCATTTTCTGGTATTTCGTGTTTGTCCCCAGTATCCATCTCCACAATGTCTGTGTTAATACTTTGAAAATCTTGAATATCTATTGGAGAGTCGATTGATCGATCGACCAACATGTTTTGATCTCCTTGTTTGTCACCAATTTCCTGTTGGGTAAAAATTTCTTTCGTTTCGTCATTTTCAGAAGAATAGTGCTCTTGCGTTTCCATAACATTGTTTACATCCGAAAATGCTGGATCCTCCATCACCTCCTCAGGTGCCATGTTATCCGTGTCATGCTGGAGTGTTTCTTCTACACATGTGGTGACAGAATGATCCTGTAGAGATTCCATTTCATCTTGTTGTCCTTCTTCAACGTCGGGGACTGAAGGTTCGTCGATGACCCATACAACAGTTTCAGGGTTTTCCTTGCATTCGCTGGTACTTTCAGGCTCAGTTTCAGAGTATGGCTTACGTTCATCGCATACAATGCGACTATGTACATTCCTCTTAATGGAGCCGAATTCGGTGGCATCATCGTGAGTGTTGCTTTTTTGGTCATCCAGAATACTGCTACTGTGTATAGACTCGATATTTGAATCGTCATCATGAAACTCCTTCGCGAAGCTTTCTATATTGACAGATGCTTCAATTGGAACTTCACCTTTTCTTTCTTCCACATAGGATTCCTCCTCTTTAGGAGGATCGATTGTAGAGTGTAGCGGAGTGTCATGTTGGCCGTTGTTACCCCCAGCTGTGTACGGAGCATTCGATGTACCATCGTGCGCCGTTTCTAAATCATCCACAGTATCCTGTTCCTTATCGTCCTCACTAAAATCCAAGAAGAAGGATTCGCCTTCTTTTTGTGCATTGTCTTCATTGTCCGAGCTGAAAAGTGAGAGATCTAAGCAAATTGCAGATTCTACGCTTCTATACGACTGAATATCCGCTTCAGTTACCGCATCATTGTGAATGTCGGTTGCACCATTTAATACAGTCGTTAGAGTAGAGTCCACTTGAGGTGTCTGGATTTTTATGGGTTGAACTATTGGGATCGAGGCACTGCCTGTAATTCCCGTACCCTTATCAATCAGATTTTGAATATCATCCGCATTTGTGAGGTGAGCATGGCGTTTCAAAGTATCGCCTTCTGTATTATTCTCTGGTGACTGGGCAGTATGCTCCAGCGTTAATGAATTGTCTATGTCATCATTGATGTTGCATTGTTCACCGTTGGCTAATAGTAGTTTTATATCCAGCAACTGTGAGCGTTCAACATCGGCGATTATTTCCCTAGTGCGGTCACGCCTGTAGAACCGGCCAACAACTGCTTCGGCGAATTCCGTTTTATTTTTCAGGAATAATTCATGTAATCCATCACCTTGGATGCCGTATAGTTGTATGATGTTGTCTATGGCATCGTATTTGTCTGTTTGTTTGTTCTTGATGGGTTTGTGTGTCGCAATATTTTGACGCCGTTTTGAGTTCCGAGTCGGTCGCCCCCCCCTCTCCTCGTACCTAGGTACGCGCGTCATCCTGGCGAGCCAGTGGTCGAGCGAGTCTGAGGCGCACCGACTATTTGTGAGGACGTCATTTATTCCACGTGTGCGACATATGAATGTGAATTTTCTTCACCCAACAGCAGCACAACTGTAGCGTCAATCACTTAGAACTATGAGCCGACGTAGCAGGAGGCGAAGTCGTACCCGTAGCCGTGATTCGAGGCGTCGTAGCTACGGGCGTAGCTCTTACAATAGCTACACCCGTAGCAGATCTCTATCTAAACCTCGTCGCGCGTCTTCACGTGATAGAAGGTCGCTGTCGCGTAGTCGCAGTCGAAGTTATGATTACAAGCGCAGTTCTTCGTATAATAGTGAGTTAAATTTTGCATTCTGTGTTCATATTCCGTGATGTTTTTGTGTAGTACTCCCTTCCGGTGTGAACTCCATCGTCTGTTATGCTCTACCTCGGTTCTCTTGGTTCTCTCATGACGTTACATTCATATGCCATGCATATGAAGACATCGATATACATATTATTGAAGCATCCTGGTCGAATATACACTTTTTGTTGTACCGTCCTGTGTTAGTCTTCATAATCACCAAAGGGTGTAGCATTTTTGTTGCAACCTTATTGTCTTAGTGTCAAGTATATAACAACACAAGTGGTCATTTTTGACAACTCAATAAGTATTCGTGTTTTTGTTAGTTATTGATGAACTATCGCCTGTTGAGCTGGTAACCGCTGAGGTGTACTGAGTGTCGATCATTGTCCTCCCTTTTTCTGTGTTTCATCTTTCATCTGTATGTATAATGGACGCATAACTGGGTATCAATTACGCCTGATGTTTTTTTGTGTGTGTTTAATTATTTCCCCTGTATAAGTTATTAAAACAAGGTTTTGTTTTTATATATTGCATTTAAATATTATTGCGAATGGTTTGGTTATATGTTTAACATATTTCTCAGGAGATCGCAAGAAGCACTCTGCAGAGCGAACGAGTACCGCATCACGTGCAACGGCATGGAAGCAGCCACCTGATGGTGGCGTGCGTGACGAATCACAGTCGAAACCTACTGCTACTGCTCCAACTCCTAGTTATAAGAAACCTATGCGTACACAGCGTTTCGTTCCCGTGTTACGCTATGGTGCGAATAAATATGAATCTGAGGACTTTAGGTCTCAGCGTATGCAGAAGATGGAGGCGTATAATCAGCAGCGTAACGTGATGTTGAATCAACGTAACGAGCATCAGAAGCAACTGGCTGATCTTACTGCACAGTTGAACCATTTGGTATCTCAGCTTGCTCTTCAGCCTAAGGATGCTCCTGAGCGTGAGGACTTGAATCGTCAGATTCAAGATATTAGGTTTAACATGAAGCAGTTACAGATGAGCAAGGATGTGAAGCCTAACAAGCTGGACAACCGGAAGACAAAATTATTATTTAAAGAGTTGCCAGACTGTGCAAAGGGCCCTGGCAAGCTAGCGGAATGGATCGCTGGTAATTCATTGATCCTCCAACCCAAACAAATCGCAATGCTAGCTACTACCGGCGATGGTGCGGTCATACAATATAAAAGTCATGATACAGCAGATATGGTATGTTTTTGAGAGCTTCTGTGATTGAGGCTAATGGCGTTCCAGGTATTGCGCTCATGCAAGCTCCATGGCATTGCGGTCTGCTGGGCGGAATCTGAGGTAGGTGTAACGCCATTTTCAGGGAATGGGAGTTCTGTGAAAGGGGATAGTGGCCATGATGTAGATTATAATCTCCTGTGAGCTAATTTTTTCTTTTGCGCCTGCGGGCTATGAGTTATAGGCAGAATGTGCAACATACACATAGATTTAATAATAAGTGGCATCGTGTCCGCGGGTCATTGATATATGAGCCTTATAGGTGGCAAAAGTGCCCAATTATATGGTTTCGCACTGTGTAGATGGCTGTTCCACTGTTTCCGCGATCACTAAAAAAAGCGCCGCCAAATGCAAAAACCTACAGATTCTAATATAGGCAAGCTGCGTTTTATGCAGCATGGCAAGAAGCCTGAGCCTACTAGACCCGTGAAAGTCGTCGAACGCTTGCTCACGGAGGACACTGCGTGGGTTGTCGAGGGATTCGAGGAAGTTCACAAGGCTTACAGTGATGCAAAACATCAAGATAATAGCAGGTTAAAAATCAGGTATCCTAGTAGGTAAGTTACAACCATCTTATGTTAGTGTTTGTGTGTCAGCACTTACTTTATGCTACCTCCGTAAATATTTTATTTTAACATTTATCACTCTGAAAGTGACCACACCGTTCCGATTATTTCCATATATAATGGCGCTCATGTGTGATTTGCAACCCATAACCTCTACACATATGTGTGTATACATTAGACAAATGTTGATGTGTTGTAGGCGATCATTTAACGGCGCCAACCCGTTTATCGAGCGTTTCATGCAATCGCTTCGCAAACGCCGTAAAGATTCCAACAGTCAATAATTGATTGTTCGGTGCGCGTAGGCAATCTGTTCCTGTCGTGCACAAGGCCAACGAAAATACGGGATATGCACGACCCTGTATCCTTCTAGGCCTAACATGAACCTCTTTAGTTTTGAATTGTGTGTATATGTCAGTAAGCACTCGTCCGTATCCCTATGTAGCAAAGCGTTTACCCTGTACTATATGGTCAATTTGGTTTTCTTTGGCCTACCTGTAGTTCAGTGCTGTATTAAAATGATAGGGTCCATCTATTTCAACGGCTACCTTATTTCGACGAAGTATTAAGTCACATACATGAGATCCAATTCGTACCTCTTCCTCCGTTTCGATTCCCAAGGTTGCCAAAACGCTGGCGACTTGTCGATGGAGGTCACTTGTTCGAAAATCCTTTGCATATTCCATATTACCCGTTGCTGTTATTGAATATAAAACGTCGAGATCGGGTTCGTTCATAATTTTACTAAGGTCAACACCCTTTGATGTAAGGTATGATACCAAAAGGCGGACGCTTCCACGAACCCCGTTGATGGCATCGGATATACCCTCGCAATCGTCTTGAATGAGTTTTGTGTGATTATCTACCAAATATATTATGATGTTTATGCCGGTCTGTTTTTTATATTTGGTAATCGGTAACCTATTAGCATCCACCAATCCTCCTATAATTTGGCTAAACGCGATAAGCAAGGTAGGTATACTACGCTCTGCAGCAGCCAACGATTTAAATTCATTGTAATCTGCTAGGCGTTGTAGAATTTGTTTTTTAAAACTTCCAAAGCGAACTTTACACTTTTTAGCCATATGTAATACTATACCGATATTGCGCATTGACTTCGTTCTCAGTAATGCTGCCTTTTGTTGTGCCAGCATACTCCTTAATATATGAGAATTTATCGTACAATTGAGATGAGATGAAAGTGTCATATAACTAATAACTGCATTTTCATGCCGACGCCTAACTCTTGCAACCTGTTGAACGATTGAGCGTCCTAGTAACACAATAAGCAATGTCAACTGGTCATATCCATGTAGTTGTAATAGGTCTCCATATTTGTTACAGCACGATTTGCAAGCGCGTGTATTTCCAGGATTGTTGATATTAACTTCGCATACTGGTACTAGCACTTCTTGGAAGTCATGTTGTAATATGCAGTGACTACTTGAAGATGGTTCATCTTCCAAGTTTTCATGTTGAACACTTTCGCATGATGTCGATATGTTATAGTGATTGCTTTGTTTTTCTGGCGTTATAGTCTGACGCTTAATTTTAAATCCATGTTGAAAGTCTTCATTATTTGAGGTAATACCGTTTGCAGCTTCGTCCTGGGCGATTAGGCAATTTGGCCGATTGAACCTTACATGCCTCAATACAGTACATAAGCGTTGTGTTTGATTCAGTGAGAATAGTCGGCGGTTCCCTTTTAGAATACGATGATTCATTTCACAAAGCATTATTAGTGGTATGTCGATTCGTTCTTCGTTTTCTCTTAAATCCCTAGAATGTAACACTTCTAGTAATTCTACGAATTCTTCTGCTTTTAATTGCGATAAATAACGCTGGAAGTTGGTAAATAGTACACGTAAGTCCTCGGCCCGGTCGAATATCCCCCTTCGCAATAATCCCATGAAATCAGCGACATCATGATCATACATTCGTTCAAGATAGGTTGCTGCTGTTGTAGAGGGTGTAATTGTGCTGGTTTGCTTCCGTTCCATGTGATACACTGTGTGGAATTTTGCTTTTTCTTGAACCGCATCTACGGGCACTTTACGCCATATCCCAGAACAACGTCGTACAAACATTGGTAGCTATGGTGGTTGGTTTCAATGTGACACATACAGTTCTCCATAACGTATCATGTTGAGTTGTCTAGCTTTATAATCTTAATGTACCTATTGGTAATCCGAATGTCTGCTGTAATGTGTGCCATGTTCCTTAGGAACTAGCGTAGTGCTAGACACACACATTGACGGGGTTATATGTGTATTTGAAGATTTTGGTTATTATTCCTCCGATATAATCGGAATATGACTCTGAAGAAGAAGGAGCTTGACGGCTATCGCGTTGTAAGTTTCTTATGTTTTTGTGGCTGAAGCTTAGATATAATGGGTTCTATGTAAACTGTATTACTTATGACGTCGACAGTTCATGTGTCCATGTGTTTATGGTTACATTACACGGATGGAAATAACTACCAGGTGCCATAGCTGCGATTGTTAAGTGTATAAGTGGTATAGATTTTCGTACAATTTCACGGATATGTTCCATAGAAGCTATGTTACAATATTGTTTGCCTATATTTAGGTTTATTTCATGTTATTGCAGGGTCCTTTTTCTAAAGAGGAGGAGCAAACATTGCGTAATGCCGTTGATGATTACATAGGTAATTTGCATGGTATCGATCGTGACGAAGCACTACGCACGTTATTCCGAAAACGTGGTCGGTGTCTTTCTCAGGGTGTTACTCTAGGATGTACAGTGTTACCTGAGCGTCACCCTAAATCTGTATACAACTTCATTCGTCGTCGTATAGTTCCACATAAGACTGGTAGATGGCAATGTGACGAGTTATATGTTCTGCTGAATCACTATTTTCACAATGAAGATGATTACACAAAGGCATACGAAAACAAACGCAAGTGGCGTAGCGTGTCACAACAGACTGGTAGATTACCAGAACAGATCCATGACAAGTGGAAGGAGATAGGTCCGCATGTCGAGGTGTATAGACCTATTTTTGAGGATGCATCGTTATCTGAGAGTGAAAAGGTAGAGCGTGTATCGCAGTTATCCATCCATAAGGGTGATGCCAGCAACAGTCAATGTACGGATGGTGAGAGCGATGATCGTCCACGCCATGATCTTATTAGTTCATCGCAGAAGGGTAGGCTGATGGATGACATGATGCGTAAGGAGTTACATGATTATATTAGGTCCTTGGTAAACAATGGTGTAATTCAGCCGCCGATTGTACATAACATACCTTGGAGCATTGTGCGAGAGCAATTTCCCGAATTATCGCAGTCACACTTACGTCTAACATGGACATTGTGCATATTACCTAGTGTTTTGGAGCGTCAGATTTACGGTCTCAACAGCCTGGTTGTTGGCCGTGCTGCTGTGTATAAAGTGTACAAGGATCGTTTATTTGAAGAGCGGTTGAGCCACATAGATTTTAGTAAGCTTTTTCCTCAGTTGCCACAGTTGTATGTGATAGTGTGTCTTCGAAAGCTTCTTAAAAAGTGCGTCGACAGTTTGCGCAGTGGCACCCTTCAAAATGTCGACGTCTATTATAAGAAGCAGCTTGTGAATGATGAATCTACTTACCTAGCACTTATAGGGGCTACTGCCACGTTACCTAGTGCGTCTGATGCTGTTTCTGAGGGTGACTCATCCCATGATGAGTGCTCTGCAACAAATGACGAAGAGTGTAACACGCAAGAACTATCATCAAAGATGACAGTAGACGAGTCCCCTGTAATATATACTCCTGCAGGTTGTATAACAGTTACTTTGCGTCGCCAGCTCAGGCTAGCATTTTACGAATCTCAAGCTAAACAGCACCACGAACGTGACATGGAGATACTATCACGTATATCTGAAACCTCGTTACCACGTATGATGAATGATTATAATACTATTAATTGAGATAGTCTGTCCTTGCCATAGCTTCCAATTCACGTTTGGAGTAACCACGGGAACCATCTTCGTTATTGGAAGTTATATTCATACGTTCATGCAACCTGTTTAGCTTGTTTATTTCGGATAGTATACAAATTGCTCGTTCTGCATGCTTGGTATCTAGGTTGTGTGCTTGGCATTTTTTCATCACTTCATCACGACCTCTGGGACCATTAGCCAAACGGTCTGCATCTTCCTCCGTTATACACGTTGGCAATTCTGAGCGTAGCCGATCAATATATGTTTTTGCACGTTTCTGTATTTGATCATGGTTGGCGCCATCAAACTGATTTGTTAATGTTTCAGTTAAATTTTGTAGTATCACAGTTCTCGCCTTTCTTTGTACTTTTCGAAAATTTATGACATCTACACAATGTCGCAAGAATGCATATTTCCGATGATAGGCTTGTTCTTCTGCACATCGTACGGATCGCCAGCAGGCACGTTCGAAGTTTGCTGAAAGGCGTTGTATCTTGTCTATTTCATAACGACGAGAGAGCCGAGATAGTATCCCCAGTGCTTGTAAGCTTGTTGTCTTTACCCTTGCTCTATTCCACATCCTATTTACGATGCAATATAATGAGATATTAGTCCATTTGAATGGTCTCCGTATCTCTTTAGGTGTGTATGGCAGTGTCCGCGCAGCATACGTTGAGCGGTACGGCTCATAATGGATAGACGTTATAAACGTTGAATTGGCATTGTATTATTTTATCATATTAGGTGACATTGTAAAACAATTAACAAATTGTTTCTTAGTGTGTGATACAATCACATAATGTGAGTTACACACCTCTGGTATCATAGGTGTGTTTTTTAGTTGATTGTCATTGCACATTACCATATAAGTGGTTAATCAATCTGTTTAGTGGGTCCGATAAAGTGCGATAACGACCAATTATAGAAGCTTCAACAATAGCTTTCGGTTGGTTGGTGTATTCCACTCTATCCGCTTAGCCCTTTGCCATTCGTTCGTCTCGCTTAACCTTCTAATAACAAACGGGTCGTCGTATGTGGTATATATATAGCTTGAATTGTCTATACCGGCTGTAAGGTCAGACACCATATCACGAATATGAGCAAGTACGACATATTCCTCACATTGATCTTGTAATAAGGTTTGCATGATAATTTCCGTACAATATGTTGATGAATCTGCTGGTGTAGCTTTCGTATCGGCTAATGGTTGCGTGTGATAGTCGTATGGCATTTGCATTCTGCATAATGATACAACGTATGGCGTACCATTAGTATGGCACCCAGATATCAATTTCAACACTTGTCCCTTTTTAGCAGCACGACAATGTACATACGAGGCCGATTTGTGTAGCTGTATCTCATCTTCACTTTTTTTGAATACGAAACAGCGCACGGCACCATCGGAGCATCCTGCGATAATAGTAGTACTGGAGCTGGCTGATGATTTTTTCCTAAAAGCTAGACAATTGACATCACATCCATCGTCAGTATTTTGTTTCACAGCAAAAACATTGTCAATATCGACTTTTTTGGTTCCTGATCCATTATCTATGAGAGGAATGAATATGAGCGCAATCAGCCCCTTAGTAAACCCTATAGCTGCCCAGTGTCCGTTGCGATTTCGGAAAGTGCTTGATATGTCATTAATAATCAAACATAGAGCCTGGTAATTTTCTGTTTCAATAGGTTTCTTTGAAGTCAGTTTAGCTCCTCCGGTGATATCAAAGAAAGTTAACTCTCCGTCAGCAGCCAGCATGACTACTATCGAAGTTCCCGGTACTCTGTCAACATCCACACAACTTTCTAATGTAGTTGATGTCACTTCTGTTACTGGAACCACCCGTGTACTTGGATGCACGAAACCATCCAATGTTAAAGGGTCATTTGTAATCTGTGTTAATCTCTCGACTGTCTTGTCACTAGTATCCCAGACATATAGATACCTGTGATCAGCATATTATTGTGGATATAATATGTATGTGGGCAAGTAATTTGTATAATTGTTCGGAGTAACAGTGTATTAAACGGGAAAGGTAAGTGTATCTATTGACCATCATGTTCTGGGTGGGAATATGTAAAGGTATGAAAATCAATAATATTGCCATTATTGTATACGTATGGTTACATGATTGTCACTAAGTGTTGGATAATATAAAATGTATACTTACCCAGCTGAAGTGGAGCATACTAGTTTCTCGAGATCGCTCAATACTAACATCCGTGTCGGACTGCCGCACATGAAGTTATATAGTCCTATAAATGCCATGGTTTCCCTATTGTATAATGCGATAAATGAGCTACATCCCAGGAATCCAAGGAATACTAAACGCTCGTCCATGGCTACGGCGCCAATATCACACATTGATTTAACGTCACGAAACATTTTCACAAATTCATATTAAAATACTATTTAGTATAAGTAAAAGGGTAATGAGTCGTGGTTCCGAGCGTGATCACCCTGTGGGCTACTGTGTTGCAAGTATGTCATATCGTATATCGTCATAACTTTCCATTTTTGAAAGTGTTTTTTTATTTATCTGTTGTTTGTAACAATTGTAGTGCTTGGTTATATTTCTCTATAGTCGCAGAGTAGATATCGGTACCTAGTTTGCGTTGCTTAGCTTCCATTTTCTCAATAGCTGATTGTAATCTTGCTTTAAGCTGTTCTTTACTCGACGAATCAGTTTCATTATTCTTCTCCTTGCCTTCTAATAGCTGTCGAACATCATCCTCGGCAGATTTGAGCGATGCTTCAGCTCGCGCTGCACGTAGAACTAGCTGTCTCTTACGCGGTAGAATCGGTTTCCCCTTCCGGAATATTTTCCGCATATGTTCACCCTTTTCTTTGACATGTACTTTCAGTACCCGTCCGTCTATGAAATAGTTGTTCATGGCGTCGGCGGCGATTGCTGCGATCTCGTGGTTCTCGAACTGTACATAGCAATAGCCCCTTGAATTACCAGTCTGAAAAGAAACATTATCTTAATTTAGAAAATATGAATGGAGAGGTGCGAACTACCCGTTAGAATCCAACACCTCTACAGCAATACCATATCTCATGTGTATGTAGGAAAAATCACGTATGAGATCAACAATATAGCGATGAAACTGTAATGATATGCACTTTGTGGGAAAACCCAGCAGGTTTCTATGTAGTATCTACCTTTTTTGATATCATGAGCCTTATCTTGACGACCTTACCGAATTGATTGAAATATGTCCTTATATGCGATTCTGTGAGTGTTTTCGGCAGATTACCGACATAAATCACATCACTCTTAACCTCCTCATTGTCATCCATTTTTAATGGAATCTTATAACTGAGATGCCCCTGTGCTGGACCCCGTGATGGCTAGTCAGATTCCCATGGGAGGTGTATGCCTCTGGGTAAAAACACTAGGTTTATAATGTAACTAATGGCACTATGGGAGCCATATAAAGTTCTATATGTTTGAATGATGATACTGTGTATGGTTCCTAATGTCAACAGCAGGTGCGACTGGGTATAGATTTTGTTCTTGAATCAATGACACTTTACATGATCCACTAGATGTTGATATCAGCGTTAATTATGTGGATATGTCATAATTTTTGCAATGGGTACCTGACATTATGTTTTCGTATTTCGTAATTTTTTGGCCTCATAACCTTGTTGATGAACACGGTCATACGTATTACTTTATAAAATGGATAAGGGCACTGAAAATAGAATGACAATATAGAGTGGATACTGTGCGTGATTATATATATCGCTATCTTATATGTTAGCGTAGAGGTATAATTTGTTATAAGACAGCAGCATATACCGTAGCTGCAGCAGCATTAACCGCTTACCTATATCTACGATCATTAGTATTTTTATACTGTCAGCAGCTAAAATTTTGATTAATAGCAGTATATGAGGTAGAAGGTTGCCCGGGCATTATATCATTAACCATTATTCCCTTAAAAACCAACCATCATAATTGAACCCGTACCGGATGCTATTTGACATAATGGCAGCTAACTTACTTGTAGCGTGCATAATTATCAATCTAGTATCATTGTTGATATGTGTTTTGCCAACATATTCATTGTTCATAGATTTGAAAAGTGATGAGTTACCATCCTGCGTTGAAGTTTATGGAGGAACATTTTCTGATGGAGGCGTCTATAGGCTGATACTTTCTAGAACTCCCCCAATCATTGGGGTGACTTATGGAAATCGATGGTTGCGTCCTGTGTCAAGCGGTTCTGCTGTCACAAGGGATATGTTCATTCAGGAATATCGTCGAGGTGACACGAAGATAATAGGTGTTAGCCATTTTACGGGGAAGAACTATGACTACTTGTATACGGCATATTATAAATACAGGCCTGATATTTTAGAACTTATAACCCGCGAAGCGAAATCTAAATTCCTGAATGGTCCTTTATTTTTGCCAGTTGATATAACATCTGAAAGACTTCATCCATTCATATTGAAGACAACGTTATACGAGCCGGTTGTTTCTATTACCTGGGCTCCTTTGCCACGTTCCCCCAACTATAATCCGCGGGACATATTCGCGCGTGTAAGACGTCGTAATGAAGTGATTCAACTGTCGCCTATTTTTAACATCGACCCGCAAATCAGTGATAGTTCATCTAACGCATATCTTAACGCGCACTGTGAACAACTGCTCATTGTTCCCGGAATACATAGCATAACGATAGTGGTCCGCAAAGAAATTGGTACTGCTAAACACAGTATACGCATACCACCTATAGTGAACGATGTATTCCGTCCAAGCAATATAGTGGTTGGTGAATATCGATTCTGTGAAACTAGGAATTATTTTTACCAGTCACTGTTCAGCATTGTAACTATTGACGTTGCCAGGCCAGACGCCAGTGTGAAGGGTGTTGTTATCCTTGCGAATCTTAAACGTGGAGTTTGGTTGTATACTCAGCATTCTGTTTTACCAGTGCAAGATCAGATCTATACTCATGTTCGGGTGATTAATTCGCATGCTAATTTGGAGTTATTCCAGGTTGATGATGATGCTTTTGTTACGCATGTCGAGGTGTTCGATAACCTTCGTAGTGGTGTGCAATATGTTGTGATTAATTATGAGAAGCTGCATGAATATGACAGTCTGAAATTGCACAAAATCTACGTGCGTCAAATCGCGGAACAGGGTATCACCTATGTGGACCCCCGAAGTATATATCCCCTGCCTTATATGGAAATGCTGCATAACATCAACGTTGAAGAGACAATCACACCAGACAATGGTTCGAGTGACTCTCTGCTGGATTTGCCTTTACCATTATCAACCCTCGAAGAGATGGTAGATGATGTCGGTTATAATTGATGTGAACGATTCGCAAAGAACAGACCGTGACCTCATTCGTTACAACTATAACTTTTGATTAACGACTAATGGACACATAGTGAACAGAAACGATAATGGTTGTAGACAGACATGGTCTAAGGTATGAGGAATAACCTCATTAGTGTTATACATTTTTTTCACGAACCTAAAAAATTACATATCACGATTTATCATTTTGTGAAGTATGAATAACCGTAACGTCCTTTGATAGTTTATCAACAACGGAAAAGCTAGTTATCACTTGGTGACTATATTTTTCAAAAAAATGTTGCTAATTATGAGTCGCCGTGTGATATAGTTGCCAATAGACAAATATACCGCACATAATTCAACTAATTACATTCATTTTCGATGACAATGAAAACCGTGTTGCAAATGTGTGGGTGGGTTTCCCTCAAGAAACATGCTGATATACCACAGAGAAGATGATTCATCCCTTCTAATTATATCGATAAAATATGTTGATTTATGTAATATTTAAAACAGGTCAAAGTCACCTTTGTGGTTGAAATATACATGAGTTCGAAACTGAACCAGCTTATTAATTGCAATATGATATGAAACTGTGGGAAATATTAACCCTTTCTTATTATAAGATTCTCTAATACTGTCTCAAGATTAATTTCAACGGATTGTAGTAATGGAGATTACTAAAACAATGAAATACCATTTGTCTGGGATTCGACCACTCTATGTCAAGGTTATAAGAGATCTCGTTGGACTGCGGCTGATTGAACGTCTTTAAGCTGCTTCTTTGTCCCTGATGGGCGGCCACTGCAGTTATCTGGCAGCAATGTAGGCGATATTTGGCGTGATGGCCACGTGGCCTATGTAAAACTTCACATCAGCTAACAGAGATGTGATTTCAATGTTAGCTACTATGATCTGGAGACCACAGACCCGTGGAAAGGCTCGCGTATGAGTGTTGCTCAGCCTATTAACTGGCGAGTATTGATTCGATGAAGTATGTTAATAACATAGAAGGGGTGTGTATTGCCTCTAGGCAGCTGGCTCAGTTGAGTTGGTGACTGAATGCGCGGCGGAAATAAAACGCAGTAGCTAGGTATGGTGATCTCAACAACAGCTCAAATCATGCATTCGACTACAACATACCAGCTTGTAAAAAATGGAGTAACTCACGGTTACCTATTTCAATGTTTCAAGGCTAGGCTACTGGACAAGAGATGTTACGAGGAACCGCCATGAATGGCGTAAAAGGGGGGGGATAGAGTCCAATTGCAGTCTCCTGTCACGGGCAATATGTAGACGATGCTGCAGTGAGACTTTGGTAGCCTGCTACAGCTATTAAATATCTTCTTTTCTCTCAAAATAATTCTAGATTGACAGCAATATGGCATGTGGGGAACAGAGGGCTTAGGTTGTCTAATGGGTACATGGCCATGAGCTCGAAAAGCTGCGTACAATGATCTAAAACAACAGCCGGTTGAACAAAGCACTCCGTCACGACTTTAGTTCATGCCTTGTAGTCGCTATATTAGCGGCTTTACATAATTAGACAGCCATGGAGTAGAACACCGGGTCTCAATTTTGCATTCCGGTGAAACGATGACACATGAATGGAATAGGGCACTGTTCGATTGTCATCTTACCCATATTATCACACTGAAAGGTAATATATATCACGAAGTGATATAGACATCCATCACGAGAAAACTTTCACCTATGGTTGAAACGTAGGATGGAAGATTTCAGGAGGCTTAACGGCGGTATAGGCAGGTCCCCCGCTGGCCAATTGGTATTGCTCCTACTAGGTGTATGGTTAAAATTGGTTAGAGCGGAGAATCTTAAAAATGCGGAAACAATGCTGTCAATCAGAATGTCGGTAGACTATCCACAGTAGAAAAATGCTTTTGTGCCTTGGGTGTACTGGTAGTGCTGCTTTTTGTTATCGCCACGACCATATCTTTTGTCCCGATTTCCGATAAGCCACCCATCAAAGCATCTGTTTTTGTATTCGCCGCTTTAGGTGGCATATGCTTGACCGTATTCATAGTCTGCGGATGTTATCTATATCGTTGTGATGGGAGTTTGACAATGTGCCAAAAAATGTGTTTATGCTTTGGCATACTCTTATTCGTCGCGTCGATGAGCTTCATGGTTGCCAAACTATACAAGGAAACGGGTTATGATGTGACGGGAGATGGAGATAACGGTGCTTCTTACATCAGCGTTGCGAGGGAGACGGGACACGCTTTAGCGGGTCTATCATTAATTTTTTTTGTTGCATTCATGTTTACCGCGTGCCGCCAATGCAGATTTAGGAAGCCACTCAGCACATGCCAGGTAGCATTTATCGTGCTTGGCATTTTTACGTGTATTTGTGTGATCACTCCAATAATAATGCTAATCTTATCGGACAGTGGTGGCAGCCAATCTGTAGGAGGGCAAGACCAGAGTTCCGAAACTGTATTGGACCATTTAAACGATTACATGTACCTCATTGTTACCTTGTGTAGTATTCATATACTCTCTCTACTCTCGTTATGTTATTACATGGGTTTCTTCGGCCAGCACTTCACTGTCACGGAAATCATCTTTGGAGCTCTTTGTATTTTATTCATAATGTGTTTCGTCGTTCAAGTCATCTACAACACAAGATCTAAATCGAAGTATACAGGTTACGCTCCGGCAGTCGTCTTCGCATTTCCGATACTTCTCATAATTGGTATGGTATACTGTGTCCAACGTCTAGGTATAATATAGGCAACCAGCGAACTCCTTAGGAAGACATTTATGCGTAGTTCCACGAATGGAATGGGCTCCCAAAATAATTTAACGCGGAATTCTGTCATACATATAATTAATATCATTATGTAACTCATTTCTCAGTAGCGACTATGCTGCCATGTGGTTTTTCATATTAACGGTAGTCCACAATAGTGAATGATGGCTTGTAGAAGGTGACCTGAGGTTTTACACAAATATATCGTCGACCTGTCATTTGCACATTATCATTTGAAATTTGGTATGCAAACTGAATATGCTCTTGATATTTAGTATCAGTGTGGACCGAAACCTGCCTTTCAGGCAGTAGAATATAACTGCTCTGTCGGCTATGTAACGTTGATCCATGTCATTGGTAAGACATGCACTTGGCAGATTACAGGTTTCAAACGTCTAACAGCTTCTGTGTATGATGTATTGTAAACAGCCTCGCACATATATTAGGTCGATGAACGCTAGAAATTTTCTTTGTTGGTCACGTTAGTCTAGTTTTTAGATTTACACTTCAAATATAACGGAAAAAACAAATAAGGAAACAGGATATTGTTATGTGGAAAGCGTTCGACTTATTGCTACATTGGTAACGGCTCGGTTGTGGGTGTAGTTTTGGGTATTTGCCAATGACATAATCATTGACTACCGCTGTACGGGCTGCGCCATACACTGATTGTCATCTGTAAGATTTTCAGCTAAATTTGTGATATTCTTCATCCTGAGTTCCAATTGGAATCGCAGATTGTGATGAATAATAGAAATTAGACAGTATAGAAACTTAACTTGTAAGAAAAATATTGATTTTGTTTTTGTCCTTCAACATCATCACCTTGTTTGCGTGTTGTTTCTGATTTTTATATATAAATCTGAGGTATAGAAATGGAATGCAAAAAACTTAGGTTGGTAAGGAATCGATTATGTTGTCTATGCTGGTGTACCACGTGCAGCTGAATGTGTATAGCTAGCTATATTATATCACTAGAATTTAGAATAATAAATGGTTTTTGTTATAGTGATAATATCAGATGGAGAGAGTATTAGTGATAAAGGGTGTGATATTGTATAATGTGTTTAATTATGTTTTGTCTAAAACCTATAATACACAGTATGTTATTCATAAATTACATATTGGTGGTAAATGGGATAGAACTGAACTTGGATGCTACGGAATTTCCGTCATGTATGGAAGTTTTTATTGGGACATTCAATGACGGTGGTATTTACAGAATGTTCCATTCCACTGGCCCTGCCATTTCGGTGATCAAGTACAATAATAGTAGAGTGTTGGACAATCCGGGGTGCTGCTATTTCCATACGACGGATGTCTATGTGCAAGAACATAGACGAGGTGCGACGAATATAGTTTCAATTAGTATTTTCTATGGGAAAAATCATCAGTTCCTATTCACAACTCACTATGAGATTGTAGGTAGTACAGCTAATGTGGTACGGCGTAGAAGGAAAATGAATTTTATAGGTGGGCCAGTATCGTTACCCGTAGATCTTACCAGTAGCAAGTTTCATCCATTCATAATAGAGCCGTATCTATCGGGAAGTTTTAATTATATACTGTGGCATGTTGTAGCGGCATACACAGGGCATGGCGATAAAACCAAAATGAGCCGATTGCGCTACTATAAAGAACAATTTGCTTTATCGCCAATTTTAAATATAGACAACCTAACAGTGTGTAGCGATGACAAACCTTCGTTTATAAGTGCACAAATATATAAATTTCACGCGACAACCGGTTGCAGTTGTATAATGATCTGGATAAAATACGGAAGAGCTCATCTAGCATTCACAGTACAAATTCCACCGACAGAAAATGGAATTTTCAAACCTAAGTCAATAATAGAATGCCCATACGTACTAAGACAGCCATATACAGTAGCGGAACATGTGAGGCACCTAAACATAGACATATCCGACTGTAGTAATGCTAACATAGATGTTATAATACTAGGTAATATAAGGAGAGGATGCTGGATATATACACAATTCAACATAGTACCTTTAAGAAACTCGCCATACGTATTAGTAAAGGTCACCAATTCAAAATATCAATGTGACATCTACGAAGCCACCGATGGTGCCATGGTCACGCATGTAGAGTTATTCGATCACGCGGAACATGGTTGGCAGTATGTAGTGATTAACATTGGAAGGCGAACTAGTGAGAATATAAGACGGATGTCTATGTCTAAAGAAATGAAAGTTTATAAACGTATCGACGGTGATGACAATATAGTATACTTTGACCTTAGCAACTTTTGGGTAGATCCATACATAGAAATGCTATATAATATAGATACAGGAGAACCACAATCTGATGAACAACAGGTTAGCAGCACTCAGACAGGTGAATAAAAACATGTAAAATATTAGCTGATCAATCATGTATCCACGACCTGAACTCCATCGTGCAGAAAATGGATATCCTCCAGAGAGATGCCAAATTTCAACTTAAATGTATCCCGTATAGCCTGGAATGGCTCGAGTAAACACGCGCAGTGCGGCTGGTTATCCGTAATGATCTCGTACAATGAACTCAAATGATATGCGAAAAAGTTACCAGGGTCATAGAGGTCAGATTCAAACGTTTCCAAGTGTAACTTAATTACCTTTAAAACTTTCTTAGAATTCTCAACATCGTCAAGGATAAATGATTCGGCGTTGCACAAAATGCGAAATAGATTCTTCCAATGCTCAAATGACACGTAATGGAAATTCAGCATAAATACACAAAATGCATATTGGTACTCACCCAATACACAGGCATATTTCCAACCACCAGTACCTTCACCTTGTGGTTCACATTTTTCCGGTTTCGATAAATAAGTATCCTTTCCAAGGTGATACGATACGATAGAATCGAGCACGTGTGTCGTGTCCAAATGTAATGCCGTAATCCCTGACGGGGTTATATCTTTGCTCAGGTTCATCTCACGGTTCACTTTCTGTAGGTCAGAATAGTAAATCGTACACTGGTCCCTAGGAGCCTCCCATTCAAGCAACCTATCGGAACTAGTCGGTTCCTTGGTCTGCATCTCTGGTATTATCTCATGGTCATGCACTGTAGAATCCGGAGCAGGAACCATTCTATCTGTGCCTTTGGTTCCATCATCTACCTTTTGTTGAAATGTTTCACAAAGTAAGCCAGATCGATTTTTCAAATCTTTCATACGACGAACAATGCCCCTGTAGTCATCAGCTGTGTCCTCTCCATTATTTGTAACGGATGCGATAGATAAGGGTTGCACAGCATTAGTAGCGCCTTCCCCGGTTGAATGCAACTTTGTACATTCTGATTCGTCACTGTTAGCCACGATAAGTTTCCCACTTTCGGCACTATCAGCAGATTCCATCGGTGTAACAGTATTCACATTAACTCCCTCTGACCGTTCTATGGTCTTATTCGTTTTACTTTCGTCCCTACGTGTTTTCACAATGGGACGCAGGAGGCGGATCACATCCGGTGTGATGTATTCCGTCATGTCGCGCCATAATTGTTGCAGCTGTTCTGGTATACGTGACAGCTTTCCGTGAAAGTGTCCGGCCACTAGGGCAGAGTGATAGTTACGAGCTTCGTCCTCCCCCAATGACTCAAAAAGTGGCCCCTCGTCACTCTTGCTCCTTTTAAGTACAGCACATTTACCTTGCAGAATGTAGATAAACTCGCCTAGAGGACGCTCAACCTCATCTGTGTAACATTAATAAGAACGTTAGACACAATGTTACATGATATATAGGTTATTCAGAAAATAAAAGCTAACTGTAAAACAAATGAGTTATGGATAACCAACCGTTGGGTTCGCCTTCCTTAACGTATACGAAATGTGCTCCGGGGGCGAGGTTCACGACGCCTAGAACCTCGCCGCGTTCGGGAAAGCTCACGAAGTCAAACCCGAGCTGCTCGTCATCGCGTTGGTTCAGCACCAGGCAGGCTGTAAGGTTTATATCAGTAGGAGGGGAATCTTCTTCTTCAATATCCATTATAAATGTGATAATATATGGCAACTTTAGTTTTCAGCGTTATAAGACGCCGAGGTGTGGCGCAGTACACGAGGCCACGATATACATTGTGTGTAAGTAGTAGTTGATTAAGTTGAACATTTTTAATGGTACAGCTTTATCTGTCTTAGTAATGTGTAACGCCGAGACTATATAGTAGAAACGCCTTAGGCGATATCACGTCACATCCATTTAATCACTTATATTTCAATGTTACAATTACTGTGAAATCACCTGAGTAGGTCACAAAGTATGTATATGGGTAGCATTAAAACACTTTGTTTCACACGTTAAGATATTAATAAATGTTCGAGTAATTACATGAGCAAAGCCTCAGTAGACACCGAGATAACGGTTCGTAAGATCGTTGCCAAACTGTTATTAAAAACACCCATATAGATGTCCTGATAGATGATGTCACGATAGACAACTTGAAAAAAACTATCCCCGATTCCGGAAGTTGTAACGTGATTCCATTAACCGTCGCAACTTGGCTTCTTGTGCTTCACGCTCAGCCTCGAGCTCGAGTTGCTTAGCATGCTCACGCTCATGTTGAATTATTGCAGCTAATCGTGCCGAAGAACGACGTGATTCAGCATTCGGTAGTTGAACAGTTGTTGCAGTATCCTTCTTTGAACGGGTATCCACCTGAGAAGAACCAGACGATTTGGCATGTCTAGTTGAACCTCTCCGGGTAGGTACATTTCTACTCTTCGGGGAATAATGATCTGCCGAATGTCGCTGAGTTTGTTTATAAGAAACGACATTCCTTGCACTTCGTCTTGTGCTACGGCGTGGCAAAATATCATATTCAGATCCTGCAACCACCGTAGCATGAGTAACCTCTTCCTTATGTCTCTCACCCACAGTCGTACTTTCAGAGGATAATGTAGAATCGACGTGTAGAGGACGCTTGGAAGGACGGATTGGGACATCTTCATCGGCCATAGTTCCATGATCCTCAGAGACGGACCCACGTTCCGGCCTTACAGGTGACGAAACACTTGTAGATCCAACTTCAGTGGCATTGTCGCCCGTGTCTACGAAGAATCGCTCAATATCCGGGAATACGGTTTGACATAATATTTTGCAATACCTATCCGTGTTCATGAGACGTCGAATGTTATCTCGAACTGTTGAAACTGCACGCTCAAGGGCATGTGCTAATTGACAAATTTCACTTGAAGGAGGGTTGAAAAATTCACAGTTACGAACTATCAACTCCAAGTCTGAAATACAACCTTGTGGGCATGTGTAATATGAGTTCAAAATACGTTGGCGAACCTTTTCCAGGGACATTGGGTTAGAAACAGTCTGCCAGTAAATACGAACCCAATGTTCCCGGCTCTCCTCAAAAGTGGGAAGCACATTGAAATCCTCAAATTCTGCATCCAATGTTAAATTTAGAAGCTGAGCTTTAGCATCAGCTGGGAATAAGGATTCTTTCAACTTATCCAACAAAATGGTCTCTGATTCAGTACCTAGATGAACATCCCAAGATGAAAACCATTCTTTTGTAATACCAGATATGGGTTCAACCTTAATACAGTTTGTACCGATATCAAAGGCGACCTGGGCCATCTTACCAACATTGTTTGTACTGAAGTCGCCAACAACTATATTATGAGGACTACTCAGTCTCCACGATCGTTTCAAATCACAGACAACTGCGTCCTTCCATTCCCCCGAATAACGTACCTTTACATGAGAACCAACATCCAGATTACCAAAACGCCACAGACCGACCAGCAAATCGATTACTGGAAGCACGATTACTGCACCGGGGTAATAGAACAAAGAAATGCGCCTATTGTTATCCACCTGACGAAGTGACATAACTGAACATACTCCAAAGTTGTCAGATACAGGACCTAAAATACAGTTATATATTTAATATTATAAAACTAACCGTAGAATCGGTAATCCATCTTCTTCACCTCTAACATTTGTGAAAACGTTTGGAAAGACCAGAACGACGTTATGTTTGCTTTTAGCACACCTTGTTCCTGACGAGGGACAATAACAAGTTCACCACCCTGTGGTATATAAAACGGCTGCAGGTCGTTCTTAGTATCTGAGTAGAACCAAGCTCTTGAATCGTCTCGAAGGAAGAAATCACCGGTACATAGTGGCTCAAGAGATAGAGACCCGTCCATACAGCTCTTTAGTGTACACTCCACGCAATAAAATTGGTCGCAAAGAAGTGGGTCAACAAAATTGCTTATACGCTCCAATATTGCAGGGTTACTATACGCAGTAGGTTGCCGCTGTTGGTAAGATTCGTCATCCAGGCAGAGAAATGCACAAGGATAGTGAAATACACGACTGCAATTGGGACCGTTGCAATGGAGAGTTGCAAAATTGTCGTCACAATATGAGCACTTTAAATGCATACCACGTGTCAACACCTCTGGCAGGTTAGAAACCTTCCGCTCTGCAGTGTCGAACAGTAGGTATGTGGCAGCGGCCAAACAACCTGTGTGAATAACCACGCTACTTCCCAAACGATCATATACCCTTGGCAATTCCTCACCCAGAACCTCTAAATAATGAGGGCTTGTCGCAAAGGGGCCAACCAATGCGTTCTTAGTGATCTTAGATCCACCGATATATACTCTCTGACCCGAACCACGTTTGCTCCTATGAGAGTCATCACCGTGACCACACATAACACATATACCCTCAGATGTTGTACCGTCACGACGACCCTGTCGAGATAGACCTAGAGGGCCTAACATAGTGCTAATGTGCCGGGCATGATCGATGTAGCCACCACCACGTCGTTGCCGCAAGGCGTAGCCCGTAGTAGCACGTTCCGGTGTGGAGTCATCCTCCGATGAACCATATATACGCATCTCACGACGAAGACGGCGTGCCGTACGTTCGTCACTCTTCACTCGGCTAGGTGTGTTACGAGCTGCGGGATCATTCGGAGACCTAGTGGAACCAATACGTTCATCAGCAGATGGTGTACGTGTCGATCTCTGGATCGACGACGAAGATGCAGACGTACCACCCAAACCCCTTCGAGGTGAACCTTGAGATTGCTCTTCATTATCCGAAAGGGTAACAGTATCTGGTGTTGCAGGTGCGGTAACGGTCTGTGCTGCCCTACCGCGGGGCGGTTGAACTCTCGTAGGTTGCGGTCTTGTAGTTATATGAGGTCTGGTACTCGCACGAGAGCCATGGTGCGACCTCATGCCAACATGTGAGCGCACAGTTGAGTGAAGCCTTGAAGTTGTCGTAGTTGACGTTGTTCTGCGCACCGGAGATACTGGAAAGGTCCTTCTCTCAAACGAGGTGGATGTGGTTTGAGGTACTGCAGCAGATTGCGGCCGGGCAGAAATAGGAAGACAAGCGATTATATCACCACGCTCGTTCACCCTAGACTTCACACCACGATGACCAGAGATGATGCTAGCGTACCTCTCAGCTCGCTCAGTGGCTGTTGAAATATAATGGCATACCATACAAGTAGAGCCGCCATAAGGGCATGTAGAACGACGGATCCGCTTCGAAAGGTCCACTATCTTCTCCACACCATAGAGGCACATGAACCAAACTATGAGCTCTATGATTTCACATCCTAAGTAATTTGCAAGATGCCATTGCAAAAACTCAACTATACCCACACTAAGCGGCATGCGACTCAATACAGATATCATAGGCACAATGTCATCAGGTATTGAAAACATTTCCGAAAGACGGTTCATAGAGAGCTGGGTGTCATCCACTTGCATAGGTACTGGTGAACAAGCGTAGAGAACCTCGCAACGGTTGTCATCCAAGATAGTGTGCATGGAACTTGCTGTGTAAAGACGCAAATTCTCATTCGACCCTTTGCCTGGTAGCTCAAGTGCAGGCATTAACGTAGAACCGTAATAGTAACGCCTCATAACCTCTGCGTTACTTTCAGCACCAGTGTAAAATGCCGATGTGTTTATAGGTAACATGTCGCTGTAACCACTTTGATGGTTAAGCGTTGAACTGTAGTTGCTCACTAATCCATCCAAAGCAAACAATGAGAAACACCCGTATGATTGACAAGCGGCAAAATACATGCCACTAGGATGCCAGTCAGCATCAACCCATACAGCATTTGGACCGCAATCTAGCTTCTTCACAACACTCTTGGACTCTACAGATAAGACATAAATGATACCGCCATAAGTGATAGTGAGCAAAAGATCATCAGTCACAGGGTGCGGCTTGACGCAACCAACGTGGTGGCTAATGTCATTGTGCAAAAAGTCAGCCACATGTACACCATCCGACGTGAACACAGAAACACCGGATAATATCGTCCGTGACGCCGTTATCAATTTCTTAACATTGTAACGCGTCACTATGCTGTCAGCGATGAAGATGTAAGTGTCATTCAAAGACCAGGAAATTGCTGTTACCACGTAGTGGTGGCCAGACTCACTCATACACTGCTTGTTAACCTCGCCTTCCTTGAAAAGTTCAGATGTAACGGTAACTCTCTCCTTCACACAATCATCCATCATTGATGGCCTGATACTTGCGGACGTCGAGAAAGCATCAACGCCGTCCAAATGCTTGAGCTTGCGTTCGAAACTCGTTGATGATTCATTTGACGCGTAAGAAACACCCGAGTCAATATGCCTAAAATCAATTTTATCAACATCCGACGAATATAATGTAGAATTTAATGAAGTTCCCGTAACTTTAGAGACATCTGAGGTTTGCTTTTCATGCGTAGGTATGTTGCCGTCATGTTTCGTTAATAAATTCGAATCCGACAAGTTTAATTCACTTGATTTCAACCCCCCTTTATGACTAACCGTAGTAGGATGGCTTTGCATTAATCTGTTTTCACGCCCAAATCCCCTATCAGCGCCATCCAGACCTTCACTAGACGAGTTATCACACTTCACAGAAGCACTAGGTACGCTACGTGGCGAATTTATATTGCAATCATGTGACTTAAACAAAAATGATGGATCCATGACCGTAGGTGGACCTGTAGTGTGATCTGGTTGTGAATCACTGCTGCTAAGCCATTTGGTAAGACATTTCGTGAACAACTGTTTACTCTTAAACCTCACATCATGGCCACAATGAACCCACAGAAACAGCTTACCGTCATCGCTGCCTGTTACATGATTCAAACTGCTATTTGCAAAACAAACGTCGGGACTTAAATCGTGACCACGCTGAACGTGGTATATCAAATCATCGAAGTTACCAGGATCACGATTTACACCATCTAAGGACGCATATCGATGCTCCATATAAGAAGGAAACACAAGACGCGAACTCATGCGACCAAACGGCATACTGTTCTCACCAATGTTCACTGAATCCACTACCGAAATATCACCTTCAAGGGAATAGGAACCAAGCGCATCTCTAATGTGCTTTTCAAACTTGCTACTGTTACTGTTCCAAATGAAGTTAGGTGCGAGACTGCGTGAAGACGTTGGCAAACGACCATTCTCAGAGCTACAGCTGTAGCCTAAAGAACCGTCAAGCAGCGACGAGTGGCCACCCGATCCGGCACGTGGCACCGGTGGAAAGGTAAACGTACGCACACGCTTGAGGCAATACTTACATTTCGACGCTGAATCCATGGCTATTGCCATGTTTGCGTCACAAACGCAGTAGTCGTCACTGTTATGAGACACTGCTGACCTATCCATATCTTTGGACCTGACGGGACAGACTCCTTCTAAGTCTCTCTCAGAATTACCGTCAGCCAGGGAGTCTTTGCCATTGACACGCAGTAATTCGCCCGTAGAAACGTTGAAAAGCGCACACAAAGCATTGGTGGATATCTCCCCGTATTTTCCAGGAACATTGCCACCGGTAACATAGTTGGGTTCCTTATTTAAAAGCATCAATGCCGAAGATACAGCGTCATCGCTCATACGTAGCTCCTCCAAGAACATAGGCTCGATGCCAACGGCGATTAGTGAAGAATTGTCGTACATCAAGGGCCTAGATATATCATAAGCTTTTATGTAATGGTTGAAGAGTTCGACGGTATACAAAGGAGCCACATCGCAAATTATATTGCTCCCACTAGAAGAAACTACAAGGTCAGACATACGATAAATAGACAACTTCGAGTCTGTTGTTACGCAGACTACCAGGGTGTTCTCTATCTCCTGTGAACAACGGTCGCTGAAGCCGGAAGGCTTACAATCAACATTGGCACCTGATGACAAAAAACGACACCACAAGTATTTGAAGGGACTTGATATGCGTTTATGCGCTCGGTGGAGGTTCCCATTTATCTCCCAAAGCCATAACTCACCACCATCACAGCAACTCAATAAAAAGAAATTGTTAGGATGCACATCCAAACTTACTATACCTCCAGCATGCTTTCGCAAACTCGTTATCAATGTACAGTTAAAGGTATGCCACAGCTTTATTATGCCCTCATCGCCACCTGTGATGATCACTTCACCGGTCCTGTCGAACCTGATGCAACGGACCTGTGGAGGCTCATTGTAAGGCTTGTTAGGGTCAATCTCATCCAAGCAGCAATGATGCCCCCAGACATTTATAGCACGCTTTATCGATACGGAAACACGCCTAAGTTGTCGAGATACAATGTGTTGTTCAACACCACGACGACCCATGCGACGGGATAACAGCTGATGGTAGATGTTAACAGGGAGCTCCTTCTTTCTACGATAATGCTTAATTGTCTTAACTGCATTCTCTCGTTGTCTTACTTTAGACACGGCACGATAAAGAACGTCAAAAGCGTCATACGTAGAACTGTCCCGCTGCATCACCCGCGCAAGGTCGTACAGGACCCGACCAAATACATCTGGTAACTCAGAAATAACACCATTTAAATGATCATTGGCAGCTTCTGAGACACTATTGTCACATTTGTCGTCATACAAGGTCTCTTTAGCCTCAGATTGCGTTGACAACGGAGCTGTGTTGGCAGCCGAGGCACCTGGAGGCCACCGACACCTTCCAGCGCACGGCGAACGAACAGAATATTTACGACGACATAACACTTCTTCTATACCATCCAAAAGTGCTAAATCCGGGCGGTGGAGCGCCAACTGGCGCTCTCGCTTCATTTTGAAGCCTCAGGAAAGAAACACAGTCCCCAACGGCATTGTAGAAGGTGTAACATTCTAAGTGATTTTAAAACAAAATACTAAGTCATCTTAGCGTATATTTGGGTTATATTCAACGTGGTTCACTGGCTCGACACCTAACAGCCTCACTGATGGTGATTATTCTACACAACGCGGCATAGACGCCCTGAATGTGTAAATCTAATTAACGATTCTGGAACCTTTTTTTAACAGCTACAAGTTATTTACGACACCGTCGATACATTGACAGACTGGAACGTGGTTGACTCACATGTCTGTAACGCAAAGGGAACCGATATGTTTGAGTTATAACTGCTGACGAATCCCTCACATTGCTAAATGTGACCCTTTGAAGGTTACATAGCGTACTAAGTACTCTCTGACGCTCCCATTATGATATTAGCTACCATTTTAACTGACCTTCCTATAAAAGGCGATAAACTCAATGTTAGTGTGTATCCGCACTCCGCAGACCATGCCCAGCATGGTGGACAGCACCGCTATACGTTTTATTGTATTAAGTCAGTCGCCGAAAGGCAGACCCATCCATGTTACATGTAACAATACGTCGTTATCACATAAAAACAAGTATTGACACCTCTATAAACACTTCCGACGTTGTAATTAAACAACTCTGTCTAAACAGGTTTTGTGACCTGAATGGGTCAGAGTAGATGTAACACCATGAACTGCATGAGTAGGCCATATGGCCTCTCTAGGCACTTCGAAAAGGCAATAACAGGTGAAATGGAAGCATCAGATGTGCCTTTAAGGGTACAACGACAAAAATGGTCATGTGGTTCAATTATAGTTGACGAGAGTGCCATCAGTCGGCATGGAGAGCAAGGGGCATGTAATAAGATGGGCTAATTTTACATGTAGTTACACAGACGGTACCCAGACGTCATGAAACACGCATATAACTGATACGGAAGTGTACAATAGCGAAAATGATTAAAAATATGGCCACCAACATTACCAAGGTAACACCAAGGAATTAGGCAATAGATAAGCACGCAGAATACCAAGCAGCATATGTAAATTAATGTGCAACGTATTTATAACGAATCAGAGATATAATAAAAGCGCCGCATGAGCCACATGAAGCGCAAAGTCCAACGACTCGTACAAAATTACATATAACAACAAAACTCTCAGATACACATTTCAGCTGCTGGCTCACAATACAAATATAATGAAGCTCATATTGATGTATTTATAATGAAATGAATACAAGTAGTCAGTGATATCATCACATCGCGAGCGCCAACATCACAAGTTACACCCACCGAGCAACGTTCGATGCGAAAAAGTTCGCAAACTTATACGATAAAATTAAATCTTATAAATGTGATTAGTTTACACCGGGAATCAAAATCTGCTGTTATTCAATAGGAACACTACCAACGACGTAGCTTCTCTTCTATACTGCAGAATTGTCCAACCAAACAGCAGTCCATCTAACATAAGTCGTACATAAAGGGGACTTTGTGAGGATAGTAAAAATTGATATACGCCTTAGAGGCGTATCAGAACGCAAAATGGGTACTTACGTCAAGCTCTCTGAAATCAAGAGGCTTCGAGCATCAGATGAACAAGTTTATCAACATGATAAACAAATCAAAAGATTCTTCAATGCCAACAAAATAGTAGGTAGCGGGAAAGAAAACTCACCCGTATGCCATGTCGCATTTTCACCAAAAGGAAATGTAGTATCAATATGCTCTGCCACCAAGGTAAGAATACATTAACACATTCGTTTATGAATACGTATGAAAACTGTTTATTGTGAAGGTAAAACCTGTGGAACCTTTAGTATCCGCCATAAATCTCTATAACAACTCTTATCGTGTTCTCCGTCTGTTCTTACATAGAAGGTCTCTAGATTTCCCAGTCATGTCTATATCCTTTTGTTGTCTTGACTGCGTCGTACTGCTGCGGTTTGAAAACTGCATTCATATGAATATGAAAAAAAGGGATCTAACATAATTGTGTCAGTTAGGTATACTCGTGAGGTAATGTACAATATTCATTTAAAAACATCATATTTTTATAATACTTCACAACTCATGTTCAAAGAAGTTAATATGCATTTCAGGTACTCTTCTACAACTATATTGAACAGAAAGTCGTTCACACTTACAGTAATCCTAAAGAATTTGTAAGATGCTGCGCTTACAGGACAGATGGCAAAATGGCCGCAGTTACAGACGACGGAGGATGGGTACAACTAATCGCTTTGGAACTAAAGTCAAACTTAAAAAAATGGCGTGCTCATGATGCGGCGTGTCATGCTGTACACTTCTCATCATCAAAAGTAAGATTCATGACGGGATGTGATGACGGAGTGGCCAAATTGTGGGACACAACCACTGGAGAATTGGTAGAACAGTACAAGTTTCATTCAGATAAAATTAGAACGTTGACATCCTTCTCAGGATCAGAACACTTGTGGGTTACAGGTGGATATGATGCAATGGCATACCTCTTCGATGTAAGAGATAACACCAAACCACTCGCCAAGGTAAACCACGGAACCCAAATTGAGTTCGTGGAAGTGTCAGAAAACAATAACGTACTGCTCACCGCAGGAGGCAACAGGGTCAATTTGTGGGACATAACAGCAGGTCTTAAACTACTATATTCATTCGAACCTCATAAAAGGACGGTAATAAGAGGATATATTAGGGAAGCCATAATAACAGCGTCACTCGACGGCACCGTCAGGTATTTTAACTATTCATCAGAGCACCAAGGAGGACATATTCCTGTTGATGAAAGGGACGCAACTTCTCTAAATGGATCGGCGTTAACTCAAAGTGCGATCGAGAACACGGATAGCAGTACAACCTATAAATCCGATAATGACACTGGTAATGAAAGTGATCAGGAAGGTGTTAACTCGGTCAAGGGCACGGTTGATACCGGTCACGTAGGAAGCCCGCAAAACAACATCGCATCTAACACAGACCTGCATTCAGATCATAGCAGCTTTGTCACGCCACAGAGTAACGTAGAGGTTTCACCGATGGACCACTTTACGCCAATGAGCGAAAATAGGAGATTCTCCGATGAAGGAGGGAATACGCCAATAGGAAATAACGATGCTAATATAGGGGAAGTTATCATCAAGCCATCCGATGTAAAGACAGCGAGCAAAACAGAAGAACATGTAATATCTCTGAGACATGTATACAGATTCAGCGATCCAGTTACCGCTTTTGCAGTCTCCGCAGACGCAAGTTCAATCGCCGTCGGTACCAGCTCAGGTGAATGGATAATTAGACACAATAGCAAGGAATCAGCTGGTGTTATAACGCATCCCAAAAAGATTGTCAAAGTAGAAGAAAACTTAGTGGAATATAAATCCCCAAAACTCACGCTACTCGATAGGCTAGTCAAAACGTTCCAATACCAGGCAGCTCTGGACTTGGCGCTATCTCTCACACCGGATCACGTGTACAACCTGGTTGAGACTTTGGTACTGCGAGGAAGCCTTGCAACTGCAGTTAGGGGAAAGGATGAACAGACAATATTGCCATTGTTGAAGTTCGTTTCGGCACATCTCGGTGAGGACTTGCAAAACACAAACACGCTCTTAGAACTTGGCAACGCTGTAATAGATAACAATATATGGCTCGAATCGTGTGATAACAAAAATGTTATACAGGAACTGAGGAAAATTCCAAGCAAGATTAACTTCGAACTTTTTCAACACAACATTCTACACTCCCTAAGCGGAACACTAGACCTAATACTCAATCGACCGATGTCGACAAGTCGACCTGAGGAATAAAAAGAGACCATAATGGTTAATGGTTGTTGCATGATTGATGTTCCACACTCGGATTACACGTGGGATCCATACAAGGACCTACCTTTAGGCGTGTATTTACAAGGTCCCATGGTCCCTCTAACAATTGCCATAAAAGGCATCAACAACAGCTATTCACAACTAATTGTGGAATGCGTTCACTGTGTTCATATCGATTGTTAGATCAAATTGTGTCATGCATTTTGCATATTAGTATCAGTTGCCCATGGCTCGCGCTAAGGTACCATATTAAATAGATACCTAAACTCATAAGCATTTTCATTTCAACGCTCTGAGTTAGTAGATACCATACCACGCATCTTTGACATGTGCTCAATCAGCTTAACACAGTAAGGACGCAAATCGTCCAACTCTAGCGATAAACGCTGAAGTTTCACTGTTATATCCGATATATAGCGCGGACACACGGCAAGCGGATCCACAGCCCGGGACGAGGGCAAAACAGAAACATTTTGCAGAAACCGAAGCAATGACCCTTTACCAATAAACTTATCTGAAAGATCATTGAGCTCATCGAAGTCGAGGAACATCTCAACCCATTTGGGGGATTCGTCTGCAACGGTACGAGATCGCTCTGTAAGATAACAATGCGCCAAATTCGAAACGTGGCCCAAAAGAGGAACCGACTCTTGTATCAGCAACAATTGCAGATTCGTAAAGAGAGCTACCACAAGACCTTGATCTATTTCGTCAGTGTTCAGTAAGCAGTCTAGAAGACTGCTAGTGTCATGCATGTTCAGGTGCAGCAACGAGTTCCTGTTATGGATGGACAGGTCTCTACACAGTTGCTTTTTCAAATTTTCTTCAATGTCAAAATGAAGCGCGTAACTCAACACGCTGATTATGTCTCGTGGAAGGGGCTCAGTAGGGTTACCCTCTTCCAATTCTAGCATCCGTACCAACATCATGGAGAAAAAAGCAGCAGTCTGCTTCCGAGAGAAGCCAACACGTGATAGCCAATAAAGCACAAAAGCTAGTCGAGCAAAATCTTTACGCAGTGTTGCTCTATTAATAATCTTGGCGAACAGTGTTTCCGATAAGTCGCTGGCAAGGCATCCCGCAGAAGTGTCACTACCAACATCAGCTCCTGATGGTCTTGTAACATCCATACATTTCTGACGATCAGCAACATGGTCATCGAAAACCAATGCTGCCTCTGAGGTTATACGACCGCATCCTTCATCGTTCTTAGGGTATGCCTTGTTATCTAGAACATCGTAGGCAGGATACACGTGGTCGTTGGGAATGTCTCGAAGTAGCGCTGCAAATATTTTCCACTTGTTCATGGCGGGATCGGGACCATTTGCGATTGTATGCACGCGCTCTATCATGCGGTCACTACAAGTGAAGAGGCATGCCAAAAAACTTTCAACGCTATATCTCAATGGATCTAGCTTGTACAAACCGTAGTGCTCGCCACGCAATAACTTGGCAAGCGCAACCAAAAGGGCTATCAAATCCTTATGGTGTGTATAATTGAGATTGTACATCACGGTGAAAAACAACCCGTTGTAGCTCCATCTTGCGCTTTCAGGAGGATGAAAAGGTGGTGAACGTACTTGCTTTTCCAGATGTTGTATCACCTTACCACATAAGCGTGTATAGAACTCGAGCGTTTGTCTAAAATTCTGTGTCGCACACGGCCCAGATGTATCCCTGAGTGTAATATGCAAACGAATAATGTGGCCATGCGTTCACTCAATCACAAAAGAGGTACATTAAAACAATAAGACATAATAATAAGAATCGGATTGCCAAAGTATCATTATATAGAGGAAACCTTAAAATGTATTACAATGTAGTTTTCCAAAATTGATTTTACACCAATGAATAATATATTGCTTGAACGCCTTGCAGGCAGTACCTACCTTGCTAGCGTCACATTCGAATCCCTAACATACAAATTATGCAGCTGCGTTACATATTCCGCATGACGCCATTTATCATTCGAAAAAAGACGCGGCGCTGATCGCCGACTCATCGAGAAAAGCAGAAGAGCACATTAGATGTGTTTGATAGTTGGATACCTACACATCAAGTGCCCTTTAGCATTATAATAAGATATTCAACATGATTTGTTAAAGTTCAGATAGTATAATGGTTTTGGCAATCGAAAGGTAAGCATAGGTTACCTCAATAAGCACGCTGTATGGCGGATGAAGGATGCATAGGGCGATAAAATAATCTGATTTACGTTCATTATAAATGTTTTTCAAGGTTTATATATAATTCAATTCACTTTCTAGTTCATAACGGTGCACGACGCTCATCGCCGACCTGTATAGTTTCTAAGATTGGGAACCTCGCGTCCTGGAAATGGAAGAAACAAATGATTTATAAGGAACATCGTGATTTAACTGTGTTATGGAAAGGTTTCATAACCAGGGAGGGCAGGCATATCGGATATGGAGGTGCTTTATTGAAGTAACGCTTTGACTAACGCAGTTCACAAACCTATTTGCGCGAAATGCGCAAATGTGATACAATACGTAAATTATAGGCGTATTTAGTGATTAAAATGTAGCTTAATCATGGATAATGGCCGTTATCTTCGCGTGTTTCATTCTGCTACTTGTCTTGCCAGCTACCTGTTCCATGGTACCACCAAGCAGTCCTACAAGCAGAGTCTCTCAACATTCCGAACCGCATATCAGCTTTGTTAACAATACAAGTTTCATATTAAACGATGGTCATAGTGATGCTTCCGTACCACAACGATGGAAAGGGGATGTTGTCTCTTTAAAGTCAAGGCTGAGAAACGCAAGCAGGTTACAAACACCATTAAATGCAATTTCACGCACAGGAGTATGCGTTCCGGAGGATGTAGGACTATATGGGCGTACCATTATCGCATATGAGTGTTTATACACTCAAAATGGAAAGACACAGACAGGCGATGAATGGGAAGCTGAACAGATAGCAGCTGCCAGTGCAAAATTCTCCAAGAAAATGAAGAAACCCAAAAAAGAAAAATCAGCCAAAAAACAAGGGGAAACAGAAGTTGAACCTTACAAAAGATTAATATTCCCACCACCCTATAACACAACAGGGATGTTACTCAGGGAGGGAGAACCATATCTAGTCTTATCCACTTGGTTACCAGGGGTCAAGATAGAAGATATATTAGTGGCCATGGATTATGGTGAAGCGGATGCATATGTACCGAAACGGTATACCACAGACAATCTACATGATCTGGAAATTACCGAAAAAATACACAAGTATTACCAAGCTATTGAAGCTGTGCCACGAGGATTCGAACAACATGAAAAGTCATACAACAGTACATACAATGATCTTTTCAATCAAATGGTGGAAAACAGTGATGAGATGGGTCACTACTCGCAGTACACGAAAGCTAAAAATAGACCGCCTATGCTAATTATCAACGCGCCAAAGAATACTATCGTTAAACAATTCGAGTTTAACATATTTGGACGCAAAAGAGATCCGAATCATCCAAATAGGCACAATGACTCTGGAATCAAGGCTGATCCCATACCTGACCGAATACAGCGAGCGTATAGGCCCTTCTCATTTGTGGACCTCAGGGATATTCAATGCAATATGAAGGACGGAACATTGCAAACAAGAGTGAAATTGACACATATACCGCCGCCGCCAGAAATGCGAAAGATTTTCCAAATCCGTATAGGCGACGGAGAAGTTTCTCCTCCGCGATTATTCCCACTGGAACAAGTTCATGGATGGATGTATAATTGGCATCATTTCGAGAAATACGATTTGAGCTTCGATATATCTAAGTTCAAAATCGAGGATGTCGAGAATTTCAATCCAGAGGAACGCGATCGCATGGAATTACCAGACGATGACCAAATGACCCTGAGGGATGTTCGCAAATTAATGAAAGAATATGACGAGTATCACAAAAAGCACGGTTAATGACTCAATATTCTATTCAGAATTAACTTTAATGTTAGTGTCTAATATACTTGCTAAATGTATGTAAAATGAATAAGCCTATGTTCGTGTGGTCTCTGCCCTGTGGTTAATGTAGCTTTAAAAACCCGGAATAATATTCGAATCATGCTTTGGATACGTCCTTTTTACAAGTGGTTGCAAGCTTTTTTTGATGTCTTTTAGCATTTTCTCGTGGGTGCGGATTTTTTCTACTTCCCTAGATAGCTCTTCAACGCGAGTGATGAGATCCTTGACGAGTTGGTGTTCATAATAGGCGTACATGCGATCTCCAATGTCTTTAGGTATCTTGGAAAATGTTGAGTATTTTTTAAATTCCGCAGCAACAGCTGGTGGAAGAGTGCTAACGAATTCGTCAAAGTGTGACTGTTCGACATAATACTCAACCTGTTTCTTGATTTCCGACGTTATATCAGCATAGTGTTTGTATTTAACGACTTCTCTAGCCACCTCCACTGGTAATAGATCAAGTTTGCCCTGGAAATTTTCCATAGCTTGTCTAATCTCGTCCCTTCTTCTGTCCAACATGTCATGGTCGATCAAATATTTGTGGGCATCTTTTCTGAACATTTTCCTGGTAAACCAGTCTACAACGTCGCTAGGATCAACCAGCCTATCAACCTCATCATTTGGATACCGCCTCTTCAGGTCAGCGCTAGTCGAACCGAAGGCGTCTTCAGAACCATCTTCGGCGATGTCATCGCCCATTACGTTACCGTAGATGAGCATGGAGGCAATTAGAAAGCTGATTATCAATTTGTGAATCTTGAATTCGGCCATCTTCACGATAATTATGAACGTAGTACTCGAAATGGCTGATTTGGTCGGTACGTCGTTGTTTTTGAATAATAGTGTCACTGAATAACAATTCAATAGCAGATAGCATTCAGCGCTAAATCAATGCTTCGATGCTACCAAATCCGTGGATATATCCAGAAAACGTATTTTACGAGGTTAAGAAATATGACAGTATGCCACTTAAAAATGGAGCCTCACATATGTCCTTGTTTCACCCAAGATTCCATGAGCAGATGGATTTTTATATTCCTAGGCACTGCTCTTGCATGTTGTTGTCTGAAACCGCTGGTATATAAGGCCCATATACAAAAGATGTTCGAAAATGAGGGTTGCATTGAATGAACTCATCAATAGCACTAGGTGACATCTATAATTCAACTCATGGCCTTTGTGGCTATTACGAGCTTTGTCTATCACCAATTTCGCTGTCATTTTCTTCGTTGAAATCAATCTCACAACTTTTAGCAGGCAGATCCGTATGGCCTAGGCCACTGCAAATATGTAGACATCTCACTCATCTAAAAAGCACTTCGAACAAACACCTATAGAATGATATACACTGCTGATCACATCATGGTTCGAATGCTTTAATCCAGCTAAAAAGTAGCTGCCTGTCAGCGTTTTCTGCTGGCCCATGAAAAGCGAGCTGTTCGGAAGCAGGTTTGATGTCGTTTGCATTTGATAGTTCCACCTTGAATCATCGGTCATACTACTGATCTACATACTCTTTTAGAAATTGAATAAATACTGCGGCACTTTAGAGTTGATTTTTGCCTCAAATCCGGTCCCTAATCCATACCATCTCGACGTGGTACATGAAACATGTACTAGGGCATTGCAGATTGAAATCGTGGAGTACGAAATTGAATTCTTCTGAACTCTGTTCGAACCATGCTACATATTGTCGTATGCCAATTTGTAAATGGCTGTCGTGGTCTCCTGTGTAAAATTTTAGCATTTGTCTAATCTCATCAACTTTTCTACCCCCCGAGGTTCACACTTTTGCTGCCAAATACTTAGTAAGAACTCAATTTCATAGTTGTAGGCCTCCCGCTAGTATGTTTGAGCATGCTGTTTTACAGTAGAGATGACAGTTTATCATACCATCAATTCTGCGCCGATGAAGAGAGGACAATCCTGCATATCCAAGATATGAAGTACCAGAACCGGGAAATAAAACTTAATAATAGCCTCACTATGGTACTTTGCCTGGTATCTAACATATTTTAAAGGGTGAACATCACACTTAGCCAAAGTATCCGGCACTTATGTCCTCCTTTACGCAACGCTTCTGTTCCTGATGTGGACATCATTCATCTCGTAGAAACGTACCAGGCGCAGCGATAGAGGTGGTTATTCCGTCTTGTCTCTTTCAATTTCTAAATTTGCAAACTACAGGTAATGGTCACTGGAAGGTGTCTACCCCGAAGATCGTGAAAGAGACTACTTCCATTTTATTTGGCATATATTAACCACATAAACAACATGTATTCATTTATGCTAATCACTTATAAGTCGAAATATGGAAAATTATAGTGTACAGTCGTCGGATAATCGCATGTCAGGTCAAAAGTTTAGCCACCCACGCAAGCGATTTATTGGTAGTATGCTCTCTTCTACAGTGCATTTCGCGTGACGTCTAGCCTATAAGTAAAATAATGCCAGATATTATTTTACATATATTTGCTCATGTAGAATGGTTTTGTTGAAATTGTGAAAGGTTAGTCCATGGTAAGTCACGATTTTCATTCACGGTTACAAGACGGAAGGCATAATGCGTTTATGTTGATGTTTAGATAGAAAGATATCAAGTGGCCATCACATAGCTAAGGCTATCAAATCTATTTCAAATGTAATGCGGGATTGACCAATTTTATGTCAGCGGATTGTGCCACCTGTATTAAAAAAAGCAACTTGTAATTGCAAAAATCGAGCATAAAGAATCATTGCATCGTTGCCTACCTGACCTTAAAGGCCATTAATCGGTTACCTGGACAATTAATAATTCTAGTTTGATGTCAGAAAAGAAACCATCTGACAATGAAAATTCGCTTATATTAGTCTACACGACCTAGCTATAGATTTCGTCGCAGAGACATCCACGTGATACAGTAACCTTCGCTATTGTTTCACGAAGTTTTAACACAATAATAGACTCTACAAAATAAATGTCAGCCGTCGTGGTATGGTTCACTCCACCGTTATAGGCAACAACATAACGCAAGTGAGTTGATGTATTAACAGTTACATGTGCATAGCATTCTATACTACATTAGATTGTATCTTAAATTGATACGATCGGTTTTGTTAGACCAGTATTGAGCTACATGTGTAATGTACTGGCGATATCGCCGATATTAAGCACGTGCGCCAAAATAGTGACTGCTAGGGCGACAGCAATGCTGTATATGATTATTCCCAGACCCCTCAAAACACAATTTTCACCACCGTAAGTAGCGATTAACGTAGTACCAATGACAATAATCAAAACAGCACCGCATAAATAAGCGTTAGCGACCCACGGCTTTCTTAAGAACTCAGAATCATATTTGACCCACTTACTAATATTTATATTTTCGGTAGCATTGACAGTTTTGTCATTGCAAGCCTCCGTTTCCACAGGCACAGCCTTTACAGTTTTTATACAACAAAAAATACGATCAGTTAAAACACCAACACCGACGACTCCAATACTGATTCTGAAAGCCGCTAGGGCATTTTCAAAGGCAGAATATATGATCATAAAGTTTTCTGTGATGGTGTAGGAGGTCAGGGAATGAACCATTCTGTGTACGTAAACGATAGACTCGTCCCCAGAGACACAAGACTCCGCTGAACTAATGGCTCCAGATCTTCGTGTGCTTGGCCTTACATATATATCTGCTTTTCATAATGTACACGGGGAATGAAGCTTGAACAGGACGGTTATCTTGCCAAAACATGTGATCAAATTAATGCAAATAGAGCTAGACTTCCGCCATCATACCCATACCTCAAATCACGTGTGTATCATTTAAATAAGTGTGCCGCTGGACTGTAGCTACTGCAATCCACCTTTCTCGCTCTATTCTTGAAATCTAGACACGGTAAGCGTGTTTGTTTCGTGTAGCCTTCAAATGCCTTACTCGACACTAATGACCACACATGGCTGACAAATTATTAAGTCCACAATTGCGCCTTGAAATTTCGATCCAGCGAAATCTACAAAAGGATACACCCTTAGGCGATTATATATCCATCTCTGCGCAGTGGACACCCAACGGTAGATTTCAACAACTAAACGAAACGAAGGAGCTTTCTTATGGCATATCTAGTGTTAAATAATTTTTATTTACACGTATCGTATGGAAGTCTGAACCTTTGACTTCCTATATCGCTGAATAAGGTCCATGCATGCGCGTAGACAATTTCGCCATCCACGAGGGATTTTACACATCAATTTTGTAGAAGCTCAATGTATGGCCAAATTGTCCTCCTCCAGTGATCACAATTCGTTGATACTTTTATATTGAACCAAATTTCGCCGCTTCGCTTTGCCTACAGTTACACACTTTCTGAGGCCGCTTAGAATTGAAGGTTGGCGACACACATCATCGCACGGTTCGGCAACAAGTAACTCCTTGTACCCTCTATCTACATATCTAATTTTCAACTCAACGCAGTTCGTTGTTAGACTGGCATATGCTACCTTCAACTAAGTTGATATCAAAAATTGAGTACTCATCAAGACTTCAAATTGTAACACATGCTCAGGAAATAATAGAGCGATACTTCTGATACATGGAAACTTGGTGTGCAAGCGACAAGAGGCTAATGGGCTCTGAGTTACATTAACTTTTCGAGAACGGTAACATCTATGTTCATCCCCTGACGATTACGTCAGCAGGAAAAACGACGACGTAAGATTGACAAAGATTCATTCCTACATAACAGGTTACTAAGTTGGGATCAATAGTGAAAAATCAAACTTGTACTGAGCACTCCGGGCTGTCAACATCTGTATTGATAACCTCTCTGTCGTAACGGATTCTTGCTGCATATCTAAGAGTGTTATATGGATTATTATTGAAATTAAAAAACGTGTTGGCGGTATTTAAATACTAAAAGTTACCGGTCGGAATCGCTTCTCACCTTGCCACCTGTTACAAATCAATTGTTCCAAAGAAAAATATCGAACGTATTCTACCACAATGCAGTGTGAAATGTAGTATAAGAAAGTATGTAAAGCTAATTATCATATGGGAACGACGCCCACTTGTCTATTGGTACATTAATAAATGTCGGAGGTCTCGTCGGAGTCATTGCCAAAATCAGACTGCGGCAGTGAAAACCCCGGCCATGATGGCCACGTTGCGTCATTGGTAGGATACGCCTCCGGTGCCATCGTACTCACCATACTGGCGCTTGCAGCAGCATATTACTTTGACACCTGTGGTTTTAGAAAGTATTTCCGCAGCTGACATCTCAGGGTGATTCACGGGATTGTGACCGTCACATGTTAGACCTCTAAACATGCCAAACACATATGCAACTCTATGTAATATTCGTATTTATGTCACACATCTGTTATTACAGTTTTTTAGTTCAGCGATTTACGCACTGTTCCCGCCCTTTTTTCTACCCCAATTTTTCGGCTTTCTCTTCATTAAACGTAAGTTCAGAATTTCAGCTGCTGACGGTCTACGATTGGGGTCTGTAGATAGCATCCTTGTAACTAGATTTTTCGTACCACGTGAAATCATTGGTGGCAGTTGTGCGACCAGTTTAGATACGTTTTGTGGGAATTCGCCGAGATTGTAGCTCAACTCCCACATGAATACACCGCTACAGAGTTCCATTAGTACGCATCCCAACGCCCAAATGTCACTTGCTCTGCCATATTCGCAGCGGCAAATAACTTCCGGCGCAGCGTAACACCTTGTACCAACTTGGGGGCGATCGTCATCACCAAAATAATCGAGCCTTGTAGCTCTACTGTTATACGTTACAGTGTCTGTTTGAAGCGAATCCCATCCTTCTGCCGTCGATGATGTACCCGATGACCATGTTTTATCCGTCAGCTTTTTAGCTGTTTTGTTGTACCTTTTTGGTCTTGCCTTGGACTGAAGTACTACATTTTGTTCAGCGATTATGTCTTCATTCTTATTAATCAACGCATTTTCGTTGTTCACCTTTTTACACTTCGTTATGTTATTCGGAGTTTCCCGAATGTCGTACGTTTGAATTGTTTCTCCAGATTCATTGCTGTATAGATTCTTGGATTTATTTCGTGACTTCTCCATCAATGCTGCTATTTCCAGCAAGTTGACGGAATCCTTCCTTTTCTTCGATACCTTTGTGACGTAGGTATCAGATAGTCCGAAATCACCCAATCGTACCACACCATTTGATTTCATCATTATGTTTGGACTTTTGATATCCCTGTGTATTACCGACTTTTCGTGGACGTAGCGTAGTGCCATAGTGATTTTCTTGAACAGGTCAAGGATATAGTCTTCCGTAAAAGTGTCGTACTCCTGCTCAATGAGATCGGTAAGGGTCCCCCGTTCACAATACTCTGTTACTATAACACAATATATCTTCGGGCTCGCGAATATATTCCGTCCCCATTGCCGGTGTAGGAAGTCGTCATAATACTTCATAACATATTTGTGGTTAAGGCTGAGAAGTTTGCGACATTCCTGTTGTGTTATCGATATGTGAGATAAATCGTCGACGGGAATCACTTTTAGTATAACTTCTAAATTGAGATCCTGGCGCTTACCAACATACCTTGCGAGATGTATCCCGCCATAGGCTCCACCCTGCAGTGACCGCACGAATTTAAATTCCCATCTGCAGATTCGACATTCACAACCACGCAAATAATCTTGTATAATCTCGATAAAACGCCAAATTCCACATACAGCAACTGCTATGTAAACCACAATAGCCACAACGCTCGTGGTAGAGATGGGTATGTTCGAGTGAAGTACCATCTCCATGAAATCATCGATCGCTGTGCCTATTACATTTGTTGCCCTACTCAATTTTGGAACGCTTTCCACGTTTCGCTTACAACATCTATCGTTTTTTGAAAGCGGTTTCCTAACTTTGGGGCATATGGATATAAAGTGTCCACAACGTCGCTCTCTCCGGATGTTACTAATTTAAATTATCCCCTAGAGGTTGGCAATTAAAATTAACTTCGAAAACATAAACCCAATATTGAGCACCTATATCATTTACTAATAAAGACTTTGCGACGTTCTACGATTTAGGCTCACTTAGGAGAACACGCTTGAGCTACCTTAGGTCAGTTGGAAGGTTGGATAAAAATGTTAGTCTTGAGTCGCCCAATGACTGTTAAACAAGATATAATGGTCGTCGGTGCCTCTATGAATCACATATAGGTTGCATACTTTGCATGCTAGCTGAGCTACAAAACTGTTACTAGGTCGAATTGTGTTGTATCCAATACCACCGCATTCGGGCGACTCCAAGATGGAATTTAAGGTTTAATTGGTTTGATGTGTACTAAACACACAACGCATCGCGGACGTAAGTCTAATGTGTAGACGCAGTCGCTCGCGACGCGGTATGCCGTAGTGTTATAGTTCTGTTTGCATACTTTTCGGCAGCTATATTATTTTTAAAAGCGAAAATAATGCATAATGCTATTTCGTGTTTTTTAGTATAATGAGATTTAGACAATCTTGGCAATGATCTATATTTGTGTATGCCTCCTTAACTGATTCCTGACTTGAATCTTTGTATACCGCCGCTCTGCACTATTTAATACTAAGCGTATGTTTTCTATACATATTGTGTGATATCATAACATTTCAAATACCTTTTGATACTGGGCAGTTGTCGGTCTGCGACAAGGCCGACACTACTGACTCATCCATTTGTTTGATACTCTCTGATTGCATAAGGTATTATCTGTCATAACCGACCTCCTCACTACAACGGAAAACCGCAGGATTGTGGAGGTCTGAGGCGGGATTTGGTTACTTATTGACAAAATATCTCTTCGGGAATGTGACCCGTGAGATACCGAAAATTCCGCTTACCGCCCCGTATGTGAGGTGAAGAGATATCGAGGCATGGCGTTTTGTCTGTTTAACAATGTGTTTCTATCACAATCGAAATCTAGTTTCTTTAAACGTGGGTTGGAACGTGCGTTCGTCCCTTCGAGGGAGAGAGCTGTAGAATCGTTTTCACACCGTAACTTTGCGAGGAGTAGAGATGCCAAGTTAAACGCTATAACATCCGGGTTACCAGGAAAGAACCGGATGTTAACAAAGTCGGAGTTGAAGAACTTCCCTGGCCATTTACAAAGGTACAAAAAGTACGGTGGTTTGCCAGAGTTTCACAATGTGGACCGCAACCGCCACGGATTTATTGCCCTTCCCACTGATCGTTTTATGCTTGTACTAACAACATCAAAAAACAATGTACATGCCCAGTTGGTGAACCGTAGCAGAAACAATCGCACTGTGTTCGGTTCGTTTGCCGGTAACGTGGGCATCAACAAGAAGCAGCAGCAAACCGAGCGCTGCGCATATCGCATAGGTGAGAACATGGCCAAAAAATGCAAAAGGCTGGGTGTATTCGCCGTGGATGTCAAGTTTCGGAGATTAATGCGTATAGAGACGGTGTTACAAGCATTCCAGGCCGAGGGTCTACAAATAGGCCAGCTCATCCACGAGCCTCGTCTCCCCAAAACAGGGATCAATTCTGTGCGCCCGAGGCGTCGACGCAGGGTGTAATTCTTTATAGAAGGTTTATTAACACCATTCGTTTCAACGTAATCCACAGACATCGTGTATACATAAATTTCAACAAATGCTAGCTGTTTAATAACAAGTGTTTATGACAGATTTAAACCGGTGTTATGCGGCATAGTGAGCTCCCGTTCGCCAACGTATTGCAAGCTCGGTTAAACATGCTTCACTGTAAGCGTTGTATTTTCAAGGGCATTACTTTGTCTCCGATGTTTCTTGTTCATGCTTCTCAGACACACTTTCGTCCGTAGTTTGTTTCTTCTTTTTTGATTCGTAGTCCTTGAGCGCCATTTTCACCGCGTCCTCCGCAAGGAGGCTGCAGTGTACTTTGACAGGCGGCAACTTGAGTACTTCTGTAAACATTTAATGGTTTAAAAATGTAACATACCCGATATATCAGTGTTTTTGATGGCTGTTGCTTCTTCGCAAGTCTTGCCCTTTATCAGCTCCGTAACATATGAGCTGCTGGCAATGGCAGACCCGCAACCAAACGTTTTGAAGCAGGCGTCCTTAATGACACCGTTCTCCACCTTGACTTGGAATTTGATAACATCTCCACAGGCAGCCTTTCCTACCACCGCTGTTCCAACATTCGGGTCATTTTTATCGAAGCTGCCAACATTTCGTGGTTTGTAGAAATGTTCCTTAACCTCCGGACTGTATAGCCTTCGGCACAGCCTGCCGAGCCCTTTGGTCGCTTGAACAAAAATTGAGTATTTCATATTGAACATTAAGTTCCAATATCTTCTATGATATCTATCCCGTAAAACTGTGGATGATTACAAGTGAATAGTACGATGCGTAGCTCCCAGCAAAACAGCACACACAAACAGAATATCTGCAGCACTGTAGATTCTCTACATTAAACAACAACGCGCCCTATAATACGACAATGTAGCCGATATACGATATATTTCCTTGCCGTATCGGTTAGCAACAACTCTCATCTATTGTGCTGTGGAATTTCTCAATTTGTGGACCTCGTTAATTGCGGATAACGCCTTTTGCGTGTGTACTTGTTTCGGTGGTGCCTGAGCCAGTGTCAAAGCCTGTAGTTGTGAGAGCGTGCTGAGAAGTTTTGTGAATAGTAGTTTCTTGCACTGGTGCAAAGTTCCTCCTACGTGTACGATTTCAACGGTTACAGAAGCCTTTTGTAATCGGTCCAAACACTGTAGTACACAGATGACGTTCGGTAAGAAATTGCGCCTCGTCTGTATAAGTACAAGTGACTCTGGTTCATCGACTAGAGCAACGCTAGTAGCTTCTGCAACAAATCCACCTCCTATACTACCAAAAATCACATTACACAGCCGGGTTATTTCACCGTCTATAGCTTCACGGGTCAATATTCGTGTAGCGCGCTCTGTTCCCGTATTATGATCATGTAGGTGGACCTTTGCGAGTATCCAGCGGTTTTTGCGCCGGCCCATTAATAATATATCTCAACAAAGATATTTTAATAACGTGTGTTTATTTATACCAATGATAGTGGTGTTTTCCTGGCCCGCCAATGCGCGTGAAACAGTGTGACCCAAAGTAGTCGCGTTGCGCTTGTATAAGGTTGTGCCCAAGCTGTTACACATTCATCTGATTATATATCAACTCACTGTAGTTGAAGACAATGTCTGAAGATATTGAAGACTTGCGGTGATAGCAGGCGCGGATACGTTATAATTGAGGCAGTTCCTGCAAACCTTTCTCCACGACTCAAGAGAGTCACCAATGATCGTCCTTATGGATGTGTGTTGCAACACGTTGAATAGTTGTGGATTTTCCGAACAAACATCGCTCATCGTGCTCAGAACTTTACAGCTAACGATAGCGTCCTCTACAACAATATTATTCAGCAAATTGTAATGAACCTACTGCTCCATATGTTGCATATTTGCTGCAAATCTAGCTTCCAATCGAACCGATTGGATGCTTCCATAAGCAAAGACAGTCCCTGAGCAAAACAAATCACCATGCATACGTGCAGGGTGCGCTGTAGGTCACCTGTATTGTCATTATTTCAAAAACCTCTTGTATCCAACCTTCCGATATGTTATGACCTTCCTTCACTTGTCTGTTTGGGATGATTTGCGTGCTTCTGTGCGCATTACTTGCGTGGCGCATCTCAACAGCGGCAGTGATCGTTGGTACCGGTACTCCGAGGTCCAAGGCCTCCTTCACAGTCCACTTGCCAGTACCATTGGCACCACTAGAATCGACAATTTTGTCGACTAGATATGTAACACCGTCGTTATCTTTGACTTGAAGGATTTCGGCTGTGATTTTCAACAAAAATGACCCAACTTCAGCATCGTTCCACTCGGCCAGTATTTTGCTGATGGTGTCAAATTGCAGTTCTAAAATACAACTCATGATCATGTAGACTTCCGACAAAATCTGCATTATGCCATATTCTATACCGTTGTGGACCATTTTCACGTAATGTCCGCTGGCACCGGGACCGACGTAAAACGATCGCCCATCCTGCTCGATGTACTGCTTTACAGCATCGTAATCATCACGAGATCCACTGAACATGATACATGGCGATTGGCGTGCTCCACGCTCTCCACCGCTGACACCCACAGCGCAATAGCTGCGGATAATGTACGACATCTAGTTAACACATACTGTATACCATGGCTCCCGCAACGTCCGAAGCGCCTGATGGTGTTCTCATACCATTCGTTTCCACCATCTATCAGAATATCATCCTTTTCCAGCAGACCTATTAGCGATTCTATGACCTGGTCGACCGCCTTCCCTGCCTAGACACGATTGTTTGCAAGTTTCTAACATTCTTGACCTTACCGTTATTAGCATGAGTATCTTCCTCGGTCGTTCCAGGCTTCCAACCTATGAAATAGGTAGATTGTATTATTCTACTTACGAATTCTTGCAAGGACATGTACAATTGCAGGTTCTTAATGTCTAATGCCTTCATTTTGTCGATCTCCGACTGCTGGATAGAAAAGGCGGACACACGAATCCCACGTGATGTGAGATTCTGGGTGTAGGCGCCACCCATAACACCCAATCCAATTACTCCAAATTCAGAAGCCATTTTGAATCACTATTTGTGATGTGTAACCGTCCAGACAAGCTCTGATTTCCGTGGTTTTAAGATCCCCTACACATACAATTAATACTACGTTAACGGAACTCCTACTTTCGACAAAATCAGATATTATAGATACAATTTCAATAATCTGTGTATATCAAACAGGTTACTCGCCTGAAGTCGTCATTAGCTCACCGGCATAGTACCTGTGCTACCATTTGCTGTCGATGACAACCACATTTTCCGTATATTTAACAATAATAGTTAAATCTAGTTTTTATTTAAGCAATGGTTCATATCCATTGTGTCGGTGTCTTCCCTTTTTTGCGTACGGGTTCATCTCCTTCACCCATTTCAAGCGCACGGCGCCTTTCCAATTCCTGTCTTACCCATTCAGCCTTCCTTCTAAGCTTTTCCATACGCTTCTCATGTGCCTTGAGACCCTCCTCGTATTCTTTCGGATAGAGAATAGGTACCCAGTCGAATCCATAAATATTCGAGAAGTCGCGGACCTTGTCCATGTCAACTCCCCGTTTACGCATGAGCTCATCATTCTTGGCGTTAGTACGTTTCCTCCATAGTTCGAGTTGTTCTTCGTATAGCTCCTTCATAGTGCGTCCAGCGTCACGGACCATTGCAGGTTCGGTAATCTTGATAAGCACTTTCCTGAATTTCACGGTTGACCAATATAGTATCCGCAGTTTACGTAACGCCTCGAGACTGTATTTCCTACATTTGTGCATTTCAGCAAAAAGGCCTTTGAACTTGAGCATCAGTTGAATATTGTTCTTCAAATCGATGCGTCGGACATACCTCTTAAGTAATCTACAAGCAGTTGCCAAATCACCCTTGTTCACAGCTTCCTCGAAATGCGCCGTGTACTCACGGACCATTTCATCCGTGCATCTAACAGGTCTTGCTAAAAACGGTGATATGCGATCGACGTTGATTTTATTGCGAACTTTACGTTTTCGAGCCTTTTCTGGATCCGGCTTTAGTCTCTGATATTTCCATAGACACTCTAATAGTTTGTTCCGCTTTGCTCTATAGATGCGAAGGAACAGTTCCTTCATTAGTTTTAGACGCAAATAAGGCTGTACCGCTCGTAATCGATGCATGATTTTCCTGTATGCTACGGTGTCCTCTACCTTTATCGGATTTTCTGGTGTCCCTTTAGGTTCCTCGTAATCTTCTGTATATTCTGGTACATCTACCGGGTTATATTTGGGTTCTATCCACTTATAACAGCACAGTGTATTGCGGTCCTGTGGTATAAGATGTTGTAACACATAACGTGCCACTAGAAATGGCATTGTTTTGTCTATGTTTTCCTCTGTTGGTTCGGTATATCCCAATCTTACTTGTAGCAGATGGTCCACATCGTGGGCAAATAGCTTGCAATCTGCCTTGCTGAGTACCAGTCTGTTTTCACTTAAGAGCCTTTTGATGGAGTGAAATTCATCTCGTTCGAGGAAATATCGAAGCTGCTTTATGAGCACTTTGCGATCATATATACGGCCGTATACGTCGTCAATTGCGCTCATGTCTACACCCGGCATATCTCTCAATCTTGTGTTATAATTGATTTGTTCTGGATCATGAGACCTCAGTAGGTTTTCATAATCTACAGTAGCGTGCTTTGGATATAGCGATTTGGGGAATGATTTATCCCCTATAACAGGTTGCGCGTATACCTTGAATGAATGATACGTATACGGTCCATGAACGCTACCTGCATCTTGCGGGTCACAGCTGTGCAATTCGGTCGAATATATATCATTTCTCGGCAGCCGTAGTAGACTTCCATCACCTAATATACCTATATGTGAACCGTTTTGAGCTGTATCTTCTGGATGGCAGCATTGTAGCCCTGTTGTCGTGAGGAATCCAGCCATGGCAAATGACCGTTGAATCGCCTTCTGGTATCCATTTGCCAGCTTAGATCGTACTAATAGCCCACTTGAGCGCTCCAAAGCAGCGCATAACAGAAACACGACGAATGCAGCTGCCTTCCTTGCGATTATAGGTGCTATCCGAGGCATCTATGCCTTTATGCCTCGACTGCTGCAGGTCCGACGGCCCAGCTTCGTGGGACTCTTGGTGGCATTTACGGATTGTCTACCACATTATTATGATTAAATATTTCAAGGTGTGTAAAAAAAACTCGTGATTCGACGCAACAACTACTAAAGTGATTGGGTATCACCACCGCGGTAGGCGTGTTGCTGGTGACCTTTTTTGTATTTTCAGTTGTTAAATTTAGTATATTTCGAAGATATTCAACGTCTGTTTAAAGTTAAATGCATTTATATAGGTTTTGACGCTATGTGTCAGCCTTTAGACACGGCTTTCTATCGTGTCATCTATAAACTGTGACATAAAATGTATCATTATCGCCTTAGTATACCTTGATTGTTCAGTTTTGTCTAGTATAAATGTTAAGTGTTCAAGATCTGCTGACTCATCAGGGTTATTGACTTTGGTGAAACTTCCACGAATCTATGCGTGATTTCCCTTTCCCCTAAAACGATTCGACCTTAATAGATACATTTGGACGAAAGATTCGCTCCAACACAAAGCATTATATTATAATTTTAATATTTTATAACGATCCAGTGTTGCTGAGTTAACCGAGCCTAGTATACACTGAGCCGGGTTTCTTATGTCATTAATTTTACACTCAACTTTGTTCATTTTCGTATCACCAACTATATACACATTGATCTATAAGCGTTATTAAGCAATACGATGGCAGCGCTTTTATTGTTCCAGGCGGTCTTCATCCTGGCCTATGCAGTTCTAGGATTGGCCGAACCAACGATAGGGGAGTCAAAAGGTGGTAAGTTTATTTAGCATTAGATATTATCAACATGGGATGTTTGGTAAAAATAAAATGGGTAATGTGATTCTTAATATTTATTCATCTAATGTTGGTTCAGTGAAAGACATTGTTTCATCAATGAAAGCTTCAAAGTCCGAACTTGACCCTGATGTCGATTATGTAAGTTGAATTGAATCTATTTCGTTAAAAACGTTATTAGGATCTCGTTACCCGACTTCTCGATAATGTAAGTTTTGGAGCTGAGCCTCGTGGTCTTCTTAAAAAGAAGAAAGATGCAAAGAATGTTAAAACCAAGGGCAAAGGCAAGGGCAAGGTCAAAGGCAAAGGCAAACCAGCGGCCCCTGTTGCTCCTAAGAATGTGAAGGCTAAGAAAGGTAAAAAGAAGACGCCCGTTCCCGCTAAACCTAAAGGTAAGGCTACTGTTTCTAAGGACGTGATGTTCGATGCCCATCCGTCGTATGTTCGTTACAAGGCAACTATCAGTGACCCTAAGCACTTTTACCAATCCCAAGTACATTACGACAGCAAGTCTTCTGGTGATGACACCGTTTACCTGTATTTCAAAAAGCCATTGTCTCCTGCTGAGATGAAGAAATTACTACGGAAAAGCCGTGTTCAATTCAAAGACAAGAAATATGTTGCAATGGATGCCAAGGATTTGGCTAAACTTGGTTCAACCGATAGCAAGAATAGCTGGGTTTACGACGACACATCTGAGAAGTTTTACAACGTTAAACAGTTACGTTACAAAAATGAAAAAGAAAGCAAAGGTGACGACGATGTATCGTCTGATATGGCTAAGGATTCGAAAGATGTTTCTTCAGTAGAAAGCAGCGTATCTGAGAAGTCAAGTTCTGAGGAGGATGGTACGAAGGATGGCTCCCCAGATTCTGGAGATGGCACTGGGGAAGGTGGGTCCAAGAAATCAGATGAAACCGACAGTACCACCGAGACGTCTAGTGAAAGTTCAGATTCTAAGGATAGCACTGAAGAGTCTGTTGCAGGCACTAGTGAAAACGCGGAAAAGAGTTCTGAAACTAAAGAGTCGAAGAGTGACAATGAGAGTGTGGATGAGAGTCACAAGACAACGGAGAAGGAATCTGAAAAGGCGGATTCAGATGAAGACACTTCTACTAGCGATTCATACTCCGTTGTCGATGCCGCTAATGGCGAGTCTAAGAGTGAGAAGCATGAGGATGCCATAGAAGGCGCGATTGCATCGGATTCAACAGAAGACGGTACCCCAATTTTAAAGAGCTACAAAAAGCTGGACGAAGACAGGGAAACTGAGGCTACAAGTGAAGACTCCTCAAAAACTGGAGGTAAACAGCGCAAGCAGGCACCAGTATGGTCGCTCCGTCGTATACAGAACGAGGTAGTTTCTACTAAGAAGAAAGTGAAGAAATTGGAGAACAAGCTTGGTGAAACAAATAATAGATTAGATAAGGTGGTTAGGATTTAGAGTTTGTCAATGTTGCCGAAATATTTGGCTCGTGGCCATTTCTTGGCCACCTGAGGCCACATGACCACTAATGTGTTAACAACTCGATATAGCAGTTTTCCCGTGTACGATAGATCATCGACTCTACATACACTTTCAATGTATATCATTTTAATTCTTGTCACTAGCGTTGCGTTAATACACGTTGCGGCATAGCACATGGGTACTGCGATACCTGGTCCATTTGTGATGATGATATCCGGCTTGAGTTTGCATAACAGCCTTAAGGATTGTATAAATGAGCACGTAAAGGTTATGATGCTATTGATTGTAGTTTCTCCGTGTCCCTTTGGTAGCGGTAATTGGTATTTATCTCTATTTCCTTTCCCATGTGAGTTGCATATTTGTGACATTTTTTTGATTAGCCTCTCTGTCGTGGCATCTTCATCTGTCCCGCATATGGAAATGAACCGGTATTTCTCTTTATCGATTGCACTTATTATTTCCAGCATTTCCCGCGCGTGCCCTCCTGTGGGTAATAACGACATTGCGAGAGTTCGTAGCACTCACCTGGTCCAACCAGCACTGCTACCAGCCTTATCTTTTCATTTTTAAAAATGTGTAACCTTCGGTGTCTCCATCTCATGTATATGTAAGATATGAGCGCGAGCACCAGACAGGCCGTGACGTATACCATCCCTCGTCGCCTCCTAAAGGCTCCATAAGTCGCTTATGCTGAATCATGTGTTTACACATATTAGTGTTATTGTTGTTTACACGGAATCTGAGTTTTTATGGATATGAACACTCGCTTGTGTTTGCTCCATGCCCTTCCAATTTTATTAGTTTTATTGTGCACATAAGTTTTTTTCTCAACGCACATAATTTTTTCAATTAACTAAATGTCTTTTTGCTTTGTGTGTGTATGCAATGTGTGCGATAGCAAGTCTGAGTTCGGTTATCCCAAGTTGCTTGAATGCCGAGGTGGCATGAACATATGGATGTGCCCATTCTCCGTGTGCTTTTAGCATTTCTATAACCTTTTGGCATACAATGTGTAGTTCATGTTGTTTCAATGCCTCACACTTAGTGAGAACTACTTGAAATGGTATTTTCATATTTTCCAGCATGTTCCACAGCTTGATATCCAGTTCCACGGGACCCTTGTGACTATCTATCAGCGATAGTACCCGCTGGAGACTGGGCATATGACGATATACATTTAACTTTGCTTTACCTACCTGGGTGCTTTTGTGAGGTACTTGTTAACTAGTACTGACCATTCGTTTCTGACATCCTACATGATACCATAGAATAAACTTAATTACGTATCACCTACATCTGATACTTTTGCGAACCCGTATCCTGGCAGGTCTACTAGAGATAGGTCACCTCCAAGGTCAAATGTGAACATGTGTCTAGTTCTTCCCTGAATTACCTTCCATTTCATTCGTGTTTCACTACATACCGGTTTATGCGATACTGGTGCAAATATAGGTTGTTTTAGCATTTTCCCATTTGAAAGCTATTAACGATGTATCCTTTTTTTCATTGGCATACCACGTCCCTGGCGAACCTTGGCAACATCTGCCCATATATAAGGGAGTTCATCAAACTTGATTTTCCAACGTTAGACTTTCCCACGATAGCAACCTGTAAATAACTATGCCCGCGTTGTACAGGAAGTATGCAATTGATTTTAAGCTATGCTTGTACGTACCTGCGGAGCGGTTCGCCGCGGAGCGTTATCTATAGTATCAGCAACATATATAGGATTAGGAATAACCCGTTTCGAGAATAAAGCCGCGGTATATTTTAACTACAAAGGGTCATTCGTTTGTTTCGATATCTTACATTGGCTTCACTGAGGAAGGGCGGCTCTGAATCGCCTCGTGGATCATATATGTTTACGAATGGGCGTGCCAGATACGGCTCTACCTTGGATGTTAATCATTGTTGTCTTTATTATGATCCTACCTATTGGCGGCGGCTTCTTGAGAAGCCTCGTGCCTGAGAGACCTACTGCCATGTGTTACCGTTAATCGGCACCCTGAAAGCATCTCATATAATATTATTCAATATATTAATGATTATGTGTAGTACAAGTTGTTACATTGTGAAAATTTAATGTGTCAGTGTTCTATTCTTTGCCGCTCTGTGCAAATGAGATCGTGTCACCGTATGCGTCCCAACGCGAGATTCCTCCTCAAAAGTACTCAAAATGGTTCTGAATAATGCCTTAGGCTAATGTGTAATTGAATTAGTAAATTCGATTTCTTGAGGCATATGTGTTTACAGGGATGCCTCTGTATTATTGCGTTCCTCGCTGGGACTTCACGTCACTCAGGAATTTCTGTGATTGCCGCATCAACAGCTGCTCTTGTCTTAGTATCATACGATCCAACGCTGACATTTTGTGCGAGGTCGGAGAAAGTGACGATGAGTTTCTCTCCGTTGAACTTTGGCTGTCTTTGGTAACATCTGTCACATCCTTGCTATGTTGTGTATCCTTCGTCTTTGCGAACCGTTTTTGACGTCTTATATGCGATTGTGATTGACGTTCTCTACTTCTGGAACGGCTCCTTCTTGACGATGCGTTTCCTGCTACACCTACTGTGTGTTGAGGCACATTGATATTCACCTACGAGAATGTCGCTTTTCGCTATATGGCTCCTGTGATTCTCGAGTCGGATATGTATAACAGGCAATCACACAACCTTCATCCTTTCCTTTTAGGTTAATTTCTGCAGCGTGTGTCCCCTTGGATTTGCCAGAGTTAATGCCAGTTTCTTCGTCTTCTTCTTTAACTACAGAATTTGTATTAGCGGAATCCAGGAACTTCTTTTCCAGTAAAGCTAATGGGTCCATTTAAAGAGTTGTTATCGGCGCTGGTGTGTGTACAACAAAACCCCTAAATTCTAGATTTTGCGGGATTTTTACTTTCTGTGGCCACCAGGCTATATTCAGTAGAAAGTATATTTTAAATGTACATTGGCCGTACAGTTTAATACGGTTATTGGTCTCAGAGCGAGTCGTAAAAACCATTCGACACCATGGATCCCCGCAACGGCTAAAAATGGGAATCGTACGGTTTTGTAATTGCTGATGATGCACCTAACAACTCATGCAGAATACTTATTTATGATACATAATGCTTAAGTAAAGATTAAAGTGTATTCAGGGGTTCCTACGGCTCTCTAATGAAAGCGTGTAATGTACCCTGATCTATGTTTATGGTACTAGCTCGCATACAGTTGACTGAGATATCTCACGAAGTTCATGTCACGGTTACGCTGTATATCCAGTAGCTTTTGGACATGCGCTCTCATTTGTTCAAAAAGCTTGATCTCCGCTAGAAGCTCTGAATCCTGTACCGGTGAAGCGGCGAGTATACTATCAACTTGGAAGTCCACAGTGGATATCGTGCTTCTTTCAGTGTAAGGTGTAGCGGTGACACTCGCTGTCCGATCTTTAGCAAAGGAGACACTAACAGCGTTGTCCTTAACCACATCTATCCTCTCTTGCCGCACCTTGTCATCTAAGGATGGCACTTGATCCGACCCAGTCGCTTTTTGCTCATCTGGTGAATACTGTTTATTGAGGTTTTCTAGCAGCAGCTGCTGTCTTTGCAAATCACAGAGTATGTCATCAACCTCAACTTCCTCAGTGAAAACGTCATCAAGGCCTAGCATGTCTGTAGCTGCTTCCATGGCGGCCTCTGCATCTAAGGAACTTAACAGTTGGTTACAATTTCTGTATAAGTCCCCCTGTCTGCGCTTGTCCATGATATCGGTAGCTTGAGTCATGGGTGGTTTTGACGCTTGCATCCATAGTATGCCTTGCATGCTGCTAACGCCTTCGTTACCCAGGTCATCACCTAATGTGTCATGAGACCTGATATATCCGGTGTCACTTTCATTCATGAGAGAAGTATCCCTGCCGTAGAGTATGCGATCACATCTGTTATATCGTTGTAATTCATCCCACAAAGGAACGTTGAATAGGTTTTTCATGATTTCGTTTTGGTTTGCTGGTTTCATTTCAATCCTGTTTTCCACATCATATTGTGGCATACAGCTGTTCATGAATGCGCTAGTCATTGGTAGATCGTCATTGGAATTTTCTGTCTTGTATCCATCAAAAGCGAAGTCATAATCGTCAGTGAAATCGTCCTCCCCAAATACATCTTCCAAATTCAAATCTCCAGAATGTGAATATATATATTGGAAGGGTGAGATTGTGGAACCATTTCGTGTTTCCATTCCTGCTGTGACATTGGCCCATGATGCAACATCTCGTTCACTAAGCCCGGAATTGATAGCGAACTCGCTGAATGTGTCAGGATTTTCTTCATCGAGAGAATTGTCATATGATTGGCGTACTGCTTCCATTAGATCTTCATGATCTGTGTTTCTAGTCCCCCATTCACTGTGTACTTTTGATGTTGTCGCGTTATCCATGGTATGTGTACCTATTCCAATTCCAGTTTTGACAGCCTTATGCATATGATTGCTAAGTTCCTCCTTGGAGATGCGTTCACTTTCGTCGCCGTATCTATGAAGGTAGAAGCAGTCTACATTTGTACACTTGAGTCCCTTGAGGAAGAAAGTGCAGTATTTGGTTGTGCCATACGATGCCCTTAGCAGTTTGCCATTTACATATGAGCCATCTATGCCCTGTATTGCATACGCTGCCTCTGTTTTTTTGGAATATGTGATATACGCCGTGTACGAGGCACCACCAACGTGTGCGTTGTATGTTTGGCCTTTATTGATAACCATATGTTGTATCTTGCCATATTGTCCGAAATATTCGTGTTGTTTTAGTATTTCCTTTTTTGCTAGCTTCGCCGGTATCCCTACAACGTAGACTAGGTTTCTCTGTATGACCCTCATATCCTTAAGGTTATCATTATTCCTTGTTTTTGGTGACCCATTTTCTTCTCTTGTGGTTGCCTCTTTTTCGCCCTGTTCTCGTTTTTTCTTTGTATTTTGTGTTCTCGTGCTTGATTGAGAACGATGTACTGGGTTGTATGTCATGTTTTCCTCTTCATAATCTCTTCTGCAAGCTGGGCACTTGTTACCCATTGCGGTTCTGAGGTGGTGAAGACACCATAGACATACTTGATAGTCACATGTACAAGGGTAGAAATTCCTATCAGTTTCATCCATAGGTTCCATACATAATGGGCAGAGTTGCTCGTCATCGGCATTATTGCCGTGAGCCTCTTTTTTATATCCTTCGATCATCATGATTAGGTGTTCCTCTTAGAGAATCTACATCTCTGCGTTATATAAACGTGACTGACTTCGTGTACCATGCATATAGCATGATTTTCTCATAATCTCACGTCCAGACCCTGAAAATATTATAAGTAATATTACCATAATGAGGTATGTAGGAACCCTGCAGGTCCACGGCAAGGCAGTCAACACGGTTGATCGAGACTGAAACAGTCTATAATCAACATTTACGCATGAATGAGTCTACTACTACCACGTACAGCTCTGTTGAGTTCAACTACCGCCTGCTCATTTGCTCTGACATAACCGTCGTTGTAGCTGAGCAGCGATAATCGTGACCGGGGCTACTGGTGGCATTAGCTCCTGTCATATGAAATGAACATTGTCATCAATATAATTTAATGCCATTATTACCATACCCTGCCTCAGGCGAGTCCTTTGTTACGGTCGCTTCTCTTGCATATACTTACCTTTGTCTGGATGATGTTGCGCAGTTTTTATTGTAATAATAATAACACAGGGCCTCAATGGGCAAAATTATAATTTTATATAGTTTTAGGTTTTTCATAAAGTCCACCGGAGACTCACGTAGAGTACCGGAGCCACCACAGTTTGGCACGCGGCAAGCATACGTTGCATCTGGTATGTTTGAGTCAGTGGTAATATAACGTGATAAAATGTGCATAGTGACTATTTAGAAATATTGTTCTATTATTGCTAATATAATGTCGATTTGTACGGTTTATTTGGTCCATTCTAGATTCATATTTTATGGGCTACGCCAGGGTTCCGTATAGACCCCTTATCATTTTGAATATATCTGACTAATAATATCTCCTGTGCATGTGCTAATGATAGAGTGACCTTATCTTTATGGATATACTGCAAATTTCATCATCTTACTTGTTAATATTTCACGTCCATAACCATTCCACGATTAGCGCACATCGTCTATCACTTTTAACACAGATACTATTATTCTTTTTAATTAGTTCACTACGCCACGTTGATAGGTAGCTGATGAGGTTCCCGACAGTCTATGGCACGCCACTTACTACCCACGTAAGAAGTACCATTTGTGGTTACACCCGCTCACACATGTTTCAAAATCTTTTGGCCACCGAATAGTTGTTACCGTGTGTGTTCTGTGGATTTTTTTCTTCTAAGGTTAATGCTCATTTTCATTAGGGTTTACCATGGGTAACACCACGGATTTGCAGGATTCCAAGATGGAGAGCAAAACTGCTCGAGTGGAATTCGTCGAAACTGATGACACTGCTGTTGTGGAATCAGCGTGTCTGTTCTGCGGTAAAACTGGTACAACTCGTATTATGTTGACCAAGATTCCACATTTTAGAGGTGTGTTATAGACGCGTTTTATATCTGGCAACAGAAAATTAATGCATTATATCATTATATACTGCGATCGTGTAGGGTATACATATTGATGCAGATATCATTGTTATCTCCTTTGAATGTCCTACCTGCGGTTATCGCAACAACGAACTTCAGCATGCTGCGCCATTGCAGGATTACGGTGTCAAGATTACGGCTAAGGTCTCAAAAACTGACGTAGGTGTTAAATCTAGCTGTAACTGTGTTGTCACCCATTTACTGGTGTTCTGTTTCCTATTCCTTGTAAAATGTTATTCAGCGACTAAACAAGCAAATGGTGATTTCTGGTTCAGCTACCTGTCGTATAGGTATGACCTATTTCCTATTACTGTCTATTTGTTTTAGAGGAGCTTGACTTTGAGATGAAGCCATTGGCAGAGAGGGGCTCAGTGACTACTATCGAGGGTTATTTAATGAGGATTTATGAGTCACTGGACGATCACATTTTATCCATTGAGGATGCGTTGCTGGCAAACCCTGAAATCACAGTACAACTTACCACAGGAGAGGTGAAACACGCCTCAGATTACATCGAAATGATGAAAACTATAAAGGATCGTGTATTCGACTACGCCGCAGGTTTAGAAGTAAGAAAGATTCTTGTGAATATTTCATATGCTGCAGGCTTTCACTTTGATACTGGATGATCCTTCGGGTAACAGTTACATTGAGTCGTCGGATACTTTTACCGTAACCGTTGAGCGCTACGAACGTACCGATGAGCAGCAGAAGGTAGGTATAATACTTCATATACTAGATCATTGTTGTCGGCTTTGATTAATATTCGAACAGAAACTAGGTTATGCTGTCAAGGAAGACTTTAAGAAAGGTATTTTATGGTTGATATTGGATTAAAATATAATCAGAGTTGGACCTGACCACCCCTATGGAGGATACCGATGATGTAGGCAAGGAAGGATTTTCGTTACCGGTTGAGTGCCCTCACTGCGGTAACGAGGGTCGCAACAAGATCTGTGAAGTTTGTAAGTGGTGCAATACTACTTTTTTCATATTTTATTGCAGTGGTACCAGGTTTCGGTCCCTGCGTGATCATGGCCTTTACTTGCGAGGGCTGTGGTGCGAAATCAAATGAAATCAAACCTGGAGGTGGATACAAGGACCGTGCAAAACGTTGGACTTTGACTGTGGACTGCATCAGCGATTTGAATCGTGATGTAATCATATCGGAGACGGCTTCTGTACGTATAGAACACCTGGAGATGGACATGTCTCCAGGTACACTAGGAGCTGCTTTTACCACTGTTGAGGGACTACTGGGTAAGATAGTTGAGAGTTTGGAGAAAGCGTACCCTTTTGTTCTTGGTGACTCTGCTGAGGATACACATGCACCTCTTCGTGAAAAGGTTCGACAACTACAAGCACTGGCCTCCGGTGACCTTTCATCACCGTTCGTTTTAGTTATAGACGACCCAGCGGACCATTCATTTGTGGGTGCTCGTGCTTTGTATGTAGGTGACGACTCTAATCTTTCGGTGGAATCATACGACCGTACGCCTGAGCAGGACGAGCAGCTTGGATTAACTGATATGAAAACGGAAGACTATTAGAGCAAGTTGAGAAGCTGTTCAAGTTTTAAAAGTGCCTCGTTAGTGGCACTTTTATCGCATGATGTCGAACATACGACCCTCTTAATGGAATCATGAACCTCCGCAATCTGTTTCTGCCATACGTTGCCTACTATCCCTAGAACGTATCTGAACCCGTTAAGTAGTTCCTTGGCGTTTTTCAGATTCACGCCTTTATCTACATCGTAGCTCATAGCATGGTTCCAGAGTATATACAGAGACGATCTCGTGAACCCAGCGATAACGCATGTTACGACCAAAGGGTCCGACGCTAGTGCGTGTGATGCCACATTTGGCACCTTTTTGACATCGATCTGCACGAGTATCTACGGTATAAGTATGAAACATACCTCGTAGTTTTGTGATAAGTGGTCCCGCAGCTTGTTCATTATCCGTTGTGCACTGTTTCCAATGAAGACGCGCAAAGTTACGGCTGTGTCAGCAGTCGCCATAGGCGAGGTTCCTTCATCGTACAACGACCTAAGAAGCTTGCACAGCTGTAAATCTACATGTACTACGTAGAGCAGTGTTTCGGCGTACATATTTTGTGGTTCCACATTGAACACTGTATCCATTTCGGCCAAAACATCAAGATGAGACCCTTCATCTTGGCGTTCGTGGACGATCGCCGATGTCGTCAGGTATACCCTGCGTTTCAAAACATTCTGTTGCATAGATTCCAATCTGTAGTTGACTTGTTTGTAAATATCCTGATTTATCATTGTAAGTTGCTCAAATACCCGTGGTAACCAGATTGGAGGTAACGCCCTTATTGTAAATTCTAACAGATAATCCATGGCTATGTGCGCCGTGACGTTAGGCATCATATGTCTATCCCCCTCCTTCAACATTTTTGAACAACATACAGTGGCCGCTGAACGAATATCTTCACTCTCGTCTTGTAGCATCACGAACAAGGCAACTACGGCATGGGTTACATACATGCCTATTGCATTATGTCGATATCGACTAGCATCTGTTATAGGTAACGCCAAGTCACGTAAAAAGTATGCCACTGCAATCCTGATATTCACATCACTACCGGGATCTATAGCTTTAAGAAGGAGGCCTGCTCCAAGTGCCACTATCTTAGTGTGTATTCTGGTGTCGCCGTTCCTAATTAGGGCATATATATGGCAGCACTTCCATGTTTCCAGGAAGAATTCAGAATTGTAGAGCATACGTTCAGAAACCGTGCCTATAAGTTTTTCGGCCCATATTTCATCAAAAAGATCATTTCTCGCGACTTTTCCGCGCAGTATTTGCATCCCTATAGCACTAAATAGCCTGATTACCACAGTGCAAACAAAGAATTGTGGATTATTCGACATTATCTCCATTCCCAAGTGCCAGAAAATAGCGAGCTCTGACATTGTGCAGAGGAACACCCTATGGCTTTGCAAAAGGTGTACGATACTATCCATTGCTGCATATATCACCCGCTGTCTACCTTGATTGAAAGATAAAATTCGTAGTAAGAAATTGCAGAATTCAACGAATTGGCCTGGTTTAACATCATGTCGATAGTGTCCACATTCCTTAGCTCTGTTAATAAGAAAAACAGTATCTACCAGGGACGCCGCGGCACGTACCTTAACTGTATCATCCTCTCTGATCCTTTCGAAATTATGAAGCATGGTCTCAAGTTTATCATTTTTCATCAATATCTCCTTTTGTCCCAGATAGATAATTTCACGACACCGTTTGAGCACATCCGCACCCAGTATGTATGCCGAAACTAGCGCAAGCACAGTGCTGCACTCAATAACCTGTGCATTTCCAGGTGTTTGGGGGAACACTAGGTTCAGAGCCAGGGTTTCAACACCGATTGACCTGCCATGGATATAACACATCTTCTCAAGTATCTTGATCACTTGTACTACGTTCTCAAAACAGTTTGCAGTAACCACTACCAGGTACATTGTAAGTAACAACATATCTGGCGGTGGTTGAGATGACACCAATTTAACTACCTCTGTCATTTTACCTTCGGATATCATAGTTCCTACCCCTGCCGTCAGGTTCAACAGCAAAGGTCCATGTTTTTCTTTTTTCCAAATATCATGTAATCCGTTATCGATAATCAGGTCGAGACATTCAGTTATAAGCATCAGTATACCATTTACACGGTTACTGCATCCCAGCTCCGAAAGTATCATATTACAGTTCTTCACTAGTAGGCCAGACAAATTTGTGTGCGAAGTATCCATACAGTTCTTTGCAAGGAGCTTCCCTGCCATTACACGGATCGATGCGTTTGTTGAGAACAATATAGCTGATATATTCTCGGTTAACGTGAACGCCACCTCCGGAGGGAACGTGTATAGTGGTATCCTGATTAGAAGGTTGAACACAAATGCCGAACTTTGGTATAGAGCGGCATACGCCGGTACGGGGTTAAGTGTCTCATAGCTCTCCGAACTGTTCACAGTCATATTCCGTATATCGACAAGGACTCGATTGAGTTCATTGGATAATTCGACATTATTGCAGAGCATGAGCTTCTGGTCCAGCAGCGCGCCCGTAGATGCCTGGTTAATGTCTTTCCCGGTAATATGGTGTAGTATAGAGGAAAATAGCAATGCAGCCGAGTTACGTACAGACCAGTCTGGATGAGCCATATTGCTTAAGCTAGCACAAAGAGCGTTCCCCGCGTGTATATTGTTAGACCATCTGAGTTCCTTGCAGCGGAATAGTGCGCAAAGGATGTTGAGGGAGTGTATGCGAATATCAAGGTCAGTAGATGCACGGCCACGTGTCTCCACTGCACCAGTTAATCGACTACAGAGTCCCAGCAAGGTGTTCACAGCAAATGGTAACAATATAGGTTTATGTCTGTCGCTCTCTGCCTTGAGGATCGATGTGAATGAACGGGCAATAGGTTCCGATCTCCTGTGTGAATCTCTCAGCATTACAAATATTTCGTTCCACTGTTCATCTTTTACAGTATGACCTTTTAGATGCTCCAAAAGTATATTGAGCCATTCCTGCAGCAGGCCTTGTAGACCTACAATTACCAATTTCCTGCATAACCAGGTCATTAGATCCGCAAAGGCATCGGTACAACCGAAATGACGGCACGACATAAGTGAAGCTATTATATACCTACCAATATCGTTAAATGTGTCATAGAAGAGTTTAATATTTGTACCAGGATCCTCGATTAAATCATTCCGGACACTTTCTAAAGCAATAGCTCCGTTTACAGTTTGAGGCAATATCCATTGTAACAATGAACACATGAACGTACAACATTCGAATATAGTTTTCCAGCATAATACTGTGAACGGTCTTAGGTTACTGTCGTCCGGTACAGTGCACTTTGGCGTACATGGCAGGTTAACCTTGAAACATTTAATCCTATCGACACATACACAACAATCCAGATAACTCTTGTCAATAGAACTAGTAAATTGGTAATCTTGTAAAGTCTCTTTGGCAATAAGATGCCCACGACAGTCTATTTGATAACCTTTTATATCCTTTTCATTTTGGTCACTCTCACGGCCCACGAACTTGAGTATATGGTTCGATATTTTCTTCACATTTTTGTAAAATGCATGGAACATATCCGGAAATCTTGTTGTATTAACAACTTTAGCATAGACATTCACGGGTATGGAGTCCATATAATGAGATATCAGTGAAATGAGCCCTGCTGGACATGATGCCTTTTCCAAGTGTTTTACATCAAGGTTACGGTCCAACAGTTTGCAAACAATATCCAACTGTTGTAAAAGGTACTCCAGAACATACAATACTATTTCATGTTGTGATTCCGTGGATCCCGGCTCATCTTCCGCGGCCACTGCAGCCTCGATATACCCTTCAAAAAGTGCCATTTTAGCACATTCTGTGGAGGGGATCCCCCTAAGCAATAGGGTGAGCGCTTTGGCACCAGCTGCGTATGGCATAGACTTAACACTCCATAGAGACGCGGCACCTTTCTTAATTACAAAACTCAGCGTCTCCCTGCCTCCGTATATCGTAATCACTCTACGGAGTAACCCTTTCGGTAATATGAGAAGCGCTTTCATTATTAGGTCCTGTTGCCGTGTAGAAATGTAAAACAGTGCCATGAACATCGATAGTATCACATCATGCGCCAGAATCTGTAGCATCTGCTCAACAGATTCACCCTCTTCAGTTATCATCTGGAACGTCAAGTAGATCAGTTCCAGTGCAGTGGTGTTCCTGAAATCGCTTGTGCAAGGATTAACGGTAGATCCCAGCATTTTGAGAAGTAGGCTCATATAGGCGCAATGTTTCATAACAATTTGTTGCTCGTTCGGGGTTGAGTCCGGCCCTTCTCCTGCCTCTTTAACCTTAAGCGTGAACCCATTGGGATCTAGTGTGACTATATCGAACCCTTCGGACAGAGTTTTGAGCAAAAGTTTCGGATTACCCGTGACGATCAATATCAGCCTACGAATGAACGGCTTTATCGCAGCAACAAAATGCTGCCTATATGAAGGTGTTGAGGTCTTCATACAGTGATGTATTGCAAAAAGCATCAACTCCATTTCAAGTGTGTCTACCGGCTGCTTTGTCTTTGGCGAGCACGCGATGGCCTTGAGCACGTTCAGGCAAATATCACTTTTGATATGAAGCAGGCCATCTTTTAACTTTTGGAAAGGTATGTAGAACAACCTAACATGAGGGTGGGAATCGAGTGTTGCCACATTGAATTTGAAGGCCCCTGGCGAATCGTTGATAATTACACCCTTCAATGATTTCCCCTCCACAACGGTGTCCACAAAATCCACACTGTTCAGGCTCCTGGCGTTGCACAAACATATACTTTCGGCGAAATTGAATGGTTCATCGAGGTGTAGTATACGTTCTCCAGATTCCACGTCTACCTTAGTGCATATTTGGTCCACAATCCGTGTGATGTGGGCGAATATGTCCCCGTATCCATTGATGACATATGGTTCCGAGGCGTTCAATGCATCCTGCTCTTCTTTGCTTAGATATTGGTAAAAGTTACAATTGGTGAATGTAGTTGAGAGCTTTAGCAGCTCGCATACATAATCCTTGTGTATTTTACCAAATATGTTCTTGAACGACTCTGCGATAGCAAATGAACGTAGTTCCAGTTGTTCGTTCGGTACTTCTTGCTGTGGTATCAACATGCCTTGTACGTTTGCAGAAATCTTCAATTGCCTACAACGGATAATCGCAATCACTTCGGAATACGTTAGACACTGTAGCGCTAGAAGAGGGGTGTTGATACCCTCTGGCATGATCATACTGGAATCCTTGCATACTTTCTTTATCTTCTCGTAGATATTGGAAAGCAGTTCTGTGAGGAACACTGTAGCTGAGCCCTTGATTTCAGGTACGCTAAGTGAAACCATGAGATGCGGTATAAGAAACGGCTGTGCAGACAATAGTTGTTCAGGCCCGACGTATCGTAGTAGATTCTGCAATGCAAGATACCTGAGCTTCAAATTACCACCAAAGGAATTAGTTGCCGCGGATACTAGCATGTCTTTGTAACCGGTAATGACACGATCGTCATTTTGGTTATCCAAGGCAAATGTAAGTTCCATTAGCTTATTCCATGTTGCCACGGCTAGATTGGAGATCCTCCTAACCTTTCGCGTCCAGAATGTGAATATTATTTCTGGAAGTTCCAGCAGACAATTGTACAATGTTTTGCAGTGGAATACGTCTTTGACAATGAACGACATCATGAGTTGTACCCCTTGCAATGTTGCATAGTTAACATCTACACGCAAGCAACTCTGTGTAGATATTTTGAATATACTGTGGCAACAAGAGAGACCCTCGATAACGAAACTATCCTTGTAACCCTGGTTATCCACTGGTTTGCTTGCTGTGAACCTAGTTGAGCGCTCCCTAGCACCGCATGTGACGCTAGGGTCCGTTACATTCTTTGTGTAGGCACAATACATGAACGTGAGTATCCCTCTTACCACCGCGAGATAGCCCATACTCGGTAACGCAATGAGTAATTCTGCAATCTCGACTGGTTTTGTGAAACTGCAGCGTTTTAAAGCATTGTCCTCCGGCGTGATGCACGCACCCTCATCACCCTCAAACTTCCTTTGAACATATTGATGCGATGCAAGGAACGTCCGTAATACCCTCACAAAACGTTTTAGATTGCCGGCATAATGGGCGGCGTATATAAGTCCAACAGCTGATGCACCGCATTGGCAAAGTACATCCCTGTCAGCAGATTGGTTGCATAGGAACCTAATCATGTTTTTCAGAAGCGAATTTATTTCATTTACTTCGGACCGATCATTCGATACAGGTGTCTGGCGTAACCCCTTATTGAATAACAACATGTTAAGTGTCTTGAGTGCAAATATTCTGCTTTTATGGTAGCTTACAGCGTCGCTAGAGAACAATACAGTTGAGTCCTCAATATGTGTATGCGTTTCTAATCCAACTTTTTTTAACATTCGTACAACAGCCATTATGGCATCGTCAGACATAACTTTCAGTATGTCATCACAATTTGCCAGGGCATGAATGTCGGAAATCCTCCTGTGAATCGTTTCTCTTGAATTCACCAAACCAGCTTGCTTTATCCATTGTGATACTACCTGAGATATCGTATTGGTATCAATGGCGCGTAAAACTGCGGTACACGTAGATGAAAATCCCTTTGACAGACAGAGCCATTCTGCTTCTAACAACAAATTCATAACATAGGTGACCAATTTTTCAATTATAACACCTATATTTTCATATGTTCCTAGTTCAATATGCACAGTTAAAGATTCTCTGATATATTGTTCCAGTTCGTGGAGCGATTTCGCTATTTGTCCCCGAGGCAGTTCATGGGATATATCTGATATGTTGAAACGCCATTCAACTGAATTTGCAGCAGCATCAAGAACCTCTGCGTAGCATTGTTTTAGAACTGGTGATTTGGAAAATGCAGGAATCTTGCTTTTTTGACGACTGCCACTGACATCGATGTCTACATTTGAATTGCTTATTTTTTCTTGGTGATGTTGGTCGTCATGATCAACAGAGCCATCAAGCTCGACGGTATAGGACTCTAGCATATTTTTTACCCCTTTTAGTCGCTTCCTTTCTGTCATAGTCTCATGCTAAACTGGGAGTACAGCTGCGTACATTTTTAGCTTGACTATTCGTTACACATCTTCATTTATGGCGCACACATATTTCTATGAGCGTATTTGATTCATGTGTAGCCGTTGTGACGTTATTACTGCTTAAACACCGCCGGTGAGACAGCTAACTTCGTGGGCAGGGGCTCCAAGCATCGACCTTCTACGGCCTTGATGCTCCTGATCCATGCCGGTTCACTGATATACGTAATATAATGTGCTGTATAAGCTCCCAAATCAGCGTTACTTAGCTTTATCTACTTTCACTTCAACAAGGAAGGACGTTTGTCAAGGCATTTTACAACTACAGGACCTTACAAATAGCTAATCGGCGTTAATTGGCCGATATAAACACAGCTATAACAACATGGAACCACCTATCGAGGATGATGTCGCAGTTTATCACGCGATTCCATCAGAACCAGGTAAGCGACACTCTATCACGAAATATCACTTATTTCGGCATAACGATGTTCTATTATATACCTTATTAACTTATATTTAGGTGTGGATGATGAGGATATCGTAGAATCCGAAGGATTCGGACCGAATCCCAACGCGCTCATGTTCTCAGTATCGATGACCTTTGCGGAGTGGATCCAGATGTTATGGGTGACGTAAGTAGCCTATGTATATATATCCGCTAAGTTAATTTGCAGTTATTTGATAGAAACACCGCTATACTATATCGTATTCACATTGTTATTCGCCATTTTGTTCATATTAATGGCACTCGTGAACGTTTCCAACCCCGGGGTGTAAGTTTCATTAAACATATTTCGGATACAATATCAGGATGACCAAAAATACTGATCTGGAGTTGTATAAAAATGAAGGTGGTATGTTGTTAAAAACTATAAGCCAAAAACCGTTGCAGCCCCGGCAACAGCCGTCGAACTGCGAAATGGCCGATTTATCCAGCGCTGGTGCGGTAGGTTCAATCATTTAACCTATTAATTGCACGCAGTCACATGCCATATATACAAACCGCCTCGAGTGAAACATTGTTACGAATGCCGGCAATGTGTAGTGCGGTTCGACCACCACTGCCCATGGTATGTTGACACACCAATTAACACTTTCTCTAAACGTCTTCACAAAAGATACCATCCACTTACAGGCTCTCAAATTGTATCGGAGGACACAACTACAAAATATTCGTCATGTTCTGGCTATGGTACTTGATCACGGAGTGCTATGCGCTAACTGTCATACTATCCTGCATTAAGGTGTGTATAAGGCCACGATAGATTAGACAAACAACTGCAGAAACTATCGGATATCACAAAAAGTGCCGGATTAGGTAGCGGGTTACGTGTATTCGCATCCAATCACACGTTCCTGTGGGTTACATACTATACTGTAGCATCACATGTGCAGGTTCATCATCACAGTAGTGGCCTGTATACATACACTATTGGTTGTATATAACGTACTTGGTAACGCTTACTTCGTTGCTCGTAACATGACCTATTACGAGTTCCTCACAAGGCCGTATCAAGGTAGTAACCCATTTGACAATGGTATGTCGACCACATCCAAGTCTAATCTCAATACAGGAATATATAGGAACCTTAAACATTTCTGGTCACTACCATGGTTGGATATCAGGTATGTGCTTTATCATGAGAATACAAAAAATGCACTCAGGTCGTGACCAGCGCAACACGACTGCATTGTTGCTACGCCCGTCTGTGGGATGCATACAGTGGCTTACAAAGTATCGAAATGTGATCAAACTATTAATGCGATGTACAAAATATTACTCTATAAGGTTGAATATCAACCCCGACGCAGTTATTCAACCGGTTATTTTAATATCCCTATACCTCAATATACTACGCTCATCTTAATTTTGCTCCTCTTTTGGAGGATCCTCATCATCTGGCCTTAACTCATGACCAAAAGTAGGGTCATCATGCCAAACTGCGTGATATGTTAAATAGAATCTTCCATTATACTTACCGGCCCTGTGTCTGACGGTCGCAGCTTTGACCTGTTTGACGTGAGCTTTTGTAGAATACGCCACCTTTATCACTCGACCATAAAGTTCAGATTCGTTGTGATTGAAAATAGCATGTTTTGCATCCTCTTCCTCCTCAAACTCGATAAAAGCGATACCCCTATTGGTCCCTATGTAACATCTATTTAAAATTCTATGAGAAATATAACTCACCCTTCTCTTTATCAACTGGCATATCAATGTTGATAATGTTGCCAAACGGCAAAAAAGCAGCGTATAATATCTCCTTGTTAACTTCGTCCGCAAGTTCACGCACGAATAACGTCCGCTTCTGACCCGCGGCCTCTGACATGGTATTTTCACGATTTAACACATATTTTAGAAATGTTAATATCACACAGCACCCGACGTTATACGCCAAATAAGCGCCACATGCCACACCCTTTACACGATACACAAAACATCACCCACCTTAACCCTTTTATACAACACATGTAACATAATATTCAATATTTATACATTGCAGAATGGCATATGGTGTATCATATGCTACAAAATGTTCCCGTTTGTAATTATTATGTAATGCTGATAGAACGCGATTCTACAGGTGTTCCCGATAGGCTGACTTGACATCTCTGGAGTCGTTTAGCAAGGTACTATCGCCTGTTAAAGGCGTAACGGAGCGTTTGTAGCGCTGTTGTGGCCTACATGGTCACAATTCTGCAACCATCTATGGTGGTTTGTAGATGAAATCGTTACTGTTCATAGCTGATAAAATGCTTCATGAGACATTGTGAACTACAGAACTATTGGTAATATGCCGAACTCCAACAATAAGAAACAGAAAAACCGTCCATACCAGTCATCTGGTGATGGACGGCTATTTTCCATGTGGTCGACAACTTCGGATGGTTCCAAGCCAACGTACCATGCTGGTGATAGCGGGTACCTGAGCGCTGCAACAGATGAATCTTTTAAAACGTTAGGGTCGGGTCCCATGGGATCTGAAGAAACCGATAATAAGGCGGAATCTCCAGCCGAAACACCAGGAGGAAAACGTGAGAGTGATGATGATAACAGCGATGACAACAAGACAATGGCAGTTTTCACGTGGAAATATGGCGGAGAATCGGTATATCTACTCTGTAATGAGGACGGTGAAGAAAAACGTATCCCAATGAGGAGAAATGGAAAAAGTTTCATGCTCGTGCGATATATACCAAAAGAATTGTATTATTACAAATATATAGTAGACGGAATAGAAAAATGCTCACCAGATATGCCTATAGTTAACGGACCTGAAGGAGATATGAACGTAATGGATTGTTATAATGGGCCTATCGAGAGCATATTGGCTCTTGAAGAACAAAACATTTGTGATAGGGTATACACGCAAACCATGCCAGATTCGGCGTACATGTCACAAGAATCGCTAGTTATACCTGATGCAATGCTATACAGGGCACCGGATTTTTCAAACGGAGATCGTGTGGGTAACGACATCCACATTATGGCGAACCATATTTACGAAGATTTGAAATATAGAGATATTTTTGGCCCCAAGTATAGCAGCTATATCACTATATATTGTTGGGAGATGAAAACTACGGACATTTCTCTAGCGCGAAAGTAGGTATCCATCTATAATATATATATAACCTTGTTACAGCAGCGCGGCAATCATATACGTGACCCACGCCCCGGACGAAGGACCATATGCACCACCAACCAAGCTTTCAAGCTGGTTTAACGTTATCGATTAGCGATATTCCGGCTGTCTAAGCTGGATTATCGTAGTACCGGTTGCCGTTATATCGCTCTAAGTGCCGCTCCGCCAGAACACTTGGACAGCAACTGTACAAGGCTAATAGCTCTATACTACGTTGTATAATGCCTTCGTAACAATTAGAACGGGTCTAGTTTCTGCCCCAGACATTATACACGACCAGCCCCGCGCTCACGTCTGGTTACTGTCCGTCGTCGCGCCGTCAGAGACACGTGGTGTATTACAGACAATACATAGTTTTGTAGAATTAGTATACAAAATTTGTATGAAATATATAACCTCAAAGCGCGTGTACTGGACTCGCGGGTTGAATCCTGTCTCTGCAGTGTTTCTAACGCTATTACGAATATTCAACGCCAATACTTAACAAAATGGCATTGACACTGTTGTCTTCTCCTATCAACTGGATACTAAACATCGCCATTTGCGTGCTGTACCCCGCATACCTCACGTTCATGCATCTATACCACGGTGTCTTACACGATACACCAAAGGATGGCGCCGAAGATCCAAGGATGAACAGCGGCCTTATCGCACACTATATACAGTACTGGACAATATACGTACTATTTGTCAAGCTGGAAGCATACGCATTGTCATATGTTGTACCATACATACCATTTTTCTACGAGGCAAAACTGGTGACATTCTACTGGCTGGGATCAGACCACTTCAAGGGAGCGGGGTACCTCTTCCACCGATACGTTATGAAGAACATGATGAATATGGTGAAGGTGTTGAGGAACGAAATGGACACCAAACTAGACGCTCGCCACCGAAAAACAATAATTGAATTGAGCCATCATCTTGGTAGCGTTGATGATGTCAAATTCACAAACATGGAATAAGGACACACTATATATCTCTTTGATATGGCATTCTAATAGTAATTCTGTTATCAAGATTGTAAAATCTAGTTGCGCGACAATAACATTCTCACCATGATGTCGCCACCATTGTGCTCTAAAGCAACCCTTCCATCTGTCGCTAGCTTCAGCAGCGACATGAAGAAACCGCTGACTTGTTCACGAGATGGACTGCAACCGGATAATGCATCTTTAAAATTAAAACGGCCATCAGTGCTATTCTCCAAGCACTGCGTTATGATCCTGATACCCATATATCACAGGTCAAATGCTCACTAACCTCAAAGCATTAGACTCCACGTCCTCACAAGGTGCTTTGTTTGAGCGAAAAGGGTATCTAGAGATGCAACTTGAGTTTAATTTCGCTGTGCGACATATACATGGATACGGTAACAATTAAATGATCTATCCACTTACATATCTTTTTCTCCTCTTTGCATACATCACGTGACAAACGTTCTCGTTTGCGTTTCTGACGTGGTGGCTCAATATGCATTATGATAAAAGTTCGCTGCAAAGCATATTACTAAGGCAACAAGAAATCTGAATGGTACTCAATCGACTTCACCTACATATTTCAACTCGCATTCGTTCACCAATCTTTCCCTTATATCTTGTGATGTGCATTTCTCGACATCGTTGACAGTTACGGGACGTGACCTGTGGAGAGTGCGCTGTTCTAAATCCAGAGGAGCTCCCTTTACAGGATTCCCGCAGCGATGTTTCGATACGTAGTGGTCAGTGGTGATAATGACAGAATGGTCGAATATTTCAAGTGCGGCACGCTTGATCCTCCTTAACGGAGGTGTATCATGGCTATCCCCAAGATCGTTAAGGTCGTGCAGGTACCCTTTATATGCAGACCTCATTGGAGTAACTGCAGATATACGTCGGTACGCATTTCCCACTTACCGTCCGAGAGGTTGGGCACATTACCTTTAGGTACAGGCAAGTCGTCCACCAAACTAGTACCGACACCCGGCTTACTCCATTTAACCACATGTGTCAACTGCTTCCTAATATTGTGGTTCTCATCAAACTCATATTGGCTGTATATACCAACACCCATGATGATCTTGTTATACGCAAAACCTTCATGCGCATTCGGCGTCTTCATATGAATGTCCACACCATCAAGCCGAAACTTCTTATCAGTTAAACACTTCTTCTCGCCCATATTCCACAATGATACACTATCCACGACATCAGACGTAGTGGCCACGTGTCGAGCTCCTGATCTACTACGAGGAAGCGTAACCACTTTAGGCTCCACGTTGGTGGGCGCCTGCACGGCCTTCTTGCATACTGAACGCACCTCCTTCAAAAGGATACTACATTGCGCAAACAACAATACAGCGATCCCTTTAGTGATGACACCTATCAATTTGTCAAAAATTAATCTAGACAACGAACGTAGTTATACCTACCTTTCTGCTGTAGACTCAGTGATTCGCTCTCAACGAGCTGAGAAGCTCCGCCCAGATCAACGGCATTTATACTGGAAGCCAGACTCTTATCCGTCATCCATAGACGAGGGGTCTTCGATGAGGAAATTATCTCAGACCTCTGGAGGGAACTGGCCCACCATAGTATCCGGACAATATCTGATAAAACATTACAACACAACACATGTACGCAGATATGAAAGGCTATTCAGCGTTAAAGGTGTTTATTATTAACGCAGTGGTATTAATGTTCCAAGAATCAAGTTTTCCTCTCATACGGATATCTGTCCTCACCATCGTGGTTACGAAGCTCACGCCGTATGGCCTCCGACACCGCATCGTCCACGAGATCGTGGGTGTGCGATTTAAGTTTGCGCAACATCAGAAAATTAATCATGATGTATGACATCCGCAGCGCGGAGTACTCCAGGACAAAAGAGCAGCATGAATATTCCATAACTGAACTTCTGCAACATCCAGCAACACATGTGTGTTTAAAGCGACTTCTGCAGAGTAAGAGCTTTACCCTTGTTGATTTGACCCCAACCAATCAGCCTCCAATGCTTGTCTACCCTACGGCTTAGTGCAACCTTGTCACCAACACGTGTGCAAACAGGACCTGTAAGCTCAAACTTAGCCATATCTGGCTTAATACCACTAACACGACCTCCAACAGAAGTGGAACCGATGTTAATCATGAGGAATTCACCTTTTTTCAGTTTAGAAACTTTTGTGCTCTTGTCGCCATCCGGTGCCTTTATACCCAATAAACGCCTTAAAAGATAGTAAGAAACCTCAATTTCAGCAAAACAATCTGGTAACTGTCCAGCGTGACCAATAACCTGACCGACAAGCCTGTCGGCCCTCGTCAGGGTGGGATCCATGGCTGTGCCTACACCGACCAGTCCTCCTGGTACAGCAAATTGCAACTCGTTCTGCTCCGCGAACAACGACACGATCTTCGAAATAATCGGTTTACATTGAATATTTCCATTTGCGTCCTTGGAAATAATGCCGGGCCGAATCTCAATTTGGTCACCGACACGAAGCACTCCGTGGAGAATGCTACCTCCAGCAACACCTCCTTGTAAATTCTCTACTTCTTCACCAGGTTTGTTAACATCAAATGAACGAATGACGATCATTTGCGGTGGCAGCATGAAGTCTCTCTTTGGCACCGCAACTTGAGTTACCAGATACTCACAAATCACATCGATATTGTAGTTTAACACAGCACTTATTGGAATAATAGGGGCATTATCTGCTGCAGTACCCGATACGAAACGTTTAATCTCTTCTTGACGTTGTATGGCCTGTGACTCCTTGATAAGTTCTACCTTGTTTTGAAGAATAATGATATTCTTCAACCTCATAATCTCAACAGCGGCAAGATGTTCCGATGTCTGAGGCTGTGGGCAAGGCTCATTACCTGCAATTAGCAGCAGTGCGGCATCCATCACTGCTGCTCCGTTAAGCATAGTAGCCATGAGAATATCGTGCCCAGGACAATCAACGAAAGATACATGACGTTTCAACTCCATTTTGTGGCCACAACCTGGTCTAGGACATGGTGGGTCATCTTCTTTCGAGCTTCCGTAGGACTTATAGCAATCCGGAGGTGGGCACTCTGGGTTGGTACACTTATAGATTTTGGCGTTAGCGTAACCAAGCTTAATGGTAATATTACGTTCCTTTTCGTGTTTAAATCGTACGGTATGCACCCCGGAGAGGGCATGTACCACGGTAGACTTCCCATGTGCGACGTGTCCGATGGTGCCGATGTTTATCGTAGCTTGCCGGCTGATGACCTCAGGCGAAAGCGACGTAAGTTTGCTCACATCGAGGGTAGCTAGGTCCTGCTTACGCAGGTGTGATGATTCTTTTGTGGGATTTGTCATCTCCCCTTGATGTTATTTATGCCGAGATTCAAAGCAACGCTGGTTTGATGTTGTTTAAGCGGATCACCGAGCATCTGCTTCCCGTATCAAGAGGGCACGCAACTAGCCGTAGCTATATATATATTATTCTCCAATACACGCAGGTATGACGTTGAGTCACCAGGATTCCAGCCAACGGGACGACGCTTGAGATGTCTATGTGCGCTGGCCAACTGGGTACTACCGGCGGAATTATCCGTAGAATCGTAAAATTTAGCAATAAAAACGCTACCTTTTGCGTTATCTAATATACCAGGGTCTGGTATTTGGCTTTGTCAAATTACCTTTTTTTATCGACTCTGTTCCCGTCGTGGGGGCGTAGATGGACTCCAATTAGAGCCAATGAAACCAGTACAAAAAGAACACAGCGGTTTTATGAATATGGTTAGTTATATCTAAATTGATTATTTCAATACCAGTCATTAAGTTGCCTGCCCTTTTCGCGCTACCGTACGGGCGCACTTTCAGCGGCATCTATTTAATGCTACCCATCCACCAGCATATAAAAACTATATTATTGAAGTACTGAGGCATTATGTACATGGCTGCGACGCTCAGTTGCTGATCACTGGTCACAATTTTTCGCTCTGAGTGTGTCTTTACCTATTCCAGGCACATTTGGCATGGTTGCCCTGCCGATGTGTTCCAAGTCAATATACTATAATCAATTGTGTACGCCGGCTCGCGGGTCAGCGTGGACCATGTCTATCACCGTTTGCTATTCGTGTAGTATGCACGGGTCATGTTTGAGGGTGGCTAGTGCTGCTGAGAACGACGAAAGTCACAATTCTTGTTGCCTTTTTGTGAATAAACATTGCAAATGACAGCAAAGGCCGGAGTGTTGCTAGAAACCTGACCTTACACCATAAGGCCAGTAACTGGTAGAGAGAGGGTCAACATTGCCTAGAGTAAAAAATGTTTCAGAACACCAATCATGTGCAACAAAGTGTTATTCGAAGCACATAGGAAGGTGTGTATACCTATAACTCGTCCCAGTACTCGGAATAGGCCAGCTGTTCAAATGCCGAGGAAGGTGTACGGCACCGATCCAAATTGTTAAACAACATCGTGAACAAATATACCAAAACCTTTACAATAACAACGCAAATTGGCAAATAGATTACTTCATTCACAAGATATTATAGTTCGTGTGTCGACTGTATTGCGGTCATTCGCAGCAGCAATATTCCACGTTCCGCGTTCTCTGCATCTGATTCGATTTTTCTTCAACGTGACATCGACGCTACCAGCGTGATCTTTACAGACATCAGTACATACCTACACAGTCTTCCTATAACGGTACCTCTCTTCGTAGATACCAGCTAGTGTGACCTCAAATTTTTTTTCCCATTTTTTAACGAAATTATACGCTAGTTGGGGTTTCAATATTCTTGACATACCAAAAAATTCCCTTCACAAAGAATTATATCTAATAATTAGTAACAGAAAGCTAAAATGGTATCCCATAACTCACTTATTGTTAAAACCAAAATTCTTAACTCAAAAATACAATAACACAAAATTACTACAACTCATCGTCACGTGATAACAATCGAAAGATGACATCGCCAGGATCGTTTTGTGGACTAGCCTTCGCAATAGCCGTAATGGCTGTTGGACCCAACTTGGTGACCTTTGTAGTAGGTGCCGGAGATATCGATCCGTCCAAGATTAGAAAATTGACTCCCGAGAGATATGACTGCGTCAAGGATGTTATTGCCGGGGTAAGTATTTATTGACGAAAAGTTTCTAGAAATACAACCGTATTATGCTCTAAATAGCGAGTTTTGTGTATATATACACTATACATAAACTTTCAGCGAGTCCAGGCTTTGAAATCGGCAACGATGCCGACGAAACCTACACATACGAAAGTTAAAGACAAGGATGAACAGTCAGGTGCTACAACGACCGAACCGAAGGCACCAGTGCTTGAGCCAAAGGTAGTTCCTACCGTTGCTCAAATGACGGGGGATACACCTGAACCCGCAACCAGGACTATTTTACAAAAAGACACAAGCAAAGAGAAGGCAGAACTGGTATTAAACCTTTTTCAAAAATTTACAACTTTTCAGTTTAACGAATTGCCCAAAATAAAAGGAACGGGGATAACTTTCAAATCACCGCAAGCGGAAACGAAAGTAATCGATGACGTAGGTGGAAAGTATCAGAATCAACACATTCGTCAGCTCTCAAGTCCGGAAACTACGGAAGAAGACGTACCGAAAGTACCCGATTATTCTCCTCCAAAGGTTGTAGGCGTGCTTCTGAAAAAAGGTATTGAAACATTTCACTTCAGCAAAACTCGCAGGTAATAAAAGACCAAATGCTACGCCACCACCACCTCCTGCAAGCACATCAAAACAGGAGCCGAAGAAGTCGGACACCGTAATCAAGCAACTCGATATTAAACCCACTGAAGAACCCAAACAAACAGATAAGGATGTACTCGGCGCAACTCTGGATACTAAAAAAGGAGCAGCCGCTGAAGATACGGACTCTGATTCATTCGAAAGACAACCATTGCTCTCGTCAATAGAATATCCAATGAGTAGTGATGATGAATATGAACTATGGAAAGATGTCTCATTTGGCCATTCCGTCCCAGAATTGAGCATAACGCAAACTTACGCAGAAGCACCTCCCAAACCGGCCACCAGATTTAGATCAGCATCGGTACAGACTACCCCGGAACTACTAAGTTCATTATTTGATAAGGACACAGACAGATCAAGTGGTGCTGGCGATGAGAAAAGCTTGAAAAAAAAACCTGTAGCCGCAAATAGGAGACGTAAAAGTCTACCACTTACAGGTAAGGCTCGTGTCCGTCCTCGGCTTAATGCAGCCGATATTGTTGGTGTGAATTATGCATCATCTTTCCCGGGTGCTTCATTTCATTTACGTGTAGCATCAGAAAACCCTAGAAAACCGATGTATATCGGCAGACCACTGTCACAAGAAACGTTTTATGAAAATATGAACCTTGAGGATGAACCATTATATGCAAATATGCAAGGAGTAGAGGAGGATATTTATATGGATATGAATAAAGGTGTGATAAGCATAAGTCCCACAGAATCTGTGGAACAGCCGTTATACGCAAATTTACCGAACACCGATGATGACGATTATATGGAGATGCAATCTGGTGTCAGTGACACCGCATACCCATCTGACGAACAGCCGTTATACGCAAATTTACCGAACACCGATGATGATGATTATATGGAGATGCAATCTGCTGTCAGTGACACCACCTACCCATCTAATGAAGAGCCGTTATACGGCAACCTTATTCCCATGCAAAGCGTAAGTTATGCGCAGATGCCACCGGTTTACGAGAATAGTCGCGCAAAATTAAGTGCGGAGGATCACCTTTATGAGGAGGTCGACTTGGACGATGTACCGTTGTACGAGAATTTACCCTGCGGAGATAATACTGCCGGCGCCCATATGGAGTTTACAGAAGAAGATAGTCGCAGTAAAAGGGCGTCCAAAACTGGAAATCCAACCCTTGAGAAAAATGATGATACTTACCTGGAAATGAGGGGATTTAGTCATTCATACAACCCAACTTATGGTTTAAATCGTGATCTTGAGTGGCGGTCCGTCGTAATTCGTCAACCTTTACGTGATCAAATAACTCAAACAATGATTGAAAGCAGTGACCTCCCGGGAAAGTCCGTGAATAAAAATGATGATGCCATATGCTTGTCTCGTAGTGGTATACACTGTTGCAGAATTAGTTAATCACGTGACAGATTCGACTGATATTTATGGATACGAGTTAGATGGAGATACCGGGGATGAGGTTCGCGGCAGACCCTTGACGGACAAGTTTGTTGCTGGCGTGGAGAAGGCTTCGGATTCAGTTCAATCCAAGTTTAAGAGATTCAAGCATTACACGACTAAGAAAGCTCGAGCACTGAAGCGCTACATTATGGGAACCGGAAAAGCTGCGTGTGAGAAATTTGATGATGCCGGGAATTGTATTGAGGACGGGATTGTTTCGGCAAGGAGGTCAGCTGCTGATAAACTTGCAAGCTTGCATGAAAAACTAGAACCGAGTCCAGAGCGCACATGGATGCCATTCCATTCCGCTCTCATAAGGTAATTGACTTTTCTCTTAATCTCTCATAGTCGTCAAATAACGAGCACGTCAACAGCAACGTCACCATGTTATAGGCAGTACAATGATGAAGAAACATGATAAAAACGATTTGAAAGCTAAATGTATTTGACCTAATGTCCCATTAGTTGCATTAAAATAGATTATTCGTATGATCCTCATGTCTCGGGGAGCACAACTTTTAGTCATACCTCTAAGGGGACCTGTGGTACCTTTCTATTAATGTTTGTCAATGCTCGACAACGTGCCATAATGGCCGTTATATGATCTACTATGACGGTATTTAGAGGTCTAATTTATTACTAATGTCGAGCAAAATTGCTCTGATAAGGAGACATATGTGTTGGCGCCAGCAACCTACATTGGAAGTCTAATGATACATTTGACTCTCAACCTGTTGTATTTGTGCTCCGAACAGAGTTATATTGCCTCATTCGGCTCGTTGACGATATATATCTGAGTGAAGAAAAATTATGAGATCACCTGGATCTTTTTTTTCTCAATGAGGGATAGATCGGTTCTTGATATTTCCCCCTGATCAACACTTGTAACATTTTTGTATCAATACAAATAGTCCTTCGGCTAGATCAAATTAAACTACAGTCAAATTCACATAGTCAAAATGTATCGAATTTTTACCACACTCTTGTTCATCGCAATGACCCTGATGCGTACCTCGGAGTGTATACACGCATCAGATATGGTACTATGTGCTGACATGTGTCCGTCTTCAACGCTTGTTGCGGAGGACGGTGTTGGGATTTCGAAGGTAAGTCTCATTCAGTAGCTGTCACAATGGCGCAGTGCTACGACGCTTGCAAGAGGCTGATACACCGTGTAAGGTACGGGGACGTAATAGACAGCGTGGACAAGAAAACGAAGGTTAAAGCGCCAAAGGAAAGTGCATTGAAACGAATAAAACAAGGTTTCGGCAACATGGTGACTAGCAAGGCAAAACCCTCAGCCTCAGAATGATATGAGTAGTTGAAAAGTAACAAAACTCTACAGTGAACCACATAACATTCAATGTCGGTTTAAAAATCGCTACATAGGATTAATTTAATCTGTACATGAGTTGTCGGAGGTGTGATGTGGTTGTCAGGGGCAGTATATTATTCTCACCCTTGTTAGAGGACATAGTCAATATAAATCAAAATAAAGTTTATACGTGTATGTATATGTAAACACTATCCATATTTCTGCAATTTTCTGCATTTTCATAGTCAAAGCGTATATCTTTGTATGGTCGATATGGCAAGCCATCAGGATCGTGGAAATTTCCATTTTCCCCGTTTTCATACGTGCTGAAAGTTCTAACCAATCGCAAGGTATTTTTGAGACAGTGTCATATACATGTAAGTTAGAATGTGTCCTCGATTGTATTTATGTTCAATGTAAGATATTGATTTGGGGGATGAAAAATATTTCATGGGTAGACCCCATATTAAAATAATGTAATATCGTACTTGTCAGAGGTCTTGTCGTCACATTCAATTTCGAAGAGACTTAACAACAACACTACATCGGTTCCCACGCACAATTATGTTTTTCTGGGACACACTATTGACCATTGTGCTCTTCGTGTTGTGGCAACGTTTTTGTGTCATCTGCGTGGGTGAGCCTTTGGAAACCCAGCCTCAAGATTCTGATGTGCCGAACCTTAGAGTAAGTATATCCATGTTCTGATTCATATACCTACAGGGAAATGAATTAGATACTTTGCCGGAGGTAAGTGAGGGGGCGCTCCCACGGAAGCTATTTCTCGGGTTCCTTCTAGGAGCAGCTCGATCGATAATCAGCCCGGTTGTAAGTGCTGTTAGTGGGTTGATAAGCCCTCCTGCCAGCGCCCCGGAACCACCTCCGCCTGCACCGCCACCTCCAGAACCGACTGATAAAAGGAGGTCCAGTCGAAGGTATGCCGACTCCGATGACTCAGGATCTGATAGTGATGATGACAGAGACCGATACGAAAAACGCCGTAGACGCCGTCAAAGAAAACGGCGCTCACGTAGGTCACATCGTAGCAATAGTGCAGACTCAGATGACGAGTCCCCTAGTGACCAAGCTCCCAGTGATGCAGATGACGAGAAAAAACCGTCAACAGAGATTTCGGCAACAGAACCCAAACCCGAAGAAAGTAAAGATAACAGCAAACCTGAGGCGGTTGCTGAAAAGGAAACGGCCAAAGAGCCGCCAAAACCTACTGAAGATGAAAAGCCGAGTGAGCAGCCACAAAATGACGCCGGCAATAAACCTGAGGAGACCAAGGATTCTGCTAAGGTAGAAGCGTCTGGTGACCTTAATAAGAAGGAAGAAGCTAAGGAAAGTGAGAAAAAGGAAGAATCGGCAGATTCTAGTAAGACGGAAGAAACTAAGCAAAGTGACAACAAGGAAGAGAAAATTGAAGCACTCCCAACACCTGTTGCGTGAGAGCAAAGGAGCATTTCGGAAGAAATTCTGCTTAATGAAGTGTGAGAGTGACAATATAGCCAACGCCCAAACGTGTAACAAAGATTACGGCCCTGCCATATTTATAAACAAGATATCTAGCTCACAAACTGAAACTTAAATTGTGTTGTTTTCAATTGAAATTACTTCACAGTTTTTTTGCGATTGATAAACATGTTTACTCACGATCCGCACCCGTAGTCTGCATATACTTAGTTGGTGTATATTAGCACTTACAGAATCCAGTTTGATGGATATTTCGTATGCGTCGTGACCCTTTAGCATATCCTTGACAAATTCACATTTTACTTTAATTTGCAACTGTTTAATCAATGTATCCACGTTGACGTTAAATTACCTGCTCAAGAGCACCTATTATAACTCCACATATGATATTTGAGTACGCCAGTCCCGCTAGGTTTTCTGGTATCTCTACAAACTGGTCCAGAGGATTCTCTTGAAAGGAAATATTATAGCGGTTATTCGCTTCATCTACGACGATAACCTCACCAGTGATTCCTAGGAACATCTTGAGTCCGACCTTCGTATTTTTCAGAGGTTTTGTCTAGTTGTGTATTACCTTTGCGATAGCCTCTACAGTCGTTCTAAAGTCTGAGCATGGAGTGCATCCTAACTTGGCCAATACTTCATCTACAAGTCTCACACCGATATTCTTGCCCCTGTAAGGCGTGTAGGCACGGTATCGTGATTCTTACATCGATACGAGTTGTGTGTTAACACCCTCTGTGAACTCGATATCCTTGATGAGCTGTGAGACGATGGATCCGTAAGTGAGTGCCAGAAGCTCTGAATTCTGCAAAGTGTGTAGCCATGGCATAGGATGGTCCATTCCTTGTGAACCTTCTACTTACCACTTTCTCCATCTTCGCGAAGGCGTTAGCTCCCAGCTTCGCAAAGTCATCCATTTTTGCACTGGAATTTATCGAAAAAATAAGTGTGAGTTTTATTTGGTGTTAGCACTGGAAACATCGCGAAGCGTAACCCGCTGTCACCGGTGCCTGTGTAAACTGAGGCGCTCAATTATAGACCATGCAAAACTTTCTATCGATATAAATAATTTCAAAAAACTTCTAAACGCATTAAAACTACATTATACATTGTTAATATCAACTTGAAGGATACGGCTGTGTTGTCCAAGGTTATTTTAGCCAATTAGCCAACCACGGTGATCGGTCATGAGGTCATATTCATTAGTTTGGCATTGATGTTTTTAGATATAATGATACACACAATGGATCATTATTAATATTTTACATATTGGGAGCGACCTATACAATTTTCTAACATAATATGGAGGAAAACACGGATTCTAACGACGCTTCAGCCGCAATTGCACCCAGCTCCGCAACTGAACCACCACCAAAGAAGATTGTGGTAGATACTGGTGCCTACAATCGTTCGACGTACATTGACCGAAGCGGTGACGAGTTATATGCCACCCGTGGTATAGTGAAAGAGATTCAGCGTTACAAAGATAACAATCCCATTGGAAGTCATATACGCAGCGTCTTTAAGCTGATCGAGAGAGACCCCGTCGAAAGTGATATCGCAACGGTGAAACGTTTTGCCGCGCTTACCGGTGACCTTCCTTACCTCTCTGCCAATGACATAGGGTGTATAGCGTTGACTCTACGCTTACAAATTGAAACCGGAGATACCTCATGCATAAGGTCTGAGCCACTTCCACTATCGTTTACTAAAACAGAAAAGAAGTCTGATGGTGGAGGCAAAGGTAAGGGCAAATCCAAGAAAAATGCCGACACATCGACTACCGGCTTCGACTGCTGGATCACCCCGGAAAACGTACATAGTTATAACATAAAAGCTAGCGTGGAGAAACCAAATCAAAGGGTTGCATGTATGACAACAGATTTCGCAATGCAGAATGTTCTGATCCATATGGGTCTTAATGTAGTTACGTTGGATGGATTCGCCGCCAAGAGTGTCCGTAGCTGGGGACATATGTGCAGGTATCTTACATTTTATACACAATAATCGATATCAGGGCATGTTTCGACATGTTTCCTAACACGTTACGCCAATTTTGCGAAAACTGTGGTAACGCGACTGTTGACAGAGTACCATTGGTAGTTGACGGAGAGACGGGCGAGGTTCGAGTGAAGGACACACGTCGTTGGATTAACAATCGTGGCACCATTTACACTCAACCGAAGCCCGTTACAGGAAAGAGCAAAGTAAGTTGTTCTTGCCTCCCTGAAGTGACCTTTAATACAGCAAATGTACATCGTAGCTGAGGATCAGCTGATGATGCCACGGTATCGCAATCAACTACGCATAATGAATCGCAAAAATCCTGTCGACGAGATGTCTCACTTCAACGTGGTATGTTATCTACTGTAGAGTGATCTAAGGCATTTCAGGACGACGGCAAGGTTGGCGCTGGTTTCGGAGGCCCAGGTAAACAGTTGCCTGCCCTGGCCAATGTCAAGGTCGGACTTGGCCGCGGTAACCCCAACTCCAACAAGTGGATGCAGAAACATAAGCGCTTGCTGCGAGAATAGCACTATAACACCTTGAATTAATTGTAGTTATCCACTAGAGTGCATTCCACACACCGGATGGCCGAGTGACCAGCGTCACACGCCGTGCGTCCACGATGTGCGCTCCGGCGTCGTCACATCGGAGGCGATGTAATATAACATTATTGGTACTGTCATGTGTTGCGGCCGCGTCTTTGTCGAGGAAGGTCGTACCTTTCTCTATGTTAGAACTCGGGGATCTTCCAGGTGTGTGTTTGACGTCTATTTCCCCGTTTTTGGCCACTTAAATCTATATCATAACTGCTAAACATACCATAGAATCGAATACTGATTCATTATACCTCATCATTGCCGTTCAGACATGGACGAGTTTCTCCCAGAGGAGGAGCCTCCAAATCTCTGGGACTATTCGGAGCCGCTGGTATCGAAGGCTACCACACTCGAAAACTATCCGGACCCTTTTATCAATCCCCGGGAATGTAATCGGCCAGACGCCCATGAATCGTACGTCTGTGACCCAGGTTAGTACCACTGTTTGAATCTTACAACTTGGCAGATCGCATCCTCACTAAGGTTGAAGCCGACCGTATAGATGAGATGTTGAGCCTTCAGAGGCATGATTCATCACATCATTGCGAAGGACTTGGTGCTGTACCTTACCGATTGGGTGTTGCCATTATTAACTGGTTATCGGCGGAGGACATGTCTGCATTGTCGGACGAGTTACTGTTGCGTTGGCGTCTGAGCCACGAGAAATGTGCTGATGGTGTTTTGATACTTTACGTTGTGCGTCACAACTCGGTGGCTATAAGCTGGGGAAAGGGAGTGGAACCTTTACTGAACGCTAAGACCGTTTCATCTATATCCGCTATCTGCCGATCAATGCTCCAGCAAGAGAAGGTGTCTGTGGCTATCGAACGATGTACGACATTTGTTACTAAGCGTCTAACCGGTGTGATTTTACCTTCACAGGAGACACCTCAGATGTATGTTCGTTAATGTGGATGATAACGCCATTCAGGCTGGTTACTTTGGTGATTGCATCCATTGTAGCAATATTTTATGGAATGATCATCGTATCAAGTTGGTTCTTTTCCCATAAAATTTATTTTCACACAGCCATTTCGGATGCTGCTATCACATCATGAGTCTTATGTTGCAATGTCTTTTTGTCTTGGGCTGCTACGTAGGCACTGGCCTCTGGCGGTGCCACGTCATGCCTACTTGGGCCCGTCACGGATAACCACCGTTTGACATATCGCATTAACCATTTCATTAGTGCTATTAATGCGTATTGATGTGTACGGTGTGGCGGTTCCGTGCGTGCTTATTTATGCCGCTTTTTGCACTGGCCGTCGTGTCTTATTTTGCACCGCTACAATCTTTTGCGGGATAATAGCCGGATGCTATCGCCTTCAACCATCAAATAGCTATGGACTGGGGCTGTTTGCTTGGTTACATCGCTATTCAGCGCCCTATTGGCGCCAGCATCCTCCTTCGGCGAGATGGCATTCATCAGCACTTAAGGCCGGCTTGGTACCTAACGACATCACCGTGGTGAACGATCAGGAGTCGCATTTCATTGATGAATCGCTGATAAATGATGCCTGTATGCTCTACAGGTCTACTCTTGGGTGAGTTCTGCCAGTGGAATCATTTTCATATCTGTAGGTTCGATGACTTTCGTGTCAACGTGTTGTTTGTGGACCGAGAATCTATGGCGAAGTGTAACCTTCAAACTTTTGGAAAGGATAGTCCAACGGATATAATTTCGCTTGCAGAAAATTCGCGGTATATACGTGATGAATATCACCTCAACCGTTCACCGCAACAAGTGGCTGAGTTCCGCCACTTGGGTGAGATGATACTATGCCCAGGTATGTCATAAACCATTGGTACATACCTAGGATATACACATCTGGACATAATATTCAGATTACATCGCCGAGCAGATGCGTAAAGATTTGCAGTGCACTGTTGATCCGGAGGAGTGTAAATTAGCGTCAGAGGTGGAAGGACGTAGAGCTGAGTAAGCAATTGTGAATGTGACATTGTAGTAAACTGCGGACAGGCCGCTTGGAGTCGCAGTGAGAATGAGAAGGATGGAAGATATGAATATGCGTTTTTGCTATTTGTTAGCACATGGATTTTTGCACTTATTAGGGTAAGCACTGTATAAGGAGGGTAAGAATGAGTTGATTGTTAGATACGACCATGTGGATAACTTCGATTTCGAGCAGATGTTGTATGAGGAGGATCGCTTGCTGGACGCGTTCGATCGTTTTGTCGCATCACGCAATAAGGTCCTCCCCGCTACTTAAATTAGGTATTCTTTGATTATGGTTATCACAAACGCAATGAAGTCTTTGATGCATTCACTAAGTTGGTCTAAAACACTTGTTTATAACGGCTGTATTGGATGTGTAATGCTGTGACCACCGCTATATACGTCATGATCCGCCTTCTATCAAGCTCACAGGGGAACCTGTGGCGACACAATGGATCACACACGGTCACAGTATTATTAAACTGTATATATTATTTGGTTAGAGGCGGGTAAAATTCATGCCGACTTGATCGGGGGTCTGCAGTGGTAAAGGGGAACTGCATTATACGACCGCAATCTCTTCAGCGGTATTAACAAGAAATATATTTTATATCTGGTTGCCTTGCTGACGGAGTTGAGGGCAACCCCTTTTTGTCCCTGCTTGTGGCTGACCTCGACGAGGTGTATGAGCTGTGACGCTGGATTGTTACTTAGGCGTAGCACCGCACGAGCGGTGTTATAGCGATGGAGGGAAGTGGGAAGGTAACCCCGTGTCACACGGTTGGATCTGATATCGGCCCTTCGACGGCTCGATCTCCTCCTTCCTTAAAACCCGCTCAAGCACAGCTACATACCCTGTCTCCACGACCGAAAGATGCTCGTCAATCACCAGGGCCGGGTATATCCTCAACGAAGTCTCCAGGCTCATTTGCAAAGCAGCGTGACCCAATGAATCCTGGGATCATGCCAATGCCTGGGATGCCAACATTCTTCCCTTTCCAACCTGTTCCCGATATGAGCATGGGAAAATCCGAGGCTAAGGTCGAAGGTGATACCGCTGATGTTGATTCTAAGACGGCTTCCTTTAACAATTGGGTTATGGATGGTATGCCGCCATTGAATATGATGCCGAACATGGGTACATCAATTGACGGCAGCTTGATGCCGGCAATGCCATATGCTCCGGGCACTAACAATGCAAAGACAGGTGAAAATTCGTCTATGCCCATGATGTTTTTTCTGCCTATGATGATGGAGGGCCTGCCTCCTGATTTTTGCAAAGATTCCACTGGCAAAATGGTACCACCTCCAAATCTTATGATGCCGATGCTGCCGTTCATGGATGAGAAAACGGCTCTTCAGAATCTAAACAAGCTATCAGCACCGCAAAAAACAATGCGACCGAAAAAACCATCTGAATTAGACAGTATAAAATCAATCCCTACATCAGTTCAAATACGTGAAACTTGTCAGTTAAGGGCGTGGCGTCGTAAATTACAAAAAGGACGTGTACAACAGAAGCTAGATGCTGAAATCATCACGCCACCTATCAGACAAGGAACCACATTGGGTACAGACACTAAACCTCCTGAAATACAGCAACAAGGAGATGATGATACCCCTCATTTGAAGACAAAGGATTCTTCTCCACGAACAACCCTAAGCATTGAAATGCGCTGGCACCATAATCGCTACGGTCCTACGCGAAGCGTTTTGGAAATGGACTTAAAACAATTACGCCTATTCGACCCTAATGACCCTGAGGTGTCGGAAGTACTCGGGGCACTTAAACGTTTAGAAAAGGTTGAAAATCGCTGTTTCCCCTATATGTCTCTGGAAAACTTCAGTATTCCCCCAAGCAATACTGGAAAACTCTCCTTATGGCATGAGGATGACGATGAGGTCTCAACCACCCAGGATACTGGAGTTACGCAGGTGACACAGGAACAACCACCAGAAACAGCTGCTGAAGAACCACCAGATGACGATATATCCCTTGAAGACGAGTTGGAGATGCCTATGGAACCTGATGAAAATTCTCCATCTCCTGTACCCGTCGACATAGTCATGGAAGATGTTGAAGATGATTTTGAAGATGCACTAGTCGAGGATCTTGTGGCAACCACAGAGGCCGAGACACCAGAAGCTCCTCCTGACTTGATGGATGAATTGGAGGACGAATTACTTGGCGCCCTCTCTAGCGAATCGAATAGTAGTGGCGTTGGTGGTGACGCTATTGATTTAGACGACGAATTCGACTTCGATATGATCGAAGCTGATGTGGCTCCACCCCCTGCGCCACCATCCTTTCCAGCAATGCAGCCTGGGTTACGTGATACTGCTGTGACAGCCGAACCTTCACGCATCGATGACGGTGACTTCTTTGGTGAAGTCCCTGGTACCCTTAGCCACCACCGCGCTAATATATCCAGACTACTCAACGCAGGAGATGCGTTTCACGAATGGCGTGCTTTTCGTAGTCGTATCGGTAGCAATATTGGTCTCACTGACCTGGTTGAATTCGAGCATTTGTGGAAACTATTCCAAGACAAACGGGTAGAAGACCTTTACCAAGCTCTGGGACGTAGTCCAGGTGTACCTCTTCCTCTACCTATTTCGGAGGAACCAGGTGAGCTACTTTATCGCGTTGGTCAGGCAAATCTGAACCTGTTACTCGACTTCAAGCGTCCCGAAGTGCAGACGATGGTGCGCTCAGCAAACTACAACTTAAATTCTACCAACGTTATCTATGCGCCAGTACCCACTGAAGAAGATATAGTACCGACCGACGAGGATCTGCTACCCGCTGAGGGTGATGAAGAGACGTCATTCAAAGACGACTTTGCCGCTGCTACTCAAGAATTTTTGGAAGGTGATGTCGACGAAGAGTCGCTGATGTTTGGCAGGGATACTGATGTTCGTCGCAACTGGCGCCGTCGTTTACAAGCTCTGACAAAGGAGACCCGTCTTGCCTTAGTTAACATGGGTAAAAGTCTACGTGATATCGAAAATGTATCATCCAACGTTGAGCAGACACGTGCGTACGATTCGGTGGTTGAGTTTTGTGAGGTTGCTGAGATGTTCCGTAAGCGGGATTATATCAGTGTCCTGAATCAATCATTCGATGACTATTATGAGAAGTGCGCTCCACACGAAACAGATATGGAAGGCACGGGCTCCAACCGTCGTGAGCTTTTGAATACGCGCATTGCAAAGAACTTAACCGGTATTCTACCACTGGTTGGCAAGGCAGCTAAGTACCATAACGTGCGTTTCCATAAACCCGACTTTCGTGCAGGTTTATTCACGGAGCACTTGCGTGTTTTACGTGGTAATTACAGTACGGAGTGGTGTGCGTGGCCCGCTCGTCCTTTGTTACGTAGCGCCTTAATGGCCAGTTTCACTGAAGAGTCCGGTGGCGCGGAAGACGTCAGGAATCACCCTTCCAACTATTTCTTACATTCCAGCGATCTTACTCTCAATGACGATTGTAAGATCGCAATTTTGGAATACGTTGAGCAGCATCCGCTACTCTTGCCAAACTGCGGCATGGCGTCACGAATCGACAATTATGTGAATTACAAAGAAGAAGATGATCCCAAAGACTTGGCGTTCTTGGGACCATTGGGTACTTTATGCCAAGCTAGTGACGGTATTGAGCTTTTTGGTGTGAAGCATAATCTCGTCCCTGGTGACGGTCAGACCATTCTTGAGTCTACCCTTTACAAAGCCCCTATCTATGTACACCCACGACCAGGTTCCGATTGGCAGAATAAACTTAACATCAGCACAACGGATTTCTTGCTGGTACGTTCTCGTGCTAACGACGAGGTGGTGGTACGCCTTCGACCATTGACATGGCAAAGCGGTGTTGCTGTATATACCGTGGGCCAATGCGAACCTAAGGTTGAAGTGCCATCACCTACCTCTAAGAGCTATGTGGAGCATACGAACGAACTGCTAAAGGCCTGGGTGATGAAGTCTGTAATGATAGGGTCAATATTGGACATTAAACATTTGCGAAAAGAAGCTCGCAAAAAGTTCTGCCCTGTTTTGAGTGAGAAAGATATCTCACAGATGCTCAAACAGATTGAGAGTACACCTATTTTCAGTTTACGTTCACAGGCACTTGAACGTATGATCCATTCTACTATAAAACCCGAGTTGGTTTGCGCACTAGAAAGTGTGCGAGCAGGCAAGGTTCGCCTTGCTACTATGGGTATTTTACATTTGAAAAGTCCAGACAATATCGGCGCTGTATACTCCAAGATGCAGGAGGAGGAGCGCCAGTATCAGCAACGTCAGCAATCTATGGACAAACGTCTTCGCGAGCTAAAAAGTAGCTACGCCAAGCGTCTAGAAGCTCATGGTATTAGTGGCGAGAAGCTTGAGCATGAGCTTAAACAATTTGATTTTGGACTACATGTGTCCATCTATGGCCATCTTGAGGAAAAGACTTTGGCCCCTAAAATTAGGTTCATTAAGGACGTGCTTGACTTAACCCCTTGGAACATTTCCAGGGATGTTAGGCATGTACTTAACAACCGTGGTACTTCGCAATTTGCCTTGTACGGTCATGCAGACCCTAGTGGCGGTCGTGGTGAGGCTATAAACTTGTTGAAACGTCAGGTTCGTGATGCTGCGGTTGACAACAGCAACTCTGGCGAAGATCTGCGTAAACTATCGATGCAGGAGTTGGCTAAGAGGTTACGCTGTTATGGTGTATCGGAGGACGTTATCAAAACACTGCCTCGTTGGGACCAAGTGGCACTTGTCCGTCAATATCGTGACGGCTTTGGTTGCCAAGTTTCAGCTGATGGTGATCATCGCTGGCGTATCCCCCCGGAGGAATACCAGCAGAAACTTAACGAAATCCTAGATCGCCAGAGGGCGGCTCTTTCTCCGGATAGTCCTATAGCATCAGATTCCGAGGGTGGTCGTGATGTTGGCGATTCTGGTGCGGACGGTATCGCAGACGCACTATTAGAGGGTTTCGATGAGGTATCTGACAAGGAAGATGATATGGAACGTCGTGAATTAGAGATATTACGACAACTACGTGAGACACAGAATGCTGGCCCTATAAGTGAAGAAGAGCGCATGGCCGAAGTGAATAAGCTCAAGGCTGTTCCTGGTATAATGTGGTTACGGCAGAGCCGCCGAACCGCTAATGAGCCATTTGGTAACGACCGTGCTGTGTTTATCTACGGTGAAGAGAACGTCCGTAAGCTTTTACGGTGGCGTTCTCAGCGTACATCGGCCCGTAGGGGTCCTGTGCAGGCCGATTCGTCCGGTGTTACTCACGTGGGCGGCAGGCGAGTATGTCGCGCCTGCGGGCAGCCTGGTCATATCGCTTCTAACCCCAAGTGTTTACTTTACAAGGGCGACAAGTCGCGTGGTGAACATATGCCTTCAGGTCGCGGTTCTGCCGTTGCTATGGCAGCTCGCAACAAAGGGATTCGTTATGATTCTTCGAGTGATTGTGAGATAACAGCAAGTACTGTTGCATTAGAATGTGATACGGCTGAATCGGTGTTGCGCAGTTTTGACTCTCGTTACAAGCGACGATTGGTTTATCAGGTATCTTTCGAGGAGTCTGACGATGGTGTTGACTCATTTGACGAAGGCAGTTTAGTGAATTCGCGGCGTAAACACCATCGTGGTACTGTGGATCCCTCTAGCATGCCAGGCCAGAATTTGAGTAGTCATATGGAGCAACTGATGAAACTGGTATCCAAGGCGGTTCGTATTGTTGAGAAGGAACCTCGTTTCAAGCCATTTACCTGTAGGGTCCCCGAAAGTGTTGCTCCTAACTACTACCAGATTATCAAGAATCCCATGTGGCTGTCATTATTGAAATCTAAGTGCAAGACACGATGTTACAACGATTTGATACAAGTGTTAGACGACTTGGCACTGATTGAGTTGAATTGCAAGCAATTCAATTCTGAGACATCTCCAAATGCCTGGTTGCGTAAGATGAGCGAGGCCCTTGTGGATGAACTCTTAATGCGTATCCAGCAGCTCACTAGTCATTTAGTGTCTCCTTCTGTAATCGAAGGGTGGGCGCGTGAGCATCGGGCAAACCGCATTGTTGCCGAGCCGCCACTCGCTCCTTCTCCAACCGGAACTATAACCGCTCCTCCTCAAGTGGAGATAATATAATAAGCAATGTTTTTAGCGTGTGTTAGGGTTCCACTAGTATTGGCGGCGCTTTTAGCGCAGTTCACGCCTTGCGGGTGTGAACCTTCGACCGAGAAGGCCGTAGAAACTCCTGTTCATACTACACCTCCTCATGAAGACGATCATGATGAAGACCCGCTTAAGCTTGATACTAAAATGGAGTACGAGCCTTCAGATGCCGTTGGTTACTGCTTAACGCGCCTTTATATTTTTTCAGTACAACGGCCCACCGGATTCACTAGATCGCATGGATTCGGAATTATTCGAAGGTGAAGATTCGTTTTACGAAGAATGGGCGGAGAAGATGGAGGGATTCCATCCATCGTCTATGCTGTCCTTCGACATAGCTCCCAAGAACAGCGAGTTTTTCTATGAAAACGTACGCAATACCGGGACCCTGTTACGTGGAATGTTCTACACCCTTTCTAAGGATATAGAACTAAAGGTTCATCTCACTATCAAATCACCATCAGGTGGGTGTTATCCGTGTATGTTGTCGACCACTGTGTAGGTGAAATAGTATTCGACAAGGAATCTGCCGACGGTATATTCTCTTTTGAAGCTAAAGTCACAGGAGTGTACACATTTGAATTTGCAAATCCCCTATGGATGACAACGGCGGGTGTCACTGTTGCTGTGGGCAACGACGAACACTCGGTGCTGAAATCAGAGCACATACGTAACACAACATCACGCCTAGATACGCTCAAGAGCCATGTGGACTCAATATATGCACAGTTCAGGTACCTGTGGCTGCACAACCATCGTCAGATGCGTGCCGCACGAGATGCCCAAACAAAACTACTATTGTATTCAGTGATGCAACTGATTATAGTGGGAGTTTGTTCGTTGATATGCGTGACCTACGTGAAAAAGATCGTATCTCACAAACGCATACTGTGACACTTAAAATTTAATTGTGTCAAATGTTAAATAGATTGACCAAGTATTCTTCGCTCCACTCGAAACAAACTAGCCTCCATACGGTTATAGCAGTCGCGATAGTGCTTACAATTGAGTAGATCGCGTAATTTTCGTATTCTCTTATCTGACAATCTTGTATCTCTTGTTACGGGCGCACCACCAAGTACTATAGAGCCACAATGGCTGCAACGTTTTGGCAACTGGGTACGGGTGATGGCGCTATTCGTTTCGTGCACCGAAAGCTGTTCAGATACACGACACAGGCCATCAAAACGCATAACCTCATATCCCGGCATGACGTACAACGCTTTACAGCCGGTGAAAATATCGCCATTGTAGTATTGCCGGCTGATGTTCTGCTCGATCCTCATCACCTTGATGATATATAGGCGGGATACTATATCGCACGGATGAAACAAAATCAAACCACCTTTACGTATCAATACGTTCGGCGGTGACACATTTCCACAAGGGCCATCCGGAGAGTCATCTACACCAATGTTCACTATCTTGTACACAAAACCGTGTAATACAGCTTTAGTGTCGCGCCTATTGAGGAACTGTTTAGACCACCAAGAATCCCAATCGACACAAATCTTCATAGCTTTCACTATGTGTAACCTAGTACCTATCGCAACGACGAACCAACCACTGTCTCTCCACATCGTACCGCTAAACGTCGATAAATCGTCACCATCTTCCGTTTTTTCATTAGATCTTGATCTCTTTAACGGAATAGCCGGCTCTATACACGCTGGAATAGAGTATACACTCTCGTAGGACGGCTGGAATATTTCCAATGTGGTTGCCGACATTTGTTTAACTACACGGTTAATGAGCTTTCTTATAGATTTAACCATAAACTTGCAATCAACCTTGATAAAGAATTGTTCGGCAACCTGCTGTACATACAGTTCCGCATTATCCGTCACCGATGTACCCTCTGACAATAGTTCGTGAAAGCTATAACCAAACGTGTGGTAAATATTGTCCACAAGTGCCGTAAAATCTGCCATGCTACTCACATTGTACATTTTGCTGAATGTTATATGAGCACGAAGACAGACAATCAGCGACACCAGGATCTCCACTTGCTCCCCAAATTTTGAAAAAGATTCAATAACACGATTAATCTCGTAATAATACACGATCCATGTGGCATAGGGTACATTAGGCTCCATTTCAATTAGACTGAACAGTTTCGTTCCTATTTCTCCTAATGGTAATTGGGAATCGGCAGTCAACTTGTTAATCGTGTTATATCGCCCTCTACAGGAAGCAGCACTAACCAAATCCATAAGATGCGTTCCACCGCCGAGAACTTTGAACGATTGCTCTAGGGCCGATAAGATGGTGGTTGCTCTGGGCGACACGCCGGCAGAATCCAGGTAATGCAAATTTAGAAAATTGAAAATCGGCGATCTGAGGTGTGGCTCAAGACTTAACTCAATGTCAGAGGCTTTGGATGTGTCAATCGTGTCACAGAAAATTAGCATCCAGAATACTGTGGGAAACCCTCCTGCTTTCATCGCAGGGATACCCCTAAACTTCAACCAATGCTTAACAATCCTCATCAGATATCGAAGCATAGGACAATTATCCATATATTTCTTGAAATATTGACAATGCCTTATAGCGTTGGATGTGTTCGCCGATATGTCACACAATACTCCTCTCTGCGTCCTCATGATAATAATTGGTACCCTAGCTGAATCCACCAGTTTAAAAACTGAATTACCTATTACACAGTTCGTTACCACGCCAGTTCTATGTTGGTCCGACTGTGTTTGAAGGAACGCGCCATAAATATACCTCAGAATATTCCGAGAATTCGAAGAGTGTCTCAAAGAAATTATTTCCAAATCCATGTCACTGTAAACCGGCAACCCAAGCATGTGCGAGTAGTCTATATCAATATTATACGCCGTAGATCCTGCAAGGTAGACTCGGGTATCATCTCCTAGGCAGTATTTTAGAAACCTTTTGAGAACATGGAAGAGATAAAACTTGTTAGCCTTGCACGCTTTGGTAGGAGTGATGAGATCTACGAGCTTCACTAGTTTTTCTTCCGTTACTAACAAGGCACAAGAGACAGTATCGATGAGGCTACTAAGTTCAACATTTGCCCATTGGGTCAATAACTCTTCCATATCACTTTCTGTGTGGTATTGCGAGTAGGTGTTGTTTCCTCCCTCCGCTTCGTCGTATCCTGAAAACATTGGTGAATCTTCGTGATAATGCGTTTCAGTACTATCACTGTTCCTCAAAATTCCAAATGAATGAGCACATTGTTTTTGTTCTTCTTCATTTGAGGCATGTCTTACAGGTTGAGGATCTTTGTCCCCAGTGAAGTTATTAGATATTGGCTCTCTCGGCATAGAGTCGACACTATCTATTAAGCAATAAGGTCCTGCGCATGTTGAGTCAGATGCATAGTAGTTATTCGATGGGTTGCGAAAAACTTGGTTGCCTCCGCTCGTGGAGATACTGCATTCGCAAACTGCTACGTTAGAGAATTCATCATATGATATGTAACACTGTTCGTTTCCAGTGCAACAGTTATCTAATTGTTGGTTGGCATCATTTATACCTTCCCCCGGTTGACTATTTCTGTCGTTTGTATACAATTGATTTCCAGACATTGCATTTTCCTCTCCGGAGTAACTATTGCCTCCGGAGCTCGTGAAGCTTTCCATTCTGGATAACATAGGCGAATGCCATGCGGTTTGTTCCGCCGTTGTTTTAGTGAGTCTAAGATCCCCTTGTGTTCCAGTGGGTTCCATTTGGCCCCTACCTCTCCATTGGAACGTATTCCCCCATTCACGTATAGTTTTGGTTATGTTATCCCATCGTTTGAAGGTGTAATTTCCACCGTTGTTGCTTTCAGATGTATGAGAAATTATGTTTCCCATTTGTTGTCTCGCCTGTTGATGGGTACTTGAGCCAGCACTCATGTTCAAGTCAGGTAGTTCTATCCTGTCCTTCATGTCCCTTAGAGTAAACGTCGCTTTGGAATGTATAGTGAACGAGTGTGCTAGCTTTAAAATATCTACAACATAGCAATTAATTGTCCATTTCTTTTTGGTATAAGATTCAACCGCAGGAATCCGTTCTTATTAATATTTCGCAGTATTTTCGCTGCCTGTCTGAAGATGCTCTTCTCATTGCCATCGCCGAATAGCCTTCCAATGTTGCACATAGACAGAGTGCAATCTTCTATTGTTGCATCCGTTTTTACACAGTTGCTTAGGATAACGACGATTGGAAGAGCTCCGCAACTTGGACCGAGTATCGATATCCTAACATCCAAACTTCATGGTCGAAGTCCTAGCCGACCAGTTTTGCCTTAACACATCGCACATATTCTCATAAATAATAGCTCCATATGTAAACGTGTAAATTGTTATGTCGTCTCGCAGAATGTTGTAACTGCTTTCCCCCCGATTGTTAACATCCGTTACAACAGCATTTGTCGGGGCAGCAGTTTCTCGCGCCTGAGTTAATTATTCACAACAGTTTGTTATAGACGAGTACTGCCATCACATATGTGTACATTGGTGTATGCGCCTGAGTTATTATCATTTAGCAGCGCTACTCACATAGTCTCATGAAATTATCGTTATGTGTTACGTTATTATTGCGACACCGCTTATTAATGAACGGCGCATAGTCTCAGATGCGCGTGGATCAGCAATCCGAGCGTCCTGCAATTGGTACGGCGCAACGCGGTATCGCGGATGACGCCTATGCGCATGGAGACCATACATCGCTATGGCGTATAATGACCACAAAAATTATACCAATATTGTAAAATAGGTCAATTCATACATGCTATCGATATGTTGTCACACACTGCAGAGAAGTACTGAATCTTCTCCTTGGTGCCGTATATTTTGCCGCCTGTCACATCCGCACGACGACACTTTGCTAAGGTATACGGGTGACTCTTTGATTACAACAATTTCGCGGCGTGGAAATTGATGTAATTCAGAAATTGTTTTTAGTCGGTCTCGTGGCATGTAAACTATCAAACCAACTATCTCCCACCCATTGTCGCAAAGCGATTGATGACGAACGTTGGGAGATTAACGACAGTTCTACAATCTATTACCTTTTTATACACATACGATGAGTACGTCGCATTGCGTTGCAATGGACATCACAACGACGTGTCGTCTTTATTATGAGACGCGAACATCCGACATTAATGTTACACTTTTCTGGGAAATGTGCACTCGTTTTGGTGTAATTCTCGAGTAACGTCGATGCGAGTAGCATCTATGATGCTTCTGTAATCTAAGTCTCTGTTTGAACGACGCGTGAGGCAGCGTGTCTACCTACGCTCTATACACATGTGATAAATGATATCCAGATACGACCTTCTAAACGCACAGATCTTGCGTCTTGAGGCGTCGACGCCGTCCTTGGTGAAGTACACGAGGCGCACCGACAATCGCCCTGTAGTTTTTAGATCCGAGGCACGAACCAATGCCATAGGAGACACGTCGTCGTCTTTACTTCTCGTACAGTAAACATAGCTGCACGTCTATCTATCATTGAGCTTCGATCGATATTTTCTTGCTTGATCATATTCATCACTCTAAGTCTCACTTATAAAATCTAAACTTTCGACAATGAGAGAAGTTATTGCTGTACACATCGGTCAAGCCGGTGTCCAAGTTGGTAACGCTGTTTGGTAAGTTAATCGGCACAGAGAGTTTACTATACATGTTAATACCTCATATTGCCCCAAAGCAACTTAGTTTGGGGGATAATTATTAGGTGGTTCGGATTTTCATACTTTTCCCAACAATTTGACTTTCCTGTTATCATTTATTCGTAGGGAACTGTTCTGTATCGAACATGGTATTAGTCCAGATGGAACAGTAGAGAATTCGGATGGACGTGATGGAGGTGACGAAGACAAGGCCTTTCACGCCTTCTTTGCCGAAACCGCTTCTGGCAAACATGTAAGTTTACCTTTCTTATTCATAAACCATCTTTCATTGTAAAAAATCATAACTCAAGTTCTTGTTTACGTGTTCTCATCCATTGCTGAATTCCCCTCTTGATGATACCCATGGCAATATACACTAAGAACATGTTAATACCGTGACATAGTGATTTATATAATCCAAAAAATTGGTCGTAATGTGACGATGGTTGTAATTTTTACATCATCGTAATATTTTCCTCTTGATGTTGTACATCTGAGATTTTAATCATGTAACATTGCTCATTAAATTTCAGGTACCCAGATGTTTGTTTGTTGACCTTGAGCCTTCTGTCGTCGACGAAGTACGCAGAGGTGCCTACAGCGGATTGTTCCACCCTGAGCAGTTGATGTCTGGTAAGGAAGATGCGGCGAATAACTTCGCACGTGGACGTTACACGACCGGTGGTGAAATCATCAACCCTGCTATGGACCGTATTCGCAAACTTAGTGACGCATGTGACAGCATCCAAGGATTTTTGTTCTTCTCTGCTGTTGGTGGTGGTACAGGTTCCGGTACTGGTAGTTTGATTCTTGAAAACATCGGTGCTGAGTATGAGCGCAAGACCAAATTGAACTTCTGCATATGGCCATCACCCCAAGTATCAACCGCTGTTGTCGAGCCTTACAACTCTGTGCTCTCCACCCACTCACTCTTGGAGAACACTGATGTTGCTGTTGTACTTGACAATGAGGCTATTTACTCCATATGTAAGAAGAACCTTGACATTGGCAGACCAATATACAAGAACCTTAACCGCATCATTGCCCAAGTTATTTCATCTCTTACCACTTCGCTACGTTTTGATGGTGCCCTGAATGTCGACATGAACGAATTCCAGACCAACTTGGTACCATACCCACGTATCCACTTCATGCTTTCATCCTATGCACCTATCATCAGTGCCCGTAAGGCTAAGCATGAGTTCATGTCTGTGGGTGAGATTACTAACTCTGCTTTCGACCCTAGCTCTATGATGGCTGAATGTGACCCACGTCTCGGTCACTACATGGCCTGCTGCCTTATGTACCGTGGTGATGTTGTTCCTAAGGATGTTAACTCAGCTATTGCGCATGTAAAGAGCAAGAAATCAGTTCGCTTCGTTGACTGGTCACCTACCGGCTTCAAGTTCGGAATAAACTACCAGCCTCCATGTGTTGTTCCTGGCGATGACCTCGCTAAGATAGCTCGTGCTGTATGTATGATTTCGAACTCAACATCTATTTCTGACGTTTTTAGCCGTATGGATGCCAAATTCGATGTGATGTACGCTAAGAAGGCTTTTGTGCACTGGTACATGGGTGAAGGTATGGAAGAGAGCGAGTTTGAGGAAGCCCGTGAGGACGTTGCAGCGCTCGAGAAGGACTACGAAGAAGCCGTAAACAACTAAATTTACCATATAATCTCTCTGCCTAGAGCCTAGTTCATGCATGATACTATTTATGATTTAAGTTAGATTTAACATGTATTAGATCAAGGTTTTGATTCACCACTGTGAGGGATTTGACAATATGAAAAAATTCCATCAGACTGTCTACATGATATGTTAGCGCGATATAATTAAGTACGACACTTATGGTCGGCAAGTTAGTCATAGTGTATCCTTTTTAGGTATTTAGTGTTAATAGCTTCTATTGATAGAAATCCTGCGATTGCCATTCCAGTTGGCCATATGATCCACCAGAACATCTGTGATGTTTTGGCCCATATCCTGAAAGCTATTAGTATCATGAAGTGTTCGCTTCTATCAAAAAAAACAGACATTATATATGTACTGTTGGCGGTTGTATTTATCATTAGAATAGCACTCAGTTATATATAAACATATATTTATTGGTTTCACCTACCTTGCATATGCTTGGTGAACGAGTGGATAGCAGAATTTCAGTTGGAATGGCGAGATAGCCTGGTGAAAATATCCACCTGGTACAGTTCGCCTATTTTTCCATAACATTTCATGTTCAGGTGGAAAAGGGTATGATCCTAGTGGTTTTTGATTATGCTTCGACGTAATCCTTTTAGGAACCTTGGCAGTGAGCTCGGTGGATGCGCGTGTGAAATGCGCAAACCACCTCCTTTGGCCGGCGGCCAACGCTGTCGAGGCGTTCATTGCGGTTACAACACTTTCAGTGTTTGCAATCGCCACCTTTACTATGAAATATTGCGAAAAGTTATGCTAATAACTGAGCTAATAGATTCGTCCTGCGACACACCTTGCGCCGTACCCCAGTAGAGCGCGTAGTCATTTTTAGAGTTAATATTCTATTTTGAACATCTATAACACGTTATATACTAGGTTGGAGTTCTATCTATGGCGCCCAGGTTGTTCTGCTACTGACTTTGCTACGGTCATAGGCGCGTGTAGCCAACAATATTCGCGCGGCCAAAGGCTGCTATAACTTCACCTTTCGAACACTTGCTAGCGTACTGTAAACTTCACATATAAAGCAGCTGAACACTTAGTATCAGTTGATGTAGTTTCGACCATGTAGATCGCTATAAGTTGTAGCGTCCCTTGTCGAAATGACGGTTTGCAAAGTACAGGGCGTTAAGGGCCGCGTATGTGCTCATAGCAGTAGCTACCCAAATCCAGCCAGTAGCAAAGAACTTTGCTTTTAATCTGCATGGCGTTATAGAGTTTGCTTTGTAATATGGTAGTATTCCACGGTCTCCGCGACACCGATATCACTTACATGGCGAGTTTTTGAGATAATGTCGGGTCGTAATAGACGTATCTAATCATACGTTTTCTACGTTCATTAGCAGATTCTTCCGGTATTCGTTTGAAGTCACTTTGGTCGGCGTCTTCATATTCTTGCGTGATCTTCTGTATAATTTTAATATTGCTTCGTTTATACCTCCTGGACAGGCGCAACGACAGCAGTTGTTGGCTGTTAAAAGCTTTGTGTAAAAACATTATTCACATACTGTTCTATCATCTGCATCCGTAGATGAGATGGTGCTAGTGCTTGGGGTCATTTCTAACCTTTCAGATTCCGTCAATTGACGTACAGCGTCGGCGAACGCACTCGAACCATCATTGTGTCCTTGCAACACTGGTGAGTACGTTCCTATATCGACAGCGTAGTTGTTTTGATATTTCATTCTGGGATCCATTCCAACTAAGTCCACAGGACCAGGTTGGCGTTGAGTGTTGATCCCTTCGTAGCATACCATATGGGACGGTAGTATATCTTGCACCACTTCTTGTACATATGGGAGATTTGTAGCATTCGTCACAATTGCCGGGTGCGGTAGAGTGATATTCTGGTGATCGATAATTAGATTTCTGCCATCGTCAGCCATTGATCCTGAGCTTTGCATGATGTTTGGATCTGCGACACATTGCATTGGGTCTGCCATATATCTTGTTGAAGAGGATTGTTGTGGATCTAAGACTTGGTATTGTTGTTCATTTCCCATTTCATCTATGATCGTTTCATTTCTCATTTCTTGCATTTCCTCATAACTGGGAGTCGGTTGTTGCGTTGTAACAACCGAATCTATTTCCGATGTATCTGTGAAGTTTGTCGTGTGATCAGCGCTTGGAGATCTTGGGACATTTGGCGTTTGTACTACCATGTTTGTGTTATATCCCATTCCTGCTTGAGGATGCATAGGAACGGTCATTGTCATATTCGATGGGTGGTTTGTTGGCGTTTGTGGCACGTAGAGGTGTGACATATTTGCTGGAGGTACAACAGAAGTTTCCATGACTACCATTTGTGTGTTCCCATTTGGTCTTTGGGGCATGACATATGACATTTGTACACCCATTTGTGTTGGTGCACCGGCATTAACATTATCTTGTATGAGCATCATTGGTCTCGTTACATCCACATTGGGTGTTCTTGATATAATTCGTCCAGATTGATCTATTTGGGACTGTGTACAATCAAGAGTTTGAACATGTGCCATTGGTGTGTTAGTTGTTGTTTGCATAGGAGTATTCCATGTTTGTTGTTGTATTGCCATCATTGTAGCTGGATTCATCATCGTTTGTTGTATGTGTGTTGCCATAATTTGTTGTGGTTGTTGTCTCATAGCTTGTTGTTGAGCGATTAAGAATCCGTTTTGATCTTGTTCTTGTGAGAGTTGCCTGGTCAAATTTTCGTTATTTTGTTCATCATCAGATGCCTTTTTCGATTGTTTTGAATTTCCTTTTTTTGTAGTATTATTCCATACTCTTCTTTTCTTGGGTGCTGGTATATCTAATGGTGATGGCGCCTGTGTTTGCATCTGCATGGTTTGGTATGGCGCAGTTACATTTTGTGCCATTACATTATAGTATGGATCTTGTGTCATTCCGTTTGCGTAATATCCCATATTTCTTGCTGCATAATTGAGTGTCATTTGTCTAACGAATTCAATTTCTTTATCTTTCATGGCTTTTGCTTTAACTCTTGCTGATCTTCTTGGTCCCGGTTTTGAGTTTTTTGACTTTGTTGTTTCTGACTCCGCTGCAGCCATGATTTGTCGTGGCGTCATGTTGCATACGATTGGTAGTAATGGGAATCGTATCTGTGATCTGATTCTTGGTATCGGTTGTGGTACTCCTCCTACTACGACAGGTGTTTGATGCACAGTAGTTTGCACTGGAACCATTCTTCTGATATTCGTTGGTACGTTGAATCCAACATAATTTGGTACAACAGCAGGTCTCCATACTCCGGTTTCGCATTGTATTACTTGGTCAGGTTGCTGCACTTGGTTGATTGTCGGCTGTGGATAGTGATATACGTATCCGCCCTGTTGCGGGACTGCGCATGGCGCTGCGTAATTCATCGTATATCTCATTTGAAAACTGCAGGTGTTACACTATTATAATTGAATTTTTTGTTTATCCTTCTTTTTCCATGACGTTACTTCATTACTAGATATTGATATTTCCAGATAGGCGGCATTTTTAATTTATATCTTCATCTTGTTAAAATCATCGTAACTTGCTGTTACGTATGATTACTGCCATACATTTTACTCAGCAGTGATCCTTTTGCTTACATCTGCGCGCGTGTTGTAAGCATAATTTTTGCACTGTTGAATTCGCATGTCCATGGATTCTGCAGACAATATGATTGGAATCCGTTAGCGTATCGCCTATGATTGTGCTGCAACAAAAAATTTGTTGTCTATATGTTTTATCAAGTGACAAGAATCTTATGTATATCCCCATGGCGAGATGTATAAGTCGTGATACCAAGCTTAAGGGCTACCTATATTGAGGGTATTTTTTTTAATGTATCAGTTATAGTTTTGCGGGTCATTTTGTCGTGCTATGGCTAGATACTGGTACCTAGCTACTACATCTCACATAAAAATTTTTTGTGTGTGCACTGTGATTTTGTTTGCACGTACTAGTATTGTTTATTTTCAATTTAGAATAAATCTTAGATTATGATAATATTGCATGACTTCTATTAAGATTTATTTTACTGCATATATTATTTCTATAAACATCTAGCTGGATTACGTGACTAGCCTTAATTTTTATTATCGTCATATCAGTTCGACACATTATAAATTTAATGTTTTAGTTTATTTATTAGGTCTCTTTTTGAATAGAAATTTTGGAACAGTATCAATGTATTAGCCTAGAATAGTAACATGCAGCGTCGCCTCTATTGGCCCGCATGGCATTATATGGGTCAGAAGGTGATTGTCAGGATCTATATATTGCATATATAGGTTTCCATTGTATTTCTTTAGCTAATCTATAATGTTTTTCATAATTTTGGTTTAATGTGTAAAGATTGGTTGCCGAGGGGTGCCCCGTCTGCACGCCACTGTTGCTTCATGAAGCACTAAATATTAGCCCAAAGTTAGTTTTGTGATCACAAAATTTCTCGATGAATCTAAAACAATTTAGTATTGCGGCGGCTTGTTTCTGTAAGTGGTGCTATTTGAGTCACAAATGACTTTTTTAGTATCGGGATCTCCTAAATCGACGGCCAACATGGAAACCGCTGAGATATCTGCTTGGATTAACGATCACTTGGCTAAAAGCAAGGTTGTTGTATTTTCACGCAGGTTTGTGCACTCATTGTGACAAATCACATTCCAACAGCACATGCCCCTACTGTGTCAAGGCAAGTGGTATACTAATGGGTGAAGCTCCATCTGATGTGGTACGTTAGCATTCTCTGAGTGTAGCACTAAGCTTCAGACTATCGTTGATCTGGATGATAATCCAAATCGTCCAGCTATTATGGAGTACTTCCGCGAAACAACTGGTATGTAGCATGCATATTCATTTTGGTTGCTATAGTTATGTTTCCCATTAGAGATTTGGGTCCATATATGTTATGGTCATTGGTTTTACGTTTCTGATTGGTGAGGGCGTTGTTGGTTAGCTGTAAAAGTTGTTTTTAACGATATATTGGGATGCCAAAATAGCCCTATACCACATATATCCTTTATTAATGGGAACGTTACATATACCTTCCTTATCGTGATTTTACCATTATTAGGAGCTGCAACTGTGCCGCGAGTGTTTATAGGCGGCAAATTCTATGGTGACTGCAGCAAGACGGTTAGTGCCAACCTGTTGCCTATAAATGATTATAGGTATCTACTTTGCAATCCGGAGAGTTACGTAAGGCGCTGCAAAACGCTGGGTGCCACTTGAAATGAATAAGTTACTACTGATAATTTGAACGTAGTGCGGTCTAAAAAAAATTGAATATTGACTAAATAGTCGACATTTAAACATCTATTTTCAGTCGAAACATTTAACTAATCACTTTGCTATAACTTTTTTCAAGAATCTAGATGTTGTGAAATATTCCACTTTTGTCGGTATCATTGCTATGTTACACATTGTTTTGAAATTTGCTTTTCCCTTATTACTATGTGTTATTAGTCTGTAAATGTGAACTATATAGTATATTATGATGCCCTAGCATCTTGTATGCATATTTTTCGGTTTGTTGAGGCTCCGTGCGCCCACTGTTGAGTCTGTTGACGCGACACATTCCATGTTCCATGGAACTTTTTTCGGTATCGATGATGCGGCATACAGAATTTTTCGGCGCCATGGCGCGTTCTTTATCTGTTAGTAAGCTCAGTACTAAAATTGGTTTCCATTCTGTTCGGCTCCGCAGATTCGCTAGACTTGCCAACCGTCAGGGATCGCTGAGCCGTTCTAAATTGTTTAACAGCGGTATAGGCGGAGCTATGATCGGTTCCACTCGTCCTGACGTATCATCATCGGGTAATGTTGATGTAGTCAGGGATATTGGTGGGAGGAGGCATTCTAGTAATATTAATGTTGTGACCACCCCTGTGCGTCATAACGGCAGTAGTGGTTGTGCGGCGTCGGTTGACGTTCCTTCTATCGGTCATGTGGACTCAGGTCAGTCTTTGAAAGAGTGTTTTGGTAGCATCGTAAAAATATACTGTGACTCCACTGACCCGAACTATGCGCAACCATGGCAAATGCGGCGTCAGTTAAAATCTATAGGTTCAGGATTTGTTGTTCATGGTCGCATGATCATTACGAATGCGCATTGTGTTTCGTGGCAGAACCGATGTCTGCTTCGGAAATATGGTTCCACTGTGAAGTACCCGGCTAGGGTGTTGACCATCGGTCACGAATGTGATCTTGCGATATTGAAGGTTGATTCTGATAGTTTTTGGGAAGGTGTCAAGGCATTGGATCTTGGTGATGTTCCTAACCTCCATGATGCGGTTACAGTCGTTGGTTATCCAACTGGTGGTGACAATTTGTGTACCACTTCTGGTATCGTATCTCGTGTGGATGTGACTACCTATACCCATTCTAATTACCGACTTCTTTGTGCTCAGATCGATGCTGCTATAAACGCTGGTAATTCTGGCGGTCCCGTGATGAAAGATGGGAAAGTGATTGGTGTAGCATTCCAGGCTTACGACGAGGCGCAGAACATTGGTTATATTATTCCAACTTTTATTATTCGTCAATTTTTGCTTCATGTTACCCGTCATGGGCGTTACACGGGTTTTGTGACTATTGGCGTTACTTATCAACCGATTGAGAACCCTGCTCTGCGGTCTTATTTGGGTCTCGACTCGATAGAATCGTCAGATCTTCCTGAAGGTAAATTACCTCTATAGTCTATTTATTTTTTATAGGTGTAACACCATCTGGTATAATGGTTTGTGATGCTGATAAGTTGACAAAATCCGGTGATTTGTTACAACATCTAGATGTGATAATGGCTGTAAATGGCTACGATGTTGCTGACGATGGTACAGTACACTTTAGGTAAGTTTCACTTTGTCTCTACATATTATATATTTGATTTTAGGGATGTCGAACGTGTTCATTTATCCTATGCTCTGACAACAATGTTTGGTGGTGACCCTTGTGAGGTTGTAATTTTAAGGGACGGTCGTGTGCGTACATTGACTGTTCGTATGCAGAAGCCCAACTACTTAGTCACTGAGCATCAATGGGAGGTGTTGCCGCGTTACTATATATTTGGTGGTTTGGTTTTTGTGCCTCTTACTGTGGATTATCTGAAGGATGAATTTGGTAAGAAGTACTACGAGCGTGCTCCTAGTAGTCTATTACAACTTCTTAACGACGTTTTTGCTTCGGAATACGGTCAAGAGGTGGTTGTTCTTAGTCAGATTTTAGCTTCGGACATAACCGTTGGTTATGAATTCAAGAACGTACGTCTCTTGAGCGTCAACGGCCAGGATGTCAAGAATCTACGTCATCTAGAGGAATTGATATGTTCCATCCCAGAGGATGAGCCGTTCATCAGATTCCACATTGAGAGGGGCTCTATGATCGTTTTGGACCGTAAGCGAGCATTGGCGATGCATGATGAGATACTGTATCAGCATGCTATCCCCAGCCATAAATCTCGGGAGCTTTAACACATCATAAGACAATACTTAATACTTAATTTAATTAACATATGGCGTCTATCTGAACTTCTTTATTGTGTATCTGCTCAAGATTATCCTAATGTCTATAACGATATGACTCGCATGAGCTTTGCATGGGTTTTGAATATGTATATAGTTACTTAGATTGCGTTAGAATAGTTTGCGTCTATGTATGCTTTATTAAAGTCGATGGTGTGTGCCTTGGAATCCTGCTGCCGATACACACCCACACGGTTGGGTAAAGCATTTCTTCTCGTATTTCTATACTCGATAATTCTTATGTGTTTTGTAGATTTTTATTAGTTCGATGTGGAAGGCTGTCTATTGATGTTGTATCACTTCGGCAGTTTAACATTTGGGTCTGACTTGTGACAAGCCGAGCACCTATATATATATATATATCGCATTAAATCTAAAGATAATAGTTTATTATACGTTATATTTACGATGTCATGATCATCCTTAATATATCTCCGTTCTTGCTATTGTTGTTTTTTCATGCTTTTGTTTATGGCTTCGTTCGACGTAGTGTGCCTATACGCCGTTTTGAGTTGTATAGCAAGGTAATCGTCGAGCCCAAGATCCCGAAGACTACAAAGCGTTACATGACGACAAGAGCAGGTAAAACGGAGACTATTGGTCATCTTGGGGAGCTTTTGCGTCGCAGTCAGGTATTACTTCGTTATACCTATCGTCGATTCACTCCTAATGAGCGTAGGTTATTAAACCGTAGATTGCGTTCTTTTATCTATGTGGGTAAAGATGGATCTCAGCCTTGTGCGAAACTGCGCATGGTAAAGAATACATTGATGGAGAAGGCAATGGCCGGTACTGCATGGGAGGTATTCGCTCCTCGTATGCATGGTCCTTCTATGTGTTTCTTTATTTTTGACGAGGGTCGACTTCCACATATCCTCTCGACTGTGGAGCGATTGCGAGCATCGGATAAAAAGATCCGTCGCCACGTCACTTTAGAGAGCGCATCATTTGCTGGCAAGGTAGTTGAGCCGGATGAGCTATTTAGTCTGGCTACTTATAATTCACGAGAAGATATGATCGCGAAGCTGATGGTTGCTTTGAACGGCGGAGCTACGAGTGTTGCCGGTGGACTTCGTTCAGTTGCTTCTAAATTAGCAATGGCTCTGAACGAAATAACTAAGAAGCATGAGTCTGTGGAACCAACGTGTGAGGTTGTGAATTCCACTTGATATAACAGTTTCCTATTAAGACTACGATGTATTTATGATTTAAAATTTAAAGAGTTTGCACAATATAGGGGCATGCTGATCCATCACTTCAATGTGTTCATGCCGCTGCAGCTGTGCTAGTAGAACGTCTGAAAAGGTACAGGTATCCATTGCCTGTCGGTGGCGTTTCGCACTTCAGGACCTTAGCGTCATTGAATGTGTACCAGTTTCCATTTTTTTTAATATGGCAAACATAATGTCCGGCATTGATTTTTTGTCCTATATGTGATATTACCCCTAATAATTCATATCTAGCTGAGTCTTTGGTATCAGCTCTAATAGCGGTATCCTCTTCTGCTAACCAGTCGACGGCCGCGGCTACATCATCAGCGAACCTTTCTGCTGCCATGTTAGCCTGTTCTAGTGTGTATCCGAGGTCCATGAGTACTGCAGCATTAACTGCCACCGATGCGCTATCCTTGTCTCCTGTTGTTGTATCTTCCGAGATGGTATCCATATTAGATAATATCCAGTTAACACAAGCATCTATATTGCTTGATCCCTCATTTTCTACAGCCATTCTGCATATTTTTTCGGAAAATCCCATTGACATGAGCGATTGCAAGAAATCTTGGCTTATATGTCGTTTTGCTTTCTTCGGTTCCCTTGTATTGCATTCTACAGTGTAGCCCATATGTTCCTTGTCACCCTGTGTTTCTAGTATGATCCCTTCTTGAGGTACAATTACTGGGTTATTAATCTTGGTACTAGTGCCATCAGGGTTATAGAAAAACCTGTCAACTTTGAGGGCTAGATACGTTGGTAGTGTGAGTAGTGCATTTGTGATTACTCCTACATGATGTTCGCCACGGTCTAGATAATCAATTTCTTGTTCACCTTCCCAATTGCGTATACAATCCATTAGATTTATTTGCTGGTGCGGATCAATTTCCCCTTGACTCTGGGCGTATGTCAGTAGCGGTAGGCACAATATATGCATTTCGTTATCATTGTATGTTATCTTGCTGAGTGTTTCGCATACAATATACTGTCGATATCTGAAGAAGAATAGATTTTTGATTTTGAAGCTTGTTTTTGCACGTCTCTTCATCTCTGGCGACAGGTCTGCTAGTAGGTTTACCATATGACTGAAGAACTCCTCAGCATCTTGTTGTTCTCCAGTAGCAAACCTTGAGTTATCTCTTCCGATTGCATATTTGAGCATGGATGGTTTAACCGCGAAGCTTTTGAATTCTAGAACAATATTTTAATGTTACATATATATATTTTACCTTCGGGTTCCACGTATTCGACGCCTATATCTTGACACGATTGTTGATATCTTTTGATTAGTTCAGTTTGTTGTTGTACCATTTTATCGGTCGATATTGCCTTTACGATTTTTGCGAACTGCAGTGGTACATCTTCACATGGTTTTGTGTTATCCGGTACTTTGTGTGCGATACTATCGTGATGTTCCACAAAGTATGATGCCAGTTCAGGTACGGAGGCTAGTAGTTGTACTGCCGAATTTAGGTAGCATGTGTTTCCTAGATTATGTAGTCCAACTAATCTGTGTTATTTGATATATTTTGACTATTTTGTACGTACCCTGGTCCATGTGTTCTTTGTGATAATCCTGTATTCATTTCCGACCAATCATGATTTTCATTTTTTTCCAATTCCAATTGTACTATAGTTTTTTCCGTTTTTATTACGGCCCTATATGTCATAATTAAAAATTTTCTATTTAGTTTACCTGACATCGATGCCAAAGTGTGCTAGATGATCTGCTAGATATGGATCAATAACCAATGAATCTTCATCTGCTGCGTAACTGTATACATCTCCTGAAGTTGCCGTGATAGTTCCTATCTTGACAGCTAATGGGTATATCCCTCCCGTTTCATGATAATGTTGTATAGCTGCGCCTTCTTCACCATCGGCACAACCTCCTGAATCATAGTTTTTCCTTCCACAACCGATATACCTGTCGATATGTATATATTTGTTACAATATTTACTTACCCATCGGATAGGTTTAGCCAAAGGTTATGGTTGGCTCCACATCTTGCGCAAGATAGATTATCGTATACAATAACTGGTGCGTGTTCCACTTGTATTAGATGTTTCGCATATTTTGATTCACTGATATATTCCTTCCATACGAATTCATCTGCATTAAAATTGAACCCTGCATGGTCTATGATAGCTTTTGCTGCATCGGCGATATTTTTTGGTGCATTTTCTAGTGGTATTCGTATGTCTATAGAGGGGCTGTATACTTCATAGCGTATAACTTCTTCGTGTAGTTTTCGTTGTTTATAGCTGCAACATATTGAGTTAAATTGCATATTACTTACACCACTTGTTCCGCAGTATCACTATTTTCATTATCTACATTTTCATCATTTGTTCCTCTATCTGTTCCTATTGAAGTTGTTTCGGAATCTGACTTGTTGTCTGGTTTGACCGGCATCAGTTCCCTTTGTACATGTAGATAAATGGCATCTTTAGCATTTCTATCAAACTTTAATGCATCTTTTCCAAATGATTCATATGTTTTCAGGTTGATATACATCCCATCTGGTGACTTTTCGGTATCGGTGCTGCATAATAATGAGATTTTTTGATGATATCATATTATATATGTTACACATTGGACGTGTATGAGTTAATGTTGTTATAATGTGTCGTTTTTGTATTAACATACCTGTAGACGCACTCGTATTTGTGTACTTCTGCATTTTTTCTAGGTGCTTTGACTCCAATAGTCGTTGCTAGTTTAGCCAGTTTGTCTATAATGTCCTTAGATGATGTCATTTTGACCTTTTTATAAATAATACAAGGATTGATCATGATGTGTGGCCAGCAGCCCTCTGATCGCGCGCCTAGAAAATATAGTTGTTCCCCATGTTAGTATGATTCATATATTATTTCCCATGGAGTGTAATGTTTAGAGCAGTGGTTGGGCGTGTTTGCGCCTTGAAACTTCTAAGTGTGCTAACATGGCTCCTATTGGATTCTATTCCCTTATCGTTTGTACCTAGGAGTGTTATTGCTACAAGGCATGGAATCTTGCCCAAGGTCAATTCTTGTAGCTTAATTAGTAACCTTCGGTCTACTCGATGTCATTTTGGTATTATAAATTCGGCAGTGCCGAAGTTGAACCCCGTATCTGTGGTTGTCCACTCATTTTGGGGGACTGATTCCACGTTTAACAGAGAGCTGAGGTTGGACTGTGACAGCGGTCAATCTGGATTAGAGATAAAAGAGAAGATATCATCAATAACGGGTGTACCGTTATGCCTGCTGCGTCTATATGTCAGTGACAGTGCTTTACCTGATGGTACACGCACTGCGTTTAATGACACTGCTCGGGTGTGTGATTTCCCATCATTGTTGCGTCTACACCATGATACAAAACAGAGGGAGCTTCATGTGCATATGGAACTCCCCGTACCACTATGTCATGATCTGAAAGCGGATCCTTCAAAATTGAAGGAGTATGCAGCTGCATTACGGCGATGTAGTTCCATGTTATCTCGAGTTAAATCTAGTCGTAGTAAACCTGGGTTACTTTTGGAACGTGATATGGCAACTGATGAGCCTTTGGAAGCTGCTATGTGTTCGTTAAATGAGTTTTCTATACCTGAAGTTTCTGAAGAAAAGGGTAAGGATCAGAAATCTAATGTCATGTTTGTGCGCCCAAACCGTCGTCTACATCTTTTATTTTTTGAAGACTTTCCTACCCCGGATGGCGGTGGTAACGGTCGTCTGCGATACTGGTTACACCGTCATTTCCCGATAGACTGGATTTCCAATGCCAAGTTTGCCTTTATGTGTTACCTCATCAAGGAGTACTGTGATAACGACCCCTGGGTAAAGGAGGCATTGAAATACGGGCCACCAATATGTCTATTAGGCCAGACCCGAGCTGGTCGCATCTTGAGTGGTACTGTATTTCACTTTTTGCCACTTCACATCGTACCCAAAGGTATGTTGTATGTTTAAAGAGTTATATCATTAACGTAGTGTTGAGTAACCTTTTGCCAGCGCATATCGCGCAACATATGGAATGAGCTGGATGGATACATGGCGTTGAGACATTGTCTACACCAGTCTATTTTACGCCTGTCTCTCCTTGTTTGGTGGTTTCGCCCATTCCACCTGTGCAATGATATTAAGAATAATATTAAACTTACATTTAGCAGTAGATTGTCGTAGCCTTGCCTGTTAAGTTTATTAATGGCATTGAGTGCATCTTGTCTTGTAGCGTATGTAATAAACGCGAACCCTTTTGAGAACTGTGTCTCTTTGTGTTTTGCCAAGTATGCCCTGTGTATCCTTCCCACCCGGCTGAATAGTTCCACTAGATCCTTTTCCCTTACATCTTCGCTTAGGTTAGTAACGCGTACAGTATTTTCATCAAAGCTTCTGCGATCTCCACCTTCTTTTCTGCTAGGTGGTACATATTTTGCCGGCATATCGCGATAGTCCACAACATCTCCACCATCGCTATCATCACGTAGACTTTTGAATTTCATCTTGAGTTCACGTGTGGCGCGTGTTAAGTTGATATCTGTTGGCGCATATACTAGGTCTAGGTTATCATCTTGGTTAACCCTGTTTCTTCTGCTAACTGGTTGTTCGATTAATATTTCTTCCTGTGATGCCATTGTGATACCGGCTTCGGTGTTTTTATCAACCTTGAAACATGACATATCATCTCTCATTTTTGCTGCTTTATGTACCCTTCTTGGTACTCTCATTTCCTTGACCCTTTTCGTGATCTGTAGAGTATTGTATAGGTCATTTTAAAATAAATATATATATGATATCTTACCTTAACTGTCTGACCATTTCTATTTTTTGTATATGACGTGACAATTTTGATCCCTTGAGCATCTGGTGCTGTTTCGAATCCTGTAAGACGATGTCCTTCAAGTCCATCGACATCATAATCCTCATCGGCCTCGATATCCGCCCACTTGGTCTCCGACATCAGATCACCTGTTGACACATTATGTTTGGAGACACCCCCTGGGTTCTATGACTTCAGGGTTACGACACGTACCTTCCACCATTTTGTGTTGATAAATATAACCAGGATTATCTTAAAAAGTTAATGTTATTATTAGACTTGGCTGCTATATTCCCCATACCAAGTCGCGCGTTAGTACATGTTAACGTTTAGTTCTAGGAATGATTCAGATTCTTTTTCCGCCTATTTACATGATTGTGTGATATTTGTTGAATACTTACAAGTGCGCTTTCAATTTCTCTGCGTCTACGTTCGGCGTACCCTGTGAAGCTATAAATAATCATGGATAGTAACTTACCCATTTTGGTGAACACAGTTCCAGCCGCTAGTAACGCTATGACTACGATGATTGCGATGCCTGCGTTGGTCAATGTGTAACAAAGTGGTCTTGTTGACCCACCATATCCCTTCAGTTTTATAAATTGCCAATTCACCTGTTACAACATTTACTTTTGGTCATGAGCGAGATATCGATATTCATTGGTTGATACACTTCTTGTTAGAATATACATCCACGTGGATAGGCAACGTCCAGAGTCACTGTAATATACCTCGCCAGGTATATTGGTGACCAATGCCCATTGGTATTATGTATATACTTACATTACCACCTAGAAGCCAATTGATTTCTGCAACATCTGCTTTTGAGAGTGTTATTATTGTTTTGATACAACTTTGGTCAGTAGCTTCTCGTATTTGTACGTCGCTTTGCTTGAGTGCTATATTTTTGCAAAATCTATAATAAACCGTTTAAGGTATCAGATGCACGATATCATGTACACTGTGTTTGTATGGAACTGTTATATAAAGTACAAGTGATATAACACGTTTACAGTATATAATGTACTTACGACTTTGATTCTTCCTCCGCGAGTATATCAGCAAATACGAAACTTGAGCGCGGTGAGCATGCTGTGGTGGAATAGAAGTTATGTAATGCCGATGATACCTCTCCATAGATCTTTGCATACTTGTTTACATATATACGCAACAGCAGGTCCGTTAATATCAGGGCGATATATATGTTGTTCCGCTGGCGCTGAGCGCCTGCCTGCACGGGTATGGGTGTTTTATGTGTGTACTTCCTACAGGCTAGAGCGACGTATAGTCCGAGTAGTGTTTGTAGACAGCGTTCTCGGTCAGGGGCATCCCTTAACACGGCTGAATTAATACTGAGAGCGGGTGCTGGGTGAGTGCATGGCTGTAGGCCAGTTTTCTGTTATAGTGATGATCATTTGTTATATATGTCCCCATACCTCGCATAGGTGACGGTTGAATATAGAATCCGTTGAATTTAGAGATATACATTCGAGGTGTACGCCACTTGTAGGTGTTGATATTGCGTTAGCGTAAAAAATTGTATAATTTAGCAGTGCAGCAACTGCAGCATGAAATATCGCCATTTATTTCTCCTGCAGCAACGTATTTCCTCGCGTCGCGTGTGCTAGAGCACCATCTATCCAGCGCTAACTGTTATCTAACCTCCTAGCAGTTTGATTATAATTTCGTATGGCATATTTCTATAATGTCATTTGAAATATAAAATTATCTATAGACAAGATTATACGTATTTTGAGTTACTCGTGACACATGGAATTTGTAGAATTAGAGCCGGAAAAGGATGCTAATGGAAATTATATCACAATGGAGAAATCAAGCAAGCGTAAATGGATGCAATCTGTAAATGGCAAGATTCGTGTCGGTCCGGAATACCAAGCTATGATTCCTCCATTTTGTCGTATTAGCGATCCTTCGAGAACGGTCCAAGTAGTTGAGCGTATTGTTGAGCCTGAGGACTACAATATTTATAGCTATGAAGCTACTAATGTGGTAGAAGATAAAATTCCAGAACCACGTGACAAGTCTGAATCAACCCCTGAATCTAGGGATAAATCTCCAAATCCTCTATTAGTTGCAGAAGATTTCCTTATTTCACATTAATACATGATACTCGGTAGCATTTTCCAGGGTCTACTCTCGGAATACTACCACCTGGCTAGAGCGTTTATCCCAAAGTAATGTCGGTCTATGCGTTTGACTGAACGGCATCTGTGTACAAATTGTTTGTGCGATAAAAAAAAAAAATAAGGAATGTTATATACTTACGTCTAATACAATGAATTCTTGCTTCGGTAAAGCTTTCTCAAAAGCCTGGTCATCAATTTCGTCATGTTCTGCATCACGGTAGTGTTGCAGTAGCACTGATGGCGAAGGTGCCACAAAGGGATCCAGTATCCTTTCCCATTTTTTTGATACTGGGTTGTAGTATGCTTTAACCAAGCGTTGTTGCTGCATATCTGATATGTACAAATCATCATCATCATCTTCAGTGCCGATATCTTTGAACCGGTTAAACATCTCATTTGCGAATAGTGTCATGCCGAATACTGTCGCTGCTGATATGGACAATGCGCACATCTATGCGTGTATATAAAAGATAGTTTGGACACGTTTTACCGTTTTAAAGGATAAATATCGGTCATCATCGTCAGCTCGCTCGCCTCTCACATATCGACTATACCTTTCCCATCGTTGTTGATCATATGCTGCAGAGCTATGAGAAGACCATGTGAGCATTGTTGCCGCGGGTTTTTGCCGACGCATTTTAATGCATATATATGACACACTGCTAATGTTATTCTATTGACCTTACCTTCTTCATCCATATATTCATAGCCTGCTCCCTGTGCTGCTCTAGGTCTCACGGTAGGTGTCACTTTCTGTTGTCTGCAATATGTTAATAATAATTTTTCACATGTAACTCATACTGTGGTGTCGAGGTTAGACTTATATCGTATGTCTTCCTCCGAGACGTGTCGGTTAAAATGTCATGTGCATCTTTGATAGCAATGAAAACTGCAGGGCTGCATTTATGTATGTTTGCATCTGGGTGATGTATCTTCACCAATTTTAGATATGCCTGTATATAAATGTGAAGATTTAGGTCAATATTGTTACTAACCTGTTTAATTTCATGAGTGTTGGCATTTCTAGGTACTTGAAGTACATCGTAATGCGTGATTCTTCCACTTTTTACAGCTTGTGGAAGTTCGTCTGTGTATATAGAGAATGTGCGTATATTTACTAAGAAGTATCGAGGTGATATTGATTTTAGCAATCGCCGATATACATAGCCGACCAGCATCGGAATATCACCTGCACATACACATCACACGGTCCCATACACCCTTTTGAAAATGTACCCGCCAACATAGCAGGATATCAAACTACACTACATATTTTTTATAGGTGTTATAATATCGATGTGAAATGGGTTCGGAATCCCGAATTACAAAACCGCGGAGCGGTAAAAAGAAGAATGTCGTACCAAGACAGAATGCAGATCCACCTGTTAATGAATATATCTCAGAAGATTGTGATAAAACAAACGATAATGGTGAGATGACGGTTCTGGGTGGAACGAAGGGAAATAAACATGATATAATAGATGTGTCAGCAACAGGGTCTAACAAGGTGACCCCCAAAGCACGAAAACGGAACAGGCATAACGTATCTAAAGCTAAAAGTGATGCTTTTGCACACATTGTGTGTATCAGCAGCTCGGTGAATGGCCAAGATGGGACCGAGACAGAGAGTATGAGACATGGTGACCTCGATGGTCGTGCTAGAGAATCGCAATATAGGGAGCACAATGATACGTCGGATCATATAGAAGAGGTTGATTTTGTTAATGATTTGTGCAATCTGGGTGAACCACAAGATAGAAGTGGTGTGATATTCTGTTCACGTATCCCTCCTTTCATGAACATAAGTAAATTACGTTCATATTTCAGTCGTTATGGTAAGGTAGGCAAGATCTATGCCGAGCCAGAGACGCTTACCGATTACAAAACCCGAGTTAAACATGGCGGTAATAAGAAACTTAAGTTCGTACATGGTTGGATCGAGTTTATGGATAAATCTATTGCTAAAAAAGTGGCATTGCATCTTAACGGACAGCCTGTTGGTGACAAGAAACGTCACAATTTTTGGCGTGACGATCTGTGGAACCTAAAGTATCTCCCACGTTATAAATTCCGTGATGTCATGGAGTACCTACATAAACATCGTAGTGAACGTAAAGAGAAGTTAAGTTATCATTTGGCACAAGCTCGTAAGGAAAATTATAACTATCTAGAACAACTGGAGGCTGAGAAACAACATAAATCAGTAGAGGATCGACGTAGGAAACAAGGTGCTGATGCATTTACTTACAGGATACATACTCGTCCGAAGAAACAGAAAGTTAAGGAAAATCAAGATACAGATAAAAATGTACCACTAAATCTATTAGGTGCGATAGTATCATGATATCTACAGAGCAGGTCATGTTAGCTCTACTACATCTAGTTTACCGACGTACGCCACTTTTCTGCGAAATATGGGAGAAATGTCATCATAAGGACATACCGGGGGACCACGGTGCCTGTCTTGGTTCCTAAGAAGTACTTCCACGATATGGGTATCATTTCCTCTGCAAGGTCATCAATATGCCAACGGCATTAAATAATATAACTATCGCTAATGCGATATTCATCACTATCTATATAGAATCACCGGGTACATTTGATAGTTAATATTGTATACGTACCTGTTTCCGATGGTATACGTATGACACCTAAATCTCTATGTTCCGTGCTAAGTGAAATTTCCTTAGGGTCACTTATAGATATAACTTCAGCGCGTACGAAATCGCCAGGGCGGAAACAATTGTAGATCTTTGTTTCTACGGTCTTAGACTCATGGATGTCGACAACCGATATAACACCCTTTAGCCCTTCGGCGACCGGTTCGTCATTGACAAATATTACGTGACATTCCGCCTGCTCGTGCGTAATAGCAGTAACCTGTGCGATAACAATGGCGCCAATCGGCGGAATTGCACATCGAGCAGGTTGCACATCTACACATGGCCTCTAAGAGACATGACCAGCCAAAAATATAACAAGTGACATACCTCCTCCTCCTCCCCCTCATCATCATCATTATCACTATTATCTTTATCTTTATTTTCAGTAACTGTTGCCGTGCCTAAGACAGCGGAACGCAGCAGCATTGTCCGCCCGTAAAAGTACTCATCGTCAGAGTGTTCCTCGCCATCGGCGAGGCGCTCGCCAGGTAATACTAATCTATCGTCCATTATTAAGTGTCTAACATTATGTGTTAAGTTTCAACTATTCTTTCCAGCTGCCCGCTGATACCACGCGGATCATCACTGGCTTGTGGTGCCAATAAATAGCGCGGTCTCGACGAACAACGACACACGCAGTTATCCCATAAACTGAGCATTTACTCGCAGACAAAGTTAAATGAGCTAACCGTAACTGACCGTCATTAGCACAAACGGCAGTAAAAGGGTTATCCATATGTTGCGGTTCCGCTGTACCAAATACGGGATGTGCCGTTACTGCGTGTGGATACAAACGGTTACCCGGTAACAGACTGTGCATACCAACCTGCTCCAAAGCACCCGTCCAATTTAAACCAACAGGGGGACCGCCATGGTCATACATATAAGGCACTATAACCGTTACGTAATCATCAATTGGCGTGTCACTGTTGTTACGACCAAACACATTCAAACGGAACGATAGCTCTTGCGGTACGGTGATACGGAAATTTTCGCTGACCTCTACACTGGCACTCGAGAACGATAACGAACCTACAGATACCGAAAGCTCAAGAGATATTTTGGATTCTACCAGCCGGTGTAAATTTGTATGAACCACCTCAGGCACACGAGAATAACGGTACAAAGGAAGTGGTCGACCACATGATTTCATCCTCCACACATTACTCTTACTATATTGACACATAACAGCACGCCGGTATTCAACCTTTGAAAATAAACGACGAGGAACACGTTCACCAAACACGCGATGTGGACGGTGATAGTTCAAGTCACTGATGCGCAATTCACCTTCACGAGATTGACCTAAAGACCAACGCAGTGACATATGGTGGTCCAAAAGATGCACAAACGACGACGGACGCATACGCTTAGCCTCAACATAAAGTAAACGCCTTGCACGTATACGCCATGGAGCGTCGCTATTAGGCAGAGACACAAAAGCACTAATCTCGCCGACACCACTTAGACACAAAAACTGCTGATCCGTCGCATTAGCAATACTTAACACGATGTCTACATCCTCCCCGTCAAAAACATGCTTGAAAAATGTCAAGTCAGACAATGTACACACACGTAACATAGAACGACCTAACTCATGCATAAGAACATGATGATCAAACTCCACACGCGGTTCCACTGATAGACCCATTTTACCTATACACAGACCCTTGGACACATCAAGATCAATCAACTTGTAAACCGTTGAACGCATAGGGCCTGCAGATGAACAGTACTCATAATCCACCCGTACATGGAACCTTGATTCCGTAGTTGATGCTCGATACAGTATTGGTATAAACAGTGTTGAACCCGGATCCAAAGTAGCAGGGGCACTATAAGACGAATGTATACTCCCCGCTGAACTTGTAAAAGAATAGTGACTTCGGGCAGAATCGATATTTGACACAGATTCACCCATACCGGAAACGCCACTCGGGACCACCATAGCCTTCTCAGCCAATACCTTGAAACTACGAACTAGCACACTCGCACGTTTAGCACTGGCAGTACGCTGTCGCATAGTAGCAAACTCACGGTCACCAAGCGTCATCACATTACGCAGAGAATCAGGCTCATCCAAAACTGGCAACACACATATCGCAAAGTTACGTAGTACCAAGTCTCGAGAATCGTTGTGTAAAATCACATGCAATAGACGCTCCTCACCCTCGATAAGCTCCAAACGTGATGGCTCATGTGAAATGTAATCCCTAGCCTTCTGACGGGTAACGCAACAGATCCAACATGTCTCACGAGAACATAACTTTACGGTATTGGGAACAGATGCATCACCGGAAACTGGTACACGTGCGCCAAAACGTGATGCGTAAAGCTCAGATGCACGGTTGGACATACATTGAGATATAATAGAAGCGGTACGGCTACGATCCTTCTTGCCACGAGATGAACTGCAACGGCTACCAGGACACAACACATGCTCAATATTGTATCGGTCCTCACGGGCTGCAGTGACCCTTGTACTCTCGTAACTTATAGCAACACGGTACACAGCATGGGAAATGTTAAATGTTAACGCCGAGCCTTTACGAACGAAGTCGGTGGTAATACTACCTAGACTCCATGGGTTCGTACTAATGCACCTAAGAGTTGGCGCCAAAGCATGACTAGGCAAGCTCAAAAATAACTGGTTGCACACCAAACCTGATAATAATCGAAATGTGATGCCCACAATATCCACACGACCAATAGTTCGACCAACAAATTGCACAGTCACAGCATGATCCTTAGCCAAAGGTGGCAACGATACCTCCGGAAATGTTACCTCAACAGGCACACCCAATGTTATCAGAGATGGATCATGTAGTACCACGTATATAGGCAACGGATTAGATAGCTTCAACTCCACATACTGACTTGTGTCTACCTCAATATCAATAGATGGTGTAACTATAGAAGTACACCTCATATCACCTTGGTAGTCCATTAAATCAATATCCAGTTGAGGAAAGTAAAAAACAAACTTATCTTTCTCTAGTTTATGCAATTTGCAACGTGAACCCTTTCTAAAAGAATGATTCAAAACTCGACAACGCGGCTTCAAATTGATATTAACCATCTCACATAATAAAGAATCGCCAGTATTAGACCCTGAAACATATTCTTGATGAACAGATTCAGTAACACCGACGGGGGCAACTGCATTGTTAGAAGTATCCGTACGAGCGGAAATTTGTTGTAAACGGTTGATACGACCCAAACGAGTGAAATTACAACTAACACGAGACCTATATCTGGAAGCGTCAAAAAGCTTGAATACATAATCGGTCCTCTGATTGATAATGCTGCGTGGTCGACTTGATTCACAAATCTCAGGTCGTGAATTCACATGGATCACATCATCACTGATATTCTGTGGCGAGATGTGCTCCATGGATGTTAGCAATGGCACTATCAAGTTAGACCCGCCATGGCCACCGATCACGTGGAGCAAAGACCCACCAGCATATGTCACATTGTACTCGATACGGGCAGAAACACTTGGGATCGTCACTCGCCTATAACCACGTGAAGGCGGGTTCAAGATATCGGAAACTCCAGAAGAAAGGATAACATGGTCACAGTTAAATATTGGGGAAATATCTCCATTATATAACAAATTACACGAATCAGTGAAACGTGTAATACAACCCTGCAAATGGATCAACTCCAAATTAGCTTCAACATCAAATTTCTTCAAAATCTGAACATCGCTCTCTTTGGAACGGTCAGACAGATCCTCAACTTCTCGCAAAGCCTTCCTACCGCAAACACGGGATACTGGCAGCAGCTCGACCCCCTCAATATCAGCTCCATCAGGGCTGTTTAGTGGCCTGTTGGAATAACGGAAAACCACACGCTCAGCCGCCATTACAAGCTCAATTAAGGCTAAATGCGCATTAGCAATCTTCATACCGTGACACTCGCATTCACGTAACCCAAGCTCAACATACGCAGCACGGATGTCCGGAAACTGTGTAAGTTTCCAATCTTGAGATATTGGCAAATGGTGTCGAAAGTTACATAGAGAAGGCTGACCTACAGTACGTGCAACACGTTCTAGCATACGCTTGATACTTATCGACAATGACACCAAATTATCTTCCATTAACACGGTCTCCGTACTATCCAATCTTAGTGGTATACCACTCACAATACTCAACTCATCATGCTCATTACATCCATTGTTCTCAATTTCTTTCACATCATTTTCAACAGCTGTGCCATCCGCAGGGGTCACTTCTAAAACAGAGACTAACTCGGAATCTGGAACGACGTCCATATTATCGGTACGGTTAACCAATGTCGCATCTGTAACATCCACTATCTTTATGCCAGTGACTGTTGGACTTATACATGAATGAGGTTCCTTGATATTAGCTAGGATACACTTCTCCGGTAAAGTGGTGGTCAAACCGAACCGCCGTAACACATCGGCCAGGTAGTCGCAGGGCTTCGCGCAGCCCTTAGATAACCGATGGCGTTCGTAAAGGTAGTTGTAAAAGTTCCATTTACGACGGTAAGGACCACCACGGGTAAACTCAATCACGTAACGCAAGACATTGAGGTACTCTTCTGACGAAAGGTAACGGTCAGCAAAAGATATAAACCTTCCAATCGTAGAATACAAGGTCATGTACCTCTCGCCATTACGTAGGTAATGTAACATCAATGGTAAACACACCTCAAGTTCACGACCCGGGATATGTGATAACTCTAACCAACGTTGGAACGCTTTTACAAACCTTCGTATCGTTTTATCGGCAGACTTATCCACATAAGCTGGAGGATCGCAGTTAGTGGTAACAGCAGTCAAATGCTGCTCACCTTCAGAAGGGACAGGGACAGAGGGTAATTGCTCAGTTTCCGGCCCTTCCATGAAAACAGGGGTATCAACAACCGTACCCGATGGTTTATCCTTGTCCAAAGGCATACCGTTTTCCTTTTTGAAAGCAGCATGTGCAGAAGATAGCGTATGCTCGTTATTATCCACACGAGGGACACGTTTCTCATCTACAGAAGTAGTACGACGCGTTGTCGATGCATAAACACCCTCCGAGGGCGAAGTTATGTCATCGCAATTTCGAGTTCGCTGTACCGCTTGAGATGTGGTTTTACGACGTGTAGGCATATTCGAGGATTTTCGGAAAATCAAAATCCTACGATGCACTGAACGCCTGTTAGATTGACCACGGTTTCGTAAAGTAGACGATGAAGGGTCAATTTTGTCCTCAAGAGATATATTGTAACCTCGAGTAGGGTCGCCTTCAAGCGGTCTAGGTGACGTGCCCTTAACAGATTGTGGATCAGATTCCGTACGGGTTGGTTTTAGGTATTCTTGTTCTCGGATATCAGATAAACGAGCCATCGCTATAGCCAAACAGAACCCAGATACACAACGGAATAGGGGATCATTAGACCACTTACATCGTATTTTCGCAAGCTTATACGTAGAAATTGCTTGAGAAACATTATTCAACATCATCAAAATGTCGCCATGGATTTTTAATGTACGACCTTCTGATATTAACTGACGCTGCTTCTTAGATAAACCACGAAGCATATCAGGATCATCAAATTTTGTCAATATTACACTCTCAGGCAATCGCTCACTTTCCAAACATGATACAAATTTACGTAGCACGCACACCATACAGTGTAACATCAATTCACGTAAGAAATATGAGATATTGGATCCTGAGTTATAGAGTAATATCAACTCCTTGGAATTCGTGTAGTTCAGAGTGTGGTTAGAAAATCCTTCCATACTAGTATCCACACGTAATTTGTTCAAACCACGGGTATATTTCAACCACGGGTATAACGGACGTAAATAATCCGCTGAAAATATACCAATGCCACACGATGAACGACATAACATATGAACTATAGATATGCCATAACGGTCGTACATACGGTTAACCTCAGTATAAAATAAATCTCTCAGTGCTTGACTGTCATTAACATCCAAATCGTGAATCACAATAGCTGCAGCCATACCACCTTGACTAAACAATCTTTGGTCCAGTAAAGTGTCAGAACCGTCTTCCATGTATTTCACTCGAAATTCAGCCTTATCACCGATCAATTGGTACTTCGGAGAGGTACCAAGGACATATGCAGTAGAAGAAAGATCCGGAAATAATATACTACGACTTACACTTTGCGCAGATATATACGAAGCTTCAATCTCCGACGCTATGGACAGGGTCTCGGATTGTCGTAAGGAAAGGATAAATCTTTCATGCTGCCTTTTGTTCGGGCTATCATTGTAGTTCGGTTGAGTAGCCCTTAGGTCACTTACCGCGATCGATTGCATCTTATCTCGCAGGTAATCTAAGCACATTGAGTAGCACTCATCAGACGTTCCAGCTGTGCGTGATACCACAACGTTTATCGCCGTGACCGCTTCGTACGCTTCATCGTACGATAAAGGACGCTCAAAGAGCGCCCCTGCGGAGGATTCCGCAGCCATTTCCACCACACCGCAATTAAGCGGGACCTGTTGCACAATTGACTCGAAATTTTGAGTCAATAAACATGCCGAGATGTGTGTACGCCCTATTGCAAGTAGCGACACACAGATGATTGACTTCACACATACAAAATATATTCGACAATTTATAGTCCCAAAAAAGTGACTGAAGACTCTTGCAGTACTCTTTTAACACCTGCATACGGCTCATCACGGAACGTGATAATGTGACAATGAAAGATCCAGAAGATTCTAGTAGCAACGACGAGGCACCTGCAGCTTACGGACGTGAATCAGATAATGAAATATCTGCATTGCTCTTAGATGGTATGTAACAGACCCATAAAACTCATAGTAGCACAGTTGTCGAAAGGTTAACAAAAATTGCCGTGATATGTGAGTCACCATGCACGGCTGATTCCTCAAGTGTCAAGAGCCTAATGAAACACATGTAGGATACATATGTATCATCTCAAAAGGTATCAGATACAAATTTGAAAAAGCACTAAAAAAGTTACAAAATATTGCAAAACAAGATAGAGACAGAAGCTACCCTGTATTCAAGGGTGCTCTAAGGTAAACTTATTCACGAAAAATTACCTTTAAAGTATTCAGCGCGGTAGATAACTACTTGAACCCATATGATTGGGCTAAAATAAATATTGTTAATAAGTATCGCGACTCAGGACGCACATTGGATGCGGCGCTTGATGCCGTGGACGTAGGTTAACAAAGTAACCACATAAATCATTATCAGCAACTACAAAAACAACTAGTTGAACGACTACAAGTTAACCAGCTTTTGGAAACGACAAAAGAAGCCGTTGATGATCAAATTGACCACATATCGCAAGAAAAAAATGAAACTTAGTCATACTCACAAATGAGCATAACGATCTGATTCCAACTCAGGTCCATCGTCTAGACGGATAAATAGCCGATCACCACGTACAGTTACATGATGACATCGTTGTTTCATACCTTTAGATTTGAAACCCAACGATTTTATGCAAAGGCTACCATCAGAATCACGCTCAATATCCACGGACTCGTAAAACGAATGACCACTGGATAATGATATTATATATTGATGTAGCGGACAACGGATACAAGGCTCGCCGTTAATCTCTTCTATATCGCCAACGTGCTGCATATATATCTTTTGTAAAAGAAACACAGAGCCTTACCTCCTCCAAAGGACCCGCCGCGTGATAGCAGTTCGCATCTAGAGCAAAAAAACGACCACTATGTGGAAATATCACAACTAAACAGCATATAACAACTATACAAACAACCTACCACTTCTACCAGAGACGTTTACACGCCTAGGACGACCGGAAAACTGAACAAACGTTACACGCACACATACACAATCATACCTCAGAAATCGAACCTAAATCAATAAAATCAAAGTATTCCACATTTTCATTGGCATAGTCCGCCATGAATTTGGAAAATAAAATATCTACGATCAACGGTCACGATAAAATAGACACGACATAAATATGACTGATTATAAGTTGACCGAAATCAACCACGAATAAATTGATGTTGTAAAGCTTCATCTGCACTTAAACGTTTAACAGGATCAATAGCTAAACAACGTTCTAAAAGGTCACCCAATTGACGCATCTTACGAATCATCAGATCCTTCTTAGGTGAGTTACCCTTGATCCACGGCTGACGTTCTAACAGCAAATCAGTGATACTACGCTTCGCACGCAGGTCTTGTAACACCTTCATACCATTCTTTCGACTGAAGGCATCGCGAGACACGTACATGAAGTCAAGGTTATCGTCAAAATGATGCGATGACAGTTGTCCAGCACGGATCACACGGTTAGGAATTTTACCTTTCACTTCCATCATAAGCTTCAACATGTGGTTGTTAGTACGACCTGGGAACAATATCTCACCAGTAGCTAACTCATAAATAGTTACAGCGGCACTCCAGACATCGATCTTGCAGTCGTACCTCAGTCCCAAAATTATCTCAGGAGCACGATAAAAACGACTGACAAGGTAAGCAGTAATCTCGTTCTCAGAAACGTCACTCGCACTACCAAGGTCACAAACAGTGATACGACTAAAATCATCGTTCACCAATATATTGTCAGGCTTAAGGTCCGCGTGCATTACACCGTTACGACACATGTGACGTAACGCAATAAACAACTGACGCGTATATGAATGAACATATGGTAGGCTAAAACCCCCACGACCCTTACCGTGTAAACGAAGAGCGCTACGCAGGTTACCCCAATGCCAAGGAAAAGCCATACATAAATGACCACGGTAGTCAAAACGGTCCAATAGACGGATTATATGACGACGATCGTCAGGGTCGCTCTCATTCAGCCTATTTAAAATGCTGATCTCCTTCTCAGCAGCTGTAACCATAATTTCATGGTTACGAATCACCTTTATAGCTACAGCCACATTTGATTCAATGTCAAAACAACGCGCTACTGATGAAAAAACACCCTTACCAGCTGATTCAGATACGACACGATAACGACCGTTAAGCATCTCACCAATCGTAGCCTGGTAATAACCCTCGGCATCGTTCCATTCGTCACTCAGACCACGTAACGCAGGTTCACGCCTAGACACTTTTCGACGCTTAGATGGAGACCTCGCCTTCTTCTCACTAAGATCATCACCCTCAGCGAACATGTCAACGTCATCCTCCGAGTAGTCCTCAGATTCTGTCACATCGACACACTCCAATACAGAAGCGACAGTAACACTATCCGACGTATCCTGCGAGTCCTCAACAACTTCACACAATGCAGATTTGTGCTCTTCCCTCATCTTCAACATCATGTTACGCAGCTTTAACTTCTCACCAAGGACCTCGCTTTGCAAAGCGTTCATTAGAGCCGACGAGTTCGCTGGGGGAGGTGGTGCAACAGCAAGAGCATCATCATCGTCAATATCGGAACCTGTGAGGTCAGATAGTTGTCCTTCGTCCAAATTTTCGGACGACATTGCAAATACAGGTAGACTACGAGATTTCTCAACGAAACCGTTCGTTACAGGTTCACGAGCTGATGAAGCGCGAATTGAATCCATAGCGGTATCCTCTTCCACCTTAGCTTCAAAAACCGGTAATTCACGTTCATCCTTAACAGCTGCCACTCTGCTACTACTATTATTCTCTACCACAGGAACTTTAAGCGTTGAAATAAACATTTCAAATGGGTTACGTGACCTTTGGGGTGTAACTCCTCTATTACTTGGCGAATCGGGTCCAACACGATCCGATGCTATAGGAGAGGTAACAGTAGTCGACTCTTCGGATACCCTAGCTACTTTGTCTAATTTATCTGAAACATTGGACTGTTCACAAAGGTCAATATGAGCACTCTGCACTACTGGAGTTGTAGCTTCCATCAAGTTGACCTGAGGTTCTATACCCATAGTTTGCTTGCGCTCCCGATCTTCGTGTGATAATTCAACAACATCGCTGTGATGTACAGTACCTGAAAAGGTCTTTTCATCCATGACAGAATGTACCACTGGTTGTAGTTCTGTAGTTGGCTCTATAGAAGATACATTATCTTGATCTTCTGTCTGCGATACCGATGACTGTCGAGAAGTTAATGAAAACTTTGCCATCAACTTCTGACGTTCACGACGACGGTGCTCTAAAAACTTCTCCACGTCATGATCGTCTTCCTCCAAGACGATACCTTCCACAATCTCACCCTCTTCAGATGCTGCAGCTTCATGAATCAATCTGAGATAATACAAAACATACCATCATCAGAGTCCTCATCGACCAAAGGTCGGGTTTTAACAGGGTTACCGTGATGGCTTGCTCTCTGAAAAAATAATTATAAAAAGGATATTGTGTGGGCATACCTTAGCCCCAACTAAAATGGTCCGATCGCCATGTCGACGTTCTGAATTATCTCTCCCTCTTGCAGATGATATTGGAGAATCGTCCATACTAGTATATTTTGATTTATTACTTGACTCTATTACAGAATGCGAACGACTACGCTCAGGGCTTTGCGGTCCCCTGTCATGTTTTGAATGTACATCGTTATATCTTTCACCCCTCATGTAGTCTCGACGATGAGCGGGACTAGACGACCTCGAACGGTGTCGCTTTCTTCGAGATGGTGTCCTTGATCCATCTGAAACACATTAATACAAATGGCTCAATAATATTGTGATAATGAAGCACATATACATAATATTCGTAAAAGATATGTCCTTACCATCGCGAACAGATCTAGAATGACCATCTCTTGTACGATGTCTACTTGATCGATTATGGGAGTTTCTTGAATCACATTCTTGCGATATATGCGATCTGTGTATGGCCATATTCAGGCAATTTTAGCCAATATACTGGCACCTAAAATGGAAGGATAAATACAAGCTACTGTTACCTAACATATCGAACCCAGACAAGGGTCGACGGTACAATAGTTATATTTTTACGATACTTTTATGTTATACAAAGCGCCAACAATACATTTGGCAAAGCGAAAATGTGCCTTAGGGACGTCCGCTATGGGGGCTTGTAATGCACATTCACATCCCAGAAGGTGTCTGACAGGTTATATTTATAGCCAGAACACAGAGTGGATTGCTAAGGGTAGCGTGATACTTGCTATTTAGTTTCTCCAACATTCGCTCAACCATCATAACATTTTCTGTACCACTTTACACGGCAAAAGAATCAGAGGTGATCCTTAAACTCAGGATAGTTTATGGACTCACCGAACCACTAGGGCAGCAACAGTGTGTCATGAACCTAGACTCTACGGTGATCGTGTGGCAATTTGAGGCTTAAATTGGATCAATAGGTCTCACGAGGCAATTACATGACCTCACATATATTCAGCGGATTACAACGTGCAAATCTGCTACGATTTCATCAAACCATTACAAGTAGTTTCAAAAGAATCTATTTATCTCCTATATCAAATTTTTATTCCCTTAGAAAAATGACAACTGGTAGAAAGGTACGTTTTATTGACCCACGCAGTGTGTATGACATGCATTACGAAATTTTGATCTAAATAACCTTGTTTAAATCTTAATATAGGTCTGCGTCATTGGATGCGGTAATTGGGGCACCGCAGCTGCTAAACTTGTAGCAGAAAACGCTATAAGGTACCCAGAATTTGATGATCAAGTACGTATTTGGGTATTGGAGGAAACCTTTGAAGGACGCAAACTTAGTGAAATCATAAACACTGACCATGAAAATAAGAAGTATTTAGCCGGAATCAAGCTTCCTCATAACTTACTAGCGGTACCAGACATGAAAGAATGCGTCCTAGAATCTGATGTTTTTGTTGTTGTAGTTCCACACCAATTTGTACTCAGCACCATCAACAAAATGAAGGAATTGGGCCCTTTGAAACAGGGATCACTCGCTATCAGCCTTGTTAAAGGTATTGAACTCACTGGAAGCACTGTTTCATGTTTCACCAACTCCATTGAAGCTGTACTTGGTATCCCATGCCTGGCACTCTCCGGTGCCAATGTGGCGTTCAACGTTGCTAAGGAGGAGTTCAGTGAGGCAACTATTGGTTACAACGACAAAACACATGCACAATTGTTCCAAAAACTATTCGACCGACCTTACTTCAAGATCAACTGTGTCCGTGGTGTAGCAGCTGTACAAGTATTCGGGGCTATCAAGAATGTTGTTGCTATATCTGCAGGATTCTGTGACGGGTTGGGTCTCGGCTCAAACACCAAAGCTGCCATCATGAGGATAGGCCTTATGGAGATTTGCAAATTCTCAAGCAAGTTCTTCGAAGATGATTACATCAACGTAGTATTCGAAAGCGCCGGTGTAGCAGACCTTATCACCACTTGCATAGGTGGAAGGAATGTACTCTGCGCAGCTGAGTTTGCTAGACATAATGGCAAAAAGTCTTGGAGCGATATTGCTAACGAGATGCTTGGCGGCCAGGTACTACAGGTAAGTTGTATTCCATTAAACAAATCTGGTTTTTGTGCTATATTATAGTTTGTTTTGAAACACGATATTGCCATTTGGTTTTTTCGAACATAGTCGTTACACTGTATTGGCAATATTTTATACATTTGCAGGGAACTTCCACAAGCAAAGAGGTATACAATGTACTTGTTGCTAACAAGCTAGAGCAAGAATTCCCATTGTTTGTTATTACCTACCAAATTGCTTACGAAGGAGTACCACCTACTGAACTCATTCGCAAGTTCTCGGTACGTTCAAACTATTACATTTTCACAGAGTATACAGATCGACACACTCCACTCATTCTAAAAATCATAATATAAAATCACATAATCATAGCTCAATATAATTAATTTTACTATGGGGACTCGCAACATACACATTTTTACGCGCCCATACGCGTCATGTGTGGATGACGACACAATAATGGTCAGATAATTTATAATGAGTTCTGAGGACGTGCCTGAATTCCAAAGGCACACTAGTTACCTTACCTCTGGCGATAACGACTCTAATAACCAATCTAACGGTGACCATTGGGAGATCCGTAAACGAAGGGTACAAGAAGCAGAGCATTTCCGTAACCTTGGTAACGAAAGTTTTAAACGCGGATTTCTGGAATCAGCTATCGACTATTATTCAAAAGCCATCGACTGCTATCCAGATAACTTCGAATACTATACCAACAGGGCACTTTGCTACAAGAAACAACAAAAGTGGCAAAATGTAAGTATATAATATATATTATAATCCGCTGTAGGTCGCTAATGATGTACGTGCTGCGCTAAACCTTGATGAAGATTCCGTCAAAGCACACTACTACCTTGGACAAGCACTAATTCACCTAGGTATGGCTAGTATATTCATGTATATTAAAATAAATGGTTACTGGTTAATCAGGGTTATCCCGAGATCGAAAACATTTTTTTATCAGGAGATTCTGAATCTCAACAATGAACTCATATTACATATTAATATTGCTTACAAAAATAGTCTCATTCGTTGCAGGTGAACCTGAAGAAGGCCTTAAAAAACTCACGAAAGCTAAAACGCTCTCGGAGCATTATAGGATCCCATACCTTAATGAGATAGAAGATGAGATCCTGAGAGCCAAAAAATTTGTATGGCTAAATCAGGATTCAGCTTTCGTACAGGAACTATGTAGCTTCAAAGAATACGTAGAGGTATGCAAACGATATATATATATATATATATATATATATATATATATACACTGATATATATATATATATATATATATATATATATATATACTCACTCTACACAGGATGCTATTGACCGAGATAAGAAAAACGGTCTATTATCGGAAGATGATCATAAACACCGGTTATCGCAATATTCCACTGTATTTAACGAACTAGATAAAGCAAGGGAACGACATATACCCAGCTACCTCTGCTGCAAGATATCAATGGTATGGTAAATAATAGCAGCCCTAACTCTGTTTAGTGTATCATGAAGGACCCCGTAGTATCTCCAAGTGGAATAACATACGAACGAGAGCTGTTAGAACAGCATTTCAAGTGTAATGGAGAATTCGACCCCGTTACAAGGTATACCTTTCCCTACAAATATACACATCTCGCAGGGAACCGTGCTCGAGTAAGAGCATATACCCAAACTACTCCATTAAAGAAGCAATTGATCTTTTTTTGAAGGAGTAAGTATTATAACGAGAAATCGAAAAATGTGTAGGAATCCATGGGCTTACGACGAATAACACGCGCATGTCTACACTCATGACCATGTGCGGGAAAAATCGACTGAAACACACGTAACCTGTAATGATAATACGATAAAATCATCTGATGCGTTTTCTCTCAATGCTCTCGTTGCAGAGCATCACTTTAGGCGGAATAACTAATTATCATGAACTCTCTCCCTCTAATCGCATACTAGGCAGTCAAATAAGTGATAAAAACGTCCTTCATAGATACCAAAATGTCAATACAGGTATGAATCTACATTTAAAATCGATGTAAACCATATTTTATATCATAAATATTGACTTTCTCTACCCATGTCCAAAGTGTTTATGGAACAGATGTCCTCTATTTTCAATCATATATTATATATTTAGGTCAATTAAAAGGTCAAAAGCGCTTCCTGCACGCGGCATTTCACAATAACAGTGGGTTTGTATGGATATTTTTGCATTACAGTTTTCCAGGCTACCGGTATGTAGACATAGATGGAACGAATGGATTGCGTTCAACGTTTAATCGTTCACATAGCGATCCTGGTGAATCACCCGAATCTTCTGCAATAGAGGCAACGGAATTGTTGTCCGACACAGTGGATGATGTGACACCTCCCGCAGAGTCCAAGGATTCACGGAAAACAACCTTCAATGAATTGGGACATTCTAGAGATCGGAATATCGCACCAGTTTTTGTTGATGCAACTGATGCAAATAGTAAGTGCTATAGTTCTGTTTCTAAATAGTTTACAGATGAATGGCACGAGACAAAGTTAGTTGACCGATGCAGAGTCGTAGCTGTCAGCGGCCGTGGTGGCAACGGTTGCGTATCATTTAGACGTGAAAAACACGTCCCACTTGGAGGTGCTGATGGCGGTAACGGGGGACCTGGAGGTTCTGTATACATAGTCTGTGACGACAGTATCAGCAATCTGAACCATGTCAAGAAACTATATATATACAAAGCAGAAAATGGTAAACATGGACTCGGGGACAGAAGAAACGGAGCTAAAGGTGAACATTGTTTCATACCAGTGCCTCCAGGAACACATGTTTATAGCATGGAAGGTCAACTGTATACGGTATTACAACGACCAGGTGACAAGCTATTGGTAGTAAGAGGTGGTCGTGGTGGCAAAGGTAATCGATATTACAAAACGAAATTCAATACTGCGCCACACGTATGCGAACTAGGAGAGGGATCCATCACTCGTGAATTAGTCCTGAACTACAAAATGCTCGGAAATGTCGCTTTGATTGGAAAGCCAAACTCAGGAAAGAGTTCAATGCTGCGTTGCCTCAGTAATGCTAGACCAAGAGTATCAAGTCGCGCTTTCTCTACGAAATTCCCTATTCTAGGGATGTTTAATCTGGATAAAGTAGAACAGATGGACGATAATGACAATGTTAGTACAACCTCAAATATAACCGATGGTGGTAGCGACTTTTACCAAAGTGAATCCGATTCTCCCAAAACTGACGACATTTCCGATGACAAAATGGATTTAGAGGATGATCACACGACGATAGTGGAACAAGATACATCAGATGATGCATTGGTCTGTCTCTATGGCTATCGCTGTGGTCCCCAAATGCGGACAAGTCTAAGCGGCGGGGATACCGGAGAAGTTTTAAAGGGCGTACATGTGAAACACATGTCATCAGAAAATGATGGAGATGGTTATGAGTCGTCCGATGTAACTGAGGATATCGAATATAATGAGTCACATAAGTCGGGTGAAGCGGATAGTTATGAAGATACAGAAACATTTGATAACATGGCTAATATGTGCGACTTTGACGATATTGCACCTGCGCAAGGCGTCGTGGAAGAAAAAAAACAACTTGTTATAGCGGATGTGCCTGGACTCATAGAAGGTGCTAGTGCCGGTAAAGGTCTTGGACATCAATTCCTTAAGCATGTTGAAAATTGTAATGTACTCGCTTATGTGGTAGATGCCAGCTTAGAAGATCCGTTACAAGATTACAGGGATGTGCGGAACGAAGTGGTGATGTATAACGAAGATCTGGTGAAGCGATTGGAGTTGATAATTATCAACAAGATCGACCTTGTAAAGCCATCTAGGGCTACGGAACTGGTTCATCAATTCCAACGTGAATCTAACCATGATAGGGTTTACGCTGTGTCAGCAAAGACACGTGAGAATATGGAAGCGGTCATCCATGCGTTCGCTCGCATTTACGAGGCACCTACTGCAAGGAATGTCGTGTACCGAGATCCGGTGGTCACTGCAATAGATGACCCGGATGATTTCAGAAAGTTGAACCCACGCAAGTTCAAGGTGGAGAAAGTATCAGATGGTGAATTCAGGATAATTTCAGATTATCTGGAACGAAAGGTTCCAATGATGAGGTTTGACCTACGGGAATCACTTGACAGATTAAGGCGCATCTTAAGGATCAACCGCATACATTATAAGCTCCGTAGAATGGGTGTGAAACCTGGCGATACATTACATATAGGTCCAATAAGCTTTTGCGTAAACGAACTGGCATACTGACTATCATCTATCACCACCTATAATGACTTCTGATTAATCTTAACAGATGTAGTACAAATTGTTACCCTATTATAGTATATGGGTTAGACTGAATTTCATGTATGACGTTTTATCTGGTTAACTTTGTTTCCACCAAGAATAAATGCACCTGATTCATACCGTTTACATTACAGTTCCATATGAAATGTAATGTCAATAAAACGATGACATGTATGATTACAATCAATATTATGGTTTAAATAGTTCAATTGGTGAAGACATTGACAAATGATTGGTAGCTAATACGTCCGGTGTTATCCGGGTCCATGATCTTCATCAATCCCTCAAGTTCTTGAGGTGAGCGGTTCTTCATGAGAGCCATGACTTCCTTTAGTTCAGCGGCACCAATGGTGTTGCTTTTTGAGTTTTTGATGGCGTCGAACAGTTTTTGTAGACCTCCATCTTGAGGAAGTTCAGAAACCAATTTCATTCCATATTGAACGAATTGGTCCTTGTTCATTGGAGGACATGAATTACACTGTTCTCTTGACAATGCCAAACCAAGTGATTGGTAAATTTTGGCACATTCAGGTCCCTGAAGCATACCAATTTTTTGCGTGTCGCAGCAGAGGAACGCCTCTGTGAAACGTAATTCCCATTCCATCTCTATATATGCTGTGGAATACGATTATATGAAATTAAAAACTATAATTGTCGTAAATACGCAATGAATGCCTCAATAGGGTTATTCCAAACAGTGAAACGTGCCACAAGAATGCACCATACAGTTGTGTTCTTTTAAGTTACGCGCGCTGCCACTGTAAAGGTTCACACAGATATAACTACGAATAAAAGAATAAAAATATACAGGTTAATCACATATGTCGGTTGACTCGCTCAACGCTCTCACACGGACAGCGTGTAAACTATGTCACATGGTGTTAATGTGTACCTACAAAGTCATACAGCTTATATGGCACAGGGTGGTTCGTGGCATATTATCAGATTCTTTGTGAATATAGTGATAATGATATACCTATTTGCTCTAAACTGCTACTTCACAGCGCGATATTATGCCTACTATCAATCTCCGTTATCAAAGCTTCCGCGCCACGGAACACCTATGAAATATATATATTAACATATGGGTCTACTAACCTCGCTATTCGAGTCCAGAGATACGGTAGTAACACCGGACGCCTTGAGGCTGCTCTCGTCAGCCGGAGCGTTGTTCACATCAAATACACCAACACCTACGTCTGAAAAATGATGGACCGATATAGAAAAATACGTGTATTATCACATAAAACGAGGTGTATAACTCACGTGAAATGACACTTACCCAGTACTATGTCGCCATCGTCACCTGTTACCGATTCCGGGCAATGTGATCCGCGGTAAACCCTTATATCGGAGTCAATAATACAACTACGATCACCTTCAGATATAGTTTGAGTCAATTTATCATTAGATTCCTGCAACTTTGGCAGGAAATCCTTGCACTTAGCAAGTGAATCCGAGCCTCTCAGCTCAGATAGGTCGAAACGTGGTTTCTTCATCACATAGCTTGTAGTATACGATTTGGTGGCTTTATTTTAGTGTGCTGGATGGCATTTGCACAAATTGAAAAATATGGAGCTAGACACAAATGATAAGATAATGGACAGTGGTATGCCTTACAGCGGCAGTGTTGTCTAACAGTAGTAGTCAGGGTATACTTAAAGAGGTATTATTACATATCGAGGTTGGTACTTATCCCAAAACAAACGAAGTGGGCGCTATTAAAATATGTCCACTGTATAATGATGACTTCTACTTTGATGAATTGTAACTTCGAAGATCATTCCGGTGGTCTAATAAGCCGACGTGAGCATGATACACATCCTCCTCGGTTCTTTGCGCTCACAACCTCACCTATAATGAAATGTAATCATAAGAGCAGATAACTTACCTAATATACAAGATGTTTTACATGATGGGCATGTGATCCTTATTTCTAGAAGTTCTGATGCGCGATGTTCAGCTTTCACTATAGAATTGTTCAACTCGCTGATATGCTCACCCATCAAAGCAATCTGTTCTTTGTAGTTTAGCATCATCATGTCACCTGCTGACTTTGACTGTTTATAATGTTCTGCATGACGTCCAAGGGCCTTGCGGAGCTGCCGGTTAGAATCCTCGAGAAGCTCTACAGATTTCACAAGATGACGCACATAAACACAAAGCTTCTTAACCTTCTTAGTACTGTCCTCACGAACCGCGTGCAATTCGTCCATCAATTCGTGATATGTGCTTTGAAGAGCTGATTCACTACCGATAGAGGCACGTGAGTCGTAGAAACGGTAACGGGAGAACAACCTCTCGAATTCCGATATTAATCTATCATCTTGATGTGAGAGCCGTCGGTTATCAGACAATTGTGATTCTAATGCCTCACAGCGTGCTCTCTCTGCCATTAATTCCTCACTCATCGAACTCAACCGTTCGTTGCAGGAACGCATCTCACGTCGTTCCTCACCAGCTAGACGTAAACTTGTCGCAACATTTGTGAGAGAGACACGATTATCCGAATTCAAAAGGTCACTATTTGCGTTGGCCACATGATCCGATAACAGTTGTAAAGCTCCATTGGGCCTTGAGCTTTCTTCTGAATCGACGTCAGAATTTGGACAACATAAGGTATCACGCCTTGACTGCAGTGACCTACGTAATATAAGTGATACAGTGTCCTCAGTAATGGATGACAGATTGGTCTCTAGGTTACTGATAGCTGCACCGAATTCGACCATTTCTGGCGAACCACCACTGATGGGTAGGAAATGACCAGATACCAGTTTAGGGTAACACAACCTATGTGAAACCACAGATTTCAATACAGATACCACTGCCAATATTTCTTTTACAGAGTCCAACAAGCGACGTGATAATGAACGCAAGGGTCTTGCCGAGGTCAGTTCATCTGTCAAGGATAGTGAAAGCGATCTAGGTGTTAGTGCAGATCCTGATTTCCCCCAAGATAGATTGGAGGCCCCTAATTGGTTGCCGCTGCCATCACTAATATGTGAATCCGTCTCCATGAAGGTTTCATTGTTAAAATGACGATTTGCAAGTGCACTGGTGGATGTAGGCACCATCTCGTTAGACAGTAGTTCTGCCAATTCACAAAGTTCGTTTTTTAAAAGGTCGTCTATATGGATCAGGGCGTGGTCACACAATGTGAAAGTTTTTGAGCATACTGAAGCCATATCTCGTAGTGCTCTGATGAATAGGCGTGATCCATGTTTTTTGCGCCTCGGAGGAGATACTGGTACTTCATTATCGTTATATGGGCATACATATTCCTCCATACAGAAGTACAACCTCTGGTTATATGCAAGTATCCTCACAAGTTGTGCCACACGTCTAAAAGAGGCGATATCAGACTGGTGAATATTATCAAGCTCCGAGAGTAAATCTGATAGTGTTGACTCGGATACCTTCCTGTATGACTCCATGGCAGCCCATATATGCCAATTAGTGGTTTCATCATTGGGTGAGAGTGGTAGTGCTCCGTCCATAACATTATTGGCGTTCCCAAGGTGTAGGGACACGATATCCATCGATATCTTTGTGGTCTCATCATCCTCACAGTTAGATGTGGATGCTGTATTGTTTCCTGAAGTTTCGGTTAGCGGGTGCATCACAGCAGTATCAGTTTCCTGAAGTGTCGATGTTGCCCGTTGTAGTTGGCTTTCTGTAACTACTTGTGAGCACCTAATAAATTTGATAGCCGAATGCCAAGCTGCAAATGCATTCTTTAGAGATTCACACAAACTGGTTTTAAGATCAGATACAGCATGTCGAAGTAGGCTCCAGTTGTGTATATGTCGATGTTGGTACACGTTGAAGGTATTCAGGAGTGGTATCCGTCTAAGATCATATGTAACCTTTGTACGCAATTTATGTTCTAATACAACGATAGCTCTCATTTGTATACGTCTTTCTGTTTCTATTGTTTCCTCCAACTTCTCTAGTTTCTTGTTCCTATCAGTCAGTGTTGAGTTGAGTGTGACAATGTCCGAGGCGGATCTTGAAGCTCTATATTCACACGATGCCAAATTATCCTGTAGATCTTTCAAAATGCCTTCCAGAGCAATTATTCGTTCTTTGAGTTCAGTAACTGCGGCATTGTACTCAAATGTCTGTTTGTCGCTATCGTTTCTTAAAGCCTGTATCTGTTTCAATAGTTCCTCTGTTAAAAAGATATATTATTGTTATAAAAATGTTCTAACCTTTTTCATGCGATGTGGTTTCCAGTTGGGTCTTGAGCGATACCACCTCGTTATACAATAACGAGTTATCATCATCGGTATCACTTGATGCTGTATTTGCACTTTTTTTAATTAAAGTCAATGCATTTTCCCATGTTGATGATGTTGTTTTGGCTGGTTTCCTTGCCTTAATAAAGCTAACTTCTGCCGTGAGTTCATCATATGCTTTCTTAAGCTGTTGGTTCTGTTCCTCAAGGGCAACACATGCCTCGGTCTTTGCAAGTAGGTCCGCCTTGATCCGCTCATAGTCCTCATGTACTTGTTTTGCGGCATCTCTAAGCGTAGCTGCACGGTATTATTTCCGGTGGATAACACAATCGACGAACTACAAGGTAGATAGTTATTATTCAGTACATCACGGTAATGGAAAGGCCGTATGGTTCTAGATAGTATCTTTCGCTGCCGTTTTTTTACCACACTGTAGGTTTTTTCGGCGCAATAATTCAGACATTCAGTATAGCTATGGGCACATATAACTGTTGTTATACCGACTTCACAGTTCCAAGAACTGGGCAACTTACCATATCTTCGCTTGAGGTTTTTGTACTTTTCCTCGGTTGCCATTGCGCACTCTAGATTCAATCAGCGATAACGAGTCCATGCTAGAGCTCAGCTATAAAATCAGACAACTAAACGGCGGTATACGACGAGATGTGTCAACACATTGTCGATGTATATTGGCAACAGGGGTCACTAAACTGTTGCCATCATTGTTCTTAAAATATCTATTAGTTAATGTTTAAATGGTATATAATTGGTTGTGCACATCCTATGAATGGTACCGTTATACGGTGACTCCATGTTGTGATACACATGAGCAACCTCGTGACACGTTTATCTGTTGAAACGTACAAACGTATAAATTTCATGTTCTCAGAATTTTCACTGTGTACTGTCTAATCGGTCTATATGGAACACCGGAGATGTTGACGTGTTGCCATCCAGAGATGTACGATGGACATTACGTAACATTCAAATTTCTTAGAGTAGTATCTTATATAAATTGAAAGTATAGGTGCAGATATCGCGCGATTATGGGTCTCATTGGTGGATAGTTGTTGACACACGACGGCGCTATTGTCGGCAGTGGCGACGAAAGTAAGCGTCATAAGAACACATGTCGCTTTTTCAATGTTAATTGAAGCAATTGATATCAGTTATGTGTCTGTATGTGGGAAATATAGAGTATATTGGAATTAAAGGTGTGACTTGATGGTCGAGGTTGAGACCGAAGGTCGCCAAGAAACCGCCCCATCACGGTCAACAGCCACCCACTAGTGTCGAATATCTTTGCTTATATAAACATTCAAAACCTAGAAATTCCGCAGCTGGGTTAGGACTCTTGGTTTCGGAATTATAGTAGGTAAGTGGTCTACATGAAACAGGTGATGTGATGGTTAACCCATGACGACCCCGTCGTGGTACCAGGACCAGGTCGATTGAGAAAGACTTTGGACGTTTGTAAGATCACTACGTGAGTAGTGGTTCCCCTTTTTCGCTCTATTATTCGTCGGTGTCTTCTATGAATGATAGATAGAGGTCTATGGGGGTCTGAGTCTTCCAGTAAAACCCTGGTCTCTGCGTTGACCACGATTTTGTTACGTGAATTGTATAGGTGTTGTTGGCTAGTTGATGTGTTTGGGTCAATTTCGTGTGTGTTGGTGTACCGAGGTTGTTACTCAGTAGCTTATTCCTTTTCAGGCAGAATGGCTCGCTTGAGCAAGCAAGAAAAGAAGAAGGCGTACTTCGAGCGCCTAACTCACCTTGTGAAGACCTACCCCCAGATCCTCATTGTCAGTGTTGACTATGTGGGATCAAGGCAGATGGCTACTGTGCGCCACTCCCTGCGGGGCAAGGCTGAGATTCTGATTGGAAAGAACACTATGATTCGCATGGTGCTGAATACCAGTTTCCCTAACTCTGAAGCTATTGGTAAATTGCTTTCCTGTGTCAAGCTTAATGTTGGATTTGTATTTTGTATGTCAGATCCATTAGAGATCAGAAAGATTATTCTTGACAACAGGGTCCCGGCTCCAGCTAAACAAGGTGTTATCGCACCATGCGATGTTTTCATCTCTGCTGGTGCTACTGGTATGGATCCCTCTCAGACGTCTTTCTTCCAGGCTCTTGGTATTTCCACCAAGATTGTCAAGGGTCAGATTGAAATCCAGAATGATGTGCACCTTATTAAGGTGAACGACAGGGTTACAGCTTCGAGTGCTACATTGCTACAAAAGCTTAACATGAAACCTTTTTCATACGGTCTTAAGATTGAGAAGTTCTACGATACAGGTCACCTTGTGGAGGCATCTGCTTTGGACATCACTGAGGAGGACATTTTGGACTCTGTGAAGGCTGCCGTTACGAATGTCAACGCATTCTCTTTGGCTATCGGATTCCCAACCAAGTTGTCTATTACACATTCGCTCATTGGAGCATTCAAGAACTGTGTGTCACTTGCGCTTGAGACCGATATTTGCTTCAAGGAGATGGAAGGAATCAAAAACAGATTGGACAACCCAGAACTCTTCGCCGCCGCTGCTGTCGCGGCACCAGTCGCTGTTGCTGAAGAGGCTGCTCCAGTGGCAGCTGAGGAGCCTGAGGAAGAAGAAGATGATATGGGTTTCTCCCTCTTTGACTAATCGTGCCTATAGGGGTATAGCCTCACAGGCATGTACAGGAAGGCTCTGTAGCGCTTTGCGTGGCACTTTTTTTAGTGTCATAGCGGCAGTGGCCGCCGTCTATCGGAGGATTCCGTGAAGCAATTTAAGATAGTGCTATGATGATACCACAATCTAAACCATTCGCAGTTTCATCCAAGGAATTGCCTGTGCGGAGATTATACTTCTGAGCACTTGTTTAAAAACACATAGATAAAATTCGAAAAGTTTAGTAATACATATTTTGAGACCCGGTGGGGCGAACACAGTCGTCTTGGCTTAGGCCTATGTTTCTTTGCGCATACAACATTCCTATCGGAGGTGTTTACAATATTTGTTTCTGTATATATCGAGGTTCGTTTTTTGTTGTTTTTGTGCAATAATTACAGGATTTGAAGATGCCGCGCGCACTTAAGGACCTCAGGGACTACCTCGCAGTCCTGAAGCGACCTGATGCTACAGTTGTAACTGTTTACAAGAAGGCTGGTAAGGGTGGAGCCACGCTTACTAAGTTTAAAGTACGTTGCTCAAGATACCTTTACACCCTTACTGTGCCCAACCATGCTAAGGCTAGCAAGATTGAGGCATCTATCCCAAGCCACATCAAAAAGATCGTCATAGCTCCCAAGAAGAAATGAACTGGGGTCTAATACTTTGGTCGTAGGCGCTAAAATTGCACGCCGGCGTCCCGTTTTGGGACACCGGCGTGCCTTGGCCCATATACATTTTATAACAATGTGTGGTTTCATACATAGATTGACTGTTTATGTTCTCAACTGAGTGAGTAAGCTGATTACAATGGTTGTTTATGTTTTTTCAAAAGCGGTCCTTCATGCTGCGCAGCTTGCTCATAGCGCCCTCTTCGGTAGTTTCTCCAACCTTTTCTTTCAAAATGGCAGCACGCATGAACGGGTTATATTCCATTTCCTAACGCATTGTCACGTTTGTGTTGCATATAACGGTGTTTTAACTTACATCGGCTAATGTAGACGGTACTGTGGGTAATCCCTGTGACCTGACTTGCTTAGCCCATTCGAGTTTTCTTATTACGGCATCAGATCCATCCACTGTCCTAGCAAACTCTAAGTTTTTGACCGTGTATTCGTGTCCACAGTATATAAGAGTGTCCTTGGGTAGTTTTCGTAACTTGGTGATAATGTCCATCATCATAGAGGCAGATCCCTCGAAGAAACGTCCACATCCGGCAATAAATATAGTATCTCCAGTGAAAATCAGTGGTTGCGAGTTGGGTTCGGAAGGGTTAGTGACGTAGTACATCATATGTCCTACGGTGTGGCAAGCGGCACGAATGCATGTTACCTCCAAACTGCCAATATGTATAACTTCACCATCCATAACCCCGGCAGTTAGACCTGGCATAGCTTCATAGGAGGATCCGTATACAGCTATTCCAGGTACCATTCTTTGTATTTCTGCATTTCCTCCGCTGTGGTCATAATGTTTGTGAGTGCAGAATGCGGCCGATATGGTTAACCCATTATTAGTGCTTGCCGATAGAACTTTTCGAGGTTCTGCTGGGTCCACACAAATGGCAGTATCACTTTTGGGGTCAATAAGCAAGTATGCGTAATTGTCCGTGAGCACCGGTACAGGTATAACCTGTGCGCATGGTTTCTGCGATATCATTTAGACAAGAGTGATATATTATTGGTTTGTATATGCGATGGTATAATTTGTTTATTAATTTAGATCTTACCTTTAGAATCTCCTTGAACATGTTGTTTCGTGTGGATGTCGAGAAAATACGATGGTTTGAATTATAATTTATTATATTTGATTTTTCTACTAGCCTTTTAGAAAGTATCAAGCTATGAGGCGCCCTTAGAACTGGTGTACGGCCAATAAAGCAAACAGCTAGCAGTCCGGTGAGTAATCTTGAATGCATCGCCGGTATGACTATGATCCTATTTACATAACAATTTTATCGTGATTGAAATTGTTTATTATTGAAAATATGTCTATAAATTGTAAATTAAGTTAACCAAAACAAGAGTGTGGCGGGCGAGCCGCCCAGTATCACGTTCCATGTCGTTGTAAAGTGCTAAGCTTCCTCATGGCCATGATTATAAGTGTCCAATGAGACACACTATTTTTTAATAGAAGAGATATATCGCAGGTCAATTCAGATTATGTGTGACTCTATGGTTTGTAGATAGAAGACTGGTGTGTAACACACGAAAGACGAGATCGCCGTGTGGCAGTGGTCAAGTCGTCCCTTGTGCATATATCGAATCGGATGATATATCTGGATGTATGAGACATGTATATCGCATATTAACGTCTGTATATTTGTATTTATCTCCCCACACACAACGACGACAGACATATCAACCACATCAGGATGTCGTGTGTAGACGTTCAACCGACACACATTAATCTGTTACGTATATAGACTATATATATGTTGTTATAGTTTGACTTCAGAGTGCTATTGTATATATTATAGTGTTGATTTGGGTCCAAAGACCCAGTATCATATTTAATCAAGATGGTCGACGTTGGAATCAATATCGCCAATAACTTGAAGGCCAAGAACTTTATGGGCACATTGAGCATTAGAAATGTAAGTATGAATATGATGTGTGTTACATATTGTCCATTTTATTACTATTTTCCAAAGTGTGTGTCTTGGTCAGCAGATGCCAACCAAACTTAGACCAAGGATATATTGTAATATCATACATAATATCGATTCATATGTCATGTTGATACTATATTGTGTTATTTTAGCTATTGTAGATGTTAATATTGGAATCTGTCTATACATATATATATTTATGAATAGATATTGTTATGCATCTTATATCTATTGTCTGTGACTTAATGATTCTCCAGGGTTTATTCTTCATCGCCATTCAACAGTTCCTTCTCGGTATATCGCTATATAGTGTTATCCACTATTTGCATCCGAGCATGACCCAGTTAGCATGGTTATTGTTTGGTGCTAATGCGATATCTGCGGTGCTTGGTTTTTTCGGAGCTCTTAAAAGGAATATCGTCATTGAGTGCGTATACCTGGTATTCTACTTTTTAGCATTGTTGCTTGTGTTCCTCACGGTATTGGACATGGCTGAGCTGGTACACCTGTTGCCCAAGGGACCACAGATGAAGGATGTCTACAACTTTGCATCAATGAGGTACGCACCAATACTCAGGGCAGGGCATCCGCATGTGTTCCTGAAGCAACGGGAAGAACCATTTGAATTGGATGATCATTATGACTTTGAAGCCGATGATGATGAAGACCCTGATATGTACCCTGAGGAGCTATTGGACGCGGATACCGACGCCTCCACCGACCTAGAGGATATAATGTCATTGAAAACACCGGAAAAGACAGGGCAAACATCGCCACCTAACCAAAGTGATGTAACATCCAAGGTAACTGGCGATATAAACTCAAAGGGTCCTATCGAGGGCACCAAGACAGAACAAGGCGCCACTGCTGACGCCAAGGGTACTGAAGAGACTAAATCTATCCATATTCACCAGTCTAAGGGGAAAGGTCAAGTAAATGAGAATGTCAATAAGCTGGGAGAACAACCAATTATAGCTGAGCCTGTTAAGGGTGCACAGAATGATTCTCTATATGACCATATTCCTTTGGTGCCACATTTCGGTGAGACTGAAGGTGAAGCTGAAGAGGTATCAAAGGACGAGCTTCCCCCGGAGACGCATGACCTGACACCTGAGGGTATCTCTGAAGTTGTTGCCATCTACAAAATACAAAAGAGGCCACTCAAAATGGCAGCAGCGGGGTTACTCACTATAGCATTGATGTTCAATGTATACTGCTACTGGGTGGCTGTTACATTTGTCCTGAACAAGTGTACCTGCCTGGATGAGCTGGTGTCTCACCCTGAGCAGTTCACACCACTGATCGATTGAGGTGGTATATCGCATAAAATAAGGGTCCGTTATAAACAGTAACCTAATTTTGTGAAAAAGCGTATTAAATTGACAACGTAAGAGACATTGTGTATTAATAAGGTCTACATTTTTTCAATGTAGATAGTTGAGTGTAGTTTTTTTCTTGGCACTCATCACTGCGATCCCTTCTACGAAATCATTGTGGTCCAATTCCTTAGCACCACGTCGAAGGGCGACCATTCCCGCTTCTACACAAACGGCTTTGAGTTGTGCTCCATTGAAATCCTCTGTGGAGCGTGCGAGTTCCAGGAAATTAACATCAGGATGTACATTCATTTTCCGTGAATGTATCTGCATGATATGGGCCCGTGCCTCTTCATTTGGATGTGGTAGTTCAATTTTGCGATCCAAACGTCCCGATCTCAAAAGTGCCGGGTCTAGGGTGTCCGGACGGTTCGTTGCCGCGATAACTTTCACGCGGTCATCACTGTTGAACCCGTCAAGCTGGTTAAGAAGTTCTAACATGGTCCTTTGTACTTCCCTGTCACCTGAAAGTTCGCTATCGAACCTTTTTGTTCCGATAGCATCTATTTCGTCGATGAATATGATAGTGGGTGACTTTTCTTTTGCCAAATTGAAAGCGTCTCTTACCATCTTTGCACCATCCCCAATGAACATCTGTACTAGTTGCGGCCCTGCTAACTTGACGAATGTTGCCTTTGTTTGAGCGGCGCAGGCACGAGCCAATAGTGTTTTTCCCGTTCCTGGTGGTCCATGCATTAAAACCCCTGTAATATATGTATATTTGGAAAATGTAACTATGAGATACCTTTTGGTGGTTTGATTCCTATTTTTTCGAATAGATCGTTGTGCGTTATTGGTAGTACAATTGCTTCTATAAGTTCCTGTATCTGTTTATCGAGTCCTCCGATGTCTGAATAGTCTTCAATGGGTCTCTCGCATACCTCCATAGCCTTGACCCTGTTATCATATTCTGGTGGTAGTTTGTCGAGTACCAAGTAGCTATCTTTATTGACTCCTACTAAATCTCCTGGATGTAGCATTGTATGTGGTATGAGTCCTATGACGGGTAGGAAAATGGTCTACATAATATTTACACTTAATTATAGTGTTATCTCACCTGTCTAGTTGATGTTTTGATTACTAGACTTTTTCCTTTCCGTTTCATTTCCACCCCTTGTACACCTGCGTCGTCCTCTTCCTCTTCATCATCAAGATCGAGTAGTTCTACGACGTTTGATACTAGGTATGGTAGTTGTTTATTAAGTTGTATTTTTTCGACGTTATCCTTAATTCTATCTTGCATTGACAGCTGTTGTGACTTTAGCCTTGTGAGTTCGCTTCTTAAAATTTTGATCTCGGCATCTATCATATTTGTGCGTATCCTTACTTCAGCATCTGTCATAAGCGACACTTCGCTTAGGTCGACAGGTTCGTTGGCATCCATTTTGTATATCTGATGATATTGTTGATTACAATCGTTATCCGAGGTCTACCAGTGGCCATACATGGCCTTTAAACATCCCGGGTGTGACCAGTTATATACATATATATAAATCCGTTTAATTTAAGGTCATATATGTCTTTAAAAAAACACATACGCCTGTTATGGCGATAAAATCCAAGTGTTAGTTAGCTAAGCGGGTTGAATCACCTTGTGCAAGGAAGGACAGTGTCGCGCGACTGGTGAGGCTTAATGATGTATATATCTCTACGTTAATATTTTGGGTAATAATAATATTAATATCCTTGTGGTTCTATCCATATATCGCAAATATGTGGTATTTATGGCACTTTGCAGATCAATAATGTTAGACATGGTTGTAGAGTATGCCTTACAGTGTTAGATGAGAATACATATTCATAGCTCTAGTGTTTACACATTACAGTACAATGATCTGTATGTAGTATAGTTGGTCCAATACGTGGTTTGTATGTACGTGTATATGGATCCTGGTGATAATGAGGCGGAAGAAAGAGTTGTCACTTACCGCTCGAGACATAGAGGTCTATAATGATGCTATAGATCAATTGAAATCGATAAATATACAAGTCAAGTCGCCTGGTGAATATGTAGCCTCAAGATTAGAATCTGTGGCATTAGATGATATACGAAGAGAGCTGAAAGCATTATTGGCGTCATGTCAATCCAACGCTTCCGGCCTTCTGATGTCACTCTTTGCATCAGCGGTTCCCTTCAATGAAACTCTCGAGTCTACTATACAGACCATTGTGCCTTTTAAGGAGGTGCTTGAAAGCTCTCTGCGTGACCTTGATACTAAGAGGGGCATTGTTAAGCAGACAAAATGTCATGTTAAATTGCACATGTGCAGATATGTGATGGTGGTATACGCAAAACTGGCGTTGACATCACATCTGGATGCCGTCAAGCATCTGAACAATATCGCAGAAGAGATTATCGATAGTTTCGAGGTCGATGGCAACCCCGTGAAGACTGATGCCGTACAGCGTGCCATTGGCGTGATTGAAGACATTATTAAACGTATTGAAAGTGGTGATGACATATTACAGTCACATAACTCAAAGTATAATCTAGCTACTAATTGGGCGCTGTTTGAAATAATCCCCAAGGAGATCAATGGGATACATGGTCTTCTGAAGCTGTGTAAGCATTGTGAAACTGAGGTCACGAGATACCTACAACACTATTCAAAAATGTTAAAGGAAACGGATAATTCACGCTACAAGAGCCTGTCCAATGTCTTTACGGAGCATCGGCGCACTAATGTTGAAAGGGTCCTAGAGATGGAGGGTATAATTGACTGGTCTGAGTTGGCGCAGTTTCGGATGAAGTATGATCTGCATGTTGCTGAGGACAATGTTACTACTTTGCAGATGCGGCTTGAAAAGCTTACAGTTGTCTGTGCGGAGAATGCCATGACTATGCTTTTCAACTTATACAGTGAACGTGAGAGGTTATTTACTGATGACAAGGAGGTGTCCACTGATGTTGGTAGATTATCCCGTGATATAAATACCTATGTCTCTGGTCTAAGTTCTCTCATAAAGGGTGCTGAGCATTTGTGGCGCAGTAACAATGATATCTCTTTTGTGGTCAAATTCAGGGATATATTCGTTAAGCCTATAATGGACCTTTGTTTGCGCACTTTGATCCAACGGGGTAGTGGGTATGCCGCTCTGAGCCCGCAGGAAGAGGCGCATAGGTTCAGTTACTTTGTTGACAAGTCTATCAAGCTGCTACTTCATCCTAAACATAGTATTACTATGCAATTTTTGAATGATATCTCAAGGTTGTGTGGTAATGATACATTCAAGGTTGTTTGTGTATTCGACGCCATAGCGGCCGAACTGCTTGTGAATATAGAAAAGCGATTTTCTGCCATATACTTCCCGATCTATCTAGACCGTTTTATGCGTAACTTAAAGGCATACGAGCGTCTTTTGGAACATATCGAGATGGCATCGGGTAGTTACCATCACTATTTGAAATGGCGTGGTTCCACGTCGGTCAGTAATATATCTCGTTGTTTCAGTATTGGCGTTGTCTGCGATAATTTCATAGAGTGCACTACTCGTGAACTTATAGACAGTATATCGTCTTCCAGGGGCGTCGGTGCTAAGTTGGTACAGTGTCAAGGCCAAACATTCTACTTGCCACCCTCTATGGTCCTGTATCGCCAGCTTATGGCGTTATTTAGCCACGAGGATTTCTTCTATCACCTGATGCCGCAGTACCTCATGGGAGCATCTGATATGATGAACGAATATGTGGGTTACGTTCGTAAGCGTGTGTCTAACATAGAGAGTGCCTATGTTAGTGATACTAGTGATGGTGGCAAGGCATCGGAGGCGGCTACTGATGCAGCGTATGTGTTACATGATTTGGATACCATAGAGAGTGGTATTAAGACTGGTAACAGTAGTTTTTTGGTGATTGGCATTTCGGAATCTAGTTTGGATTCTCATGATTGTGATCACCTGGCTTATTTGATGGGCCATGATGTCACTTCTGATAGTTCTGAGGCAGGGCTGTCTACCCCGCTGAGTGAATCCAGCGGTAGTACAGGTAGTGGCATGACTACATCTACGAATATCAGCGATCAGCAAAACGCTGGTTACACCTCATCGAGTAGCGACGACGGTGGTAGCAACGGGTCATCGAAAGATGGATCTATGGACCATGTTGGTTACATGGTGTGTTTGAAAAGCAAGGTAGACGGCGAGGTGGTTAACCTCGCCGTCAAAAGGTTGGAGTATCCGTTACATATCGCATTTAAACGGCTATTACATGTGTTTTTAACAATTGATCGAGATAGTTCTGTTGCACCAGCGCAGCGAGCTATATCGATTTTATCAGAGCTTTGGGTCGGCGTGGACTCTCCTGTGGATATCGCATGTCTCTCATCAGAGGAGTTGTCCGACGTCCGTCATCTGGTATCGTTCACTAAGAAGAGTGTAGAGCTGCTTTACAATTTCTTTAACGCTGCTCATGAGCAGATTGATGTTATCAAGTATACCCTTGAGAATTTTATTATCCAGAATTTGGTCTCCGGTGCTCGCTGTAGTTTACAATTTTTGCAATCTTTGCCATCTAAATTCAGGACTGGGAACAAGCAAGATGTTAGTAAGCCTAGCAATTATGTGAAGTATATGTTAGTCCCGCTCCTTTCTTTCAAGGAGTTCACTGCGTCATCTCTGCCGCCGGAGCTATCGCTGAAGATCATGACCCAAACTGTTGCTAGGTTATCTATGGAATACCGGGAGCATCTGGTGAAGCTCGTGGGAAATGTCCTAAACCTGAACCGTTCTCTTAGCAATGCTAAGGGCAAGAACGATGACGGTGCTAGGTACCTCATCGCGGATATAGAGCTGGTCAGGGCACAGCTGAACACCGATATACAGGAATACCTCGACCAGTGTGAATTCAGGCTGGGTGTCCCCAAGGGGCAGTGCGAGGATCTGAACCTACTGGTTCACTGCGTGGACGAGTTGTTAGAAACTACATAGTGTCCCTTAATGTGGTATTTTTCTCTCAACTAAATGTATAACTTATATGTATATAACACCGAATCGTTACTCGTGTAGTATTAGGTTATTGAGGTTATAGCTAGGGGATGTGTAATAGTTTTAGATAGCAGGTATCGTACTATTGTTTATGTGGGAGGTCGCGGGTGTGTAGCGGATGTTCTCATCCACACCCTTGGTGTAACATTTGTGTAGACCACTAGACGATAATACATAAGATATTATTTTTAAAATGTCGTCAGGTCCTGCCGAAGATGCGCAATCTGCGCCGTAGGTATCCAAGTAGCAATGTAATATCGTACAGCAAAATAACATTCAAGATGGTTCTAGCATCGGATTCTTCGCAACCATTTAAAGTGTAAGAGATAACATTATCGCTAACATTGCGTATATAGACTATCGGTACCAGAAAGCGCGCCCTTTTCAGCCGTTATCAAGTTTACCGCCGAGGAGGTAAGCTACAACAAGCCGAGGATACAACTTATACACAGTTCAAACTCAACCCTAACACTTGTGCGTGCATCACAAGTGACGGTGTTGGTGTGAATCCAAGTCAAACTGCCGGTTAGTTTCCAAAAACCAGCGACAACAAGTTATGCCCAGGTGCTGTATTCCTCAAATATGGACCTAACCTCAGGCTAATACCAAGAGATAGGGTCGGAGCTATATGATCATTAGCATCAAAGTAACTTTGAAAAACTTAAACTATATATATATATATATAAAAGTAAAGTTATTAGTACCCAGAGATGACACCATTGGTGACCTCATCGCCACCGTACTCAGCCAGGTTTAGTACCACGCAGCTGGAAGATGCTTTCTCATGACAAGTATAGACCCCAACTAACACTTCTGCACTTGAAAAAAGGCGCGGCTTCAGGGATATGATGATAGTTTGAAAGTCACTCCGACGTAAAAAAGATACCAGGTTACATACCTTGACATTATCCAAATTTGCATCAATCTCGTCAAGGACTACAAATGGAGACCTTCGGAAACTGTGCAGGGCAAGCAGTAGTGCAAGTGATGAAACCGCTTTCTCGCCACCGCTTTGCAAACTTAAATCTAAAAATTTCTTCATAGGCGGCATCGTGTTATAACGAATACTACATAGAAAGGGCTCTGAAATACTACCAGAGACATCGTCATCCAGGGTCAAAAAGGCCGAACCGCCTGTGGTATCGTCACTATCATCTCGTGCTGAAAGGCTACGATATATAGGACCAACTAAACGCTTCACACCGTTGAAACAGTTCATAAACAGACTTGTACGCTCCTTCTTTATGCGCTCGAAATCCGGCTCTAAATTACTGCATTCAGATTTAGCAGAAGATATCTCAGCATCCAAATGGTCAATGTCGACCTGCGTACGACGCAGACGTGCTTCCACGTCGTCACGGGCGCCAGACGTGGACAACGATTTGCGTAACGATGACATCTCACTATCCAGACGTGATATGGCACGATCAACATCCATCTCGGGGTCTATAAGACCACTATCCACAAGCTCTGGGAACTCACAGACGAAATCAGATGAAGGGTCGCATAACGATGTAGGTACCGATATACGGCAATCGACATTCCTTAAACGACAATTATCTGCTAGCTCTATAGCAGAACGTTGCAGCTCACGTATAGAACCCATTAAAGCCAATAACTCTAATGAAACTGTTTCCTTAGATTCACGCAGTGGAACCACTCGGCCAGATTGAGAATCTGAATCTTGTGTAATATCAACACTTGGACAATCGAGACCATAATCATGATCATATTGGATATATTTCATACGCTCATGGCACTTCTCGATCTCCTGCGAAAGTCTATCGAAACGTTCTCTATCTGATGCAAGATCATTTTCAAGCTCCGTCAACTCTCGGTGTAGCGACTCGTTTGTTTGGAGCAGGGCTCGGAGCTCGACGAGACAACGCTCGTGTTTAACATGTAAATCCGATAAAGATTGCTCACGCAGATGTTCAAGACGGTTAGACAACTCACACTTGTCCCTTGCACAACGGTGTAATAGTGCACGCTTATGTTCCAATGTTGATTCCAGACGGACTGCAGAATCCTGGTTGGAATTCAATAAACCGTGAACATCATCAACGCCAAGCTCGTCATTAAGTTCCTTAAAATGACTACGTTGTAAATCACACAAAACAGACTCATCATGTGACTGAGATTCCTCTAAAACTTTAATCTCAGATTCTATATCGGACAACCTCTTACTTACAGCCAAGATTTTCGACTCTGAACTCTCCAACTGCTGCTCAGAAGCTTCCTTATGACGTCGAGCGAAGTCAACTTTCATCTGTAATAGCTCTTTAGCACGGTGGTGTTTCTGTAGCTTCCCAATGGTGTCCTGTAAAGAACCCTCAATACCCGTAAGTTTCTTGGACAATAATTGGATATCTTGATCAAGACGTTCTGATTTTAAAGATAAACGACTAAATTCAGCTAATTCAATCTCCAATTGGGTATTCTTAGTATAAACTGCAGAATCGAGGATAATCGTACGGTCACGAGTTATCACCTGGCCTTTCTGGGTCACCACAGTGAACCCTAAATAATGGCCGCTGTCACATGAAATTAAACGCTCAGCATCTTCCAAACTATCCACAAGCACTGTGTCGCCAAGTAAATGTTCAAATAAAGACCCATAGCGACGTTGAAATACTAAACAATCCACCGCTAACTTATAGTGAACACGTATCCCACGTGACCTAAACAGCTCAGATAGACGAGCACGATTATCTGATTTAGATAGTTTAAGAGAATCCAATGGGATAAAATCACGCTTGAAGACACGGTCACGACGAAGCTTTGATATACACTCCTGGATGACGGACATACTGTCGGTCACTATCATCTGGCCACGGGTATTAAGTGCCGCCATGATACTGTCGTGATAACACGCATTAGTTATCTCACAGAGAGAAAACACTTCACCATGCACACCTTCTATTGCAGTCATAAGCTCCTGTGTATATTGACGTCGACGGACGATCTGCCTATACTCTAATTTTGCAACATTCAGAGTCTTCAAATGGTTATCAAGGCTAGATTTCTCATCCTGAAGAGCAGAACGACGTGACGTTACCTGAGAACGTTCATGCTCCAATCTCGACTTGGTCATTGAAAGTAATTCTATAGAATCATTAGTTTCACGAAGCCGGGTACATAAATTTTGGTACATCGATTCATGAGGTTTAGATGATTCCATAAGTTTCCCATGGTATTTACGTAAAGATTCCAATTCACCACGGATATGGTCACCATCCGATGACAGGTCCGCTATTTTACCACGACCAAGGTTAAGCTTGATACGCAGTGCAGAAGTGGCCCTTACGAAACTTTGCAACAAACCATCATACTTCTCACGCTGGGCAGCAGTCAGTGATATAGCAGATGAGCGTAAAGATTGCAGCTCGGCAGTTATAGATTCACATTCGCAGTGTAAACGGGACTCCTGCTCAGATAGCTCCTCGCTCTCACGTTGCAAACTATCCACATCGCTCTCTACAGATTGACGCAAAGCATCAAGCTCTGATAGACGCTTCTCCAAACGTGATCTAGATTCATAATAGTGGCTCATGGATTCTTTTTTAGATAACAATCTTTTTTGTTTATCCTGTATCAAACGATGAAGTTGGCTCTGTTCAAAGTATAAAGTTGACCTTTCATGCTCAAGTTCAGCACGTTTAGTCTGCATGTTAGACAAAAGTTCATTTAATTCAGAGGCCCTCTGAGATAAACGGTCATATTCCAACTTTTTATCCCGAAATACAAGTGATATTCGGTGAAAGTCGTATGCATACTTCCGTGCCTCAGCACGCTTGTAACTTGATAACAACGCATCATAGTCGACATTATTCGAGATCATGCTGCGGTATTGTCGAAGTTCCTGCTGTAGAGACCGCTTACGAGCTACCAGGTTACGGTACTCCATGCGTCGTCGCTCAAGTTTCTCTTTTATATACTTATACGGTTTCGCATACAAAGAAGAACCACTTATAGTTTCAAATAGACGAGTCAGCTCTGCTGGAGAACGTGCAGCGATATCGTTAACAGCTCCTTGAAATATCAAACCTGTGGAACCCAAAGTGTTGATACGGTATTCTCGCAAGCTCTCTTTATATTGCTTGAACGATATCGATGCTCCGTCAACGAAGTAACTCACATTGCCCGAGATACTGATTTGACGGCGGAATAAAACAGGTTTAGGACCACCATTAAGGGTAAGCTCCACATAGGCTTCTGTAACAGGGTCGGAACCCTTGCCACGGGACTTGTATATCAGGTCCTTCAAATCTAACCCACGTAATACCGTAGAACTCACACATAATACGAAAGATATCGCGTCCATTAAGTTGGATTTACCGCAGCCGTTAGGACCGATAATAGCTGTGAAGTTACTAAATTCGGAGATATGGACCGTCCCTCCATAACTTTTGAAGTTATGTAAACAAAGACCGATAACAGAACCTATTTTGTCTTCCGACGTGGGTGTAGACGAAATACTCTCCTCAACAGGTGCTAATTCTGCATTGGAAGGTGTGGCAGAGGTCCTTTGAGGTGACTCTTCAGGCGAATCACACACATCCGCAATCTCAGATGTAGGTGTATCGGTCACACAAATAGTACCGGTATCACTATCCGAATCTCTATCGTCCCAAACGAGCCTCATCATTCAAAATGTGACAGAACGAAGAGTGTGGAGTGACAGAATAATATAAGGTAGCACCGGAATATCAAAAGGAATCCATTGTACAATAGAATATTGAAACACACCTCAATGAGATATGGAACATTAATCAAATGATTAATATACTGAAGACGTCACAGGACATGTTAGGAATAGCGAAGAAAGTGGAAATTTCCTGAAGAAAATTAATCAAAGATTCAACAGAAACACGCTGCCAAAGGAAACAATGCTGCATTAGTAAAATAATAGATAATATAAAACTAAAATGTTAACACATCATAAAGAGATAATCTTAAGACCTAACTAATCAATTTTATATAGACTTCTACAACAAAGAAGCTCAAAAACACCAGACGACGCCACACCAACTCCACACAGTACGACCATGTCTAAATAAACGAAACCATACATTATAGCATATAAATATAGACAAAATATGAATATTAATATAATATATATAGATAGGTGGGTATAGACTAAATAACTACGGTCATAACGACATCAACAAGGAAGCTTTTATGATACCGACTTTTTAAAAAACTGTTAAATATCGCAAACAAAATGCTTAATGTAGCTATCGACAAATACCATTGCTATATAGGATGTCTACACCATACCATAGGTGATGAACAGCTACTAACACTAGCTAAATGTTTCAGCAACCATGTCAGATCCTGCAAGGTCATGAGGAAACCATCTACAGAAGCACATCTCGGATATGGGTTCGTGCAGTATACAGATGCAGCATACGCCGATGAAGCAATCGCCAAAATGCAGGGGATAGTCGTCAAGGGGATACCACTCTATATAAGGGCGGCATACCCGTTCACAAGTACCACCTTAAACGAAAAAAACGAAGAACAAGCTAATGATGTCAAAAATGCAACCGTATATGTTAGCGAACTCATGCCAACAGCAACAGATAACGATCTCAGAGGATACGCAGCACCATTCGGAGATGTGGAATATGTCTCAGTTATACCAAATAGAAGATTCGGATTCGTCACTTTCAGTAAACGAGAATATGCACTAGGGTTCATATGCCATATGGACGGATGGAAAGTAGAAGACACATTACTGACATGCTCATGGGCATATCAGAGCAGGACTGCTACACTGCCAGGACAGTTTGAATCGTCGGAAAACGAGAAACAAGATGCCATATTTGGACAAAAATATTCTTACGATCTTATGCCAAAGAAAAAATAAAATTTACTAAGGATAGGAAATTATCAAGTGCAATATGCCACTGTTGCCACCGTAAGCCACAAAGGATATACGAGGACCACCTATTGGCAAGATACGAGACTTCACAGTATGGTGAGCTAACACCTTGCAACGCAATAACCTCTGAGCTTGGATATCGTCTGACCGAGGGCCTCGGAATTTACTGCCGTTACGGGTTATCCAAATGCCGTTATCACGAATAAAAGATAAATCCAGTTGAAATTGACCTTCTGCAAGATCAGCAGCATGAGATACCACGTCACGAATAGGCACAGAAGGAGCACTAGCAACTTGATCAAAACCATCTGATAATTATATAAATACACAAAACACATTATTTAGAAACTTACCAACGGTACTAGGTTCCCACAGATAGGTTGTCGTAAGGTCATAAGTATTACGACGGCCTATAGCGTTGGCAGGTACTTGCACAAATAAACCGTCATCATACACGAAATACGATGAATGCTCAGTTGAATCCATACACCAACAAACATTGTCCATCAAACCCTTGTAAGCAATTTGAGGGTTACGGTCATATGGCAGCTGGGTCAAACCCGGTTTACATTGCCATTCTACAGATACCACAGACGAACCACCGATCAAAAGATGCTGCTGAGTGCCTGAAAAACATATAGATGTTAGAGGACGATGAGAATTGTGATATGATGTCAATTCACCCTCAAGATACGAGTTGCGTGTATCCCTACACATAAATGAAACGATATTTAACACAAAACTAACCATATTATCACCGTACCCAGGTAGGTAGCTATAGACAAGATGAACGATTCCGGGCATGGTAAAAAACGAAGCGCAGTCAGACGACGGGTAGGTCGTGTATCCTTAGGATCCACAAATATAGGGGTAGATTGCGAAAAAAAAGGGTAAACAGAATTGCCGTCACAAAGTGAAATCAAACTAGATGCTTCACATAAATCATCCCAGTAAAAACGCCACATATGCAAATAACCGTCACTTGTACCACCACAAATGGTTACTATATGACGATAAGTGCTAGAACGCCCATCCTTAGACCCAAGAGAATCGTTATCAACAGGTTGCTTGTATTTCTCTGAAGACAATATTGTAATGACAAGAAAGTGGATAACATACCGGTACCGTATGATACTGCCATACATGTTATGAACTGATCTGGTATTTCAACCGTAGGGTCGTGCTCCCAAAGCTCGGTATATGAATCTTCAACCACCGCTCCATCACGAACATCTCTTCTCAAAACACTGACGTCAAATTTACATAGAGATATGGATCCATTGTCCATTAACAGAAGCACCAAAGGATCGCCCCTCTTGGATGGTAGAAACTCACCAAATAATAGCGGATTTAACCATTCTATACCAACACAAATACCACTTTTTAGGGGAGAGATCCTTGACAAACGTGGCTTCTTAAGGATCAGCTTACAAAGCGGTTTATTACCTGATTCTTCAATAGGAACATGCTCAAATGGTATCTCGTAGACTACCAGGTGGCCAGATTGAGCCTCATCAGTCGAGCTATTAAGTGGTGTTGGAGGCCTCCTACTAGTGATGATAAATACACTGCTCTTATTATCCTCATCAGTCGCAAAAGGGCCAAGCACATCGACACTTTCTAGCATACCACCAATGTTAATGAAGCTGCTTATATCAAAATCACCCTTTTTAGGTGGCAGCTTGCGCTTTGGAGGGGCACGCTTCCCAGCAGGTTTCTCTACAACAACGGGAGCGCTCGATACCGGGACCTCTAGCTCAGCCACAGTGGCGGCATCATCTATAACGCCGCCATAGCTTAAGGTCATACAACTCTCGTAAGCAGGAAGCTCCCAAAATGATGTAGAGCTTGCTAACTTCTTGACATTCTACGCCATATTATGTGGGTTTATATGCTTAAGGTGACATATATTACACCGCTCATGTAAAACAACAGTTAACAAGATGTTTATGTAAACACACAAAATATAGACACCCGACAATGAACTTTACAATCATGTTTAAAATGAACAGAGCACTGAAGAACCATTGAAACCATAGATCTAGTGAATGGAACATGTATTCATAGCAATGGGAAATGGAAGTTTAGATGAACTTCACATTATCCGGATAAATATATGCGAAATAATAAACTGACGTACTTTCACAAGAGTCAAACCCATAGAAGGGTGGAGAAGGCTGGCTGGGATATTGTCCAATATAGCAGAATCAGGGCCTCCAGAAGGCGCTCTAGTATCAACAGCAGCCATTTGTAGAGATCACGGTACACACCGCCGATAGTAGCCACATGTGCAACGCGTAGACCATCGTCAACAGCTACTTAAAGAAACTGACGATGGAAGAAGACTATGTTGATCATCAAACAAAAAGATGGAGTTTCAAAAAATCATCCTGAAAAGATAAATGTTTTAACATAAACTTCAAAAAGAAGAATGATGTGCAAACTCAATATTACAAAGTTCAGCCATCGGAGACGCCACGCACATCTAGACGAACTATTCACCATGGGGCTCCCGACATAAACAACGAGGTATTTTATAACTTTACTATACAATAAAAAATCCTCTCGTAAGCCAATATCAAGCCATAACAGGCAGATGGTCTGACCAACGTCCCCTTGCCAATTTATAGAGATCCTTCTGTCTACCCAGGCGCACACCAAACACGCGCTAAAAAAATTCGACTCAAACACTGGGGAAAAAAATATAAAATGGCAAGCAACGGCAATCAGGAGGCATTCGCAGCCCTGCTAGAAGCCTTAGCTTCAGCAAATAGTGCCGCAAGGGCAGATGCTGATGCGAAAATTACAACGCTCAAAAGAAATGATATCAATACCGCCCTCAAACTCACACTCAATGTCATGCTTAGTGATCAAAATGATGAAAGAAGACTACAAGCTGTCATACTTCTAAGACTACTACTAGATCTATCAAAGTCCGGTGATGCGCCAAGGAACATGTGGAAGCTTGTAACGCCAGAAACAAAGGCCCTTCTCAAACAGTCACTATTACAGTGTCTACATGCTGAAACAAAAAATTCTATAAGAAATAATGCGTGCGACACTATCGCAGACCTTTGTGTCACATGCCTAAACACAGATGAATGGCCGGAACTTACAAGGTGTACTATACAACTCATACAAAATGAAAACCCGATGTACAAAAAATCTGGATTCAAATTATTAGGAGAATGCTTCTCATATTTTGCCGATGAACTATCACCACATCTCAATAATGTTGTACAACTTGCAAGAAACAGCCTTATGGACCCTAACGCATCAGTCAGAACAGAAACTATATGCGCCATATCAAATGTACTGGAAGATGATGTACTGGATATTGCATCACAACTAGGAGATGCCACACCATATATCATAGAACATATCAAACAACTCGCAATATCAACTGATAATGCTTCGAGGGATGAACTGGAAAGATCGATGGCAGGACTTATCATGATAGTAGACAACAACGCCAAAATTCTTAAGCCACATATACAACTGTTCTATAACAGTATGATCGAAATCGCAGTCACGGAAAATGCACAACCGAATCTCGATCAAGAAATTCGGTGCATGGCAATAGAAGCATTGGTTACACTTGTAGAAAAAAAACCAAAAATGGCACTAAGTATACCAAATTTCGGATTGAGGATGGTAGCTTGCCTAATGAACGCTATGCTGGATATACAAGATGACAGTTATGCGGAATGGTTAGAGACAGGAGAAGACGATGATGATATACAGAGGCTGTATGATGCCGGAGAAGAGGGATTGGACAGACTCGGAAGAGCATTAGAAGATATAGAAGATTGCCCATTCATGGATTGGGTATTGCTACAAGCGTCACAATTTATAACACAAGCCAGCTGGCAACATGTATTTGTTGGAATCATGGCAATATCACAGACTGTAGAGTACCTCACAGAAGATGAAGTTGAAGAAAGGATGCCATCGATTATCAAAATCATGATAGATAAACTTAAAGATCAAGATTTCAGGATCAGATTTGCCGCATGCCAAACAATAGGACAAATCGCACTAGACCATCAACCATATGTACAAATCACATTCTTCGAAGAGGTTATACCAGCACTCATCACCACATTCGAGGACCAAAGCCCAAGGGTACAGTCACATGCTCTATCAGCTTTCATCAACTTTGCCGAAGAGGTACAAAAGGAAAACCTGCTACCACTAGCAGACCTCATTGTCAAGCAACTGCTCGCGAAAATTAACCCAAATGCTCACAAGTCGGTACGTGAACAGGCTATAACATCCTTGGCTGTTGTAGCCGGGGTACTAGAAGAACATTTCGTAAAATACTACTCAACTGTCATGCCACTCATGAAAGAAACAATCGCAAAGTGTGTTGGCACAGAAGAACGAACATGCCGTGGAAAAGCGATAGAATGTATATCGATCATTGGTATGGGTATAGGACAGGATATATTCATGAACGATGGAATTGAGTGTATGAACGCTCTTATACAAATCATGCAGGAACCGTCCACACCGGACGATCCCGTTAAAGAGTATATAGATGAAGCACTGGGCAGACTCTGCACAGCACTAGGAACGAACTTCTGCCACTTCTTACCGTCAATCGTACCCTCACTGATAAGAGCATTGGAAACGAATATCAAGTCTATTGGCGATGATGATGCCGATATGACGCTCATGATGGGCGCAGAAGGTGCCGCGGGACTTCGTACCACCCTAGTAGAAGAATTGGAAAGGACACTTGACCTCTTCGCGAACATTGTTGAGGAATTGAAGGAACACTATGACGATTATGTAGTACCTACCGCACATGCACTACTGCCAATACTCAATTACATACTTACAAGCGAGTTGAAACAAAAGACACTATATGCTTTGGCACAACTCATCAAGGCCAAGAAATTGGCTATCGAAAAGAAAGGGGGATCGAAGGAAGTGCTATTCGACATTGTACTGAACACACTGAACAATGTTATCAGCAGTTTGGAAAAAGCAAGAAGCGATGATGCACAAATCGGAATATCAGTGGATATACTTACCGCCAATGCAGATGGGCTATACAAGTGTCTCGACTGCGCAGGACCTGGGATACTCAACGTAAATATAGTTAACGCCGTAGGACAGAAACTATTGCAATTGATAGAAGAGTCATCGAAGTTCAAAAAAATGTACACCAAATATAGACTTAAAAAAGATCTCGATCCAGACGAACTGTTGTCTATAGAAATTGATGAAGAAAATGAACAGGCGTATAGGTCAGCCTTACTCGAACTATTTGGCGTGATTATGAAACACCACCCAGATGAATTTATGCAAACATGCCATAACGCTTGCGTGCAATTTGTAATGGCAAACCTCGACAAGAACCATGCTGACGATATTGCTGTGGGCCTGTATCTCTGCGATAACATGATAGAGCATCTCAAGGCGAGGATAGTGTCCATATGGCCACAATTCTTGCCATATATATTCAAGTATGTCGAAAGCAAGAATGCGAACGTAAGGCAATCGGCGTGTTACGGTGTCAGTTTACTAGCTCAACTGCCAGAATTTGCGGGAATGGAAAACGAGGCCGCAGCTAAGATAGCTTCTGCCTTGAGAATGACATTCTCAACATCGAAACGTGACCAGCAAGCTGCAACAGATAACGCGATTGCCGCTTTGGGTGAAATCATTAGGCATCATGGAGCCAATCTAAACGATGCCGCGAGTTATTTGAACTTATGGCTAAAGAGCTTACCAATTAAAGCAGATGAAGAGGAAGGTAGACGTGTCCACAAGAACCTTATGGACATGATTATCGCTAATAACCGAACTATTCTAGGACCAGACAACTGCAATATGGGACAGATAGCCAAGATATTTATTTCAATCTACGAAACTGATCTGTCAACGGATGAATTGAACAGACAGATTATCCAGCTGATGCAACATCTCGGAGAAGCCTTCTTACAACAATTGGCACCGTCACTACCTAAGAAGTTGCAAATGCAGTTGAAAACTATCGCAAGGGCGATGTGAACACGTGGCCATAAGTTTGTTTAGTTTATAATTATATCCCACACATTTGTACTAGCATATACATCCCGATTGGTATCGATAATACCCTGAAATTTTTACAATAACAGCTGATGTATAGAATAAGGCTTAATTATATATGCTGTGTTGCGTTAGCGCTCCTGGTAGCGCAGAATGGCCAACTGGTAGGTTGCAGGAGCACCCCGAGGTATACAAGTCAAGATTCGAAACGATTAACAGTACATCAACCTGTTACCAAGGGAGCTACAAAATATATAGAAGAAAAGATTAACAATTTTACGAGGAAGCCAACACGCCTAGCGCTTTGTAACGTAAACCCGGACCCAGCGCAACAAGCCGAGCGACATAGGCCCGGAATAGTACCGATACTATCACACACATACAAATCTCTGGTGGAATATGTTAAGAAAAATGTTAAAAAGGTATTAGACAATAGAGATCAGGCTTTATCAAGTACACATCCATTAAGACATCAAAAATGGCGCATTACAATGCACAGAAAAATAGGATTACTAGGACTGTAAGTAACCTATACAATCCAAATTGCCTTTAATGTACACAGGAAATATCGGACGGAATATATGGTTATAGATTTTATGGAAGATGGAACTTTAAAAACTGACCAAGGACATCAAGGTAACATTGAGACATATATAAGAACAAATTTTTGCCAGGAACATGGTGGTCAGAATATGGAAATATCATGTGGAAAATATATTTCCAGCCTTCTATCAATGTTGCTACGTACTTCAGCGCACAGGTAACATATATGCATCCCATAAGCAATGTGTAATTGCAACAGCCACACTCTAACAATCTAACGCACATACAGTTCTGTTGGAACAATTTTGGTGAAGCAGCGTTCATGAGAAGAGGAGTTTTCTACCAAGATAGGCCGCCAAATGGCTGGTTACCGCAGTACCTGTTCAGGCCAGTACTTGGCAAGTTTACCGGGGAAGGTGTACGACACACTGACGATTAATATCCAAATAATAATAAAACAAACCCTAATGAAGACAGTTAATGTGATAGGATTGGAAAATGACATAAATAACACAATATAACGACACTGTGATCCAGTAGATAACTCAACTGGCTCACTCTAGGGCGGGTATGCACGTAAAATGAAAAATGACGAGTCAATCGAGTCAAATATAAGATATTCTGTTACTCCTTGCCAATAACAACTTGGTTTGACTACTTAAACGAGTATGTATTTAGTTCCGATATCCGTCAATGTCACAAATGGAAATTCTTACCATGGTGCTATAGGATGGCTAAACTGCCATATATAGTACAGAAATATCCTTTTCCACCCTTTAGATAGCGATTAACGCCTGTAATACCTCCAAGGAACTCATAATATCTTCATATTTAATCCTATCCCTGGATGCGGAAATATATCAAACTCTCAAATGACTACATGCCGTTTTTAACAACATAGCCGCTCTAAACTATAAGATAGCACGATATAGAACCAACTGGTAGCATTCAATGTTTTGTAATAACAGTCTAATAGAAAGTATCTACTGTTACAAACCCCGACCAAACCTATGGCATAGTTACATCTGAGCCACCTCAACTAACGTTATGCTGCATGAGGTAAATGCTTCAGGTGGCATCCAACACTCATGCAACAAGCTCTGGCCGCATTTATTGGCTCATTTAGGCTGTCGCTGTCCATAAAATGGCCAAAATGCCTCCATCTAGACAAACAACTCAAACTCAATCCCATCTAAAACATCCATGGCCGCCATTTTTTCGACTTATAACGACAAATACCTGAAATACGCAACAGTAGACCCACATATACCCCCGCAATATTGAGGGAAGTGCCTGCATGGATTCAACCGATGACCAGCAAAAACAAAAAATCGTTTTCAACCCTCAGACCTGCATTCACATTGTATCAATCACAAAACACCTTTATATACATAATAGTGTTAAGAGAACAACGATTTTTTAGTTGTTAATAAAGTTTGAGAATTTAAGACAGGGTCTAAGTTCGTAATAAAAAAGCAACATATCATCCTAGATAAACAAAAGACGTTCAATCTAACCAGATTGTCGATACAATGGCAGGATATTCCGCAAGACCTATGCCACCGCGTCCTACAGCCCCGTCTCAAGGAACGCAGAGACCACCGCCGCCGGGAAGGGCAGGCATGAGGTCAGAAGCTCCACCAGCGGCGCCGCCGGCAGCACCTCCTGTAACACAATCAGGACATCAAGCATTACCAGAATCAGGAGCAATGCCAGCAGCATCTCCACATCCAGGAACCCCTGTTGCGGCGCCACCAGGAGCTCCAGCGCCAGCAGAGGCAGCACCAACACCAGCCAAAGCAAAAACCATTGTTCAACGGAAACAAAAGTTAACAGACTGTCCAACCAATGTAAAAGAAGCAATGGATTGGATATTAAGACTGACAAACAAAGATGGAACGATAGGCGGGCAACCTGATAAAGGTGAGTACTAAAATTATCTGTCTAATTCTGTTTTCAGAAGCTATAAATGAATTGGCCGGTGAGTTATTGGCACTTATGAAAGAAACGCAGACCTATATAAAAGGTCGTTATAAAAGGTATTCCAGTGAAGATAAACGGTTGATCGCAGAAGTCATAAAGGCGCTGGAAAGTGATACAAAATATACGGGAATGGTATCCGTAGGTTCTCTTGATAATGATAATATCTATGGAGGCGTAATAACACAGTTGAGTACTAGCTTCAATTCATTGGTTGGATGGATCGGAATGCACATAAGTGGGTTAGTTCTTGGCAAGGTAAAGGCGAGCCCTGAGGAAGGCTACCTCTCAGCTTATGATAAAGACGCCACGTGGAAAAATGCCAAAACAGAAAAGGATGGCACAAAAATATGTGCAAAAATATTTCTTGGTTGCATACCCTTACTCTTCACTGGTATCACCTACTTATATTGGCAATGTAGCCACGGCAATGACGATAGCGGTGGCAAACGGTGGGTATGTGACGTTCAAAGGCACGCAGGTGGTTCATCCTGCCAAGAATTGACCAATCCCGATGGTAACATATGTAATTATCTCCAGTCGATAGGTTTCCCATTAGAACAACTCAATGATAATGACAGTAGCAACAGGGATGCAAACTTCCTCGTATCAATCATTAAAGACTTTTTTCCGGAGTTCGACAGTAGGGGTAATCGAATGGGCTTCCGAATGCTCAGCGGTGACATCCCTCCCGTGGATCAAGCATATTCATCGTTTATCAAGACATTATTAGTAAATTCTAAGTTGAAAGACAGTGAACCTTCAAGTGAAATCCTTGCTTCTCTTTATTTTGCCAGCAAATATTATTTCCAAGCTCAACATTACACCCCAAAGTATAAAAAAGATGAAAAAAAACGTTTACCAGCTACCATTCGTGAAATGCTCTATTGGTTAATGACATTGCCTTACACCCCTTTTTATCGTTCTATGGAGTTAGAGGGTCTGGAAAAGATACTAAAGATAGAAAAAGGCAACAATGTGGAGTTTATCAAGGGAAAGAATCCTCGCGAGTGCATTTCGATCGACCTCATCAATACGCATTACCGTGTTCTATCTACTTGTAGCTACTCTAGTATCGTGTTAATGGCTATACAAGGTGGACTAGACGATAAGGAGACACGCAGTGACCCACTAATCGTACACAAGCTTCTTACGAATACACATTTCTCCTTCTACTACCCCCTAAAAGAAAAGGAATGGTTTGAACTCTTATGGGACATAGTGTCTGACCTATACTTACAAATTAAATTCCTGAGTGAACAATGCATGACATGTGTTACCGAAGGGTGTGGATGGAAATGGTGTCAATATGGTAGTGGTGTCAGTTGTAAGAACATCTTGTCTTGGATATGTGGTGCCACTACTGAGCAAGGTGGTGTGCTCCACTCTTGTGTGAGTGACGGGTGTAACCAGTCACACAACGAACACGTAACAAGCAAGGGTCAGTGCTCACCCCTCCAAGCATTCCTCTGCGATAATCTAACAAATTTCATATGCCGTGATACCACCAAAAAAGGATATACAATCTATCAGGACCATATAACACACCGTGTACAAAGACAGTGGTGTCCCATACCACTGGGGTTCAAACAATCAGACCTTCCATCTGTACCTCGGAACGGAAACTGCCTTGAGATCATCCTAGACACATTCTGCTACAGTAAAACAGAATCCGTTAGTCTATTTAACCTCATAATGTGCCTAATGGGTTTCATGGTGAAAACACCCCGAAGTCTAGGTGACCTCTTCGGATTCTTCTATTCTCTAGGGGAGTCAACTGATAACATTGGAACTGGCGACAAAGGGCCTATAATGAAAACTGAACTTGAAGATACTATCAAATACTATTCGTGGAATAGCAGCCACACATTCAACAATACTGATATTGTCAGTGCAGTAAAAACATTGAGTGGGAATGCGGATAGTGCGTCACATCGGGGTCCAATCAACCATCCTGCCGACTTTAAAAGTATCCATGGTTGCTATATTGACAAATGCGGTAGTTACATCGCACCGTTAAGAGGGGATATATACTCTGTATTCCACACAAAGTACGCCCACACTTATCTAGCGTGGATAGTCTACCTCGCCGATTACCTATGTGAGGGCATCAAAGATCTAATCAACAAGTTCAAAAAGGTTAAGTGCAAGTATTGTGACCATATACCACAGTGCGAACCAGGATGTCATGAAATCGACAAAGATAATGATTGTAAATGCCAGTCGGTCGTGAAGTGCGCCGCTGTCTTAGAACTATATCATCGATATGGGTTCGGTTATTCATCTGCTTCGGAATTGCATGGAACCAGCTCGAAAAAAACATGTGAAGATTTCTTCAATCAAGTCAAGGCAGTCTACGAAGGAATACCACTGGCTGGTCTTAACAGTGCCGTAAACAACTTCCTACTCCACATCCGTTTCTACTTTATCCTTTACCAAGCCGCTTTCTGGATTCTACTCATTGCATATTTCATATATGGGATCTTAATGACACTCGACTTAATATACATTCGTTCACATTGGAGGTTGGCCTTATCTCATCAAGTGCCATCCACCATATTCCTGTCCAACCAAGCTTCACCAAATGATGCATTCTACTTTAAATTATAACATGACAGCTCTAATCTATATCATAGCATATCCCTAAAACTATACGTAATTTCATATGCACTTCATTGATGTTACCATACACAACTTATGTCATCGTATCATGTCTGCATACTCATTAATTTATACAGCGACTTCGAAAAATCTTTTTTCTCAGGAGTTTACACAACTTCGACTCTATGATGTGGAGCAAACCATATCATACCTATAATTCGCCGTGGCGCTCATCTTCACGGTTTTATCGGACATCGTTAATACCTGAGGTAGATGTACCTCATTCTATTCCATATTAACCCCCATCGTCCCCTTAATATTACTGAATACTCTTAGAGAACATTACAACTCTGTTTGTAATATCACTGTGCCTATCTGAGAACCACATACTTAATAGCTTGATGCACAGTTACATGTAGCTATAAAAGTGCCATACAGTACTTCGTATGTTGGACAAAGTACATACAGTCCTTATACTATAAAAGATTCATAGGGGCAGCAGGAACGTACACATACATCGATAAGTCCCCAACTGTATACCGCTAAAAAGAGAAAGATCAATAAGTTCTATAGAAACATTAGTACCATTATGTTTCATGGTATATAGTACATCACACTCTAATGGCGTGTTGAAATGCGCAGTACCTTCGAACACCCCGGTGTTTCATGGTTTAAATAATCTATCATGCTGGGTAACAGCTTTTGTGATAATAAAAAGAGAGGTGTCACTTTATGGCTTCTAGCCAGTCTCCAATGAGATCGAATGTACAGTAGGTCCAACGGGATGGTTAAACCGTAGCTTAGATAGGCAACCACTACAAGCCAAAATGTTAGGAGATATAATACGAAAGGTAGGCGAATATTTTTGAGGAAAGTATATATAGCTTCCAGGAGTTTTGAAAATAGGTCACTGTCGAGGACAGTTCTTAGTTGGGTGGAGAAGTCGGAACACTGGTGTTGGTATTTCTTTATCCCTGTGCCCGGGTTTTCCTCCTTTGCGGTTCCATTCAACGCATGGACATTTTCGAATGTGAACCCAAATCGGTAAAACACGTAAAGCGCCCCCGCACATTGAACGATGGTGTCGCATTGGCAGTGAGATTTGTCGTTATGACAGTCTGTTGTGCACTTGGGGCCCTTAGTGTGCTTACATCCGCCATTTTTCGAACAATCAATGCTTCTGAACTCAGTTAGCAACTGCTCTAATCCAGTCTTTAAATCTTCGGTCAAATAGATTATCCATGACAAATAAGGCTCAGCAAATTCTACGCAAAAGACTCTATATAAACTCCAAGAAAGCGAAATAAGTTATTGGTCAGATGTAAGACCTGTACCTCCACAAAAATATAGACTTTGCAGAGATTCATGTTTACTACCATTCCGAGGGTGATCACCACTGTGGAGTTCTTGGAAACGATTGGTAAGAACTCTACCGTCACTGGTGGATTCACTGATATGATAGCCAGGATAACCATCGATTGCTCCTATAAGGACATCCTTCATTTGCTTCGCACCTGCAACTTTATCCCTAACAGACACATTGTATTTGTCAGCTATAAAATAGAAAAATGCAAACAGATCCCCTGTTGTCCTTGGAGTATGTAATTTCACACAAAAGACACACCACGCTAATTGGCATAGACTAGAGTGGGTTACACTTGCATCTGTGTAGTACCATAAAACGAGATAAAGGTGGCGCCCGTGCCTACTAGTGATAAAATTTGACTCATCGAATCCCATAGGGATGTGGCACCATTGAGAACGGGTAAGATGATCGGTGTGTTCGTGATAGGGAGAGTTTCTGTTAACAGGCTTGGTTTTCACATGCTGTGGCTCCTCATTAACGCATTTCAATCCACCCAATTCATCAGTTAAAAATACCTGGAGGGGTGATGGGTTGGACGTTGGAACACCTTTACCGCATTTACTGATGTGGTTCTTCCAATGTAGACAATTACCAGTGGCTGTATCGTGCAGCGGTTCCCCTGCACCAGGTTTGTCGGCCGTATCAGTTATTGTACATTTCCAAGAAGCCACATTGTAACAGCTCACACCTTTACCATATGTGCACCACGCCCGTCCACACGCTTTATACGGACACGTTCGACACCGTTCTTGGAGAAAGTAGCATTGAAAATACAGCGCAAACACTACATCCGACAGCACCTTGTAACATTCCGAAACACTGCTTGGATAAAGAAAGTTAAAGGTTGTATTACAATATATGTCGTAGATAATAACAGCATCACTGGGTGTATTACGGTGCGTCGTATCGGTATCACCCGTTATACCACCTTGTATTGCCATCAATACGAACCCGGCATAGTAACACGGTACGCGCAAATAATAGTTTACAGAGTGAGATTCAAGGTGGAAGTGATCATTTGCCCCCTTGTAGAACTCTACGGTGACAGTGCCAGAACTATTAGTGCACGCTTCTTCGATGCGACGTTCCAATTGCCAGTAGACTGGCGTATACGGTAGCACCATCAGCCAATATAACATCTCACGAATACTTGAAGGTAAACGTTTATCTGTCTCGTGTAATTTCGTGTCCCTCTGCTCAATGACTTGGAAATAAGTCTCTGCGGCGATATAAAGACAAGCTAGGGGGTGTCGCTTAACATCGTGGCCTTGCCCAGTTTTTTTCTTAACGTCGTTATCATGTAAATACTCCACAAATTCGGCAAAAGAACCTTGCACAACTGTGGTGTCGTTGTTACTACTATTCGAAACAGATGTGCATTCACCGAACTGCTTGAAGACAACAAGCAATCCTGCAACGTCAGTACCAGCCACCTTGGTGCCACCTTTATCATCGAGCTGGGAGATAATGTATCCCATGGACTGTAGGGAGGTACATATTGTATCATTCTCCTCATTGATTTGCTGGTTGGCCCACCTATCGTTGGTCTTCGGCGTCTTACCCTTATTGCACTGCCAATAGAGGTAGCTGAGGCCTGAGAAAAGGAGTGGGATAATGCCCAAAAATATTTTGGCGCATGTAGTTACTTTATTGGCAGCAGGGTTCCATGAAGAATCCCCGTAAACTGTTTTATATGTATCATTGCCGGTACGATCATTCTTGCCGATGCCTTTACTTGTCCCCAATGCCCACTTGCCACCGGGCGGAGAATTCGTGTATCCGACGAATCCGGCTAGCTTCTTTGACAATTTGGCGATCAACCCATTGGCGCCCTCGTTCTCTCTCAATGCATCTAGTACGCTCGTAAAAACATCCCTATCCTCACCCTGCACGTATGGTTCAACGCAACTTAGTTGTTCTGCAGCAGCCCCAGCCAATCCCTTTATAGCCTCTAAACAAAATTAGATGTATAAGAAATCCGCTTACTTTCATCAGTCGTTCCATCCGCGCCCCTGCCGTCTTTCCCTCTAACTCGTAATATCCAGTCTACAGCCTCTCTTACATTTGCAGGACATTCAGTAAGAGCTTTCTTCGCATAAGCAGCTACCGGGGTTCCCGACGTTGCTGCCATTTCTTCGATCAATTACCAAAACCTGATTCTATAATTCTCACATTGTAGTGGGTATTCTTCAGAGCGTTGAATCTCGGGATTTCTCAATAATCATTTTAAACGGAAATGAAGCGCTCCGCGCCCCTAAACATCAATCGTCATTTGCAGTTTTACAAATGAAATGGGAAGGAGCAGAATAACAAGTACCCCAACCGGTATCGTAGAACCATATGCGATTGATCGCCTATATAAAGTTGGCTATAACACCTGTACAATCGCATAACCATCCCACCCCTGATGCAATCAGTGGCGTTAGGTATGGGGAAGGGAAAGGGGTAATCGTGGACACAATGCTCAGAACGAGTGACGGGCACGTCTGTGGCTAACCATCCGGGGGCGCTTTCCACGATGTAGTAGTATTGGCTGTTGCGGTCATACTACAAGAGGAACTCTAGTTCGTTTGCTGCAGTTCGCTGTTCATTCGTGATAACGATGAATCAATCTGTATTACTACGTTGATTCAACGTGAATGCACATCTCTAACCCTCCAACACAATGAAGTCCATCCACCGAAGTGCTTCAGGGTGGAGTTGATGTTGCAGATGTTCAACAGGACACCAAATCAGTCTTAACTAGACAAATCCGGGCTGTGAAAGTCTTATATGGACTTGAATCTTGTGTTACCGCACCATTAAACACGTATATCGTACCATCAGTGCCCTCTACGGTATTCACAGTTGTCCAATGTCACCCATGGGGAATTAGATTGCAGGCTATGTCCACACCCCGTAAACATCGAGCAATAATGTCACGTAATACGCATATGCGCTTGACGAAACGTCTTTTCGCAGTAGTTTGAAGCTGTGAAAGGTCAATATGGTGCCCCGTCCTGTAAAATTGATATCCACAGGGTACCCAGCATGTCGTAGACTACAAGTCGCTCGTCCACTCTGGCCTACGCAAAATGATTGGAGTTAAACTCGTCATTCCGTTTTACTGCTATCAGCCAAAAGGTCACGCTTCTCGAAAATATCCCCGTTCTTTGAAATGTCATGGGCAGCCCGATGGACTACTGGCATGAGCTCTCCAAGAGTTTTTTGGAGGTGTATTAAAAACGAATCTTGTTCTAGACTCCTATTTGTGCACAATGTGTTTACAAAACTACAAAGCGCGCTTAGCGACCTAGTCGGCACTGCCGACGGGTCCTTAGATATAATGGCCAAGTAACTCAGGGTAAATTTTCGAACCTCATCGTTTAGAAAAAAGAGCTCGACGTCCTTCGGTTCAAGGACTTGCGCTCCATGCATACAGAGCTCGATGTTATGCAAAAGTGATGCATAAGATTGGAACTTATGCGCTGCAGGTTCACCGGCGGTACGTATGGTGGAAGTAGCATGGTCCAGGGCGGAACATCCCATCCGGTTGAGAAGTTCCAATCCTACGCCATTGTGTGATAAGGCTCTCAAAGCCTTCATGTATAACTGTAGCGATTCAAAGCTTGCATCTCCTACACTGTCCTTATCCAGCAAAGTGGCAAGCAGAAGCTCCATCACGCTTTTGTGCTCAACATTTGGAGCGACAGATGACATTTTAACCATACGTTTTATGGCATCAGGCAGTGTTGTATGTGACAAATGATCTCTTAGTCGATCGGCGATGTCCAAAAGCGTATGACTCGCGTCAAAGGCTTTGTACAAGTCAGCATTTGCCAGACGACTTAAAGAAATCACTATGTTCACATTGTCCGTCAGTTTAATCACCGTTTGGTCCAGTAACCATAGCCACAAGGCATATACTGTCACTATGTCGGCGGTCCTGAGTGAAGCGTAGTATTTGAGTATCATGCATATGCTGTGACCATCGACGTAACCAAGAGACGTTTCTGATTGCGCTGTGGCGCTGCCGCAACACGCATTGACACATAGTGACGAAATCACTCTGGACTCCACCAGCTCGTGAAATCGCTTGAAAGCACAGCTTATACCCTTATCACCCAACGAATCACTCAGGGGGGCCAAACCAAGTTTGTCCATATATTGGGGGGCCTGTTTGTTGGTAATCGAGCAGGAAATCTGATCTTCATGCGTAGAAGAAGCGGAAATTGCCACGTCCAGACAACCACTGTGTACTATGTTGGCCAGTGAGTTCATAATTAAAGACAATTTGACAAAGTCAAACCCCTCGATGTTATACCATGCTAGGCATAGCAATGCATGTAAACGTCCCCGAAGCTGCTGCAGATCCCCAATGCATTTGGGTGAAGAGCCCATGGCAGAACACCTCAACGCCAAGAGCTGGAAACCCATGACGATTTCAAAAGGCCTCAAAACGTCCACGTCGAGATGATCATTTGAACCATATCGCTGACACTGCCTTTTCGCATAATCCTCTACCGATTGTGCAGTTTTTGCAGGGCTAGGTAGACGGACAAGTGCCAACGATAACCTCAGATGGTGGTCAAATGAATCCTGTATTTTTTCGAATGAACGTAGCGACCGACGCTTCAGAGCATCCTTCACAAGGTTGAAAAGCGACTGTTTATTAAGCATCTTTGGCTATTCACAGTCGCTCTTTCCTCTGCTATTAAACTTCGACCCGGCGGCCGTAGCCAGTAACGCCGGCCAAGAGCCGGCGAGAATCAAATACAATCAGCGCATTATAGGTTTTTACCAATTTATAGAGAAAGCAAAAGGGATTCTGCACGGAAGGACTGGGGCGTAGGCAGGGTCAAGCACATACAGAGGTTGGCCTTGTTGTGTACCGTGGCGGCCCGTGATTTTATCTGAGCTTAGCCCAGATATTCAAAAATGTTATGTAGGTTATATTTTTATTCACAGAGCAGCTAAATACGTGCCTGCCACATACGTTTGACAGAGCCAATGTGTCACATGCCCGATCGCGGCTACCTCCGACAGTGCCAAATAGATTTCAGGATCCGTAGACCTTCTTGAACCTTTTACACCGCCATCAGCGGAGGCACTATAACACTAGCGGTTGAGAATAACTAAACGAAAGTGAACCCAGGGTGTCTAATGCGCAACCGGCGTCTTAACTAACAATAGAATGACGGCGTGTAGGTAGAAGATAATCTACCTAGGGCCTGCAAAACACCACTTAACGCTTATATAGGAATATTATCTATATATTTCAAAAAAAAATATGGACGTAACGGAACACAGAAAGGCGTAAAGCCGGTAAAATGTAGCTTCCACTACACATCCACACCACCCAAACTCCAGTAGAATTTTCCACCACTACTCGGCGCCTACGGGCACATGCCGCTATATCCGCTGCACATTAAGAAGACTGAATCGCGTGGAATGTATTTGGATCTGTAGACTAGGAAGACGGCTAAATAATCCCGGACCACGCGCCGAGATGGTACAGCCGCTATTTTTTGCGGGGCAACGATGCTCAGTCATATCCAGTATATTGTCAGATTCCAAAGAATCGATCAATGATGACTATGACATCATGTCTGCAACGACATCACCGCTACGTTCGCAATCTTCAATAAACTGCACTCCGTACATTAGGCAGCTGCCTCCGGCAGCAGTAGACTGTTTAAACACACTCTACAGGAACAATGGAGAGGGTACCGACTCTCTTAAGTCAGTCAAGGGAGCTAATGAACACTCAATGGCACGTGGCCAGGCTGTGATGAATGACGGTGGTGGAAATTCGAACGTTACCGTCGACCACAGGAAACCTAGCGATATGGCAACACCTATAACAACCTGCAAGATGACATCTTTGAACATTAACAGGAGGTGTTATCCCCAAGAACAACTAGAGCCTGGCATCAACTTGGATTATACAAACGATGATCAGGTCCCAACACGTACGCCAACGCTCACTCGTCAAACCACAGACAAACAGTCTAGCAGTACAGGATCGTGGAATTCGGAAGCAGATCCAGCATTAGACATATCACCATTTGTAAAATCATCCAGATATGGACAACATGATCAAAAGTTCAAATTAGTATGGCTACCAAATACAGAAGTTAGCAGCCTTATGAGAGTACCCAGCATCGCACAACTCTCAAAAAAACTATCGAAAAATGCAGAATTGTTATATCTGGTATACACACCAGGGGGTATGGATATCATCCAGGATGCAAGCGCTATAGTAGATCTAGAAAAAAGACAGAATCATACACCATTTGTTATATTGTACTCATATAGCTTCAAAAGTATGTACTTCAAAGTGGTAGGACGAGAACTCGATGCATCATCTACAATAACATTCGGAGAGGACGGTGAACCTACTTCAATCACAAACGAAGACGAACTGGGAACAGGAACTTCGTCCAGGCGTAGAGCAAGAGCATACAATTCAGACAGTAACTATGTATTCTATCGAAGCTACTTGTATGGCCGAGATGACGATCAACAGGCACTCCAAATCAAAATGTCGGTGCGCAGTCTAAAAGAGGCGGGATTAGACATGAGAGAAACGCCTATACAGGCTATGGAAAATGGACGAACGCGCTCAACACCCACCAATCGAACTCCTAAAAACAGGATATTTAGAAACAGTTCGGTGGATAGTGAACAACTGAATAGCTTTACAGAATGTATTGCTCGTTCACAATCGGAGTTGTCATCGATGCGTTCTCTCGAATCACTACAATTCGACGGAGGCGTACCTCCGGAGGGGTCAGCGACGCAAGAAACGGTTCAAAGGTCAGCGAGACATGGCAACTGGGTATATGCAACTGTTGACGACCATAATTCCGACGATGAAATAATATGCGGGTTGCCCAGTGTACTATGGACGGAACTAAGAAGATTGCTCGGTACCGATGGGAATATCACACTACCACAGTGCAATGTATCGATGGCAAATCATCGTATGGAGGCCATGATCAAACGCAACTTTGAATTGTATGATCAGAACTACGAACAAATCAGTACCGATGTTATACATGACCTGCAACCAGCATCATGCGAAGAACAAAATCATGGCACAATGTATCAGATTGATGACTTCACGGTTAGAGTTGGAGATGTACTGGTAGTGAAGTTTCCTACGACATACAGGGTATGGCACATGGAAGAGGACGTGGTGAAAATCTATGATAACGATACGTTAAAGCGTTGCTTCGATACACTCGCAACGCTAGGAGACGAAAAACCCACGGACATCACAGTAGAACTGGCGCAATACTGTCCAAATATATTCTGGAACCTGGTATTTGGTGGTGATCTCGACGATATGTTGCGTAAGATGGCACCTAATGTGTACGGGACCGCGAGGAAACGTAGACGCGCAGCAGTTAAAAATGATGCAACTTCATTGTCCACAAGACGTGGATTAACTACAAGACGCTTCAGTGATACGCCAGTATTCGATAACAACTTCGTTATTATGCAAAATATGTTCGAGCAAGATGCACAGGTCAAAATACAACGTCTTGAAAAAATACGTGACCAACAAAGAGATTCTAACGGGAAACTCGCCCGCAGTATATTAAGCAAATACTTGGATGACGATGAACTTATAGCAGCCGTTATGGACCCCGACGGGTTCCTTATCAAGAGCATGCAGATACTGACACCGGCACAGAAAACGGTAGTCTATAGCACGTGCCTACGAAGGGGACTGTACGCACCGGTACGGTTGGATTACCTACCTAAGAAGGGACGCGCAGTATTCGCTGCATACGATATAGGCAAGGATGAGTTTGTCGTCGAGTACAAGGGCCATATCATCACCGAGAAAATGGCAAAATTCAGGGACCAAAAATACGACAAATCGAAGTCATATAAGGGGTAGGTGTGACAACATAGCTAATATACATTATCAGGTCGTACGTGTTCTACTTCAAAGTACACACAAAGCGTTATGGAATTGACGCAACTGAAGAAGATATCAAGTTCGGCCCTGCTAGACTTATCAATCACTCACGCAAAAACCCAAATGTTGTTCCTAAAGCCTTAGAGATTGATGGATGCCCGCGACTGTTTTTTGTTGCGAAACGCGATATTAAAAGGTTGGTTTTGCGATCACGCTGCCTAACACTTCGCAGCGGGGAAGAACTACTGATCGACTACGGCGAACGTGACCCTTACGTTATCAAAGGCAACCCGTGGTTGCTAGACTAACGAAGTGGTCCTGTACGCTTGCAAGTATCAGAATCTTGTGTTTGGCTCAAGGAAAACTGTGTAGTTGTACGCCGTGGGTTGGGTCTTCTGTAATGTCTCCACGATAACCTGATAGTCGAGCTCCCGGATCTCGTCAGGAGATAACAGACCGACCTTGCCTTCAGCCATCGACTTGTTTATCATTTGCATATTCTTAGCGTCCTTGATAAGCTGGGCGCTATGAGTATGCTTGTCTGTATACCTACCTTTTCAAGTGCCACCTGAGCGGCATGAGAAACAAGCCTCAATGTAGACTCATTATGTAATTTGCAGCCCACTGTAGAAAGTATATAGCCTACAAGCTCGTCGTGTAGCGCTGAAGGTTGACTCAATCCCTTTACCACTTCAACATCTATGTTGGTAGTGCCAGTCCGGGACATTGTGCCGGAATAGATGCGATAAAATAAAAATTAATAGAATTATACCACTGACGCTCCTGTGGACGATGTAACAGAGGAGCACGAGACTCGACGTTCCCCACCAGCGTCATGTGTACCATGACAATGACACAAAAAATAATACGTAGTTGGGTAAATTAAAGCTACAGTTGCGTGTATCACGCTGTGTGTGCCATGTAGGCGGTTTTTGCTTTACAAAACAGCAAAACAAATGGGATGCGCGACACGCTTACAGTCACTGCTTCACAATCTGGACAATGTCCTGGTCAGCCAAAACATGCTCCTTCCCGACCTTCTGAGGGTTGTGCTTCACTGATGTGCCCCAGACCAATGCGTACTTGAATTGTGTAAGCAGTGATTTGTGAATCTTAAGACAGAAGTCCTCCACCTTGCTGTGGCTACGCTTAAGAATGACGGGAGCCTCGTAGTCTGGGATCTTCCCACGAGGTTTAGTATAGATACGCACTAAGTCTAAGTATTTCCATATTGTCTCTAAAAGAAGGTCCAGGTTCCACTGCAATCATAATTAAGACCAAAGCACATTGCTTACCTCGTGGTGAGCTGATATAGGCACATAGTGTGGTACTTGCGATAAAATGTCCAGCTCAGGGATTGTTATCTGGTCGATCTTGTTTAGAACATAAAGACAGGGGATATAGATGCGATTACCCTCAATTACATCGATAATGTCATCGACAGTGGCATCACACCGAATGGCAAAAGTAGCATTGCTAATACGATACTCATGACAGATAGACTTTATCATATCCTCATCTACATTAGTTAGAGTCACAGTGTGGGTCACAGTAATACCACCCTTGTCCTTGCGAGTAAACGTGATGTTTGGTGGAGTCTTGTTAAGCCTGATGCCGAACCCTTCCATCTCCTTCTCGAGAAGACGTTTGTGGTTCATAGATTTCGCAGCATCCAAAACAACAAGGATCAGACTACACGTTCGAGCGACGGCAATAACCTGTTTACCACGACCCTTACCGTCCTTAGCTCCCTCAATGATACCAGGCAAATCGAGCAGTTGGATCTTAGAACCCTTATATTTGAATACACCAGGCACACAGGTCAAAGTAGTGAACTCATAAGCCGCTACTTCAGAATAGGTACCAGTCAACTTGTTAAGCAGTGTTGATTTGCCTACGGATGGAAAGCCTACAAGGCCCACACGAGCATCACCGGTTTTAGAAACGTCGAAACCTTCACCACCACCGCCACCTTTGCTACCACTACTTTCAATCAACTGAGCACGTAACTTAGAAAGCTTGGCCTTCAAAAGACCAAGGTGAAAGTTGGTAGCCTTGTTCTTTTGGGTCCTGGCCATCTCGGCCTCGACCTCCGCAATCTTCTGGAAAACCGACATTTTGCAAACCTATTCGATTACAAAATGGAATCAATGCCTAGATATTAACCAAATCTATGGATAAACGGATCCTCGAGAAGTGCTTATCTAGCACAAGTTCTATAGCACGCGTTGTCTTACAGATCTCAAAACATAGGTGATAATATAAACGATAACAAGGGCAAGACCGAGAGTTAAATTAATCACTCTGGTGCCTTGCCGTTTATATAGCTCTTATAAGTTTCTCTCTGACGTAATAACAACTATTTACCACGGAGAAGGCGCTCCCCATCCAGTGATACTACAGCCCTTGGATGCCTTGCCAGAGCTGAATTAAACGACACATTGCAACTAACCACTACACATATGACCTATGAGGTCAAAATCGAGCAACGCAGGTATCGATGCTGATTTGTGGGCTTGCCCTTGCCGTAGCATCGTCTGCACTGTGCCTCAGTTATCACAACAAAATAGGCATCAGTGGCTCGGAATTGGGTAAGGAATCCGCTAAAACGCGAAATGTATCTGCCCTAGTATCGTCTAAAGCATTCGTCAACCCTTTGATTAGACAGAAGGAATCATTCACGCACTTAGATGATCGATTCTCCCATTACTCCTCAACTTCCAAGCGCCACCAACAGCTTGGTGCTTACGTAGAAGATCTTACTGCGTTGGAGGCACCTTTGCATAGGTACAGGAATATTGGTGAGTTATTCTGATGTCGTTGATACACATAACGCATGAGGTCGCTTTGCAAAACGCTTTGTATACACATTCCACAAATTAACTGCTGTGTTATACTTACAACACTTATGATTTACAGGGATTATTGCTCACATAGACGCGGGAAAGACAACGACTACAGAACGCGTACTCTACCTTACAGGTGTTAGCTTCAAGATAGGAGAAGTTCATGATGGTATGTCTCCCTAGTCTGATGTTACATCTGGTCACAGGAGAAGCTATCATGGACTACATGCCTCAAGAGCGTGAGAGGGGGATTACCATCACGGCAGCGGCCACCACATGTTTCTGGAAGGGTGGTTATCGAAAGGTGCCACAACATCGCATCAATATTATAGACACGCCGGGGCACGTGGATTTTACAGTAGAGGTTGATTTAAATATATGCCTATATATGTTATCTAGGTCGAACGTTCGTTAAGGGTATTGGACGGAGCCGCCGCAGTTTTTGATGGAGTAGCCGGTGTTGAACCACAGTCAGAGACAGTATGGCGCCAGGCAAACAACTATTCTATACCTCGTATCGCATATGTAAATAAGATGGACCGACCTGGCGCTAGCTTTGAAAAATGTATAGAAGAGATGGAACAAAAATTGGGAACAACACCTGTACCAGTGTTCATTCCAGTCGGTGCCGCAAGCACTTTCCAGGGAGTTATAGATGTGATACAGTAGGTCCATTACAATATGGATAATCAAATTGTCGTATAGAAAAAAGTTCTACAAGTTTGATAAAGAAAAGGATAGCTTTGATTACACCGAGGCACCGGTTCCGGAAAACATGCAAGATGAACTGCAGCATTATAGAGTGCATATGCTGGAAAACGCGGCACAAGCGTCAGAAGAACTATTAGAGCAGTATCTCGCAAATGGTACGCTGCCAACATACTCCATTATATCACGCAACAGGTGATCTTTCAGACGACCAGATACGTACGGGTCTGCGCATCATGACGCTGGCCAACAGAATCGCACCGGTCACTGCAGGGAGCTCTCTGAAAAACAAAAACGTACAAGGATTCCTAGACATGGTAGTGGACTACCTACCCTCGCCCTGCGAGGCTAACAAAATGTCTGTACATACGAAGGAAGATGAGTCTGACGACACCTCACCCTCGGAATCAAAGCCTAGTGTCCGTAAATTCAACGAAACACAGCTAACATTCGACACTATGAATTTCGACCTACCGCTCGCCGCGCTGGTTTTCAAAATATCCCATGATACACAGATTGGTACCCAAGCGTACATAAGGGTATACCGTGGTAAAGTTAGTGTCGGCGATGTAGTATACAATCCAAGGACGAAAAAGGCAAACAAGGTACAGAAGCTATTGTTCATCCATTCAAACGAAAGGAAACACCTAAAAACGGCACACGCTGGAGATATTGTCTCACTAGTTGGTGTCAAGGATGTGATAACCGGTGATACACTGTGCAATGAAAAGGACCAAGTCCTACTTGAGTCCATGGAGTTCCCAGATCCAGTTATCAGCCTAAAGGTTGAGCCGGTGGATGGAAACGAACTGGAACGTATGTGCGATGTGTTCCGAAAGTTCATGAAGGAGGACCCAGCATTCAGGATGCATATGAAACCTGAGACACAGGAAACTATCATCAGTGGTATGGGAGAACTGCATCTGGACATTATAGTAGACCGTATGCGGAGAGAGTACAATCTGCCCGTTAACACAGGTTCGCCGCAGGTTGAGTTCAAGGAAACATTTGTGCAACCTGCACACGCAGAAGGAAGGTATGTACGTCAGTCTGGAGGTCGTGGACAATACGGACATGTGAAGATCTACATAGAGCCATTGGAGCAGGGCAGTGGTGTCCAGTTCCAAAACAGCATTACATGTGGAGCTATCCCACAGGAGTTCATACCAGCAGTAGAAAAGGGAGCACGACAGCAGCTCATGGAGGGGTTGCTGGCTCATTACCCTGTGACAGATGTCCGAGTCACGCTCCTCGACGGAACGTTTCACATAGTCGATAGTTCCGAGTTCGCATTCCACACTGCCACGACTATGGCAGTTCGTGATGCTGCACGTGAAGGAGGTATCAAGCTTTTGGAACCCATAATGAAGGTAAATGTAGTATGCCCATTGGCAAACTTCAACACGGTACGTGGTGACCTCTTGCGCCGCCGTGGTCAGGTGCAGACGATACGTGACGGTTTTGGTGGCGTAAAGGAGATTACGGCAACAGTTCCGCTACAGGAAATGAAAGGGTATATAACAGAGCTGCGTTCTATGAGTCAGGGGCGAGGGTTCTACACAATGGAAATGTCACATTATCACTCAGTGCCACCAGTGGTACAAGAAAAGATTGTGAGCTCTAACCTGAAACCTAACAAGTAGCAGGTGTAGCTAAAAGTCTGTCCCAACCATGCCATTAATATAGTAGATACATAAACTCTGTATATTGATTTATGTTAGAGCCATATAATATCGATTGTTCTTAGATGTCCGCAAGAATGGAATTAGTATAACTGCATGGCGCATGATGATATTGCTTAGTTCATCAATGATGATAAGCCGTAACCCGTCCATGGCAGTTATCAACTAGCACTCTCTCAGCGAACATCTATTGTGCGGATTGAAAAAGGTGGATAAACATGTTTAAAAGGTTATGATTGGTGAATGCTTCGTCGTGCTATGGACAACTATAGATAAGTAAAAACTATTGTGTGGGTTAAAATATATACTTCATGTCTTAAATGTCCTCACGCCAATTTTGCGTGCCGCACCGTCCCACGTATGCGATGTTTCAAACTATTTCGCTATTAGCCCGCATAGCAAGGATTCGCCGTCTTAGAAGGACTAATTGGCGTTGCATATACGTTTGTGGAACCTCCAGTCATCTTTTTGGCATTCCACAGAGCAGTATTTGACTTTCTTGCATCGTGAGCATATTTTGAGTGGTGACTCCTTAGTGTCCTCCTGAACAATGTCGCTATCACAACGGTCAAACATACCTTGTTGCAGTTCTCGCAGTGTTTGGAGACCTCCTCTTTCTTCGCCTGCATGGCTCCCAGAGCGCCAGCGTTCTGAGGATTCAAGATATTGGAGAATGCCTGAGAACTGTCCCATCTTCCAGTTGGGTCCGGAGGGTTCTCGAATAGATGATTGTAGTCTTCCATGGAAAGGTCAACCCTCTTGAAAACGTCTTCATCGTCAAAGGTCTTCGATATGAAACATTCGCCCCGTATGTCTGTGTTATATGGAGCAGCTAGGTGGTAACCGTACCTGTCGAGCAGAGTTTGGTGGCGCGTGCGTTTGTAGGCAGATTTTTCACCCGTCCTATTCCATCTATGTAGCAATTAACACCAATAAAGCCATTCTTTTTGGTTGGTAGGGTCAACGGAATGATCTGCATGAATTGAAGTGGAACTCAAGTGTCCAAGTATACCTGGTAGTTTGTACTGGCAGCGTCTATGGAACTTTTAAGGAAGTCTTCACTGAGGTCAATGTTTGACGATGTCTCAGGCCCGCTCTTGGCTTGATTTTCCTTCAGCTGTGATTTGAGGTATTTCTCAAAGCCCTCCCGTTCGTCAGAAAGAAGCTTATCACGTGTAAAGTGGTTAGTTAGCTGCTGACGGAAATTGTCTTCCGTTCCCTCGAAACGAAGCAGCTCTACCGGGCTATTGATATCGCAAGGGATGTGTATGTAGGAGAACTCCTTATGTACCGTTGCACCCAGGGTATCCATTATAATTAGTTTTTCTATGAAAAATATGACAACTAATGTCAAAGGTGCCCTTAAGACAATAACAAGTGAGGACGCGCGAAGACGACGCACCAAAACTAGCGACGGCGTGGGCCGGCGGCTATCGAAGCAAGCTAAATGACATACATATCCTCTTTCGCCAGAGGTTAAGCCATTAGGGCTAGGTTACCTATTCTCGCGAAGCTATGTGTGCAAGTGATATAGCAAACTAATGAGCTCCGGTGTCTAGGTAACAGAGTCCCTCAGTAGCGCTCTTCAGTCAAGGCATCCTTGATGTAGACAAGTCTAGGGGCCAATTCCTCGCCGTTGTAGTAAGCGTAGATCAAACCGGCCTCAAGGTCAAGTGACTCTCCAATGTAGAACTCGAAGTCGTTAAAGTTGCCCAAAACGTGTTTCACAAACTTCTGGATGTCCTCCTTGAATGTAGCAACTTTCTCGGGAGCATGCTCTTCCAAGTGGGTAGCAACACGCTTGATGTATTTCTTGATGTAGCCGGTGTACTCAGCCTTGGTGAAGGGAGTTTCCTGCAGCCTGAAGGCATCAACAATGTCGATCACCATCTCAACACCAGGGTCAGCTACAGCAGCAGAGCTGCCGCCTTCCTCGCTGCACAAATTAGCAATGATAACTGCAAAACATACTCATCGTTGCAGGCAATACCGTAGTCTTCGTTTCCCTTGGCCACCTTGGAGGACTTGACTTCGAAAGCCACTAATAAGTTATATAGATTAGACGTATATTTCGCATACCATTTGCCAGTTCAGCGTTGTCGAATGGGTTGTGGTGAACGTAGGCGTCGGAGCAGACTTCGTCTCCAGTGAAAAGGTCCTTGTATACTAACATTTTGAAGTGTACGTCGTTTGGTTAGGATGTAATGGGACTAATTCCAACTTTTACACTCGTTGCGTGGTATGCGGTCCAGAGAACGTCGGTTGATTCGCAAATAAACGATCAAATGTGCGTGGCGACGGTGTGCGGAGGTGTATACCTGCGTGTCCAGCTGAGTTGTGCCTAAGAGGACGGGAGACGGTTACCGTGCAATAAAAAACACGATATCAGGTGTAATACCCAAAAGGATGGCCATCCTAACAAGCTCTACTATGGGGAGTGCCACGCGGTAGCGATATACTCAGAGCACGCCTGAAAAATAATGAGTTAGCCACTACTAAGCACAATTCGCCGTAAAGTTCGAGAATGGACTTACTGGCTCTCAGTTTCTTCAATGTAAAATATTCTCACTAACCCTATCACCCTCGAGTTGCAATGATACCGCCCAAATAATTATACATGATTCACTGTTGCTTCCACAAACGTTTCTCGAGGAATATGTAACTGATATGTACGCGGATCGGTGATTTTGGATAATTTGAAGACGTGCTGCATGGCAATCGCCATTACAGCACGTGTAATCGAATCACATGAACGGATTTAGATTCGACATACAGCATCTCAATAATGTTGGAACCAGATTTTTTCGACTTTGAGCCCAGTTACACCGCCAAACCGGCGATATCGAAGACTACATCGCTGTCGGATGACACTGCCGAGGATGAAGAGCTTGACGAGCATACAACTTTTACCGAAAACACGTGGGAGCCACTCAGTATTAACCTTGCACTCCCCGATGATTCAGTATACTATGATACTGAAGAACCCTTACCCGGCGATGTTGTACCAGAAATTGATTTCTCGGACCCAGCCATGACAGAGGAGTGGGCCGAGCCAATGGCACTGTATGTCACTGAGCTTCACGGTCCGCCCATTGTCGGAGCAGCTATTGTACGATGTGAAGATTCGCAGGTCAGTGTAGACTTTTCACATCCAAGGTATCTGCGATACTGCCAGCATAAGCCCGATGTCAGCAAACTACGGACAAACGACATTAACAACTGGACATCGAGAGGAAAGAATGCCATATACCAACTGCAGTCATGTTTTTATCTGGTACCTAGATTGGCTCTGGGTGCTATGAAAGAAACATCGTTGGTCGACTTCGTTTACTTCACGTTGCCTACACCATCGGGGAACTATCTCTATGGTATCAGTTACGTGGCAAGGTTCGAAAGTGTAAAACCCGAACCTGAACTGCCGGAGGAAAATAAAGTGGCAGAAACAGATGACACGCAAAAGACGAATGGCGAAGGGAATACAGAAGTCAAAGAGAATGTGTGTAATCTTAATAATGTGCAACCTGAGCAACGAAAACGCCCTTCATATTATTACGTAGCTGTTTGCGTAATAAGCAAGGTGCCCTTTTTCTGTTATATAGGTTCAAGGCTAGAATGTATAGCCCAGACGTATTTCCATAACCAATGTTTCTCGGACCACCAGCTGCTATTGTCGTTTGTTGAACACATGAACTCCGTGGAAACCGTAGAAAACTGGAGTTATGAGTCCATTTACTTCAACCTAGAGTGGTATTTCAAACCTATAGCACTATGTCTCAGCTACCGATCAACGCTGTTTATTATCAAGTGTATTCTGCTGGGTCGTAGGATCGCCGTGTACTCACATTCAGCGGCACGTACGTCTACAGCGATATTGTCACTACTCACAATGATCCCTGGTGCAAATACCTTGGGTTTCAACTCTAAAAACTTCGGTTCACTATGGCATTCGTGGAAAAAGTTCAGTATGCCGCTGTTTCTATTCCACTCTAAGAATCTCATTCTGCCCTACTTCACAGCGGATATGGTAGATCTGTTAAAAGAGGCTGAAGGATACCTAATTGGTATCACTGATTTTGCTATGGTGAAAACACTCTGCAAAATACCGGAATTTGTGGTCAACCTCGAAATGAACAATATTCAGCTCATGAATGGTGAGCTCCTGGACATGTACCACCCTTCACTATACGAGGTGCAACAGTTTGACCGTATAATGGAACCGGATTACAGCTCAGACGATGAAGAGGTGATGAAATCTGTTATGGACACGAGTGAGGCGATCTACGGCACCATCAGTAGTTACTTGGCCAAGACCCCTGCAACTCTCATTGATATCGGAAGTTCTGTAAAACGTGTTCTAGGTCGACGTTCTAACGTTCAAGCTGTAATTAAATGTAATGAGAGTGCTTTGGGTCTGCTTGACAAATACTTCCCGGGATCTGTGCCACTTTGGCTGAAGAAAACAGCGAGGCCAAGGGACTTTGCTAATCCAGGTGATAAAAATTCCAAAGCGAATATGAATTCACCTAGACAAGCACAGGTACCCGTTGAACCTAAACTTCTCACAATACAGGACATGTTCTTGAAGATGTCTGCTGATAATCGCACTTACCAATATATGGGATATATTGAACACTTGCACATAAGTCAGAAGGATAAAGACCGCAATCGTGAAATTGAGCATGCAATCAACACTAGGATCAATCCTATGCAGGAATATTGGTTAAAGTTTCTCACTGATGTAGCCTATGTGTGTGGAGAGCGTAGGCTCATGTACCAACTAGTGATGGACTTCGAATACAAATGTGAAGCAATGGCTGACTGTTCTTACCCCGTAAAGGGAACTGTTATAAAGCGTGGTGATAAGTATCTGCGTGGTAATCTTCCTGAGCCCGAAGAGGGCGATCCAGGGTTGCTGGATCTGCTTCTAAATGACTCTTGTTGTGGGTTCACATCCGATTCGTCCAACGGTCACGAGAGTTCCGACTCTGACAGTGATGCGTCGGCGGATGAGACCACACAAGACGTAACATGTGAGGACAAGGATACAACAAAGGATGACGTTGATGCCAAAGAAGATGAACAAACTGAGTCTTCCAAGGTGGCTGTAACTAAGGTCCAAAAGAGTAAAAAACCGGCGACACCTCCTAAACCCAAGAAGAAAGTTAAGGAAGTGAAATCACACCCTCTTGTGAAGATTTTGTCTTTCTTCCAGCGTGGGAAGTCGGAGAAGAAATCAAAGAAAAGGAAGGTCAGGGAGAAGGTGCCCAAGGAACCCAAGAAGTCCAAAAAATCCGAAAAAAAGGCATCTGAAGAACCTGAGGATACGAAAGAAGTGGAAGACGAGCAAGATATTGATGAAGCTTATTCGGATGGTTATAGGAGCGCCACGGTCGATGCATCTGATGAAGACAACGATGTTGAATATGCCGATGACAACCAATATGACACTTACGAATATGAAGACGCTTCTTACGAGGTAGAGGAAGAAGAGGAGGAACAGGAGGAAGAAGAAGAAGAAGAGGAGGAAGAGGAAGCTGAACAGGATTACTATGCTGAATCTGAGGAAGTGACCGAAGAGGAATACGAATACGAGGAACAATATGAATACGAGCAAACTCGTTATGCGTCCTCTGAAGCAGAATATGAACCTGAGCAGGATTCATATGTACAGGAAAGCGAACCGAAATCTGAAGAAAACTACGAGCCTGAACAAACCTCATATGTATCAGAAGATGAAATACAACATGAATCAGAATATGAAAAGGGTTCATATGCGTCGGATGATGAGATAGATGTCGAACCTGAACAACCGTCGTATGATTATGAAAACGAGGGTGAATCTCAATCATACGCATACCCTGGTAGGGAGTCTCCTACGTCTTCAGTATCGCAAAGTGAGGCAGAAGAAGAAGAAGAAGCGCAATATGACCATGTTTCACATTCTCCACCTGCACAGCAGAGTGATGTAGAAGCTGACCCTTACATTGGACAGGAGCGGGATCAGCGAGAAGCATATGCATCGGACAATGAGATGGGATATAAATCAGATGAAGGGTATGAACGAGCATCACGTGAAGGAAGTGACGAGGAAAGATATGAGCCTGAGGCCAATGTGCATTGGGATGACGAAAACGAACGTCCCTCACGTTACACCGTTGACGGTGAAGCGGACGACCAAGACTACTCCGAACAACTGCAGGAGGGACACCAAGAAATATCGCAAGAAACTCAGGATGACTACCAACCAACTGCCGGAGATGTAAGGGAGGAAGAGCAAAAATCTTCTGAAGAAGTGAAGGATGAATATCAACAAACTGTTGTTGAACAGAAAGAGGTAGAGCAGCAGGGTGAGAACGTTGAAGAGTTTGAGGATGCTTTGGATGACAGTGGTGAACCACAGGCTGAGGAATCGTCGCAAGTGGTTACGGAGGAACCTGCGCCAGAGTCTATAACGGTAGAGCGTTCCACTCCCGTAGGTACTGATGATCAATATGTTGGAAAGGACGATGCGCAGGTGTCGCACGATCGTGAGGAGCAGCACGATATAACCGAAGCGCAAGTAGAGGAGGATATTAAAACTCAAGATGAGACTACTACGGTCTCTGACGAAACCACTAAACAACAGGTTGAACCTGACAGCCCTGAAGTAGAGGCTACAGAGTCCCAGGACACACCAGTGGAAGGTAAAACCGTTGTGCATGAGACAGATGTCGTCGAATCTACCAGTTTGGACAAAAAGGAACCAAGGAGTGATGAGGCTGAGGAAACTTCTACAAAGGAACCGCAATCGGAATTCATGGGTGCTGTGGAGCCTGAGCCTGACACTCAGCCATCAAAAACGGAGGGTGTCGATGAAGTACCTGTGACAGTCGAGAAGCAGGACACACAAGAAAAGGAAGTTACCGCCTCAGATACAGTAGTCAGAGAGGAAACTCCCGGTGATGCGGAGAAACCTCAGGTTGCACCAGAGGTGACTGCAAAGAGTCCCGGTGAAGCTAAAATTCACGATGACGCTAGTGCCTACAATTCCGCTGAGGAAGGTTCCGACGTGGAGATGGCAGATAAACAAGCTGGTCCTTCCAAACCCACCGATATGTTACGTAGTGCTGATGGTACTACTCAAGCTGGAGACACTGACACTAAAAAGCAAACAGAGGAGGGTGGTATGGTCACATCGTCTGTGAAGAAATCGGATGAAGTCGATCAAACCGGAGTTGGTGCTGCCGGAGGCATCCAGGACGAAGATGCGGCAATTAAGGCCCAGGAAGGTATTAAGGGACATGGTATAGGTGAAGGTGAGCAGCCCAAAGAAGGCCAGATAGGTCCTGATGGTCATCCTATTAAACCAGGTGAAGGAGAAATAGGTCCTGATGGTCATCCTATTAAACCAGGTGAAGGAGAAATAGGTCCTGACGGTAAGCCTATTAAACCAGGTGAAGGAGAAATAGGTCCTGACGGTAAGCCTATTAAACCAGGTGAAGGAGAAATAGGTCCTGATGGTAAGCCTATCAAACCGAAGGAAGGCGAAGAAGGTGAGGATAAGGATGGCAAGGCTAAGCGTCGTCGTAAGAAGCCTAAGGGACGACTTCGTACTATCAGGATCAATACTCGGCAGCCCGGAGATGAAGTGTTGTCGTTCGAGGTGACCGGTACCGTTGCCACCAAGATTATGGAGTTGCAGAACAACCATTCGTTGGACTTCCTCGAGTTCTGGATAAATACTTTGTGCGCGCAGAAGTTTTTTGAGGGCCACCAACTGGATACTTTCAGCGACCCTGTGTACTACACAAGCGGCAATATTGCGAAGCAGAAGTATCCCAACGGTGATTTGTATATTGGAGAACTGGTATGCATGCGTCGCGAAGGCAGAGGTACTTATATAGCTGCCGATGGTACTGTGTATGAGGGTAGTTGGTTGGGTGGTAAGCGTCATGGTCAGGGTACGCTTAAATCTACGAAACATGGTTACAAGTACCGTGGTTCTTGGGTAGCGGATAAACGTGAGGGTCACGGTGAACTTCATACACCGCATTTCATTTACGTCGGTGGGTTTAAGAACAACACATTCAACGGTACTGGTAAATTGATAAACGGTGGCAAGGATACTTACGAGGGTGACTTCCAAGATGGCAAATACAATGGACGTGGTCGGCTTACTATGAAAGATGGCACCGTTAAAATCGGTTCATTCCGCAACAACGAGTTATATGGCGTGTGCAGTATGATCAAACCGGACGGCCGTATATACGTTGGCAAGTTCCATGGTGATGTTCTTGACGGTCGAGGGAAGTTGGTCTACGATAGTACTACCACCTTCGATGGTCAGTGGATGCGAGGTATCCGTGACGGACAAGGAGTGCTGTCCATAAAGATGGGTAATTCAGAATCAGATGGAACTATTGCTATCGATGGCATTTGGGAACTTGACAGTCTGGTGCTTGGTGAGGTGCTTCTAACCTTCCCCAATGGCTACAAGTACTTCGGCAGCATTGCCTTCTGCTCTGACTTGACACCGCTGATGCATACACCCTCATACAACGAATCTATATATAGTCTCATCAAAGAATTGTTTTTGTCATTTGACAATCGCTGGCTTCCACACGGGAAGGGCATTATAAAGTACCCTAGTGGTAGCTCATTTAACGGCGATATGTTTAACGGTATGCGCCACGGTGAAGGAATTATGGTGTTCCCCAACGGCGTATCATACAGTGGTCCGTGGGCGTTCGGAACTGTTCATGGTGATGCTGAGGTGACCTTCCCAGGTGACCTGCTTGGTACTAGTTTGAAATTCCAGTACGGCAAGCTTATCGACACCTTGTCTGAAGAGCATTTGCCGTACATGAACGAGTGTTTAATCGAGATTGGTGCGCCAGGCTTTGAGCGCGAGTTCACTCTACGCAACTTGGAGCCACTCCCCGGCCTGCTGATCAGGGGCGGTATGTTCCGTTGAAGCCTAGGTACCAAATTATATTCTTTTGGTACCTATATGGCCTATTACGCAAGACTCTAATCCACCTGGCAATTCTAGCTCCTGTTTGGAACATTTGAATGCCTAATGTTCTTTATGTTTGTTTCACGTTGTTTACTTACTTTGGCAATTGCATCATGGTCAGTCATATCGCTCAGCTTGTCTATAGGGACCTGTTCGCCCTCGATAATCGTATCCAGCTCTCCAAAAGACTGCATGATGATACAAGGTGGCCGTTCCTGTACTTCTCTTACCTTTGTTTTAGATATAGTGACCGTTAGTACTGCATTGCATGTGTTGTCGCTTTCATTGAGTTGTATACACAACTCTTCCATACATTTGGTAACCTGTTTTCCAATAATCATACGATAATGTTGAACGTACGCTTGAAGATCCTCCCATCATGTATACCACCTCTGTGGTAAAGCTGTTGCTGTGTACTTTTTGGTTCAGTACGTTAGTGACAGCACGACTGATAGCGTGAGATACATGATCTACTGAAGTGATCTACGTATCATTATTCCACTGAACCTGAGGGCTTACCAGTTCTGGGTGAAGTACCAGGTGTACGTATTCGAAGTCCAGCATCCCATTGCAATGTTCGTCGGAAGTAGCGGCGGTATCCTCGTTATCTTCCGTGCCTGTAACGGTGAATCTGGAGTTCACCTCTACACAATGCTGTACTATCTCGTCGCGATTCTTTACATCCTTGTAAAGTGCCATGGCGACGTGTAGCTTTTCGAAGGGGCATGTTACGACGTCGCCGAAAAGTGCCTGGAAGATAGGCAACTCGTAATAGAACGTTTTAGACGCCATCAGTATGCGAGAGGATCGCCACGGCGGTGATGTGTCGCTAAGTTATTGCAGCAGCTTGTCCTGCCAGTGGTCGCGCACTTAATGCGGGTACCCAGCGACAACTAAATTGATGTCTCTATGTCACACATGGTTACGTAACTAAAATGTTACCATGTATAATGCATCAGGAGCCCGCCTTCTTCACCTTATACCCCGTCACTGGGGATTAGACTCTCGGCAATGGTCGCGAGTAAGACGCGCGCGCTGTGCAACGAATGGGCCCTGTTTTCGGCCTCATTATCACCAGATCACCTATCAAGGGCACTTAACCGTATAGCATTAAACTTCTGGAGGCTGCCACAAGAGGTCGACCTACGACGGGATCACTGTCTAAAGGGATTCCTTGAGAAACACGTTATCCGTACCATTTTCCCAAAGGTAAAGCTAAACAATGAGGGTCAACTGGGTATTGAAGCGCTGCTACAACCGTTGCAACAGCGGGCGCTGCTACTTGGAAAGTCTGGAGCCCTGCGTCCGAAGGATGCATCACTGGTACTCAATGCCTACGCCAAGATCTATCAGACTGTGAACCAGTCCCATGCTATGTCATCACATCAGTGGAAAGGCGTACCGAGACTCTTAAGACATTATGCGACGGAAATTATACCAACAGCGCGTTCCCTGGTCTCCGACATGAACGAACAGGATTTGTCACTCGTGCTGAACTGTATGTCCAAAATGGGTATTCAAGCAGACGAGCTCCTTAAAGTTGCTAGCAGAGAGTTGGTAAGGCATCTGAGGGGACATTTTGGCCAGGAGACATATGGCCACAAAGCCTCCCACGTACTACCCAAGGCGAAATACAACCTGTTTTCTCAATTGACACCTCAAGGCGCATCACTGATCGTTAATTCCTTTGCAAAGTCTAATGTAGCGCTGGATGAGTCTGTTATTGGGCATATATTGCACAGATTTCTGCCGGAAAACCTTGAGCGTTTCCTCCCGCAGCAACTAGCAATGCTACTACATGGTTTTATGAAGTTCAATGTGCCAAAACGTGATGTGCATACTTCGTTATGTCACTTGGATCAGTTAGTAGCATCGGAATTTGCTGGTACCAATGCAAAGCTGCTTTCTGCTTCCATGTATACCTTTGGGAAGTACAATTTCTTGCCATTAGCACTGGCAAGGAAACTGGATGGCATAACCCAATCGAAACCGATGAGATGTTCGGAACTAGAGATCAGTAATATATATTATGGTTTGGGGAGGTTGAATTTGCGTTGTGAACGTTTTTTGGCGAAACTCGGCCAATCGTTGTCAGCGATACTTCACGACCTCAGTCCCCAGGGTCTCTCTACGGCCTGTTATGCACTGGCAAGGCTGGAAGTAGACGATGCGCTATACTCTACTGTTTTGCGCCAGTTTGATAAAATAGTCAAACGTAGCAAAGATTCTATAAATTGTAATCGTATCAGCAACTCTCTGGCCACTGCAAACAATCAGGTGTTGCCACTCCATTTGGTAAACGTCTGCTTCAGCGCAACCACGGCAATGATTGTCGACCAGAATATTTTTGCGTCTATGCTGGATCACCTGTATTTATGCTTTAGGAAGTACCAAGGTACCTCGGAGGGTGGGATACGCGGTTCCTCAGATGGTCATGCAGATGCATCATCTGGTCTTGGTTCTTTGCCTGCTGACGGCAACGCTATGGTCGCGGATCGTCGGACTTGTGATTTCATTAACACGGAATTAGGCACACAGGGTATTTATCAACTCTACTGCATCTGTCAGCATATTGCCGTATTTGCTCATGGTGGTCTGCGTGCTCAAAACCTAAATGTACTTCAGCTTCTTGAACATTTGTTCGATACTTGGGATAAAATATCACGTGATCGACATGTTACAGGTATCCTTGACTACACCGACGGATCTGTTTCTTTGGTTGATCCAGATATAACTACGTCAAGAATACAGACTGCGGTGTTCGACCTTCTGAAGACGATGATACCCGCCTGTGGAGTGGCAGAACATGCGCCCTCGTCCGACACCGCAGTTAACGGAACACAACAGAAACACACCATGATAGTGGCGGAGTCGCAAGCTACTCCATACGTGATCGACATTCTTTTATATAGTGTGTAAGAATATCAAGGAAGTAAGAGGCGAGGGTCAATGCTCGGTCTATGTCACCGAGGAGATGTAACACGCTGTAATTTTATGATTATGTTACACAAATATGCCAGGTTACAGAGCCATGGCGTTTGTCAGTACCGTCACCCAGCGGATTCCAATTACCGCTGTTTCGCGTCACTGCCTAAGTTCCCCTTTTAATTGCACAGCGGCAACCAATGGAGGCGTTAGCAACGCAGTTGCCCATTCTATGCAGCAACAGGTACGTCTAAAAGGTCTGTATGAGGATGAATTCACGGCTCTCTAGGTATTACAAACTTCAGGCATGTTCCATCCATGGCCGTGCTTTCAAGATTTAAACTTCATACAATTATCGCAAATACAATGTCAGGTAAGTATATTAGTGGTCCCCGTTCGGGGTGATGATCGCTTCGCAGAGACCGGTACAACGTGACCTTAAAATGCCAAGTTATGTGGATACGGAAATTTTGCCACGCATGATCAACTTACCAAATACTAGTGATTCCTGCAGTGTGATCGGATATCCTGAGAAAAGGGAATCGCACATCTACCAAATCGGAGAAACATATCTCTTTAACCGGACACGAACCGATACAAAGCACCGTAAACGTGCATTCACCAAAAGGGGTTACTTCAGGCAGTCACGTTCGCTACTTCGAAAGGAAAATCGCATGAAGTGGGTTATCGCTATCAATGTTAACGTATCGCAGGTTCGCATATGCCCTGCAAGGCATCGACTACGAAATGCTTGATGGACTGAAGATGGGTGAAATTCCAGACATTAAGAATTACAGTAAATAATGGCTTTGTAACAATACAAATGAGCTCTCTGTGGTCATTTTTTGACTTATAAGTATTGCGGCTACGCCCGTGTCCCCGTTGTAGGTGAAGCCGAGGTCCGCTCTACGGTTTAAACGCAACCTTCCTAATACACATTGCATTTAAATAAGGTAGTAATGTATATTTGATGTCCAGGAACCGCACTGTGTAGCTATTAGAGACACACTCGTCACTGCCAAACGTCGGCAACGACCATCGCAAATGTATTGTGTTCATGTCCAATATATATGTATAGTAAAGGCGATACTTAGTAGTAATTTCAAGGTATTCCCGGTTGTAAATTTTTTGTCGGCTGCGATGCTATGACGACGGCCGACGACTTCTGGTCGTCCATCGGCAAGCCGAAATATGTCGCCGCACCTATGGTGAACCAAAGTGAACTGCCTTTCAGGATACTTTGTCGACGATACAATGCACAGTTAACATTCACTCCCATGCTTCATGGTCGTATCTTCGCAGAGAATGAAAAGTACCGAGCTGTGCACTTCCAAACTGCGGAAATAGACACACCGCTTATCGCTCAAGTATGCGGAGATGATGCTGCAGTGCTAGCGCAGGCCGCATCATACCTTAAAGGAAAGGTTGCGGCGGTAGACCTGAACTTAGGTTGCCCACAGGGGATCGCAAAGGATGGTCATTATGGATCATTTCTTCTTGACGAGCCAGACCTTGTAACGTATGTTTAACTGCGGTTGTGTTAATTGTGATTCAGTGGTATTGTCAGCCGTATTACCCAAGAAGTGGCGATACCGGTGACTTGCAAAGTACGTAAGGTAGATAAAGACTCACTCCAGTCTACGCTGAACTTCTGCTTTAGCCTAGAGGTAGGACCGAGATACGTACCGTTGCTTATTTTCTATACAGCAGAGCGGATGTAAAGCGATAACGATCCACGGAAGACATCGCTCGGAAAAAGGTACCAATGTCCGTGAAGCGGATTGGGATGCCATTCGGATTTTAAAATCTCGCTTACGTATCCCAGGTAGTTCTATGATTTCTTTGTTGGTTAGAATAATGTGCAGTAATCGCAAATGGTGGTATAGAGACGTTTGAGGATGTAGGAAGGTGCCTGCAGTATACTGGGTATGTTTGGCGGCATTTTATGGGTGATTTTGTATCAGTGCCGATGCTGTGATGTCGTCCGAGGCTCTGTTGGAGAAGCCATATCTATTCTCGGGACGCATATATGACCATCTCAGCATAATGCAAGAATATTTGGACATTGTTAGGTTGTAGGTCTTATATTTTTTACAGCTAGACAATACAGGTATCCTAACCATCCACCGGCCTGTGTCCGTGGACATGCCTTCAAGATACTTTATCAGCACTGTCAAAACCATCCGAATCTACGTGATAGACTTGCTATAGCGATGACCATAGATGAGTTTGAGGAGATTGTGAGAAGCCTGAGGGCTGCGGAGGATCCCGAGAGTTGCTACACACATATCAGCGGCTCGTGGTACCGTCGCCACCGTAATCCGTCAAGTTCAGAAGCTAAAACTGTGCCAGATGTGAACTATGATACACATGTATTTGACGGTTTTGCGGGTCTATTTGGCGGGTGACGGCAACCTTGTAATAAACACGACATCACATTGGGAACGCCACAATACCGACCTAGTTACATTACACACAACCGCTCTTATGCCACAGTGGTTATCAAGAGATTCGTATGGGAAATAATTATCGTAAAATCACACTAGTGGCGATCTCAATCGCCTTGGCTGCCAATGCAGCATTTGCTCTAAGTGAGACTGAAAGAGGTAGGGTGTGTGACAGTATGTGCTTCTATTTCAGTGATTTTAACGTCTGAATATATCTGTATATATCTATTGTGATTCGTTAGAGTGGACACATGTGGATGATAATATCGTCCTATGGCATATATCTCATTGCACGCAGCAAGTACTGGCAAAGGCCTACTTGACGTTTTTTCCCTTACTGGAGATGTCTCACCCTCTACGTATCCAGTATTAAAGTTTAACCAAAGTGTTAACAACGATTCTACGTTCACGGCGTTACGTAGAACGGAACTCAAGGAACTACAGGAGGAAGCGCTAAGGCTCATGCCGTTACAGCGCAAAGTTTTCCAAGAAATACGCAATGATGTTGGACGACAGGCACAACTAGTTGACGAATTGGCCATAGCTATGGAACGCCAGTGATTCTGTCGATAAGGTACCTATGTCATCGGTACATCTAAGCCACTGGAAGTTCAATGAAGCTGAAAAGTTTTATGAGGGCGCCTTAAACGCATACGAGATGAATATTTATTACACATTTCGCAATAGTGGCAGAAGGCAGCATTGACGGCTGCCAGGACGCGGGCCTCACGCTGCTGGCCCGACGAGCAGTACGTCGCGTATAGTTGAATCGCAATGCAGAAACAACACTAGTTACAGCTGTTTAATATCGTATTTAATATGGATGCATTGGTTACGGAGGTTAACTCGCTGAGGCAGCGTAAGTTTGCGTGTCTACAGTTGTTATGATCATGTGCCGGTAAACGCGTGACGTTGTGCCATATCTATTATTCGTTTCGCACAGTTTGTAATGCATATACAGAGTACCGTGAGGTATCAACCGCCCATTCACAGCTACTTACGCAACATAACGAGTGTAATGGAGTGTTGAAGGTATGTGTTTTATTCTGACCTTGGAGAAATGTCTAGGAGCTACAAATATTGGAGCCGGACGCTAAAATATACAAAAGTACAGGACCTGTGCTTACTACACAGACCAAAGATGATGCAATCAGTACCATTTCAAAACGCCTTGAGTACATCAACGGCGCAATGTTAGTTTGAGCAATACCGGTCACATATCATGCAGAGAGGATAAGGCAAAAAAGATGTTGCAACTCCAGAAAACTATCGAAGAGAAGACCAAAATGCTAGATAGTATGAATGCACAGCAAGCCGCGTCTCAAAACAACTAAAGATTAAAAGTTAAAGAGGTTATAAGCCACCACGCGAAGGTACTGCTGGGGTGGATTTGACGAATACGCGCATACCGATAACACCGCCGTTGGCAACGACGACATCCTTGACCTTCTCACCGTAGTTGATGTTGTCTCTCGCGACTAAATCGTCCACGTAGGTTGCAACCAACTTCCCTTTGTTGTACAAGTTTGTAGTAATGTGAAGCATGTTGGAGTCAGCGAAGATGATGCTAAGGATTACATTGTCACAGAAACCGTTGAAGATGCGCGACTCAAGACCACCATTGGGGGTAGTGACTCTGTACTCTTCAGCACTGACGGCAGGAAGCTGAACTGTTAGGAAATTTCCTACCTGCACACTGCTTGCGGATTTCTGCTCAATCGTGATAATCAATTGATCGTCCTTTTTGAAGGAAGTCTCGAGCACCTTCTCCTTCTCGAGACTTGTCTCGGCGTCATGGGTGTTTGTCAAACCAGCGATTTTGGAGATAGCGATGTCGGACACAGAGGGACTGCGGGCCTTGTCCATGCAAGTGAAAGTTACCGAAAGCTTGTGGTCCTCTGCTCTAACACCAGTAAGGAATGGTAATTGTTGCTTTTCCTTAACAATGGCAAATGGGTCAAAGGTGTAGCTGTTCTTGTTGAACACGTGCTTGTCAAGAAGAGCACCGATCTCAGTGACACGGTGCAACTTACCAGCAACCTTTTTCTCCTCCCAGAAGACAACACTGGCCTCCTGAGAAGGGTTGGTCACTGCGCCACCCCAAAGAGCAGTAACGATACGTAGGAACTTGTTGTTGGGGCAGGTCATAGTGATAGTTCCTCCCTTAACGCACTCAACAGATTGTACGTCATTGACCTTAGCCTTGGGGTTGTTCTTCACAAATTCGAAAGTGGCTCTAAGCATGAAGGGCTTCTTAATGTCACCAGTGATACCACCAAGGTGAAGGTCGAGCATACCGTTAGAAGTCCTCTTGGGGATAAAGGTACAGCTACTCCTTCCTTCACAGTAGAATTGGAGAATATCAAGACGGTTTCTTCTAGGATCATCCTCCTCACTAACCTTTCCAACGACATCCCAGGTGGCCGATTGAACAGAAAGAACGGATTCAGCAGGTGCCTTAACGACAACGTGAGAGTCCTCTTCAGCGGTCAAAATAGTTTCAACCCTACGGTCACTGTGTCTGACGATATCGATGTAGGCATGGTGGTAGGGTGGGCGGCAGTAGTAAAGGGCATCAATAACCTGGTAGTTGCACTTTTTGTCGTTGTTGTAGAGTTTCTTGCTAATGGTACAGCTGCGCTTGTTTTGGCAAAGCTCGAAGGCATTCTGCATGAATGAAGTAGTGCAGTATAGGTGCCTCCAGATCAAGTTGTTGTACAAACCGGCACCACGAAGCAAAGATACGTTGATCACCTCTCCTTCGTTACAACCCATGACAAGTTCCTGGCCGCTGTCGATGACGGAGATCATCTTACGTCCCAATGGTGCAACTGGTGTAGATTCACAGACACCGGTGATGTGAAGCTTGTAGGTAGCATCGTTGAGTGGCAAACCGAAGAAAATGTACATACCATCTCCAACGCGGTCAAGATGTGCAACAGGCTTCAAAACACAGTTGTTAAGACCACGGCAGATCTTGGTAACGTCGTTGGTCCTGTCAAAGCGAAGAGCCTCACCCGCCTTGCCAGCTACTCTGGGACGTGTAGCAACCCAGTGAGCGCTTTTGATAGTCAAACCCTTTCCAGTGGAGCAAGACAAGACTTTGATAACATTCTCAGGGATCTCCACATCGAACGTCCCGTTAGTAATGCTAATGACGGCGTTAGGATCAGCAGCGCAGATCAGCGCCTGGTACACAACGGCACCGAGCACGAATAAGAGAGACTTCATTTTGTAGATATGTTCGCGGTTTACGTTTCGAAACCGGCTCAGATCTGCAGGGTATTATAGAAGGATGATACACATCAAAGATATTCGGCCGTCAAGGCCCTACACATCGCAATAGAAATGCAGTTCGCGGGCACCATCAGGAGTGAAATGTACCGAACGATTTTTGAACAATGAAATTAAATACGGTATGGAAAATACTTATATTTTATAAACAGCATTACCGCGGCACCACGCAATGAAATAGGTAGGTTGCCGTAGGCGCGCGATGCCGTATGCCAAGAAAACTTACCGTATACCGAGTACTGAGTATTACTTGGCGGGCCGAGCGCAGGAACCGCTTTGAAATATACTAATACCAGCAGTGCCCCAACGCAACAGTGCTTATCGGCAGAATCTGCTCAGGAGTGCTACAGCGTCGCGAATACCAGCGTCTTACATTGGTGCCTCGATATAAGTAAAAAGCATTTGATGCATTTAAGACAAAATTATAATGGATGCAGATGACTTAGCACCCGTAGATAAGCATGATACCGCGCAAAATGCAGCATCACCTAACACCTGCACATGTCGCATAGGAAACACACTTTCTAGTTAAAAGAACATAAGTGAACTGATAGCAGCACATCCAGAACATACACCTCCTCCAGCAGTTGTTTCGTTTTTAGTGCGTGTAAGATAACCGCTACACTCGTCCTTGAGCACATCGTTGCCAGAAAAGACGGCACACCCATAGATGCCAACTTCGGTAACTGAACGTTCCACAGTAAACGAAAATAGGCCTTCCGAGGGGTTCTTAACAAAAGCAGCACGTTGCACCGGTGACCTGATGCGACGCATAAGAACATATTTCGAAAGCTGGCTACGGTCTCGCATAAGTCCATCTCGAAGGATAGCCGCAAGCTCATCGTAAACGAACAGCTCCGCGCCACCCTCTGATTGTGATTTAAGAACGAAATCCGCAGGATTCCTTATGGCCTCATTCACAACATCGTCATTGACCCGAAGAGATGGGTCTACCTGTTGCACATTAACCTTGCGAAATGTGATCAGGTCGTCTTCTGAGTTTGAGGGGTCTAAACCCGTAGTAAATTCGTCAGACAGTTTAGAAGAAGTTGCTGGGTCGCACAATAGCATCTGAACACGTTTGCTCCCGGCAAGCTGTGTAGGCACAGAGGGAAACTTCACAGCATCCGAGTATTCACACAATAGTCGTACAAACCAACTGTCACGGTCACACGACATCTGGTCCGGTGAGTAGCAACTACGGTAGTAGACCACACTAATTTCGGTCAACGTGACCTCATTATTTTCATTCACGTTGAATGATGGCCTACCAAGGAACAGTTTGCCAGGGTGCAATTTGTCGGTGACTCCGATGGTATGTGGCTCAGAATCTGATGACGAGCATATGAAAAGCCTGCCTTCACGCAACCAATTGCAAAGCTCACTCATTGTTGCCACCTCGACAACTATGCCGTAGTTCTCAAACAGTGAGTCGGCCACGGCATAAACATCGAAAAAATTCCCGAGATCTTCAGTTACCACTTGTAATACACATGGAGCCGTCGCATCCGTCGTGGTACAGTATCGTTTCATATAGTGAGAGTGAGCAGTAGCGAGCGTGTCGACAATGCCTTCTAGAGGCGTGTTCTGGATGTGATGTTTCCGGAAACCGGAAATCAGATCCATGCCCTTCATAGTTTCCATTGGTTCACGATGACATAACATGGTTTCTACGCAGTCAGTGTGAGCACGTGACACCAGTCCCGATAAATGTGCCAACGCGCATGATACCGTATTCATCTCAACCAACTTCATAGAAATGGCTCCACTAACATCAGAAATACTACTGACATCGGAGCCACATACCGTAGTAGAGTCAACCACAGCTCCTAGTTTGCATAGGCATACATCACAATGACATATACGGCAATAGTCTGCTTTGCCAGTGTCACAAGTCGCACCAGGCGTGTTTTGCTGCCTCTCTACGTGCAACAAATAATCCGCACGTGTAACATAACCTCGTATGTCATTATGTAAATGGCGTTTGCCGGAGACGTAAACCTCGTGGCATATGTCTAGCAGTCCAGCCATGAATGGGTCAACTGATCTCAGGGACTCCAGCTCCCTGCAGAGCCACTGTACGTCACAGCTCACACGGTCAAACAACCGCAACAGTCTAGGCATGAAACTAACACTGGTGCTAAAAGGTACAGCGGGAAAAGGCAAGGGGAACAAAACGGTGGGAACCATTTTTATCCGACCGCTGAAAGGCACAACCGATTTGACATCTCCATCTGGCTTCCATCTAAGATCCTGTGACATACACCCCAATGCCATCAATTTACGCAAGAATCGCTTCTGTAATCGTTCCAGCGCCTTAGAAAACTTAGGCATCTCGCACTTGCCATTGCTTGGGCCATCTGATGTCGAAGCAGTAAATTGCGATTCTATTGATGACAAAATGTCGAAGCAACAACCAGACATGTGCGATAAAACGGGTGATACACCAATGTGTCCTACATCCAAAGCGATACGGGAGCACATTTTGGGCCGACCAAGGCCCTGATCCACGTGGTGAGTAGACATACTTCCACCACGAAGTATAAAGCATCAAACATTAAAGATAGCTCTATTAGGTGTATTAGGCGACATATTGTTGTCAGTACGAGACAGATATGCGTCCCGACAAGACAACATATATGATCCAATGTGGTGCTAAAACACGTACACCCGCTTTGCGTGGCTGTGTCCGGGCGGTAAGCCCGGTCACGAACCCAGCGCATCTCGCAGCGGTCGCCGCATTCCGCATCAATCTTTCGCCTTTTACTAAAGATTGCCGTGCGGCGTCCGCATTCAATGCAACTTGTTCATTTTTTTTCTGGCGCTCCGGCGCCTACAGTATTCGTCGACTGTTCTTCTGTTGGCTAGCTTGTCCTTTATTCTGCCTCTTTTAGAGCCGGGGAATAGTCTGCTCGTAGGCGGTTTCACTGTTCCCCGGAGGTAGTATTCACGGTCGTACTCTAACTCACCTGAAATGGAATAAAGCGCAGCTATGCGTGCTAGCACATTTCGGGTGTTGCGCGTCCTAATGCTGCCTTATATACCAGTTAACGTTGAATTAACCTTGGTCAGATCACTTTTGTACTAACAGCATTGCACAGTAGCCGGTCTAGATCACAAATTTAGCCCTGTACGTTGAGCGCTATGACAGATTGCTCATGATGTGATCAGACACGTCAGCTGTAGCAGCAGCCAGGACCGATGTTCGTAGCTGGTAAGCGCGTTAATTAGAGTTTTTCAGCTTAAAAAAGTGATATTTTCAGCCGTATGGATCATGAATACTAGAGTACGCGAGATCACCGCAGCGAGCAAGAGTCCCTCCCCCATCCCAAGCGACCATAGAGCCTCCGAATAATAGCGCCAAGAAGACCCATATATTTAAGGAACAAGTAAAACTATTTTCCGCGCCGCCATACCGTGGAATCAAGGACTTATATCAGTCAACGGTGGACAAACCTTGAAGGAGACCGATAGGTGTCACACTAACGGCGGCGCTGGAGCCAAAATATTGATATAAGATCTAAAATGTCGAATTTAGAAGAATGCTATTTAATTTAAGATTTCTAGATGTCGGATATCAGAAAAGGTAATTTGTTTTTACATGATGGATTCAATATGGAACAACGGAAGAGCCAATTAGTTCAACTTCCGTGGTTCTATGCGCCAGATTCTGCGTAAAAATGTAATGATATTGACGATAGGACTCATGTTAACGTAGGATCGAGCACAAAATCGGACTGGTGGAAAGGAATATTCTACGAAGCTATTACACATAAAAAACAAAATAGCATCGATGTTGGACAAATTGCGCAATGCGCCTCAGGAGCGTCGCGTTGAGGAGCATGCCTCAGAAACAATCGTACAGGATGGAGCGGATCAAGATTCATACTGTCACGATGATCCACAATGCCCCTGCTACGTATGCAATAACGGGGTTATGGAACAAAAGTCGAGCTTGTCCAGTGATGAAACAGCAACAGGAATTGAATTTGCAGTACGATCATTCTGGCGACTGGCAAAAACACAAAATGATGTAGAGTCTCCTATGGAGGGACACTGTCGAGGCTTCTACTATAAATTATTACTTCACCCAAGAGGCACTGCAGGAACAGATAGCGAAGCAAGCCATCTTTCAGTATTCGTAGAAGCATCAGTACAAGACTGGTACCCACCATATTGGGTCTTCCCAAACGTAAGGTTTGAACTCACAGTTGTCAATTTTAAGGACCCAAAACAGTCCGTAACCTCGTGGGCACATTGGAGTTTCTCAAGCGACGCCACCAGTAGAGGGTGGCAAAAAATGATATCACATAGCAGACTAACGAAGGCTAGTGGTTTTATGGACGAAGACGGAACTGTACTTGTTAGAGGAAAAGCAGAACCGCCGTATCCAATGTTGTGGTCTAATTCACCATTCTACCACCCACAAATGATGTGGGAGTGCATACCGAACAGGGCACAAAGGGTCCTGTCGGCACAAGCACAGGCTATAAGTCACCCTTCAAAGTCCAAACGCATACAATCAATACAGGATGTCGTACCATGTCTGCCTACCTGCAACTACGATGGGCATGCAGAAGGATGCAAAAATGCGGGCCAAGAATTATTGGACGCAAATACAACATGCGCTATTGAGGATAAGGACCGCGATAAGGGGTTCTCGTGTTATGTAGAACCTTACAATGCCTATCCAGAGTCCAAATATTCACAACCAACTGGAGAAACACCGGAGTTGCCGAACTATCCGGAAGGGTTGGAACCGCCGTCACCGCCAGCTCAACAGGAATCTGGAGCAGGACTCGTGTCGAACCAATCAATAGATGAGTCGGACTACATTGATCTCAATGCAGAAGAAACCCTTATGCGCTTACAAGCGGATGATCACCCAGGGCTATCAAATGCCATACTCAAGCTTCTGGATGCGGTGATACCGGCGATACAACCAACGTTAGATGCGGATCTATTAGCGCTTATGACTCATGTCCTCTACCACTTGAGGGAATTTAGGAAACGAATTTTAATGTGGAATCCACCGGATAGTACTGAGGAAGGTGGCAAATCAGGAACTGGGATAGTGGTAGCATTGCAAAAGATATTTGCATATATGCAATTATATCCCCTGGCTGCCGCTTGCAAGACATACCGGTTAGCTGGAATTGATGCACAGCACCTCACCAAGTATTACCTTTGTGAACTCATGCCTAGAAACCCGAACCTGAAAAGGAACTACTTTCTTTCGGAGTGTACTGACGCTGCGGCAACTTCCAGTGCAGTCCAGAATCTACCAGACCGGTTGCAAAACGTTAGATATGAAATTAAAACCACCACTAAAAAAGGTACACGTAACTCTACTCAAAAAAAGGGTCCGTGGGTTAGGTTAAATGTACCACCGCCCTTTCCAAGACCACTTGATCCTGATGGTTATGATGCAGACGATGAATTCAAACATCCAGGCTGTTGCTATTTCGATGGTGGTAGATATGAGTGGGAGGTTAAGAGAAAACGAGCGTCTGATGATGAGAAGGTTGCTGATAACGCAAACTCAAACACGTCAGATGTCAACAAGGATACAACGGGCAGTCCCATTAATGAGGGTCAGAATCAGAATTACAGGCTCTTACCTGGAACTCTGAGCTTCAGTATTGGTAACCGTGGAGATTTTTTTGATAAAATTTTACCTCCACCACCCAATATCAAGCTATTGCTAAAAGCTATGCACATGAGTGATCTACAGGTCTTAGAAACACAGGACCAGCTCATCAATATACACACAGAGCTTTTTAGCATGCTACTGATGGATCTAGCTGCAGCGAAACGAAATATCAAGCAAAAGAGATTAATGGAACAGAAGGAACCAGGAGAGGTTAATCTGGAAGATACATTACCTTGGTATCTCAGGGACCAAACCGATCTTGAGATGACGTGCAAGGCCTTGTTTTCAGGTGCTGGTGATAATGAGGGGCTTTTCCACAACGGGGAAGTTAACGATATCTCAAGCATATATATACGATGCAAACATTCACATTCACTACAAAAGGCGCTAGAAAATACCACCAAGACAATGGCAAAGTATCCAGAAGTATTATTTTTCTACCTGTATCCAGCTAAAAACGCAAAAAAGGGAGAGCTATTCGATATACCGTTGAGGTTAGATTGCACAAACTTATGCGAAGGAGCTGTTACACCTGAGGAACAATACGATGTTGCGCCAGCTTGTAACATGCAAAAAATGGCTACAGCTGGTCATAATGCGTGCGATGCCAGGTCAAGCGCAGGACCGATGGATTATTGTGACTATTCGGATGACGAAGACGATGATGACGAAGAGCCTGAAGATGGATTAAGTGACGGATTCGGTAACTTTGACAATGAGGAAGAAAAGGGTAAGCACTCGGCTCACGTCAAGTGGTATTCCTTATATGCTTTGATTCTGAGGGAGGGGGACATTAGGTCAGATGGCACTGGGGGCAACTTCCATTCGCTCCTTCTCAGGCCCGAAGAAGACGGACCGTGGTACCGTATTGGTGAAGGCAGGGTTGAAAAACTGCTTACCAAGATGGACTTCACGGAATGGAAATGTCACCGAGATTTCTTTTGTGCTGCCGCCATATACGTAGCTGAAGATTACATCGACATGCTACAAGTTGGTGAAGTTGACCTTAGTGGAAACCTAAAGACTTGGAATCGTAAGTTGTTCTATGAGACCTTGGACGAGTTGGGGGTGTCTGAGCAAGATATTATAAACTTGGCAATTTCTGCATATTCACAGAAGCCAACTGATTCCATAGTTTCACAGTCACAATTCTCTGGTGACGAGATGCTTACTCCAAATGGTTCTATAACACCAACGTTCACGTACTGTCGGCCAGAACCGCTATCTGTTACTTCGAGGCTCAGTGAAGTTGAGTCTTCTGTAACAAAATACACACCAGTCGTTCCTATACCGAAACACGCACTTGCGGATCGTATACATGACGATGAGTTTGTGCGTCAAATTGCAGAAGCCTCGGAATATGAACCTGGTATTGACGTATCTGACATGTCACTTATATACAACCGAAAAATTGGACAGCGACATCCTAGGTTGGGCAACTGCTGTGAAATGCACGGATACTCTATAGATAACCTGGAAACTATTAACGACATCGATGTTAGTACCAAGAGAATGGAACCTGTTACAGATAAGGAGATATGTAGACGTCTTAACAGAGTGCAAACTATAAAACCTTTCATGAGGTGGTTGTTCTTTGCATCCAAGGAGAACACTTTTTTGCTGAATTCGGTCAAGGATAGAGATAAAGGCAAGCTGTTAGTCAGATTCCTCCAGAAGCGAGAACGCTTCTTCGAGGAAGAGTTCTGCCATCTTATATCGGAGATGTTGCTGAAGGAAATTGGAGAACATATGGCTTTGCATAATATCTACCGATGGGAGAGCGACAAGTCATGGTGTGGATGCTCATGTACCAAGTGTGAAAAACACTGTCCTGCTCTACTGTTGACCGAAAACGGACGTTTCCCTGGCGAAGATCTGAAGTCACTCTTGAAAGAGCCATCTACCATCCTCTTTCGTAATATCCAGATACTGAGGTGTCATCTTGAATATTTTTGCAAAGATTGCCGTAACCTGAGCCTCCAGGAGGGACGCGAAAATATGGGACCTGACATACATGAATTCAAGGCTACCTCGGAAAGATCTGCTTTGTTCCTAATTGAGTGTATATGGGACGCGTGTGTACGTTATACTCACGATTGTAGGACGATTCTCTACCTCAAGGCGATATCGGACAACCCGTCCGCTACCATCACAGAGATTGGTTTTAGCAAAGTAACCAATTTGATGAAACCGAACACCATTACCACCAAAAAACAGCCTGCATCCAAGGCTTCATCATCAGACCAAGGTAACGATCTGTTTGTCTTTGACGGTACGCTGTCACAAAATCCCGACTACCTCGAAGAGACATTAGTTGATTGTTACGACACCAAGTTTGACATTACACTTGCAGAGGAATTGAGGATAATGCGATACTTTTCCGCCAAATACCAACTGCCAACCGTGGTCCAGATGCGCAAGTTTCTAAGGGAGAACCACGTCCTCGTCTACGGTTTTGTGAGACCACACGAACTTGTGAGGGCGTACCTCGAGGTTAAGTGTCCCGGAGAAAACATCAAGGGTGAAATCGAGTCTATGGTGCCAAACATCGTATGGAATGACGAGGTATTTAACCAGAGAGTCGCCATAGAGTACCTTAGTGAGGCAACAAGAGAAATGTATGATGTGAAACTCCCAGTGATCAACACTGATGATTTCATTGGTTATAACCTTTGTGATTTGTATGAAGAGTTGGTTACCAGGATGCTTTTACATATGCAGGATGCAGAAAGAGGACTAAGTGACCATGTGTTCGACTATATGTACACTTGTGGCGATGTAGCTAGAGTTATTGAAGCAATTGAGCTCGAATGTGTTAATACTTTGATGTGTGATACATTTAGCCTTGACGACAAACCCACTGGCGACCAGTGTACCTGCGATGCAATCTCATCGGAGTGCAAGGTCTCACCTGTTTTGTCTAGCAGCTCGTATTTATCAGAACTTGGTGTTACCAGGGCACCTTTTGCCCTAGATTTTGTAGATATAGCACCAAGGACGGTGTCCGCTCAAGAGATGAACAGCGAGTCTGCATCTTTAAGCGGTGAATCCATCGACGCTGCAGCAAAACCCTCCGAAACAAAGAAAAAGCAAAAGGCCAAAGATCGTAAGGATAATGCCGACAGCGTAGCTCGTGTAATACCCCCTTTTGATATAGCAATACGTGACATCACCATCAGTCAAAAGAACGCACATGCTGCCGACCCTAAGCTCTTTCCCGATCTCACCGAAGCTTCAAAGTATCCCAACGCCACAAGCCATAGGAATAGCAATATGACTTTGTCTGCACTTCGAAGGTTGACTGAATATAACTCACTGCTACACGGCCATACGCTTGGATATGATTTCAACGTTGCTGCGGGCTTCGCCAACATGCTAAAGCTCGAGAATTATGGTATGAAGGCTACACCGAGCCCACACGTCAGAACTCGGAAAATCAGTGATGCCCAGGCTCAGAAGCTGAAACAGGCTTATGAACTGGGTATTGTCACCTCTAATGATCTTTCAGGTTGTGAAGGATTTGCTTCCGAAGAGAAATTCATACCCACCAAGAGACTGGTTGTTTACCACGAGTGTGTAGATCCTGCAACGAATAAAAAGGTCCCGACACGAGTGGAACATCTGTATTGGGGACTTCGTCGCCTCATGTTACAGCAGATGCCAACTAGTGTTGATAGCTCTTTTCTTCAAGCAAACAAAAGCAAAAAGGCCAAGGGAGCCACGAAATGTATATGTGGCGGTACGTGCGATTCTGATGAAAATGAGTGTACCTCTAAAATGCGATGGAAACCGCTACCGATCTCTTGCAATACGTAGATGGACTGAAGCGCAGAACAAACTCTAAGACACCGGACATAATACTGCTGATAGTGGGCGCGCCGTTGTCACTTTGCGTAGCACCAGCCACACCATTCCCGCTAATGGATGACTCAGAGTACCCTCTTTTGTTGTTCAAATGGATGTGCTCAGAGACTGTGGATCTAATATGCTACGGTGCAGTCGTGTGTGACGCGAAGAAGCAGCTACAGCACTATATATTCGATTGGTTGTTACCCCTGGTACGAGATTTGGGAGTACTTCCCAAGCTACGTCCTAATGAAAAGGAAGACATTGACCGTTATCAGATTCTGGAGGAATGTAGTGTTCGTACGGTGCAGAACGTGCGTCGTTGGAGTTGCGCGATCAGGAAGATCAACAAACGCACTGGTGATATTATCATTGCACAAGTAAAGAGGGTCACTGACTCACCTGCCACACTTAAACTGAGGGAAACAACCGACTTTATGCAAATTATACGAGAGTTAGAAGCATTAGAGTTCCTCCCTCCAGCGCAAAAAGTGGACAAAATAGTTGACAACGTCAAGGCTAGTGGAGAAGTAGGGGAATTGTCTGATAAGCCCGCTGAAGACGCTCAAAAATTGGGGAAAAAGAAGAAAAAGAAAAAGGTTACGAGGGCAGCTATACCCTCTAATAAAAAGAGTACTTTCTCCAAATCGATCATCCCCGTCGACACCGAATCGGAGGATAGTCCGGACCCTGACCAAGATCTGCTTAAAGATTCTGTGGAATCTGAAAAATCTTCAGAGGTATCCAATGTAACTACTAATGTGGTATTGAGTGGAACGAGCGCTGATGATAGAGAGGACGAGGACGAAGATGATTATGATGAGGAGGAAGACGAATCTGATGACGAAGATGTGGAAGAAGAGCAAGAGGATGAAGCCGCGAATACAAATTTCATTACTGCCACGGACGATGCGCGGGACAGTAAAATTGTGGCTGAACAAATTAATGTTTGTGCAATTGTCGATGAGGCACAAGAGGCGGTCGCCTCATCGAGGACAATTGTCGACCGTTCCGCGTTGGAAAAGCGTGGCCTTCCAGGCGTTAGGATGCAGGAATTCTTGCAGACGTTTGATTTATTCGAATTACTGTCAAACGAGTCGGATAAGGTAGCTGAAATGTGTGCTTATATACAACGACTAATGGAGGAGGAGCTAAAGGTGGATGTAGCATTAACTGCAGAACCATCCAAAGATCTGGTAATTATTACTGTTGGACCTAGGACGCGCACATGTGTCGATATTCTTCTTTGCCTAATCAAGACGATGCAGAGGACTGGTTGTCTGATTGCTGGATTTAGGAACCTAGTAAACGCCATATATGAGCAGGCGCCTTTGGCAGCAGCTAGCATCGCGTGCTACGCGTTGGCGGCCATGGGAAACAATAACATAACTGATTATTTCAAAACGGCATCAGCCGTGGAGTTTGTTCGAGATCTCACACAGAAGATGGCGGAGCAATGCATAGCTTACAGCTGGAGTGTATTCTCCTCTGCTCTAGAACAGTGTGCAGTCTCCTCGATGCTAATCTGTCTCTACCTCTACGCTGGTATTAATGATACTATTGGTAAAGTCTGCGAACAAAATTCGGACCTCATGTTTCTGATGAATGTAATAAGGGACCGGCTGAGTATAGTCGCCGATGAGGATGAAGATGAGCACATTGCATCAGTGGGATTCCGTATGGACGCTTTCGAGCGATTCACTGGTTTTGGAATTCCAGGGACCGGTGGTATTGCCGATCAGGTACACAAATGTACCGCGGTGATGAACGCTTTCAGAAATATGCAATCTCCGTTTGGTGATGATGAGCGTCTTTTCGAATTTGAAAATCTTGCGCTACAGGAATTAAGAATATGGTGGTGCCAACGTGAATTCTATCATGACGCCATCAAGGCAGCACTAGATGTAGGACCATTCACGTTTGTACTTACCAATGGTAATGCTGATGAGTTGCGACGCAATCACATGGACGAGACACTACCCCTGCCAATCAGTATTGCAGAAGCCCGATGCTTAAGGCAATGTTGTGACAGGTACCCCGGTGGATTACACATGATCTGCGATGGTGATATGGTCCATGTAGGCCCTCGCAATGCCCTGGGTAACGGACAAATAGGGTCGAAAATCGATGCTTCCGCCGTGGTAGACGCCACAAAGGCGCTGTTGCAACTCGTAGATAGCCGTAACCTCGGCCGTGCTGTCGCAAATGTTGCTCTGGATGAAATGGATACTCCAAGTGTCTTCGGTGACATATCTGACATGCGTCTCCGCGGCAACCAGACGGCACTAGTCACCATGTCGATGCGTCGTTCCGGTACGCTAGACACCATAGTAACTGCAGATGTAGACGTCATCATGCAGAACTATCACACGCGTAGTGTGCGTCATATAGCACCACCTCCTAAGCTGCCGCCGCAGCGTGTTCAGCTAGTAGGCAACCACAGCTGATTACGGTGTTTCGTGGAAAACCATGCTTTAATCTGTATTATTTATAAGTGTTAGTGCTCTAATAGTGTATCCGGATTTTCTATGGCTTCCTTGATCGCAATGAGGAATTGTACAGCCTCCCTGCCGTCAATGAGACGATGGTCATACGATAGTGCCAAATTCATGATCGGCCTGATAATCATCTCGTCATTGCGCACAACGCAGCGCTTGATAATCGAATGCATACCCAGAATCGATGATTGGGGTGGGTTAATGATCGGCGTACTTAACACACTACCGTATATACCTCCATTAGAAATGGTAAAGGTGCCACCCGTCATATCAGCAACAGATAATCGTCCTTCACGACCCTTGGTCGCAGCCTCTAAGAGTTGCTGCTCCAACTCGACCCAGGTCTTTCCCTCACAGTTGCGGATAACTGGTACTACGAGTCCCGAAGGCGTAGCTACAGCGACCGAAATGTCAACGAAATGCTTGGTCACTATTTCGTCGCCCTCGATGTAAGAGTTCATAATAGGCATCTTCAGCAAAGCCATGGTAGATGCTTTCATGTAAGCTGATACATAACCTAGTTTGACAGGCATTTTTCCGGATTCGTTGAGCTTCTTGCGCAGTTCCATGATAGCGCTCATGTCACACTCGTTAAAAGTGGTCAGCATCACGGTTGTCTGCTGCGACTCCTTCAGGCGCTCACCAATACGCTTTCTCATGCGTGTCATTTGGACCTGTGCATCGTTTGGATATCTAACTGGGAGACTCTTACCCTAGTTTCGGTTGGTGTAGCCTCCTTAGCAGCAACCTCGGGGGTAACCTCGGGGGTAACCTCGGGGGTTGCCTCAGCAGGAACCTCCTCGGCGCTGACATTCTTAGTCTCGGGGGCTGTTTCTACGGATGGTGCGACACCCGCAGTAGCTCCTGTTTCCACATCGATGAATGGTTTGTCTACAAAGACAGTGTCGTCCTCTTGGTAGTGTTGTTTCACAATTACACCCTCCATAGTGCTGTTGATGTCTACGGTGACCTTGTCCGTCTCAACAATGGCCAGTGGCTCGTCGACAGCTATGTGCTCGCCCACCTTCTTCTTCCATTCGCTCAAAGTACCTTCGCTTATAGAGTCTCCGAGAGAAGGCAGCTTCATCGTCTTCACTTCTGCGAACAGTTTGTAAACAACGACTAGCTTGCCTGGCACCTACCCAGTAACTTTGAGGAAACATGCAATTCTCGTATTCCTTGAAATGGAACGTTGATGATGCTACATCGCGACGAGATCAAGGATGAAGCGCTCACATAGTTGATCGAGCCTCTTGAGCTACGGCGCAACAACGCGCCGATAAATCCGCACGGTCCAGCCATCGTATAAACCAATTCCTTATGTATATGTGTAAGTAGACGGAAACGATCTGGTATTCGTATTTAAATTAAGTGACTAGTGGATGAACCATTTCAGTGCAGTGATAGCTGCCACTGCTTAACGCGTGGATATTCCAAAACCGCACAACAGCTGAATTAAAAATATTTAGCAACTTAAGCTGTGCTAGCCAACCGCCAACATCAACGGTGTGGTGGTGTTCGCAGCCTCCCAGAGTACAGAACCGCCACGGTGGTAAGGGCCAAATAGGCAAATAAGGAACAGGAAACCGACGTTAATCGGACCGTAGAATTAAATAATAACTTGTGACAAATTGATGGCAGACTCACTGCGGGTGTGTGATGTAAGCGCGAACTATCGCTGTGTATCTAACGCCGTCGCGGAGACGGTGAGGTGATCTTGCCTAGGTGTCGGACGTTATGAATTAATTAGAGACACTCGATGCCACTGCGAACACTAAGAACAACGCTCTGGTCGTCGGGGCAACGCCGTAAAAGCTTGAATCCATGTAGACAACCTACACCCCTCAAGGAGCGTCGCCCCGACATACATAAATCCTAGCTGTTTTTACAGGGATAACATATCTTTTATATCGACAAATAAATAAAAAACATTACACAGTCGGTGAAGACAATGAAATACCTAGCTCTTTGTGCCATCGCAGCCTTGGCGTCAACGGCGAAGGCCTTCGGCACAAAGGGAAGGCTCCACGGGCATCATTCTACGTCTATGCAAAACGAACATACAGAATCCAACGTTTATGCTTTATCCACGAACAACTTCATCGGTAACTTTGCTAGCGAAGCCAGCGAGATCGTCATGGGCTTGGCAGAGGAAGATAACGCTAAAGCGCTGCTCGACGAACCTCTAAAATTCTTCTACGGCCCAAAGGGCGATTCATCAGAGGCGGATATGTCTAATGAAAAAAATTTTCAGAAGACTGTGGCAGAATGCCTGTTGACACACGAGGAAGATTCTGTAACGAAAACTAAAACTGTATACCTCTCACTTAAGGACGCCGAAGCCTACGGCAAACGTATTGAAGATGCTAAAAACAAAGGAGAATTCGGAAATGAAGTCCACCAGAACGTTAGACGTCACGTTCAATTAACCTGCAAACCTGTCGTTATAGAAGATGAGTCTAAAAGATGCGCCATGTGTCTATATTCCGAAATACTCATACCCAATAAACACATTAGGTACGGACATTTAGGTAACACTAGTGTGCTAGAGTGCCTCAACGGATACGACAACGATCTCGACAAAAGCAGCACCGCCAGGAGATACTACATCAATTCGGCCGACAGGTACCACCCACTATGCATTGCCTGACGAAACACGTGTAACAATGCCTAATTTTGAAATCTTTAAAACAATAGTTAGTCACACAAACCACAAGTGGCACACTGCCTGGGGGAGCAGGCAGTGTGGAAGAAGTGGCCACACCAAAACACACGGAATGACTTGTCCCAACGGGGGACACCTTTAGTGTGGGTAGGCATCCCGGAAGTCAGCTGTGAAAGCAGCAGCGATGTAGCGTTAAACCAATTTGCACGCCCAACTAAACCCGGTGGTTTCTTGTTCACGAGAGTAGACAGACGGTCAGAGTACAGATTTGTTAGATGAGTAATACCAATATTACCCGGTATTGCTTCCGTACCCTGCTTCTCAGATGATTGTGGCAGCGAGTATATCACGCCAAGTTGTCGCTCTAGAGAAGACAAGCTGTTTGATGCAGGGGAAGTGGCGTGAGATGGGCTGCGTGCTGCGCCGTTAGCAACCGGAGTCTCACGGGCTCTCGCTTCATCTGAGGGCGCCGATGGCCATATCTCCCGTCTACAGACGCCGCACAGGAACTCGGACGAATGTATTTCGTGTCCACCACCAACAACGACGCCACGCCTATTGTACCCCAGACTACGGCGGAACTCCTCTCGCAAAACCGTGGTGCACATAGTAGACGAGGCGTTCGAAACGAAAGTTTGGAACTCGGCATCGCACAACAGTCGGCGTAATGGGCTCTTAAAACTGCTCACGCGGGCAGAGTCGTACCTTTTCAACTCAACAAGCGCTTCCTTAAGCCGGGTGAACTTGTAAATTCCGTTGGTGAACACTTCCTCAATCAAGTTAGCGTACCGTTCCCCGAGGGGATCACGTTCGACCAAGTATTGCAGGATTCCGAACCATAGCAGCTCCAAAGTCTCTCGGGATGTGAATTCTTCACAGCGAATGCACAGAATGCAGGCATCATGGACAAGCCGGAGGCACCAGTCCAAGTCGTCGCCCACCGCATGGAAGGAGTCCAAAAGCCAAGATGCTGATTCAGCGAAGTCACCAGCACGCATCAGTAGGTATGCTACAGCATCGTGTATTCCAGCGGAGATGCAGATCGACAAGGAATCGCCAATGTCCAACTTCTGTTGCCGCTTCAAAAATGGGCACACGCTTTTGGGGTCATCCTTGCATAAAAGTCGCAAGTATTGGTTGAAGTAATCTCCTGAGCCGGCACCCACACCAACGCCCGTTCCCGGTTGAGAAGTGCCGAGAAGCGCATTCAGAACCATTAACTGCAGCTCGGGGGTATCCTTGAGCGTGGAAAGTACAATGTCCTGAGATGACTGTAAAGCAGTTTCTTTGAAGACAGACACAAGGTTGGACAACGAAAATATTTCGACCAAGAGGGACGTTGCACTCTTCAAGTCGACCCTGATAAGATGAGGCAATGCATCCATCAAAGTCGCAACGAAATCCTTCTGGACGGCAGGATCCACCAGCAGCAACTCTCTGACGCTGCAATCGGGTTCTACTACTCCAGCTTTGATACACGCAAGGCATTGCTGTATGTAAATGAAAACCTGGTCACCGCCAGCTGACTCCCAGGCTTGAATCGCGCTTCCATAATCGCCTGCCACTTCGCACAAAAACACACGAGTTTCAAAGTCGCAAACCAATGGAATCAAACCGCTACACATGCGTTTCAGGTTTCCGAAGTGAGCGTTTTGTGTCCAACTTGACTGACAGTCAAACTTGCGATAAATGGCAAACAATGTGCGCCGTATATGCAACTTCAAAAGCTCGCGCGTAGTGGACTCGGTGACATTGAACTGTCGCACGTTATCAAACAACTCTTCCGACCTTTTGCAGAAGGAGTGTAAGAAGTATGCATTATTGAAACTGCCATCTGGGAGAATCAACTCAATCGTTGTTAATTCAGCGGGATCCAAAAACGGGTCAGAATCCACATCAGAAACCTCTGTAAGCAGTGTGTAGATGGCCACAACTTGAGTTCGTAGGGCAAGATAAAATTGCTCCGAAAAAACGCTGACACCAAGAATGAACATCGATAGCATACACCGAATAGTGAATGTAGACTGTGCAGCCTCGAATGTAGATAGACATCCTATCAAAGCGTTGACTAGGAAGTTGAACACGTCAATCTTCGAACCCAGTATATCAGTGTTGGATTCAAAGGTTGAATTGGGAGCCATCATTAAGTTGGCGAAGCAGGCAAATAGCAGCCGAGGGCTGAAAGACATCAACATCTGAAGCGTTGGGGATACCGAGTCAACGCCGCATGTAGTCTCAAATCCCAGGCGATCCATGTTTTCAAAGTCTATTAGGTCATCGTCGTATAAAAGCTCGGATCTTGCGTAGTTCACGTCAGATGAAAGTGGAAATGAAGGCTTAGAGGAACTTGTCGACATCAGACAACCCAATACTTTGCAAAAATTAGTAACTGCAGACTCGGGTGCTAGGCCGCAGTTTTCGAAGGTGAGGAACGAGTTCAAGATTGAGTAAAGCACACGTAAGACATATAGGCTTTCAGTCCGGTTCCACGGTAAATGGCCAATAACCATCGACGAAGGACTTAGCACGTTGTGCAGAGATTCAACTCTGCTTGATGCTTCCGAATAGAGTATCTCTAGAGCAACAGAAATATCTTCGCCAATCAAATCTGGGCAGTAAACCAAAGCCTGCCACTGTGCGTGCTTCGAAAGCATGTAAACAGCCCTTTCCTTGTTGAATGAAATTTCATTTCGAGAACAGAAAACATAGAGTCTCGATATGTGGTTGCACAATAGCTCGTAAACCACGACTTTATCGTTCACATCCTGTTTCTTATGCGGCCCTGGCACAGGACACTGACCCTTGTTACGGTGCTCCACTTCGTCCCTTAGGAAGACCAAAGAGTCTTCAACATGGTCACATCCACTGAGATAATCGGTTTGCATGGAGTCCAAAAGTTTGCCGTAAAAATCGAAAATTGACTCAAAAACGGTTGGTTTCAGACGTACCAAATCCATGCGTCCTTGGTAAAAATTAAGTAGTACGTACTTCACAAAAACGTGTTGCATGCCCACAGTAGCAAAACACCTAAATAACAAATCGTTCAAACAGTCATACAAATTCAGTCGTAGGCAAATGTCAAACATAGCGCAACATAGATTGTCGATCTGTGAGATGATGTCATCTTTCACTTTGTCGGTCCAACCGTCACTATTGTCTTCATCCATCGCCGTTATAGAATCAGAATCTACCAGCTTTGATAGACGAATGATGTGTGCACATGCCTGGTGCAACACGTAAACAATCAACTTTTGGATGTTGTCTACGTAAGCCTTGTAGTCTAGCAGTCCTGGTAGTATACCGCCGTACAGGGCATATGATATTGCGAATGCCTCGCCAAATTGCTTGGTTGCTGTGAGATCCCCGATACACTTGATCCAGGAATGTATTTCCGAGGACCGAATGCCTTTGCTGGTCAAAATGTAGAAGGATACCACACGAAGGTCGAAAAAGGATTCGTTCCGCTTCCCGTGGAATATATCTGATACCAAGGCAGAAAACTTCTTGTAACTGTTGGCCATCATTTTTACGGTGCGCACGTGTACTGAAATCGTGGGACCGATGTTAACCATCTCCTGCCACAAGTCAACCATATTATCCACACCCAAGTCAAAAGAACGCACAATGTCGTAGTGCATGATGCTGTGGAACACATTAACTTGTACCACATGCATAACATTGTTGTAATCTACCACCGCAAATAGGTCCCGGCTGACTGTGCGGACGTTACGAATCACGGTGTCGAACCTAATATAACCAATATGGGTACACGATACAGGTGGCCCACCGCGCTTCCCCGAAGATAGATTGCAAAGCGTGAAACTGATGCGTGAACCCAAAACTATCAGCAGTACCGGCATTATATCACCGCTGTTGTTCAAAACCATCCACGTAATGCTAGGCATAGCATACGCACTATCGTCTGAATCCTTTGGGCGATCAGTGAATGGCACACGGAACAGTATCGACAGTTCTGGGCGTGTGGCTATCACTACACACCGCTTAATCGTTGCCAACGCAACCAAACCTCCCACAGTCGCACCTGTGATAAATCTAGACTGAGGATTAGAAGAAAGACAGGCCACATCCACAATATCATCATTCTCTAACAAACGTTCAGTGAATGCCTCCATTGGTCTGATATTGAGATTGTGAGAAAGAACGGTTTTGCTGTAAGACAGTAAGGAGACAAACGAACTGTTCGCGCAAAGAACCTCCTCATGAGACTCGCCAATTGTAAATATGCATGTGGTAACGGCGTCATTGAAAGGTTTTGCAGAGCAAATTACATGAGGTCCGGACTTCCTGAAGCCGCCAAAGGCTGATGATACTGCATCAGCCATGAGCCCGAAGCCACGGCCTTGATGGCCACCATCATGAGCAACTCCTCCCTCAGAAACATCTGTTGCTCCAGTCTCAGCAGCCTTAGTTTGTACCGAATCTTTGTTGAGCCTTAGCAACTTCACCAGCCCGTTACTATATCCCACACAGATCCAATTTGAATCCGGTAACACATCGACACATGTAACACCGGCATCACTTTGGGCATCAATTTCTTGCCACACCAAATCCCTTCCGACAGTTAAGTCGCTGAGATGCACGGCATCATCGTTTGGTTTGAACTGTCGCTTTGTGTTGTGATTACTTATGTCAGACACCAGGATGGAACCGTTTGAGGTCCCTATGACCAACACATGATTGCCGGCAGCTATACAAGAAGGCAGTAGTGAATCATACGGAGGTGGTCCTATGCGGTTCACCTTTGTCGCATCAATGTCAATGAAGTCATCCTTGAACAGTCGCAACTTCTCCAAAGCGGCTGATGCATTGTGTCTGCATCGAATCAGCAATTCACGCTTCTTAGGGATATCTAGACGCTTATACGAAAGTCCTAAACTCTCTAAGCAGGATCTAGATGGATTTAATATGGGAATAGCATCAGTGGTACCATCGCCCACTGAGTCCACATCTGGGTCCGAATGAATATACGGAACACCGGAAGCAGCGCGTTTAGAATGCTGCAGATAGGAGAGCTTATGAGCAGTTACCATGGTGTCAACCTGCCGGCGAACCACAGAACGGATTGACCCTAAAAGCGAGAGCGAGGTATTGACCAGTTGTCCTATGGCTGTCCTATACTTATAACGGCATTCACACTCTACAGAAGCTGTGGCGTCCCCCGATAACTTCAATCGATCGGTTGCATCATCTTTCGTGTCCGAGTCACTCTGGCCAGAAACCGCCGCTTGCGCTTCGCTCGTATCAGTGGGTGTGTCCGTTATCGGTTGCGGGCTGTAGAGATTGACGATGCCATCGGTACAAGATGTCGAGCCCGTTATACTCACCGCCCTAGTGGGAGATATCTCATTTGCCATGTAACAGCCGTTTGTTTCGCTGGTATCAGTAGACACCGGAACCTTAGTTCCGCGAAGGGGTGTATGCGGACTCGCTTCCCCTGTCGATGTCAAGGGACTTTCACAGTCTCCATCCTGCAATAGGGTATTCAGGATCTCGGTGTAGTCTACTTTCTCCCCGGATCTTGGCGTTAAGGTAGAGCAGCTGCTGTCTGACGGTTCCACATCACTGTCATCTGACAGATCGGTGGTGCCCAGCAAGTCCTCTAACCTGGTAGATGACATCATTTTACACACATATATCGGCACATATCGCCGGTGCGTAAACGCTAGAGTCTCAAACGCAGCCAGCGACGTCCCCCGAAGACGTCACTGGCCAGGAAATACCAAGTGAAATGGGTCCCAAGTTTATTTCGCGCACAAATACAATCTGTGCGTTGCGATAATAATCTTTTTGCATGAACATTAGAGGAAAAAACGTGCATGGCAATCCACCAGAATCACGGGTGACTTTGGGGAGTAAGGGTGGGCTCTCCGGTACGGTCTATATAATATGTATTTTCGCCGAAAATATTTTTTAAGTTTAAAGGTCAAAAAATGGTATATACCGTCCCGAATGGTACACATTTGTGACGATGTGTAGCGTGGACCAACGTCTGCTGACCTGTGGCCTTTAGATTCGCCTAAACTAGAGTGGCGTTGTGCGTTCTAAGGTTAAATTTTCGTTTTAATTCTTAGGTTTCGTTCAGATACCTGTAGAACCGTGGAATCTTTGGTAAAACCAACGGATCACCGCTGTTTCCACATCTACGTCTCCCAAACGAACGCCGGTGCAAGGCCTGCTGCTAGGGAGACACACCTAGCATGTGCATGACCCATAAATGTGAAGAATGACGGCCGTTTATGGGTGGCATGTGCTTTTAGGGGTGCCCTGAGTACTTGAGAAGTACATTTTCGCCACTTGCCAACATCTAAACCACTCAAACCCCTACATAACACACAATACAATACTAAACGGTACAATCGTCGTTGTATTAAGTAGACACTTGGGTTTAGGTGACCCTTAACCTAAGAAGCATTCTCCTTCGGCTTCTAGTCAGTTTTACGCAACTGCCACCCTGTACTACGAACTAACATCTACGCAGTAGAGGAGCTCTGACTGAAAACTCACGTTGCTGAAATCTCCTCAATCACGGCGTTCTACATCATTAAATAAATATTGATTTGTCTACTTATTGAAGTAGTAAAGTCAAGTGTTACGTGGTAGAATAACGTGGTTATCTAGCGGATTCGAATGTAGTACACGGAACAACATTTTTGGTTGTTTATGCAGTTGGTAGTGTCTGGGAGGGATTGTGCTTTGTCTAATTATCGGGGATATTTTTGTGGCTCATTTTTCACAGTTGGTAGAAAGAGCATCGGGGCGAATATTGGTATACGGCACATCTACAGAGGGTAGTATTTACTGGAAAAGTTGCGCTGTCGAGAGGTTCATATCGTTACTTCAAAGCTCGAAGCTTAATTCAGTTGTTCAAGCGAGAATAGCTTTCTTACGACTTTTGTGACAAGCCGGCCTTTAGAGTCAGAATACAAGTATACGAAACAGAAATACCATTAAGGTAAGGATAAATATAAAATGTTATAGTATTATCGTTGCATGTCAATGTAGAGATAGGCAACTCTTTTCTTTTGGATTGAATTTGTGTAAACATAATTTGCCAAGTGATTCATTCTCATCAGAAACCAAGAACAACTACTCTTACATGCTGTCAATTAGACATCACACGTTTTACGTACAACAGAAGTAAGTCTTCAAGTTCTGTCGAATTTTTCCAGTTTTTTGCATCTCATGGGATCCGATTTTTAGTGTTACTATGAGCCTCCAGTGTCTATCAGTTCGCCGGAGTGCTGGGATAACTATTTTATGTTTCAATGATATATTGAGATATGAAGTCTATTTACGTACTGAGTGTGATGTTTGGTACCGTTTTCATGACATTTGTGCTGTTAATACTTATTAAATCGATTCATACGTCGAATGGGGAATTTTTGCTGGCTGATGTTTTGCCAAAGTTTATTTCACAATGTGTCTTTCGATCGTTAATAGCGGTAAAATGGTCCTCATATGTTTACAGATAAATCGAAAAAGAAAACGGCGGCAAGGTCGAAAACTTAGGGACCAAGAATTTTTTGTCTATGCTAAAAAAAAATTTCGAATAAAACGCGTCAAGTTATGCAATTCCCATAACCTATATCACCAAATTGTTAGTGAAAGTATGCAGGTTCACGTTCTCAAAATACGAAATTACTGAAACCTAGAACAGCGTAGATTCCACGTGTAGCGAAGACAGTGGAGTGAGGGTTTTAAACCATAATCGGCCGTTGTTATCGCTATTATGAGATAAATGTGAACAGAAGTCATTGAGTTTACAGATTAACATTTGACAATCGGAATTTTCGAATGCATTTCGTTCAATTGCGAAAATTAAGATGAGGTCAGAGAGCAACAAGAGTGTAGAAAATCTAGCTTCTGAGATGCGTTCCCCAGAAAACGGCTTCAAAACCATGCACATTGTCAATACTGATGTTTCCGGCGATTTGTACTGCGAAAAATGCGATCAAATCACACCTGAGAGGGGCTGCAATGACACGGAGATGTTCATCGATTCGTTCTACGACAAAAGTGTGAATCCGATGTACAGTTTCGAATCGCCATACATGATGCGAAATTATTCAGAGCATTCCGCTCATGACAATTCAAATTCCCTGGATAATGATGCCACAAAGTACAGTGAGGACGTAAGACCATGCCTGTCTAACGACCATGAACATCGTATCGATACCTACGGCCATAAGGTAATGAGATATGACCCTTCATATGGTTACGATGCTTATCCGATTTCGACTGCATATGGTACACAGGAATTAAACCGAACTTACCATGTACCTAAAATTTCAGTGTACCCGCCAGATGGCGATCTGAATAAAACTAGGGTCCCTGATAACTTTGAAAATCACGAAACAACCCCCCAGTCTGAGCAAAAGGAGCAGAAATCGGATCGTACTCATTCTACGGCGACGTCAGTTGTCGGTGAGACTTCCCCGATGCTCCAGCCGGAACCTTCTCTGGTTGGTTCGGACCCTAGACTCAATTATTGTGGAAATACAATGTATTTGCCTAATAGCGGTTCACTTCCTCCTGTTCCTTTGAGCTTCAGGGGTGTATATGATGCAGAATACTTCCACTATGCCGCTCCACCGGATACTGAGGATGACGCCTACAATCAGACCTATATGGAGAATGGTAGAGAGGGTTTGGGAAAGCCCGTAGTACGCTGCTATAACACAACCAATACGCAGTTCTATTCATCCCAGGCTCGTCCTACAGGAAACAATGTCACAAATGGACAGATTCCTCCTCGCCCTTTAATGGTGCCCAGGCCATATAATGCCCCACAACACCACTTCCTTGGAAATGTTATGTACTGCACCAACGGTTGGCTGCCAAAAAGTTATTCTTACGATTCCTCAACTCGGAGCAACTATTGTCCCATTCCGGAATCCACAGGATACTACGATTCTGGTGCGGAATTTGTACCCGTGAAAACTTCAACGGAAAAGGAGATAGGAACACCTGTGAGTGAAAATCAAGTCGATCCGTCTAACAAACATCAAAACGGCAATCCTGTTACTGGCTCATATGATGCTGCCTATGAACAGGCACCCTTATCGGATTATTTCTACAACCATCAGAATGGTATAAATTCTATGCCTACCCAAGGAGCGGCACCCGAGAATTACGTGGACGAACGCATCAAGGGTTGCGCAGGTCATAGCGATGCAATGAAAACGGAGCTGTGCATGGAAAGTCTAAAGAATCTCAATCGGAACAACATAGACTTTTTGCGCATGAGTGAATCTGTATGGCAAGCATTGCGAACTACTGGGATGTTCAAGCTGGGTAACAAAGGAAGGGCAGTGCTGAAGTCTAAGATATCTAAACAGTTGAAACTGAACCCTCATTTGCGTATGAGGGCACTTTGCATATCAGGTGTTCGACGGGCGACGACTAGGCAACTCTTCCAGCTGGCGCAAATTTGCGGTATAAAGTCTCATCTGAAGTGAAGTTGGAGGTGTCTAAGTCTGGTACTGCTAATTAGACACATTATCCAAGGAGCTACTACAACGGCCTTGACCATACGCTGATGGGGTATTAATCAGGCTACCCTACATAACCGAACGGTCTTAGTGGTCACTAGATATTTCTGCTATTAACGTTGCCTTCTTCGAGAAGCCCTTTCAAGCGGCAGCACATGGGGTTGACCTTCCAGAAATCATGTGTGCCACGTTTTTAGTAATGTGGCTCATCGTGGCACGTGGTTTGATACACATGGTACGCATCGTGGAGGGGAAATGCTACATAGGCTGCCTATGATATGTGTCACTGTTGAACTACCTGTGTATCTAATTCGACAATGTTTATGTGTCATCCAGCCGAGGTGGCAACATGTGAAACGCACACTGATTTGCTACTACTTAACCTGGCGTTACCCTTGAGTAGGCCCCCTTCCACGATACGAATTCTTTACAGCTACCACGACTACTGCAGCGACACATCTAAATAGCAATGTGTTTCAAAAATTGAAAGTTCGGAATCATGGCATTGGGGACCAAACTATTAGCATCGCATCCAGGTGCTAGAGTCACGTTAGCACCTACGCACATAGCGTAATTTGCAGACATAGATACATAAGTATTCGTTACAACGGAACTAGAATGCGAGCGATTATGCATTTTTGTTCGTGTTATGTGTAGCTCTATATTCGTCTACTAATGGTTGTGTAGCATCCCAACTCCAGCGCACCGTACGGATTCGAGATATTTATTTTATATCATTCACGAAATTATTGTGTTTTTTGTTGTCAGGGCAGAGTGAATGCAAGACGCGAGGTCTAGATGTGTAGCAATCGAAGCGCACAAAACCCCTAGGCCTTTCGTTATTTACGCCCAATCGGCCTCCATATATCTATCGTGTCTATTTTGATATACGTGCATGTGTGTAGGCTTGCATTTTGTGCTCTTTGTTTTCCCATGGTGGTTGCAGGCATTGCACAACGGCGTATAACTCTACACACTAATACTCTGGCTTCAGGTGCCAGCATTGAAGAATGGATTTTCGAATTTAGAACTCCAACAAAATAATTTACTGTAAATTCAAGATGCAGCCTTCCGATGCTGCACTAAAGTAAGTTGCATTTTACATGAAATTGTGTAATTTTCGTCCAATCGACGGTCAACTTTCCGTAGTGCTAGAACTACTCATACTTATTATGCACAGGCGACCTGCAGCTGGCCTTGCAGCTGAGTTGTTGCATCGTGACCACCACGGCCTGAGGTTGGTGGACACCAAGCCCAAAGAACATGTAGGTCGTATTTTACATTAGATGTATAACAACCAGATTCGACCTGGATGGATATTCTCTGAAGATACCTCTTCATCCAGGTCTGGACGCAGAATGTACAAACAGAAGCAGATCGCATTGAAAGACATAATGTACGAAACCCATGTACCCGCGGGTTATGGCGCACACCTTCAAAACCACGGGAAAAAACAACCTGACATCCCTGAAGACGTTAGACACCGTTTGTATGGGATACCTGGCCAAAATATCTTCACATACGGACTCGACGAGCCGCGAGCGTGCAGGGCCCCTGTAACCAACTTCGACGTATGTCTTGATACATTTTATGAAAGCAAGCTACAGATCGGTATGATACCAAAAGAAAGCGTCCAACATGTGGAAAGCACAATCCCACGCGTGAATATTGCCATGATAAGTTCATTGGAGGTGAGAGTCTCATTGCCTAACACGATGCCACTTAGGAGTCACTATTGCCCAAGGAGGAACCCCCTCGACGTAACAGCAAACAATTGTATGTGAGAGCCAACGAATCACATATAGAGGTTAGTCAACTTGCACAATCATCAGAGGCATCTCAGCCCGGATATGTGACTGCCGATGAACCCGTAAAGACAGTACGCCTCTATCCCTTAAGGCATAACACGAACCTGGAAGTTAGTACTACTACCGACAATTCATTGACGATGCAGTCTGACCTTTTGCCCATTGTGGAATCGCAGGGAAGCACGCGCCGGCATTACAGCTGCACTAATGCACACGGCTACGACTGTATGTTGTATTAATCCAATTTCACAAATTCACAGTTTTGTCTGGCGATTAGAGACCTGACTACGCAATACATATCTTTTCCATACATCATATGGTATCATTTCCCAAAATATCCCATATGGGTTTGCACTCTTCGCAGCAGCGCCTTTCGTGGTCACCAATACGCTCTGGTACCTCGTAGTGTGTCTCCGCCGTGCTGCGATTGGCATTAACCTGCATAAATAAGTAGTAGCGTAGGATTGTACTCACATAAACCGGATATGGTATGTGCAGCTTGCAAATCTCCATGAGGGCTTCGCAATCACACGCACCAGCCAATTCCTCCGCTTGAGGCCGTTGTAGATGAAACTCTTCTAGAGGTTTCTCTTTAGCTGCCTTCGCTATGGCCGAGTCTGGCGGCCCCTTCTTTTCATATAGATCCAGTGGAGCATCTGTTCGGGATGTATGCGTTGGTGTGTGATCCTACCGATATTAGGGTTGTACTGCGGACATCCCTCGGGGTACAAATGCGACTGGTCATACGTGCTGTACTGTGGAGGTATCCTGAAGTAATTTACAAATACAGAGAACGAGCAGAATGGTGGCACAGACAGGTTGTGACACGGTATTTCAATATCGTCCATCCAGAACCCCGGGCACGCTATCAGAGTGGCGATGCACTGGACGAAACACAAAGGGAATGATTGCGTGACGTTGGCAGCACCTGTGATACATATAGGAAACAAGCTTGCACAATGCATTCCCAGATATACAGTGGCGCACAGGTAATACTGTGCATCACTTGTGTGCCCGACCTTGGCTGCGTACTTAGCAGGGAATGAAGAGATCACCCCGTTCATAACTGAATCTGTCATATCCGCCATTACGAAGTCTGTTGCCGTTATCGGGTACAATACCGATCCCAGACAGTTTAATCCCGTTAGCATCGGTAGACACGGCAAGTTCCTAAACGTAGTTTTCCACTTTGCCCATACTGACTTACTGTCCGATAATAGTCGGCGGAACAATATCGACGATAATAGCAATAACGGTTTGCAGAATACCCTTCACCTGTTGAAGTCCTTGGATGACCATATTTTCCACTCCAGGGGTATCGGCCGACGCCGGCGAGTGGACATGCGTATAAAGATTACCCATCCTAAAAACTGTTGCCGTCATAGTTACATCACCTACCATCTCACTAGATCGTATCCGGTGCCACCTCTGAATGGCCCTCCCGGGAATTTCGCTACACTTCCAAAGGTATGCGATGGGCTGACCCAGCTGCCTTTGTCACACTACTCATGTATGCAGATTTTTGGATTAAAAATTCTTACGTGAGGCTGACTGAAGGTACGATGAGCCACTGCTTGAGTAAACCTCTCAGTTGCCCTGCGTCCTTTGACTACAATCGATATGCTATACATGGCGAAGAGAACGTACTGACACCCAGCATCCATTTGTAGCCTTCAACATCGAAAGTGGCAGCGACGTTTGTCACTAGTCTTGAGAACGCACGCTTCTGATTCCAAGATCCATCGGTCACCTCAGGCGCCATCATGAATGCTTCCTTGAATATTTCTTCCAGGAGAGCTTCTTTCTCCATGTGATGAGCCTCATCTGTCAGAGCTTTGTCCACACATGTTGCGATACTTGCGATAGAGATCAGTAATGAGGTGATATACCTCATCTTGTTAAAGGAAGACCGTTATATTCCTTTGAAGAGTCATTGTATGGACTGCCTACACACGCCTTATTGGCGCGTGCGGACTCCAAAGATTACCGTGGCGTTGCTAAAACTGCCTTGTGATACCTTCGTTTCGAAGCTTCCAAAGCCATGTCTAACGCCAAACAACACGTGTGCTTCGCCACCCTTTCGTCCCCATGTGGATTCCTGTCTTAGGGTGACCGACGATAGGCTGCCTTCTTGGAGTGTGTTAGCTAAATTTTGCGCATTCTATCAATTTAGCCAATTCTGAATATCGGTGATATAAATGTTGCATGTTTTACGAACGCCACAGATGACTTTACTGACGGACATCACCAACATCCATTCACAAACAGAGCGCCACGGCACACAGCACCGCCGTATGACTCCATCACAGCTTATAAGTCACTGAAAGTGCTATTGAAGGCTCTCGTGCAGCCTCTGGAGATTGTTAGAGTGCAACACTCAGTAGTTATTATAGTATGTTTGAGAAATATCGCGATAATGACACATTGCGCAGTGTTATATAATCATGCTTCCGATTCTTCCGAAGGCATGATACACTTGTTGTACCCGACTTCCGGTGGCTGCCAGAAGCCTAGTGTAACTTGTTTCTTGAGCTCTGGGCGGAACGCCGGGAACAGTAACCATGAGCCTGCAGCGCCGTAGACAACTCCCCACGGGGCAATGCGTTTCCTGTGTCGCAGATGGATCCTTTGTACAGCATCTATACACTTACCAAACGTGCATCCATCCGAAATTCCTCCTGAGGTGGTACTGGGATGTGGCCATCCACAGCTTCGCATAAACAGCTTTTGACATCTTCACGTGATAGCAACTTCACAAAGTACGATAGTTATGGCGTGTTATACGTTTGGTATAGCCTCGCAGTTCACTACTCCTTGGGATTGTGCGCCTTGGAAAAAATGCCCGAGTAGAGACCGCTCACAGAATTTTCGATTGCTATGCCCGCTGAATAAGCATTATTTTCGTAAAAACTTTAAGCATATATGTTGCAACAGCCACGGCACACCTACCATTAGTTGCTGATGGCCCATAAGGAGGTCCCGTGAGGTCACCCCTTGCCGAAAAACTTGGCGACGTACGCCCGTGCGTACAGTGGAACCAATAGATTAATATTTTCCCTGTTGCAAAGCTTGATTAATTCCTGTGACGTCATGAAGTATCGCTATAGGTGGGGGATCACCTTTAAAGGGTTGGGTTGCGCCGGTGGGCGCGGAGTCCTACACATTGGACGTTACGTGCGTTATTTTTCTTGTATTACATCATCTGAAGCGCCCTGGGTTCTGAGTCACCGTAGAGCGCCGTTTCAACTCTCAGGCCTGGGCAGACGGAGGATGCGTGGTTGCTGACTTGCATCTGTTAAAGATTCCAACAATCACACCTTTCAGCCAATACGGCTGAACAAAAAACCTTTCATAGAGTAAAGCCCATATAGGTATATCGTATATCATAGTGGATCCTTTCAAAAAATGACGACTGAATTGCAGCAGTCGAAAATGGAAACTCCGCCAAAGGCGGATGTCGCTAGAACCAGACAGGTCTCAGTCTTTGGTACTGTCCGTCGCTTCTTAGAGGAGCTTGAGCCTGAGGAGACTGCTAGTCTGGTGATTGGAGGTTGCGCCATGGTCGTCAATGCTACGACCAATATGCTCTATCCTAGGATCATCGGCACCATCATCGACTCTGGTAGCACGGGTAAGGTCTTCGGACCCGGATCTTGGATTCCAGGTATTGCCCAAAACTTACCACATTTGGATGATGATGAAATCCAAACTATCGGTTGTCCATACGCCATGTTTAAGAGACTCTTATTTTCGGCTCTACCGCTGTATGCAGCAGGAAGCTTGGCATCGTGGCTCAGAGTTTCAAGTATGAAACGCGCTATATACTTGATCCAAAAGCGTTCGCGTAAGAAAATGTATAAGAAACTCTTGATGCAAGGTGCCCCTTTCTTTCACACTCGTGCCTCTAGCTTGCTGATATCTAAACTGCTAAACGACTGTGAAGAAGGACCTAAGTCAATGGTAGAGAACGCATTCATGTTTTTGCGTTGCTGTAATTCCGTGATTGGTGGTACATTCAACCTTATCAGCATTTCGCCTTGCCTTACCGGTCTTACCATGACCTGCATACCCTTCTTTGGTCTATTCGTCATTGGTTACTCATCTATAATCAAGCGCTGCCATCGCAGGCTTAAGGATATGGTGGATTTGGCCATTGGTCAGGCTGATGAGGTTATTAGTAGCATTGAAAGCGTGATGAGTTTCGGTAAGGAGGCAGACGAAATCGATGCATTTTCTCATTCTTTGGACAATTGCGATGCCATAGCTCGGGGTGTATGCAACTCTGAGGGTGTATTTATGGGATCTGTGCTAGCTGGATTCAACCTATCAACGCTTCTGATGTTATACTGTGGATCGTACAAAATGAAATCCGGTGATATTTCCGCGGGTAATCTAGCTTCATTTATCTTATATGGAGGTCTGTTCGGACTCGGAGTATCAGGTCTTTCAAAGGTAGGTTGCTTGGAGTTGTCACTTTACATTGTGTCGCAGATTGCCTCTGAGGTCTCGAAGGCAGCGGTGTCTATGCAGCGTGTTTACGAGATCCATGATCTAGAGGAGATAGAAGACGCAAAGGCTACACTTGAATCCGTACGTGGCTCAATAGAGTTTGAAAACGTCTCGTTTTCTTACGATGCACGCTCTGAAATGCCCGTACTTCGTGACTTCAACCTTAAGATCGAAGCTGGCGAGGTTTTGGCCATAGTTGGCGCTAATGGAATGGGTAAGAGCACTGCGGCGGCATTGTTGACTACTCTGTATCGTCCAACACGCGGACGTATCCTGCTTGACGGTGTTGACTTATGTAGCCTAAGTTCGCGCTGGTTGCGCAGCAAGGTTTTCACTGTTGTGACTCAGGAACCACTGCTCTTTTCTATGTCCATAGAGGATAATCTGCTCTATGGCAATGAGGATTTGACTGATGAGCAACTACGTGAAGCTACGCGCATGTGTGACGTACACGACTTCATCGAGTCGTTACCGGATAAGTACCGCACTGTAGTTGGTCGTCGCGGCTCGTTACTTTCAACAGGGCAGAAGCAGCGCCTAGCTCTGGCACGCGCGCTGCTCCGAGACACGCCATGTGTGATACTGGATGAGGCAACGTCATCAATCGATGGGTCGTCGGAAGAACTGGTGCGTTGTATCGTCAACCGGTAAGTGGTTTAACATCTCTACTCACAGTTGCACAGCAAGGATAAGCGCAAGACTGTTATTGTGATCACCCATCACGCAGCAACACTGCGCAATGTGGACAAAGTGGCCGTATTGAATGAGGGCCGCGTGGAGTTCCACGGGCGACTGGAAGATGCGCAAAAAACGAGCAAGACCTTCCAGAGCCTATTTCCCGCATTAATATAGCGATATAAGTGTGGAACTAAAAACACAGTCACATTGCCGTTTATTTTGTTGCGTAGTCTGCCCTTACACGCGCACCTACACATCGTGGGCGGCTGTCCGTGTTATATGGTCAGGGCAGACTCTGGCTGCTCTGATAATTCCGTTGCTCGATGGAGCATGGCAAGAGTCCCGTTGGCGGTGCCAGAGTCGGTATTCGTGTGACCATTAGTGACAGTTACCATCTCAGTGGCGGTCCATTCTGCTGCTTCGTAAGAGTAGCACCTATCGCATCAAACTGGTCGGATTCGGATGCTCCAGTAACCATAGACTTCATATCGCTAAATGTGTATGGTTTGGCATCGTTCCGCGACCTGCCACTTCAACCTTCAAAGCTACAGAACACTCTCCATTTTGGTTTTTTAAACGAAGCGCGGCGAGGACTGAAGATTGACGAGTCAGCCCATCTGATATTTGCGTCGGATGCAGCACTTTTTTCTACATGTTCTGAGATTGATGGATCATCCACGGCGTCGTATTGTAAGTTCGTAAGATGGCGGATCATTACGCCGCAGATCGTTATATGTGCACTATACCCCCGTTTTTGCCTCCTACAGTCGAAAGCGAAAACGTATCATACAAATACTACGTTTATGTAACGGTGCAATATAGTTTGGGATCACGTACTCCTCAGCGTGAGACACTGCACCGCAGACTGGAGTTTGCCGTGGTTGGTTCAGTCTACCCAGGTCGGTGTTTATCGCTGTGATTTGATGATACATAGGTATACCAACTCTAGATAATGTATTTTACCCTTTTCTGCCAAAGAGCGAGGGCTACCTTTTTGAGGGTGGCCGCGTGGCTGATGCCGTAATGCCCAAAGTATGCATGGACATCATCGATGAGAACTATGGCCGCGATAACATGTTTTTTAACTATGAAACACATCTGGATACATTAGAATCGGATTCGGAGGCCGCGGAGGTGCGCAATATCCACAGTACTAGCAAGTTACTACTGACGAGGGACTTGAATGCGTTCTGGCACGTGTGGGACACTATGAACGGTTCCAACTTATCGCATGAGCCAGAGGAGTCGTATGTGTTACGCAGGTACAACGGGTTCATCGAGAGATTCACCAACCTCATACTTAACGACACCACAGATGAGCAATTCGAGCAGTTACGCCCATGGTTCGGTAGCATGTTGCGTCCCGATGTGTCCGTGGGATGCGAAGACGATTCTCCGTCCCTACGCCGCGAGATGCTACAAATGTTCTATAAAGAAGTTGAGGAACGCCATACGCAGGCCCATGGCGCCACGGTAGAGACCCTACGGAGAGCTGCGGGCGACGCTTTGGAGGTGCTCCGTGAGACACCTTCAGATGGTAGTTTACCTAAATTCTTATTGATAACGTTTGCAGATTCTATGAAGACATTAAGCTTTGCATTCAGAGGTCGCCGGTTCTGTACCTGCAAGTTGCAGGGTTTCGGGCAGCTGCTAGACGCTAACGAGTTTACGCTACCAACCAATTCGTGGTTCACGGTATCTTTTGACTTCCCAGATGCGTTCCTTTGCCTACAAGTAGACGTAGCTCTAGTTCGTTGCGACAGTGCTGGTCCTAGTCAAACACACTCGAGCGAAAGGTCTGTACTTAAGCGGTCGTTGTTTACCCTTGGCAAGAGCACTACTAGCGTCACGCTTTATGCACCGATGGATACGGCACCAACGTTCACATCTAGTCTTCTCAGCGTATCATACAAGCTAGAACTATGTTTCCATCACTTCCCTGAGCCTAGCCGATGCCTCCGTGCGGACGCTAGAAGAGCTGAACTTAGTAAGCTCCGCATGCTGAGATGGGACCATCCTGTACGTATGCTTCAGAGCGAGTCACTGCGAGTACAATCGCGTTGTTTCTCACGTGAAGAGTCCGTTTCTATGGTTCGGCTTCTGTGCTTGGCGCGTGAGGTTTGTGAGCGGTCAAATACATCCGGTTTGTTACGTGGTGCGCTAGCACTATCAACCACATTAACTATTAACTAAAGTTCACGTTTTGCGATATCATTAGCAGCAACACAGTGCTGCTCTTGTCTCATTTGGCGGTGCGTGTGGGATACCACTATGCCAAATCCGGTTGCTGTCGTGAAGCCAGCCGTTTACACGAGCAACGTGTGCTGCCCCTCTGTAAAGCTGGTCCAGCGTACAAAGCCGACAGCCAGTGGCGCATAGTCCTCGAGCTGAAGCTTCCTGCATCGAGCAATGAGTTGCTGCCAGCTGTACCCTGAACGGTGCTCCTATACCGGTTAATCTCGGACTTGTGAATGAGGCTACTAGCCCCCCTCCTAGGGCGTAGTTGTATAGCTTGACATCGTCGAGATAACCCTGGAGATTGTTAAAACATCCAGTTTTCGAACTCACATTGAACCCTTGTATGTCCAGTTTGCGTCCAAGGAACAGATCTCCTGATCCTGGTACTAGTTCGCCCCTTAGACCCTGCACTGATCGGTTCTATTCTAATGCGCACCCACGATAGACGAGTCGAGGCTCCCGTTTACGAACAATTTGAGTGTCTTCTCACGTGCCACTACTGTCAATTGCGTCCACCTCCTAGGTGGTATTGCGGCGTTCGAGGTTAGTCCTTCGTTTGCGGAATTGGTAGTCGATACCCTGACAGAGAGCTTGTTGTTCCCCGGGTAAAGCATCAATGTAGGCGACTGTGCAGAGTAGCTGCGTCGTGATATGATACTCCGGAATCCTGAAGCTTGTACGTCCAATGGGTATATCCTGAGATCGAGTGTGAACTCCCCGACGGCTAGTGTCGGACTGTCAACAACACGGTAGCTGGTGTCTGAAAGCTATATATGCATTTCATAATGCTTACCATAATCTACTACAGCACTACAACCATGTCCTGGAGACTGTGATTTCAATTTAACACCGTCCTACCTGTGGATGGCGGCCCTGCCGTCACGGTGTCTACGATGTGGTTATCGTTGCCACTCTCGTCGATAGCATATAGCTCGTCAAATGTCCAATGTGCGACAAGTCCTCGTTGTTTGGCTCCGGACATGATAACCTGGTCACCTAGAGAGCGTCAGTAGCTATGCATAGCCTTCTCACCGAGACAAAGAGCGTCGCCAACTTCGAAACAACGAGCGAGGCTCTCTTCTATACGTTTAGCAAGCTTCAGCAGATGATTACTCGCTTGTGACGAGACTGATCAACGTGAGATTCACAATATCACGTTCCTACCTTCCGTTGGCACCTCAACATCGGTGCCTTCTGCCGAGACCGACGACAGCGCTATTATCAGCAGCGCTGTGACACATGGCACCCACACACCTCGATAAAACCCATGGTTACTGGCGCCTCGCATCGGCAGCACGTTAGTCATCGGCATCGGAGCCGCCGAGAGTCGGCGACGTCGTTTACACCCTCGCGGTGAGCGTTCACCGATGTGCCGCCAGGTGCATATCCTCCGTTGTATTAAAGCACGTGCCGTAAATCAGTTATAATTTATGTGTCGTTTTTACCAAGTCGAGAGTGACCCTCCTAGCGGATGTCGGCAGTTCGCGAGTACCTAGTGTACGGCGTCGACGACGCCCACAAGCACTTGTGGCCAGTGCACTACCACTTGATACGAGGCGACTTTCTTGCAGCTATAGATACTGTTAGAAAAGGCGCCAATCCTTTGGATCATGACAGTCGGTGTGCGAGTGCCTTGGCGCTGTGTTACGAGGTGAGATTCGCGATGTGTTTCGTTTTCTAATTCTCTGTAGCTATTTTTCAAGACATTGAACAAATGCCTGAATTCAACGGTACCACTGGGCAGCCGGTCATGGCAGACAACCGGCCCCTCGCCACCTTCACAAGGTCTGTCGGCTGCAAACCGCTCTCCTAAACTGTTGAAAGCTAAACAGGATGAGAACACAACAGTTACGGAGCTTCGTAGGTGTTTTCGGCTAAATGTAAATAATTTTCAGATGGCATGGCAGACTACAACTTGCCGTCGGTACCGAGTACTGGGGGCAACGAGGACACTGAAGCGTTGCTTTTTACACCTTACATCGAGGTGTTCATCACCACCCACTACAGTGATGCCGCTGAGTTGACACAGAACAAGCTCGTTCGCCGACTTAAGGGGCTGTTGGCAGTGTTAAAGACCATGTCGGAGCGTGAAAACATACTGCTTCACAGCAAGAATGAGTTGTTACGTGCCATCCATTTCTTGGAATACCCTACGCTATATGCATCTTTGATGGACTACATGTTCAAGAATGCTCGAGTATACGGAATGTCGTCTGTTGATGTTGCTGATGTCTGGGATGCCCGCCGTGTATGGCGTGCTGCCTCATCTAAGGACGTAAAGCTACAGTCTCTCACCAAATTCATATCACATATTGCGACTCTAGTTCAGGATCTCTGTGGGATTTTCCATGTGAACATATACAGCAAATCGCAGAAGAATTTTGGTGCATTATACTCAGGTCATGATCGACATCTTCGCCTTCCGGGCATGGACCCACACATAATCGAAACACTGGCGCATATGGCCTTTGTGACGAACAATGCGCTGCTGTTCGATGCCATGGTCGTCCAGGAACCATTTTTACAGGGAGCCGATGCGTTCAAGTGGACCGACTTGTTGTCACAGCTTCTCACATCTAGTTCCCAAATGAGGCCGTTTACGGAACCTCTGATGCGCCGCAGTCTCAGAAACAATGTAGAGTATCGTGTTAGCGTGCCGGCCAACTTGTACAAGCACGCTGCACGACAAAGCGCGGCGTTAGACCTCAGCATGATCGGTGTTTGTTGCACGTCAACTGGCCGGCCTAGAGAGCGCCAGTAGTCTCACATTTTTAATGTGTAGAATATTTTTGTGTTTTGTTGTGATCAGGTGTGCGACGTGTCTACAAATTGCCTATGGCTAACTCTCGTTACTCGTACGTGAAACATTTCGAACAGGAGAGTACTCTTTTACCAGAATGTTGGCCGTTGATACGTGTAGATGGACGCGGCTTTACGGGATTTTCCCGTCTTCACCGGTTTCGTAAGCCCAATGAGCCTCTAGCTCTGGGAGTTATGAACGCTGCTGCGGCTCATGTGATGTCGACCTTTGATGACATAGTTCTCGCGTATGGCCATTCTGACGAGTACAGGTGGGAGTTTTATACGTAGCCTTGTTTTAACGATACTCAGTTTCCTGTTTCGAAGGGATACACGTATATACAACCGACGAATGCAGTAAGCTTTCGTATGACCGTTTATATGCGCCCAGGAAGATTTTGTCTAGTGTTGTGTCGACATTTTCAGCGGCATACTGCTTCCACTGGAGCTCTTTCTACCCCAATAAGCCGTTGAAAGCGCTACCGACTTTCGACGGTCGCATAGTACTCTATCCACGATTCGAGCACATTGTTAACTACTTCTCGTGGCGTCACGTAGACTGTATGTCTAAACGTTACACAGTTTGACAACCCCGCAGGTCACGTCAACAACCAGTACAACATCTGTTTCTGGTGCCTGGTCGCCGACGGCAAGAGCCCGGATGAGGCATACAAATGGCTGAAGGCAAGTTATAGCATGTTAAGGTTTACGTAGTACAGCATACACGTAAAGGAGACAAGAATGAGTATATCTTTCAGTCTCGCGGCATTAACTATAACAATCTTCCTCGTATTTTCAGGTTGGTACGATTTACAACCGTTTCAAATATGTTAGGAAGGGCACTACTCTGGTGCGGTTTTCCGGCACCAAAGCGTCAGAGCATGATATTAGCTTAGATTCTGTGACTATCTCCGCTGAGGAACGCCCTGAGGTCACCCAATCTACCACCAGTAGCACGGCTGAGCCCACACCGCAGTCAGGCTGTGGTGACATGATCGAGCTCACGATTGGAGACACCGAGATTTCCGCAATATCGCAAAAATTGGATGCCATATGCACTCCATTAGGTATTGGTGTGGTTCATTGCGACAACACCAGCCCTGACTTTTGGAAGGCTGTCGCGCCGTCATACGATGCGAGCAGTGACGTGGCGTCTAGACACGGAATCGCAACACTTTCGACTCTGAGCCGCGACCAAATAGTGTCACTTAATGCTGGCAGGTAATTGTGTGGCTTATCGGTACCTAAGTGTAGCATTAAGGGTGTAGTATACTCTGGGCATCTGTTAGGTCATTCCGTACTGCAGGTTTTCTCTGTACCACGGTAGTCACAAAGCTATATATGTTTGACACAGGGCATATAAATAAAAAAGAGTAGCAAACTTAGGAAATGGCGGGGATTGCCTGGGTGCGATGATAGGCGCGCGCAACTAAGATGAGACATAGAGGTAGCGGCGAAGGTAAAGATCTTCGCCGGCATGATAAGAAGGTGAAACGCTCACTGAGTAATGTGTTCGGCGATCAAAAGTTTTCGGTACCCGAGGCGGAGTTAGGGCCAACTCATCCCGATCAAAGTCAGCCCGCATCGACAAGGAATCGCACTACTGCAGAAAATCAATGCGGTAGCAGTCGTATTTGTCCGTATGGCGGTCGCCGAGAACCGCAGAAGCGGGCTAACAGTGCCCCTAATCACCATTTTGGATACTGGTATTTCGATGGTCACTCCAAATATGAGGACAAAAGCCAGTATCGCGGCAGGTAGGCTGCTTTTACGACCAAAATATCTTATTAAAGGCCATTGCATGAAACTTTGCATACGGAATTCCGCATTAGTCTTCTTTCTAGCAATGCGCAACATTTGGATCTGAAGGGTTTCATGAACCTCGCATTCGTCCTTTTGGTTGTGATAAATTTCCGTGCGGTTATGACCAATTTCCGCAAATATGGTCTTTTGCTAGAGTTTCCAACCGTCTACAAACTAATGCATGACGATTGGCCACTCACTCGCTGCTGCATTAAGGTACGTCCATGAGGTAATTGTACCAAAATTCTCCAGGTACATATCTCCATCGTTTTCGCATGGGGTATTGAACGTTTCATAGCACCTCTTTCTACCAAGGCGCTTACATCACCGGTGGTATTTTTACAGGCCCTCAACCTCGCAATTTTACTTTGTTACCCGTATCTCACTGTTGTGGTATTAAAGACTGAGCCGGCTTTATCTGCGCTTATGCTCGCTACATCGGTCGTTTGGGCTTTGAAAATATATTCCTTCCACCATGTATGTTTTGATTATAGGCGAGCTGTTTGCAACGGGGAGGACCTATCGGAAATCTGCAAGACCCGTATGGAGGCGAGGGCTGCGGCACATTACCCTGGATGTATAAAACTTGCCGAGCTTTATCGTTTTCTTATCATGCCCACAGTGTGTTTTCAGTTTTACTACCCGCATATGCGTCGGGTAAGGTGGCTGAATGCTCTTAAGCACTTTGGGCAATTTCTTTTCTTGCTGGCAGTAGCGAGGATAATTGGCGACCAGTACATCGTGGTGACTGTTTCTAGCACCTTTACGATGGAAGAATTTAAATCTGCGAACTTTTCTACGGTGGCATACCACATATTGGACAGGATGCTCTTGCTGTCGATACCGGTGTTATACTGTTGGTTGACTATGTTCGCTGTGATATTTCACCACTGGTTAAATTTCCTTGCCGAGATTACTAGATTTGGCGACCGACGGTTTTACGGGGTATGTTGTGTTAATGTCTAGACAGATGGCTTAGGATTGGTGGAACGCTGCATGCTTTGGCGAATATTGGCGCAAATGGAACTTGCCGATTCACCAGTTCATCGTGCGTCATATCAGCAAGCCGCTTCACAAGCTTGGGGTCCCTTGGGAAGCGACCAAGGTTATAGTATTTACTATATCTGCTGCTCTACACGAGTACCTCATATCGGTACCTCTAGGTCTGGGCTGGACTGGATACGTGTTTTGGGCAATGATGGGTCAGATCCCTTTGCTTATGATCACTCGTTTGACAGCGGTATGTGTTGTTTTCTCGCCCACTAGCGCGTCGCAGATTCGTCGTAACAGAACTGCTGGCAACGTATTATTTTGGTTCCTTTTCTGCTTCACGGGGCAACCGGTACGTGCATAAATCGTTTCTTAGATACTTTTACAGCTGGGCGTGTTACTCTACTGGTACCTTTGGGGCGTGAAGCAAGGTTCATTTGTATAGAGGCTGGGCGTGCACCGCCTGCAAAGGTGGGGATCCGCATCGTACTCTTCGCATACTGCGAAGAATATTTTACGGATAACTTGTTTTTTATATCGCACATCTGCTGCGGTCGAAAAATTAAGCGTCCGAGCTATTAGGTGTGTAGGTCCACTTTCGCCAGGTGCCTTATAATACCAAACTCGGCTTAAGATGGCGAATGTGCAGCTTGACGGCATTTGCCGTAACCTAAAATCTACAATTGAGGATACTGATGCGCTTTATAAGAGCATCCAGATGGGTAAGTGGCAATGTGTGATGTGCAGCAACTCTCAGGTGTGACTAAGCCGCCACGTTCTACAGCTCAGAAGAAAACAGGACACACTGTTCGTTTTGGTGAGACTAAACAACATGGTAGACGTTGGATTCCTCCTATGACTGAACCGCCACAATACGGTGCACCCGGTAGGTATCGGTTATATATTGATAACATTTGTATATAGTGGCTTCTCCAGTCTGTTCTCCACAGCACAAAGTGTTTTATCCACCGGAGAACAAAGCTGTACAACAGAATATCGATTACATGACCTACGCGACCCGCAGTGAATTTTTTAGGTCGCTCAATGTTGATCTTGAAGGGTGGACCGAGGCGCAGCGAAAGGTTTTTTACGATCTGGTAGCTGCTGCTGAGAGAGAGATGCACAATGAAAGCGAACGTTTACAACGTGAATATTCTTTACAGTTGGAAGCTAAGCTGGAGCACCTTAACCGTGAGATGGCCCAGGCTCATGGTGCAGTTGTGGCTGAAGTTTCCGAGCTACGTCTCGATCGTGAGCGTCTTTCTTTTGACGAGGTAGAGAACCGTCGACGTTCGAAGTTGATGCAGGATAATTTGCACCGTCTGCAGAAGTCGTATGATAACTTGATGGAGGAATGTACTGCTAAATCCTCGGAGATAGTAAGACTTAACTCCGTTCTTGCAGCTACGGAGCGTTCTTTTTTGAGTTTCAAGCAGCGCATGATGGAGCTCGAAAGTGACCTGAATGCGAGGCTCCAGCAGATCGATAGTCTTCACGAGGAAGTGAGCAGTGCTTATAAACAAATGGAAGCTGCTAGCAACAACAATGTTAAAAGTGAGCGGGCCTTGGCCAGCACAAAGAATGAATTGAAGAACAGTCAGGATCAGCTAACTGAGCTTCGGTTGGAGTTAGAATCTATGCAGCTTGGCGCCCAGCTTGCCGCTGGTGAGAAAGCCAGTCTGGAGGTAAAGGTGCGTTCCTTAGAGAAGGAAGTTTCACAATTGACCGCTGAGAAGATGCGGTTGGAATTACATGTGGCAACACTGGAAACCGGTACTATAGTGTCTCTGAAGGAGCAATGCAAGCGGTTAGAAGAGCAACGTAACCTTGCTCGTGTTGAGGCTGCAACTTGTGACAAACGTCAAGAGCTCGCCCAAGCTAAGCGTGAGCTTGAGGCTGTACAATACCAATGTGAGCAATTGACTGACGAGAACAAAACTTTATTGCGTGAGAACTCAGCCCTGACGAGGCAGCTTGAGGAGGTGCGTCGTCGAGCTAAGGACTGTGAGAATGACCTATTCCAACTAAAATGCCAAGCTCATGTTTTGAAACAGAGTGGCCATCGTATATTACTAGCTAGAGAAAGGACTGGTGAATTGCCAGCACCTGATACTGCCCCTTCTGAGGGTGTTCCGGCTGAGCCGGTTAAACCGCCTAGGCGTGACATTTTTGCCCCTACTATGTTCGACGGCCCCGACGCTGAAACACAAGAGAAGATCGACATCCTGGAGAGTGAGCTTACGGAGCTGCACTTGGAGAAGGATCGTATGGTGTCCGAGATGACACGGTGTCGAGTAGACCCGAAGTCACCGGCACTTGAACGCCGTCGGTATCATATGTTGGAGAAGAGTGTAGCTGAGACTAACAACCGCATACATGAAGTATCAGAGTCCATCCGCCAGTTACAGATACCGAATTAGGATCGCTGGCGATACTGTGTCATCTGGACTCTAAGGTATAATAGAGTTTCTATCGTAATATTTTTGTGTAACTGTAAGATTCGTTGGAATTGGTTGAATGGGGATTAGGAAAACTTAGCTTACTTTCATGCGTTCTAGCGTATCCTTACATATAATTGTATCATGTGTTTCACCTTTACTACTAATGTAACCTTTAAATCTTATTCGAGTGTTAATGTACAGATATATTGACATTCGTTGTGTTTTACTGTACAAGCGCGTTATCGCTGCGGTCACATGATATCCGCGTACTATGTGCGTTTGGAGAGAACGACATATTTGCCGCGTTCAGCTCCACCATCCTCCACCACGAAAGGGCCAGCAATCGCCTCCACATGTTCGCGATAGGGGGAACATTTTTGTCTTTTTATTGCCTTCCGCTCCAGAGCGGGCGTTATGGCGCGAAACAGGTAGTCACCGACAAGCGGTAGTTGCGGTGACACTACCTTCCGATATTTTGCAATAGCTTCATCGGAGTGTTGAACCATACGCAAATCACATAATCCAAGTTTCGTTGTCATCATTCCACTGGGCACGGCACCTGCCGTATCAGAGTAAGCGTCGCCACGCATGACAACATCCCTTAGGTGATTCATGGCGTTTATTAATGTTGTACAGTGATACTTTAGCATCTTCATCCTCTCCGAGTGTGACATTGTCTCGTTTTTCAGCAAGTTCACGACCACATCTCCCATCAGTTCGGCTTCAACTTCATAATTACATTTGTCACTATCTCCTACGCTGGAGTCCGACTCCACGGTCTGTACTTGCGTCAAATCAAACCTTATATGTCCTTTTGAGTGTACATAGGAGTTTCTTGATTTTTTTCTACGCAACGTAGCAGCATTAGTATTTGGCAGTTCACGTAATGGTACCCGATACTCGAGGTTAACTGCAATCCTGTAGTCCAGCTGATCCTGTTCTGTAACCTCATCCGCTTCATCTCCAATCGGTCTTTCCCGTAGCGCAGATCCAGTGGATACGTTCCATGTCAAGAGTTTAACTTTGCGTATAGCTTTGAACGATTTGCATCGTTCTGTTTGATTTTGAGGTACACTTATACGTATGCTTTCTTCATATTCAGGTAATTTGAAAAACCGGTCAAATGTAAGTATGCCTAACGATGTCTGCCAGTTCGACTTGGAGTCACTATCTTCAGCTGCCTGTTTCAGGGCCCCGAAGGCGGCCTGAAATTGCGTATCGGTGATATTTGGATTAAACCGAACGTGAGCTCTTTCGCTGAGTAATGCGTCTGTTGCTATAGGAAGAGAGAATCTCTGTCCGTCACGTGTATTTTTAATACATCCCAGGCGAACTTCTATTTCCAGGTCACAAGGTGCAAGTCCAGATATTGCATTGAATTCGCCATTTTTTAGTGCATCAGCTAACGGCCCATCTAGTGCAAGCGAATCGAGTCGTTCTGCCAGTCGTGACGCAATCACATCACACCCTATTGCGGAGCTACCGGCAATAGTTTTCGTAGATTCCAATACCATTTCTCTGTTTACCCCTCAACTGAGAGGAGCATGTGTGCTCGCAAAACTGCAGGGCAAATGCCGAGTGCGTGGGATTGAGACACTGACACACTGTGGGTGTTGTAAGACAAGGCGAATTTATGGAATCACGCCAAATAGGCACCGTTCTAACTGTTTAATGATTGCACCTATGTCTGGATTGACTTTGAAACTCGACCTAAGGTGTTGGCTAGACGATCTCACACAGCAGGTGAGAGTGTATTACTACATTATACGATCCCGGTCTTCGAAGGCCATGCCGGCGCCTCGCGGCCGCGGTTCACCAGAACGACCCCGCGAAGGCCTATCAGCCGTGCGGCGCCAATAAGGCATATTTTTTACCCCATTAATGCGGAGTGTTATGGCGTGGATCTGCTGACCCCTCACACCACTAGCTATATTTTGCTTCCCATAGCTACCTGCTACGAGGCCTTCTGAAAAAAAACAGATGCACCATATCTTATTTAGAGTGTGGATAATCTGTTTATCAACGCTTTTCTTATCAACAGCTGTCGCGTTTCGAGTACCACGGCACGACCAATCTATTTCCCCCGCTACACACTTCTCAGGAACATCATTTCCTATTTACTCTCAACCGTCCGGCAAAATGTCTCGTTCTCGTGTTTTCTTTGATATCGCCATTGGTGGCGCGCCTTCTGGACGCATCGAGTTCACTCTCTTTGACGACATCACACCTAAGACTGCTGACAACTTCCGCTCTCTTTGTGTTGGTGACAAAACCGTCCAAGGTGTTACTTGCCATTTCAAAAACTCCATCTTCCACCGCATCATCCCTCAATTTATGTGTCAGGGTGGTGACATTACCAACCACAACGGTACCGGTGGTATGAGCATCTACGGCAGGCGCTTCAAGGACGAGGACTTCTCCATCAAGCACAGCAAGCCCGGTCTTCTATCTATGGCCAACAGCGGTCCTAACACCAACGGTAGCCAGTTCTTCATCACCACTGTCCCTTGCCCATGGCTAGATGGCAAACACGTGGTCTTCGGTGAGGTCACCGAAGGTATGGACGTTGTCAAGAAGATGGAACGCTACGGCTCTGGTAGCGGCGCTACCTCAAAGGAGGTAAAGATTGTCGACTGCGGTCAGCTCTAAACACAGTGAACTTTCTGCCTTAATAATTAAGAGCATGAACTTGGGTCATTCTCGTCAATGCCCAGGCTAGCAAAAAAAAATACATATTTATGCTACGTTTTTATCGAATATGTGCTACATTGTCTGTAACTATCGGATGCCGCTTGGTGGCCTTTTTCACCTTCGCAGGCGGCGGATATGTTCTATTTCTAACGCCAAGAGGTCGGGCGAATAGAACAGCCCGTTTGATTCGGCTCTCACTACCTCGTCAAACACATGATCTCGCAACGGCTTATCAAGTTCAGCAAAACTCTCCAGAACGTCACCATCTACAAAACCACGGGAAGGACACATCATCCAACGGTTCTTCACAGCACGCCAATGAAGGTTAGATACGTTACCGGCGGATTTCTGCACGCAATTTATAGCATTTTCTATTAACGACAGGCGGTAGAATAAACGCTCATCTTCGAAAATGCACAGTTGAAGGAGCGACCCCGTGGTAGTAACGCATGTTAGAATGCACTTAAACTCATAGTTCCAAAACTTGTTAGGACGAGCTAGACCACGTAAAACTTCTCCAGTGTCACAATGTGGGTTTAACGGCGCCAGGGAATCCGGTACACAGCAGAATAGTCGAGTACAACGTGTTTTTTGGTGAAATTCAGGCATATCGCGATCTGGAAGTTTATGCTCCACCTTTGTTGCAAGCCGTTCTGATACTGGGTTTACACGAATACGGTTGATATTTTCACCATGGTGGAACATACCCACTTCTACAGCTTTCATAGCCTCAAGGTCATTCGTTGCTGTGTATCGTTTGCCAAATACATAAAAGTTGCCCGAGCTGTCAGAGATCACGCAATGTGTCTTGTCGATAGCTGCGACAGCTGTGCAATATACGCTATTGAAGTCTTTATAAACCTCACGGAGCTCATTACCACGCCACCGGAGCATGCGCACCGAGTTCATAAGGTCACCTACAACAATCACATCCTTATGAGCGTCAAGGGAGATAACGTACGAGCACGATTTGTACTCTGCACGTACAATAAGCGAGAAGCTGCCATAGTTCTCATCCGATGCGTGTAACACCTCCAATTTGTGTGATTTTGTTATAGACTGCCCGTGACTGTGACTTAGGGAAGGAGTATCGTCCCTCCTCAGTGACATCACAGTAACCGCGTCGTTAAGAGCTACAACTAGAGAATTGCAGCACGGAGTCATCTCTACAACGCCTGCTCCCACCGAAGTTACGGTACGCAAGAATACCACATCCCATTTATCCCGATCGCTATTCAGAATATCTATCAAAAAGATGTGACCGTGTCTTGGCACTTCATCTCTGTCTGAGAGGAACGAGGTCCCCATGGCGATAAGTGTTCTTGGTCCTTCAAAAGGTACAAGGCATAGGCTCGATACCACATGTCTCTGCGGCAGTCTGAATGTGTGTATCAGCTCCTTCGACTGTAGAGTGATGAACCTAACACAAGGTTCCAACAAGTGAACACCAGGTATTGGCATGGACGATGAAGTATCGATACATCGGAACGTAGTATCATCCCTTACAGTGTCACATACATCATCGGCGCTAGTTATCAGTTCACCTAGACAGCTTACCACCACGAGGTCGGTTTCTCTATGGTAGCATATCTTGTCGAATGATCTACCACTGCATATGGTTTCAACATGCAACTGGCTTATGGTATCAAGATCTCCTACACAAAGTTGACCATGGTTGTCCGTATATATCAACAGCACTCCAGCTCCCAAATGTCCATTTGTGAATCCAATGGTACATACAGTTGATATGTGCGGCACATTGACAGGCACATATTCCAGCTTCCCCCTATTGGCGTATATTAACATTGGGAATGGCCCTGTGGTCACTATTCTAGTCTTTGAGAGATTGCAGGAGCGAAGACTGCTCTGCGAGGGAGATACTACCAGCGAGGAGAGTCCTATCATACCGTCGCCTACTTTAATAACGTTTTCCAAGACAATTTCGACATGGGCGTTCGGTCCATCGGGCTCTCCAAAGTTCAGACGATGGACAGTTAGTGTGCCATCGGACAGTGCCGCAAAGACGTATGCCGTATTACCTACTACACCAAACTTTACAGCCAAAATGGCCACACCGTATCCGCATACCACCTTTCCCCTGTGTAAAAGATCTAAGGTTTCAGCATTTAGCAGTATGATCTCCGTGTCTTCCCAGGAGGACAATGCAATCATCCCCGTCGCCCGTGGTTTACGGAAATCGGACCCGCTAAGATAAGCGGTACCGGACATCTGCTTGAGCATCTGTTTCCAACGCAACACTCGGAGTCCATCCATAATGTCCACAATAAGTACTACATGCGTCGAGAGCATCAAAAACAACCCCGAGTCGCACACATTTGCTGCAACCACAGTAGCTTGATACTGCTCGAGGCTGCGGTCTACATTACCAGCGGTACAGATATCGTCTACACTGTAGAACACAGGCTGGCTGGCGTTATCAGTAGCTTTGCCGATACATACGCCTGCAGCCGTTACCTGTAGCACTCGGTCATTATCAATGGGTGTAAGCAGGAGAGTGCGTGAGTGGTTTAAGAGGCCGCTTGAAGTAGCATCTATCGGTGTTACTACCCATTTAGGTGGTTCTATCGGGTCTATTGCCGTACGATTGAGTTCTTCAGGTGAGATCTTTGGGTGTGGTAGTGTGATTTTGTAGAACTGCGTGTGGTTGAAGAATGCGCAGCATACAATAACATCTGTTGTGTTAATCCTTATATCTGGGATCCCTATAGCAAAGAGTCCGCGTACCCCGTCTACCGCATGTGACGCAAATAGATCTATTCCCACCCCTTGCGTGATGCTACATACCCTGCCCTCAGCACCGTATCCGCAACAGGCAATGATTGGTACGGATCCATAATCACGTTGTGGTCCAAACGTAAAGTCAAGTATTGGCCCCAAGTTGGTTTGTATCCATGTTTCAGAAGCTGCGTAACGGTTTTGTTTCCTATCTGCAGCACCAATAGTCGCACAATCGTCCATAGGTTCATCTTGGTCATGATAACTGGCATAGTTCGAACTTCCTTGTCGTCCAGAAGTCGAATTAGATGATGTCTGCATTTGCTGTGTATTCGAGAGATCATGTATATCGTTGGCGACCTCGGAGGTAGAGATTGTATTCCCCTCAAGTCCGGTGATTCGCACAGTCCTACAGTGTCCCACAATAGCTGCAAGATAGACTATAGTTGGTGCTATCATAACGAGAGCTGAAGGTGGAGCGTATATCCCTATTTTCGTGGTCATCACATCTACTATAGCGTTACATGTTCCAACATGAGGTATTTTTGAGGTTGGTGGAGCTGCATCCGATGCACGTACCCTTCTCTTCAATGCACTGCTAACTGACATCCGTGATTCAATCAGTTCGAGTAGGTACAATGCTCCAGTATCATCTCCTATCAGGTACCTCCAATTTTCTTCGATTGCACAGTGGCAAGTAATCTCACCAACTGATATATCTGTATGGAAGGACCTTAGATTTCTTGGGTCCCTAAATGATACAAAACCGACACCTTGAGAGCCAAGTAATAATACGCTATCACTTTTTCTTGGTCCAGGGTTAAGTTTTAATGGCAGGAATCGTATAAATCTTTTTGCCAATGGTACTGGTTCTGCGAATAATGGTAGACAACCGTATGCATTGAAATGCCGTTCACCACTAAACCGTTCTATTTCGAAGAACAATCTTATCCCGCAATACCATAGTCCTGTATTTTCTGGATCCTCACAAAGTGCATCTCCATGGTGTCCATTTGATGCAATGAGCAGTAACTTACACTCTAGTACCGATTTGGTATGTCTAGGTACAAATTGTGATGGTACCGTTAATGCGGCTATTGAGGCTGCTCTTTGTGCACTTGAGGAGCTGGGTTCGTCGCCATTTCTCCCTGCTGCTGTAATCAGGGTGCTCCTCTCCGATACATCAAAGAATGCTACATCCAGGAATATTGTTTCACCTGTCCTCATTGTTATTACATGATTGACGTTGAAATAATTTTCCGGATCCAGTACTATACATTTTATTGTTTTTTTTTGTCCATGGAACAAAATCAGATGGTACTCCGGATCAACACGCAGTATAACATCCGTTTCGATTTCCTGAGCACCTGATTCCTGTACAAAATATGTTACAATATGAACTATAGCCTACTTGTAAAGATACCAACGGTTGTGATATGAAGCGCCCCGACTCCGCGTCGAATGTCATTATAAGCAGTAACAAGTTACAGGTCAATGCCAGCAGGTGGCTCTGATCTGCACCGGGTGGTCTGAACTCCAGTATCGTCAGTAGATTGGTGTGCGCTTCGACCGACGCCGTTAGAACGGGTGTCTGGGATTCCACGGCAACCGTTTCATTGGAAGAGTATCCGCGTATTTTTTCCAACGAGTAGACATCTACACGTGACTTCTTCAGACACACCAAATAATAGTTCTCTGATCCTTTTGCCAGCCGGCATCTCAGCGCTCCCTGGGTAGCGCCACCCGGGGCTGCCGTTACAAAGTACGTGTAGAGCCGGTCCATGTTAACACGGTTATGTTCCACTGTCTAGTAGTGGGACATTTTAAACTGTATGAAGCAGCACAATTCTGCAATACAAGCGAAAATTCCCCATCAGGGGCGCGCTGCTGTTATTTGCAACCTTCCACGTTTATATGAAAATATGTATGGCGAAGCATCGCAAATTAATAACATAGCGTCGTTAAATATCCAACACAAATGTGTTATTTACTCCATTTGGAGGTGCGTTAAGAACTTGATGAAACACGATATACGGTCAAAGTGCCGCTGCAGTGATAAGCTATCCTCGCGGAGCCCTATTCCTAGCTGCTTGATCGCACGTTTACCTTTGTTTCCATGCATAGAACTTAATTCTTCGCCATGGTAACGTAGGAACACGTATAGAAATACATGTAGCGCATCGTAATTCTCTCGACAAGACTGGTGGTGTAGAAAGAACTCAAGCATGCTCAGCAATGCTTTGTGCTGCACAAATATTAAAACCAACAGAAAAAAACCCAACCCTATGCTCTGTGCTAAGAACTGATAGTGCCAAGTGGACCCCGGAAGGGGTTTGTGCCAGCAAGAAAGTCATGATATCTGTGTTCATTCAATAATTCGTTATAATAACTAACCTTCATATTTCTTGGTCCCAGCGCCTTTAATTAATAGTAATTTCTCAAAATCACTTGGTGATTTCGTTGTGCGTATCTTGCTTTTGGGAAGTTTATCCGTTTCTGGCATCTCAGGGTCACTTGCCTTGGGTTCCAGGAAAACAAGCTGCCCATCTTTATATGTCGTTGGTATGAAAAAGGGCAGCTCCTCTGCAGGTTTAGGAGGCTCAATAGGCTTACTCCTTCCCTTGATTTCATCGAGTAACAACACACTCTGCAGCCAACCGGCACGCATACCTGAAAGGGTAAGCAGACCGTCAGATAGTGGCCCCGTAGCTGATCTGTATTCTTGTCGCATCTCAATCTTTCCATCATCATCCCTCGGCCCTGCCTCCGGGATTCCGGAATCAGCTTGATATGACTCGTCATTTACTATGCATGGAAGATCCATTAGTACGGGTTCCGATTCTAGATCTTTATACATGATGGTCTTGGTGCTTATTTCAAATATGTGCTTGTTGGCATAACGCAGTACCATGCCTGGTGCAGTGGAAAGTGCCAAATTTAGAAATGCACCAGCAGAATCGATATTCACGGCTAGAACAGTACCACCGAACTTGTTATAGTCCACATAACATGCTGCCAGGATGTCGTAAATAATCATAGTCGAATTTGCGGAGTTGGCAATTAACCAATTACCGTTGGGGTGGAAGCATATGGATGTGACTTTACGGTATGGAATTGTTCGGATAATCATTTTACCGACGATGTCAACTAGATAGATCACACCATCCGAACATGCCAATGCAGTCAATAGGCTCCCACATACACCCATATATACATGGGCGCCTTGTGGAAGTTCAGGATGGTAGCTATCCTTCAGCGAGATCGAACCTATATTCCACAGCCTCACTGATCGGTCCTGCAGACTATTTGTGGCGTTGAATAATAGCGCATACCTCACGTGAACTTGAAACGGAGACCAGCTGGGTACCTCCCAGCAATGCCAGCATGATAACTGGTGCTGTATGTGCGGTTTTGCGTTCAGAACCTTTCCTGATCACAAATTCATCTTCATGATTAGTGCTCTGAATATCTGTCGATTCTAATGTTATCAACTGCTTACCTGAAGATTGAAGAGATGAATAGATCCATTAGCATACCCTACGGCAACATAGTTGCCACAGCTGCTGATGCATACTGCCGTGGCCGAATATGAGACACCGGGGGCACGAAGGAAACCGTTCACCAGGGCACGTCTGTGGCCGCTCCAAAGGTGTACCACTGATGTGTTATGATGGCATGTTGCGATATTTGGCCAATCATAATGTCTTTGGTAGCAGGTTGATATTGCAGTGATTCGTCTTAATTTCTTTTTTGCTGCACCTGTGGAGAAGGTAGCACATCTCAGTTGTTGTATTGTCGAGGCCTTTGAGAGGTAACCTACACCCCCTGCACTACTACAGACCAAAAGATCCAATTCGTCGGCATCATATGTCTTCATTAGGTTGATTTCACCTATAAGTCCCCTACGGCTCTTGAGTTCTCGTAGAAAGTGTTTGTCAGAGTCCATCGACCACAATACTAGTGCGTTGTCAGTGCCTGAGGTGACCAGTTGGTTAACACGTTCAATGTACATAAGTTTCTGTACAGGTCCGGCATGAGCATGTTCCACCACACTGAATGTTCTGAATTCTGTGAGATCGAATACTACAATATCTCCATTTTCAGCCCCAACTAAGAGTGTCTCACGAGCTACAGCGCTCCTTTCACCTCTCTGCATGATCCCCAAAGCATCATATACAAATACTAATGAGGTTGCGTGTTGTTGATGTTTCGACAATCTGAAGGATCCAAGTACTTGGTCAACTTTTATATCAACAACTAGTACTTCTCCATTGCGATATCCAACAGCAACGATAGCATTGGACTTAAGTTGTGATTGTACCACAGCAGTGATATTTTGTCCCCCCTCCTTAACCTGATGCAAGAGTACTGAGTCTGTGAAGTGGAACGTGTATATTAGATTCCCATTAGTTACGTTATATAGTTGCATCATTCCATTTCTTAGCCCTACAAGTACCTTGTTAGTAAAACCTAGCAAAGGTAGTATCAGATCGATTTCCATCCCATCTTTGACTGTGATAGATTTCCGTGGTTTCCACAGTTGGCTTTTGTTTTTATGAGTGACAGTTCCATTTATCATCGTGTAACTGTCATTTTGTTTGTGGTTTATTCCGTTTCGATATTGTTTTGATTTTCCGTCGTCTCCATGTTTGTTACTGTGTGTTGTCCCTGGGTCTGTTTGTTCATAAGATATTACCTCATTTCGGCTAAATGTCAACAAATGAGCTTCAGTGACCACAATTCCTAGTACTTCTGAAGTATGTCTGTTTTCTAATCGTCTTTGGTCATAACGATGGAAAGAGTATATATGTCCATTTTCTAGTACAATGAATACATTTTCGAATCTCGCTGCGATATGCTTGATCCTACATTGCAATGGGAGAGATACATATGCTACTCTCATAGCGAATGCATCGTATACTGTAAACTGTCGCTGTGTCGAAGCGACTACGAATGCGGTGGTACCGACCACGCTTAGGCACACAACTCCATCAGCGCAAACTAATCCTATTTGCCCAGCGGGTCGGAACACGGACGTTTTTCCTTGATTCCCTATAGTATCTTGCCACATTCTTCCGAGATTCTCACGGTCGAACCTGAACAAGGCGGCGCTTGAAGATTTGGCCGGCAAATATTGCCGGGTTGCGCCGTTAGGATCGTTGAAAAAACCTATATATATTTTTTGCAGTGGCACATTTTATACCACTACAATCGCACTTACGTGCGATATCCCGTAAAAATAAAAGAAAATAGGTAATACTTATCTAGGCAATGCACAGCTACCCCGGAGTTGGTCTGAGCGCGTAGGGCGCTCTGAATCACCTAAACAAAAATTATTTGAATATCTAGTGGTACTATAGTGGTTGATTATATGCTCATTTAAATATTTTCACACTTTCATCGCTACTTCGTGATGCATAGGATCGTCGCTAGCGCGCAGATATCGATGAGACGCCCTTTAGCCTTAAGTACTGAAACCACATTCTACTAAAACTTAGACTGGAACAATTCAACACTTGTGTGTATGTGGTTGTAATGACAGCTAGAATCCTAGACACATTGCCAATTTTGCTAATACTCTTGAAACACAGTTCCATGACGGCCAATGGCAAAATATCACTCGCAGCAACTCGTTACTGGTTGCTATAGTCACTATAAAGTTATTTCTTAAATGTGACGATATTTTATAATAATCTGGGTTCTCTCCAGGTCTTCAATATTCGCAGCCTGTGTGGTGCGATGCGCGGCTGAAGGTCGCCTACGACGCCGCTGCCCGCCGTTGTACACGATAAATTAGGTCTTTACTGTTCTATTTTTGTGAAGACACCATCTAACTGGACTCCTTTACGTCTCCACTAAACTACCATTCAGGTGGAAGGCCGGGTGGTATCACGAGCGGCACTGTGAAGGACACATAGTCGTTCCGCAGTGACACAGCATCCATTTAGTAATCCGGAGGGGTTATCAGTGCGTTTATCGCAAGATAACTATTGTCTATCGTAGATATCCGACAGGTTGTAACAAAAATAGGAACAATGGCTACTGTAGCCTCCGAGGCGCCAGCGCCTGCCGCCAAGAATGGTGTGTGGAACCGTAACGAAAAACAGACAGATGTACGTAAACAGAACATCGTCGCTGCACGTGGTAGGTCGAGTGTATATCTCTATAGGTTTCAAAAATTGCAGCTGTCGCCGATATGATCCGTACCTCTATGGGTCCTCGTGGTATGGACAAGATGATCCAGGATGGTAAGACAGGTGTAACCGTCACTAATGATGGTGCCACAATACTTAAAGAGCTTAAGTTGTTCCATCCTACAGCTCGTATGATGGTAGAGTTGAGCAAGTCTCAGGATGTTGAAGCTGGTGACGGCACTACTTCTGTGATTGTCGTATGCGGTGCCCTGTTAGAGATGGCTGATAGCCTTCTTAACCAGGGTTTACACCCACAGACTGTTGCGAGTGGCTTCAAAATGGCAGTCGAGAAGTGTGAAGAGCTGCTTGGTGAAATTTCAAAGCCCATCAGTCTCGAGGACAAGGAGACGCTTACTGACATCGCCGCAATATCTTTGCATTCAAAGGTCGTTTCAACCAACGCATCGTTACTCGCACCAATCGCTGTTGACAGTGTGTTGGCAGTCATGGATGAGAAGGATTCTACGAATGTCGACCTTAAAAACATCCGTGTTGTCAAGAGTATCGGCGGCACGGTGGAGGACACCGAGATGGTAAATGGTCTTGTTTTGACCCAGCAGAAGATTGTACGTGTTGCTAGTGGACCTACTCGTATAGTGAATGCTAAAGTAGGACTGATACAATTTTGCTTATCACCACCCAAGACTGATATGGAGAACACTGTAATCGTTAAGGATTACCAATCGATTGATCGTATTATGCGTGAGGAGAGATTGATCACGGCACGTATGGTGAAACAGATTGCTGCCACGGGTTGTAACGTTCTTTTGATACAAAAGTCTATTTTAAGGGACGCAGTTACAGATTTGTCGCTCGACTACCTGGCAAAGGCAAAGATCATGGTAATCAAGGACATTGAGCGTGAAGATATCGAATTCATTACTCGTGCTATTGGTTGTGAGGAGGTTGCAAGCTTGGACCACTTCACTAAGGAGAAGCTCGGTACTGCGGAGCTTGTAGAATCGGAATTTGAGGGTGGTCAGCAGATTGTTAAAATAACAGGTGTCAATATGAAGAAAACAGCATCTGTCCTTGTACGGGCATCGAACTCGCTTATGCTTGATGAGGCGGAACGATCGCTTCATGATGCCCTTTGTGTGGTACGTTGTCTTGTCAAGAAGCGTGCTATCGTGGCTGGTGGCGGTGCTACTGAGATGGCACTTTCCCAGCGTTTATCTGCTTGGGCAGCTACTCTAGATGGTGTTGAGCAAGTTTGCGTGAAAGCATTTGCCGAGGCACTGGAGGTTATCCCATATACCCTTGCTGAGAATGCTGGTCTGCACCCCTTGATGGTCATTACCGAGCTCCGAAGCAAACACCTTGGAAAGGACGGCACTTCATACGGTATCAACTCTAAGAAAGGCGCGGTGTCGAACATGATCGATGACAAGGTCATCCAGCCCATGCTCGTGACCTTATCTGCCATAAAGTTGGCCGCCGAAACCGTTATGATGATCCTCAAGATCGACGACATAGTACTATGCCGCTGAGTGACTTTGGTAGTTTTTGCCTCATTTTAGAAAAAATGGCAAAAACCATCAGCTGTCGTCAGCTATAACAGAACGAATGGTTAATACTTCATATTAGCTAATGTGATAAAAATGTTGGTAGTTCGCGGGTTTCACAGCTTTCACTGCCGACACCGACCGATTTGGGTACACTGCATTACCGGAATACTAGATCCGTATCACTATGTATGTGAAGTTGTACCCGTTAGGCTTTACAGTCGTTATCAACGCCTCTTCATCGCAATATTTTTTTAAAAATCACGATGGAGCTGTGGAGTTTGTGTTTGCGACGTAACGGAAGACATGCATGTTCCCGTCGTAGCCTGAGATAACGAATAGCCCACCGCCCAGCGATGTAATTGCAGATATTCCAGACCACTTATAATTTCTAGGACCTTCTGGTGCACAGTTCAACGTTCCTTCTAAGTTAAAAGCAGGAATCTGCCACAAATTTAGCAGACCTGATTTGTTGCCCAGTAGCAGTAAGTCTCCTTGTTCACTCTGCATCCCGTCCATAGCCGTTAGCGCCACTCCATCCCCTCCTGACCGGTATACAAGGGTAAGGTTTGTATCTAATACTGCGCAATCACCTGAATGAAGCGCCACTATAACATGTTGGCCGTATCTCATCATAGACTTTGCAAAATCGCCATTTGGTATCGGACATGATTTCACTATTGCTAGTGTAGTGAGATCTATTATGGTGATTGCGCTCCCAGCAGCCCATAGACAACGGTTCACTCCATCTGTTACTTCCAATAGACAGGATATTGTTGTTTTGGTCTCCAGAGAGTTGAGACATGTGAAACTGTTGCTGTTGCTATCGAAACTCCATATACAAATCTTTCCTTCTTCACAAGCACTCAATACTGCCGAATCGACTAGAATCATTGCCATCACAGGCGCTTCATGACCATATATCAGTGTGGATGTTCCGGTTGGTAGATGGAATACTGAGATATGTCCTGTCCTGATCCCAGCGAATAGGCAATCATTGATACATCTTAGGCTGAAGATGAACTGATCACGTGCCCTTCTGGTACGTGTCTGATATGGTCTCTTCAATACATCTTGTATATTGAGTGTAAACGTGTTCTGTTCGACCAGCGAAACACCCCCAGTAACGTCCCCCGCTATAGATAGTCTTCTTATATTGGTACCCTGTCCAACGGCGTATAGATCCAGTCTTGAATCGCTAACACGGCATACTGTTACTGCGCAAACACCCTTTGGGCACACATCTGGTAAGTAAAGTAGCCTTTTTAATGTATGTCGGTACATACATTTTCCTCCATACCGGCAATGATCTGACTCTTATATCTGGCTATCTGGGACCCTTACGTACCATGCATTGCGTGATGTTTGCATATCATTGATTCCGATTCTTGTTTTCCTCCACGCCTAGGACTGTTAACCACACAGTATCAGAGCGCGTGCGCTCATTAGACACTCACCTGGTAGAGCTGTTGTTATTGCGATTATTGGACGTGCCCTGCCCACGAGAGCGGTAATTTTCCTGGCGGGGAGCGTACCAGACATCTACAGAGCTCATATGGCAAATCACATATACCTACCGCTGCGAAGGTTTTCGCCATTGCCCCCAAACATTTTTCAAAATTATCATGGAAATGTTATTATTAATTTACTATAAAAGTTGGCCCGATAACAGGTCAGTATAGCTCGCTGTCGGTAATGTCGCAGCACCACCTGACGAAATGGTTCAGTGCCGCGGGTATTTGCACCTGAAAAATATATAAATTAAAAAATTTAACAAACTAACCTCCCCCAAAGTCTGTGGACGGGCACGCTGCCGATTAACGGGTTGTGGTCGCTGATACTCCGCAGCGGCACGGTCGCGTTGGTATTGCCTATGCTGTTTTACGTAAGTGTCGTAATCTGGGACAGTATTCGAACGGTATTGGTAGTCCATCTTTCTCCGTTCAGTTGCTGCCTTTAGGGCGTTATCCTGTGCATCGCGAAGCTCCTCATAGCTCATATGACCCACGTTAAACTCGAATATTACATTACCGCTAAGGCAGTTCTTGTCGCTGATGATATTGACACGTAACGGGTGGTTCCTGACCATGGATTCCATGTGCAGCTTAAGGCGACCGACGACAGTTTCCATCTGGTTGATATGTTCCACTATCTTCACAAAAACATAAGGCTCCCCTTGCCATGGGATCTTAACTACATCACCGTCCAAATCACATTGGGCAATCTGAGGCCCATAACCGGGATGTGCATGGTGTAGTGAAGAGTGATAGACACCATAATTTTCAGTGGCAGGGTCGAAATATGCTACAAGACTATACGATACCCTGTTCGGTGTAGGCGCCAGAACAGGTACATCCTCCAGACGTCTGAACCTGAACACCGCTGCTTTTACAAAATCACTAGCAACGGGATGTAACATCCTTTGTACACCATTCACCATAGCACCGGCAGACATATCATCGAAGCTTCGACATACCCTAGCAGCGCCATTGTAGGTACGCAGCAACGAGTTCGCAAAGGTCTGAGTACTAGCACCTTCTGTCGGACTTGCGGTGTAAGGGTCAACCTGTTGTGGAGCCACGTTAGGGTATGGCATAGCAGCGGTATCAAAAGTCGTCTGACCACCGAACCCAGGTGCTGATTGCCATTGGGGTGGAGCAGCATATACGCCCATAGGTTGTCCTACGTTATTATATGTAACATAGGAACTTCCATAACCTCCTGGCATCATCTGTTGCACAGGATTTGACATTCCCATAGACACCGTCGGTGGCGGCGGTGTCACACTAGTAGACACGGGGGGATACTGGGCCCCTAATACCTGTGTTTGCGCGGATTCCGGAACAATTCGCTGTACATTGGGGGCTCCTATGTTCCTAGATATCTGCGATGTATGTGCCGTATAAGGTTGGTTTGCAGGAGGCGCCGGGCTGACTAGATGGGTAGTATTGAGCGGTGCACTCTTCACTACGTTAGGAACCGTCGCTGATGTCGACACTGCATTATTGTTGAGTACAGTAGTCCTAGGTATCGGCACACTTCCAATGTTTTTGCCATTGCCTTGGGTCATCTGGATCAACTTGCCAGTATCCCTATCATATGTGTAGTGTATTGGGGGAAGATAGACAGTTGGTAACTGCGACACACCCGAAATATCTGTCCTTATTGGCGTATTGACGGCAGCAGTGGCGCTTTCCTCCATTGTTTCCTGGTGCACATTAGCCGAAACCGGTGAGGTTACCGTGTAAGAACATCGTTCTTCGTTGACACTTTCAGTACCGTCCGTTAATGGAGGTGCAACGGTGCCGGTAGCAGCAGCTGGAGAATTTGAATTACTAGCTTCAGGATCACTCATTATGATATCATGTAATGGTTCCTTTACCACATTATGTGGCACAAAAACATTAACGACGCGTTGGCGACACGTAGCCCACCGACGCAAAATAATGAGCCAACAACAGGCAATACCCCTGGTTGGCTAGACTACAGTTTGTAATTTGTAAATTTGCGCCAGAAAATCGACAATGAATGACCAGCAATGATAAAAATTTCTAGAAGCCACACCCACTGGTTGGTACGCCGTTTAAGGTGCACAAGTGTGCAAGGGTATTATCGCTCCAATATTTTCATGTGGACATTCTAACCGATTGTCAACAATAAGATAGCTCTCCAGCTGTTTATAGGCCCTATAATATGGTCTTCCTGGCGACTCGAAGTGGAACGGTACGTTACACTCCACACCTTACGTAGCATATATACTGATACGGCGGCAACTTGCTCGCATCCGGAAGATTGTATTATCAGTATACGCTGTTACGATCTGTGTCTACGCCTTCTTTCTCCAGTGTGTGGTGACCGTGACCTCGTACGATGTCTCCTATGGCTACGACTCCTACTACGTCGTCTATGGTGACGTTCTCGGTGTGTATGAGAATCTCGAGATCGGCTTCTCCTCGACCGTCTTGGAGAAGCCGATCTCTTCTTATGTCTTGAAGGTTCATCAGTTGATACCTTCCCCTTTTTTAACGATGCTTCAAACTCAAGTGCCCATCTCTCATCTTCATCCATGCCATCTTCTGGTTTACGGGCATATGAGGGGCGATTGCGGTACGCTTCACGCAAAACAGACTCGCTAGAAGTTACATAAAACTTATCCATACCCTGTCCTTCAGCTCCAGTAGCTACGTATTCTTTTCGAATTTTGTTACCTTCATCATCCACATCATCTTCATATTCTACAGGCGCTTTGTAATCCAAAACATGGTCCACACGTAACCGACGTCCTAACAAAGAGTAACCATTAAAGTTGTCCACTGCCAGAATTGTACTACGTTGGTCACGGTAACCTAAGAAGCAGTAACCTAGTGATTCCCCTGTCTTCTTATCGCGCTTTAGGTGGATATCTATGGGATCTCCGAATTGTGAAAACACAATCACGATATCTCCCTCGGTCATACGCTTATGTAACCCGCCAATGTAGATATAACAGGAATCCTTGTAACGGTGATGCCACGACGCCTCGCCAATGATGCCATTCTGTAACTCATGTTCCGACAACCGCTCTATAGCAGTTATATTAGCAGAAGGCCCGGTCACCGACATCTTGCCTCCAGAAGATGTCGGTGACTCTCTTGTTAGGAACCTGTGGGCTACCCAGACGCGAAGTGTAACGTTACGTTAGACACAAAAAGTCGCGTACATGGGTGCCATATATACCACTTTAATGGATGAGATAATAACAACTACTAATACACCATGACCGGATGAATAAAAAATTGAAATCACCTTGTCTAGAAGGCGCGTCAACACACACCTGACGGTCGAGCGGTGGGCGAGAATAGTACTAAAACCACACCAAACAGCGATTTACACTAGATTAAAGTAGCACAAAAAGGCATCATAGCTTCGGGGAAGCATTACATGCTAATATTTTAAAGCTATCATTCATTTTAAGGTCATTTTCTTGGCCGGAAAGATGTCGGTGAATATGGCAACACGGCTCATCGTTGCCGAGTGACACATTAAGCGCAAGGTACTATATACACAGCGTCTATGGCTTAAGGCGAGCCTCTATAGCCTCGACATACTCCATAGCCTTTTGCTGAACCACCGCTGTAGACTTTTCATCGCCATGGGTGCACTCAAACTCCATCCACCTGAAAAATATGAAGGATTTACAAAACAACACCTACTTCTGATATATCACTTTCATCTTCTTAGGTTTCAAATCAAGCGTTATTATGCGCTGAAACAGGTTACGTATTGCACGAAGTGCTTCTGAACGTTTCCTTCCAGATGTTTCAAGCTGATACTTGATATACGCGCATATGTACTGCATCCATACATCCATGCGTCTCGGGTTCTCCAAAAGCAGGTTCTCGAACATCATCTGGGCACTACGGGACGTCAGTTTTTGCCAGGGGGACGAAACATACCGGTCGGCAGATGCATGCTTGAATTCCAGCAGTGCCGTAGATGTAATCATGTACACCTTTTTGTGGCTTGGGATACGCAGTAAACACCGTTCATATACTTTACGCGCCGCTTCAAAATCATTCACGTGCTCAAATAGCAGACGTAGATATGCATTCCATATCTGTAGACTAGTAAGAACAAAATCACTATTTATCCTTACCTTTTTAGATTTACCGAACTTCTTTATAGCTTGTTCACAAACTTCAACAGCATCTTCTAGACGGTTGTTTTTTACAAAAATGTGCAACATCTTGATATACATAGTCTTGGGGTTGTTGAACCTTAGCGATTCACGGAAAACCTCTTTAACACGGTCACCAAACAGACATTCCATATTTATATACGCTACCCAAAGGGTCTGACGTTCATGTAAAGCACGGAAGTCGATACGTTCGAGACCTCTACGTACTACTTGACGTGCTGCTTCTAGGCTACCATTCTTAAGGTGGAACGCCATGTACTCCATCCATATAGATGCGGAATTGCCGCCAGTAGCTACCTTCTTCTCAAACTCAAATACACTATCCGGAGCTCCAGACGATTCTGCAGCTGCTAGGCGACGTTCAGCCTCGCGTATATCGGTTTCTTTTGCCAACTGAAGAACATCAAAATATCACATTAGAAACTAACCTCACGAGCAGAGTCGAACTCAGGTGTACCTGTACGTCTACGTTTCTTCTTCTTAGAACCTGTAGCATCTTCCGAAGGTTCGGACGACACTGTCTTTGCCACTGGCGGAGCTAGGTGGGATAAAATATCTTCACCAAGGTCCCATCCTACAGGTTCTTCTGTAGATGCTACACCATTATCTGTTGCGATTTTGCTATCTACGGACTTGCGATTGGCTTTTTTGCTAGAAATACGCCGCTTGGCAGACTTACTCGAGGAAGCCATGGCCACAGCAGCAGTGTAACTAAACCCCAAAACTACTACAATAGGTATGTATTATAAGGTATAAAAAAAGCATTGACTATTGTCCATATGACTCTGCACCGTTAACGTTTGAGTAATATCTCAGGGGTCAAGTCTAGCCATACACACGACACCCTATGAGGCCGCGGCCTGGCGCCTTTTACGAGAACTCACATAGTTAGTAAACGCCTTCTTACAAGCAGCACGTCGCGCATCACGACGTCGCTTGCGACGCACTGTAGCCAAGGCCTTAAATGAAGATACCTTATCAGGGCTTAAAGTCACATAGAAACAACGACGACGGTGGTCAATACGAGTTATCACTACACTAACTAAGGCTCCATGACTCAAATCGAGAGATAAACGTTCGGCTTCTGCAAGCTCATGTGGATCCAAGGTGCTCTGCAGATCATTGTAAAAGCGAACTGTTACAATGTCACGTTTTTTAGCAGCAACACCTGAACTGTTATCTGACGTCTTGCGCATACGACAGACATAGCCACTAAATTCCTTGCCAATAGATAGCTGATTAAAATTAAGTAACGGCGATGGGTCCTTACGCATACCACGCTTCGCAGTCAATAGTAACATGCTATGCACATGATCGAAGCGTAAAACACGTAACTTTAGCGTACCACCAACAACAAATTGTTCTGGTACCTCTGAGGGTGGGACGTCAGTCAGGTGCTCAAGAGGAACTTTGCCTTGTACCAGCTTAGATAGACGTACATTAACGCCACTGGACCCAACCTTAGTTATCACACCCTTGATAGAGTGACCACCAATTAATTGAAACGGCGATACCAAAGTCTCATCTTGAAGAGATGGACGGGTACTTAAACGCACAAAACGGGTCAAAAAATCAAACTCCAATTCAATGGCGGGGTGTACGGTACCAGATCCAAAAGACAATGCTAGTTGTGGCGCTGATATTCCGCGGGATCCATCGTCACTACCCTTAGAATCATCATATAATTGTGAAAATTCACAAAAACCTATATCAGTTTCATTAAACGATAAAGATTCAGGTGAATAGTCAGATTCCAGTTGTTTATTTTCACGCAAACGACACAGAGAAAATACAACACCGTGACCAGGGATGGTACGTAGTACCTTGCCAAATGTCTTCAATGTATTTGAAATTAACCGATGAGGATGGCCTTGAGGTCCTTTCCATTTAAGAACATGTGATAACACGGAGACGTAGATCGTCTTATTCCAGTGGTTCACGTATAGCACACGACCCACGACACAATCTTCCACTCCCAAAGGGTCGTATGACAGTATGCTTTGGAACGTCGATGCCTTAGTGATACGATTTTTCTTCAACGAAGTATCGACAGAGCCCTCAGCAGGTTCATCATCAGAGTCACTTTCTGCAGCCTTTTCAGGGATCTTACTAAAGGGGTGAGAGTAGTTGACCACAGAATGTACAGCAGGTACAATCGCACCAAGACCATTCAGACACTTCAGGTCGAACCCATAATTTGTACGTGATTCTGCTGATACACTTTGTGACGAAGCAGGTATGTGGATATCTGATATCTCCCCAACAAGTAACAGCCCAGGCCTAATACAAAGTAACGGGATAGTACAGTCCAAAGATACTGGTAAATCATGTCTCCATGGCCACTTGCACGTTACCAGTTGCCGGGCCAAGCTCACGGAGTCTACTACAACATATACAGTAGAATGTAGTGGCAAATTACGAGGGGAACCTGGCACAATTGCTGTCTTTACCCCCCTGCCATTATTCTTCATAGACTTCTTATTCTTACCAGACCGACTTTTAGATGCATCCGTTTCTTTCGACGCCTTTACATCATCATCATACTTCACAAATCCGCGCACATCACCAGAATCGCCAAGGTGGAATGTTAATAAAATACCGTGGTCCTCATGTGACCTTACAGATGCAGGTAATAACATCCCTGATGTAAGCGATACTAAAGTCAATCCCTTGTTGATCACAGAAGGTCGCATACTAAGCGATACATAACTTCGCTTCACTTCCAAAACCGAACATACCACATGAGAACCAACGTTTATAGAACTTGGTACCACCGCTTCGGGACGACATCGCTGAGTCTCGGGGATGTCTACCACATCTGACGCTCGCACAAAGCCCACTAATCCATTGGGAAGATGCACACGTAAACCGCTGGGTGTCACAACTGCTACGCTACCCAAAACAAGTGAACCAACTTCCAAATTCTCTAAAGTAGGCAGCTGACACCGGGTGAGCGATGATGTCGGCTCCACTGATCGCTTTGCCTTGGGCGCAGCTATGAACGTGGTAGCTGTATTACCATCTGACGTCACCCGGTTACGACGCCGAGGTTCGCCAAGTGGTTCCAGCACCACCTCACTGGAGCGAGGGAAATCCTCTTCCGCCTCCATCAATAATAGCGATTAAATATTCACATCTGAACCCTACTTTACCCTTTACATTACGTGAACTAAATTATAATACAAACCCAAGGGGATATATCAAGATTCTATCCTAAGCTAGCCCGCCGACGGCGTGGCCTTTAAGGCACGATGCCATTTTGGGGATATCGACATAGTATAGTCACACATGGCGGTTTAACTCTGAGAATATGGTCATATGTCAATTTTATGTTATACGTAACTAGATGCGAGCATAAATCTCGGCAACACGGCAAAACAGCCTCCAGCTCCTAAGGCAATAGAGACAAATGGACAGTTAGTACCCATATAATTGAACTCTATAGGGGTTACGGGTGTACACAATATTGTGTAGACCTAAAATACGACATTTGTGACGCCCTGTGTAAGCAACAGAGGTGCTGAGTTACTATGGCAAAGCCATGTCCACATTGATTCCTAGGTAGCAAAAATGTTGAAAATACAGTGCCGTAACAAGTACAACAAGTAGCTGATGGCAGATTTCACTTGGTAAAATGAATTATAATTTCAAGTCAGATGCGATGCCTGGCATTCAAAGTACCTAGTAGAACATGTGTACCATCGCGAAGGGCCACCGAAACGATACCACGTCTAACTGAGACCTAATATTCAAATATAGACCAAAAGAACCAATAGGTTTGTAGCCACAATTGTGTTGGCCAACAGCTACCAATGAAAGCAGAAGTCCATAGTAGCGCGATGCCAGGGCCTCCCCATTTACTGACCCAACCTACGGGGACCCGCTCTCGAACCCCGGCGAGATTCCTATTACAATTTTTCGTCGTAAAACGACGCCTTGACGTTTTGCCTTGGGCGAAACTGGCGGACCTGTCACGTGTGGCTAGAGTATACACCCAGGCTCAGCCTTCGGCCCTGACGACACGCTTGGTAGCGTCATTTAAGCCAATAACACGGCGGCCGGTGACCAGAAGTCGACAAGATTGAACCAAACTGTGTATACAATACCTGCTTGTTAGCGGTAAAAAATTAGAGGTCATATCCTAACAAGGATCATCGACTAGGAATTGTGGATTTGTCCAACTGCTATTAGACTATGGTCTAGGATAGATTCCTGAACAACTGCGGATCTAGACATAATGCATAATTTCCAGAAACCGGAAAACGCCCTAAAAAGGGCAGCCGAGCTAAGAGCTATCGGCCAAAGCGAAGAGGCACTTCAAATACTTCATTCTGCAATCGGACATCGATCATTCAGAATACAAGGATGGGACATGGTACAGGAACAGATTATGATGGAATACGTGGCACTATGTATTGCCCAAGACAAGCTACGTATGGCCAGAGATGGGCTACATCAATACCGATTAGTTGCACAGCACGCTAATGCCACATCACTTGGCAAGGTCGTTGTAGAGTTACTTGACCATGCAGAGGAACGACTAAGGAAAATCAAGGCAGAAGTAGAAGCTGATGCGACAAAAGCTGAAGAACTTGAAAGGGCTAGAATTGCAGGTGGTTTTGACAATGAATATGGAGAGGCACCGGAGGAGATCATGGCATTCACACTACAACTGGAAGTCAGGGATGCCACCGCAAGGTCATTGCAAAATGTATTCAGGTTCTTATGGGAGACATATAAGATGATCCTTGATATTATGCGTGCAACACCCAAGTTGGAGAAAGTATACCATGACACGGCACGCAAAGCCATACAATTCTGCAAAGATAACGGTCGTTTGTCAGAGTTCAAAAGACTATGCGAAGTTCTACGTGCGCATAACACATTCCTTATGAAGGTTAAACATAAACCAGAAATGGAATGTATGCTTAAGCCAGAACTTCACATTGAAACAAGAATCAACCAACTTATAGCAGCATGTGACATGTCACTATGGAAGGAAGCCTTCAATACAGTGGAGGATCTCTATATGTTGGGTATTCGCGATTACATCGCTAAAACATTCCAAGGATCAGTGTCAGTACTTGGCCAGCAGAGGGAAAAGTTACTTAAGTGGCTTGCCATTTTTTACGAAAAACTCGCACTCATCTTCTTGGTATCAGACCAACATCTGTTCCATGCACTGGCGGTGCTGAGATATGTCATGCACATTAGGATGTACAAGAAGAAGGTAGCGCCAGAAGACGTGCAGTACCTCTGCTCTAAAGCAGTTCTTGCCGTGTTAGCTGTACCAACTCACACCAAGAGCGGACCAGATGGTAGCGACCTGATGTCTTCATCGTCGGCATCGGTATACGAGATGCAGAAACGTATGGCATCACTATTAGGGTACAATACAATACCCACAAGAGATACGTTGCACTACGCACTCACAATGAAAAACATATTACCCATGGCAGACGAGAACACACGTAAGCTGTATGACATCGTACATGGTACCGGTGCGGCGTCCATGCAACTTTGTAAACAAGTTCTACCTTTACTTAAGGAAACTGAAGAACCAGCAAGTGCGGTTGCATCAGTGACACCCAGTTTCGCATACAAAGCGGAGAGACAGGTTCCTAACCCAGTAGTGGTAAAGTTCTTTGACAAATTGTCAAATTATTACCCGAATATCAAGTCGGTTATATACTACAAGGTGCTCAACAACATCTCGAAGGTCTATGCCACCATGACAATCGATTTCTTCGTCAAGACTATATGCCCAAGCGAATTCTATTCATGGAATTATGCTGAAAAGTCCATCGCAGATTTAGTACAACGTGGTCTATGCCATATACGTCTGGATTATGCTAACGGTGTCTTGTATTTCAATGCATCCAAGGGTACTGCGGACTCCATAGCCGCTGTAAGGCACCATCTTACCAATCTAGGTCGCAATCTTTACTACGCCATGCGCGTAGTCGACCCCGAGCAATCTAAGCGTTCTGAGGATCGACACCTGCAACTAGTCTCTATAAAGAACAATATCGAGAAGGAGCGCGCCAAGCTCATGAAACGTACGAGTGAGATCTATCAACGTAGACAGGAGCACCAAGAGGAGATGATGCGTGCAGAAGAGGAGCGCAAGAGGCAGGAGATTGAGCAGAAGCTGCTTGAGGAGCGTGTTGAGAAAGAGCGTCGTGAATCAACAGCGCTATTTGATGTGACAAAGCACGTCTCCAATGTGAGCGTCGTGAAGAGGTGTTGCGGCAAATGGAGAACCAACGAAAGAAGGACGAAAAGATGAGGATGAAGATGGAGACTGCGCAACAAATGTTGGAAGCAATTCGTAAACTTGGTGGCAACCAGGGTGCTAAGATTGTTATTAAGGGCAAAACCCTTGATGAGATCAATGTGGATGATGTGATGGATGGTTTCGTAGATTTCGACGATGTTGAGAAGGCACAAGAAGAGCTTAAGTTACGTGAGAGGCAAGAGATCGCAAAACAACGCAGAGCGGAAGTCAAACGATTAGATCATTTCGTCCGTGCTTTGCGAGAACACCAGCAGGAGCTGTATGCCGACTGGCAGAAGCGCGTCCTTGAGGAGGACACTAAGAAGCTGTTGGATATTCAGCAGAAGCGTGAAGCTACTTGGAAAGAGGATACCGAAGCTATGCGTATCCAGAAGAATGCACTCATAGAGGTTATTGCTGATAAGGAGAAGTGGGTTAACGATACTATGGCTAAACGTCAAGAGGTATACGATGCCGCTATTAAAGAGCAGCGTGCCCGTTTCCGTGAGATAATGGTGCGGGATAAGATACGTCGTGCTTGTGAGCGTCGTGAATATGAAACTCGCAAGCAGCGTGAAATGGAGGAGGAGCGTATCCGTGAAGAGGAGCGTTTACGTCGTGAGATGGAGGAGCGTCGTAGGCGGGAGGAAGAAGCTGAGAGGCAACGTAAATTATCTGAGATTGCTGAGAAGCAGCGTGCTAAGGAATTGGAGATTCAGCGTCGTCTGGATGAGCAAGCTGCTAGGCAGACCCAGAGCGTGGCCGCCCCTGAGATACGTCGTGCGGAATCACGTCCTAAACCTCAGGTTCGTGATGAGCCTGAGATTTGGCGTTCAGATAGTCGCCGTGCAGATCCGTCTCCTCAACAGCCACCTTCTTTTGATTCCGAAAAGACTCGGAAATTCAAAGCTTTTTCCCAGCGACACCGAGAGCCATCAACGAGGCAGACGGAGGACACCGATTCATGGCGGCGCTGATCCGCACACATGCCTTAAAATACCATTTTTGATAATTAGATCTAAATATCGCTGTATCTGTGTGCGTGATTTGTTGCCACTTGCGTCTGAATCTATGGGAGGGGTCCCGCGGTGTACGTTCCTACAGCCACACAGTACCGCTAAGCACACGCGATTAGTTAAGGGCGAGGATCGTTACTCAAAGTGTAATACTCTTGCCGAATTAACAGCCGTATTTGGAAGTAAAGCGCCGGAGACCTCAATGACAGAGACGGAGACAGCTGCGGGCGTTCGCCCTGAAACCGTGGTAAAACACGTTGATATGGATGAGCCAACACGTAAATTTGCATTGGAACTTGCTGCTGAAGCTTTAGAGAAGTTTAAAATCGAAAAAGATATTGCGTCATATATTAAGAGGGAGTTTGACAAGCGTTTTGAGCCTACATGGCATTGCGTCGTTGGACGAAACTTCGGATCCTATGTGACGCACGAGAAGCATTGTTTCATCTACTTCTACATCGGCAATATCGCCGTGCTCCTGTTTAAGAACGGGTAAACACGCTATACTAATAAGTTAGACCATGTTATGCTCTTAGCGTGCTGCAGTAATCCTACGTGCCATTAGGTATATACGCATGTCGAGGTCTAGGTCAGCGATAACTTGTTTGTCAGCGGTTAGTGACATTAAAAGTCCGCCGAATGACGCATATATCGTCCTAGATCATATGAAGTCTATGATTAATGTAACGTTACCTAGTCTCCGAAGATACATCTTCAAACTTAAAGATTTTACCATACATAGCGTATTCATAGTCTCGCATAAGTGATGGCAATTCGTTATAGTCGCTCAAGTTGACGTCCATACCACTGGGAAGAAGGTTGTTCGTAATGAGTATGTGCAATAGCTGTATCAATATATAGAAATGAATTGAGAAGATAACATAGATAAGGTAGAAAATTTGCAATGAAGGTGACAGATAAGATGTAACTTACAGATTTTACACCAACAGGAAAAATATCACTGTTGATATCTAGTAGTAGCTCGGCATCAAAACCCGTACTCTTTGCGGATATACGAGATACACGTTCAAATTTTGAATTGTCGATTGACCGTACCACAAAACGGTCCTCGAATACACAAGTCGCGGTCGACATTGCTACGATGAGTACCGACTTGTAATATCAGTGATTGCGATAAAGAGTTGTAGGAAAGCACACACACTGGCGTGATTAATAATTGTTAGTATAAATTGAGATATACTAGGTCCATATAAGTGTTATTGTGCTTTGGGTCTGGTAGCTACCCACAGCTTCCAGTGGAGTATATGGAGATACAATAGAGTAATTAAGTATCCTTCCTTCTTTAAATTATTCGTAAAATATTAAATCAAAAAGGTTACTGCATTTTCAAGTAATTTGTAGTATTGTAGTAGTTTTCATATTCCTTAGAATTGGAAATCATCAGACTCAGCGTCTCCCAATTCACCGGCGTCGAAGTCTCCCTCATCGGCGGCATCTTCCCACTTGTCAGAGGCAGGGAGTTTGAGCTTGAGGTAGATGTTGTCGAAGATGCTCTGGCATACGGGCTTGATGAGCATGTTGAAAACAGTGGGAGTGGTGACTGGTGGCCTGACGGCGTCAGCGATCCAGCCCTCGAACACGGGAATCAAGTGCTTGACCATGGTGAGAGCAGCCTGCTTGACCATCTTCTTAACATTTTCGTTAATGCCAGTTTGGATGAAAGCGGCGTGAGCTTCGCCGTTCTCAACAATAGCCCTCTCAACGTCAGCGACAATGAGCTCAATCAGGTCATCGACCTTCTGGGCAAGGTCCGTCTTGACGAGGTCACGGAACTCTGTATAGAATTATATAACCATATAAGAATATTGTATTATACAGTGATTCTAGTCCACACACTTCACACATACAACGTTTGCCTTCATTCGCCGATGTGTAACTTATGTAAATCACAGTTGGCTACACCATGTAAACACACTTACTCTCAACCTGGGCGTTGGTGATGGTAATGCCCTGAGCGGGTGCCCTGCGGCTAAGGTGTCCGTGAGAAGTGCTGTAAGCAGCAACAGATTTAAGAATGAAGAAGAAGCAAACTGCAAGGAACTTCATTTTGAATGACGGTTTGAGCGATGTGTGAATATAAGATGGTTGGACTGAGCAGAGTAATATGCACAGTTCAAAATGTGTTTGAAATAATTTGAAGAGGATGCACAATCGCTATAGCTGACGTATAAAAGTCAACGATGTAAGTCGATGAAGCATATACAGTGAAGGAAGCTGCACTGGGGGAACTGCATGGAGCACCGATGGTGACTCCGGCGATGTCGGAATCTTGGTGCACAGTATCCATGGCAAACAGGGTGCGCTACGGTGTAACCTGCAATGAGGCAAATTATCGCCCTTAATCGAAAACACATTAAAAATGCACAGTATGTGCCATATAGGTGCCGATAACACCTAAAAATTGACTTGAGGAAGGTGCACCTCTCCTTCCTCTATTACCGCTAATTATACACCTCCCATAATACACATGCCAATAGTAGTGAAAATGAGACCTTTTACACCACCATACATACTAGTGTGTTAAATTATTATTTACAATCATGGAATCAATGACTGGCACATCACCTTGTACGTCCGTATACCGACATACCGACGTCAGAGAATAGTGATGTCGTTCGAGGATTCCAGAAAAGCACTTCTTTGTCTGTAAAAATGCAAGGTGTATTGTATAGAAACGTCTTAAACTGGATATGACCTGGCCAATTGTCTTTTTGGCTCATATCAGGATGTCACTTTGGTGTGTAGACGATGTGTATGTGAAAATCACACAAAAACTACCTACAAGGCTCTAGCTAAACCACAGTTGCAATATACATTTAAATGTTGATAATATAGACCATTGAAAGTATTATTTGTTCTTTCTGTCGACTAGTTTGCTCTGACATCGCTCACCCTCGGGGAAATTCGATATGGCGGGGGAATACCTGCTCTCCCGCATCGACATATACAATATTAGCATAAAAACAGTTTAATTGAAAGTACTAGGTTAGTATCGCCTTTTGGTGATCTTGTATGTTTCGCGCGGTTAGCGGTAGACCTTTTGTCATCAAAAAAGTCACTACAGTGAAGCTAGGGCATATTGAAGTACCAATTTTGATATATTTGCGCATGCTACGTTGTATTTATCTTGATGATTCCTCGGTCTTAGCTAGCTTCATAGGTCCCGTCTAGGTTGATGGATCAAACTGACTGAAATTGGAACCCCTAACCGAGATAGGATGAAAATACAGGTCCTACACCGCCGACAGGCGGATTATATATCGCAAGGATCGCACGATAGACCCAAACCTATGAGAAATTTAGATCCTGCTCTCCATCCTCTACCACGGGTATGTTAAAGTCACGCTATACTGCCCAGTTAATTAACGGAGATCATATATATGTAGCATAAGGAGTATGTGCGAGCTGTGGTTGCCGCGAAATTAAAGAAAATGCACGCGAAACCATTCGTAGCGGCACTAGAGGGGCACACCGACTCCGTAGATGCCATGTCAATGAGCAGGAGCAACCTGGTAAGTTTGTGGAGTTATATCACACAAACATGTAGCGTGATCTGTTCACCGGTAGTTGTAATGGCGAGGTTATGTTCTGGAATATGCTTACAAAACGAAAAGGTGTCCTAATAGGGGTCCACGAAGGGTTTGTAAAAGGTGAGATCAAATAACTTGCAATGTATAACGTAATATTAGGACTTTGCACAAACGGCGACGGAACGCTGCTCTACTCGTGTGGACACGACAAGTACCTCAAATGCTGGAGGGTACAAAAAAATGAACCTTTAAGGGAAACCGACGATGATGAGGAGTCCGAAGAGCATTTTACTACAAATAAAAGCGAGGAGAAACCTCTGACGGCTCCACCTCCAGAGGTAAGCTAAAATAGAACAAGTTCCACAATGTATCCAGCCTGCCGAGTCGTTCCTTTCTAAATCCACGTTAAATGGCCTAGACCATCATTGGACTGATAACTTAATAGGTATGTGATGATGGTCAGATTAGAATTAAAAAATTTTACAGCCACTGCTGGTGACACTTTGGAGATATGGGACAACCAACATAACGTACCGGTAATGAAATTTGATTGGGACTCTGAAGCTTTATATTGCGTCCGTTTCAACCCATCTGATGTAAGAAAAATATCGAAAATTTACAATCGCTATAGGTTAACCTCTTGGCGGCGGCGGCTGCCGACAACTCGGTTGGACTATATGATATACGTTCGAATTCACCCCTAAGGAAAGTAGTACTACAACAGAGATCTAATGCCATCTGTTGGAACCCTCAGAACCCGTTAAACTTCACGGTTGCTAATGAGGACTCCAACCTATACACATTCGATGTGCGAAAGTTACAACGGGCCCTCATGGTACACAAGGGGTTCACTAATGCAGTGTAAGTTAACAACTAGGTCAAAAAGATATGTCGAGCAGTACCGACATTGACTATAGCCCAGCTGGTGTTGAGTTTGTCGCCGCATCGTTTGACAAGGGTGTAAGACTTTTTTCCCTTGGTGGCAAAAGCAGAGATGCGTATTTCAATCGGCGTATGCAAAACGTACTCTGCTGCAGATACTCATTAGATGGGAAATTCGTATGCACCGGGAGCTCAGATATGACCGTACGTATCTGGAAATCTGACTCGGCACAAAAGTTAGGAACCCTTACCCATCGGGAAGAGGCTGCCATAAATTATCGCAACGCTTTACAAGAGAAATTTGCAGAACTTCCAGAAATTAAACGCATATTGAAACCGAGGCATCAACCCGCCATAATAGCCAAACAGAGCAAACTCAGGGAGGCTAAGGCTGCTGCTAAACGAAGAAGGGTATGTTACCTAGCGGTGGGGCGTCTACTTCATTTCTTTTCAGGATATCAACAGAGCGCTACACTCACGCGATTCAACAGTTACTCAAGAAAAGGAAAAGCCCATTGTGAAACAAATCGAGTAGCTGGAAAGATACATAAAAACGAGTTTTTAATATCCGTTTCCAACGGTAACCCTAGGGTAAACTACACATGGGCATCTATAACGGTCCGCTATAGACATCGGTATTTAGTGTGCCAATAGATGGCTATTTTATTGTTTTGAAGCCCCTTTGGTCTGTATGCACATGTGCTGTAAAACCGAAACACATTGCTTTTTTACAACAAAGCAAGCAGTGAATATCCAGCAAACAATTCAATATTCATTACTGGCTCTTTCTGCACACCATATGTTGAATATATTAAATAACAGGTTCCCTGTGCATGAAAATCACCACGGTCAACGGCACTACTGTCACCCTCTATCGCCCCTTTAAATCAGAGGACTCGGCGTGCATGGAACTGACACATTACAAAACATAATCAGTTTGGCTCTCCGATAAGTAAGAGCTGATAGACAGTGCGACTATACGATCTGAGTGTGCCGGGCGCAACTCTAATAGGGGAGACCCATCACTTGGTAACACCTGGAATCTGATGTTGTTATATATGCAACATCGATGTACCATTGAAACCACTGCTTCAAACAGCAGAAGCCAATATAGCATGCACATAAAAATGCGCTATAGCAAAGGAGAGAAAAACAGGGACAGTTGTGAACTGGAACCTGACTCTGAATGCACCTGAACACTGGTACCACTTAATGGCACTCGGAGCTCTTACGAATTCGCCTCAAATACCTGCGACTGCATACAAAAATATTGCCTGGACTAGTACAACTACCACAATTCTCCTAACACAAACCAAATATAACTGTTTGATTACAGAAAAAATATTTATGAGACGCCGAAATAACAAGTTTTCGAATATGGAATCGATTGCGCCGACAAGATACAACTACAAAGGTCCCGAGAACGATTCATATAGAAGTGCTCCGAAAAAAAAGGATTACTTTTTCGATGATCTGGCGGAATACATTATTGTCGACAAGGATGAAAACGACCACGTGCCAAGCAACAAGTTCCAAACAGGGCACACTTGGACCAAAGATCACACTCCAGTGCAAAGCGAACGTACTGCTTGTATAGTCAATAACGACAAAAGGGTTGAGGCAAGTACCATTAAGAAACTTGGCACTAATGAGACTGGGGAAGATGAAATCAAATACGAATGGAAACCTGGATTCTGCCTCCAATTGGGTTCACAAGGTAGGAAGGCGATGCTACAGTTGTTAAGGAATGTTTACAAAGAGAATAAAAAATTCAAGCATATCTTTGAGAAGATGAACCCACCCACCACCATAAGCAACTTACCATTCTTCAAAATATCTATGTTGTGGGAACTGGCATATCAATTGGAAGTATTTGACGAGGCGATTAAGATCCATAAAACTTATGGCAAGGTCAGATCAAAGGTACGAAAAGACGTTACCACATAAAATATGCAGGCACACGATGCCAATGGCACAAACACGGGCGTTCATAAAAGCCCTAAAGGCAGACAGATACGAAGCGTGGATTACATGAACGAGCTCTACCATGGTAAGATTGAGGGTGATGGACGTTACTGTCGCAGCCGAAGCGACGGACTCCAACACCTTAAGAGGAAAATGGAACGACTGCTAGCTTCCAATAAAGTTACGCCAGAACAATTTGCCAAGTTCATGGGATCGTACAAACAAAAGATGACCTTTGTTGATGTTCTTAAGGAACGCATGGATGAAAACAAGCGTGGGTCTCAGAGACAACAGAATAACGTGTACGACTACCTCAATACATATCAATGTAACACTTTGGATTGCGCCATAATGCCGCACTGAAGCCACATACCATGACGATCCAGAGGCACTACTACGTCCAAAAAAATATAAAAATAAAAACATCCAAGATAACACCAGCTCCGAGAACCATGGGAAGCTGTCAAGACGCCATTAATATGTAAGAGCCCAAAGGCAATATGAATTGTTGATAATTTAATGTTTACTAGTTTAAATGAAACCAAACCCTTCCTTTCCCTCCATAATAGCTTGCATCATCTTCTGATGAAGCTTTTCGCGGGTAGGATATGCTGGCAAATCAAGCTGATTGAAGCACGTATGTGCTGACGGCAGCCTATCACTACCACACGTCCTATGTATAGAAAGTCTTTGTGGTCCCCGCATACCCATTAAATTCTTGAAGCCACCAAGGGGTACGCGGCTGGTTCCAGTTACAAACTGTAAAAATGCTGCTAGGTTATTCTGGTCGAGGCCTTCCAAAAATTCCCAGAGCCACACTATCTGCTCACTACGCTCGCTGTAGCTTACGTATTCAACATTCCTCCTCAGGTTATCCAAATCTATGGTAGGAATGCCACTAATCAAAAGTTCGAGCTCCTTGTCATCAAAGATACAGATCAATTCAGGTGGTATCAGTTCCTGGAAACCTGACATAAAGGCTTCCAGTTGGTCCTTAATACCGTTTGTAACTTTGTGACGACATAACAGCTCGATGTACTTCTGTTTGTTTTCGTCCGTCACTGGGATATTACGTCCGTCGGGCACCAAATCAATAACCTTTACTTTCCCAAACTCATCGATCTCGGTAGAGAAAAACAACTCTAGTCCTATATCCTCCAACTTGCAGTTGTTAATAGACGTAAGGTTTTCGTAGAACTGTGGATCTACAGATTCAGCGTCCGCGGGCGTTATCTTGCGGCACAACATATGCTTGTAAAACGAACGACAGAAGTATGCGTCAATATGCTGTCCATCATACACTGCCTTTCCAATTACTCTGCCTATAAACTTGAAGAAGTTCAGGTGATCAGGGTTGATACCACTTAGCGGGTTTGGATGGTTAAACTCTTGCTTCCTGCCCTCGCGACGGAACAAACCATAGTCGGGGTTAAACATCTCCCTAGCAAGGATATTGAACCATTCACGGGTTAACCCTCCGGCATCAACACCTTCTTCACCTCCGAAAGAAACTGACAATTTCCCTTTCATCTCATCACCGCTACGTAGACGCAATTGATGGTAAGAATCCAAAAATACATGTTCTCGACGAACGTTAATGCGCACAGTTTCAAGACGCAATCCCTGACGACCTTCCTTCAGCTTCTGGCGGAAGTATTGACGTTTGATATCGAAGTTCAAACAGTTTGGTGCAAGACGTACAATCGCTATGAAGCTGGTAGACAGTAGCGACGGTGTCTGTTTAATCAAACAGTTTAGTGCCCTTGAATGTCGTTCCGTAAAGTATACTAGGCTCAGATGGTTAGGTGACATCTCCATACTAGCATCTTCCCCCTCCCAAGGCTCCTTTTTAGGAGGCACACGTTCCTGACGTGCGACTGCAAGGAAATCCAAATTGTCTTCTGGAAGTTCGTAGTCAAAGTTTACGAATGACATCGCGTTATCCAATTCAGTCACTGCATCCAACATGTAGTCCAGCGTCACACGAATTTGCATAATTGACAAAAATACCTCGATAAGAGGTACCAACATAACCATCTGTTCCACAACCTCAGGGTTATCCATAAGGTTATCACGTGTGCTGAACGACGCAGAATTGGAGAGGCTGAGAGGTTCCGTAGCTGAAGGTGGTGCTGTAGCCTTTGATAAAGTCATCAAGACAGAGTCGAGAGCCGTCCAAAGATTGTCGAAATCCAATTGATTGTAAAACTCGTTAAGGGTTCCCGGAGTCCTATCAACTACTGTGTCATCAAATACCACATGACATTTGGCTGTTTCAGCAAACATGTCGTTTACCAGATTCACTATACGCACCAAAGCACCAATACGGTGTTCCAGCTCGCATACCATTTCGCCAGTAAAAGCAGGACCCTTAAGCTGGATTGCATCAAGCGAGACAACTCCGGTAGGTGAAGCCGATTCCAACGACCTGCACAGTGTTTCTATAAGCCCCTTTAAACGATTGATGAAAAAGTCGCGAACCACTGCCTGATGTTTTGGGGTGAGATATAGCACCGATAGGATCTTGGATACAATTTGCATTTGTGAACTTGAGGTACTATCACGGTTTCCTTGAGCAGTCTGTAACCAATTGCTCTGGTGACGCCATGACGCATGGACATCAAGGAACACTGCTATAGCATCGTGATCCAGACTGTTGAGTATCTCCCTCTGTGAACAACTGAATGCATCATTACGACGACGCAACCCCGGAGGCCTTGAAGCAGTATCAGGCTCATCCATAGCTTCACTGTCCGATCCAGCTTCACCGGATTCCCGTGCAGCGGCAGCAGCAGCCCTCTGTTCTGCCGCTGCCATCACAGCCTCAGCCCTTGCCATATATTCCTTGAGGTCTGGAACAGGTGAGCTCACAATCAAATGTTGTATTACCATCAAAAGATGGTTCATCAATTTGGGTGATGACTGGAACAATTTGGTTGCTGTGGCCATAAAGAGGAACCCTATGGGATATAGATGCGTTGGACGTGCCGATTCCATATCCTCTGTGCCAGATGTTTTGTTACGTTTTCGCCTAGAGTCTCCGGCAGACGACCCATCGTTTGGATGTAACGTAGCTATCCGAACACTGAAGAAATTCATTGTGGCAGGTTGAGCTATCATAATACTGCGCAACTGCTCCAATACACGTTCCGATGACACGTAGCTTGATGACACAACATTTAGATCCATATATAACGGATTAAGAGCATTTGACCCAGCATTTAGTCCGTATGGTATTGGTTCTTTAGGTTCCGTATCTAATCGACCGCTGAGAGAAACGTATTTGTAAGGCAATGCTCCATACAAATGAGATGGTGGGAAATCATCTTTACGTGAATTGCATAGCCTTGGTAACGTTTGGAAGAACTCGTCACTCCTAATTGTTGAGATGCTGCTATGGCTCAGGGCCAAGATAGACGTATGGATGATGTATAGGAAACATTTCATCAAAAGGTGGCAAGTGTGTAGGTCTGAAACCACCAAGTTATGAAGCAATTTGAAATAAATTTTCTTATTAATTTCATCCCTGAGGTACATAACCTTACATATACCAACTATATCCGCTTCCGCAAACTCGCCGTTAAAACTGTTGCACATATCAAGCAGTTTACACGTCCTCTCACCAAAAGTAGGAGTACGAGATTCACAAGCTGAACGAGGTATTATCCTGACCACACTGTCAACCAAATTCTCACAGGAAATATCGATGTTGGAATCGATACGTACTACCGGGTCCGTTGTTCCTTGGTTCGTAATCATAGCGGTATTATTTCCAGTGCGTACTCCGGAAGCCAAAATGTTAAATAGATGTGGTTGGAATGTATGGAACAGTTGAGGCAGAGTTTGTATAATCCTTTCGTCAAGATTACTACGGCGAGGATTGGCTGTTACGAAAGGATCTGAAGCATCCATATGCAGGTTTATAGGATCCAAATTATCATTCAACTCTTCGATATTATCCAACGTACTCATTGCAGAACGTGATGCGTGGAGTCCATGATCGTCGAACAAGAATATGTCATTGAGACCACGTGAACTACCTTCATTACGACGTCGATAAAGGCTAGAGGGGAACCTTCTCGAATCTCCCGTACTACGTAGCTGTGAACTACTCGACTCTTGTTGAGTGTCACTCTCCTCATTTTGTAACTCCCCAATTATAAGTCCAAACGTGAGAGAAGGTGGTCTACCTTCCGGGTTATCAGCATTCTGACGGTCTGGATTTGAGAGTTCAGCAAGACTTGCTATATTTGATAGCAGCGCATGGGCGTTGAGCAATGAGTGGGTAGACGTAGGCCTAGCGTTGGGATCACTTGGTCGGTTGCCCATAATTTCCGGTGCCAAGTTCTCGAAAAACTCTTGAGGTGTCCCTGGGAATAGCTGGTTGCGTAGTGCTGGACCCAAAGCAGCTAGGAAATTTGCTTCACTGTGTCCAAAATGCGCACCCAAACTAACACTGGAATATTGAGGAGTATGCTCTGTATACATGGTATTGAGAACTTCGCTACGCAATGTGCGTGGGAGGAAATCGATGTAACGCAGTTCCTCTTGTGTCGGAGGAGTCAAAGGTCGTGTAGGAATGCTGGTATGACGACCATCCCTTAGTGCTGTCAGCGCGTCGGCATCGATAGTGTTCAATTGCTGTGCTATGATTTCTTCGCGAATTTCCTCGGGAAGCTCTGCAATAACGGTAGCATCCATATTAGCCAGAGTGAAGAGTTCTTGGTAGCTTATCCCTAATGCTGCAGCAATGCGCTCCAAATGGCGGTTTTCATATCCAGATGGCAATGACAATGAAGATGCGGGAGGTGAAGCAACGGTGGGTTCAGCCTCTGGAGATACATGATCTGCAGCAGGGCAGCTACTAACTTCAACATCATCAACAATCGGATCATCTGGTACTACAATCGGCTGTTGTTCTGCAGGTGGTTCCGTAACATCTATAGGCACAGACTTGGGCAATTGTGCCCTTGGTAAACTCAAGGCGATCAAATTGATGATCTCTCCGTGAGGATCGGTAGCATGCGTTACATATTTCCTTGAAGAAGGTAACATCGGGTGCTTCGAAGGTACCACTAAATCATCCTTGCTAGCCCAAGTTTCGCTGTTGTTGCTAGAACACGTATGGTTCATCACAACAGTGTCATGAATCGGGCGTTCCACAATGTTAGGAACTGCTGGTAAATTGGAAGAAGAATCCATGTATCGCATTGAACCTTGGTTATTAGAAATCTCTATTTGTATCCTTATTCCATTGTTGCCAGTTCCTGGTAAAGTCATTGATTGATCCTCGATATTTATCGACATGTTGTTGCTCCCTATGCTGTTAGATGCACTTGGTACAGATGCTGCATTGCCACCCTCCCCAAATTCTCCACCTTCACTTGAAGAAGAATAGTCGCTGAGAAGTTCGCCATGGTCATCCTCCGCAATATTGATGTGCGGACGCGTATCCTCAATCACGTCTGTAATAGTTTCATCACGGTTCTCCTCATCAAGTTCGCCGACAACACGTATACGAGGCGCATCGTCATCATCATCTTCTTCATCATCCACTTCATCAAGGCTAGAACGACTTTCAGTATCTGAGTTGATGGTGACATAGTTCTCATCTACCTGATGCGGTAACGCCATCTCGACATCATTCTCACCATCAGAAACGTCAGTTTCCAAATCTCCACTTTCAATGGAATCAGCGCTCTGTCCATCACTCTCAGATACATACTGTGAATCTTCATCTTCCGAATCACTGCCAGATCCTTCGGTGTCATCACCGCTATCGGTGGCAATATCCTCGTCCATAGCATTGTCCATATATTCGTCGAGTTCCTCGCTATCAGATTCGGACATTTCTTCATTAGATGACAGGGGTGTTTCATCCAGACCTTCTGAATCAGATGCTACATCTAGTGAAATGTCAACTTCCGCTACACTGTCCCCTTTCTTGTAACCATCTAACCCATCGTGACCTTCACCATTAAGACCAGGTGTTGAGGCGCGACTATTGTTTGGACTTGTGAGTAAGACCAAATCGCGAACTACGGCGCCAGCCAAAACGGTTCCGCCATCCTTGTATAACTCAAGCTTGTGTAGCATGCTGACCAAACACTTTTTGATTTGGAATACAGATTCATCAGATAATTCAGCACGTGCACCATTTTCGAAACGCAGTTGAAGTAGATTGTGTAGCAAGTTGCACGCTGTGTATGTCGCCACTGTAAGAATATGTGGTCCGCATTCCTTTACATTTATACCCATCAAAAACGATAGAAGAGCCTTTAATTCCTCATAGATAATTGAACACATTTCTATATTGCTTGAACTGATCAAGAGCATCGAGTTGGTATAACTGTTCAATGTATCTACTACCAGTTTGTGGGTTGCAGCGAGCTCTTGACAATGTTCTTTTTGTGACGTGCCCTTAGATTGCGGGATACAGAGGCCACAAATCATCAAAAATACACGTCGAATAATGTAAACCAAGACTAGATGGCTGTCTTCCAGATCTATCATGTTAACTTTCCACGGGAATGGCGTGTAGGGGAGATCAAATTCATGCTTAGGCAAACGGTTGCTGTTCACTGGTACCGGGAAGTTGTGACACATGGTGTTCAGTACGTAAAACAGGCTATTGATCGTTAGTGCCAGAGGATAACCGGGTTTCGAACTTTCGCTAGGGGTACCTGCAAGACGTGTCAACCCATGTACATTACAGAATATTTGCATATACACGACAATGGTTCTCAAAATCCCACGCAACAGCACTGCGGAGTCATCAACAGCTGTTCGGTCCTTATTAGAAGTTTCCAAGATAGGTATGTTACCGGGAGATATTAGATCTTCGTTGGATGCCAAAAGGTCGGATATTCTGGATGAACTTCGCAGTGTAACAGTGGCAGTGCTAAGGTCTACATTAGTCGCACCTTCTTCCAAAGTTAGAACACACCGTTTTTGCAATATTTCGAGCAACATGGCAGGATCTTTCTTTGTGAATGGGAAGATTTTCTCGACAAGTGTCGATAAACCCACAGGCTCGTTATCATGATTCGACAATACTGCTACAATCCGCTTCTCAATAGCTTCACGGAGTACCACTGGGTTCTCCATACAATGCAAGAATATGCTAGATATCATTTTCAGCATACCCTTGCACTGGCCCGATTTAGGTATCATTAAAAGAAGTGATAGTGAATCTGAGCCAACCACATCATTTAGATCGACCCTACAGTTGAAATGGGCTGGATAGTTCTCCTGTTGCGGTAGCCTAGTGTAATGCAAGAACTCAAGTGCATTGGAATATACCTCCGTGAGACTATCAAGTATCGAGAGCAGGGAGAATGTCAAGTCTGAGTCCGAACCTGGGAAACACTCCAGAATGTTCAAAGAGGTATTAACCAACTTTTGTTGTGAACCTTTTGACATATATGGCACATTTTTCGTAGCTGACAAAATCTCCACATTTTGGCTAAGATCCATGGACGAGGATAGAATGTTGGAGAGTCCAATCAGCGAATGTTTTTTCAACAGCTCGCTTATACACACCATTGCGTATTTATAGAACGGTGGCGGGCAACTCGACTGCGGCAAAGGGCTGTTCCTGATAAATCCATATTTAGTGAGCACATAGTCGACCTTGATCTTCTGTGGTGTCTTTTCCTTCGTCGTGGTTTTCGAAAAGTCCATGTGCATACACCAATCTGGTAGTGAAGTTGTGATACCAGGCAATGATGGTTTCATGCCTATACCAGCAAAGGTCAAAACACCTGATTGGAGTGCCTCGTAACGTAACTTCTGGAAATATTCCACTAGGTTCAAAAAGATATCAACTGGGTTCTTCACGTTGTTCAGAATCATAGAAGTGTAACTCTCCCGACCTCCTATCAAATGAGCTAATATGTAAAATAGCCCGATCAACTGTTCGTGTACTTTTGCAATTTCGATGTTGTACGCAATGGTAGAGACGGGTTTCCCAGCCAGTACTGTGTTCTCAAAAGCAGCTTGTTTCTCTGGGTCATCTGCAAAAATCGCGGGGCAAAATACTGGCAAAAGAGCATCTTTCGTCATCGAGAACTTTAACACCGACAGTAGGTTCGAAATATTGTCCAGACCGTTATATATGATGTTGACTAGGTCCACAACATGCTTATTTGCTGTTGGATCCCTACACAAGTCGGCTTTGGCATCTACTGTAAGTGGCACCTGTAGTGAAAATGCCCTAAGCATATATTCGAAAATGAAAGAAAGTGATGAAGACATTTTGGTACTCAAGATCAAAAGGTTATCCACAAACCTACATCCTACTTCTTCTCTCCATCTAAGGAATTCCGAATAGACTGTGAGGTCAAACCGTTCGAAAGTTGGTAGGTCCCAGATATTATCGTCATCAGGTACATCTCCACATTCCAGACTGAAAAGTTTGGAATTCTTCACGGTGTCACAAATGGCATCTGAGGGTCCCGTAGGTACAGGTATATCATCCACGATTTCTACAGGGGCTGTGGCCACAGTATTGTTCTCGGTGTTATTAGCAGTGCTATCCTCAGTGTGATGCCGGCTGTAACCCCTGCTCCTAGTCCTTGTAGTATGGCCAGTGCCAGTATCCATGTGGTTTATCAGCCAATCGGCCAGAGTAGACACATCGGTGTAACCACAGTGACTTATCGCTCGTGAGATATCGTGTTCAGAAAATCCCATATCAATTAGTGTCGATCGTATCTCACGGAAGTTGTAGAGGCCCCTAGTACCATCGCTAGCATCAAGATGTGTAGTGGAACCTGGCCCCGTCCTCCTTTGACGTCTTGAACGACGTGGTAGTGACCTGCTACTACTGCTACCATCAAGTGGCAGATGGGTGTTATCGATACTAGAGTTTGACCCGGATTTCTTCGAGTCAAAGTGTGCTCTGAGTGCTCCTTGACGAACGTCAGACAAATAATCCAAAGAATAGACGTGAACCTTTAAAAGCGACCCCATTACTTTGGGAGCAATGTAGAAATGTAAGCTTGCTGTACTGTTCCCTGGAGCAATACCAGATAGGGAGCCTATGAGCTGCAACCATTCCCAACAAGCAGAACCGATCATTGATACCGTTGAATTCATCAAGTCGTGCATTTCGACGTTATCAGAGAAGGTATTGCAGAACGATGATGATGCAATATAGCCTAGATAATCTGTTTCACTTAGATTGTTGAGCGCTGCCCTTGGGTTACATATCTTGCCGAAGAACCCCAAACATATTTGAATAGATTTACCAAAAACATCCATTGTATACTTAATTTTCTTCAAATCGTATGTTAGAAGAGCTTCTGCAACTGTAACAAGGTGCTGCGAATTTCCTAGCAAATCATTGCCCAAGACATTTTCAACTGTAAGCCCGGGGTTTATACGTAGTGCCAAGGCCAAAGCGCAACCAAGATACATAGGACACATGTATTCAAAGACTTTCTTAACGTAGACCATGCCAGATAGCCTGGTGAATACCAGGAAAGAGAGTAGCGAGATACCTCCTATAGCACGTTCATCTAAGAAGAATTTGTAGGTCATCTCCATAGCTTCAGCAACAAATCTAGCAGTGTTAGCACAATCCATACCCTCTATGAATATACCAGATCCCGATTGTATATTCTCTAAAGAAGGTACGGTCGTCAACATACTGATGCACAGCAATGAAAATGAAACCGAATGGTGCGCTCGATAATTTTGCCTACATGTGTTAGCATCTGCCGACGCAGGTAAGCATTTGTTAATTATCCCAGTAAGTGCATACAATACCGCTTTACATGTTACCAGGCATAGACGGCATACTTCGTTGTTCATCTTAAAACTGTCATCCGAGATCTGTGGTGATGGGCTTCCTTTGTACGCCGGATTAGGGATGCTGTAAGCGTAAGAAAACTGGCTTGACCAGAACAAATCATTGGCTGAGAAGGTAATTTCCGGAGTGTTCAGCGTATTCTTTGTTTCACGGTGGAACACCTTGTAAGCCTTCAGTTGTGGATGTTCGTGAGACATGTGTTTGCTACTCAATAGGAATATCGTGTCAAGATCGCCATCATTGACCGACATGAAGTACTGTTTCATGAGATATGGGAACTCTGTTACCATACGTTTGAGGTAGGCACTTACAGTGAGGTGCATATCACAACGTGATATTGTTTCAGCTCCAGTTTGGTATCTGCCGCTACAACATGTTTCATAATATCCATTGTTATCCCTATGCGCCAAGTATAGCGTGTAACTTACTCCATGTAACATCCTCATGTAGTCCAAATTGTTCGCAAGGTCCTCAGGTGTCTGCGGGATGCGGTATCCCATAGGTTGCAACAGATATGGTCTGCAGAGCCCATGAATGTAAGTGACAGATGGCGTTTGAGCTTGTGACAATATGAACTTCAAAAGCAGCGCTAGGGGGTGTTGAGAGTATATCAACAGAGATAGCGGCGGGAGGCACGGCACAGAGCACAGCTGGTAGAGTAGCTTCAAGCCATCGCGTGACATAAAGTGTGACAGTGTCTGGGGAAAGCAGAGGAATGTTGACAAAAACTTTCCCAAATGAGATATTCTGTCAGCATAAAAAGCATGTCCAGACACCCCTTCCAAAAATGTCAAAATATCCAAAGTAATCTCGGGTGAATGTGTGCGTACTTCGTGCATATGAAGTTCAAAGTCTTTCGCACATTGACTTGAATCTTGTGGGCTGAATGGCGGGAACGTTAACGCTTCTTGTAGCAACTCGTACATGATTTTGATGATACGGCGCATTATAACGTCATTAGCCGGTTCTTGGTTTCGCACAACACTGTCCAAAGTCATACCAATAGTGGAAGCAACTTCACCGAACCGATCAAAGAGTACAAAATCTTTCTTTGGTATTATATCAATCAAGTTCAAAATCGGTTGATAGTTATTCTCCTTCATATACTCCCTTCCGCTTCTGTGTACTAGTACGTCACAAATTGCCGTTGGAATGATATGCAAACATTCCTCAGATTTCAGATTCTCCTCAGTTACCGATCTCATCAGGGCTGGCATTATATCCAGCTGATGTAGATCTTCTTGCAAGACGGGATCATCATTAAGTGAGTCCGATATCAGATTGATAGCGGAGCAGTATGCTCCCAGCCCGTATCTTTGCGGGTGGGTGAATACCGAGTGTATTATCGGTACCATAGCTCCGTTTGCTGAAAACACATCATGATCCTGTGATTCACCGCGCCCAGTCATGGACCTTGCAGCTGTATCGACGTTGCGCATCAATGTCTTTAACAAGAACCGACGCGCACTGACATCACTAATCGACATCCAATAGCTCCTAAGTGTTGCCACGTCAGCGTTTTGAGGAATTTTCCATCCCCGCGGCCAAAGTGTGTTTTCTGATTCAAAATTATCAAAAGCTGGGCCCTTCTCTATGAGATACATATCATATTGCATCCTAGATATAAACCTGTGGAAAACCTTAAGGTCGCTGCGCAGGATGCGTGAAACCGTGTGGCTGTAATCCAAAAGTGCTTCTAGGACTTGAACTACATATATGACTACCGGTAAATATACGGGATCTCTAACCCTGATGAAATCAACTGCCCCCTCAAGTATTGAGGTATTCGTCAAAGCGCTGCTGCAACCGTGATAGGAAATGAAGGTGTAAAATACTACCAAAAGCTGTAAGAGTATACGCATGGAATCCTCTTCATCTTGGACTTCCGTCCTACCCCTTTCAGATGCTACACGGGAACTGCTATCCCATTCAGTCAAGTGTGTTTCATCAGACACTACCTTGCCCTTGAGTTGTAATGCCATCAGGCCCTCTTCCTCCACATCCCCCGAAGGGGCAAGGTCGTCATGATTCCATAAATCTGCCATGGAGGGGAATACTTGTGTGTCTTCCTGTCCCTTAAATCGCAGCAACGGCGGTAATGGTATCTTTTCGTAAGCGTGGTGTAGGTAATGTCTCAGAACCTTGGAAAAGATACCGTGTGGCATATTCAATCCGAATAAGTTTGCCATTACTTTGCAATGGACACCGTCATAAACCATTGCTGATAAAAGTTCTGTGATAATGACCATGGTTTGCTTCTCCAGTTCAGTGTGTCTTTTAACCATATGCGTAACCTCAAGGAGGAACGAAGGGTTGTAGCTTAAAAACTGGTTATAAGAAGCGTTGTTCATTATTAACATGCAAATAAGAGCGCAGATACGCATATCCACAGCCCTTCTCTGCAAAAATGGGAAATAGAGTGAGTAAACTTTGCAAAACTTATATTTCAGCTCGGCAAAATAACACTCCTCTATCTTGTGTTTCTTGATAATTAGCCTCAACGATTTCACCATGTGTTTGTAAAGATCCAAATCCGTGGTGAGAGATCGTTTCCATGCTATAATTGCGGTTGAGAATTCTTCGTTACCCTCTGCGTTTTGTTGTACCGCAGCTGATTTCGTTGTAGCCGCATCGTGAATATTCAAGACATCCGTGATTGGTATCCGTAATTTAGACGAATCATTACCACGTGTAACATCTTGCCCTATTTCTATGTAAGAATCCAGTGTCACATGGTACTCTTTTTGGCTTACATAGTATTCTATAACATCAGAATACGAGAGGCTATCAAAATCGTCTGAAGTAGTGGGAGTCGACGAGTCATCTAAAGCCTCTGGTGTCGAGTTCCCTACAGTTCTGTATACGTGTAACGTTGCGTCAGGAAGTGGCGTTTGTGATAGAAGTGCGACCCGTGCAGATATTTCTGGAACATCCTTGGGCGCCACATTTCTCTTGTGTCGGCTGTAGTATACACAAAGTAACTTAGTCGCCAAGAAAACAATATCTGGATTCAGATCATCCAGGAACGATACTAACAACTCCAAAGAGTTGTATATGCTTTTTGATGTGCAGTTTTCTACTATCATCACAGATGCCTTTAGGACGCTCTTGACTAGCCTGAGCAAATCCTCATTATAGAATGATGAGACCGAATCTTGTTCTCCTTTTAAGTATGCTCTATAAAGATCAAGATACGATCGGAAAATATCATCAAACCGATTCAATACTGGTGCCCAGGATAGCATATCACTTTTTTCCCAGACCCACTGAGTGAAAGAATCTAAGTGTAGGCAGAGATCTTCTGGCGTGCACGTCACCAATAGTTTGATGAAATTCCTTTGTGTTGGCTGCAAATTAGCCAGCACAAGCTTGTAATTGTCTCCCCTTGGCTTTCCAATTTTCATCTTGACTAAGAGAGTGTTATTGCTGATCCTTGGAAGAATCCTTAATGATAGATGAAAATATAGAACCACTGGGTATTTCTCGGCGTCTACTTGACGCTATATATTCGTGATATTGATCCACTTTGCTTCCGTCCGCTCGGATTCAGCTGGAGAAGGCTTGAGTTATGGTACCACCGTAATAAACCTTTACTGCATCGATGTGTAATATGTAGCCCTATTAGGCCTTCATAATGGTCGGTATTTATCCTTCCAATGTTCTTGACGGTATCATGTTACAAACAAGTTAATGGACACGCCATAGATAGTCAGAATCGCCTATTTATACCGCCAAACAACGAGTTTCAAAGTTTCCACCTTACAACTGCCAATATATCGTGATATGTTGTCCAATGGCCATGAAATGGGTGTGTTTCCCCCTGGCAGAGAGAACAAGCTCGTGAAAACGGTGCCGTTTAGATGGATTAGACGGCAACAAGTAGCAAAATAATTCGCTTGCTTTGTAGACAGTTTTTTGTTTAAATGCTTTTAAACTTACTAGTTGTGAACTTGTTAACACGGTGCTGCTGTGTCTCTGAGTCGCGACCCCAGCAAGTCTATCCACCACGAAAGTGGTAGAACTCCACGGCCCGTTGACGTACGTTCGGGGTGTGCTGTATATGTTACTATCTAGTCTCAGAGACACCGAATTTGTAGTTAAATGTGTCTAACTGACCGCGTTTGAGGTAGAACGGGGTAGAGGAGTGTAATGTGACAGTGATTCTACAGGAACCTAATCGAGTCGAATAACTAATAGCATTCTATATGAGATCTGTAAATGTTGAACCACTTCCGGCACCTCAATGAAAACGATAAGTAACCGGCGACACCGCGTGACGCCACATCGCCACGCAACGACTTACAGTGGTATTATATGATATTCCAGTGCATTCACGCATGTTCATAGGTTCTATTTATGAACCGTGAGAGGGTTGTAATTATGTTTGGCCGCTGGCAGTGCCGCGCCGTGCTTTCCGTACGCTTCCTAGACTAAATGCATAAAAGTCTGTATGTCCATGCTACGCATAGCTAATACCTCCTAGAATAATTTATTTAGGTCAATACAGGCCTCGAATGTGCGCGCAACGCCACGTGATTTTCGCGAACGGCATCAAGGCCAAAACGACAACACTGCTGCATATAATGCACTAAGTTATGAGTCAAACCGTCTTGGTATGTATTTGGTTGTAAAAAATAAAAGTGTAACTGTACATATCTGTTGATAAAACGCTCAACCGGTGGCTATTGTGCTCGGTCGCATGGTGTGTGATTCCTCTCCATTGGGTTACTATATTTTTTACTTTTGAACTCTTAACATCTATCCATCATACTACCAATGCAACTATTGGTACGTATGAGCTGTAGAATGCTGTTTCGTTGCATTGAGCTTTAATTCGATATCGAATTTTTGACCAACCTCTCTTCCGCTGGTAACAATGTATCCTCGGCATGAATCGAATTATAACGGGCCGAGCAAGCTAGTCTCAGGGCAGAATAATCGACGTGGGAAAACTGAAATCAGGGAAGACCATTTAAGGGAAATATCTGCTGCTTTTAGCCTCCTGGACTCCGCTAATACTGGCAAAATCGACTATCATGAACTCAAGGTAGGTTAATAACAAACCAGCTTAATAATTTTGAATATTAAATAATCTATGTGCGTTAATGGCGCTACAGGTAGCTATGCGTGCCCTGGGCTTCGAGGCCAAGAAGCAAGAGGTCCTTCAACTCATGTCTAAGTACGATACCATGGAGACAGGCTACATAGACTTTGAAGCCTTCAAGGAAATAAGTTGGTTCATATCATAACGTTTTTAACTATACGCTGCAGTGGTCAAGAAAATCTCAGAAAGGGACCCCATGGATGAGATTAATAGAGCGTTTGAACTCTTCGATGAGGATAACAAGGGTATGTATCAATATATTCAGTTTTACCAATGTTTTCCAGGCAAAATTTCGTTCAAGGACCTCAAACGTGTATCTAAGGAACTCGGTCACAATCTATCGGACGACGAGCTTCGTGCAATGATAGATGAGTTCGATAACGATAGGGATGGTGCTATCTCGAAAGAAGATTTCGTCACTATTATGCGGCAGACCACCATCTACTAAATAAACGGATTCACTGTGGGTCGATCCGTCATCACATGGACAGAGTTGTGTTTGTAATTGGAATTTAATCGAAGAATGGCTATCGCGCGGCGTGCGCCTGCAACACAGCGCGCAAATTAGACACAATTTACCCGCTGGCTACAGTGTACGCTGGAAAACTTCCCTTATAAATTGTTTTTGGTTTTGGTTATATAATAATTAGATCGGCAAAGTGGCAATTGACGACCTCCGGTATTCCTTAACACTTGCATGTGCTATAACAAAGTGGAACATTTTCTTCTTAGAGATCTTAGAGGCAGACGCGCTAGAGGTAAAGCGTAATTACCGCAAAAACATGCAAAAGTTGCGGTAACGACGCCTTCGTTCCCTTACACACCAACTTACACATTCAGGAGAGATAAAATATTTTTTTCAATACAACGCAAAAATATGTTACTAAATAGACTTCTAAGGTTATATTGTCGTTGAATAATTAACATCAAAGTGTTATGTTACATATTATACTACATTGCATTTAAAATGTTGTTGGCACCTTCAGTTTTATAACTTAAAATAACCTATATCACTTAGCGATATTTTCTTGTAGGATAAGAGGGCGATAGGTAGCAGTATATGTGTGCTAGCCAATTTCCAATGTGACCTAATGTGCAATAAATCCAGCGGTAGGGCCATACCATATGCGAGGTATGCCATTGAGGTGAACCAGAATGTGGCGACAAAGAAGATGAATGGTTCACGTATCCCACAAAGGAAGTTGTTGATGGCGGTCAATAGGGCCTCGAATAGTGTTCCTGAGTAAAGTAGATTAGAAAGTTCCGCATACAAATCATTGCATATGCGTTTCCAATGCGATTCCGGAGTGCCCCTTTTCGGATCCTTCTCGTGTGTTCCATTTAACCACATCGTACTGTTGTACATGAACCCGAAACGATATAAAAGGGGTAGGACTCCTCTACATTGAACAATGGTGGTGCATTTACAGATGTCCTTTTCGCCATGATCTCCAGGTTTACAAGGGGTCTGATTGTTAAACTCTTGACATCCTGAATCTTTGCAATTAATGTTGCTAAAACCTTCCAGAGACTCTTCTAGACCCGCTTTAAAATGTTCTGTGAGATACACTATTCTCGAAATGTATACACCAGCGAAAATTTTCGCAAGATTAAAGTATATATACCATGTGAGCGGTGTGAGATATTGGTCGCACGTATATCCACTTCCGCAATTGCTTTGACGGAGTGTGTAGAGGTTAGCATCATCCTCGTGACTGTCACCGTTGCTACCATTGTACCTACCAGTCAGGGATTTGACAGCTTCAACGAGATCAGAATTAGTATGGTCACCAGGGTAACCGCCGATCTCAGTAGTGAGTGATGTTTCAATGAGTCCATTTGAAAGTTTGTCTTTATCACCTATATTAAAATAAAACCCAAAGAAGTCACCCAGGATACGGGGAGTACGTAAAGTAACACAGACTACAGATAGAATGAGGTTGTAAAGACTGGCAGATATGATATTTGGATCGACGAAATCATTCAGCATCTTTCCAAGTTCGCAACCAGTGCGGGTATAGATGTCGGGTGGAAGGTTAGTTGAATTGAAGCCCATGGGAATAGGATACCGTTGATTAGGAGGACTATGGTTGGCTTGATCAGTGTACGGCAGATTTTTGTCGCCCCCTTTGTCACATATGAAACCGTAAAGGTTATCACATAGGTAAGCTTGGAGTGGAGATTGTGTCTGGCGGTTTTCACCGCAATTCCTGTGACTAGAGTCGCACTTAGCAGTTTTACAGTCATGCTCTACATCTTTCGGTTGGTCATTGCCCTTATTACCTTTACAAATCCAAGTCAAATGCCGACCGCCTAAAATTTCCTTCCCATATTTACAGAATTTCCAGCCGCAACCTATCTGTAGACATGTTTTACATTGCTCGTTGAGGAAATTAAGTTGGAAAAGTCCTGCATATAGTACGTCCCATAGAACACTAAACCACTCATGTAGATTGTCTGGATAATAAAATTGAAAGTGCTTATTCGCATACAAGTCGTGAATGAAAGTGGAAGACGTGCTATCACGCTGTAGTTCACCTTCTATTGCAATTAAGACAACACCAGTATAGAAACAAGATGATAGCATCAAGTTGTGGGCATTGGAGACATTGAAGTTAATGACGTCGGCCTGACTAGACCCATTGACAAATTCAACGAGATTCTCCTTTTTATTCAGAAGTGTTTTTAGATTGGTTCTGCTGATTTTATGGTAGACTGGTGTATAAGGCAGTACCATTAACCAATATAACATTTCACGGATACTGCATGGTATGTGCCCAGCATCACGACCAGGGTTCTTCCTTTGTTGCTGTGCTTGGAAATATATTGTAGAGACTAAATGGAGACAAACAAGGGGATAAGAAGGGACGTCAAAATCACTCTTTATTTCCCTGATGAAATCGGAAAAGGGTTTCCCAACGGCACTATCGTTCCCTCCACCTTGTTTATTTTGGGTTGCCAAGTCTGAGAACTCACTGAATTCTTCTTCAAGCAAGGTTTTGACCTTCTCAGCATTTTTGTCCTTATTGAGTTCAGTTGTAAGGTATCCTAAAGCTACCATGTATAGACCAAGGGCTGTGTTACTATCGTTGACCTTTTGATAATCGCCGCTCCACCTATCACCGCCGTTCTTTTTATTACGTCCCGTATTACATTGCCAATATAAATAACTTAACCCGCTGAATATTAGTGGTATGCATCCAAGGAATATTTTGCTGCAATAGTGTGTTTTCCCTTTGACGTGATTGATAACGGCACTTTCATAGGCTGAGGCATCCTCCCACTCATCGTCACTTGCAGACACACCGGAAGCACTACTGATACCAACCACAGAGCCAGGTTTAACAGATGTCACAACCTTTTTGTAGCCAATACCATAACCTTTTTCAAACTCCCAATCTTTCCCCCAATTCTTGTACCCAATGAATGCTGCTAGCCCATCACTCAGTGAACCTATTAAAGAGTAATCAACCGTGTTTTTCTTTCCATTAATACTTTCAGCATCTAGCGCATTGACCACATCCTGAAAGACATCCGTATCACTGTCGTGCACCTGTGGCTGAATGTTGACGAGAAGGGTCTTCAAGCCCCTCGCCAATGACGCTATGGTTGCTAATGTCACAATGAAAACGATCTATAACACACTTACTGTCATTCGTCTTTTTACCATTCGAACCTATAACAGCCATGTACATCAAAATTTGATCATTGACTTACCATCCTTCCCTGTCAGTCTCAATATCCAATCTATAGCTTCCTTCAGGTTTCTTGGAGATTCTGTCAAACTTTTCGTCATTTTGTCGAGAAACTACGCAGAAGTAACTAGCATTCCATTTATAACGATAAATAAGTATTTTTGTCACGTTTGCTTCTTATTCAATCTGCAAAGTACGACGAATAGTATACTCCATGAAAAATGACGAAATCATATCCTGAGGGTAGAGAAATGCTTCCCCAAAGCGATAATGTATCGGCTCGATAGCACTGCAGAGGTGGTAGCTGGCGCAATGCGATATCTGGGACGAGGCGCCGTAGGAATCCGTGCAACCGTCTTCCTGAAGCCCGTGGGGAAGCGCAAATAGTAACCAATAACACATACCTCCTTTTCAAAATCATAGATATTATCACTCCCGAAGAAGCCGGAGTGGCTAGAGCCCGTCAGCATGGTAGGCTTACGCAGTATGGTCCTTCTGGGTAACAAAATCGATGTGACCATGGATATACATCATACAACATAAAACAAAATATGTTTGTTATTAATTAAGAGTGGCAGTCCCTCCTATTAGTCGGAGCAAATGCTTCTAAATGTATCATAAGTTACAACGCCATAAGGTTTTGCGATTTTATTTTCAGGTTCGGTATCATGTTACAGCTGGTTCAGCAGGGTGGGATCGAGACAGTACCGCACGGATAGCCGGACCACCATATCACCAACATTCGTCACCATTCATCGTTACAGTTACATTTTAAGACCTCTAGAGGTCGGGGATCGAATTGATCACACCAGAGCAAAGTTACGAAAGACGTTCTACAGATCATGGGGATCGTCCCCGTGACGAAAGAAAAGGAATTGAGGCTATAAGGACGATTATAAAGTAGCGTACCGATTGACAGGGTGGCCGTGGAAAGCTGAAAACGAGATTACACACCATTTTGAGTTACTACCACTATGGTGGTCTGGTGGGCTCATGGTTACAGGGTCCCCCGAAGCTGACTACGCAGCAAAAAATAGCGGAAGGACATCTCTAGCTGTTCAAACGTTGATATGGCAACGAATAAGGCGTGAAATGGCGTTGTACACCATAAAATAGCCGTCAATCATCTTCTACCGATGTGCTAGTAATAGGTCGACAGCAACCTTCTTTCACCTGTCTACAATAAACATTGTACTAATTTGAATCAAGCTCATACACATTAGAAAGCTAATGTCACAGCGTCTTGAGCGGCGTCAAAAAATTCATATCAACTGCTGTTTCCAAGTTTTTGTGGACCAATATTTTTTGAGCAGAAAAATTCATGACCACCCATCTTCATAAATTTCAGCCATTTCATCAGCAAACACATTCCAAGGCCATATTTAGAGCTCAGAATGCGTTTTATGAGTTTGTAGTCCTTCGGTAATCCTGTATGTACCTGCGCTAGGTATGTCTTTGTGAAAGACAACCCATGAAGCAGTTTTGGCAATAGTAACACATATAGCACATATATAGCCGCCAAACTTTACCTTTTATACGTTTCTGGTGGTATGGTCGATATATCGTAGGTTTGTGTGAGTTTTGGGGAAAGATGGCATGGCCTCTTTGGATGCCTTGCTATTGGCACGGTCTTGCTAGGTCGACTTGACCTGAAGTATTTCCGCAACAACGCTACGAGTTTCCCTCTGCTAGGGTTCATTGATATGTTTGTATTAATAGATATAACCGGCGGATTATGATATAGGGAGTGTTGTGTATTTGCCGATGATGCACAGCCCGTTCTAGGGCGTTTCTGCCGGCTCAGACTTTCGCAAAACATCTATAACAATATGCACACTTGTGTAAAATGTATTTTGTTGTAGAGCAATGGAAGATCATCAACGTGAAACCATCTCAACTGGGTCCGAGTTACCAGCAGAATATCGAGGAGATGCTGCGTAACCAGGTCGAAGGTCATTGCAGTTCTAAATATGGATACGTTGTATGTGTTATTCGTATCATTCAGAACGAGATTGGCCGGGTTCAAGACGGCACAGGGATGATAGTCGTGAACGTGAAGTACCAAGCTATAGTTTTCAAGCCATTTAAAGACGAGGTAGGTATCTCTTTCGGCGGTTGTAATATTGTGTTAAATTATCTATAAATATTGAAGCGCAATCTTGCTTTTGCTGTGGTATCCTACGCGAAAAACAACAACTTCCGTTGCTACAGGTACTGGACGCTATCGTTACGGACGTGAATAAGCTAGGATTCTTCGCTCAAGCAGGACCTTTAAAGGCCTTTGTCTCACGCACTGCCATTCAGCCAAGTTTCACGTACGATAACGACGCGGCGAACCCGTGCTACACAGATGGAACAATCAGTATCAAACCACAGACGGAGGTGCGTATGAGGATTCAAGGTATACGTTATGACAACTCAAATATGTTTGCTATCGCAACTGTAAATGCGGACTACCTAGGAGCTTTCGAGAACTATGCAAATGCATAGTGCCTTTGTTAGCAATTTGTGGCGAATATATCTACACACAGGCAGCGCCGCAGTTTTATCGTACAGAATGTCAATATAATAACTTATTATAAAGCAATTTAACGGGCACCGAGCCCTTTCGTGGTTCCTGGACTGCGGGGAATCCACCCAAGTCTTGGACGGATCATCGCGAGACACTAATCACTCACCCGCCTTTTATAACAAGGGTTATAGGCATTATTAAAACGAAACATAAAAATTTCAATATTACTTACTTTAACCGAGAGCTATAATCCCTGGATTTTGTCAAAGGCGGACTATTCTTCACCTGAAGCGCCTTCTACGAACAGTGAACTCAGGAAGGTATAACATTCGACCACCTTCATCTTATACACTCCCTAAATAGGCTATCATTTAGCGGGGAATGTTTATGATTTTCTGTCTATCTACGATCCTCATCATAGCTTCCTTATCTGCGAGTTCCTTACGACCTTCCGGCCGTCTGATGTCAGCGTTCTTTACGAATTTCGCTTCAACACGTTCTTTCGCACATTCAAGCACGATGGAAGGCACTACTATTCCTACCGAGGTTTTGGATGCCAAGCTTTTAACGGAGTCTAAGGAGGAAACATCGCTTAGCAAACTCTTATCAAACCTACCATCTGGTTACAAAGGTATTGTGACGTTCTTATTCCCTGCCGTCAACACACCATTTTGTACGAAACAAGCATGCTCATTTGGCCTCTACAACCCTTTCTTCAAGGATTTGGGGTACGAAGTCTACGGTTTGACCGGCGGTGCGTCTGAAAAGGCCAAGAGCTGGGTAGAAAAGAACAAATTAAGCTTTACAGTGCTTTTAGACCCTCAATGGACTGTGATTAAACACCTTCAATGCACCTGGATGTATTTCATCGTAAACAGGTCGCATTTGGTTATCAGCCGTGATGGCAAGATTTTGGCAATTGAACGGGGAGTCAGCGCAAAGGAGTCCGCAGAAAGAATGCTAGAGATAGTCAAGGCACTGCCTCCAACTGCTGAATGATTTTACAATGGAGAACACCTAGGTGTCATCCCCCGTAATGCCTAACAAGGTCGCGTTCAATTTTCTCCTTAACCTTGACATCAGTGTGTTCTATTGATTCTTTTACCTGATATGTTTGATTACATTGATTTATAAACCAACATTCGCCTGAAGATCATCGTTGTTGAGAACTCGCCTCTTGACGCTCTCTGGAGTGTAGGCCCTAGCAACTGGCTGTTGCTCCCTGTAAGGAAACCTCCAAAGATCTCCCCACATGGCATCTCTTGCATATCTATATCAAATTATTACAAAATCAACCCTTGCATACTTGTAGCCGCCGACCTCGGGAGTGTTCTTGGAGACGATCTGCGTGTCTAGATGAGAAAGTTATATCAGGACGTTGGCAGTCACAGATGCAAAAACTTACAATCCTTTTGAAGTTATTGGGAGCCGAGCAAACGTCCATTATGACCCTTCGTCCCAGTTTTAGAGGAGGCTACGTTTGGATAATGGGTTCACATTGTCACGTTACCATGACTAGTCTTGGCCAGAAGAATGATTTTTCATCTGCACTTTTAGCTTCAGCTTCAGATTTCAGCTTGTGCCTGTTTAATTTTTGAATGGCACTTTGACTAGGCGTCTCACCTCGGTCCAGGCGACTTCCCAACTACCAGATACGAGAACTTTTCGTTGTCGATCGATCTGGCGATTGATCCCTGTAATATTGACTAGATTAATTTCAACGCACCTACCTTTTTGTATAGATAATGTGGTATTCTGTAAATTCGTTGAGAGAAGTGGCACCAATCTTTTCCAGTCAATGCCAGTGGACAAATACCCTCATGGGGACACTGTCCAACACATGTTTACCGGCGTTCAGCGAACTTACTGGTGCTAGAAAATGGAAATAGCCCTTCTCTAGTTGAGATATGAACACTTCTCGTATGGAATGTAGAATCCTAAATCCTGTCGGTGTTCCAACTTCAACAAAAACCTATAATCCAATTGATATTAAGAGGTGACAGTTCTAACCATGTAACCTCCGATATTAACTCTATTCCATAGATTCTTCACCAAAAGTGACCTTGCCTGCGATATGTGACCAAACGGCACAGTTTTGTACCAACCGGTGACCCCCGAATGTTCGTCAAGTGATATGGGACGACTATGCAATCAAATAGCTCAGTGCTATCATAGATATCACTTTGATGCCTCTTGTTTTTAAATTCTAGAGACGATAGTTGATCCTCGATGCCAACCAACCTGGTAAGAGGTATTCACATATATTGAGGAGGTTTTGCGAAGGCTCCACGACCAGAATGTCCTCAAATGTATCTAAATCCCATATCGTATGTGCTGCTCTGTTTACACATTATCGGTAAAGCCGAGCCAAACTAACGCCACCGAAGCCCCGGCTCCAGCGCTATAGAACATGATTCGCGAAGGTTTAAAGTTCGGCGCCCTCAAGTTAATCTAACCAAGTGTGTCAAAACACAATGCTAAAGCGTACTTCATTAAAGATGCGCAGGCATACGGCGTAATATCCGAAGAATGTATGTGCCGTATGCGCAATAGCGATGTTTGGTGAGAAATGTATTGTATAGTTCTGCAGTCATTTACATACACACTTAGTTATCAAACCTACTTTATGCCGTGAATCTTCTGCTGCGGCAAGTTCGATCTGTGCCTGTTCATTTGGTCCAAGTCTATTCTGTTGTAATAGCTCTTTAAGATGTTCAAATCTCGGGTCGCTTGACATTTTTTTCAAAGCGTCCAGATATTCGGTATCGGTAGAGTTTGCGTCCAAAAGAACTGCACAGTGTCATTAGGTATATTGTATTAACATACGTGACGGTAGGACCCTTGGTACCTCGACACATCTTCTTGCGGCAAGCCTTTTGCTTATATATGAGCCACATGCATCGATATCCTTCTTCTTCCCAGCAGCTTTGATTAGCTGGAACAATTTTTTCGTAACTTCATTTGGGAATGGCAGCGTCTTTATTGAGATTCTGCTGACGTCATCTAATTCGTTAGCTGGCAACGCCGATGTTGGCTTATAGGTAGATATACGATCGAAGTGGAACCCGTGATGAATACACCTCACAGATATATCTCTATTTATGCCATATTCCCTAATACGGTGCATCCATATCACCTTATTCACCTCCAGAGGTTTCCATACGCACATTCGTAGCTGCATACCAAGTTCCCCGGCCATTATTTCACTCCCTAGCGGCCATATGTGCAGAATCGTAGTATTCTCAGCATATCCCGAATTGGTTATTTCGTTTCGTTCATATCTTCTATCTCCAGCGCAGGTATACCCTGGGAATCTGTTAGCATCGTCTAGCCTAAGGTGTAATGTTGAGACAGCAAAAAGATCGTATTCTAATGTTTCTGGCGGTTAAGATCAATGCTAGCGTTTGACAACTCAATCTGATGGAATCTCGCCAAGGGTGTGTGTGCGTGTGTGTGGACACTGCAGCGTTACGAGAGATCTTCAGTCTCAATCAATCTGAAGAAGGACGCTTCAACTCCCGCCAGATCTTATATTACGTATTTAATCGGATTCACGGCTCTTGTCTGTTTTATGAGAGACAAAAACCTGTTGATATTTCCACTGAACGCGTTGGGTGATTCTTGCTGCCATTGAGCTGTTCTAAAACAAGGGACACATGTCGTGATTTATATACCACCGTATTGTGGTTATTCTGTTTAAATTATTGCAAAATGTTATCCTTTTATTCGCGAGGGTCGCAGTAATGACCATTGGATCTCTATACGACGTGTCAAGATGCAAATAACTACCACGGATTTCCGCGTCTTTAACGTGTATATGTTCATAAAATGGCTGACGGTTGTAGTAATTCGCACCTTTTTCACAAAGGTGACGATTATCAACGAAGAACGTCTACCACTATTCGGTCCAGTCATATTGGTCGGAAATCATAACAACCAATTTATGGACGCCGCTACTTTAATTTATGCAGTTCCACGTCAAATTAGTTTCTTGATGGCTGCAAAGTCTCTGGCGAGACGTATGATTGGAAGTTTGGCACGTCTAGCAGGATGTATTCCCGTACATCGCCAAGAGGATTTGAAGTATAGCGGTGTAGGCAAGATCGTTTGGAATGACAATGAGACCACAATACGTGGAATAAACACACATTTCACAATGGACGTCACACCTGGTGACAAGCTCTACTTTGTAACTGAGAAAATCAATGTTCAAGCTGTTCACTCGGATACAGAGATAACCTTGCAACGCCCAGTGTCGCGACCATGTAAAGACAAGGAAGAAGGTGAAGAATTCTGGGTGAGTGTATAATTCTCTACATTAATCATGTTATAGATTCTGCCCAAGGTCGACCTTTCAGATACTTACGATGCAGTATCCACTGCGTTAAGGTTCGGCAACTCTATCGCAATTTTCCCTGAGGGAGGCTCGCATGATCGAACCAATCTGTTACCTTTGAAGCCAGGTGTAGTACTGATGGCAATATTTTCATTGCTGGAAGGAGCTGAAGATATCGTCATCCTCCCAGTCGGCCTTGCATATGGTGACAGCCATGGGATACAATCCAACGCCACTGTATATTATGGTACCGGTATTACAATTTCGAAGCGCGATGTCGAAGAGTTCCATTTCGATCGGCATACAGTGGTAAACCGTATTTTAGGTGTTATTGAGAAGGGGTTGAACAACTGCATGATTACTGCTCCTAACAAGGACATTAAGGGGTGGATCGATCTCTGTGGTAGTTTGTATCCCCCAGAACGCAGTATGATACCTATGAATAAAGCCTTCGAGCTAAGAAAGATACTTTCTAATATATTCTGGGAGCATGGAGAGGACAACAGGACGAAAGAGTTGATTCAAAAACTTGCCGGATACAAGGAGATGCTTAAAAACAGCTTCTTACACGACGACGAAGTATGGTTACTGAGACAATCTATACATTCGGCGACACTATTGTTTGTAGAACAGGCCATCATGTTGGCATGCTACAGCTTCCTAGCATTATCGTTCTTCCCTCTGTGGTTCCCGTTGCACACCATTTCCAAGGCTCTGGCTGAACAACATCGTAAGAAGGCGCTAAAGGCCTCTGTGGTGAAATTAGAGGGTGCTGATGTTGTTGCAAGTTACAAGTTCTTGGTTCTTATGGTAATCACACCTTTGTTCAACTTGGGATACGGCCTGTTGCTTGGTTTGTACCTAAGTCGCGATCCAAGGCAAATCGCTATAATAGTGGTTTGTTGCATGTGCATATTGCCACTACTCTACTACATCAATTTACGCTATTTCAATGAACTACCTATGCTACTACGTCAAATACGCGTCTTACCCTTGATTTTGCTAGGCAAGGTCAACGTCTGGCGTGAGAACGAGAGGGAGCTCATTACAACACGCACAGAACTACAGCTGTTGGTTAGTCTATCAACCCATGATTTCATTCTATCTAGGTACGTACGTTTGTACACGAGATTGGCCCCAAGGTATCCAATACCTTCATGGACGAGCTGAACGCCATCATGCCAAGGGTGAGTGTTACACTAATGGTGATGACAATGCGTCAGGTAATGATTGATGCGGACACCAGTAGACTAATGAAAAGTAAGAGCCAATGGGTCCCCATTTTCGCTAGGAATTACTACTCGGAAAGCGGGGAGGAGATTCTATGAGTGTATAGCACAATAACCCCGATCTAGTAATATGATTATTATCATACCCCAAAGAAGTTTGTATATATCACGGCCTACCTAAATTGGGTCAGCACATGTTTTTCAAAAACTACTTTTAAGAATCTAAACGTGAACCTAAGTACCGGTGAGAGGACCACCCACAGTCCCTTGGCCGTTTTCCACAGCACCTTGGACATAATAGACTCACGCGGGCCGTCCACAGATCTCGGATCGTGCTCCATGGTCTTGAAAATTTTTTGCATGACCAACTTTTGGCTTTCATCCTGTGCCTTTGATTGTGTCAAAACCTTTTTCTTCAGGATTTTCAGCTCCACATTTTCGGGGTTTAAGTTGATACCTTCATTGCAATATTCAAGTGCCTTACCAAATTGGCCGAGCTCTGCATGGGCTTGCGTGATCCTGAGAAATGCCTTGAGGTTACTCTTGTCATATTTCAGTGCTTGTTGACAGTACTTGACACATCCCCGATAGTCCCCTTTCTTCAGCAATGCCAGTGACATGTTCGATGACAAGTCTACATACGTATTAACGAAAATTTTCCATTTTTCCAGGAAATCTTCATTAGATGTAGAGTCACGTTTGAGTTCACCTTTTTTGTCAAGGATAAACTCCAATGCCCTTAAACCACTGAACCAGGCGTCAATCGCTCCGTCTATATCACCCTTTTTGAACAATTCAGCACCTCGAACCTTGGCACTGATATGAGAATCAGTAGCACCATCCTTAGCTGTTTGTTGATTGGGGCTCGTCACTTCAATGTCTTCCACTATCGCCATATTACAGATGTTTCAGGCCCTGATGGTCTTGAACTTGCGCTTCGCCTTCTCGGCCTTCTTAGGGTTGACTTCTGCCTCAGGTTCAGGGGTAAGAGCCCATGTGTATATTAGTCTCGCCAGTTTGTAAAATGCATATATAGGGACTATAGCTAGTAGCTTGTATGCCCAGTCTACGAAGATACTGACGATACATACAACCGTAGTAAGGCAAAATAGATCGTTTGAAACGCTGAATTGTACTCCCAGTCGAAGACTGCTAAGAATAGATGCTAGGCTGATACCGTAAGGTACAACAATAAGCGCAGCTCTCCATAGAAACGTTTTTACGTCAGGATTAATGCCTCCTCTTGGAAATACTACATGTCGTATGAGCCATAAAGCCTGAGAATCGTATATTACGGGGATTTGTTGGGGTGTGTGTCGCGTTGTAAGATAAATGAACGTTGCACTTACCAGGCAAACCAGGGCGATGATGGTATACAAGAAACCAACACTCTTTTCCCTCAGGATACGTTTTTTCTCGGATCTTCCCGCCATTTCTCCAACTGTTGAGACCACTCAGCTAGAGTGCCCTAGTGTCTCCTGCGAAATCGTGGGCTTTGCCTTATAATATTAAGTAATATAGTTTGTTGACTTTTACTAGACGGTCATAGTATATTGTGGGTGGAATGATTCCAGGAAGTCATTGTACATAATCATTCCATCGTCGTTGGTGTCGATACACTCGACCAAAATTTCAGTCTGCTCGAACGTGAATGGAGCCCTGTATACAATATATTGGGAAACATTCGGAACCTACTCATTATAACCCAGCGTGTCGTAAAGCGCGTGAAGTACTTCCTTGAATTCGTGAATGTAGACACTACCCTCGTGAGTTGTATCGTAAGCGTGGAAGGCTTGCCTTAAGCTACTGCGGTGCTTGTATAAAGTGCTACATACGTGATCCCACATCTAAACACATATTTCAAATCCAAAGATCATCCTTACCTCGTTGACAACAGAATATTTATTTTGGTCCACAACGTAGAACGCCTGCAAAAATTCCAGATAGTTGATCTTGTTGGTGTTGGTCGAATCGATCATATGTGCAATTTCGAATAAATGACGATCCGTAATTTCAAATCCAAGCTCTTGCTCGGCCTTGCTGAGGTCAAGTTTCTTGATAGCCTCCGCAAAGTCAGAATAAGACAAAAGTCCACCTCCAACTCTGTCGTAATCCTGGAATTTTTGGAAGAGAGCTACAGCCCTAATCGCAGATGATCGCCTTCTAGCAGTTTCTTCCTCGGTTATTTTTGCCAGAGCAGCATTACTGTTGTAGTTGGGGTTGTAATACCTTGCGGCCGCTTCGGTCCTGTCAGACAGAATGACCTTACCGATGGCCGGTAATGCAGCCTCCATCCATTCTTCTTTAATATTGTATCGTGTTGATGCGGAATATATGACCTTGAGTTTACTTAAAAATTCAACAATATCGGCCTTTCCACCCTTGTCGACACAACTACTCAAGATCGTTCGCATAAGAATTTTGATTTGAGGATGGGATAGACCAACGTTAAGCTTCCTGATAGCCTCATCCAACTCAGCGTAGGACACTACACCATCAAGGTTCCTGTCGAAGACCATAAGGATTTCCTTCAAGCTAAGGTCAGACTTGATCATTGTATCAAATATGTGGGCAATACACTCCCTTTGTAAGTTCTTGTGACTCTGACCTACAGGATCAAATCCTATCTGGAACCTTTTAAGGACATCGTTATATGGCACTTTGCCAACATCCTTGTCCATAGCCTTTAACAGCCATATTGAGAATATCCTCGGTATCTTTATACCGACAATCTCGGAAAGTCCTTCCGTCCAAGGCAACGGTTCTACCATACCACTCTTTGTGGTATCGTACTTGTAGCAATGTAACCATAGTGCTTGTTTATTTTCACAAACAACAGCAGCGATCTTGATGAGTATATCATCCAACATTTTCTCAGAGGAACGACGTTTAGGGAAACGCGTCGCCTTCTCCATTTGTAACGAAAGTGCAGCATCGAGAACCTTGTTAGTTACCATGTTGGTGTTGTTCGCTAGTGCACGGATAGACTCCAATGCTGGCGACATGTATTCCTTAACTTCGAAGTGCAGCCCCTTGGAGAATATAAGCTACGATAATATCAGTTATATCTATATATATCACACTTACAATAGCCCCGGTATTACCAGTAGTTTGGCAGTAGTTTGATGCCGAGAATAATGTGACACACCTTCCGTTGTGCGCTGTGTCGATGCCCTTGAGAGTGCTTGGTACTTGGTGTGATCTGATGCAAACTTCTAGTTTGTTGAGATCGAGGAACGCCGCAGTTACGTCTGGCCCAAATCTGATACAATCCGCTCCCCTTGTGCTCACGTCTCTACCGTTTTTGTTTTGCGGGTCGGACCATAACAGATCGAACACGATGCTGTCTTCGAAACTGTCTGGTGAAGCGGGGCACATACGTTTTCTGTTTACTTTGCTGATGAGATCCAGAGTGACACCATCATGCCTGAAAAGGCCACCATGTACAATAATGATGCGCTTCTCAATAATCACGACTAGTGGGAGTTCCCAGAAAATACGCTGGAATAGTTTGTAGATATGTCCGTCATATTTCATGCGGACCTCTTTGGCAAATCCATAAGTTTCATTCATGTCTTCAGACTCATGATTTCCACGATTGATGATGACTGATCCTGGATCTGCCAGTTTGAATGTGAATAATAGTAGGAATATGTTGGTGGCACCCATGCCACGATCAGCAATATCGCCGTTAAAAACATATACATTTCTGCTAGACGGCGGCCCGAATTTGTAGAATATCCACAATAGATCATTTAATTGTCCGTGCAGGTCCCCAACTACGACTAGATTTCCGTTTTCGTATGGTGGCACCTCCACATGGTTGATAGCGCCCTGGTCGTTTGAACGGTACCAGTTGAGCGTTTCTACCAAAATGCGTTGAGCATAATCGATTGGTAAGTTTGTCTGTACGATCATTAAAACTTTTACATTCCATATATTACTTACAACTTGTCCTGATTTGTAGGCGTCAAGAAGTTCGTTAGCGAATTTAGATGTAATTTGTTTGCCGAGTTTTGGCCCATCGTATGTACTTTCTGGATATTTTTGAGGATCACTTTCTTCAAATACATCAGAGAATCGTCTCTGTTGTGTTTTCATTGAGGCTCTTGCACCCGTTTTGTGCATATTGCTCAGGTGATTGAGAATTGGTAAGTAGACATCACTGCGAAAAAGTGCTTCTTACCAATCAGACTACTTACCGTTTACTGGCAAGAGTACGTTGCTCTTGCAAGTTTTCCATGTGATCCCAGAATAGGAATGCCATTTCTTGTATATATTTTACCCTGCACATCGACATTCGTACAAATGCCTGTATACGTGTTGCCGCTGCATCTTCCACTGCAAATAATGTACAAAATGTTTATCACATCATACCAGAATACGGTTTAACTGAGCTGGCGGGGACGCAAGCAAGCGACTCATCGCCACTGACATTGAGAAGCTCTGCGTAATTGGTGGTTAAGCTGAGCGGTTTATCGGTCCTGACGGCGATTATTTGCCTTAATACGTCTCCATCTCCTCTGTTGACGTATTCTAGTGGTCCTATTAGTGTGACGGTGCCCCTAACTCCGTAGACCATAACGACGTCGCCGACGTTGAACGTTCTCTCTTCCCCTGCCATTTTATTAAGTATATATTAAACTTTGAGACCAGAGATGTGTTTGAACATGCATATTTTCAAACAGTTTTAGATGTGTATCCATTAATTTGTTGCGCTACTAAGCGCGCGATACCCTTATGAGTGCATAACAGTTGCCGGTGTGGCGGGCTCATCCATTAATTCATCATGGTTAATTATCGCTATTAAATTCAATCTGTCAACACTATTACACAACACCCCTAACCGGAATATGCGCGCTTATCACCGACGTCTGCGAAACATCAATACCATCAACCTCAAAAACACATTAGTGATTCTTTGAGGTTCACAAACTAAATTGAAATGGCAAGTTTACAAACGCTAATAAATCGCAAATTTCTTCTTAGCTGTGTACGTACACGCACCGATAAATTCCATTCTGACATGCGTCAGCTAGCGTAGACAAACGTGTTGCACATAGTCCCGTCACTTATCGTGCACGCCTTTTGCACATTGCTCATGCATAATAACATGTTGCCTGGCCCACGGTTGTTGAGAATTCTCACTCTGGTTAGGGGGTGGTATTGCGATTGACATACCAAGCTTTATAGGTTCTTGGCAAATAGCACAAGTGGACCTCGCGTCTATGGTGATGGGTGGCACACACGTTAGTTTGTACAGATGCTTAGCGGTTTGCGAATGGAGCGATCTTGTGAGTCCACGTCTCATTGCCATCGACCTCTGTTCGTGAAGCGCTTTTAGTTGTAGCTGCATGAATATATTTGCAAATATAGCAAAGTTCCAATTCTCAGGCAAAAGCTCCACTACAGTGCTGCCGTTTAGTACCGCCTTGTGAGTACATAAAGGGATATATTTTGCAAGCAGGTCGCGGGCAAGATAGACACAAGAGTCGTCACTGTCGGAGTGTTGGACAATAATCGTCAGTAAATGCAATAACAACCTGTCGATAGATGTATCTGAATTGTTAATCTTGTACATCTCGTATCCAGTTAAAGGCCATTCTCTGGCCTTTTGCATCCAGCAGTCGAAATTGCTGAATAACTTTTTGAAAGGGACGTCCTTTGCACAGGTATCGTACGAAGCTGTGATTTCACCAAAACACAGACAGTACGCCTCACAGACCCGAAGCCTTTCGTCTTTGTTCCAACGCTCGAACAATGTACGCAACGCTTCGTCATGTCGATTGAGCTTGTTGTACAACAGAACTGTCGCCTCCACAATATCCAATTTCACCAACATAGCTTCCAATTCAGCCATATGCAAATTGTTGTTAGACTCCATAATCTCTAACAGAGTGTTCTTAACAGCATTCATACCCTCGTCCTTGGCATCCTTAGACTTCTTGTGTGCAGTAACTACAGATTATAAAACCTACAGGGACCACAAACTTACGTTCAGTTATGTAGTGTTTAGCCAGTAACGTGTTTTCATACATACTGCCGTGTTTAGTCTTGATGACCAGATCCTCGAGGTATTTAATACGCATAGCCATCTTGGATGAACAGTAGCTCTGTGACAAATCAATAAACTATCATGAAACCTAACCTTAGGAGCATGTAAATCAATCATTGCGATAATTTGATCTGTCGTAAAAGGAAGTGTTGTATGGTTCCTCGTGAGCACATCGAGTGCTGTGATAGGTGAAATTAATACGGCCTGAGACTAACCTGCATTTGGGTATGTTGCTAGAAGCACTGGAAGGTACATGTTGAGTATTTCGTTAATCTCATTCTTTATAGCGATATCCGGTTTCTGATCAGAATAATCGCGCTGGCTAGTTTCGATCAGCGTGTTGAGGCACGCTGCAAGCTCGCAACAAACTGATTTGATTTCCAGCGTCGTATCCTCGTTACCCACAGCACCAACTTTGTCACTAATATACTTCGCCATAATATCCATCGCTTCTTTATATCGCTGCTGTTTAATAAGCAGCTTGGCGAACACTTCCCTCTTGTCCATTTTCAGCAGGTGCTCTCCACATGAATCCAAATCCAGGAATGTTTCTTCCTGTGGTAGGTTGATGATTAAACTACATTTGGGGTCATCACATTCAGCCAACAGTAACAAACATGTTTTTTCAATAGTTGTTGTTAGCATACGTTGAAATTCATCCATATTAGGCCCATTTTTTTGCAAGATTGTCTTGGCGTTGAAGTGTTTGAACAGAAATGCAGCAAATGACACATTGGCCATTTCTAACAACTTTAATTTAGAAGTATTCGGCGGAAGTACATCTTTCAGCTCGAGATACCTCTGATCAACAAATTCTCGAATCCCAATGGCACTGGGTATATACTTTCTCAGTAACATCGGTACTGCAACATTCCTGACATACGACTCAGGGACAACTATCTCCGCATAATGGTTCCAGAACTCTAACAATTGAACAATATCAACATCGCCAAGGGTAAAGTGCTGGAATGCCAGCGGAAAGTTAACATCGCTGAATCTCATCCACCCTGCAATGGTATGGGCCACCCTCATCTCGGTAGATCGTCTGGGATCATCGGTCTCGAAATAAACTTCAACTATGTGCAACACTTGCTTTATGTCCTTCAGTTCCACCATATCGGCAATACACTGGTGATACGTCTTTGGTCTCAATAAGGTAACAACATTAGGTGTGGAGGTGATCATGCATTCTCTATCAGGTATATATTGTACACATTTGGCGTTCATTTGATCAATTATCTGATACAAAAGCTGGCCCCTAACTCCATATACTTCTATAATTCTATCCACAGTGATTCCTACGATGAACGGTGGTACGCAACCCAGAGCTTCAAGCCTGTTTCTCCAGTGTATTGTATTTTTCTTGGACAAGGCCATTGTTTGTGTATTATAAAATATACCGATATTTTGACATACTACCATTATATCACCGTCCACACAAGCAGCGGTAAGAGGTAGCACTTCAGTTTCCAGGTCACCTGTCTTCAAACTACATAGCTCATGGCACAATCTACATTCAGCATCCATTATATAATACGCCTCCTTAGTACCGACAACGATAGTATTGTTAAGCCATGCGGCACTCAAAACTATACCATCAACAGTGATAGATCGTATCTGTGTCAATTTCTCTCCTTCGGCTGAGTAGATATGCATTTTGTTGTCGAAACCCAGACAAAACTGGTTCAGCTTCTTAAGCGAACCATTAGTACCACTACCATCGTGATTACCATCTCCAAGCTGCCTAACAACGCAAGTAACGTTCTTGGCAAGTATGGAAGGTGGACCTTTGAAGAAGGCATTGACTGCGTAGAGGTCTCCAACAGCATTGAGCACTAAGAGCCATTCCTCCGGATCTAGAGGGCATATACGCGCTATGCTCTGGCTGCTAACCTTGGCGAACTTGTATACATCTGCGTCCACGGGACCCTAGACGTGTGTAAGCAGACGTTGTTGCCGAATACACCTCGGCTTCTATTGATACCTACCTGTATATCGGCTGCCTGGAAGGCATACAATTCACCAGAATCGTTGCCTATAATGAGGTTATTGAAACACCAAGCGACGGATGTGATTTTGGAGCTTTCCATCCAACGGAGGAGCACCTCCTTGGCGAAAATCTCCATTTCACGAGATAAGTGGCCTGTCTATTGTTCTGTTAATAGTTTCATTTTATGTGTGTGTGCATATTTTTATTTTTTAACCGTGATACCATTGGAGTCGGGGAATTCCCCTCCGTACTTGCTCCCAAGTGGACCAGGGTGATATTCTGCGAGGAATTAATTTCACCTATTATATCACCTACCGTCACTTTCTCCAAGAACGGTATCCCAATTGTCATTCTGTTCATAGTCCGCAACTCCCTTTTCGGTGCGATTGATTTTGTTAAGAACAATCGTCTCGATATCGCCAAGGATCTCCACAGCGCATTGTACCTTTCCTACATCCACAGGTCCCAGAACACCTACAACAGTGTAAAAGAATACCTTCATACAACTAACCGGAGTTCACCTTGTGTCTCTTCATGAATGGGTGTTTAAGCAGCTCCTCGACGGTAGGTCGCTTAGATGTGTTCTCCGATAAACATAAGTTGAGAAAGTCACGAGTGCCCACATCTTCACACAGTTCAATTTGTTCACGGTCTAATGCGACCCTTGATAACGGTGTCTGGCATGTGCCTTCATAGAGAATTTTACCGATCATCCACACGTGTGCCTTAGACACCGCAATAGTGTCCCTTGTGAAAGCAGGATCACCTTTTGCTTCAGGTGGCAAATACCACTCTAATTTTTTCCCCCATAGAAGAGATGCGATAGTCGTTTTCTCGTGATCTCTGAGAGCCTGCCTGGCTCCCACTGAAAGTAACGACTGTGGAATGCCCATGGACAGTTTAGCACCTCCCGCAAAAAAGTAGATCCTACTAGATTTAAGAGGTAGTATAAAGTCTAAATTTTGTAACTGGTATACCATTTTTGCGATTTCTCTCACGACAACCTGTGCCTGCTCGAAGCGTTTGGCTGCCTTCATTTGGGCCATTTTTTCAAACAGCTCCGACACTGGAGTATCTACACAACCATCAGAACATTTCTATTTCATGCCTACCTCTAATGAATACCATGCGTTCTACGATACAATCAGGTCGGATTTCAAACCCATTGGCAAATTTGACCTTTGTAGATGCCAACCTTTGTTCTGCCTGCTTAAGTTTGTCAAACGCTTGCTCATAAGCTCTTTGCAAAGTGGCTACGGTAGAACTGTCGACAGCTTCTAGAGACCGTAACTTATATATTACAGGCGAACACTCAACAGTGTTGTACATCTGCCAACGAATTATCTTACGCATGCTACGCACCTACCTTCCAAATTACTGAGTTGCAGGACACACCCACGGCCTTCCACGCGAGACATACGTCTGGTTTAAACGTAGGTTCCATAACCTATATAGATATATAACCATTGCATTTTGGTACCTACCGAGTATTCTGCGAGAGCCTGCATACGGTCTCTAGCCACCTGCTGCTGTAACTCTTCACGTTCACTATCCTCCATATCCTGTAGTAGTTTCATGTAATATATATATTTGGCCTCATCGGCTGACGATGACTCGTAGGTGATGTTTGAGCCGTCGCCGAAGATCTCCTGCATTCGTTGTAACGTTTTCATTTTATCCTTAGAAGCCCTGTCATGTGAGAACCCCTTCTCGCGTAAAACAGGGTCACCCTTTTGCCATGTGGTAATATTCTTAATCGAGCCGTATTGTAGGTATGCATCACCTGACTCAAGTCTGAGATCCTGCCTTGTAATTTGGAGCAGGTCATCAACTTGGTTATTGAAGTTCTCTGTCATTTTTGAGAGTATCTTCGTATATATATCCTGCTCATTCACAAGCCTTTTATGCATTCTATTAAGTTTGGCAAGCTCCTCCACAGCCTCGTTTTCGGCGTCCAGCACGTAGCCCATGGCGTTGGTATTGACGATATTGAACTTGTGAAAAGCATCATGACACTCATTTATATTGTGTGATTCGATGATTTTTAGAAATTCGTGTGGTTCCATGCCGATTGGTTTCATACAGAAAAGGAAGAATATCTCCGGTGGCATCCACGGGGGCCTCAAAGCCTCTAGTTGCGTGATCACCGCTTTAGGATCCACTATAGAAGTGCCATATAACTCCACGCTCTCTGTTAGTGATTCTAAATGTTTCTCTATAGCTTGCAACCAGCTCTCGGGGTCATTGCGATCATAGGTTTCACAGTCTAGCTTGGCATTACCAACGACTTTAAGGAGGACTTTCTTAGGAGCATCCTTAACCTTTAGAGGTTGATATGCAGATTTTGGAACTGTGATCCTTTTCTTTTTTATTCCATTGATAAGTTCGTTGCTGGATACCAATGTCACCACATTGTCTGTGTGACCCTTGGCTTCCACAGGCGGCCGCTGAATATGAGAGCTTTTGTATCGATTATCTCCCTTATCATCAGGACCCTGTATATCCCGGTGGCCACCAGATGTTGGTGCGTCTGCGGCACCAAGTTTAATAAGTTCACGAGAACTTGATGATCCATACCCCTTGCTCTCTTTAGAATCACCGGGGACACTAGTAGGAACAGATATATCAGCAGTATGGCCGAACTCAAGTCGTTGTTCTACAGCATCGGCGTACTTTCCAGGTTCCACAAGCCTCTGCAGCGCCTCTAGCTTTGGAGTATATAATTTGCTGTTGAGGTAATTTTCGGCGAGATGTAGCAATTCTTTTTTGCGTTTCAGCTCCTCTAGATCTTTAAAATTGTTGTCGAATGTTTCAGTTTTCAGTGCAGTGAAACCAACTAGTCTATCTTCCTGTATTCTTCGAGGAGATTGTACTGTGTGATACTCATTTGCTTTAGGTCCGATCAACAATTGGTCGTCTATAGCCTCTTCATCCATATTTGCATCATCATCACTATTGCTATCTGGGAGCTCTATATCATGTGTAGCTCCCATGGCAAATCTGACTGCACCGCTCGTCGGTATTGTCATCGACGGCACAAGACTAGGATCATACATCTCTATTCCAACCGATACTGTAGGGTTAGCATGTGTGTTACTTCTTGCATTCATTCTGATTGCGAAATCCCTTAGACACGTTTTCTTATGAGACTCCTGTAGTAAGCCGTGTCTGCGGTGAAAATATAGCTGCGGTATATGTCGCTCAAAAGCGACAGCCAGAACTACATATCAAAAAAATCTGAATTAAACATTACACATTAATATTAACTTAATTTATAGCTAGCGGGTTTTACAGTGTGTCCCGTCACACTGGCGCTTGTCGTGGCTTCCTTCTACACCTACATCCAGTTTGAAAGATTTGTTCATTTTGAAGATATAAAGCGATACAGTTTTGCGGATTATTTTGGTTTTGTTCACGGTGTGTATATTTTGATTTGGCTTTGCCTTGATTCTCTTCTTTTGTTCCTTCTTTCACGCGGTTTGCGCAAAAGTTTCCGCAATTCGCCGTACTATGCCCTTGTACTTGTTAATAGGGATACAATAAAGCATCATTGCCTCCGGCAGTACCTTAGTCTTTGCAGGCTTACTCTCGTCATTGTCTTCATAGAAATCGATCTTGTTAGATTCGCCAGTGTTCCACATGAATTTAACAACGGCTTCCTTAAAATAGAACCTTTCCTCCGGTTTGACGAATACCATGTTCTCTGCTTCCAGATTCTTGGAGTTATCAGTAAATACACGTCCCATGCCCACTAGATGGGTAAACTTGTAGAACCTCAGTTCATCTTCATCATCCGCATTCTCCAGAGACCATTGGAGATCGTCGTATACACATTGATGGAGGTTTCCAATAAGTTGCGTGGGTATATTACCTAATCTTTCGTTGACCAATAACCCTATCTGGTTTCGTTCTTCACCTAGTATCTTGGTCATGGTCTCCAGATCCTGTCGTGAACCATGTTGTTTTGTAAGTGCTATAAAAACATCGCTTAGAGCTTTCAGATCCTCATACATCTTGATATTTAGTATAGATAGCACAGCGAGGACATATGCGTCATTATCATCGTTTTTGATGAGCGTGCCCAGGTTCATTTGTTCCGCAATTAGTTGTGCCAATATACCGTAAGTGGTATCGGTACAATCCTTAGTAGGCTCCCAGGGCACCTTCTTCAGACAACCCTGGATTATTGCGAGTATTCCATCTCTGTCTTCTGTACAAGGGTCGTTGAAAAGGAAGTCTGCTTCTAATGACCCGTCCGATTCCTAGTACAATGCTATAATACGATCAGACATATATTAACACACCTCTTCATTGTCTTGATCTTCCTGTTTATGTTTCTTGGCAGCTCGTTCTTGCATTTCCTCGACCTTCTTCATTATTACGATGTGCTATGTTCTGGCGCATCGACAAATTGCCACTTTGATGACACACGTCGTTCAAACAACGACTAAATTTTTGAAAAATAGAGTTTATAATTGTTTAAAGGCTCAAAACCTATATATTAGGTGCCCCCTTCTCAGTATATTGACCAGATGTGCAACGACGCGGGCAACAAAACCCGCCGATTCTCAACTCATCGTTTACTGCAGCCTTACATTATGATAAATAAGCTAAATACTATGCTCATATGCACATATATGACCGTATTATCTGTTATTATACTCATGTCTGGTGAAGAATCTTAACAGCGGTACAACAAACATCCATTTCCGTTTAATTTTCACTTATTAACACAAAAGCTGTGGTTTATGAAAGCTGTAGTACCGTTACTACTATATAGCGTCATTTCAGCGGAACTAGGGTTTGCCTACCCTTGTTTGTCTCTTCGTTGTAACGCTAACTTCCCAGGATTTTTGCGTTGGATTTCATTGGACAAAAAATTTAGGACACGTCGTTATCCGTATTTAGAGACCTCCAAAGAAGATTCTGACACTAAATCAGGGTTATGCATAGATCATATCGGTCGCTCTAGAGGATTATCGCTCAGCTTCGCACATGAGGAGGGCGCTCTGGTAGCGCCCGAAACCCCTACGCACTCCGGATCCGTCGGAGATGATACTTTGTTACGCCTGCGTCGTGTAATACGAGAGAAGCACGGGGAAGAGTACCCGTTGCGTGAATACTACATCAAGGGTACTGGCCCTGGTGGGCAGAAAGTAAATAAGTCAAGCAATTGCGTCCAATTGATTCGTTTCTCTCCTGCTCTGGGTACCAACATAGTGGTCAAATGCCATATGCATCGGTCATTGCTAGATAATCGTATAGAGGCTACACGTATTTTACTGCGTAAGCTGGATGAGGCAGAATCGGCACAATCGCGATATTTGTCACGTATGCGCGAAAAGGAGAAGCGTCGTATACTAAAGCTGACACCAGCTGAAAAAGCTCGTAAAAAGTTCGAAAAACAATTGAGAGCTGAGAAGAAAGCCAACCGTCGGAAGTGGAAGATAGGAGAAGATTGTTTCTAGTTACTGCGGCGTGAAGCTCGGTGACTGACACTACAATGTTGCTATGTATTGCAATCCCATTGGCTTTATGTTGCTACTCTTCTATCATACCGCATCTGGCACATTGTATACGTGGCTACGCTCAGCCTCCAGGATTAGAACATATCTCAGCACCTGGATTGCTCGCCCAAAGAGACAACTTGACGAATCAAAAACTGGCGATATCTTTCATCTCCACTCCATATGGACGACATGGATCCCTTGATGTGCGATGCAAAAGTAAGCGCAAGGGTAATGTCGAATCGCCGGGCAAACATAGTCATGTAACAACACCAAAAAAGTACCAGAATTCTAACAGCCCTAAACAAGATAGGAAAGCTAACAAAGGTGGCTATTGGGATTCTGATGATGAATTTGGCAGTTTCACCGCACAGAATCATATTCCCAGGTCCTACAAAAAAGGTGACCAAGAATCTATGCCGTATAGAGGGTACAATAACGCTAATAAGCGACGACCATTGTATCAGAACACCGATCTAGACTATGAGAAACGCCCTAACAAGGGCCACAATCATGAGGTCGGCTCGAATAATCGAAAGGATTACAAAAGTAAAAACGAAAACAGTAGTTATGGATTCGATTTTGGTCGTAATTCGACACGCAATGACCCCAACAGGTGGCTCATTAAAGGCTCACCAGGAACTAAACCAAAAGCTTTAGATGTACCTCCATCGTCCAATATAAGGGACACATTCGTGGAACCTCAGGTGTTTAACGATACTAGACGTAAACCGAATCGCGGAAGCAAGAAAGCGTCCCATGTATATAATGAGGATAGATATTCTTCTTCCAGCTATTCTACGCGTAATTATGATCCGCAATATCGTGGCGGTACAAACTATCGGCAGGACCCAACTGCAGGCATATCCATGTATAACCGACGTATGGCACAAGAGAACCAGAGATTGTTGCGTCTAGCTACAGAATCGGTCAACCCTTTGTTTCAGAAGCTGGCACACAGCAACCAGAAGAACCAGAAATTGGACATACCACCAACATTAAAGCCCAAAAGTGCACCAATTAACAATAGGTTAAAGACCTTCGGAGAGAAGGGTAATGTAAAGGGTAATAGTGTGGTACAACCTAAAGGGAAGCAAGGATCACAGCCTTTGGATACTGGTGATCTCCAAGCATCGGATCACAGCAAGGCTCTAGACATAAGTGCTAGTGAATTCAATTCTTTAACTCTGGATGTTCCTGGAATAAGGTCGCTTAAATGTGGCAAAAATGTATCCCCGGTCAAGCATTCTGGTACTTCGACTGCTAAGCTTGAGGAGAAGCTCCAGCAACTTAAATCAGCTGGGTTCAACGGAATAGTTGACATGAACTCACTATTTCACGTAACACCGAATGTTTTTAGCGAATCAAAGGCATCAAAGTCATCAGAGTTGTCTAATGCCGACTTCTCCTCCTTGGGTATACGCAATAATGCCCTTATAAAAGCTCTGGAAAAGAAGGGAATAACCCAAACTACCAATACACAGAGCAAATATATACCTGTGATTACATCATTTTTGGTCAAGAGCCATGAAAAATATGAGCCCGTTCGTAGCGTGTCAGTCCATGCACCTACAGGCTCAGGTAAAACGTTGGCGTATCTATTGCCGCTCTTAGATCGTGTGCTCCGCTTGGATATACCAAAAGTCACCGGAGGAATGGAAAGTTTGCCTGAAGAGGGGGATATGTTACGCTACATCGATTCGCTGTTCACTGAAAACGTGGTAATCCTTACCCCGTCCGTTGAGCTCTCGGTTCAAAGCCATATGGTACTTAAGGAGTTGTATCAGACGTATGATGCTGTTTCTGAAGATGTTGAGCCGTCGGTATCTACAAAAAAGAAAACGGCTGGACCAATTATTACCAAAACTTTGGATCCCTTTCGCGCCGTAGGAGCCAAACTCCTGGGAAAGGTTGCCATCCCTATGGATAATAGTCAGTCGAATGCCCCCGATGGCGCAGATGGTGAGGAAGAATCCTCTGTGACACCGTTCAAGGTGGTTGCGGATATCAAGCCTGTCCTGCTAATCGGGAAAGCTAATGTGGCTAACCAAAAACGCATCTTGAAGGATCTCCGCAAACAACAAGAACAGTTACGTAAAGAGGCTATTGATGCTATCAAGTCATTTTACAATTCGGCAAAGATATCTGGAACTCCTAATCTGGTTAAACCTGTTGAGTTGCGTCGTATGGTTGGTTTCATGTTTACTACGCCAGGTCGTGCGCACTCGCTATGGCAAAATCATAAGTTACTTGATCTCAAGGGTACGAAGTACTGTGTAATTGATGAGTATGACAGTTTCCTACAACTAAAGCGTTCTGTCAAATCAGATTCCGGCGAGACTACTACCGAGTTGGAGAACCCTCAAGTCAAGGAAGTTATAGATGTAATGTTAACAGGTCGTTCAAAACCATCGCCTGGTAAGGATACATCTTTGGGTGACAAGACCGGTAAATATATTTTGTGTCTCTCTGCATCCAGGTTGACCGATGCCCCTTCCTGTTTTGGTAAGCTAGGTACTATGTTAAAGAACTCTGAGGACACAACGAATGTGGACCCTACTATATCGGCTACATCGATTTTAACAGATGAGGATGGCGATACGGATCAGCAAGGTGACGCGGTACCTCCTCCAAACATTTTGCACACAATGGCGCTGTATAGTGTCGCTGATGCGAAGCTTGCTTTACTACGGAAGATTTTACACGCTCATCCTTTTGAGAAGTCGGCACTGGTGTTCTGCGACTCGAATGTAGGTTACGCGTCTGCACATCATGTCCAATGTTTATAAATCACGGATCAAAAGTTTTATTCGTGGCATATATTGTTTACATTATTTCGTGTGTATATATTTATAGAATTTTGTTTTAATGCTGTCCACAGGGTACTGCGCAATTCTTGGAATCTTATTTGGGTGGGAAGTTCCCTTCTGCGGATGTAACGTTGTTAAACTGTCGTCAAACCAAACTCGACCGTAAAAGGTCTTTTCAGAACGTACTACAATCAAATTTGTCTGGAATATTGACTGCTCAAGGTCCCTCACGCAAAGCTGGTAGTACCCCGGTACGGAGCATTGTGATATCTACTCAACTGAATTCGCGTGGCATCGATTTCAGTGGGTTCAGTCATGTGATACACTATGACCTTCCTCATGGTAGGTGCTCTATATATACGTTTAACAACCGTTACTCAGACGTAACTTCTTATCTACACAGAAGTGGTCGCATAGGAAGAGCCGGTAACCCCGGCATAAGTATATCGCTTGTTGAATACAAACACTTACCGGTGTTCCTTAGGGTGATCTGTAACCGTTTGGGTACCGTGGTACACCCAGTGGATGTATTCAAGGGTCATTTGTGTCGTCGCCCACAGGAGTCTCTACGCATTAAGTGACAATGGACGTATTTCCAACTGACGCTTCCTTTTTCCGCACTGCGGAATATTGGGGCCGCTTTTATAGCAACCCTAAATTGAAGGATTTTGATTGGTATGGTACCCTAGATGATTTTCTAGAAAGTTTCAATCGCAGTTTGTCCAGCAAGGTACCATACGATGCTTCAGCCGGATTTACTCACATCCCTGGCGATTGCATAATTATCAACGTTGGTTGTGGAAATTCAGTACTACCTTTCAAGTTGTATGAACTTGGATATCGCAGCTTATACAATTTGGATTTCTGCCCGGCGGTATTAGATGAGATGCGATTGAAAGATAAAAATGGATCGATGCACTGGGTTGACATTGATGTTTCCAATGAATCTTACGAAAAGTTTGGGCATGATATTGCTACTAAATTCCACGGTCATCCAAAGGTGATAATTGACAAGGCGTTTTTTGATGCCTATATCTCAATTGGGGAGAACGAATCGCAAACTATCACTCGTGATCGTGCACGTCGTTACATCAACTCTACATTATCTTTCATGAGCGGCGACGATGTGTTTGTGGTCTTTTCTTTGGCGCAAGATTATGTGGTTGCTGAGTTGGTGCGCAATTTGTTGTTCAAGGACCTGTATGTGGATATATATCCGCTATACAGTTCAAATTCCACAAAGGCGCATATGATCCAGTTTCTATTTGCGATATACAAGAAACCGGCAGGTAGCAATACTCTCAAAAGTTCTACTCGAAAACAGTGTTTGATGGTAGAGATGCCTCATCTCCCCTTGGAGGAGTTTGAACTGGGAGCGTTACCTAAGCGGGTGAGAACGGCCAAAGGTGCCGTTTTTCTTGGCGCAAATATGCATGAATACAGTGCAGGACGTCGTGTAACATTTGATATTTATCCTACTGATTTTAATAGGGAGGTGTGCTTTGCTGCCGCAGTATATGACTGCGTATCTTGCGAAAATGCTCCTATACCAACTGCTGCAATCATCGTTCCTACTGCACAGGAGCATTTGTGGCAATACGCATGTTCAGAGGGTAACGAGGAGTTGGCTTGTCAAGCTGGGGCTCGTCGTGTAATCGTATTATGGTTGAAGTTCAGCAGTTCTGATAAAGGGACTTCAATCCCTGGAGAGCCAAGGTCAAACATGGGATTTGTGAACCCTTTTGACGCTTGTTTTGGAGATGACGTCCTTTTGCGTTATATCCAGGATAATATGAGTGACATTCTGTTGAGTTTGTCATTAAGTGGTACCCGTCGTGTTACAATTTTAAAGGCTGGCGATTCATGCGCTGTACGTGCACCACGTCGAGTGGGCTCCTCTGTCTATGCTGGTGACATAGTGGTACAAGAGGTGTTGCATCCATCCGATAGCGAGTTAGTACCCGGTTATGAAGTATTAACACGTCAGATGGTTTTTTCATGTAGCCCACAAAACGTGCAATCTGAGGTTCGATACTATCTGGATGATAATGGAATCGAGGTGTATTTGGAAGGCCGTTTACCTAACGAGTACGTCACTGCGATGTTATTGTCTATGGCGTTCATACCGTCTGGGGAGGGCATCCTGGCAGTAATGGGTAGTGGGTCTGGCAACTTGCCACGTCTATTGCGTCGTGTTTTTGTTAATAACCCAGTACACGCTATTGAGATTGATGATGCAGTAATGCATATAGCAAGGTCACATTTTGGCTACTCTCCTGACGCTGTCGTTAATATCGAGGGAGGGAAGTTATCACCCGTACCTGGCGATGACGTGGGTCTGCTCCACGTTTCCGGTGACGCTTTAGATTACGTGGACTGCGTATTGGAATACAAAGTCTCATCTATCTTTATTGACATAAACAATGTGCTTGATGCCACCGATGACAGTGTGGTTGATTTGGATATTCAGGGAAAGAACTCATTGATGTCACCGCACCCGAAGCTATTGGGACCATCGTGGCTTGCCAAAGTGGCAACACTGCTAAAAAGGACCCATGGTATGCTGGCAATCAACGTTCTGACACGTTCTTCCAAAGTGTTGGAGGCTGTATTATCTCGATTATCGTCGGTATTTGCCTGGGTAGGCGTGATCACAATGCCATCGGTAGGTGGTTCATTATATGATTATAAAATTTTCAGGATATTAACAAGGTGGTTGTATGTCTAGATCACGAACCATTGGACGCTAGTGCACGCTTTGAAGCATATGTAAGTTCCACTCTTCGTGTTGACAATAGCACCCAGGCATCGACCCTTGCTGAAAACTCCGCAATCGGTCTATATGCTCCACACGCATGGTGTAGCGAATCACTTTCTGTTTTTTCACAGTCATAACTGAATGTGTAGTGATTTCTGCTGATTGGGTTCGTAACATGTCGCGCGTGGCTGGCTGCGTCCAGTATATATAGTATTAGATGGCTCATTAATCGTGATGTCGGCCGGTAACTACGGGCTGTTTCGCCGCTGCGCACAGCGCTTATCTGCGCACAATGTAACCTTTTCTGTATTCCGTTACGCGCCTGAGAGCGCGCAGCGTCCCCGTATGCAATCCTACAACATAGATACATCTTCGTGTGGTCCAATGGTATTGGATGCACTTATTAAGATCAAGAACGAACAGGTGAGTATTATATGAGCTGTCGGATCGGTTGACAAAACGTTGCTGTTATCGCAGTACTGTGTGTCATGTTACTATATTGTACACATCCGTAAACACGTGCAGGATAGCACGCTGTCGTTTAGAAGGAGTTGCCGAGAAGGGATCTGCGGTAGTTGCGCTATGAATGTTAACGGGGAGAACTGCTTGGCTTGTTTACGTTCTATCGAATCGTGTACAAGTAAAGGCGGTTCTATTGAAATACAGCCACTCCCCGGCCTTTACGTATTGAGGGACCTTGTAGCAGACATGACCAACTTCTACGAGCAGTACAGAACAGTACAGCCATGGCTTAAACGCAAGACACCCAAGGTAAGCATGCTGAAGGATGTGCTAATATACCTAGGTCGGTGATGCTGAGTTCCTACAATCTAAAGCTGATCGTGCACGTCTTGATGGGATGTATGAGGTTAGTTGTACATTAAGGCGTTTGACTATGATCAGTGTATTTTGTGCGCCTGCTGCTCAACGTCATGCCCATCGTATTGGTGGAACCCAGAACACTACATCGGCCCTGCCGCTCTGATGCAAGCGTTCCGTTGGATAGAGGACAGCCGTGACGAATACACAGTAGAACGTATGGTGGACGTTAACGATACCATGAAGCTGTACCGTTGTCACGGTATCCTGAACTGCAGCAAGGTCTGTCCCAAGGGGTTAGACCCGGCTGGTGCCATTAAAAAACTGAAAGCCAAAGTCGAAGCTTCAGCTGATGATAGTGGGTTTTACATCTGATTTAAACAATGTGATATGTAGGTTGGCCTTCAATTGCTGCTTCAGAGTATGAGAAACACAACGCAAAGCTACTGGCCAGCGGTGACGCATAACGTCAAACAATGCATGTTTCACACTAACATCGTTGTCTACTTCATATCCTTGCGTCAAAAGATTCTGCAATCTTCTCGTCAACGCTACGTGGCTTCACACCGTTCTGTTGCGCGACGGTTCCGTGATGAATAGCTTGGCCCTTCCATTCAGTCCACGCACTCTTTTTACTTTGCTGACCAGCGGAACCGTCCTCGGTTAGTGGTGGGGACTCCACATGGGCAAGGAAGTCAACGTGATCACCCATGATGCCACGTGTCAACTGCACCTTTTCCGGCTTGAGCTCATCCACAGGAGTATATTCCGGCAGCGGCGTATCATTCGCTGGTGGCTGCTCGGGACTTTGGCTCACATTTCCTCTTTCGTCATCTGACGAGTCGAAGAAATCATCGGAACTCAAGAAGTTGGACGCCACATCTGAGATTGTAGAACTACTACTGCTTGAAGCATCGAACATCTGCGAAGGGTTGGCCTTGTTTGGCTCCGTCGTGTCGCGTGCCGTGCCTGGCTTAGAAGGTCTCGACTTCCTGTTACGTTCGTATGCCGCCTGCATATCCTCAATGTTACGTTTTACCATTTGGTTAATATAAATGAAGATTCTCCTTTGTTTGTCCACCGATAGAAGCGAAGGATCGAAAGTAAATGTAGTGTCGTTCATAAATACTTCCGCGAGTATACCAAGGTCGTCCTCTACCAGTTCCAATGCAGCTTTGCGTTGGTTCGGGGCTAATCGTGAGAGGTTGATATCTAGTGTACGTGTCTGTGCGGGTGTGAGGCCGCGTTCCATAGCTCCGACTTTTTGCAGTGCCGGCAGCGTTGGGGGTGGTGGCGGTGGAACAAATCCAACCTCAGGTATTACGACTTCACCCATGAAACGTAATCGAGAATCTGAATCACTATTTTCAGATGTCTCACCAGCCCTGGGTCGCCTCTGGATGTAATACATCCTCCCATTGGAACCCTTTTTCTTAGAGCTGCGAGGTCTACCACGCATCGACTCTAAGGGCATCATGAATTCGTCAGCGGATGCAACAGACGACAGCTCGTTAAAACTATCGTCATCATCATCATTGTACATGAACTGATCGATAATATGTTTGTGTCGGTTGTGTTGAGCGGCCTTGCGCTTTTCAAGTGGTTTACTAAGATCGACATCAGTGCTACTTTGTGCATTTGTTGGCCACTTGCTCTTGCGATTGAAAGTGGTTTCATTATACTCAAGCAATATGGCACGCATAGCATCCTCTCCTTTGTTTAACAAGGCGTGGAACTCTTCAGGGTTCAGGTATCTTATAGTGCTCAATTTTTCCTCGTATATGCGTGACAGGTGTTCTGCTGCTTGCCATATGCGGTTATCTTTGGGATAAAATAAAAAGGCATTGAAAAATATCTGCCTCACATCGCATTGAAAAGCGAATGGATTTGAGTATTCTCGCATGTGTAAACGTTCTGTGATTGTATGGAAATCCATTGGGGTCTTAACGATTCTGTTGTAGTTCGGCACGCCATCAGCTATAGGATCTACGGGGTACCAGAACCACTTTTCACTGTCCATATATTTAATAGACTGCAATGTTCGGTACGCTGTGTATTCCCAAGTATCTTTAGGAAGCTTTGGCAAGTTTCGGCTGAGCACGGGTACTGATCTGTATAACTGACGTTTTTCGTAACTACCGGAACTATGTTTCCTCAGAGCCTCTTTATGGCTCTTATGTGACCTTTCATGTCTAACTTCGCGGTAGTTGGATTCAGCGAAATCTTCGGCAAACTCATCGTAGTACCTTACCCGCTGTTTACGTTTACGTAATGAGCGTTTCTCTGAGGCATCGAAAGACGACAACGTCAGAGCATCGTCCTCTGCGCTGTCTCTTGACCTCAAAGATGAATACGATCTTCTATGTCTAGCTTCGTATGGGCTAGTCGCGCCGTCGATGAGGCCGGCAGCCCATAGTGCTGGATCAGGTCTTGATTTTTTAGGTGGTTTTGCCGACTCTTGCTCGTTCACATAAATTACAAACCTAAAGTCTGTTTGCGATAATACATCGTTTATGTGATCAGCTTCTTCAGGTTCTAAAATCAATTCACCCCGGCAATCGGAACTATTCAAGGTCGTTGCCGGCATCAGAGTGGGTGTAGCTACACCTGTGGCATTTTCATCTGCAGCTACGGGGGTGTCAACTAAGGGTTCAGATTTAACTTCTGTTTCTTCTTCCATTTTTATTATATTGCAGATCATGTTTTTTGCCTGCTTTGATGACGTGGCTAGTCTTTACACGCTCCACTTGCTTCACGTCGCCTCAACTTTTACCTTGTCAATTTTTTTTATAATCCAATCACGCACACCTGGAAATCAAAAGAGTTCTAATTATATCATACGACGAAGTAAAAAGCAGTTAGTTTTAGGCGGCACTTATTTTGCCTAGTCTCCACGAGTCAACCTCTATCCTGGTTATATAATTTTTTTTGAATGATACGCATTTGTAATGTTATACAATCTTCTGTTTCTCACATATTGTTCAGATAGAGGCTCTGGCTCATGACGTCTCATATGACGCGTCGCGACTGAGTCTAGTCGGAAGCGCCTATTCGGCGCAGCGACTATACTGTACTTTTATGGTTGTCTAGTACTTCTAATAAGTGTTATATCGGTATCACTGGCGTCTGTTATGGCAGTAGCGCAGTATCTATACCCCACCCATTACGAACGGTGCGACAACCATCGTTGTCACCGAAACAACCAACTAAACGGATGATGTTGCCAATATTTCGGATAGGCAACATCATCTGAATAATATATAGCCGCATTCAGCACTCTAGATAGCCTATTTATGTCATTTTGGGGGTGGTGTGACATGGTCATCGTTTCCGCGAATGTCAACAAATATCACCATTCTAAAAAAATCCGTATTACACATTTATAACCAATTCAATGGCCTCATTACGTGTTACAAATTATGTCGCCAACTGGCGTACAACCGCGCCGAGCGCAGATACCGATGAACCCAACTCTGACGAAGAACTGGACTCTTTTTTAAAAGAATGCCAATCACGTATGGCTACCGGCGGACACATGCCGATGCCTAAGAAACGTTACGAATATGTGATTAGCGGCATTTTCAGGGACACAAATGTCCAGTTTGATCCTGCTAAGGTGCTACCGTCAGAGTCGAGCCCAGATAACAACTCACACCGACTATCTGATCCTATGTACCAGAGTGAGCTTTACCGCGACTTCTTGAACACATTATCGCATCTCATGGAAACACACCGAGTAGAAGCATATGAACGATTGACCTTCACACGAAGGCCTCTTGCTCAATCTCGAAACCCTGTCAATTTCACAAGCAAAACTGCCACAGAAGAAAGTAAAACCGTTGAACTACATATACACAAACCCCCAAGCAAAATAGCTGGGAGGTGTACATTGGTCCATATGGACCATCTGAAGGCTTCAATGTCTAGTGCAGATGTCGTTGTACGTGAGGTGGGCAGTGGCGTAAGTGCCGACATGGCAACTGTGTTGCCGCTTTGTGACTTCATTATGACAAAACGTATGTTCGTTTGTGGCCATATATTCACGAGCAATTACGGTAACCCGTCACATGTAGAAATTGCAGTGCTAAGACACTACCTCGACTGTAACCCACAGGCACCAGCGTCGCCAAATGGTCTACTTGTAGAGATACGATGCCGTGGAGAAGCTGACATAGAAACTTACAAGACTCGTTTACGGGAATACGCTCGCTTGTTGTATAACTACGTAGAGTTCTCCTTCGAGTAATGTGCCCAAACACGAATAACACGAACTTTGTTAATAACATGCTCAAAATGACACACTTAAAAATCAGTAACACGGCCCATGTGACACCAATCACCGAACATTGTGGGCTCATGTTTGCTATATACATTGCCAAACTCATTCACGCCGTTCCTCAACGGTCCCATATTATTTGTATCAACCCCTGGAACATTCGTCTGTCCTGTATCCTCGGCCATCGAAGAACTCCACGCAACATTATTTTTACCGCTCCGTGGTGCCCTACCACGTTCTGTTCCCTCGGTGTCGTCCTCGTCTCCTACGACGATACCAGTACCTGCGCTTTCACCGCCAGACGTAGGAGTAGCTGGTATTCCTTCGGCAGGTTTGACGTCACGGGGGATTTGTGTCGCTTCAGATTTAGCGAATCTGACACCCAACATCTGGTCTGTAACTCTACCTAGCAGTGTAGCAGCGGCCACGTGTCTGCGTGTGTTGGTCTCGTAAGCGAGAAGGCAGAAGGTACGTGCTGGCGCCGAGGTTCTCTTAACTGTAGCTACGGTTAGCTGGCTGACACTGCGCATAACGCAGGGGGTTGAGCACAATTGCTTTATAAACATTATGGATATTAGGATTACTGTTTGACTCGGTGGCGGTTGCACATATCTAGATACACCTTGGCATAATCTTCTATAGAAAATTTGCGATAACTATTTTAGAACAGTATTATTACAATAGTTATTTGTCACAACGACTCTTGCCACATCTTTCTAGTCGCCCCCAGACATTAGATCGCGCTGACGCAGAGCGCTATAATTATAAATTGAAGATACATAGACACACCGCTGACATTAATCTTAACGAATGGTATAGAACGATGCCGTCGGATGCGGATGTCGATCCGCCTGGTGGAGGTGACCGGGGTTGGGATACACCTGGATCACCCGAAGACCAGAAGAATCGTGATTTCACGATGACAAGTGATAAATATTTTGACGTTGAAGAATTAGATGATCAAGAACAGAATCTATTATTATTCATGTGTCTTTGTTCATACATAGATTCACAAGATCGATTCTTAGATGCGTATAAGGAGGTACTCGTGAACAGGGCAGTAGACATAGAATCGAAAGATTGCAACGATGGTGACACTCTATACGCATTGCTAAAGGAAACGGTTACAAAGCAGAAACGTGCTCTAAGATGCGATGACGCCTCAGACGAAGAAGATGATGATGATGACGGCGATGACGATAGTACCAGCGAATCGGAACCCGAACGCCACGATACATCGCTACTTCGTGATCTGGTACAAATGTACCATCTAGAGGTATATTTGAAGCTTATGTTGTTGGCATTCTTGCTGAAAATGCCACCTCTAAGCTATGCCGTTGTGACGACATTCTACGCAGTATATGTATTCCTAACTGCCACCATCGTAAGGCTTGTACGTTCACCTGTTTTCCACTGGCAGATAGCTAGGAGGGCAATCGTGACGTCTCGCTATATTTATCGCAATCTAATACGCTTCTTACTATATACACGTCGTGCAACGGCACCGAGGGACACTGGAAGCGCTGTGATGGCAGCACGGAGGAGCGTTGCGGAAACTGCTAGGGAGATACCTACGGTCATTGAAGGCGACTCGCCAAGAAGACGTGTTAGAAATACAAATAATGGCCGGCAGCGGCCTTCACGTTTTGCCAAGGTTATGTACCAGCTTTTCGTAGCATACGTACTAAGCCTCTTGCCATGGTGGGAACCCAACCCGGCATACATAGAGGAGAGCGATTAAAATTCACGTCATATGTTGCTCACTATCGTGCGTGGTTGGAGATTCGGCACTTAAGATGCTGTTCTCGACACTAATTAACCTAATGCTAGTTAATCTATATAGACACAAACTCACTCTCGCATAGATTGGAGGTTAGACGCTTTGGCACTACGGGCCGTGCGCCACATCTACGACACAATGTTTAGATAACATTGGTGGGCATACCTCCTTATAACGTTCCACCACCTCCTTCCAAGCTGATTGGGCGCTTGTATCCTGCTGCCTCAGACGGGCATGGGCTTCATTAACAGCCTCTTCGGCAGCTTCCAAGTCACGTTTAACGCGATCCTGTATATATTGACAACTACCTAAATGGGATATTGAGGACATACCAGTTCATCCTTAGCGGCTGTACGAATGGCATCGGCCACCTGAGTTGCTTCCTGTTGCAAACAAGACTCCTTCTCCTCGCGCAACTGCATTTGAAAAAGTGATGATATCTCCCTTAGAGTGTCTGATATCTCCTTTGCTATTGCATTGCCCATATCCTCCAATTGTTGATTAGACTGCTCCAACTCGGTGCGGGTTTCGTTACTCATGCGCATGAGATCTCGATCCTTATTAATAACTCTATCAATAACACCAGTGTATGTGGTTGGTGATATTCCCAAAATCTCGATCTCATGCATACCCCTCGCATTCACACGCAAAACCTCCATGTTACGCCACGGTTCAGCGTATTGACCATTGTTCATCAAAAAGTTCTTGATGGACTCATGGGTACTTTCGAGCGACTTCTGCGATCTCACGACCTGCTCTTCCATCATTCGTATCTGTACGCATATAGTTTAAAAATATAAAAACCAACCTTAGTTTCTGTAGAGGATATCTCATGCTCCAGTTCCTTGATTCTGCGATTGGTGTCAGAAATCCTTGCCTTCAATGTCCTTATCGACTGATTAAGTTCACGAAGTGCATTCTTATTTATGTCTTGCTTTTCAATGAGCCGTTCAAGTTCACGGTTCTGCTCCTCTTGCGCTGCGAGAGCCTGCTCCTCGTCACGCAACGCCTGTTTGTGCGTCTTCAGGGTTTCCACCTGAATAGATGCTTCGAAAAAGGCATTGTTAAACACACCGCATGGAGACAGGCGCCACGTAATGATGCAGTAAGTTCCTCTATACATTGGAGTTCCACATTGGCTGTTTTTATCCATTCCTTATTGCGTGCAAAAGCCTCCAACTCTTCCTGTAACTGCAACGTTTTCTCGCGTAATTCTTCCAGTTGAACCATCTTGGTCTCAACTCTATCTTGAGTATCTAATATTACATCTGATATAGCTCCCTGGAAATCTTTCATAAGCTGGACGCTGTTCTCCTCGCCCCTCAAGTATAACTCAAAGTGCTTAGTTGCCTGCTCAGTGACGAAATGTGCCACCATAGTATTAGATACAGTTGCTTTCCCATGGTTGGAATTGCTCCAACCGATTGGCAGGGGACGTTTGTGCATGGATGCACAATCGAATGGTTTACCAAAGCACTGTGTTGTAATGATATAAAAATGACTATACTTACCTCCTGCTCATACAAAAGTAGCTTGCAGAGCCATGATAAAGCAACTAGATTAGCTTCCCACTGATGATCTGCAGTAGGTGTCCTCAGATGCGATGTTTTCATGATATGAGGATAACCGAACTCTTTAAAGAATTTTGGTACCTCCACTACCATGTTTTCCTTAGTAACATGAGCATTAGGGTCCAAAAACCTGAACGATGTTGCAACTATAAGCGTATATATCCTACCTGAAAAGGAAATTCCAAATGTCTAACAGGATCTGCAATGGCGGTGATCGCAGTAGATCCTTTGCTGAGCATGGCTGGAACCCTTTGGATGCCAAGAACCCTAATATACATTGTACGCACTCTTTCTTATTAGTTACCGGGGGTTTGACCCCCGATTGCGATAAATGATGCATGGAAGAGGAGGAAGAAGACTGGTTTGATAGCCCGGTCCTCATTGTCTTCGGATTAGAGAACATGGAATCCATGACATAATGTAACTTGCTTGATGCTTTGGGCTACTAATGTGTTAATAGCGAACCCATTCGACTATATATTGAGATTTGAAGCCATATTTTACACGAGAAGAGCCCAGTTGTCTATCGCGACGCGATACCGTCAAGGAGGGGAGAGAATAGTCCCTCCTCAAACGGAATGTCAAACTAAAAAACGACTTTTAAAATATTAATATAATTCCATCTAATATAGAGGCGTACTAACGTGGGTGTTCCGTGTACAATATGGCTATACATGTGCAACGAACACACCCACATATACACCAGTCAATATCCGCTCACATAGCTATACGACACCTTTTACATGTTCCACACCTTACATTAGTTGTTATACATGAGCTTCAAAGGTTGTCTACGGTCGGTATCACTACAGCTGCCAGATGCCGTTAAGCCTCAAGGGTAAAGCAGCTTAATGGTACCGTCCAAGGACCACGTCGCGATAACAGCATCATGCGGATGATGCACAAGGCCTATGACATCTTTGTCGTGTACCTTAAAGCTGTGCTCGAGACAACCAGCTTTGTTGAAACAGTAGAGCCAATTACCCTCGCCAACAGAGTATACCCAGTTCATTTTCCTCGACACTGCATTAACATTTATTAGAAACAGAGCAAACATACCCGCAACATCCAAGAAATTGTTACCTTCAGTAGCCTCTATGGTATAATGTTTAACGCATATACCGTTCAACTTGTAGACTGATAGCGACGACGAACGGGTGCATACCAAAATCAGTTCATCGCTACCTGTGTATGGAACGCTAATTATGGTGTTAACTCCACGCGGTGCGTCTCGCTTGATAGTACTGGTAGGGTCACCTGTAAATGCGAGGAATGACTTGAGGAGGTCTGTTGTACGACTGTCCCAGATCTTGATATAGCCATCGCTGGACCCAGTGATAACCTTGGTACCGTCGTAAGAATATATTGCAGCATTCACAATAGAATGGTGACCCTTAAACTCCTTTATGGGTCTACCTGATTTTAGACCGTGGACCCTACAGCGTTATTAAGTCTACCTATTTTGAGGCAACCTACTTGGCAGTTTTGTCAAAAGATCCAGTGAGTAGGTTTGTAGAATCACGACTAAAAGCCATACATGTTACAGCGCCGTCGTGTGCATGGTTCATCTTGCGCAGGCATTCACCCGTGGCTATCTTCCATATCTTGATGTTACCATCTTTGTCCCCGCTAGCGAGGATCTCGGAGTCACGGCTGACAGCCAAACTAACTATAAGAGTATCATGTAACATAAATTGATCCTTTTTCTGATACTCTAGGTCTGGATCTAGCTGCCCGATATGCCAGTTCCACACCTCGATGAAACCGTCAGATGATCTACTCACGATGATTCACATGAATCGACAACTTACCCCGATATTAGGTATTGCCCATTGGGGGTGAACACTGCACATTCTGGATGTGAAGTTTCTGCGAATCGTATAATCTTGGCAACCTCCTTCACGCTGGGCTCATCACCCTTCGATGCCGATGCTGAGGTGTTACGGAACAGGTCGAACTGGTCAGAGCTAGTGATGATGCCAACATTATGTTGCCACTTCATGGCCATTCCAAGCAACGCAGTGAGCCTTGACGGAGGAACACTGTCTATTTCGCTTTTCAAAGCTTCGGCAACGATTGCACGCCTTTTGTCTCGTGTAAGTGGTTGCTGTACGCTCCCACTAGACGTCGCTGAGTATATTTCACGAGTCTCTGCTGGACGTTTTCTACACAGCTCTACAAGCTTGCGATGATGTTCGGGTTCCTCCTTTTCCATTTCCCGAAGTGGTATAGAATTCTCCAGGACCGCGGTCGCAAGGGCGCTTTCCCTTAGATCCACAAGTTCCCGAACTATCTGCAAACACAGGTTTGACTAAAGTAATGGCACATTACCTGGTCATATAGTTTGAATAATGTCTCTTGCGATAGTGCCATGGTATCCACAGAGTCGAGAACACGGTTCCATCGGCCCATTAATGCATCTGCTACCAGTGAATCCACACTAGGCACACTTTTTAAATAGACTCCAGTCTCCTCTTGCATCATCATCAGCGACTTTGTAAGCTTGTTTTCCTTCAGGTACTGGAGGATAAGCTTAACTACGCTGCATAGTAATAAGTGAAGGAAACCAAAAATTCAGTTGACAAATATAGACCACAGTTGCATACGGTAACGGTTACATAAACGAATCACTCACTCTTCAGAAGCCACACTCACGGATTTATCCATCTTGACCAGAAATACCGCCCTGATTCCTCTAGTATTCCGTGATGTGTGTCCAATGCCTTAGCATAGGCAGAATCCTACGGTCGGCTCTTGGCCTGGCAGCGTAGCGAAGATTAACCAATTTGCATCCTACGGATTGTCTACACTATCTATGTGTACTATATTACGGTTTTATGTGTATCCTGAGGTTTTCGTGGCGCATTCCACAAGAGGTCACACCCCCATCCGTAGAAGGATTACCTATCCCTGATTGAAGCCCGCATCACTATAGATATACACTTGAAGTTGCTTATTCAAAATAATACATCTTGGTCCACATTCCGGAGTATCCGGAAGACCGATGGATCGCTAATAAGGTGTCTTTCTACCAACGTCGATAACGTGCAGGGTTATTGACCTATAACCGCTGTATTAATACGGATATTCGCGGTACACACTCAGGCACCATGGCGTTTATGAGCCGGATAGGTAACAGTATCGGTTCGTCCGTAGTAGCGCCTTTACGCTGCGAGGTCGGGGCCGTGTCATGGCAGCGTCGATGCTTTGGAAGCGGTGATATGCAGGCTGTAGCAATCCGTATAAAGTCTGTGAAGTCAATTCAAAAGGTATAACAATGTCTGATGTATGTTCATGACCTTGCTTCAGATCACAAAGGCCATGAAAATGGTTGCAGCATCTAAACTTAAGGCTGATCAAAGGCGCTTAGAGGCAGGGCTTCCATTTAGCGTACCAGTTCAGGTATGTTACATCTGTTCTGTCAAATGCATCTGCCCTTGTAGGACCTGATGAATCTGCTTCCTATATCCACCACCGAGGGTGCTGGCAAGAACAACGCTATCGTCGTATTGGCATCAGGTAAGTCGCTCATTACAATACTATTGGCTCATCTGTTGTAGACAAAGGTCTATGTGGAGGTATTAACTCTGCTGTGGCAAAGATGACAAGGGGTCTACTTGCTGGTGGTGAGTCCGGCGGTACAACATTTTCCCTCTACTGCGTCGGTGAGAAGATCCGTAGCGCGCTTGAGAATGTATACGGCAAATACTTCAAAAGTGTATTCACTGAAGTCTCACGGACCCCTTTCAACTACGCTAAGGCGGCAGTGATCAGCGAGGAGCTGCGCAAGGTGGGTTGCACGTGAAACGCCATAACGTAACATTCAGGGTAACCACGATCGCATAAGGATCGTTTATAATCACTTCAAGAGTGCCATTAGTTACGAAACACGCGCTCTAGATGTCCTGTCACTCTCACAATTTAAAGCTATGCACCAGAGGGAACTCAATGTCTACGAGAGCGAACCCGAAATGTCAGACTTATTCCCCGACCTATACGAATTCTATCTTACTTGCTGTGTATACGGGTGTATGTTGGATTCGCTGGCTGCCGAGCAATCTGCAAGAATGTCGGCTATGGACAATGCATCGACCAATGCTTCTGACATGTTGCAGTCTCTAACGCTCAAGTTCAACAGAGCACGTCAATCGAAGATTACCCTAGAACTTATCGAAATTATCGGAGGAGCGAACGCGCTGTAACAAACTTTAACAAAACACTAAATATATTTTGATCACTACGCCAAATATTGTTATACGCGAGGTTGTGGCAACCTCCCTTCGCAAAGATATATATATACTATTTCAAAACACATGTGGTATCTCTATGTTGTACTGTTTATCACAAGAGTTTAAAAGTTGTTAATAGCGCTATGCGCACCACGACATACAATAAAGTATGATGATCAACGGTACGATTTCTGGTAGCGAGCGCGGGCGCCTGGACCTCCGAACTTCTTGGGTTCGCATCGGCGTGGGTCGGCGATAAGAAGTGACCTGTCGTAGCTTACAAGCTCATCGACAATTTTCTTCTTGGAAGCCTCATCGACGTACTTCTGGTGGAATGCGACTACAGCCTTGGCTATGGCTTGTCTGATAGCGTACATTTGGGCAGTAAAACCACCACCGCGTACACGGATCCTAATGTCAACAGCAGAGATACGTTTGGTGCCCATGACGTAAAGTGGCTCTAGCACCTTGGTTCTCAAGGCCTCGGGGCGGATGTGGTCAAGAGGACGACCGTTGACCCTGATCATACCGGTTCCCCTAGTGCAGAGCGCAACTGCCACAGCGCGCTTCTTCCTTCCGAAGGTTTGGACACGTTGTCCCTTGCCCTTTGTTGCTTCTTCTGCCATCTGAGAACAAATCAGCGCCATATATCAAAACCATGGATCTAGAGATGAATACAATGCAAAAACATACTACAATCAGACATAGTCACGATACGAACTGTCAGTGGACAGGTCGTCCGTCGCTGCTGTTGTCGAGTTCAGCACGTACGGAGGCCCACGTAACGCCGAGAATACATTTACGTGAAACCAGCATAATAAATAAAAGGTATCGATGAGATGCCGCGTTCTCCGTAACCAGGAGTAGCCTCCAATCACGGTACTAAGCTGGCTACCCGATGAAAGAGCCCTCGGCCAGGGATAGCCCAGAAGCTCAGCATACCACGGCCATACAGACACATCAATTCCACCAATATAATCACACCGTGTATAGGTTGGGAGTATGAGACTTTAGCCATCCGTTAAGACGGCCAAACGACACCCCGCCTGGAACCGATGTGGTAGATAAAGCACGTAGCGAGTCACACCGAACAGTCACTTACCTTGGATATGGAGTACCTTATAAAAAGTTTAAATCCTGACGACAGAGTAGATTTTGATGTGCGAAAGACCCCTTGTCCATGGTCGTGGTCCTTGGAGGCTTCGTTTACCCCACCCCTTGAAGCGGGCCGTCCTGCACATTGAGCGACTACGGTTATTACCATTCTGTAGGCGCTATTTTGCCGTTCATATAATTTCCATAAGGGCTAGCAGGTAGGTTGTGTTTGACGTCTACAGGTCTCGACCGTATGGGTATGGCCATCCGCCGTTGGTCATATTTTGTCGTTGCCCACTGTGTTACCTTATTGTGTTACATAATTTACATTGTTATCATTGTGATGTTTCCATGGGTTGTTGATTTGTGCCCTTTCACCCTAACTTTATGCTCAGTCGGCCACGCTCTTGTAATATTGGATTCCTAATATCGCCGATATAAAGGTAGGCAACTTAACAATGACCTGATAATGTCTCTAGATGAAGCACAACAATGTTTTACCGAACGCTCACCGCGTCAAGTGCAGCGGCAAATTCATTAAGGCCGAACTTAACCAGGCTGGTAGAAAGAAGAGGCGCCTACTTACCAGAAGGAGAAAGGCCGCTAAGGCAGGAGTTACACCTGTCGGTTACCTTCGTCCAGTAGTTCACATGCCAAGCCAACGTTATAACTACAAGGTCCGTCTAGGTCGCGGTTTCACCCTACAGGAGCTCAAGGCCGCTGGTGTCAGCAAAAAGGTAGCCATGAGCATCGGTATCGCTGTTGACCACCGCCGTTGCAACCGCAACGCTGAAAGCCTAAACTTAAACGTACAACGTCTCAAGACATACCTATCGAAGCTTGTAATGATCCCACGCAAGAAGACACCTTGCAAGGGATTCTGTGGTATCCCTGATGACACCCCTCGCGAAAAGTTGGCCACCATGGTATTGAAACAGCAGAAGATTAAAGAGGTTATGCCTGTTGTGCAGCCCTTCACTGCTGAGGCCCCTCGCGCTGTGACCGCCGAGGAGGCAGCTGCCTGCAGCTACATGACATTGCGTCAGGGTAGAAAGGCCGCTAAGGCAAAGAAGACGGCTGAGGAATAAACGCATGCCGTTGAACGGAATTCGTAATGTTCCTTATAGCTTGTATCTGTGTTATCTACATGTATAGTCATTTGCGGGGCCCTCTGTAGGTGGCTTCTTGCAAATTTGCGATATCACCGTATATTGTACTGTGATTATACCGTATTTGCTAGTGTAATATGTCTGTGGTTATAAACCTAGTAGTTTGTTATTGAACTGATGTTACCAAGGTAGCTATTGGTTACTAACTCGGGTGTTTCCATCTGGAGTTGGCAGGTTGTTTCTCTTAGACTTGTTCATTATATTATTACAGATGGAATGATGTTGCGTTGCTGGTAAACTTTTCAATATGAATGTTTTGTTGAGAAGAACCTTTCATTCGACATGCGAGGGCCCCTGGGTTTCACAAGACATTTATGACAATAATTTTTGGAATTCTTATCTCAGAAGGATTATTGGGACCTAGATTGATGGATAATGGTACGTGAAGTTAGTGGATGTGTAGTGATGCAAAAACATGTTTTGCCGTTATCTAATGGTCCTATGTTCCATATGAACATTCCAATATTCTGGTTACGTTGCAAAATAAAACATGATCTGGTTCGACACCTTAACAATAATGATTCCGCTAGGGTGTACGTTAGCATCTAAAGGTGAATTTACCTTTGTCACAAGGGATGTTAGATGTGTCACAACATCCACACTTATACCTCACCCTTATATCAGTGAGATTGCAATATCTTCTGGTAATGTGAAAAACTGACGATATATCGCCCTCTATAGCGTGCAAACAATTGCTTGTCGAGTGTATGTCGTTGGCTTGCGTTCTAGAGTACCAGGTGCGCGGGGAATCTTGGAGGTGACATAATGGTAAAAGCCATGCTTCTTTAACTGACATATTATCATATTTCGTTTTCCTACGTAATATATTTTACGTATTCAAACCGAAATTCATTAAACTATTTCTTCGCATTATTCGTAAATGGTAAACGAGGCACACAGTGTCATCTTCCTATCATATATTTTTGTACCACCAAAAAATATTTAGTGATACATATCGTTTCACTAGAGGCATAGTACTTATAAATAGCATACTTCTTCTAACAAAAAGACCATTAACTGTGTTTTGAAAATGGTTGGAATCAAGTTGTACAAATGGATAATTGGCTGGCTTCATGGCTGTTGCCACCTTCATGTCTGGCAACGTATTAGGCTCGGACCTCCCTGAGGAAGTGGAACTTCCAGAGCATCAGGAAACCGTTCCAGAGACACATCAGGATGTTGAGGAACAGGGCTCTCAGGAAGCTGAACCCGAAGTCCCTCAGCAAGTTGAGGTAGAAGACCCCAAACCAACCCGTGGTAACCTATCAGGCAGCAACAATGCGTCTGGTAAGAAGAGGAGCTGGTGGCAAAAGTTGTTCGGCAATTGTAAGGTATACTCTAGAAATGAATTAACGCTCAATCCGAATACTAAACCTCACGCTGATCCAAGCAGTCCAGGCTACGGTAAATGGTATACTGAGTACGATGTTTGTGGTGAAGAGGACGCAGAAAAGGCCCAAGCAGTTCGCGATAAGCTGCGAGAAATGCTCCCCCCCTTATATACGCTGCGGTATATTCAAAAGTCATAGAGCGCCCATTCACCCCAAAATTGTAGAGCGCATTGAATGGTATTTTGGTCTACCCCAATGGAAAAAAGACTATATTGGTTTCTGAGATCATCCGACGACCAAGCATAACCAAATACAACGGTCGATCAACGGTGTTAGTAAACATTTTTTCATCAATGTCTCCAACCTAATGGACGGCCGTTTAAATGATACGTAGATGCTAGATTGACGTACCACTGCGCCTATTAATGCTTCTGAACACCACAGTTATGAAACATGTTCATTTGTACAGTGTAGGTCCACCTGCTAGCTTTCAGCAAGATTAGGGAAGAGACTTCACTAGTCGGGCACGCCTACCCATACATATATTAGACAGGCTCACATTGGATATCATCATACACTCACAGTACGCTACGAATCAGTCTATTCACGCGAGACCTTGTTAGCAAGGGGTATATGGTATCTCAAGCCATGAAACATGGTATACATTTTAATTATTTGACACTCATTTCATGATTGTACTATTGTGAAGTTTGATGTGTATGACCGGTTGATATGGTAATTCCGGCCATGATAACGCAATAATCGATATTTATTAAAAGGCTTTTATATTCATGGCGTGATATTTAATATTTTTCACATTCTGAATGTCTATACTGATCTTAATGGGATGACGTGGAACCGCGCCCCTCGCAAGACTGATTCTCTCAATACTGTTTGACACGGTCAATTAGATTATAACGGGTTTATTAACATGTAAAATTGGTTGCGATTCATTATTATGCGATATCGTTTTGTTTGATCCTGAATCTTTTTACAGGGTCAGCAAAGGCGTATAAACGGCTACCACACATCCACGTGAAATCTGTTGTAGTCTGTAAAAATCGATGAAATCACATGACACGATGAATCCATAACTGATAATGTTGTAATTGGTAAGTGTTTGAAGAGTTATTGGCTTTCACCTTGTATACTAGTTGTCATTTACACAGTTTGTTCAATTCTAAAACCATACAAAAAAAATCTAGTATAGCCTAAACCTGGCAAATGTGTGAGAACTATTCCAAAATATTAGTATTTCCTTAGTATATTATATATTTGTGACACTTTTTCCACCCACGAGAAAAGGAAGTCGGTCCGTTGTTGCTGTGTAATCTAGTTTATTCTTCGCAGCATTGTGGTCAGACTTAAATAATGATGCACCTACAATATGATATTACTAGCCAATATTGATCAAGCTACAATCAACATAATTGAATTGATACTCCCACCTGTTTTTTCTCGCTAGCTGTAAAAGTGTGAATAATAAACAGCTTTTATGAACATGTTAATGTATCATCGTTAAATCGAATACATTGTTTATATCAAGTTACACAAATAGCATATATTTGTCAAATGGCAACAAGAGCTGGAAAATGTGCAACCGCAATTTTTGCGGTGACATTGATTAGGTACATCTGCCCAATAGATAGTGTCACTCTGGATATCAGCAAGGAGGAGGTTCCACCGTGTGTCAAAGTTTTTCATGGGACCTTTAGCAGAGGTGGTACTTATAGGTTGCTCCACATGAAATCTTCTTCAATCGATTCGATCGTGTACGATGACTATCTCGTGCCTTTTTTCTCTCGTTACAAAGCAATAACTGACGACATCTATATTCAAGATTATCAGCGTGGTAACACTCGCATCTTTTCAATTAGTAGTTCCTTTGTGATAGGAACCACAGGCGTACGTACGGTCAACTACAAAATAATTGGGCGCAGATGCGTTATTGTTGGAATTAAATCTAAAAGTGCCTTTCTAAGTGGGCCAATATCCCTGCGTTTAGATATCAATTCAGCCGAGTTGCATCCGTTCATAATTCCACACGCTACTTTTACTGGGGACCAGACAATGAAATGGGTAGTTATCACACGGGAACATCGTTCCACAGATAGATCAAACAAAATCCACAAATTACGATTCAGTGGGGAATCACTAGTGCTATCTCCCATAATAATCGTCGATAAGGAAACTAATGGTCCTGGTTATCCTGCTACCTCAATCTCTGGCCTTATCGATAAATTCGCTGAGACCAGCGTCACAGGAGATTTCAATTTATGGATCAAATATCGAAAACGTGGTTTGCCGCATGCTATAAAGATACCTCCAATTGAAAATGGTATTTTTAAACCATGTAACATAATTCAACATCACTACACATTCTGTAAATCCAAGCATTTTCAACCCATAGAGCGCACGACTGTAATCATAGACATTTCTAAGACTGAAGTAAACGTAGCAGAGCTTATAGTCTTAGCCAACCTAAAAAGGGGTGACTGGTTGTATACACAGTACACTATTTCACCCGTACGTGACCAGCTCTTCTTGTTTGTCAGGGTCATAAATTCGGTCACCGGTTCGGAGCTATACCAAGTTGAGGACTCTACATTCATTACACACGTAGAGGTATTCGATAACGTTACTTACGGTTGGCAATACGTTGTGGTGAACTATGAAAGGTCGCTGGGAAAAGGTATTAAGGGCTTCCAAAAAGTATACGTTCGACAAAACGGAGAACGAGGTGTTATATACATCGATCTCAGTAATTTCTGGCCAGACTCGTATATACAGATGTTGTATAACATCAACACTTTCGCACCAAATCCCTGTGACCAAGACCTCAATAACCTTATAATGGATGCCTTTTCGGCGTCACCAAACACAGGAGAGATTGTATAGGGTCCTTTTACCCTGTTTTCAGTTCTAGAGCCACCGCCAATGTCAATGCTAAATTTGTCGCAACAAAAAAGTGTTTCGAATAATGACTAATGGTCACTTAATGAACAGACTCGGTACTAGTTATGAACAGACGTAACAAACCACTACGACATAATTCCACTGGTTCATTTGCTTCCCTTTCTAACCAATCATTCGACGTCATAATGTTTGAACTCTAATTTTTTTAGAGTATTAAGAAGTGACATCTGAGATCACTTATTGTGTTGCTAGGCTGGTAATATCAGCAATATGAGTCACTACCGTTGTTACTTTGCTAAGTAATTCATCGTAACTAAAGTTTAGCTAGTATTCGTTCCGCGATATCAAGTTTTCATTGTCGCTAGGGGTTTACGTGGAAGTTTGCGGGGAAAGAGCATACTCAATTATGAGAAGACAAGGAAGACTTCACAGCATTTAGAATCGAAATGTCAGTGTGTATAGACTGTTTGCCAATTATACATCTCGCCGCGTTGGACTCTGCATGGATGGCGTGCTCCAGGCAACGTTACATGTTGCATTCACACAACAAACTAGTGACTCAGTAGACGATTCATTGTTTTTTTGCATATTTAGATACATATGCAGATAACCAAATTGTTAATTTGGTTCCATACGTGGTGAATCTATAATGTGTGTTCATTGTAGAAGGTTGTAGTACGGTAATTCAGGGAATTGCGCCTGAATCCGGCCAATTAAGACATGCCAACACGCCTTTAGTTTATGGTTGTTAACTTCATGTTACTATAAATGTCATCGCGTATGGCAGACCATTGAAACCATTGATGACGAACGCCAAAATTGGCGCCAACCCCCTAAAACTATCTCAACTGACTAATACTGACTTCTGGAGGTAAAGCAATGGGACACAGTGCCAGTGAACCGCCTCCTACGTCAATATTTCAACTCCAGAAGGAGTAAAACCTAGGAGAGTGACTTCGGAGGGTGATTTTTTGGGAAAAGAGCAGTTCGTGAACCAAATTCTGCACATTGCTGATACAACCAAGGTACCGTCCAACTTATACGCCCCCTTGCAGCTATGTTGTTAAGGAAGGACGCTATATATAAATAGCCAGTACGGTGAAGATGCTCAGGAAGGGCACTTGGGGAGGGATTGACGGAGCGTTTTACGATGAGAATGCTTTGGTAATCCCGTGCCTTGGTTTTGTTTTTTCTATCGCTGTGTTGAAGCGTTCGACGTCGTAAATTAGCGTAAATATTAAGGCATGTGGGGGAGTGGAAGGTGACGTTGTCTAGCAGCTGGGTGTGAATGCTCGTGAAATGTTCCGTCAAACTAACTCAACAAAAGATGCCATGTAAATTAGAATCCGAGTATAACTAAAAGTCCTAACACACTGCCGATGTGTTAGGCTCTCTACATCAGTATGCGACTCCGGCTCTGTGAAAAGGCAGAGCTGGGTGTTGCATTCCATAAATATCATGATATACGAACAGGATTGAGTACTTCACTATCGCTATCAAGATGGTTCTCAAGCGCCTCCCATCGTCTCTCTTCTGGCCAACATTACTGACCTTCCTGAAATTGGTGGCCATGCTGGTTCGAGCAGAAAATGACGAGCTGGCTGTTGCGACAGATGGAGAAGAAGGCGGTCCTGCAGTTGAGGTTATTGAGCAAATACCTGGCGTGCTGTGCTGGCCAAAATCTTTTGGAAATATAAGCCGTGGTGAGAAGACATTTGCCTCAATCAGCATAGTTCTCGTTACGATATTGTTTACCCTAACTGTACTTGCCGTAGGAAGTGATAAGGTCATATGCTTCATCATACCGGGTCTACTCATTTTGACAACCGGAGGTCTCTTCTTGTTGCACGACCTGATTACTATGACGGTGAAAATCACCAAGGAAGAAATCATTGCAGTATTTGCAATGGTCTTGCTGGCATGCTGGTTGGGATCCTATCTGACAGCTTGTGGCTGCGGTATAAAGTGTTACGAGTATGAAAAATGTGAGACTATTTGTAAAACTGATAAGCACAGGCAAGGAATTTGGTTGCCGATTTTTAGCATCATTCTTCTCCTAGTGTTTGTGGCGTATGCGTGCTATCTAGATGCAGTGGATCCATCGTGGGTTGTGAGTGAAGTGACACTCTTTACATTTGCACTGTTGGTCTTGTTGAGTATTGTTGGACTTGGCACAGTTGGCTGCGGCGCATATACGATGACGTATGCGAAGCAAGAGCTCCATAAATCTATCGCCTTAGAATGTGGCTTTAGTCCAGTGCTAACCGCACTATTCCTAATATGTGCTTATTGCTTGGGCATTAAATACGCCACCGTAAATCTTACTAGAATCATCTACGGTATCATTTGTGTCCTTTTATTTTTAGGTTTTGTGGCTCTGTTGGTCGATAATGTTACATACGACATGCAGAATACACCACGTTTTGCCAAATATGTTTTACCTGCACTCGGAGTCATCGACCTTATGCTAGCTCTTTTTATGATCTACTTCACATTGCGTATAGGTGTGTTCGAGCCGGAAAGTGTTAATAGATATAAGAGCGTAACAGTTGGCTCTTGCATCATTGTTGGAGTTCTCTTACTTTTTACTGTGATCCGGTGTTGTGTATGTGGTGAAGGAGGAAAAGCCGGTTGTACTAAGGGGACGGTCTGTAACATTTTTCTAGCTATCTTCCTTGGTATTGCGGTTTTCATAGCTGCGTTTTACGGCTTCTACACGTATAACTCATTAACGCACGAGCAAAGGTTGCGTATGTCATATTTAGAATATTTAGCATAAGAACTCAATTAATGTAGTAAAATTTTTATATTCATGCGAGTTAACCATTTGACGTGTTGTTTCTGGTGTGCTTGTCATTCCTGTTTTAATAAGAGCGAGATGCTCCAACTGCTTGAACATTTAGGTGAAGAAAAGGTTTCCCCTGGGACGCTCGTTAGCGATACGTGCCGGGGCCCTTTCGTTTTGTGTTATGTCTATTTTCATTTACTGCCTATTAATTAGTATGGTTGTATTTGCTTCAATTTTAATCATTTTATTAACAGTTGGTACCTGTCATTTGCATTGTGGTATACCATTCTACTTTTGTTATATTTTTTGAACTTTATCTATGATTTGGCTTATCGGTTTATCGTCCGTATATTCATTTTGTAACGTACACTCATCCACATATTATTGAGTGCTATAAACCGATATAAGAACGATATACATCTGAATGTGATTGGGAATTAGATGATGGTAAAACGACCAAGTAGCCAGAAACGACGCCAATACGAATGTAGCACTTTAAAATGTGTCCATATTTCGTGTTATGATGTGTTTTGTATCGTTTTGCATCTTAGCACAGACAGCCAATGGGCCACTCAGATTACAAATGATCGAATACTTATGTGCTGTGTTCATCATCAGTGATAGTATATGCCAATAAAGGAACAATATAGATGGTTTGAGGGTAAACCAGATCTGTTAATGTCAGGGTAAGACTAATAATGAATAACTTGTAATTGTACACGGTGGCATTCAAAATAATGGAAAATGTTTTTTTCGAATATTGTTTTCACCACCCAAATCCAGGCATAGATACCTCTTGTATTGCTTCTGCTAAAACTGCTGCTGGAATTTCATTTTCTAATGAGGAATCTTCTTTAGAAGTCTTAGGGGCAGTTGTCACAGCCCCAATGCCCTCGTTGGCAGCTTCCAGTGTAGTATCGAGACTTTTGAAGACTTCATCGGTCTTATCCGCCTCGTGTAGCAGCGCGGCATCATGAATTATGATGCTGTTTAGCTCAGGCTTCTCCTCCAGCTCCTTGATTGGCTCATCGACGGCGGCCTCGGTAATATCTTCAATCATCTTGGTATCTCCGCCATCCTCTAAAACATCAGCTAAACGGGTCTCTGCGGGTTGTTCACCTGAATAAGATTGTGTATGTTTAGATTCAAGCCATGTGCGCTTAAGAATATGTAAGGGAAACCATGGGGTCCATTGAGGGTTACTTTTGCTTAGTGTCACATTTCGTCAACTTACTATATATAGAGATTTGATCATATCCAGGGAGCAATTCTTTCAATTCTTGTATATTTGGAATAGAATCGGATATAACTGACGATGGTGGAGGTTGTATGATTTCGTTGGAGCATGAATCCCCGGCATCCTTACTAGAGCAGCATCCCATTGTGTTTAAAATTTACCTAATGAATATGACTTATTGAATGAACTAAATACGTATCAGATTGACGATGTGGTTAGTAAAAATTTCATCGAATCTGTATTCGCGCGAAAAAATGGATCATTTTATTGAGATCCATGAACCGTATCTTCAAGGAACGGGTATGGAAACCAACATAGGCAGTGAGTTGATATCTTGTGAATGGTTTACTGTTTTGTGTGTTAGATTATTGAACGAGAGATCTACCATACGTCATATTTCTTCAGTGGTGGTATTCAGGTCAGTGAAATAAACGTATTTGCATTCCAGGACCGGCCATTCCAATATGTTAAAAACGGACAATTCAGATCTACCGCCTAGCTTATTGCGATATACACGTTAATATTCAGCGTTTGCTGTATAGTCAGTCATTGACACGCATCTTCTGTACTGCAGAAGAGACATGAACTTTATTATGTAATTTTCACGAAATGTAAAACAAAACATCAATTAAACAAGTTAATGTTGCTAATTAAATGAGCATGTGATACCATAGTCGCATCCTTTGCACCCGCGCATAAGAAGCTTAAAGTCACTGTAGGTTCCGTCTCATTAAACCATGGCCATTAGCCACCATAGAAAGCCATTTTACATTTGAGAATATGGTACGATTAAACGGCGACATTGATGTTTAAAAATGATTTTACGTCTTGTTGGGACATATGCGGTATATTGGCAGCCGGTTAGCTTATTCCTCAGAGTGGGCATCTTCAGCTTCCTCGACAGTTTCAGAGTTTGTTGCTTCCTCAGCCTCGGTTTCAGTGGCGGGTGCCTCTAGGGCAGCGGCATCCTTTGCCTTGATTTCTTCGTAGTAATTTTGCATTTCCTCAAGGGTGATTTCCTGGTAACGTCCGGCAACAGAGCGGAAGAATAGTTGCTTGGGTTCGTTGTCAACGAAAACTAGGAGAAGAACAAGTTTCTGCTCACCGTCAACTACTATAGTTGCACCGGCGAAACGTTGGTTGCATCCGTCAGCACTCCAGAGGGTGTAGTTGTTGTCTACGACCTTGTCCACGTAATAGCAAGATGCGGCGTATACGCTGTACCATGTGATTGTGAGAGCGTCATTTTGTTCCAAAATAAGGCAATCGCTCTTTTCCACTCTGCCGATATCAACGGTGAAACCATTTTGCATGTCGGCGAGTTCAGCGGCGAAACGATCAGCATCAACACCTTCGAATAGTTCGTTCTTACCAACTAGGTAGTGTGATGTGTTTCCAACCTTGACATCTACGAGGGTGTCGTAGCAGTTGCGGTAGACAGTGACTTCGCTGATGGATTGGGCACTATCCTGGTCAACTTCGAAAATGCGGTTCTCCAACCAGTAAAGGGTGGTAAGCCTGTTGGAATCCTTGGGCTTGAAGTGGGTTGGTAGACGAGCAGAGCATCCCTCAGTGGTCTTGGTGATAAGGTTTGTGTTTACTGGTCTGAGGAGATTGAGCGACATAGCGTTGCGGTCACCATGAATCTGGATGCCATCCTCGAAGTTGAACTCCTGGGCGAAAACGCTTACGGAGTTGAGGAAGTAGAATACAACGGCAGCTCCGAAAGAAAGGGCTACCATTTTTACGTCAGTAACTAGTCAATAACAATATACTATGGTCTTTGACGGGCCTGTGTTATTGGGGCTGTCAGTTGATTTTCTTACATTAAATTAGAAAATCCCCAAATTTAGAATTCTATAGCCGATTTCTCGGTGTTCTATGAACCAAGCTGCTATATGGAATTGCTGAAATATAGACCCCTTCTCATTATTCTGTCGCATGCGCCCCCATGACGTGATGTCGAAGTGCAAGATGTCGAGATTGGTCTGCCAAGCTTGTTCTTTGATAGTTTCTTTAGATCTATTTAGACATTAAAATTGTGCGTCATAATTGGTGATTATGGCTGTGCTGATCGCGGTTACTATCCGGGTAGCACCGATGGCGATTGCCAATCATGTCCCGCCGGTCCCTTTTAATTTCGTGATCTCCAATATTCAGCTGCAATATGCAATTATAATTACGCAGCTCTATCGCGGTTATATACGATGATGTCTTAGCTTTCTGCTTTTGACATTACCATGTGTCTTATTGTCACCTGTCTGTGTGTGACTTATTTTATCTGTCACCCTGGTCACTGCGGCTGCTTTCTAGCTACACAGTTCGTATATTTATTGATCTTGCGATAGTGGTTGTACACGAGGCATCGGCGTCAGTTGGTGTATCGGCGACATGAATGCACACCGTCACCCATAGAGACTTTTAATCCACTTCATTTATATGAGAAGGTGTGAATCCGCAAGGTCTCATAGTGAACGTGGCGTTTCCTGCGTTAGGTTAACTTTGTCGCTTTGCTCTCCTACCGTTGGTCAGGGCACGAAGCGCCTTGGTATAACCTAGCACTTGCTTCATTGGTGCCTGGTAAGCATTATATATGCACCAATATCACCCACCTTAGCGATAATGATTGCCATTGTGCCCTCTTCGATATCATTTGTAACACTTTCCATTTCAGCTTGCCTAGCCTTGCGCTGCACCTTTTGTTATTGCTGCAAAATTTGACTCACCAGGTCTGTTACTATGTTTCCAACGTATTCATTAGGTGCCGAAATGTTGAGGGATACAACGGGTTGATAGAGTTCAATCGTTGCCTTGCTGTATATGCTTTTTATTGCCCTTGATGTGATGGCCTTGGCTCCTGTAACCAGTGAATGTGTCACTTCTTAGCTCTACCTGCCACGGTTGAACTTGGTAACAACTTGATTTTCGCTATTTTCATCTGTAGGATCAATGTATATTGCAAGATTTTGCTTCAAACCTTTGTGTTGATCATAGAACCGCCAATAAGTGGCCCTGCTGCCAATGCATTATGTAGTAGCTGCTTAACATTTGCGACGATATCCCTGGTTTTACTATCAGATAACAGAGCATCATTGTTTTGAATCTCCGAACCGTTGGTGTTCAGGAATACGATATTTTGATCATCCACCTGAAATGATGTTACGTTTGATCTAACTAGGAACTACTTGACACATGGTTGCGTTATCCGTCTGGTCATCAACCACATATGAAGATGTTGCCTTGCGCTCATCTGATTAGAATTATCACAAAGATTTCTGAATCATACCTTTGGAGGTGTCTATAGGTTCCATGATGAGGTGTATGCCAACGTGCGTTTTATCTACATTATAAGTCACTTATAAATGCAAATAAGCTACCCTCTGGGATTGTAGAATCCGTATAGAACGATGTTTCAACAACATGTGCCGGCGATTCCTAGAAGATGTGAACGGTATTTATATAGGCTTGCCTTAAATGCCACCTTTAGCTTCTCTATATTCACCGGTATTCCTGTGCAACTATGTGATATATTTCATGAGTCCTACCATAATCATCTTTTAGCAGTTCAGCAATTATTTCTATATGGAATTCTCCATATCCCCCTACTATTAGGCTATCAACATCTTCGTCATATTTGTAGTACACGGTAGGATCTTCTATTTTTATTTTCTCCATTGCATCTAAAAGATTTGCCTTGTCATTCTCTGTATGTCACTGGTATATTCAAATATTTAGAGCCTACCATTTTTGGGGTTGAATGTGGCAAAGCATACGTACTTCGTCTCTGCATTGACCTTTGATGAGAGTGCGCTGAACTCCTTTGGCAATGACTGTTTGGGATTTGTGCATAGCACATGACCGGTTCTGACATTTTGCATCCCGCTAACCATTGCAATATCACCTGCGACAGTGCCAATAGCATGCTGTATTAATTTACCTTCGACTATTCGGTTACGGGCTTGATAGGTGTTTGCTTGTATTTTGTATATTTTACTAGATTGTTCAGCTTGCCTCAGTGCCAAATTATGAAACCTCATCCCTGGCGTCAATGTACCTGTGCGTTTTATGCAGCCTTATTCTGTCATACCTGTAAGCACCTTGCAGAAGGCATCTACTTGAGAAGGTCCATTACGAACGGTCTTAAAGGTGTAGAGTACTGTATCATCTCTTGTTGAAGATTCCGATATGTTCAGTGACCTTGGATGCGGGAAGAAGAGGCATACGGCATCGAGTAGTTGGTCAACACCTGCTCGAGTAACCGCTGATCCACATAGTACTGGGCTCACTACGAATTATGCATATCCATGGCTATAAAACATTACCATTCCCTATATGCACATGCTGTGCAAGGCTCTGGACTAGTGTATTTGCTGGTACAAATCCATCAGTCAGGTAGATGTCCGCGATTTGTTCATCGATATTGCAGAGACAATCCGTCAGCGTTTCCATCATATCAGTATATTCTGGACCGCTATATTCGTTCCTTTGAAAAAGGGAACCAGTAGCTGTTTGTGCAGCATTATTCGATTTTTTAGGTACATTGATCAGTACCGTGTTAGTTCGCAAGTGCTTCCGTATCGATTGTATGTTATCTTCTATAGATATTCCAGGTCTATCTATTTTGTTGATGAATATGATTTTGGGCATTTTTCTCGGTAGTGCGGCATTAAGATGCCTTGTTTGCGCTTGTACTCCCTTAGTGCCATCGATTACGATAATACACCCATCAATGACATCCATGGCGTTGAATACCTCTCCGCTAAAGTCCGTATGCCTACAATATGATTAGGTGGCCGTGTTTTTAGAATTACAAGACGCATACTTACCCCGGAGTGTCTATGAGATTGATATGACAGTTGTTCCATGTGAAACTGGAGCAGGCAGATCGTATGGTAATCCCCCTTTTGATTTCCTGTATGTACAATGTTTGTTTTTATATGGGTTGTACATCTTAAAGTGTTATGTTGCTCTTAACATTGTTTCCACTATGTACAAATTACCAACCTGTTCCATGAAGTCCAAATGAATATCCACATTTGTTCCGGTGCCAGTTTTATAACGTATATTCGCACTTTCTATGAGGGATTCCGCTAGTGTTGTTTTTCCTGCGTCAATATGCGCAATGATTCCGATGTTTCTGATATCCTTGGCTGTGTATCATATTAGCATGTTTATTTGGCAAATGAGGATTACTGCATTAAAAACTTAAGGCCTGATGCAACATACTTGAGTACGAATCCTTCTTATAATTGGCATTAGAAGTGGATAGAAGCCTCCTGATGTATCGTCTATTGAGTTTGTTGATATGGCATATAGGTTCTGCCACCTTTATCGCTGCCCCCAAGGCACGTGCGACGCTCATTTCGCATAACATCAGCCGTATAACGCTATATAAGGAGGCCTGTATTCGCAGAGATTCATGTGTACGGCTTTACGGTATGAACGCGCAACATGGCCACTGTCAGTATGGTCTTTCGTTGACACATGAAACTACTCGATTTCCTTGAACTTGCACTTTACAATATTATTCAATCTAAATATATAAAATGTGTGCGCGTATTACAGGGTTTATCGTGGTAAGTGCTTAGTATAGTTGTTTTTTGCCTTGCAATTTAATGTAAACCAATCTTATGGCAAACATTGGACAGTACAAGTACGGATGCTACAGTTAATCTAGGCGTATGTGGTATTAAAATTGCTGATTGTGTTCCTGCTGCAAATCTTACAGCAAGTACGTTCTGACTTAGCTATAGACAGTAACTAGTGTCCAACACCAATACGATTTAATGGACATTATCATCATATTCAAATCCTGTTAATCGTCCATTGACAAATTTTTGCGACATAGTTCAAGTTCAGCAAATTCTTGTGGTGACACTGGCGGTAGTCCCTTGAGTATCAATTTGTTATTTACGACGTGTAATTCCGATTTGCAATGAGCCCTGTATTCTGCTGCTGCATAGAATTCCAAAACACAGTTGGTGCACTTGAAAACCTTTTTCTTGTCATTTTGATTGTTTGGTGTTGTTACCGTAGTTGCAGCTGTGTTTAGGGTCAGTTGCTTCATCGAAGTGTCTATCTCACTAGTGTCTGATTTTGGGGTGTAACCACCAACTTCTTGCACTGCAGTACTCTCGTTATCCTCTAAAGGTGCCAGTCCTCTGTTCCCTGCGTCTTTAACATTGAGTGCCACTAGTTGTAGTGAGCCTGGTGGTTGCAATGAGTGCGATACAAAATCTTCGATAGCACGATAAAGCTTTGTGCAACAAAGGAACCTTATATTTACAACTGCTTCTTGTTTCTGTCCTCTAGCCTTTCTTGCCATATCTCTTTCTGGAGTGGTTGTAGATTCGTGGTCTGTTGCAGTGTCCTGTTTGTCTGCGTGGTTTTTGCCTTGTGAGTGATCAATATTTTCTATATATGCGTTGTTTTCACGCAAGAACTGTAGAACATCATCTCTTTGTCCGTTTGCACATGTTATTTTGAGTCTCATTTGTGAGCGTGCGATTTCGTTTGGGTATAGTTGTTGTAGATGAGCAAGTGCCTTGAGCGCCTGTTTTTTTGCGGGTTCTTTTAAGGTAACACTGAAAGCACTGGCCTTTAGAGTATTCTCGATAAGGCTGCTCGTTAATGGATGTCCTGTTTTGGGGTTGATTGATACTTCACTAAGTATCGTGACTACATCCTTAAACATTGCTTGTAGCATCTGTTTTCTTTCCTCCTTGCTGACTTGCATTTCCCCCTTATCGAGTATTTGCTTGCATATTGTATCTATTTCCTTTGTCCCAAATACTTCCAAAAGTTCGTCAGTTTTCGCGAGTTTCCCTTTGGTTATACTGGTGAATATACATGGGCTCTGTAGTACCTCCTGTATGTCAGTTTCGACACCTGTACATCCATAATAAGGGTCAAAATGATATATATGTGTGTCTAGTGTTTCTATTAAGTTGACTTACCGGATCTCCAGTTGAGTACCTTGTTTTTATAGCAAGCAATTTCGAATCTGCTACCTCCTATCTTCAGTCGCACAGTGGCGACGTTGGTCAGTCTGACCTGTCCGATAGGTTGAAATAGGCCACACATGGTTTTGTGTAGTGCCTGATTGATGTAACTTGGCACCTGTTATAGCCTTTATTTCGATAATTCTAGGTTGCCGCGCTATCCTATGGACACCCTCGGTAGTTGGGTCCCCGTATCGAGCGGCTTCCCTGACTTATCTTCCACATTAACATTGGAATCATTTTTTAATGTTTGCTTGTTGATGTTAAGGTTGCTAGCTAATCATTATTTGATTTCTAGTTAACTGTGAGCGTTATGGAGGGAGCTTTCGAACCCATTTCATGGCATATGTTATGTTATTTGGGCGGATTCGGTCGTCTATAAATTACCCCAGTATATATAATAACTGTGTGTATGTTTGTGATTTGTTGGCTACTAATCTTTGACCTAGTCTGTTGAGCTTCCACGTGGAAGGTTCTCCGTGTGTCACTTCTATCGTTTCATCTGTTTCTGTGACAATGGATGCCACCGATGATGTGACTGATGACTTGCTTAGTTTCCCAGGTTTCATCAGGCGTAATTTATTGTTGATGCGTGAGTTGGATGTGAAGTTCGTTTCACTTTTGAACGATGCTAAAAATCGAGAGAACGATCTTCTTTCTACGTTTTCAGATAGTCCACCTGAAGCTGCTACTGTAGCCGAACCTAAGTCAGAGCCCTCAACAGCTCCGGTTCGTCGTCAGGGTTCGGACGCCGATAAGAGTTCTGGTCCAGCAAAAGGCCGTTCGAAACAGAAGCAATCTGCAGATCCTAAGGCTAAGAGCTCTGCTGCTGATAATAAGCGTCAATGTCGTGGCGGTGGAGCTAGTGCTAGTGCATCTAACGCAACTACACCTTCTCCTCCACCTGATAATGATAGTGTCTCCTCGAATGCTGGTTCTCCCATTGTGAATGCTACAACTCAGCAGGAGATCGAAGCCATACAGAGCCTTCGTATGGAAGCTATGTATCTGATGCAGGAGAAGTTGGCTATCAACGATCAGGTGGCGTGTATGCTTAAGCATGAGTATGAGAACCTTAAGGTTCTCTTTGACAATATGTACCGTGAGATGGAGACTACGGGTCAGATGACAGAGAAATTACGTATGTCATTTACTGTAAACAAAGCTAAACCGGCTAAATCAATTGAAGCTGTATTATCTACTACAGAGCATGAGATTTTGGGTGTGAGTGAGTCGTCTGGTGCTGCTACTCGTCAAGAATCCTCTGAATCCAAAACTCCTGCGACTAAAACTGGTGACTCACACAGCAATGCTGCTAGTTCATTGAAAGATGAACCTTCTGATTCAGTCGACTCTTCGAAGACCTGAATACGTCTGGCTTGGACCGAGCAGTGTACCTGCTATGACTTTGATCTCTAATATTGTAGTTTTGGGTGACTTAACGGTTCATAAAAGTTATCACTATAAGTTCTAATTATATATATAAGTGTTATGTAAAATTTTAATGGTTTTTTGTAATTTTGTTGAAAGTGTCAATTTTAGTATTTTTGCCGTTCTTGTTGATTCAAATATTTAACAATATCATGTTCTGTGAAAAAAATTTGTCTTATATGGGTGTCATTTTAACCAAAACCATGTTTGGTTGACTTGTTACGTCGTCGCGCGTTGCTGCTAAAATTTCATCGCAGCGGGAATATGGTCTGCGGCGCCTGGCATAGCTCGTTGCCCAATTAGCCAAATATGAGCGGGCCATGAGGGTCATTAGACCATTGTATCGTTGAATATCATCGCAAAGACACTATATATGTCAATTACTGTATTTTCACTCATAGAATAGATCGTTTGCCATGTTTGAGTGTGTAGAATCTTTGGTCGCACATTGGTATTATTGCGAATATTCCAATTCTAATAGAATGTCTAATTGATACAGATTGGTTTGTTTCTCATGTGGTCTTTGCATCTGGGCGGCAAACTACTGGATAGTCGTGTATTCCGTAGGATCCCGTTTTCAGCATCTTCACGGTTAGAGCAGTGTCCATCTTTTGAAAGTGGGCGTCTCCGCTGTCTTCCGAAAGAGAAAAGGTGTTCCGCCTCTTCATTTAGCCCATCGTTGGACGCGCGGCTACGGCGGGTTCAGTCTTTACCTGAGTTGCGTCAAGTCTGCTTCCCTACAACTGACTTTCCGGGTGAGTAAATAAATTATATTCCAATTCACTGTTGTAGAAGGTGCTAAGTTATCATCGTCTCAAGTGTCTGCGGTTGGCCAATTATACGCTTTGCGGATAATTGAGTCCTCTGGCGTGCTGCGCCATCCGTTAGGTGCGGGTCCAATTGAGGACGTGGATTTTGCGGAATGTGTCACATGGCATTTGTTAGGGTTATTAGAACATTATACTACCAACGGGGAGTCTTCAATCCCCCGTAGCAAGCATTTAGTCGGTCTTGCATGGTATTCAATGAAGATTGCAAGTAGTCTTGCAACAAGTATCGAAAGTGTATCAAAGGATTTTGTTAGCAAGAGTTTAGATAAAAATTCGTTGTGTGTTTTGATTTCACCTGAGTCTCCTTTGTCAAATCAATATTTGTCTCGATTATCTCTAATTCGACGTTGTATAGAGGTTGGTAAAGGTATTCTATCGAGGCTAGGCATCGGCTCTATTAACCTGAACGGCAAAGACGTTCAGCAATTGTTGATGTTATCTTGCGAGAAAGTGTTTGTCAAGATGTCGTCAAATTCAGAATCGAACGATCAGGAAGTTAGAATTTCACCTGATTTAGAACATGAACTGGAAGAGGCTCGTCGTGCTGCACTACGTTCTATAGAAGGTTTGGCGGAACAATATGCTCAGGTGATGAGTGATTCTGAGCTTTTGAGTGTATTTGTTTCATGTTGCAGTAAGGATGTAAGCCCATCACTAGTTTCTTTTCTTGCTCAGTCTCTTAGGGATCGAGCTGCCAGTGGCGTTCTCGATGTATCATTACGCGATTGTACTGCAGTATTCAACATTAGCAAGGCGTACCCCGTTCCTACGGAGGTCACGTCTCTGTTGATGTCTCAGCTTGAATCAAGTTGCTTATTAGCCTTTGAGGAATCTCCGGCATTACGTGATGCTGCTACTGCAGCGCTGAGCAGGAACACTTCTTCCGGGACTACTTCTGATGATACTGAAGAAGTGCGTCCACTAATTTATAAAACGCCGTTTTCTGATATAGGGCGTTTTAGCAGGTCGTTATATCATTTGAGTTGCAGTTTCACATTGCTGAGAAATATCGACCGAGTGTTGTCTTCTACTTTGTCATCTACATCATTTTGTCGTCGTTTAAGTTCAAGAGGTCGTCCTAATTCACGTAGTTTAAGCCCTGGAGTGCTCACCATTTCGTCAATCGTCCATTTATTGGCGCGTAATAACTACCGTTCACCTGAGTCTCTGGAAAAGGTTCTGGTCGTGTGAGTTTTATTACGTGTACCCCAGAACCACCCTGTGCAGTATGCCTGTAATCCCGTGGGATGTAACTGCGCAGGATGAGATGATTTTGCTTGCTGATTTGTGTTGGAGTCTTCTAACTCTTGAGATTGAAGCATGGCGTCTTGGTGAATTTTTGGACAAGTTATTGAGTCGTCTAGACACAATGCCTTTGAAACATTGTGTAAAGCTTCTAGGAGGTTTATACAATTCTATGAATTCGGCTTCAGGATACCGTGCGGACCTCGATGTGAGTGCAACGCACGATCGAGTGCCCATGGATGATCTGCTTGCCTATACGCTGAATGATGGATGTGATATGGCCACGCCAGATGTGAACGCTATTATTTACCCTGAAGCTTTCGGCAACCTCAATCGAGATCCACATCGTGACTGTGTATTTCGTTACATGCGATCTCTTCGTGCTCTTTATATGAGCCGTTTTAACGTGTGTTGTTTATAACATACATGCTCATTTTTATTTCAGGAAGTTGAAGATTTACAAAATTTGTCAAACTTCATGTTTTACGTCACATCGATTTTGGGAGACCTGACTCATGTGGATTATACGAGTTTATGTCAACGTTGGCTTGAGATATCGGTTTTACGTGGGACTACTACTAAGGTGGAGGGTTTAAGCCAGGTGCTCTGGTCACTTCAGAAGAGTCGTATATATCACGAAGCTCTACTTTTGCGTATCTGTGATATCGTTAGTTTACCAGCGTTGATATAAACCATTGTTCAGCTCCACGAGAAGATCGATTCGTGTTCTATGGGTCAACTGGCATTGATGTCTCACACATTATTGACCTTTAACATGAATACTCCGCGTATGATGGTTGCCCTGTTGAACCGTGTAGAAGAGCTTGCGGATGAGGGGTCCGGTGCTACTGGTATGGAGGTGTGGGAGCTGAAGTTCACCTCTGTTCTTTGGTCGATTGTTTTATCTGACTTTACGTTATTAGAGGACTCGGGTATCTACAGGTTACTTCGTCTATTGAGGAGAGTTGATTGGGATCGTTTCATGCAGGTATGCCGGCACCAGGATTTGCGTAAGGTGAGCGTATTTATAAAAATTTTGTGACCCAACACAGATATTGCAAATTCAAACTAGTATCGATGTGGAGCTTCAACAGTCTCCATGCTACGATCTTCCGCTTGAATATGTCGATGTGATCCCTAACTATGTGATCTCTGCAGCGATCCGTGATACTCAATCTGTGAGGAATAGCGCTCCACTTTCAGCTTCGCAAGATAAAGCTCGTCGTTGTTTCAATTCGTTAGGGGTGCGCTTTCGATGTGAATACGAGATTTATTATGGTATAACCGTGGATTTCGCATTGAGTCGTAATCGGCGTTCTGGTGATTTTCTGCCTGATTTGGTAGTGGAGATTGACGGTCCACATCACTACAACATCATTTGGTATAGTTTCTACTGTGTGTATTATAGCATTATTCAGCGGTGACGGTAACACGTCCTATTTGCATGGCGGTACACTTCGGTTACTTCCGAACGGTAAGACGGAGTATCGTAACAGGTTAGTGCCTTTTGCATTATAAGTCATAATTTTTGTGTAGAATCCTTCGCAAGCTTGGTTATAATGTGGAGTCTATTTCTTGGATCGATGCTCACCGCCGTGCGATTCATGAGACTTTGCATGAGATTTTGCATCGTCACCACTACTGTTTCAAACGAAGGTGATATTGTAGTATCTTTGTATTCCTAGCTGTTGCATTGCTGCAGTTGTTAATTTATGGGTAAGATATTACGTACCGAATTCTTCTGTTAGAGCGTGTGCTGCGCGGGACATGTATTTTTTTTGGGCTCATAACCTACTGAGTTTATCCAAGTGTTGTATGACTTCATCAAGGGGCATCGTGTGTTTTTTCGGGTCCTGTCTATTGTACAGGAAGGCAGCTATTTCCTTTTTACGATAGTTGGTGGCGAACTCTGTATATATAAGGAACTGGTTGTCAGTTATATTTGTTATAACCTGTGGCGCCATCCGTGCTATTTCGCATCCTTTTGCAACGGACACCTCCACCAGTGCACGTGGTTTGGGTTCTCCCTTGAGTAGCTGTAGTACTATCTGTTCCCATAAAAGATCAGTTTTATCCCATAGTATTTCCAGGAATGCGTGTACACATGCTACAATGATCTCTGTACAGAATGCTATTGCTGTTTATACTGTCCTTACTTTTTTTTACGGGATCGCTGTGGAATTTGTGAAGCATGAACGCAAAAAACGGGTCCCCCAACTGTGCATATTTAGAATAAGTTTGGTTTATACCTACTGCTCCAGCTGCTGTTACATCTTTAACCTTGCTCTGATATTGTGTATCAATGTTAGTGAGATCTACGACCTCCTATCAACGTATTTAAGATCTCGTTTGGTATACTAACCCAGTTGAGTGCTTTTCTGATATTTTCGATTGCATTTTCGTCAGTTGCATGTCTGAACTGCCGTCCTTCTGGCATTTGTCGCACAAATTGTCGAAGTGTATTAGTGACCGTTGTTTGTGTCGGTATCCCATCTCCCTCATACATGTTAATCATTGCTATGGTGAATATTCCTAGGTCTCCTCCTGTGTATATTGAGTGTGATATAATTTGTTAGTAACCTGGTGCATAGAAGGATTTTCCTTCTACTCTTCCGTCCATGGCAGATAATGGCATATTTTCCACATTTTTGAAATCTTCATGTGGAATGAATTGCATTGAATTGAGTAGCAATTTGTATTCGTCATCATCATGTTTTCCATGTGTCCTTACTTTTATCTTTGAAGGGTAGCTACCAACTATTTCATGTCTATTTGTGTCAACTTACCAGAGCCCCCTGCTAAGATATACCATGTTTTCCAATGAGTTGACATCTAACCATTTATTCTATATCAATGATGTAACTTACTTGCTGGGCAGTTACACGTTGCTCGATATGTCTGGTCCCTGATGACCACAATGCCGGTAACGGTATTCTCATTTTGTGCCTCGCGTTGAACTCTGGCAGCCGCAAATGCCAATATATATTGCGATAATGCGATACAGATGGCCACCATCCGTATTGGCGGCTGTAATGAACAGTTCTAAGTTATCTACGTGTCCTTCTTCCCTCTTTGGAGGTAACAGTTCAACTACAGTTCATCCCCGGTATCATATAAATGTGTTGCCTTGATTTTCCCGAATTTATTCTTTTCCTTTTTTCCCAGAACCCTTATATTGTTAACTGTCACATATATTGCTTTATCCTAGAATATCGCGTGAAGTTCCGCGGCTTAATGTATTCACACACTGGTGTAGAAACTAAGTTTATTGACCTTCCATGTACCAAAATCTAGATAATACCACATTTCACTATGTTTATATCTATTTAGTGTACAATAGTGATGGGCGTGATGAAATTAGATTGTGCAAGTTGTAAGGTTCATGGTATGGAGCGGTACTCCATGTAGGTGTATTTTTTAAATACAGATTATTTTATTTATATATATGCGACTATCAACAACATTAATTGTTTGCGTCCATTTGTTATATATTAAGTTCGTTCCAGAACCGCTCACTTCTTCTTGGTGACACCCACAGTCCTTCCATGTCGTCCAGTGGTCTTTGTGTGCTGACCACGTGTTCTGAGTCCCCAGTAGTGTCTGAGACCTCTGTGAAGACGCATCTTCTTCATGCGTTCTAGGTCCTCACGTAGACATGTGTCTAGCATGTTAGCTGTGTTGTGTAGGTTCTTTCCTTCCTTGTAATCCTTCTGTCTGTTAAGGAACCACGCTGGTATCATGACATCGGCGGGTGAGCTGATGATAGTGATAATTTTGTTGATTTCGTCATTAGTGAGTTCTCCTGCCCTCTTGGTGACATCAACCCCTGCTACCTTGCACACTACGGTGGCCAAACGTCTCCCGATACCCCTTATAGCGGTCAACGCAACGGTAACCTTCTCACGTCCATCAACATTTGTGTTGAGTATACGGAGAATGTGTTGGAACTGATCAGATGCAGTGATATGTAGCGCCATCTTTGTAGAAACCTGGGAAATATATTAATAATTGAAGTATGAATGTTGTCAGTAGATGGAATGGAGAGAGAGGGTTTGAAACAGCGTGAAATGGCTTTACCGGTAACGACACCACAAAGGGTTTATGTGTTCCTAGGATCGTTTTGATCCTAATAACCACTTTTAAGATGCCCAAATTTAATTTAACAACTTATGTGTTGTTAAATTTCCAGGTTCAGGCTATATATCCAGCGGTATGGCCTCCGACCTGTTGGTCGTGCGGTTTCATTTCCGTGGTTTCGCCATGACACACGACCCTCTCTTGAATAGCAGGTACATTAAGTAGATAAAACTTACCTATAATATGTAGATGGCAAAAAGTTGGATAATTGATGTGTTTAGCCTTGTAGTGTCGCTATATTTCCTTTGCTGGGGTGCGGGCGGTCTCTCGAGCCCATGGCCGGTACTAAGACTGAAATACCTAACCACAAAGCCTATACACACTGTAGTACCATATAACTGTATTTGTAAATAACTAGTTTCTAGGTGTTACTACGAAACGTCTATTCGACGACCAACGACTGTCCAACATCAATTACGTTGCTACTATTAGCATATGTATATTAACGGTCATATCTTAGATAACACGTGTCCTTTTTGTGTGGGTTAGAGTACGATATAATCTAGTTGAATATGATGCCGTCGAACTTTTCTTGGAACCATTTCATGGCGTCCTCTTTTGTCACTTTATGTTGTTTCCCTATCTTGGACTTGCACTTTCTGCGTTTAGTAACACGGTATCCGGGCCTAATGAGTTGGACATAGAAGTCCATACCGTAGATACCAGTAGAAGGGTCATATTTAAGTCCAAGATCGATGTGTTCTTGGATACCGAATCCAAAGTTTCCGGTGTTTGAAAAGTTCTCACTCTTGAGTTCATATTCCTTAACCTTGAGGCCTCTTTCTAAAAGCTCAAGTGCCTTTTTACCACGTACAGTAACATGGCAAGCGATTTTTTCATTTCTCCTAATACCAAGTGACCTGATGGTGAATCTGGATTTAGAGAATACAGGTTTTTGTTCTGTCAATTGTTCCAACACCTTTCCGGCACGTGTAAGACGATCTCCAGACTATATCGATATTAGACTTTTAGAATTGTAGACCTACCTCTCCAACACCTACGTTAAGGACGAGCTTTCCGATTTGGATATCACGCATCACGTTTTCTTGCACCATTTTCTGCACATGAATTATACAGATGGATATGTGTAAGAGTATGCGTCGTATTTCCTGTGGTTATAAGGTTCAGGGTGGATACAGCCTCTCGCACCGGGCGGGTTACCGTCTGGTTCTGGCCGCTAGGCTCTTATAGTGTTTAAAATGAACCTACCTCAACTTTAATAGTTCTTGGGCAAGATTAAAAATGTAAAGACATGTGTTACCATATATGTTTGTGGCTTTCGCACATGAACCAGGTTTGGGGAGCGGCGCGACCCAACATTCCCGACTCCAGTCCAGTCCCCGGTAACAGAGACTATTAAGACCTTCCAACACCTAATACCGCACCCAAGCTATCTAAGAGTAATATACCTGTTGGCATTGACGGTTAACTCGAATTTCTGAGTTACCCGGTTTCAGGGTGTTGTCGTTACCAAATTACTATTTAGTACACCAATTTCTTGTACATACATAATCATTACTATCTAACATGTAAAACTATATAGAATAAGCTATATGTAACTGTATAATTCTATAGGTTTTCTCACAGTATTCAATATTATATTTGCAATTTCTACTTTTTGCTAATGAAAATCGTTCTAAAATAATCTATATTACATAGATAGTGGAGAGTTTGGTTAGTTCATGACACCTCTTCCTAGTTTCTTATTCCTCTTAGAGGGTTTCTTTTCCCGTTTCTTCTTTTTGACAGGGACCGTAGTTCTAGTCTCCTTGAGGTCACGCAACTGTTGCTTAGTCATAGCTCGTTTGCGCATCTGGCGTTCCTGCATATCGGCCAGTAGGTTGAAATATCCCGCCAATCTGCGTCTCTCATATCGTTTGAAGAAGGTTGGTGTAGGGACCTTGTACATATTCCTTATTTCGTCTAGATATGCAGATGTGAGTATCTTCGACCTTTGCCGTAGCGCTGTGGATACGTTTATTTATTGTTATAGTCACTAACCGCTATTGTTGGAGAGGACTTTTTGCCTTGTGCTGCGTTCATGTATGTTGCGCAGTTGTTGCCTCTGTGAACGGTTGTATCAGTTATACAATTCAAATCTTACAACAAATGCCTCCTTATCGAATGTAGAGAGTGCTCGTCTAGTGGGACCTATGAATATCTTGTAAAAATTGTCTGGAGATATCCCTTCTCCTGGGTCCAGGTCCTTCAGACGGTCAACAACCCAATGCAGTTTGACTTGGACCTCTTCACGCTTGATCACTTCCTTGTCATTAGTGAAGAAGTCCCAAAACATATCCAATAGTGCCGGATGAACCCCTTGCCTATGTACCTCGTAGTTTACACTTATAATGGCGGTACTCAATGGGAATTCATCTTTTGGTCTTGCGATCTATATATGTATATATTGTGTTTAGATAAGGGTTGATTATTTACCTGATGTATGCTACGGTATGTGGGCAGATCCTCTCGTCCTTCCTTGTATCCCCGGAATAGAAACCATGCTGTAAGGGATGTTGATGTAGTTTAGCAAATTCACCTCTCCATAGTCGGACCTTATCCATAAAGAATATGTCACCATATCCCGGTGCATAGAACCTTAACTTATATTCTATATTGTGATTAAATTGGTCCCTGGTCAGTTGGTCCTTATTTCGGAATAACCTTTGCGTGAGCATTTGGGGTGTCAAGGATTGTGAGCTTATTGGAGGCAACGGATCGCATACACGTCCACATAATTTCCATAGCTCATAACGGTCCGGTGGTACCTACCATCGTCATATATATATTGACACTATATAAGTCTTACCAATCCAAATGGTGGATCAATACCTATGAGATCATCCCTAGTGATTGTTTCTTTTTTGAATAATGTCAGGTACGGGCTTGATTCCTATAGGATATTGAAATTATTATTGACATTATGTACCTCTACATGTGTATGTAGTGCCAGATTCTCTACATATGTCTTTGAGTCCGTAACTGCGATATGTGCTCTGTAGATTTTTTCAATCTGTTCCTTTTGTTCTTGAGTAAGTGTAACTTTGCCTCTTCCAGTTATAACTGGTTTCTTCGGTTTCTTCTTTTGTTGCATAGAACTTTTAGAACTACGTTTACGGTCAGCTTCACACGGCTGTATCAGCCGTCTTCCTTCATGAGGATATAGAAATGCGCCTTCCACGTAACCCTTCCTTGCGATAGGTCCACATATAGATGTGCCATTGCCATATTGTCTATACATTTAGATGTTGGACCCATAACGTGTGGATATCTACGTACCTGTATAATGTAGTTTCTGCGTACGAGATACCATATATCAACGCAATTGTGATATATAGGCTATAAAACATGGTAATACATTTGCGCTATATGCGCGCCATTTCAACTCAGATTAGTATAATAAGTGGTTGACCCGCGCCTACACACCACCGGCACATCTACCAGTCACAACCTTCTACACAAAATTATCGTATCACTTTTTCGGGAATACTTCGCCGTGCTCCAAATAGTAGTTTCGAGTGACAGCAGCCTCTAAGAACGCGCTGTCATCACGGGCAAACAGTCTAGCTCCATAGAAGGGTGTAAGGGCCCTGTCTCCCGCGAAGTAGATTTGTAGCTCCCAATCTACAGGCAGCAGTTTCCTAACCTCGCTATACAATCGTTCCGGGAAACCTGGGAACTTGGTACTGCCTCCAGTGAGTAGAACGTTGCTTGCCAATTGTTTTTGTACGCATTTTGGCGCAAGTGCGATACTACGTTGTACTAGTTCAGCGATTCCACACTCTTCTACATGTAGATCTTGCGGGTTGAACAACAGCTCGGGGACTGCAAACCGCTCAGTAGATAGATGAACTACCTGGTTACTTGGCTTCTTGTCATCCTTTGGTTGCTCTTCAGCTGGTGTATGCTCATCACCTGCATTAGCAGATCTGGCGGATTCGCCGCCTTCGGTTACGAATTGCTGTTCTCCATCTTCATCGACGTGTTGAACACCCAATGCCTCTAGGTCATCCTTGGAGAGTTCATCACTCTGTGCCAGCTTCTCCACAACCTCGTGGCGGTCGTCTGTCAACAGTGGCGGTGGCGTGGGACTATAATTATGGAAATGCCTCATAACTTGTGCCTTGCCCTTGTGGGTATATAGTGGTAGTTTATATTCATGGGTGAGACATGCGTGGCCTTTTATGGTACGTAGTCGTGCTGCTGCTTTCAATTCGAGGTCGAAATCACTAGAGACATAACACGCTTCTTCTTTCATGTGTTGTACCAGTAGTTCGTTGAACTCGAGGTTAACAGTACGCATCGCCGATATATTTTTGAGATATGCATTAAGATGTGAGCCGCCCAATGAGCTCCTTAATGCGGCACGTTGTATCGGTTGCCCTTCAACAAAGGGTACACAATGTGTGGTACCGAATCCACAATCAACAACTAGACAACACTCTGTAGATTGTCGATATATTGGTACTTCCGGGTATGTATTGAGGATGACGTCGGGATACATTGCAGCATTCTGGCTCCTGCCGTTCATGTAGTACCAGTTACTTGCCGCTTGCGATGTTATAACAGCGGCGAGTGAGAATCCCAGATCCTCAAATATAAGCTCAGCCATAGTTTGCCTACACATCTCAGGGCACATATTCGGCTCTGTGATACATATAGCTGTTGTCGCTGGCGATACTCCCAGGATATTAGTTGGTACTCCATTTATTGCGATATGTGGGTTTCCCATGATCTTCTTCCATATTGTACGCTGACGATTAGGCTCGTATAGTAGACCCTCTGAGCAAGGTCTTAGGCAGAAATACTCCCATAGCCCATAACACCCATCGCCAATAGCATCTATATGGTCTTCCGCAGTCGAAGTTTCACCCAGTGCAGCTTCTGCCAAACTTTGGGCAGTAAACTTGCGTTTAGGCTGTCCTATACAGTTTGGTAAAACAATGGGCGGTTTATAGCTGGATGCAAGTGAGAACTTTAAAGAACCGGAACCGTTATCTAGTACCACCCGCGGCAACGCCGCGTATGCAGTGGCATCCATTTGATACTAGTTGTCCCGCAAAAGCGGGGATACCAAATAACCTAAAGTATCAGCCGTACTATAAATTGTGGCATTATACATTGAGCTTATATATGTTATAGTTGATAATTTGTATTGTTAACAGCGCGATTATGTGAAATATCAGGATTCTAGTAGGGGCTGTGACGGTAGATAGGTAGACGTCGATAGCTATCGGGATGGGCACACACTAGGTGTGAGTGCCCACTAGAGTGTTTGGTTTGTTTAACACACATAGAAGATTTTGCGTTTATTTTTTATATTTAACGCCTACTAGGCGACGGTTAAACCTGCCACTATTCTCTGCGTATGATTTGCCGACGGAACCGTCGGCCGAGTATCCGCAGAGTATAGGTGTGTTTCTATTCCCGTTCTCCAGGGATATACCATGGATTTTATTGTATACACTTGAATTCTAAGTGAGTACTCGATGCAATTTATCCCAAACTATCGCACTTTCTTGGTACTAATCAAACAAGGAACTGCATAATTCCATAATGTTCGCAAAAAGCGTATCTCCTAGATTGACAAGGATCTCTAAAAGATGAAATCATTGATTGTAGCCCTAACACCCAAGGGTGTAACGGGTTTTTTGGCAAGTACGGGTATCGCGCTACTCGTTCTTGGTGTGGCACTCATTATAGGTTGCAGGGAACATCCACACTGCGAGGTTCCTTATGATGTTGTATCTGGTCAAAGTGGCATCATTGAGTTCACAGCAGATGCCTGCCCTCAGCTTCGTGCTCCACTTAAGGGAAATTATGGCCTATACTACAAGCTCAATGGCTACTACCAAAATCACAAGGATTACAGGCGCAGTGTTGATTATAACCAATTATATGTACGTTATACCTATATTTGGTCATTTTGCTGCAGGGTCTAGTTGTCACTCGTGAGGCCGATCTCTCAAGCTGTGGTTCGTACCTAACAGATTACCATGGCAAGATATATCACCCTTGTGGTGCGGTTACTCGTACTGTATTTACAGACCGTTTCACATTATATCGTGATGCTGACCTCAAAGAGGAGATTCAGTTGGACGAAAGTCGTGAGGCAATTTGCAACCGTTCCGGTGTACATTGGTTATTCAAGAACCCAAAGCCACAACATCAATTGCAAAGCCACAACAAGGTCAACTTCTGGTTAAAAAACCCGGTGTATCGACGAGCACTCAATATGGACAAAACTGGTGTTGGTGAAGGTGTGGAAAACTCACACTTCATCAACTGGGTGGAACCTGCATCTACTTCTACATTCAAGAAGTTGTACGGTATATTCGATGGTGGCGAAGGCCATTTCCCGCTATATGTTAACATCGAAGTGACACACCCTATTGAATCAGTAGGTGAGTTACCTAACCTCCTCTCTTTTTTTATCATTATGCAGTGCGCAAGAGTGTTGTTATTGAGAAGGCATCGACCCTGACTAGTGTTGGTTATACTATGGGTGTTTGCTACGTTATGCTATCACTGGTTATCCTCCTTATGGCTACTATGGGTGCTATACATACATTCATTAAGTATATCTACAAACCGGTTCGTGTACCTCAGAGCTGTTGTGGCCACTCTCACTCCTGCGGTTCGTCGAGCTACAATGACGGGGACAGCACAAGCTCTGGAAAGAAGGTCACAGATGTAACCGACGATGACCATGAACACGACCATGACCACGGACATGACCACGGACATGACCACGGACATGACCACGACCATGAACATGAGCATTAAACAGAAGCCAATACCTTGTAGCGTCGAAATAAAACATTGAAAAAATACAACATCTAACGATCATGTCATACCCTCAAGTGAATATGTATTCGTCGCGTTACCTTACACACTGTATACATATCAGCTCCCCATGCCGTCTGTCACAATCAAAATGTGCGCTTATATAGCGCCGGTAGCAGACGATCCTGTGACCAAGTTGCAGAATCTCTTACAGAATACGCTATACAGCTTCGCGGTAGGTTCTCCTCTCAGAGCTTGCAGGAAACTGTAGTACATATATACCTCAATAACCTTCTCATCCTTCTTTAGGACATAACGATTACTCTGGCACCAGAAAAGGCTCGCCAATTCAGGGAAGAATGTGCAAAGATAGGCGTCAATATTCAAGAAAGCGCGGGAGGTAACGATCCTGCTGGAGCAGAGACTGTAGAACCCAACCCAAGTGACCAAAGTAAACCTGCAGTACCCGGATCTTTGGAAGATCGAGTAACACGTTTAGGTATGCTAAATGATCATATACAGGCCACCGTTGATGACCTGCCTGATCTCAGAGTCACCAAGGTAATGTCACGCTTCACCGCCTTAACAACTTGTTAGGAACAGATCGTAAAAGAGATAGAACTACTACACGAAGAATGTGAGCGTGCTGCAACTGAGTTGCGTACATTGTATGGCGAATTCGACGCAGCATTCCAAATACTGCGGACCCAACGTAACAAAGATATAACATAATTAACCCTGAGTTACATGACGACAAGTCACAATCTGTACCAATCGGTTGAATAACACATTTGGCGATGGTAGTGCGCATGTAGGACATCCGGCATCAACAATAGCTCCTAATAAGCTCGTTGGCATGGGATGTTTCAGGCGGTGTTGCCATTCGTTTGACTTGCATAAATTCTCCGCCAAATTGTGACGCACACGCTTCCGACGCTTCACATCCGATGACATTAGCGATTCGAAAAAGGTGCCAATTGGATCATAGGTAACTGCAGGTTTAACCCGAGCAGTCTTCTTTAGCCTTGTCGGCAACGCCGCAGGTTTCCTCTTGGAATTAACCATCGGACGATCACGGCCGAAAGGGTCCGATTGTATAATCAATGTTTCAAGGTTGAAATTTGTAGTGAGTAGAACAAGGGTTGATAAACGAGTATTACGTTTGAAAGCCGGAGACGCCACCTCGATCTTTTCCGATTTAACAATAGCACTCTCACGCAACAGTGGTGCGGGGGTGAGACACATGTTCACAACCAGCCTCGAGATACCACGATGGTCTTCGTAAAAGCGGTCCACAGAGATGGCACCATCCACGCGATCCAGCCAAAACATCTCAAGGGTACCAGAACAACCATTTGTGCCTAGGTCTATCGTGCTTGTAGCGACTACCAAAATGTTAGGTAGTTGCGGGCTATATATCGCCCGGTCAATGACCTGACCATCCGCCAATGGATAGTCCCAAACAGTTGTCCCTGTGCCAATATCGATTATGCATAATCTTGATTTTTTCGAGTATACCATAAGCTTCGGCTGGTCATGATATAAAAATTCCAGCATGTGATGGCCACTCAACATAGTTACGTGGTCCTCTTCAATTTTCGCATCAGCACAGTCGACAAACGGCATCGCTCCTGCCAATTCCACAGAACTATAGTTATTACCAGTTTTCCAAAATGTTACCACAGCGTCATGTGATATTGCCAGGAGGCCACCTGATAATGTCAGCGTGCTTGCGAAACATGGCATATTCTTGTAAGAACCTACGGTGACGCAGACCCATATAAAACTCTCGGTGTCATTCATATCTATGTCACGGTCAAGCTCCCCGATATCAACCGTGCGACAAGCAGTGAATACATCATCACTTTTGATCATTCGTTTCCTCACAACATGCCATATTTTGAACTCGGAATCGATAGACGTTGTAACAAATGCATAATTGTTGTTCAATTGCCGAATTGATGTTGTTCTATGGTTATGAGGGTTTGATATCTTCGTTTGCTCTTCATAATCACCAGTTCCATCGTCACGTTTTTGGACCCAAAATTTTAACAAACCCTTGCGATTGTTTCTCTTTGAATCATGTTCAAATTCTGGTAATAAACCTAAATCTTCATCATCGGAAGGAGATGTCAAAACGTTCCTTGATTGCACTGTAACCACAACCCTGCCATCAGTACTAATCTGTAACGCCTCGAGTTCCCAATCTTCACCAAAATCATCGTCCTGACGACTTAATATATTCACGTTCTTGAGCATTATGGATCCTACTTCACGGTCGTGTAGGTAGTTATACATTTGTAACTTGCTTGAACGAGAGTACAGTGCCACATTGCCGCCAACCACAGTGTCATGGTGTTCTGAAGAGAAAGAGTCGGATATACTCGTCGGCCAATATTCTATTAGTGGTACAGTTGGCGTGTATCCACCTATGAGTGCCAGATTGGCCCTGCTGACATCATTAACATTGCATCCTAGGTACTCAGTGTTAACATCGTTTGTCGGCTTTATATGGTTGACATCTTTATCCACCTTCATACCTATGCTGATATGGACTGTGATCCCTGTTATTCGATGTCGAATACATAGTGCAAAAGGGTCGACAAATAATATCTCGTTGGCTTCGCAACATAGTATATACGATCCATGTGCTTTCTGGCATAATACATGGAATATCGCGGATCCTATACGTGTCAAAAATTTCTTCGCGCCAGTATTCAGATGCCAAACCACCAACACGCCCTCTTCTCCACCAGATAGTAGCATTGTACCATCCGGATTAAACGTTAGACAGTTTACACCGTGGGCGTGCCATATAAGAGCGTTAACAGAAGCAGATACCTTACGAAAATTGCGAAATACTCCTTCATCAGATCGCTCCTTTGTAACTACCGATGAGTGGTACTTCAATAGTACCTTTTTGAACTGTGCTGGCCTGAGTTCGAATATATCATCTGGTAAATCACATGCCATTACAGCATTATCATTAGGTTGTATATCCTTTGTCAAGTCTATATTATATAAAGTGATACGCCCTTTCGAATCTCCCACCGCGAAATTGTTCTCTCCATAGAAGGTCATACAACTGACACTGGCAAGACATTCGAAGAATAGTATTTTTCGCAACTTCATATTCAACACCATCGCAGTCTTTCCTACTGCGAATGATATACAGGCGAGATCAGCATCGGCAGCAAAAACATCTATTCTCGATGGTAATGAGCATATAATTTGAGCGCTTTTGACAAATTTCTTTGACAAATTTATAGTATCATCTGTGGTAGCCAATGGCTTATCAACTTCTTCAACACCGTCATTTTGCTCATGTAGATATATTGGTATTGGCTCATTGACGGGAAATTTCAATTCGGGATTAAATAAGGCATCATAATCCACCGTGAGCCATGCCAATTCGTTATTTTCACCCACTGAATATACACATATGAGATCGCCGTTCGATTTAGATGGCAGGACGCTCAGTAGACCTCCATCCGATATGCGGAATGTAGCGATTAGTCCCCGCTCATCATCAGCATCTTGATATGATATCACAGCAAATAATTTTAAAATCCCATCGCTAGACGCCGTTACCAGTATATCAATGTTATCACTATAGGCAAAGGACTCACACGAGACGATCTGCAGCTACGATTAGCAAGAGCATGGAAAATATCAGCAAATATATAACTATTTACAGGTGTGACATAATACGCAATAGGCCTTCTCAATGATCGATAGAAACTACCAATCAGCTTATGGTATATTTAAACCTCCTATCACGATTAAACTTACCATATCAACATGTTCTACACAATCTGCGATCTTCTTTCCTTGTTTGCAATCATATATTGTGCACTTTTGATTATTGACCACCGCCAATATGGTATCGTGTTTCAAAAACGCCGGCCGCTCGCCTACCATATAACCACCCGCTTCAACAGTTTGTTCTTCGGCCATTTCTGCCTCGGTCTCCATTGGCCGCGGTGTCGCTGTATTAGCCCCGCCGATATCATGGTCAGACTCCATTATATATAAGCGCGAGCGGCCTTTATAATGTGCTAAAGAAATGTATCACTCTTTTACGTGATATGCGATAAAATTGATACTAGCTGCAGAATCAAAACGCTGTTGCCGAGGACGCCGTACCCACGATCCGATGCATCTAGCGATATCAATTGTCTCAGGTGTATCTAATACAATAAGCTATACTGTATATTTCGGATCTATTTCGAGGCTATGTGTTTATAACATGATGTGTCTAATCTGCCATTACTGTTAGTAGGTTCTCCTGCATATCCACCCGGATGGATAAAATCAGCGAACAATTAGTAATAAGATGGTATTGCACCCAGCAATTGTGTATGTCAGAATATATTTAAATATTACAATTTCACGTATATGTGACCTGTAATAACGAAGATCCTAAATGGCACAATTGGGAATACGCCTATAGCCATATACACAGTGGATCACTAGTAACCTCAGAACATAGTTTACACACATGTTATATTGAGCCTCGGCTCATTTGTACATGTGATATCACATCTCTATGCACCTTTTTAGCTGACTGTGTAAGGCTAGTGACATAGTGAGTCAAGATATTAGCGTGTGTGCGTACACAGATGATGTCTACGATCATTCTAACGCAAAGATCTTAAGCAGCAGCCTGAGCCAGACACGAAACGCCCTTTGTGTCCTTCAGCACTGCCTTGCAGACGACACACCCGCTCTAATCAGTCGCGCAGGCCATACTGTACGTTACATGTCTGTTTCCCAAAGCCATGTGAACACACACAAACAATTCATACATGCATTCTCATACATTATAACGTGTGAAAGTGGAAGAAGAATCATTGATGAACCTTTAGGCCTGAATGGTACGGTAGACATCTCCTTAAAAAGGAACTCACACACATCATACCAAAATAATCGAAAAAGGATAAAAATAATTCTTCTCAATACACAATGGCACCACTTAATGGAGAAAACATGGCGAAGAACGAACAAAAAAGAGAAATTACGCGCATGGATGCACGAAATTTCTATTACCCCGAACTTAGGGAAACTTTAATGACCAATAACAGCGTAACCGAATATGGTTCCACTAAGGTCACTAAAGCGCAAGGCGCTTTCATCGCAAGAAGAATCAGCTCAGCAGATACAGAAGTACCTTCTACTTTGTTTCGACGAATGTCTAGTACAGGGAATAATTATCCAGTATACAATACTGAACAAGCACACTCTCTACCATCCTTACATCAGCCACACCATCCAACAGGACTCAGCGCATCAGCTAGGGACCCACCACGAGAAAACATTGAAGAAAGACAATACAAATCAAGCTACCCAGTAACTGATGAAAGACGGATGCACAACCCGCCAGTTCGCACAAAAGGGGTCCCTGGGAAACACAACCTTGGCACAAACAATGTCGTATGGGAATTACCTGACAAGTACAAGGTAATCGATATTGTTGGATCCGGTTCATATGGACAAGTATGCCGTGCATTCGATATCGAAAACCAACGTTATGTTGCAATCAAACGCATCCACAAGGTATTCGAAGATCTTATAGATTGCAAACGCATACTACGTGAAATAGCCATATTGAACCGCTTGGACCACCCTAACGTCGTGAAGGTTCTGGATATAGTTGTACCGACTGACCTTGATAACTTCAATGTCCTATACGTGGTATTGGAAATTGCAGCATCTGACATCAAACTACTTATAAGGTCGCCAGCGTTCCTCAACGATAACCATATAAGACTATTGATGTACAACCTGCTCTGCGGAGTTAACTACCTACATGCCCTAGGGATATTCCACCGCGACTTGAAACCTGCAAATTGCCTAGTCAATCGTGATTGCAGTGTTAAAATCTGTGACTTCGGATTAGCACGCACCGTAGCACTCAACAGAGAAACTTCAACACTGGAGAGCCACTGCTCACTCACAGCACGTGAACTAGAAGACGAAATGTCCCAAGGCAACCTCTTACGCCTACAGTCTAGCTCTGCAAGACTTGTAGACTACAACGACGAATTGGCACATTTCCAACAAAGAAGGATGAATGAAACCTATACTAGGCAATTGACAGGACATGTTGTAACAAGGTGGTACCGGGCACCGGAGTTGATCCTACTTCAAGAAAATTACACCGCAGCTATTGATGTATGGTCAATAGGTTGCATATTCGCCGAATTGTTAAACATGGTCAAAGCAAACATGCCAGATAGCTCAGCAAGGTCGCCACTCTTCCCTGGCACCTCATGCTTCCCACTATCACCGCATAACAAGAACTCGGCGGAAAAAGCAAAGGATCATGATCAGTTAAATGTAATTTTCAATGTTATAGGCACACCAAACGAAGAAGACATTGCTGCAATAGCTAAACCCGAAGTAAGACGATATGTAAAGATGTTCCACCCGAGAAAAGGTATTGACCTTTACAAGCGCTTCAAGGGGACACCACCACCAGCAATACACCTATTGCAGCAAATGCTCACATTCAACCCAGAAAAACGTATCACCGCCGCTGACGCTTTGAAACATGAATATTTCCAAAATTTCTACAAACCACAACATGTAGAAGCACCAGTTGAAAAGCTTACTGTGCCATTCAACGATTGGATCAACATGTCAGAAAGCCAGTTAAGGTATGCATTTCTTCGAGAAATTCAAAGGTATCATCCAGAATTCAAGATACCCCTCAAAATTATCTACAAGCCTTAGAATTATTGGATGTTACAGTTACTAGGTTCACCTGGTGACTGCAAGGTCCTCAGCACATCGTGTAGAACAGTGTTGCTGAATAATAGTAACATATATACGTTTGCATTCTTTTACCTTAATTCCGATATTGAAAATGGCATACTATTAGGACCTTGGTTGTAGTAGGTCTGCACAGCATTTATTCTATCTTCAGCCTCCTTGTCCTGCAAAAAAAATAGAAATAAATGATTAACACTTACAGTCATCATGTTAGAACCACCTTGAGGCATCCAAATCTGGACGTAATCATCTATACCGCTAGTTGCTAACATATTTCCTCGCGGGCTAACTTGAACACAATTCACATTTTCGTTATGACCCCGAAGAATATCCAACACACGTCCTGACAACCCATTAGTAGAGAAAACCAATTTTAACGTACCTGTCGTCACATCATAGAGGTACAGAGATCCATCCGCACTACCGCTCACCAACACATTGTCTCCCCAAAAGTTAACCTCAGCAATATCAGTACCAAAGTTACAATGTCCCCAGAACCTCATACAACGCCCGTTAGGACGCCAGTGTGGATTCTCTATCTCCTTGTAAAGCTCATGTTCCTGCGAATACAACAGCGGGTATACATTGTATGGAAGTGCAGGTCTGTAGCTGTGTACACCAGTTTCATCAGCGTCATAGCAGTAGTAGTGATGTAAATTCACTCTCCTCTCACCAGACGTGTCATCCACCGAACCTCGAACTGAAAATTCCAAATGGTTATATCTACCCATAGATACCCTGTTTTCATATTCTACGATAGGCATGTCTTCTTCAGAATCATGATCAGATGAACTCTCTTCAAATTTCAATTCAGCTGTTGTATCTCGAAAATATTCCTCCAACCTTAAACAAGTTTCAGGTTTAGGCCACCTACGCCAACCATGGATAGAGTATCTCATTTGTGCCGACACAGACGTATGCAAGTCAAAATCACTATCCTCCCCTTCAGTAGCAGTTTCATGCGAAGACTGCTCCAAATCCAAATCAGTCTCGGGAGAAGTGATCTCCTGAGAATCGCATATCGATTTCAACACGTTGGTGATCTCCTGGGTCACCTTATCACGTGATACCCTATTAACCAATAGTAGGCATAATTTCCTTATTTTATGGAAATGATGACCATATTGTGGGAATATTCGCGCTCCACGTAAGCACAGTTTTCGTGCAATGTAATAGTTATCAAGACGTAAACAAGCCTGTAGACGGCGGAAAAGCAATATCGGATCATCTGGCATGACACGGGTAGCTTCGCTTGCTATTGCTTCACATAAAAGGACATCACCAACATGGTTACGACGTAGTAGCATAAAGAGTAGGTGTGGTACGTTCCGTTTTGCACAATCGCTATCCTTACACCTGACAAAATGTGACTCTAGATCACGCATCTTCCATGTTATGTTTTTAGAACGACTTGACGCAACATACCCACATCGACCAGCATGACCTGTGCGCAAAGCTCCCACGCTGTTGAAGTTACGGTCAAAAAGGTATATATGCTCACTCTCATATGTTACAGCTAGTCGTTCTCCATTTGGCGACCATACAAGATGCGTTGCGAATACACTGTTTTCCTCTGCCCAGAAATGCTTGGGCATATACACCTCTTCGAGTATCGGCATTGTGTGGTTAACAGATACACCTTCTTTGGAACAGTATCCCGTAGACACTTTCCTTCTATCAAATATCCTTATCAAACTGTCAGAAGCAGCAACCGCCAATAGTTCAGGTCGTGTAGGGTTAATGGCGATTGCCTTAACTTCAGTCCCATCATAAGATTGACATGCCCATTGCGATTCTCTAAAAGCCAGGTCAACCCATCTTGTTCCCTCTTCTGGGGTCAGTTCATGTGCTACATCCGCCCATGAACACCGCCTCATTCTAGCACTAGGCATCTTCTGATCAGCAGATTGCGTCACGCTGACGATAACGTTAGAACATGGACCGTGACATTCATGTGGCTCTCGAACATCAAACTGTCGTACCGTACCATCATACGCACCGCTAAAGAATATAAAATCTGAGCCCTCATCATTAATTACGTGTTTAACACTTCCAGTATGACAATCATAGAGCTTTATAGTCCTTTTTTCCATAACATCGGATACACATACCTTAGAATCTCTTGCCCCGGTAGCTATACGCCCTCCACCATCTATAAAAGCAACTCCAAATATATTACCACCGTGCTGTGTCGGTATAATAGTACTCCTACTAGGAGTTATACAAAACTCATCTTCAGAATCCGGCTCAGCATCGTGCACATTAGTCAATGCGATAGTGAGGTCGTCACTAACCGAGGCCAACGTACGTCCATCACTGTGCCACTTCAATCTATTAACACAGCCAGTATGTACTTGCAATTTGCTGTATGGTTTTAGCCTACCAGCGAAATATGTAGCCAGTCGCACACTAGGTTCGTCAAGGGACTCACGTACAACGCGTCGTCCAGAACCGACGCCAAATGAGCGGCGCCTATCCTGTAGTACGCTTATAATATTCATTAGAAGCACATTAATCTTTTTTGCAAATGTGCTATATTTTACTAGACAAATTCGTCTGCTGTATCATCCGGGTTGCCTGTAGCCGCATCGCCTCAATGTCGCGCCTGCGAAACGCCGATAAATGGTAAAAAGCAACTTTTAAGAACTCGTCGTGTTGCACAATCCCATTACCCATAGATTTTATATATAGTAACAGATCCTGCTCAACGGTCCGTTGTAGCAACTTTTTCTCATGGACCTTGAACAACGCGAAACAAACACGAAACAGTACTTTTTCACCTTCGTGAAATAATACATCCCACACTCGAAGTACCGTCGGTATCTATTAAATGTGTATATTTAGGATCACGAAAACATACCGGTAACGAAATACAAAAGTGACAAAGCAACCACTCGGCACAGACGCATGTGAAATCTACCCCGTTCGCCCTGCAACAATTTTCATAAACTTCCGCAAAGTTTAAATTACTTACTTCAGATGATTATACAACTTTTTTAGACGTTTTTGCATAAGCATCTCCAACACTAAAACATCACGCTTCAACGCAAGCATACCGTCCTTGTAATAACCCAACACGTTCAGTCCCTTGCCGACGATACGCGAATCTGTCATTTGTGTTAGCGTTAAAAACGCCTGCTCTTCATCCATGAACACAAGCAAGATGGCCGCCAAAAAGTTAAAACTTTGGCAGTAGCCCGCCGAGGGGACAAAGTTAGCGAAAGCCGTCAATACATTGCGCAATCGAGTTGTGCCTTCAGAATGTCGCTTGTAATTTCGGTGCGTTGGAAAGGTGCGATATATGTCCATTTCAATCTGGTTTGCGATCTCCGGGGATAGGGGCTGATCGACGAGTCTATAGCATTGTAAAAACAATGGTATCTATATGGATTTTAAGCGTGATACAGATATGAATATACAGATAAAACTACCCCTCGTTAATATTTATAAGGATAATGGGAAACTTAGGATACGACAATAACGATACATACCTAGGATAGAGACCCTGAATTTCCGATCCAAGCTGCTCGGCTCCAGATAATTTGAACCACATTTTAGCTCTGTAAAAGTCGGATTAAACATCAAGGAAGATTTCCTCACCTGTATTCATCAGGTATGCCCTTTCTAACAAGGACCTTCAAAAAAAATGGATGGCTAGTGTTCCACTCATTTTCCATTTTTATGGTATCCCATCTGAAAGACGTTATAACAAAGAAATGGTCACATTATATTTATATATAGGAAACTTCCGATATGTGTAATAAGTTCATGTATCTCCACAAAGCTTACGGCATCGGTATCGCCAAGGACATGCAGATTACGAACCGCTTCAAACGTCGTTCTCGCTTCTCATTAAACTCATTCTCATATTGTGTTACGCCATTCGCAAATACATTGTCAGACAGCGAAAAACCATATGAGTCATAAACTTGTTCTCCAGATACAGGTTCATTAGAAGCATCCTGTTGCAGTCTAGCGAGGTTCCGTTGCATCATCCTTTTAGAAAGACCAAACAAACCAAGACGAATACGCTCTCTAATAGTATGATTTTCCGGTCCTTGGTGTTGTTCGTCCATCATAATTTTCGCAACCTCTCTATCAAGATTGCCTAAATCCAATATATATCATTAGCATACTGTACAATTAATAAATTCTACGGCCTTTAGCACGCAGCCGTTATACTATATCGATATACAAGCAACATATATAACACGAGCAACTCGAGTAGCTACCAGTGTCAAAATAAGTGTGTATCTTTATTTAATTTATTATATACAAAATTTTGTATAAAATCTAAAATATTAAAATCTTTATAATATAACGGAAGTCGCACAAATGCCCATCATTGTGGCGGATGATGCAACTTTATATATTTCACTAGTGATACCAAGAATTTTCATCGCAAAAGCCGCCTTTATCATAGCAACTAAATAATTGATATCGACGATGACAAACCATGCAGCAAATGTATCTTTCTACACATTACAACAAGCTGCTTTGGCACAGCATTGCGAAGTAGCACGGCATCGATGTGCTACATTGATAGCATAGCTAGCTCCATACCAACAAGACTATTACCTCCTGTACACACTGTAGCTCCCATTCGTAAAGCATATGTGATGTAGTCCTATGGACTACGACATTTAACAAACCATATCGCACTGCGATATGTCAAATCAACCTTATTTAAAAAACACAGAACGGCTCCCGATAAATGACTTCTCCGGTGACATACATACAATTGTTGATATCACGGCTCGTATTTTAGGTAGTTTGAAATATGCATCTGATCCTGACGTGATGCATTCCACCAAACATACGGAAGACTCCATCCAGCATAGCGGTGGTCATATTCCCTGACAAATATGTCCATATTGTAGTGGCACTTACCTCTGGTCATTTAAAGCATAGTATCGTGCCATTCGCAAAAATGCAAAACGTGTACGACGTGCCTTTAGCCGTCCCCATTGATAGTAATTTATGTGACACGTCTTGAAACCAAACGCTCGAATCAGGCGATCTAGCATCTTACTCTCTGCTGTCGGATCGAAAGTCGTAGCATAAAATCGATGATAAGAATTACACAGCCAAACCAAATTACGATCCTTCTCCAAAATATCTAGCAATATGCCGTTGGCATAGATAGTTGTCTCATGACGGATACGTAACTTAGTCAAATGCTCCGATACCTACAGCCGGTATATCGACAGTGAAATATGTTACCTTATCGACGAATTTAGTAGTACGAAATTTCTTATAACCACGATCAATACAAATAACATTATTTAACACTTCAATGTCATCGTCTAGAGCAGAATATATCATAGAAAACGGTTAACAAACCACTGAGTGTAGCGTAACATGATTCTGCCAAGCACTTCAAATATGCCATCAAGGTGGTCAGCTTCCTGAAACATACAAATATATTTCACGTCAAAAATAGATATACCTTTGTTGTTGCGATGTAATACTCACGATACTGCTATCATTATCCCTCATCCTTTGGGCGACCCTTTAGTAACATTAAAAAACCAACGATTCAACCCACCCCCAGAGAACACCTCGAACGAACCAAAAGGGATCGTTTCCCGAGATACCTTGTACCAATTTCGAATAACCAAGTTCTATGATGTCTGAAGAAGTGAGATCATCAAAAAAACGGTAATTGACGCCACCATCCAATTCAACTCGTTCGCAAAATCGTTCCTCAAGTGTTGACGAGAAGTCCGGAGATAACAGTTCCAGATGATTCAAACTCCTATACACGCACATGGCAGTCGGTTGGTTCAAATCGTTGATATTAGCCTGTATGTGTTTTTGAAGATAAAAAAAGGTGCATATTATAGTAAACTAACCACAACCGTTTCCACAAGCTTGTCAACAAACGCGTGGTCCCTATAATTTTGTAATCCATAGGTCCGTAAAAGTAATGCAGATTCATCAATTGATATATCTGAGATACGTGGATATGTTGCGTCATCACGGTACCTTCACAATGTTCCAATATCAAGTCTCCTATAGTGGCGAACAATGGGTCGTAAAGAATATGAAGCTCATTGAACAGTATACTCGTAGCTATTGTCATTATGAAGAGGGATATACATTAGACCCACTAATTATTGCATCTTTTAATGGCGGTGCCCTTGATTTGTCAAGTTGGAAGATACGAGCTGGCATATGATTTGCGTGAGATATATCAGCCGGATCGCTGCAATTCTGCGATTTACTTGCGATACGACCTCTGCGCAGAGGTTTATATAGAGTGACGAAAGCCAGACGAAGATCTTCAGATAGAGATGACAACAAATCCATATCATGAAATTCTATCAATTTGCAAAGCTGTAGATAATCAAAAGAGTTAGAACTGCCACATACCTGTAGTATCATCAGATAATCGTCGATAGATAATAACCCTGAATCTCCATTTCTACCGTCTTTTAGGAATCCGCGCAACTGTGTTGCGTCGTAACCTTTATCGATGAAATGCGATAGGTACTTGGCGGCATCATCATGTGAAACATAGTTACTACATGTCTGAGCACGTTCAAGTATAGATTTATGATAATAATTGGTGCTCGTGAAGTTCCTAAGCTGGATTACGCTACGGATTCCAGCAGAGAACGAAGGTAATCGTGGATGTCGAAGACATATTTTTACCGTCCACATTATATGATTTACACGGTGTGATAACGGTTTTAATATTATATCATTGAGTGGGCTATATTCAATAGTATGTTATTGGGAATGTGTAGGATCAGAGGTATAATGTTCCTAGAATGTAGGCAATTATAAAGAATCCATTACATCTCGACACTATATGGCATAAGCATGGATTCTAAGGGTGTAGAATAGTTTATCGAACTCTTTTCGATCCCTTCTTTAACCTTCGAGTCAGATGGGGTAGAGGTAAAGTAGGTGTAAATAGCGTCACACACGTTGGCGCCGTTTGAAAGAATAACACATATAACTTATCATTACCTATTATACCTTATTTTTGGCAATATAGTCGTATAATCGTGGTAAAAGTACCTAAACGAGATGGAGGTCTTTGATTTTGACGATGTTATGCTCGTGCCGAGAATGTGCACATTGGAATCACGATCTCAGGCAGATGTCTCAGCCAAACTTGGTAAACGCACGTTCAGACTTCCACTCATGGCAGCTAACATGCCCGCTGTCTTGGATGAGAATATCGCCATAGAGTTGGCTAAAAGAGATTACTTCTATGTGATGCACAGGTTTAATATCGACATTGTTGCGTTTGCCCGTAAGATGCGAGAACTGGACCTGTTCGTATCAATATCGATTGGTGTCCAAGAATCTTCTTACAAGGTTATAGACGATCTCGCAGCGTGCAATCTTATACCAGAGTATGTTACTATAGATTTGGCCCACGGTCACACTGATGCTATGCGTGTAGTAATCGAGTATATTAGGAAATTATTTGGTGAAGAGACTTTTATCATCGCTGGTAATGTAGCTACCCCGGAAGCTGTGCGTGACCTTGAGAATTGGGGTGCCGATGCCACAAAAGTTGGACTAGGCCCAGGTTATGTTTGCAGCACCTCTATACGCACCGGGTTTGGTACTCGCAACTGGCAATTAGCAGCCATTAGAGAATGTGCTCGGGTAGCTCGTAAGGTAGTTATTGCTGATGGTGGATGCCGTTCAAGTGGTGACATTGTCAAGGCCATTCATATGGGTGCTGACTGGATTATGTCTGGTTACTTCTACACCGGTTTCGTACAAACGCCCGGCGAGACTCAGGTAAAAGATGGTGTCAAGGTAAAAAGCTATTATGGTAACGCTTCAGCCGTGAACAAACAAAATACCCATCGTGTCGAAGGCATTTCTGTGTTTGTACCATGTGAAGGGTCGCTATTTGATAAAATGAGAGAGATTGAGGAAGCCCTTCAGTCTGCTGTCTCATTTTCTGGTGGCAAGCATATTGCGGATGTGCGCAATTGTGAACATGTAATTGTGAGGAGGTATCACAACATCCCACCTAGTTCATAGATCCGATAATTAGGATCCTTCTTGCTTACAATATGTCGAATGTTTTGAACTATATCAAAAAAAAAATTAATAAATCATGTCGAGCATCTTGGCAATAGAATATGACGGCTGTACCGTCAATGCTCCTTGGTTAATATCATTTGAACAGGCGTAGTTTAGCCTAGATGTATATATAGATGGTATAAGGGACGGTATCACCTGCGAATAATTTGGAGATTAATCGTATTGTGGTTTTTTATCAGTGGTATTAACTTGGTGTAAACCAGCCCTCTCTTTCTTGTAAGCTTACAAACAACCTTAGTAATTAAAAAAGTGTACGATAACCTATAAAGTCTAGCATAATGTCCTAAAATTCTTCATTAGATATGAAAAACCATTAAATCAGTTTGAAATTATCAATGCATTCCCATATCACATAATGTGTTGCATTCCAGAGCCTCCAAGAGACAAAACAGTTCGACATGACATTGCATATATAAATGTAACTAGTAGAATGTATAATTCTGTATTTAACTGAGATTTAACAGTATTAACAATGCTTTGTCGATAGACACCTTGCAACAACACCACTTCGAAGGCGGGCAACTCCAATAGTACTATCATCGGGTTTCCGTGAGCCTCGCTTTAACATTTGAACTTGATACTAATTATCGTATCAAAATCATATTAATATTCTAATCCCCCGGTGTGTAACAACGGTAAGTGTGGGAGGGATATGTCGTGTCGAGGTCTTTAATGGCCATTGTTCTTCTAAATCGTGATTTAACAGTTATTTATGACCCATTTTTGGATTTGGCATTAGGTGTTGAGATATGTTACATGAATAACTAATATGTTTTAATATGACCCTGCAGAAAATGTCTTCTAACGTCACTTCTAACAATTCTGCCGATGGCAAGGTGGAAGGGAATGAAAATGACCTTTCTAATTCCGATATCGTCACTAAGTATCGCACTGCTGCAAACATCGCTAACCTTACGCTTCAAAAACTGATCAGTGAGGTGAAAACAGGGGCCTCAATTAAGGCACTTTGCAAGATGGGTGATGATATGATACTTGCTGAGACAGCTAAGGTATATAACAAGAAGGAAAATGGTCGTAAAATAGAAAAGGGTATAGCCTTCCCTACATCTGTCTCCCTAAATGAGATATGTGATAATTATTCACCTATAGAAGATGGCGATGTTATCTCCGATGGTGACATGGTGAAGATATTCCTGGGTTGTCATATTGACGGTTACCTAGGTTTAGTAGCACACACCGTTTTTAACGGAGAGAAGGTGACCGGTAGAGCCGCTGATGTTCTTACCGCAGCATGGACATGTTGTGAGGCAGCCTTGCGTGAGATGAAGGTCGGAAATTCAAGCCATAATGTATCAAAGGTGATCGAACAGGTTGCTGGAGAGTTCAAATGTACCCCTGTAATGGGTTATGTTAGCCACGAAATAAAACGACATGTGATTGAGGGTAGCCGTTATTTTACCAACAGTACACGTGTTGAGGAGAAAACTGAGGCTTTTACTTTCGGATTGAATGAAGCTTATGGATTAAATGTAATTGTTAGCACTGGAGAAGGCAAACCTAAGGCCACTGAACATAAAACTACTATTTACCGCGCTGAAGTACAGAACCGTTATACTCTCAAAACAACACTTGGAAGGGCATTCATTTCACAAGTTAATTCTCGTAAGTTGTAAAGGATACATGAAATAGATGACATTTAGGGTTCCCAACATTGCCCTTCCATATTAGCAGTTTCGAGGATGAACGTGTATTGAAAGCTGGTCTCCCAGAAGCTGTGCGTCACAAGCTCATTACTCCATACCCTGTTGAAAGTGAGAAGGCTGGGGAGATCGTTGCGCATTTTACCTTCGTAGTGCTGCTATTAGCTGGCGGTACTAAGAAGATTACTGGCGTACCTTTTGCACAACAAAGTGTATGTACACCTGAACATTCAATACAGGACGAAGTGATCATCAAATTGTTAGCGGTAAGCCATTGTGTCACGGATGACAATATTTCGCAGACATCTGTCAACCCTAAGACTAAGAAAGCGAACAAGACAGCAAAGGTTGCTGAGAAAGGCGCCGAAAATAATGGCGAATCAGCTCAATAAAAAACATATGTTCAATGGTAACCAGGCGAACTTGGGGCGTGAGTTCCAATATATATAGAAGGACTAAGAGTTAGTATTACCCTATGTATTTCATTATCTCTATAAGAGGCCATTTATTCGTTACAGGTAGCGGTGCACGCAGACCATTAGGCCCGACATATCGATTATTCTTGTTGTCGCGGCATCAAGTAACGGATGTGCCGTCATATTTTGAAACCTCTTTTCACAACACACTGGATTTAATCCGTTCATCCGGATTTATATCGAGGGTGTTCACGCAGGCCACACTGAGGGACATGGTCTCGTGTGTGCCGCGGTGACGCATTTCGTTCGGATGAACGGAACATTATTGACCATTATAGATTAATTAAATTAGTAGCTATGGCAGGACCATCTGATGAATTCCGTTCCTACAGCGATGACGGTGAGTCTATGGAAGCAGGGCTGCACACTGAAGGCGATTGTATATTGGCATCTGGAGATGTTGGTACGTTTCGAACTATATATGATGCCAAAGGTGAAGAAATTCACTTTGAAGAACGTGATGAGAAAACAGGTAACTGGCTAAAACGCAAGATAGACAAAGGGGTATCTATGAGCTCATCACTACCAATGTACAAATCATATATCGAACATCAAATTATATCTAAAGATCCAAAATATGCTGCCGCACGTGGCACGACAAGAAGACTGAACAAGCGTGTACGACGATTTCTTACCATTATGTTCTGTATCGCTGTGGCAACTGTCACTATTTTCGTTTCTACTAGGGTAATCAACTGGGCGGAGGAACGTCGTGAAGCCACCCAAAACGCTGAATCTGCAAGAGAAGATGAATTGGGACGTCTGAAACAGACTGTTGAATCGCTACGTGTTGAGTTAAATAAACTCAAGGAGACTTCATATGCCAACTCGGTCGCCATAAAAGCAATGACCAATGGAGCATTCAGATTACCTGGATCTGACGATGCTGCTTCAAAGAAATCGAAGTTTGGAAAGAATAAACCAACATTCAACCAAGGAGCTATTCCTCAAAATTTCGATACTAAACAATTTGCTCAAGCCATGGAGAACCAAGGAAAGGGTACACCAACAAAAGTTGATCTCAACCCTATAATGCATGACGCAGCCATTCATTAACCTAAGCTGAGCATATCAGCGTTCAATATGGACTCTGGATTAAGATACTGCACAGATAGCTTATTCGATACACAGTTGAATGCACTTGCTACATGGTCGGAACAACGCTTTGAATCAACTGGTCGGTCTAGCGTCAGACAACCACGTAGAAAGGTATACATATACATGCCAATCTGATGTGTAACAGATACATGACAAGAGAATCGACGAATTGATTGCAAAGACATTCTTGGTCACATGTCTAGGACACGTACGACTACTGAACCGCCTTATAGATGGACCGTTCCTAAAGGTCGCTATTATATAGGATTTCTAATATGATACAGGCGATAGTGCTGTCCTATTTTGAGAATCACTATGAAGGGGATGCGATGCCTTTTGATATCTTCAAGTTTATTATTGAACGCTTTGCAGTATGTTATTTTAGTACAACTATCTTAATTTACGCAGCTCATACATGATATCAAGTCTAGGAATACGGAGTTTGGTCGTGGAAGAGCGGTGTTCCGTGTCATGAGGTATGACCATATGGTTATTCCATTTTGTAATATTTTATTGCCAGATGCCTGCAGCGAAATAAGGCTACACCTGAAACGTTGTCCATGGTAAGGTGCGTTAATATCAACTATATAATTTGTAGTTCTTCGTCTGCGCCTGCCGTTGCTACAATATTCCTGCCCGACTGGTTGTAGGAGTTCTTGACCCTGAAAATGCAATTACTCTATTCGCGGAGTCGTTCTACGCTAACGAAGGTTCATGGAAACGTGTGGACTTTCGGACTGCGACCTACGATACCAACAAGTACGAACCCAAGAAGAGTTCCTCTCCGCAGAATCGTGAACGTGAAGCTAGATATACAGCACCTGCGAAATCTGAGTATATGGGATATCTATATATCCAACGTGATAATAAGATTTTTGTATATAAGAAAGGCGACGCATTGTCCGTAGTGGCAATATTGGTGTTACGTAGCGTCCCCGTCGGAAGGGCATTACTGAATACGTCCGAATTTCCTTTCGAGGAGGAAGAATTAAGGAAACGACTTGTAGAGGACAAGAATAAACCTACTGCCAAGGAAGCTTCACGTGAATATATCTACGTATTCGGTTGCAATAAGGATGGTTGGGTGTCTGAACTCACCCCAAAATATGTTGAACGGTACGAAAAAATTGAAATTTGCTCAAATATTGAGTCAGATACAATGATATATGTATAAAAAGAGGAAAACTGCTACACGAATGGTTGAAACTGACTATAGAACGTCTAAACGAGCCTCTTAGAACAAGTTCGACATCTACCTTGACTTCATTGCTGGAACGTGCCGAAGCCAAATGGATGGAAACACGGGTTAATAACGATCCACTACCTACAGCTAAAGTGAAATTCAAGAATCATCCTATATATATACTGGCGTCACAGGTAAACATAATTATTCTGAAAATAGCTATCACAAATCAGATTGGTAATAACCGTATTCGGAAAAAAGATGCGTCTCCTGTTGCTTTCCTTAAAGGCGAAGAGGTGTATTTACGTAGCGATTTCGAGGAACTGAAGACTGCTGGAGCTTGGAGGAAGTTAAATAGACGTGTCCTGGAGGATGCACAACCAGTTACGACACGACGCATGTACAATAAAATCACACGTATGTACATCAATGTCAGCCTGTTCAAGGAAAGTCAAACGGAACTCATTCCGCAGGAAGAAGCACAGGATGGTTCAATACCAACTACAGCATATGACAATGTTGATGTCACCGGACAGCGCTTCTTACCACAAGGTACCATATATTTAAGGTCCAGAAGACCTGAGCTATTATTTCGCGCCGCTAAAGCTTTGAAATTATATTACAAACCTGCCTTTTCGACATATCTGCAAACAGATGTTTTCAAACCGGATATAGATGGCATTGTAATACGAAAAGGTGATTTGGCTCCGCTGCTGCATAAATACGAAGGTAAGTTAGTAAAATGAAATATTAATATGTATTTAGCACTAGCTTTGGAAGAAGCTAAACGGGATCTAGAGAGAAGAAAGGATTCATATCGCAATTTTTGGCGCAGCGTCTTCAAAACTATGTTGACTGAGCCACCATCGGTCGCTCAACAACATCATCGTAAAATACGGAAGGAACTTGGTGAACATGTGACCAAATTCCTTAATCGCCTTGAACATATATCATAGAAATCAATTGTACAGTTGTATCTAATACAAGTTTGATATTATGCCACGTCTTTGATCACAGCAACAGAAACTCGAGCAAAACATTAGGTTGTGTTTAGATGGAGTAATGTGCGAAAAACTGTGATAAACATATTGTCACAGCTTCTTCTGTACGTATAGTACGTGATCGTTGATTATGACAGAAATTTACGTAGGCGTCAACATCACCAGCGGGATTCTCCGTCACACTCTCTAGTCCTTTTACTGGCCCCAATACCATCAGCATATGTTTGAAATCTGGAACTCGGACATTTTTCGGATATACTTGGCCATGCTCGCTTGTGCCCATCTTATAGTCATACTGTCCATCGGCACTAAAAGGACAGTTGTTGAAAATATCTGAATAGCTCTCTGCCTCTCTTACAACGTAGCCCCAATATAGACCTATATCAGCGTGGCACAATTTCGAATAATAATTACCTGCCAAGCTTTGTGGCTCGTCTGGTGGTACCAGTTTCCCGGACAGTGTTGAACTTGAGGATTGCGATACCTGTCCGGACACTTGTTCTCTCCATCTTCGCTTGCACTCTTTTAGAGAATTTGCATCTAGTAGTACGGTAACCCGTTGATATACTTCATCATCGGTGTCTAGGCAGAACCATTGAACGCCATATATTTGTTCCAAAGCGTCCCGGTTTGTAACTTTGATGCGACCGAATAGACCACATTCGACTAGCATATCTCTCCTACTCGCTGTCGAAGCTTCATCCATTGGTTCCAATTTTATGACACCTTCTCTAAACACGGTAATATATAGAAATGAGATATGTCGCCTACCTATATGGCAACCATTCATTAGCCCTAAGATGATGCGGTGCATCTAAGGGATTTTGTAATCCGGTATTGCGCAGGTGTGGAACAATAGGGAACATATATTTCCTCAAATATTGAGGTGTTTCTAGATACCTCAGATTGATGGCGAAATATTCCTGCCATTCAATTTCTTCAGGTCCTAAGGTTATCATGGTCAGGCCACTGATAAGGAACCTACCTAGGTCGTTGTAAAGTACCACTTCATGTATGCCATAAATTGTTAATGTACGTGCTATACATCCTATAACGTAGGCTCTTAGCTCATCAGTTTGTATATTTTGAAGGATAGAGACTGGCAGAGCGACCGAGAATGTCTTCTTGGTAGGCTTGCCCTGGAACGGTATCCGTTGAGGAATCTCTCTTAGCAATCGTACTATAGGAATATCACCGTCATTCCGATCATTTTTGTGCGATTCTGATTGCTTTGGTTTTCGTTCTATTTAGAAATTGTGAAAATTGTCACATAGTTACCTACTCTTGCCATGCTCCTTATTGACAGTATCACGACGTTTTTTACTCTCCTTCTTACTTTTAACTATATTGAAAGTCAAGTCATCATCCATTTTCGGATACTTTATGTGTCTTTCCCTGTGTTTAATGTGCAAAGGTCAGGCGGTATGCTTAGACAGGATACCTGGAGTGGTATTTATGAAAATTTGCATAAATTACACCGTAATAGATATCGAACATTTAACAAAATTACATTATCAGCGTACAGGAACGACTATTTTATCATTCCCCGTCGCTGTATGTCTGCTTTTGGTTTAAAGCACGGTGTGTAGCTAGAGAGCTGTAGCGTTACAGCAGTTCATGCGATATCCATAGGGTCTAACTCTGGGAAATCACCGACCTCCACTTGCTCGTATTTGTAGAATGCCCCGTACCGCGGACCACTGGCGTCAAAGTATCGTACTCCGTTGATGCTACCATCGCTATTACCCATTGGTTCATCCAGTTCTACGCCTGTATGGATATTAAGTAACTTCATACGGGTACTTACCTATCATCGGTTTGTTCTTGACCATACCTACGAACCGTACGCATCCTCGTATACCACCAGGAGTAACGGAACATCTAGAGCCTATTGGGTATTCCTGCTTCAACTGGTCTATGGTCTTTCCGCTGGTTGTTGTATTTGGTTGCGAATTATTTACAGCGCTTTTCTGCCTCATCCTTGCAATGAAGTCACGTATCCCTGTGTTTCGTCGTTCATATTCCTCTTCACTGATTGTGTATCTCTCGAAATTTCCCGGATCACCTGTTTCTTGACATTTTTCTAGTTGTTCCACGTAATGTTTGTGTAATTTAGAATTGAGCAATTTTGCGGGCGGGTTTGGTATACTGTCTGGTGCACCGTGATATAATATAGATGTCTCTTGATTAGCAAAAGCACTGGTATCGACGATATGGATAACATATCCATCATTTACACCATACATATTCAAGGCGACATCATTGTTATCCAATAACACCTGTGTCCTTTGTATATCATAAGGGGCATAGGCATATAAAGTTTGATGTGCTGGGAGTGTTCCGGTATTTGAATAGAGCTTATCTTTTAGAGCACCCACAGTCATATGATTGTCTACGCGAATTTCTGGCCAACACCGATCTCGCATACGTGAGTGTTTCACTTCTATTTTTATCACTCTCGGTCGGAATTCCATATTGTGCATCCTTTTCATTATATTAAACTGTTTTCAATAGTACATTTTCCCTTCGTGGGGGAAAATTATTGGAAAATACATGATTAACCTATTAGGAGTTGACTCTGCGGATAAGCCGAGTGCTTGGGTATATAATTCGCAGATAAAACTTCTAAATTTATGTTCAAAAAATTAGAATATTTATTATGACGTCTTGTAATTCCTATGTGTAACATTGCCAACGGATAAGCTGTCTCCGTGAACGGCGTCTCCGATGCTTCTATGTATTAGACAGGATAAAGGGTGTAACATTCGACAACATCCTTTGATTTTTTTTGCGATTCCATTTTTGCCAATTTCTGCAATGCGACGCTATTTTTCCCCGCCGAAGAAATGGCTGCTGCTATTTTCTCCTGCTCCACAGGCACAACTACCTGCGGTATTCCCCAATGCGGATGGAGTGCTCCACCATATACAAAAAGCCGCCTATAACAATAAAAAACACTACACGACACCATACCTGTACCACAACGGCCGTAGCTTGTTCCGGGGTAGCATACGTTTTACAGCCAAGTTTATCTGTACCATATATTAGGTACTTTATATTTACTAACGATCATTGCTGGGTTACGTGCCATCACGGTCTTTGCAGTAACAATCTTAGGTCCTTTTGGATGCGCTGAAATTGTATGCATCAATATATATATAAATATTTTACCTTTGCGATCAAATTTGTATACCTTGGTATCCCAACTATGCCCGTTCATGACTACACGGACGGCGTTGACCACTATAACGTTATCCCCGCTCACACGTGTAGAATCATATGTAGGAAGGTGTTTCCCTTGTAGAAGCACTGCTATATGTGACGCCACACCTCCAACAGTCTGAGAATCATGAACTTAGGAGAGTGTGGTAGATGTGATGACCAAATAGAGCGATGATGGGAGTCACGGTCGCATAATTATGATATACTAACCTTTCCTGCGGCGTCTATAACATGCCAATGACCCGTTGGTGTATCCATCTGAGTGACTACACCTAGACTGCGATGTGCCGGCGCCAGCGGTGATACAGAAGGCATATTCTTGTTCAGGAATGGTTTAGCGACCCTGTGACGACATGAGTCATCCATTATGGTTATCCATACCATTGAACTTTGGCGAATGGATCAACATTGCCTTCATGGAATCCCTGGCGCAGGGACCGCGCCAATATCGCGACAGATAGCCGCATCAATCAATGATATATTGACACATCAACATATATTTATACGATTATGATGATTAACTGTTAGTGTGTCATCACTTGAGGCGAAGGTACTTCACACCATTCATGATGTCGTAGGAGCCTACAGCACTTTTTTCAGATGCCTTCTTTTTGGCATCTTTAAGAGATTCTTTGTTCTCTTTTTTCAAACGCGTTATCATGGCCTTGGCTTGCTTCACAGCCGCCTTACGTGCCCTTTTCTCTTCAGGTGTCTCATCACGACGCCTTGTTGTTACAACCTGTGGCAATTCGATGTATTCTACATCGTTTGCCGGTTTCGATGTTGTATCTTGATCCTCACGAGGTGCTGCAGGCCGTGTCCGACGGATTACGTTGGTCAATATACGCCGTGGATGGTTGGTAACATTAGTGTATTTCGTAAGAACGGTCTCCACATCCCTAGAAAACATTTATGTTAACTCTGTTATTCCTACCATTGTTCTGAATCATCTGACAAGTCTTTGAACTCAGAAGATTCGCCACTATCACTATCCTCTGGCAATTCTACAAGTTGTAGAATCTGCTGGCTGACCGATCCATCAGGGTCGAGTGCATCCATAGTTTCCTTTTCCATACGTTTAGCACACCAATCAGCCTCGTCATACATGCTTGAAAGTGATTTATGTTGGAACTCGGCCTCGAGTTCATCGAATTCAGAACCCAAATCACTAAATTCTTCTTCATCTTCTATGGGTTGAGGGGTCCATCCTGATTCCGCTTTAACAAGATCTAGTTCATCCAGTATTGCAGGTCTTAATGGCTTGTAACCACCCCAAAGTAGTTCGTTTTCATCAATAAAGGTCTCAGGTGGTTCATTGTCCATTGCCTTTGCAACGAAATCGTCATCTATAGCCTCCAGGTCACTCTCTGACTCTTCTAATGCTTTCATAACTTCAGCAACTGAACACCTGGTGTCATGTTAGTATATTGAACAAACCCTCGGTATCCTCACGTGCGGCAACTTCGGTAGATTTAAGACTTGGGAAGTCAATATTGCTATTAAGGTTAGCTACGGGCAATATACAGATATTATACTGAGCTCTTACCGCGTGATGATGTGCTGGCCTGTTCTACCGTAACAGCTGGTATGAAGTTTTGTGGAGTGATGGTAGCCAAATGTTTGCTGTAGTCATATCCATCTTTGGGGAAGTAACAATCGTCATCAAGGTCCTCTTCTGTTGGTTTATGCGGTTGTCCTACCGGTCCAAATTTCGATGCAATACGTTCATATTCTTCGTATGACCCGTATATTTCTGCGATAAGGGCATCCTAGAGGTATTGTATTTTTGCAGCTCAGTAACTTACCTTTTGCGGCCCTTTTAAATTGGCATGTATACCGAAATCTGCTGGATTGATTAGCGCTAACAGTTCCTTGGGTATTTTCGTTTTCCCGCGTTTCTGAAAAATACGATGGAACTACATAAAAAATATACTCACTTTTAATATAGCGTTAGGTGACTCTTTCAGGACCAGAGTACACTGCCATGGGTTCTCGGATACTCTAGGGTCGGATGCCGAAGCTGATACCAGTTTGAACGTGACTCGTTTCCTTGGCTTCCGCCTGGAACCACTTTCGCTATCAATAGTCTCAGCAGTCATTGTATTGTGGGACAGTACAATATATTTTTTGTTTAATAAATTATTTATTGGTATGTGTATACAATTAATTAGCCAGTGGCGTCGTCAAGCCAGTGTATGGAGCTATTAGTTCCGCTGGCATAACTGTGTGGACGCGGACATTTTTCCGTCCGTGCTATTATACCTGACAATGTTGTTCCAGAGCTTCAAAATTTTCAAAGTGTTCTAGATACCGTCGTGTCTGTGTTAATTATACAAGTTTCGTATATATGTGCCTACCTCTGCGATAAAAAGGAATAATGCATCCGTCCACACATCACGATTACGATCTACAGCTTTCAAAATGACATCATGGGTACCCTTTCGTGTGTAATGTTTGATGTAGAAGCAACTGTAGTCGGTGGGATGACACACTACGGTGCTGATTGCCAATATTGGTATTGATGCCTGAGGTTTACGGCCTGCTCTGCATTCCTCTTTACAACTCCAATAACACCATTTCCAGGCCCCTTCCGATAATACGGCCTTGTAGTAACGCATCTCGGATGCATAACTCTCTCTTGCGATAAGTGGACCTTCTAAGGCGAATGAGAACAGATACAGCTTCTCATGTTCGAACATCAAACCATCGACACTAAGCTGAAGAGGGTTGAAACTGTTTAATATACGTTCTTACATCTGTATTTATAGTTTTTCCCTCATCCTTGTAATCCTGAGCACATAACAATGCCTGCTGCAACACCATGCAGTCTACTACGCTGCTCCTCATATCAACTGTACATCTGTGAACATGGATGCTGAATTACATACTTCGGTGAAATGATAGCTTTACACGTCCTATAACACGTCCGGCATCTCGAAGTAGGCACCTATTATAATATTAATATGGTTATATATGTGATTTACCATTTATTTTTTGGAAACCCTTGAGCTAGTATATCTCGATCAACATCGAAAACCAAAGATGCAACCCGTTTCTTTGTAACCAAATGTTTGTGGTAGAATACCAGTTCCACGGATGTATCACGCTGGCTAACATATGCAGAGCCTCTGCTACCTATATTTTCGAGTATCCCTTGTGAGTTTGTAGGTACGGCTGCAAGGATATTACACCATAGATACATAATACTAACATGTCATTTCCATCCGGAGCTCTCCGACAACTAGCTCCACTAAAGTAGATTGACGTACGAATGCCCCTTCCAGGGCGGTGATCTCCACCAACAATTGGAAGCTTCTATGGCCATGGATGCCAGTATAGTAACATATAGATGCTGCAAATGTATATATTGGGTATGTAAATATTCACACATCTAGGTTAAATACACAGTTTATATAGATGAGGTTCAATGGGCATTGTTCTACGGTATATATGGTACATTGGGACGCCAAATGGATTATATGTATCTATTTAGTTTACTATAGCTTACCTATTGGTTCATATTCGGATATGGACGGTAGTATTGAGCTTACACGGGTGATATAATTGTTTACACACAGCTCGGCGCTGCGGCAGCAAACCCTGCCGAGCGCCCGTCCGGTAAATCCAAGCATAATATGCTATATAGAAAAGACAATTAAGGTTAAATGTCAATGCTCACGACTACAAGGGTGACCATGTGCACCCGCTCAGCCGACAACGTCATCTACAGATTGCCGAATCAACTTGTGTATATGCACTAAAAAGTTTACATAACTCAATTCGCCACCAGATTCATCCTCCAGTAGTAACAATTTGAGAAGCCGATGATGGCGGGACGAGTACGGTAGAATCTTCAGACCCAAATATTGACCTCCTATATGACACGCCCTAACACGCTCTATCGCAGCCAGTAGGCTACGCGCCGTTGGGGTGGAGTCCAATATACGTAACCTATCGGACGTCTTCTCGTCCAGCAGTAAATCTTCCCCGAATAACTCTTGTAATAAGGCCCAGCGGACATGCGGGCCAAAGTACAAAACTATCTTATAACCATCGTCGATGATGTAGATGCCGTCACTGTATACCTTGGTGATTGTGGAAGAGACTGGTTTACATGTAAATTGCCAACCCTCCTCAGGAGCGGTAACATTAGGATCGTGTACGCTGCGATGCAGGCAATAGCATCGGGAGTACACGTACATAGTTTCCTGTATCGGTGCCAGCAATGTACGTAGCATCTTCTGTAGAAACTCGATACCCTGTTCACCAGCGTTGACTATTTTGAACAATGAGTTGAGTGCGCATGGCAGATATTTCAGGTTATCTGGGAGTATAAGTTGATTATCCGGGGTAGACGGGGCGCATAGCTTACGGTAACTTGCAAGCGCGCCTACCACCTCATCCAAAATAGCCTTCTTACAGTCCTTCCCAGAACGTATCATGTTATACACCAATTTCCTTGCATAGTAGTTAACCAAGGTGTCACAGCAAGCGCTCTTGAAGATGCTGTGGACATTGGTCGATATCTTCATCGACTGGGTATGTATCCGTACTAGTTTCCTACCATCAACGCTGGAGTTATACATACAAGCAAGTTGTACATAAAGTTCACGGCGATCTGTCACGACATCATCCATGCTCAACAAGAAACAAATAGCGCTATCTGGTGACAACCGAGGTACACGCATTGTGGCCCTATCGATATAAGATCGTGCATTGTGGAACGGGCAATAACTTTCCTGTACGTCTATAGCCTTGCTAACCCTTAGTTTAAGTTCACAGTTGTACCCATGTGGAACTACGAATAGTCTTACCAGGTTCTTTGTAATCTTTTCAGCATACGCCACTGCGTTGAAGCATGAAAAATAGCAGGCCAAACCTGCAGTCTGCTGGCTAATATATTGCATAGGTACATCCGCTGGCAGACGTTCTTGTGTTGCACAAATGTATATATCCACAGCTATGGCATGTTCATAACATAGTTTAATCATCCCATCATAAGCTATCTTCATCGATTCATCCAAGCTGAAGTCACTTGTGAGTTGTGGTTTGGGACAATGCCCTAATCCCACTTCGGGTGGCTGCGCATAGAAGATGGATACTGTCCCCGGCATATTTGCATCAGCAAGTAGCGATATACCAACCGACAATGCAAAGTTACCACACGATAACGATCCTGTGGGTGGTGTAGTGAATCGTGAAATGTTGTCCAAATATTTCATAACCTCATCTAGGTTGTCCCCTGTGAATTCAACAAAGAGCTCGCTAACGCAACTTGGAGAAAATGCATCTGCTACCTCCGATACCACGTTTACAAATATGTTATCGTGATGCCGGTCGTATAGATAAACAACGCAATCGAATGTGAGAACACAGAATTTTACAGGTTTGCGTTTCGCTTTACATTCTTCAAAAGTCTCTTTGAGACATGACAATACACACTCTTTCAATTTGAGAGCGTTTGAAGTGGAAGTTACGTCCACAGCAATGACATACCCTGGAGTACGCGTTTCCACCGTGATACCATCATTCCAATCTCCCTGGGTGCTGGCCCTTGGTGTGGTCACAGTGGTGAGAGGTGCCACAATACTGCCAGTATTTTCCTCTTCAGCGTCACTATCCCCAGCTGTTAATGCGTTGACTGATTGTTCGTATGGGAATGGGTTAGTAGAAGTCGGTTCTGTGACACTGTAAGTTGAATAAACAACCTCTTCCTTGGGAGTAGATCCAATGCTCAACATTGATATCTTAGACGAGAGTTCACTAGCCCTTGAGATGAGCGACGCAATTTGAGATGGTTTCTTTTGCAGTTGTTCATATTTTGGCATGAAATATCGTGCAGGTGCCACGAAGTCGATACTGCCATTCATTATGGGTGCTACATCCGACCCCTCAGCTACCTGTGCCTTTAAATTATTCAAAGCCATTAATTCTAGATCGGTTAAAGTGAACCCTGTGTAGCAGAAATTGCATATCCGATAATCTAGCCTGGAATCACCTTCCATAGCCGGGTTGAAATATGCTTGACAACGAGGACAGCGTATCAGATTCTGCCTTAAAGGATCAGTTTCCCCAATTTCCGAGAGTAGGTCTACTATAGGTATCTTATTATCCAGTTCCTCCGCAAATGGCTGTACAACTGCCGCTAGAGGTATCTTAATCCTGTTCAAAGTTTCACCATAGAGTGGTACCTCATCTAGTGTTAAGCTCAAATATCTCTTGGAGCACACACCCGTTTTGACTGTTGTTTCTTCTGTATAATTCGGTGTAAGTACAGGTGCCTCTGTGGGCTGTACATCGTTGCTATCAACATGTGTGACCGGTCGTGGTACCTGTCTATTATCGATTTTGTTTGGGGTGTATGGTCCATATGTGTATATCAACTTTTCCAATTCACGATCGACATAATCTGCCTCAGAAGCTGCATATTCGCTGCCACTACTGACTGTGCGTGACCTCTTTAATTGATCGAATGATTTTTCACGTTGAGGGGCTAACAGTGCTGCAGATTGTGTCTGTTCTGTGCTGTTCGAAGTTAGAAGCGATGCAGGTACATTGAAAGCTAGATGCGATGGTTGCTTGGCCAATGTAGCTTTATTTTGTGTTTGGTTAGGTCCAGCGTTATCTCGTGTTCCTTCATTTGGGTTTACACCTTTTCGATGTACGTGGGCATGGTGTCGTGGATGTCCCTTGTTGGTTGTTTGAGATACGGTGTTGGCTCCCGTATCTTCACGTGGCGGTACTTTATTGGAGTTTTGTGAATCTTGTGACTTCATTGTGACATCAACAAAATTTATTCAGGGGCCAATAACATTTTAGAATAGTTGAAAAAATTGGTGCTCCGCAGCCTTTGAGAAACCTACGAATGTTTGGTTGTGACTGCCTTGCTATATTTAGTCGACCAAGATATAGCAATCAAAGCGTTCTGGTAACTAACTCTAGCCACTTGTCGCTGGAGGGGTGTAGATACACAATGGCCACAAGGTCCTATGATACAATTCTGTTGCAATTGTTATCCAATCACCGCTGTTTTTAAATGATGACGGGCGATATTATTAGAAAATGTTGAGACGTTTTATCGCGGTCTCGTGACAATGGCAGGAGGCGTGCACAAATGTTCTGACAGAATTGAGTCACCCTGCCTCTAAATAATAAAAAAATTGCGTTAATGGCTCCAGTAGAGGTTAGTTATCAATATTAGTATTACTCCAGTGATCCTGCTGATTTATGTGTGTTGGCGCCGCCCCGTCTTGCGACACAACACGCCGGGTACACCCCCTGCTGAAAGGGCATCCGGGGTTTAGCTTATATTCCTCATAACTCTTATATCTAACCTATAGTAGTTCTGTATTCGACATCGTTCTGTGTCATTGATATTCATTTAGCAAAATTGTCTATGGGCGATATTTCGCCAAACCGTAATGACGGCATCCGAATCGCAATCCGCTGTTATCGAAACAGCGCCTTTATGGGTCGATCGCATCAGAACACTTGGCTCGAAGTCCTCGTGTAAATCTGCTAGGGAGCTGTTAGAGGAATGGAAGGTCCATCCTCATCTCATCCGAATACTGGAGTCCCACAATATAACACAACTCTTTCCAGGTGCGCAATTATATGGCACTTTAATATTGATTTAGTCCAGGAAAAGGTTATCCCGATGCTTATAACATGCGACGCACTAGATCGATACTCTGTAACGGCATGTGATATTGTAGTAACTGCTCCAACAGGCCAGGGTAAAACTTTATGTTACCTGTTACCAATAATCAATAGTATAGTTAGATACAATAGTAGGTTTCGTATTGTAGCTACTGTTAACATGCTTTCAGGGATTGGTTTATTTGCTCTTATATTAGCACCGACAAGGGAGCTTGTTAAGCAGATCAGTGATTTTTGCAGCTGGTTTGTCGAGGATGACCCTGGGACATATGACCTCCGAGGAGGTGAACTTTTGAGAGTGAGGTCGTGTCATGGAAACACATCTTTTATCGACGACCATACCTACCTTATTGAACACCGCCCTCAGGTGGTTGTGTTTACCCCTGGTAGGTTCGTGGAGCACTTCACTCACCGGGAGGCTACCCGAGAGAAGGTTTTGGATTTTTCTACACTGCAGTGGATGATCATCGATGAAGTTGATTTGCTATTATCGCAGAGGTTCTATAACTGGACTGCCGCAGTCATGAGTATATGCAACGAGTGTCAAAAGAACGATGAAAGATTGTATCATACTTTTATGCCTAGTAGGCCTCGTAAAATATGTGAGTTCATTTTTATCAGACCACATAACATTTCTTCAGTGGTATCTGCTACTATTCCTACAAAATCATCAGAAATCGACCTTTTGCAACTATATAGGCCTCTATTGGTCAAGAGTAGCAGTAGTCTTTACAGTCTTCCGGATAACTTGAGCCAGTTGTACATCACGACGACAAGAAACAACAAAGCGTTTGCTCTTATTATGCTACTATGTCATATCATGGCTACTGCTTCACCTGGTGACAAATCTATAGTTTTCTGTTCATTCAAGGACACAGCTCATGCGACAGCTCGTATGCTTGAAATGTTCTTCTCTCATATGTAAGTGCATGTCATCACCTCAATCTCACTGTGGTATATATAGGCAATCGCATTTGCGTATTTTAGAGTTGAGTGCTCGTATTTCTCAGAAACAGCGTAACGAAGTTCTTGAGAGGTTTGGTAATGAAGATACTATGTGTCTAGTTTGTTCTGATGTAGCATCTCGAGGTATGAACTTTGCCAATACCAGAACCATCATCAATTACGACTTCCCCAAGAATGTAACTAAGTACATCCACCGCATAGGTCGTACTGCCAGGTAAGTGTAAAAATGTATCTGTTATTTTGGTTCTAGGGCTAATGAGAGTGGTACATCTTATATCATATTATCTGGTAAGGATGAGTCTGAGTTTAGTAACTTCACTGCTGAACTTCACCTTGGTACGGATGAAGTTCGCAAATTGTCAATGAGTGATCTGTTAAGTGTAAAGCGTGAGCCTGAAATTAAGGCTGCTTATGGTGTAGTCAAGGATATGGTCGATCGATGTTTGGAACTTGAGAAGGTCGGCAGTATCGCACATGACTCACCGCTGCCATCTAATTGGATGGCACTGTTACAAGAGCCCGAAAAGGGAGCTGACTGACCTGTTTTGTAATTACATGATGTTAATTTTGTCTAATTCATGTAATATTGGGTTATATATGTTCTGAAACTACTGTGTGTGTAAAGTTATGATCCATTCTTAAAAGTTTGTTTAAGAGTCATCTCAGTGTTCGAGCACCATAACAATGGCATGATGAACTGAATGTTTGGACGTTCATAGCTTGTATGTTACTTTTTAATATTGTTTGTAATACATTTTTGTTTGGTATAAGTTACATCTGTATTGATCAATGTTAGGAATCCTATTACACACCGTGTTAACCCCTATGTCTATTTATATAGAGGTGTTAATTTTTAATTTTAAGCTATTTAGAATTGGCATATTATAACAGGTGGTGTTATTTTTCAGGTTTCCTGTATACCTCGATTCATTACCGTAGGAAGGTTTCTGGAATCCTCTCACACGTCTAGAACGATCAGTAGAATCGTTTCATTTTTGTTAAATATACGTTTGTTTTAACGGGAAAGATGTTGTCTAGTGGTATATTAATCGCTATATCGGGACTGCTTGTTACAGATATAACGGTAAGATGGTTAATTCAATTCTGATTTTTTCATGTTGTAGGTGGCCCATATATCACAAAAATCAATCGGTACCCTTTCGCGATGCTCCGGCCTGACTGGAGTTTCGAAGATAAGTGAGGCTCTATATGCTCTCAATAACAATGTCGGTCGTAAGATTAACCTTGCCAAAAGGTTCGACCTTGGTAAGGTTGAGTTGACCTGTGCTCTTCGGAGCCCTGAAGTCGACCCATACAGCAAATGCGGTACTCAATTGATACCGATAAACGTTCGTCGTTCTGGTGGTTTGTTACGCGGGGATAGTGCTAGATTTGATAACGTTTTCGATGAGATCAACCTTGAGGCAACGGTAATATGATTCCAGTCTATAGTATATTTTTGCAGGTTGAAATCGATCCTAGGCAGACTGTGAACGGCCGAATGTCTGTCGATTTGCCTAGATTAGTGCGTTTCGCTACTATGTACAAGGGCCAACCGTTAAGTGTGGGCAAGGTGGATTTGGTGGACACTATCCGTCGTATCGATTTTATATACAAGCACTCTGACCTTCTCATCCACGCAGCATACAGCCCTCGTACAAAAGAAAGTGCGATAGAATGTCTAAAGAAGTTGGAACATTTGTACATCTTACGTGGAAAGTATGTTCACGTGACCCCAAAGGTCGAGGTGGTGTTCGATGGTGGTATTAGCCCGAAGTCCAACTTTTGTGTTGGTATCCAGCGTGGCGGCGACTCCATTACCCCTATAGTATATCCATTACAGAGGTATGTTTTTAAGAATGTTTGATTGTTATGCTTTATAGGAAAGTTGAGATATTGGCGGAGAAATCGCTAACGGACGGTGTCAAGGCTGGTATATTCTGGAGCAAGGACAATAAGCTGTATCTAAACGTCAGCGTGAGTCTTCCTTGGGGAAGCCACGGATGGCAGACATTGGCACTTCGGTTCGTCTTCCCGGACCTCGTCAAGTCACACGTGCACATGTTGAACGAGGTGTACGTATAAGGTCGTAGCGGGTGTTGAAATAAGACACCGATGAGGGGCGGTGGCAGTTATATGTGACAGGGACATAATTCATTGATTAGCTCACAGTGTAGATTTTGAAATGTGGCTGTATCTAAATTTCATGGCAATCCAGCCAGATTGTTGATGCGATTTGTGGGTAATATCTCCAAGGTCACGGTATGTCCCAATCCCTGTAGATATTTATAACTCCAAATCACTCTTCTGCTTGTTTGATGTATAGCAGGTTATTGCATCTACGAAAAGTCAGTACAATTACATTTACTCTCACCTTATCAAGATGGTACCACCCAGACTTCCCTTCAATACACCATTCTCCCACTCCTCTGCTCCGTCGAGCTCTATGTTCATGTACCCATCGAATGATTTCAGCAGCCCTGTGAGCGTTATATTATGTAAAACTGTACTTACCCTTGTATTCCATTCCCCATTTCAATTTCACCGAAACTGTATGTCCAACTAGCTTGTTTAGGAACGGCTTTGGATTTAGAGGCGGGGCAATCTGTACAACATATAGACAAGATCGCAATATCATACCTGAGGGCGATCCATTGCGCTGCTACGTGTCGGTTGTTTACGTATCAGCGTTAGAGCGAAAGTCCGTGTATATATCGGATGGCAACTATTGCGATATTATGTAAAAATGTGTTTAATAGTGTTAAAAAATATACGGTTTAAAAATCTTAATATAACGGCTATATAGGATTCCCCAGAAGGTTAGACCGGAAGGTAGACTACCCGCGGAGTAATTCCACGAGGTCACATTCGGCACACTGATATATACCATTACACATATACTAGACAATCGATTTTCATTCTATCTGAACAGTCAATGTGCCTAAAATGACATGTTCCTCCTGGTTAACCTAGTTATGTTGGATAGGTGTCATTGTGTAAGAAGAATTGCTATGATAATTAACCTACACATGTCATTATTACACAGTAGTTATGTATGAAATTTTTCTATGTAGTGTATGAGATATTTCATCATTAAACACCCTACTAAAATGTTAGCTGGTGTTATTGTCGGCGGCCTCACACCGACAATTTGCGGCTGATCATGTCCTTCACACTATACCGCTGGCGGTTATTTCTGTCTACTCCACTGACATTGTCATATACTAAGCATTTTAATCTCCAATCTGTCAAAATGATGCACATCAAACTGTTACCACTCAACCAGGACATTGCCGCTAGGTACAGTAATCACAAAACACACTACCCCGGCGACTGTGGACTTGACCTGTTCTGCCCCGAAACTATCACCATACCCGCACGCAAAACTGTCGATGTGGCTCTAGGGATAAAAATCGCTGCATACAGGATACGTGATGCGGAAGACCGTAAAAATGATAACCTAAGGAATGTAGGATGGATACTAGCTCCACGCAGTAGCATCTCAAGAACACCCTTGAGGGTATCAAATTCAAGTTAGTTAAATTTAATCAATCGATATATTTTATCCACAGTTGGCATCATTGACGCTGCTTATCGAGGCGAGATACGTGTTGCTCTTGATAACATCAGTGAAGAGCCGTACACCATCCAACAAGGTGACCGACTGGTACAAGTTGTATCATACGACGGTGAAGAGATTACTTACGAGGTAGGTATACAAAACGCCATTTCATATCTATTAATCGGCATGCGCCATAGATTTTATGTGCGAATTAATTTTAAGCGCATGTTAGCAGGGTCACTGACCACGCAAAAAAGACCGGCACACCCGGTACCCTATGTGACTACATTTTTTGTTGACATGAGCGATATCGTGACAAAAACGTATCTGGCTACATATTCATATTGACACAATCATTCGCTAGTAATAACGTCGATTGGGCCAACATAAATGTATTATAGTCCGTTTTGTACGTTACGATACCATTGTGTTTTTCACTTTTGTGATACGCAACGGGTATTATGAAAATCTTCAGTAGTGACGTACAACGTGATGAACCTTGCTCCATTGGCAGTTTTGTAGTATCTTAATTGCCCCTTGTGTGTTATGTATAGTAAAGTACCCATTACGAGATTGTTGCCGACTCGGACGGTTATGATGGTAGCCTATTACTTACCTGAAATGTAAAATTTTTTTTTATTTTATAGTCCTCAATTTCGGCAAGTGGTATTACACGAGATTTTTTCACGTGCTATATGATACATTTTTTATTTTTTTATAACCCCTGGACACGCATTGCCTAGAGATACCTTTTCATATTCCAAACTCGTGCAGATTGTTGAACAACTCGACGCGACTGAACGAGGTGAACGTGGGTTCGGGTCAACTGGAAGATAAGCTGTGGATCCAAAGTCCTTGCGCAGGAAACAATATATACATATTAAAAATCCTCATGCCTGACCGATTGCTTGTGCGCGCCGTTTACGACGCTCCTCGCGCTGGTCAAAAACAACCAAAGACTCGTTTTTGCATAATTGTGGCATGATATGTTGCTCCTTGATGATCTTTTGTGCATTAGGTTTAACTCGACTCTTCCAACGGCCGCCATACAGGTTGATCAACAGCTCCTTTAGACAGTTAACGTAAGCATAAAATCATGCTCAACGTAATGTACATAAGGAGTCACAAACCAACGTTCACGACACTACCTTTCTTTAAATATATGAACCAAGCATCTTTTTTAAAAGAGAAACGCACTCATGCTAACACATGGAACTCCATTAGAATGTATACGGTGCTTAATAGACACACAGACATATTATAGAAAACCCACCCTGATCTCCGTATGCGAGAGTCCCGTGTACTCGGCATCGCAGATAGCAGAATGTAACTCTTTGGTCTTTATAGGGGTATAAGATACAGACTCCGGCATAACTATATGATCCATATCGTCCAGAAGCTCGGGCATAGCTTGATCCGGTACCAATCGTATCCACCGTTGTAATGAGTTCTCCATAAGTTGTTCGGTGCAACTAACAATAACATGATCTAGGTCATCCCAATTTGCAGATTCATGACAGAAACATGTCTCCTCAGAAACACCAGTATCTACATGGCTCAACTTGAAATTAGAAGTGCAGGTAACACACTCGGAGCTGCAACATGCCGCATGAGGAAGGTTGTCAGCAAGGTCATGATGCTTTATCAGACCGAAACGTTCCAAGCTGGTTAACAATACAAGTGTCTGACGAGGGAACATATCGAAATCATTTAGCCAAACACAGAATGTCTTGACAGGGTAAAGATTGTCAACCATAGCTGGTGATATCATGAAACTGGTCATGATAGAGTATGGAAGCAGCGCACTTAAAAGAGCTGTAGTACCAGAGGCAGATATAGTTGGGTGTACCCATATACCGCGTAAACAACGCTCATTGCTAGTGAGCAATTCGATCATTGCCCATGCTATGGTCTTGGTACGTCTAACAGGGCCGAACTCACTGTTACTTACAAAAGCTTTGGTACTTACTGATATGTAGATCCCGCTAAAATCAGGATCAGCCATATCATTAGTAAGGCTTTCAATTAGTTTTAAAATAAAATCTCGAACTTCTACAAGAGTAAATGGTGATTTCGCATTACGCAGCTCGCTACTGCTGTTACATCTCGTGTCCAAGAAAGTGCGACCACGCATAATCTGTTCTAACATATGCGCCCGTTGTCGTGATACAAAATGGTATGCTGGGTAACATAGAGTATCTTTGGTATCGTCACCATCGGATGTTGGTAACGACTTCCGTATACTTCCTTCAGCTGGTAGTTTCCGGACCTTTACGACCAACCCATGTTGATCAAAAAACCCTTCACATTTTTGCCGTAAAGCTTCCAAAGTTGCGGCAGGTACCTCTTCAGGTGCATCATCAGATAAAGGTGTTTTGGGGTCATCCATATAACTGGTGATGTCGCTACTGACCGAATCTTCATACGAAGAGAGTCGTTCAAAACGTTCACATTCTTCAAGTGCTGTCATAGTATATTGTGAATTGAAATTTGGGCTATCTTCGGCTTTCATAACACTGTCTAAAGTACCTTTCAAAGGTGTTTTTTCAGCATTCTGATGGAATCTGAATAGGTGGCTTTTTTCATTAGCCTTTCCAAAGAGTCTTTCTAGACCCTTGGCCATACCACATATGGAAGCTTTTCTCAAAGGGGTCACAGGTACAGATCCCTTTAGTTTACCCTCTGTACACATACGTTTACGACTCCTAGTTAAAGGAACTGTTGTTGTATATTCCATTTCGCTGGGTTTTAGGTCAGCATTGGAATTTGTGTCAGCGCATGTGTCCTGTGCTGGAAGATAAGCCCATAGGGCTGAATTGAACCTTGCAGCTACATCCCCTTTCGGATTCCTAACATTTTTTGTAGAATTTGCTATGGGGATGGTAGCGCGTTCAAGTTGCTTCCAATCGGTTGCTACAGCTACTTTTATAAGATCGATCGCATCTACTTGCTTGTATTTCTTAGCTGCACTGCGTATACGCGAGGCAACCGCAGCGTCACCGATTGTCAGATGCTCCATTTTCAAACAACTGTCCCGCAAAACTAAATCTAGTATACTGGACAATGTCAGATTCACAAAATGATATATAGTACATTTCTAGATTGTCATGATTATGAACGTATTGGTTATAAATATTGAGCTTCACAAGATCGTCCGATAACACGATTACTTGCGAATTACACACGCCGACCCAACAACGAGTACGCACGATCAAAGACCCTGATCAACCCGTCTCAATAAGCGACAATGCAAAGATCGAACCTACAGGTACCAGTAGTAGGGTAAACGAGCATAAAAAGTCAACAAGTAAACTTGATAACCCGCAACAACGACCTATTTGTAACCGATTATTTATCATACTACCCAGACAAAAACCCGCCAATGCTGAGAGCAAATGCGTCCATAATAAGATTTTTGTTACAGCCGCGATAGTCTTAGCAAATAACAGACAAAGTAGACTTACAAATACGTTCACCAAATGTTGATGCTCACGGTCCAGCAGATAAGGGAACACAAAATAACGACTCAACAGGGCACCTGCCACGCCCCAATCTCCCGCAAAACCATTAGCTTGAAGCACATTTGGGTTCAACCAGCATGTTCCTAACATGCCATATGCCGAACTAACGAAGTATACCACCAAGGTAATGGTAGCACCGTGGATACGCTCAAATACTGAACTGAACCTAAAGTGCATAATAGTACTGATGATAATATGTCCGCCAGAATTGTGAAAGAATGTCGAACTTAGAAACCGGTATACTGCCAAATCACGTTTCAATAAGGCACCGCTAAAGGCTCCAAAACGAATACAATCTTGCTCTTCCAGCAGACTCTCGTCATTACGACAGTTAACAACCCTTATAATGAACAGTAACCATTGTACGAATGTGATAAGTATAGATATCCTGAATATCCTCAATAAAGGGTACAGGTTGTTGTGAAGAAAGGAGATCACCTCCGATACATTCTCCCATAGACTTCGTAATAAGGGTTGCTCCTCTATACGACCACCAACCATATACACTACATAGTCGTTTAGGTTACTCTCACTCTCCACCTCGAGATAATGGGCATCAGATCGTACCAATTTGCTAACCTGCCGCCGTTCACGTAAACGTTGTATTATATTATGTGTCGGATATAGGAAAATGTCTTGCATCTGGTCACTAGAACGTTGACCTGTACTCACTACAGCCCTTTTCACAGATGCTTCAGAGTGCCCTTCAGAACCGGTGGCATCTGTTTCCATTGAATTGGTAGAAGAGCCGTCCACTCGTCTAACAGGGTAATGCAGTGCATTAGAGCAGTGGGTACAGCTCACATACTCTTTCTTCAGATTATCTAGACGAGATTCCGTCAATGCGATATTATATGCGCTATTCCCGCAATTCAAAACCGGTTCCGTGTAACTACTTCGAGACCTCAGATTATTGAACCGCTCCACGCACATAGCCAAGGTTCGATCAAATTCAAGAGTGAATTTCCGTTGACGACTAACGACATTTGCGTAGTCGACATCGATATTTTGCGGGTCGTCACGTCCCGCTTCTGGCTCCTTGCCTTCCGGCACATTGATTGTAATATACATTAGACCAAAATATATTATGAATAAACATACAAAAGGGTTAACGGTTAATATCCGACGTCATACTTGCACAGTAGCGTCACTTACATCTTGTAATATATGCGATAGGTGATATTTGAAATATCCTTGTGATATACATATACATTGATCTTCATGAGAAAAAAACGACTTCGATATCTTCACAATCTTCCACCATACACCACTTGCACTAAATGCATATATTGCTACAATGATTTACGTGAGTTTCATTGAGCCTAGTAGCATCCTTATACCGTCGTAAAACGCCGCCGCGACGTGCACGGCTTAGGCCGTATATACACGTCGCGGGAATATGAATGCACTTATATAATACGACGAGTAAGCGTCAAAGACTCTATTGGAGTACAATGAACGCCTACACGTCTATATGAATAACCATTACAGTTATTCGAATGCCTAATCATCACACATGTGCGGCAAAAAATCATGCCACAGAACCACCTAGTAACATATAAATAATTAATAAGAACAATAAATAGACAAGGTGTAGACCTAAAATCAAATACGGACGATCAATGGCCCATATAAATGCCCAAATGGCAGATTATGTGTAAGCGGAATAACATAATGTTATTATAAAGAATTGCCATTTTAACCAAATTTACGACACAACACTACAGATTATACGTATTATCAACGATCCTTCTTACACATCGTGCAAAATATAAGCCACACAAGACGCAGCAGTGAACTCATCGTAACGTACCTTGACAGAGAAGGCGATCACCCGGTGCACATCAGCCGCCGATGGATATAAAGACATTAGAAATATACACCGTAAAATCATAAAAATAATTGTAAATAGGTAACAAGGTTAGAACGTTAAAATTTTTTATGAGCTCTAAATATATACGAGGCGTAAATGTGCAATACAGAATATAACACACGAACAACTGAATATGGATAACGAGTAGCACTCAGACAGCTATTGGGTAGACTATCGAGTGTAATCTAGCACCATGGATGACGATAAATAATTAGCACATAGTTCGCATGAAACAGAAAACATCTTCTATACACGACGATCAATCAAGGCTATGCACCCAGCTGTATGGATGAATAAATCGACATTACATGAAGGAAGCACAGCTTCAAATCATGCTGATGAACCACCTGGAACACCGCTCGATATTTTGAAGGACATTTGGACTCCACCTGCTAAAACACAAGGGCGAAATAAGCCAGAGCAATCTGATATAGACAATGATTTGTATAACAAACATCAAAACGACTTTCTAGATAATGACAATCTGGCACTCTTCATTGAAAGGTTCAATAAGGGCTTGAAGGTTAACACAACAAATGATCTGCCTTCATATACTGATATCGACCTTATAGGCGATGTACAGCACTCCCCTCAACCTCCCGATGTCTTTCAAGATTTCATTCACGGCAACGACGCTCACAATAAACATCATGGGAAGAACGACGATCTTGATTTTGCTCAGCACGACGCTGATTGGCAAAAATCTGGTCAACCAGTGGAGGGATTACTACACAAAGTAGAAGAAACACACGCCAACGTTGATCTCTTGAAGATTCACTCCTTCTACGACGACATCGAGACCCTCTTTCAAAAATGCCAATATGATGACAATAAGCTGTTAAGTCATAGCGATAACAAATTCAATATCGAACCTTTAGAAGCAAACAGAAAAGGCGAAACTAAGGCTGCACAATCCCTTATCACAATTGAAGAAATCAACCAGTTGGTATACCAGACACAACCAGCTCAAAAAATAACTAACCAGACAATCAAAAGTCAATCGCTGGAAAAAAGTAACAGCGATGTTGAAAGGTCTGCACAAGGCGATCAAAATATAGACTTTAGCGATGAGTTCAATACACTGGTACAAGAATCATTCAAAACAGTTATAACTGATTATAATATACCCAAAGATGAATCAAAAAACGGTTCGGGGGGTGTTGGTGAGTTTACAAACAGGGACACAGGTGAGTCGAACACGACGGCCAAACGCATAACATGCAGATGTAGAAAAAAATGCTATCTTACAACAAATACATCAATGGGCATATAATGACGCAGAAGAACTCAGGGATGTACGTGCGTTATTGTATACGGTAGGAAATGTAGGTCTATAACCATATAATATGCATAATACAAACAGGTACTCTGGAATGGTGCGAAATGGACACCAATGGATATAACTATATGTGCCTGCGACAAAGAAAGTTGCAAAAAATATTATAAAAAAGCAATGCTAACTTGCCATCCAGACAAACATAATGGCGCAGAATGGCGCACCATGCTCAGGGCAAAACATATCACACAGGCACTGCAAGCAGCGTGGGCCAGACTAACGTAAAACATATATATGTATATAGTGCTACATTTTAGGTTCACCAAGTCTAACTTTAAATATGTATATATATGACCAAATCACTTGTCAGCCCAGCTATCGCCAATAGAACCCACAGCCTTACAAGGAACGTAACGCAAAAACTTGTTACCAGCAGATTCCATACACTCTATCAACACAGATAACGCCCTTTCAGAATGCTCCGTAGGAACCTCTAATATGATCTCGTCATGGATGCACAGCACCATCCGACCTCCAAACTCACCAACACGATCAACCAATAACGCCATCGCCTCCTTCGTTATATCAGCAGATGTACCTTGAACTGGGTAGTTCAGTGAACGCGTAAATGAAAATTGGTCAAAGATAGACAAACGGTTACTCAATGTCCTAACTGACATCGGCTTGAAATTCTTCATACGCTCATGCCATGATGTAATACCACTATAGTTACGGAAAAACGAGTCGTAGATTTCACGAGCCCCGCTCACACTCAATTGCACTCCATAACAACTCTCGGCATAGTTACGGAAACCTTGTAACGACATACCAAAAATCAAACCGAAATTCACTGCTTTAGCCAATTGACGCTCTTCCTTAGTAACCTCAACTATAGGTTTACCCTTCACCAAACTCGCGGTCAATGAATGCAGATCATCGCCACTATTATAAGCATCGATCATACGACGGTCTTCAGCAATATCAGCTGCAATACGCAACTCGATTTGCGAAAAGTCTGCTATAACCAACTTGTGACCGGGGTCCGCAACAAAACATTCACGGAAACGACGGTCACGAGGGATCTGCTGAAGGTTAGGATTGTCACAACTAAAACGACCACTTTCAGCGCCAATCTGATTGATATTCGGATAAATACGACCAGTAGATTGATCTATATGGTTCGGTATCTTTTCCGTAAAAGCGGTCACAGCCTTGTTAGTCTTGCGGTACTCACGTAAAGCCTGGATCGCAGGGTGATAGGTATTACGTGCAAGTGTACGCTCAGATGTATCCTGGATCAACGCACGACGAGATTTGTCCATCACCTTCTGCTGTTGAAGCGCCTGCAATAGCTGACGCTGTGAATTATAGTTGAAATTCGGATTGCCAGAAACGCCCAAAGCTTCACCTAAACGTTCCATAGCTATGGAATTCTCCTCGTCCAACGAACGCTGAAGAGATTCCAATTTAACACGGTCAACCCTTATACCGTTCTGTTCCATCTGACAAACGGCCAAAACACATTTGTTCTCGATTGCAGCTATAGTGTCCAGACGCTCACTTTTCAATTTCTCCTGTAATATGAAATATAATGGCAAAAGAACAGCGGTATCACGAGAAGCATAGATAACCTGCTCTTCAAACAATGGGTCCAAAGTCCAATCTGAAAATTGCTGTGATTTATCCAATGCTATATTCAAATAACGCTCAGCAACATGACCTAATTTACAACTCCAATTGAAACGAGTTGCACTCAATAACTTAGCCGCGATCATAGTGTCGAATATAGGACCCTTCACAGGCAAGCCGTTGAAAGATAAAAAGTTTATATCGAATTTACCGTTGTGCAACACCTTGACTGCGGAAGAGGTCAAAAATGAACGTAACCAGCTACATTCCTTCAGTGTGGATATCGATAACTTAAATACATCAAGCACCACCGATGGTTGATCTGGTGTAGATATCTGCAATAAACGGATACGGTCTTCACGGTGATTCAAACCAGTAGTCTCGATATCCAATGTACAAAGCTTAGTATTGGCAAATAATGGAGCTATCCGTTCCAACATCTCAACGTCTGTCACATAGATCAAACCTTTTGATAGCAGATCATCATTACCCTCAGATAAATTGTATACCGGCAATTTAACAGTGCCCAAAGCCCCAGTGACACTCTTGGTCATTAATGCATTTTGACCTGTTCGACGAAGTACGCGCTCACGGTAATCTTCCAAGTTGTCATATATACCAACATCTGTCTCGCTCAATGTCAATAAAGGTGCAACGGTAGAGATGCCAAAATGAGTAGTAATCTGGCTAGAACTATCTTTGCCATGTGATGTTTCACATTCTACATTTTTCAAGACACTTGAAGGAGGGACGTGATTCTTGATCTTTTCGTATATTTCAGATTTCACTACACCCTTACCAGCCGTCTTTACCATACCACCCAATCCGTTCACCTTGATGAACTCACGGTACTCTTTTATAGAAGAACCTGGAGTTATAGTGATGCCACGCATGGTAATACGTTCAGCATATTCCTCAGGAGGATCCGACACCTTAGCCTTACGACCACGCTTGGGTTCGGTAGTTGTACTAGCAGAACCTATCGACGGTTCGCTTGCAACGGGTTCAACTTGAGATACTACAGGTTCCGCTTTTCTCACTGTATCCTGCGTAGATGGAACCTCATCACCTAATGCAAAACCATCCTGTAATACATTCTCCTCAAGATCAGAATCATGCACGAAACCTGTTTGGTTACGCTCGTCATCCATCACACTGTTGAGACGGTAGGTTGACATGGTTCGCGTTACGGGTTGTGATACAGAAGCACCGACTAGCTGGCCACCGAGAAACCCTGATGAAGTTGTAACAAAAGCAACCGGTTTCTCAGGTAAATCAAATGACATTCGAGGTGGAGTGGTAGTAGCACGGCGAGGTGCCGGAGGTCGCAACTTATCAAATGCTTTGGTAGTCACTTTACCTTCAGGCTCAGGAGCCGGCGCAGATTCCAAGACGAACTCGGTAACTTTCAACTCCTCAGCTGTCAAACTCAAAGGATCGAAACGAAATGTTACACGACCTAAGTTACCAGCAAAACGGTTCTTCTTAACATCGATACTGCGATTTTCACCAACCACACTCTGTAAAATCAACACGTTATCAGCCTCTTGGGTGGATTTCACGGAACCGAACACGCTGGACATACCCAAGGGGGTACCATCCGCCTCTTTACGTGGATGAACCACTAGAGAAACGTGAACGTTCTTGTTAGTAGCGAAACGACGGAACTTCTCTATAGCTTTATTCTGGATCTCCCATAACTCACCAACACGAGAGTTTTGACCACTTAACATAAATTGTAAATTGTCAATGATAATGTGACGCACGTCGTGGACATATACAGCGTAATCCATAGCATCAATCACCTGATCGATCGAAGTAGATCCATGGAACTTCATGAACCTTAAAGGGAGCTCAGCGAACTTATCCGCGTAGTAGTTAAAATCTTCCAAGGAAGTTTCAAGGTTACGACCACTGAACTGACGTAACATCGTCTTTGCCAAACGAACGTTATTTATCTCGAAAGAACCCCAAAGAGTACTTACACCCTGCATACAATAATCCAATGAAAGTTGAGATAATATCGTCGTCTTCCCTGAACCGGTAGCACCCGTCCAGACACTCAGCTCACCGCGACGGTGACCTTTAAGCAACTGGGACAGACCAGGCATAGTTATAGAAGCGATACCCGAGGTGGCACAGGGGTTAGAAAGCTCCTCGAATACATTCTGACGGATATCGCTAAAGTTCAAAATCTGGGAGTGCGACATTGGAGTCGCTGAATCCACATAACTAGATACATTCAAACCACTCAAAAAAACCTCATTAGCATCCTTCGGGATACGACACCCAGCGGAACCTTTAGGTCGATCAGATATATCACGTATGACACGTGTACGCTGGATACCCAACTTGCTAGCAAAGTGGTCCACACCACCTTGACCAGCAGCGTCAAAGTCCATCCATAAGTAAATGTGATCCAACTTCTCCAACCTTGGAAGCAAAGCTACAGGGAGCGAATTTGAACCATTGGGGAGCGATATCGCAACACGGCCTGTAGTCTGGTTAACAATCATGGCGTCGAATTCACCCTCAGTAAGTACTACTGACCGAGGTTCCCCAGCAGGCTTCTCAAACTCCGACGCTAACAAGTGCTCACCAAACATACCCCAAGATCCTCCACGAGGGATAAGTTTCATACGTGATTTATCCTGGATAGAACGAACCTTGATACGATTCACAAAAAGTTGAGAACTACCCTCAGTTGATGTACCCATCAGCCATGGAAATACAACACATAACTCCGTATCACCCTTACCAACTCCGTAATTAAAGCTAAATTCACCGGCACCCACACGGTAACGTTTCAATGTCTCCACAGTGATACCTCTGGTTTCAGTAAGGTAATCCAAAACCGGCTTGTATTTAGCTACTTCGAAAAGGTTGTTCTCATATTGAATAATGTTAGTCATCGTAACTGCAGGCTCCGGGCTCCTGGGTAAGCTGAAAGGGTTACCACTGAATGATGGGTTCATCGCCTCCTCAATCATACCACCAGGAAGGTCGCCCATGGCAGCCTTAAAGTCATATAAGCTGCCTTTATAACCACATCGATGACAATAGGAGTTACCAGAGTTCTTGAAAATCTCGTGCTTGTATAAATTGTCGCTTTTGTATTTGTGTGGTGGACAAAAGGGGCAAAATTTCAGCGTCAGCTTTATGGGACTCTCAACATACTCGATACGTTTTCGACGCAAGTAATCTACGATATCACCCGTTAGAATGCGATAGTGATGTGACACGAATGTAGTGTAGTCATTCGTACCAGGCATCACCTGCACTCCAGGTGTGTTGTACGGGCCAGATTCGTAATAACTGCGTGAACTCCTGTAATCATCACCATATGCAAACAGACCACTAAGGCTCTCAGCATCTCCAGAATCCACTGGTTCAACACCAGAAAAATAACCAACACGCTTGATGTCATGTGGTTGAGTTATAGTGCTTTTCGACCCGGAATCCAGTGTCAAAGGACTTCGTGACACACCTCCGATAAATGCTGCAGAACCACGTCCACCTTTCCATCTTGATGATGGTGATGATAAGGTTGACCGTTCTCCAAGCACTTGATTAATCCATGATCTCACTTTAGTTAAAGTGCTATATGACCTGCGACGCTCCAGCGAAGGTAGCGGCACGCGCATTGTTGGTATTTCAGCCGCATAACGTATAGCAGAAGGTGCTATTAAGCCGTTTTCTATGGGAAAGATGGTTCTGTGATGATCGGTTCCAGGACCACGGATCCCTACGCAATTCACGCAGCACAACGACACAGTAATAAGCAACCAATGTAAAAGAAAACGAACTGCTTGCGGCTTATATAACCTTCTATGCACTGCTACTACCTTGCTGTATCGGTACACAGCACTATCAACCATGCCAACGGCTCCTTGCTATGTTACTGTGTGTTCCTTGTACGATCCCATGAAGGATATGGCCTTACAGCACACAATAGATGCCACATTGCACTAGCGTGCGATATCACAACATCATAGATGAGCGAGGATATATATTTGTTGCTTGACTCTCCTCAATAGTCAAATAATACGCAAGTTACAACCCCGTGTATTACAGGTAACATGAAAATCTTGAATATGGACAACTATGTTAGTATGTAAAACCTTTAGCTAAACACAAACACACGGTAGAATTGTATTCGTGGATGTAGACAACGCCTTCAACGACGACACTTTAGAATCCCAGGGATTCCATGGGGGCAGACAACGCGCGATTAGACTGAAGGCGTTCCATTAATAACATACTTAAAGTAATGTGACATTATCTTCAAATTAATATTAATTTTTAATATAATTGTAACACATAGTCTCAATGGACCGTGTGTAATAGCATCATGCAAAATGTATAACCAAATACTCATTTAATTACAATATTGATCAAGTCAACAGCACCGTCCTATATGCTATAGTATCCCGATCAGATATATTACAATTATTGTAATGGATACATGACTTATCATAATGTTACAATGCATAGACAACATCGGTAATAAGTCACGATCTCAATCATAAGCAATAGCTTATGTCTAACTCAGTCTAGTACTGCAATATAGTTAACTTCAATAACATATAACGCTCTCTATGGTCATATCACTTAGAACCTTTGTTAGCCGAACGGAGCTTTGTTAGTGTTTGAATAGGGTGGATTAGGAATGGGATAAGCATCTCTCCACGGACGGTCATACAACATTTAGCTACACATCGTAATTATTCACAAATTTAGGTTCATTGCGAAGAGAAATCGATAATGTCATCACTGCGTTCATGATCTTGAGTTACAGTGAGATGTGTTCACGGCAAGATATAGATTCCTGAATCGAATTATGTGTATACTCTGACATATAAATGACATTATCATGGCGATAAAACGAAAGCAAGATGCTGCGGGGAATGACCTGCGATTTCAAACGCAGAGACGTAAGTTATAACACATGGTCTTACACATACATACAGGCAAGTCAAGGAAAGCGATACGAAAGGCTCAAAGGAAGTCTGAAAAACAGAAACATCACCAAAATATCATCCAATATAAAGAGAGACTTAAGGGAAAACAAAAGCCAAACAAGCTGCAGGAACAGCAGGTTGAACCAGAAAAGCCTTCAAAACGAAGATTGTCCAAAACGCATGACATGCCCCAATCAAGAATTCTGGAAGAAAAAACCGAAGAACAACGTGAAATAGAATATCTAGAAAGACAGCTGTTGAAAAATAGAAAAGGCGCTGCAAAAACTGCTGATGTATTCCAAACACTCAGAAAAGAATTTGTAAACGATGGATTCGATGATGAATTTCTCGATTTCTTATCAAATATATCACATATGGCCGAAAAAGGTAAACGGATATCAAAAAAATCTGGGAATTCGAAAACTTACCCAGGCAACCTAATGGAACAAAGTGATGAGGATGATGATGACGACATTGACGAAGAGGAAATCGAAGGTGATGACGAGGATGGTGAAGAGGAAGATGAGGAGGAAGAAGTAGTTGAAGAGGAGGTGGAGGAAGAAGAGGACGACGACGACGAAGAAGAAGAAGAAGAAGAAGAAGATTATGATCATGATGATGATGAAGAAGTGGACAGTGAAGATGCTATGCCGACAGTTAAGAGAGTTAGGTTTAACCTGGATGGAGAAGAAAAACCTAAAGGTGGGTACAAAAAACAAAGCACTCATGATCCCCTAGGCACTACCAGGATGAAGGAAAAAGTCAAGGATGCCAAGCCTCTAAAAATTGATAAAAATACCATAGAAGCTATGAAAAGAAGACAAATGGGACTAATCAATCGTATATCCGAAGGAAACTTTACGCTAGTTGTCAAGGAAGTTATTGACATATATACTAAAATGCACTCGAGTGGGTCTGAACAACAAAGCAAAACACATGTACTCGCTGTTGAAGAACTTATCCGAGATTTATCGGAATGCACAGTGAAGCTCATTATACAAAATGAAAATACTGTTATCAGCCTAGTCGCAATACATACAGCCCTTATATGCGCTCTATGCAACACCGTAGGGATGAACCTGGGATACGTATACTGTCACAAGCTACTCAAAACTATTGATAAAGCACTACCTATATTGTTCGAAAACAGAGATGGAAAGGAGTTATCAGAAGCCAAACAAATGGCAAGAAACAGTATTATGTCATTCGCCGTAATATCGCACTTAGACATGTTGGATTCGGATATTGTCTTCCACCTCTTCAAAATTATGTCAACACAAGAAATTACAGAACATATCGCACAAATACTCATGGTATTGCTAAGATATACAGGTAACATCAGACACAGCAATAAATCAATATTTGGCAGGACATAAAATCAAGACTGAAAATCCTACATCATTCCACAATATTATAGAACATCTCAACAAAATGCTAGATCAATATAAAGAATCGCACGGGGATATTACTCAAAGTATGTGGAAATATCATTTCAGCGTCTAATCGCACTATGTAGGTAGACTTAGGTTCTTCCAACAGGAAATAGAATCATTCAAGCTCTCAAAAGAGAAAAAACCTCTAGAAACTTTCGATTTCCTAAAGTAAGCTCTCAGGATGAAGTTTAATACAAAAAATGCAGAACTATTATCAAACGAGATTTCAGGTATCGTGGAGGAGCAACTAATCCGCAGATTAGCCACCAAACACTGTTGAAATTTACAAAAACATATGATGCGGGGAAGACTAATTCACACGAAATACTTCAAAAATTGGATGTTGCCACCCAAATAGCTATCAAAAGTGTAAAGGATGACGATCCGAATTCAACGGATGCACTACTACAAAAAGCAGCTGCGCTAAGGTAGGCTCATCAAAGTTCCAATATTAATCAATAGGCTATACTCTAATTGTCAAAAGTCAACATTTGTTGCAATCATGGGAGCCATCAGTCCTCAACATGCTGTCGAAAGAATTATGGACCTAGGCGTCAAACCTACGCAGCAAAACGAAGTTCTATATACCATCGTACACTCTTTAATGAGTGAAAAGTTTTACAACGAGTACTACACCGAAGTGGTCAAAAATCTTGCGAGACTGCCATCAACCACTGGAAAAAGGTTCACAAGAGCGAGCGTATGTACTCTAATCGCAATCATAGAGCATCTACATGAAAAGAAGCCACGAAAGTGTGACCATCTGGGAAAGTTCTTTGGTGACTTCGTTACATCCAAAATCCTGGAACTCAGGCTACTGAGGTTCATAAAGAAGGAACAGGCCGATAACGAGTCCGTAGAAGCGTTCATCAGGAGCCTGTTCGCCTACTTAGTGGAAAAGACGCCAGTGGAAAACGAAGAACATGTCATAGAGCAACTCATGCAACTGACTAATGAGGTAAGAGTAACAAGGCGGTCGAAAAAATATCTGCAGGACATCTTCGAGGTGTTGTGCGAGGCGTGGTCAGAGTACCTGGAACAACACTGCGAAAAGGCACTGCCAATAAAAGGCAGAAAAGTCATGATGGAAGCATGTAGACGTATATTCAGTTTGAACACGGATGAATAATTTTCACAGTGCTGCAAAGCAACATAGTTCTTCACATCGCACCTATAATATGCATAGAACCAAATGTTAAAGAAAACATATACTATTTGCAATATTTAGCGGATTAGTTTTTACGTCAATCTAAATGTTGGGATGATAGTTTCACTTAGTCTTGCCCATCTCGACGGCCTTCTCCTTGGCTTCCTGAAGACCACCGACCATGTAGAAGGACATCTCAGGCATATCATCGCATTCACCTTCCAAAATCTCCTTTACACCGCTGATGGTGTCCTGAAGCTCCACAAACCTTCCAGGCTTACCAGTGAAAACTTCAGCCACCTGGAATGGCTGAGAAAGGAAACGCTGTACCTTACGGGCACGAGCAACAACAAACTTGTCCTGTTCAGAAAGCTCGTCCATACCCAAAATAGCAATAATATCTTGTAACGACTTATAATCCTGCAGGATCTTCTGCACGCCACGCGCAACTTCATACTGCTCCTCACCAACAATGTTTGCTGACAACATACGAGACGTAGAGTCCAAAGGATCGACAGCTGGGTAAATACCCAGTTCAGCGATAGAACGGGACAATACAGTTGTAGCGTCCAAGTGGGAGAAAGTAGTAGCGGGAGCTGGATCCGTGATATCATCAGCGGGCACGTACACAGCCTGCACAGACGTAATGGAACCCTTGTTAGTAGTAGTAATACGCTCTTGCAAAGCTCCAAGGTCAGTAGCAAGAGTTGGTTGGTAACCCACAGCTGACGGAATCCTTCCTAGAAGCGCACTCACTTCAGAACCAGCCTGAGTGAAACGGTATATGTTGTCAATGAAAAGCAACACATCTTGACCATCCTCATCACGGAAGTATTCTGCAACTGTCAAACCAGTAAGAGCGACACGGGCCCTAGCACCTGGCGGCTCGTTCATTTGACCATACACCAAAGCAGCTTTAGAACCAGAGAAGTCAAATGTACCATCCTCCAGCTGTCGGCGCTTGATAACACCAGTCTCCATCATTTCGTGGTAAAGCTCATTACCCTCCCTAGTACGCTCCCCTACACCAGCAAATACTGAAAAACCACCGTGCTTCTTAGCAACGTTGTTAATCAGCTCCATAATCAATACAGTCTTGCCCACACCTGCACCACCGAAAAGACCAATCTTGCCTCCCTTAGCATAAGGAGCAAGAAGATCAACCACCTTGATACCAGTAATCAATAGAGCTTCATCAGTACGCTGATCGCTGAAGGATACAGCATCCCTGTGGATGGACATTTTCTTAGCATCAGGGATGGGACCACAGCCATCCAGAGGCTCACCAGTAACGTTCATGATCCTACCCAAAGTAGCTTCCCCAACTGGCACGGTGATAGGGTTACCACTGTCAATAACCTCTTGGCCGCGTGTTAAACCTTCAGTGGCACTCATTGCGATCGTACGGGCCACACCATTACCCAAGTGCTGGGCCACCTCAAGACTTAAACGACCCTCTGGCGTATCAACCCATAATGCGTTAAGGATCGGCGGTGGAATACCTTCAAATTTCACGTCGACAATAGCACCAATTACCTGGGAAATACTACCTTTCTGTAATCCGGAAGACGCAGAGACTTTAGCCGAAAAAGCACGTGATGATGGAAACAAACCACGGCTAAATGAACGGCTAACACGCCCACCGAACACCTTTAGCAACGAACTCATACTTCCGAATCAATATATAGGCAAATGGAGACAATACAGGCAGTACGTCAGTAACGCACACACCGCATGCCGAAGGGTCAGCAACTAAAGTGCCACGTACCCTAACAGGAATATGCAGCTGTCAAATTTACAGCCACTTTGGCTATGCACGGATTCAGACAAAGGCAACCTAACGCTGACGCTGGCGTTATATGGGGAATCACGGCCTTCCAGACCTTTTAGAGAAGACAATAGTGGAATCTCATTTAAACTGATAATATATACATTTGTGACAGTTTGCATAAGTTCGGCGGGCATTGATACGAGAGTAAATGACTATTTAGCTAACGATAGGGAATTGACGGATCCACTCGCGGACCTTGGTGCGCAACGCTGAGATTCGCTCGTCACCTTCAGAACCTTTCTTAAAGTCTTCGTGGTTAGTACCATGTGCCTCTGTAAACACATAGAAAATAATATTACACAACCCACCTTGCAACGACTGACATATACGGATCATCTCCAGCAGAGCATCGGCGATAAATACCATGTCATCGGGTTTACCTCCACGTGCTGTTATCAATGCCGTACCCAGACGTAGACCAGATGGGTTCATAGCACTAACGTCACCAGGCACGGTGCTCTTGCTCACAGCGATGTTGATGCCGTTGCAAATGTGCTCAGCCTTGTTACCATTCACACCGAAAGGTTTCAAGTTAATCACAATAGTATGGTTGTCAGTACCGCCAGTGACTACCAAGAAACCACGCTTCTCACATTCAGCAGCGAGCCTACGTGCATTGTCCACGATACCCTTAGCGTACAATTTCCATTCGGGGGAGATTACCTATAACAAATATTAGAACAACGGCAAATGACAAAAGAAAAGGATCTGTATGTAAAAATAACGGAAACGTTACAGATCAAAATACTTTCGTCACATAATACACAATACACTATAACAAATATACATACCGTTTTCAACTGAACTGCCAAAGCGGCAATGGTGTTGTTGTGAGGACCTCCTTGCATAGTTGGGAACACGGCAGAGTTAATCTTATCCTCAATTGGGGGATCCACCTTCTTGCTGTAATAAATCAAACCGTGACGAGGGCCTTTCAGGGTCTTGTGGGTCGTTGACGTGACGACATGGCAGTATTCAAAAGGTGATGGGTGCTCTTTTCCGGCAATGAGACCAGCAATGTGGGCCATGTCAGCCATAAGATACGCACCAACCTTGTCAGCTATTTCACGGCAACGCTTGTAATCCCAGTAACGACTGTAACAAGAAGCACCAGCAATGATAAGTCGTGGGTTGTAAGCCTTAGCCAGCTTCTCAATCTCGTCATAGTCCAGCAAACCAGTCTCTTTGTCAACATCGTACAATAAAGGAGTGTAAAACACAGCAGATGCAGAAATCTTCTTTTGACCTACATGGAAACCATGAGTAAGGTGACCACCAGAAGATAGACGAAGACCCATAATCTTGTCGTGAGGCTGTAGTAACGCCACGTAAACCTCAAGGTTAGCAGGACTACCGGATAATGGCTGGACATTCACTCCCCATTCCTCTGGATTCAAGTTAAAAGCTTGCAGAGCCCTCTTTATACATAAACGTTCAACCTTGTCAATTACATCACAACCACCATAGTATCGACGACCAGGGTAACCTTCAGAGTACTTGTTAGTGAAGACTGATCCAAGTGCCTCCAAAGTCGCAAGACTTGCCATGTTCTACAAGCGAATATGGGAAAAAACAACTTAACATGTATTTAATCATATATAACATATCATTAAAAGACATAGGATATATAACAGTTATGAACCTAAAAAGATCAAATCACGAAACCGGAAGAATAAGATCCAAAATCAATAAATAATGCACACATACCAAAGATAAAGAAGTTAAATATATTTTACTAGAATATACCGAGAAAAGACAATAAACACACCTCAGAAGCTATCAGATCGATGGAATCACGTTGACGCTCGCGTTCTTCTTGAAGAAGCTCGTAAACCTCTGGATCCGCCTGAGAAAGGTGGAGCAGATCGTTAGGTAATGCAAGTTGACGCTCAGAAGTCATCTTGTTAGCTCGAAAATACAAAGTGTGTCAGTAGAAGGTCTAGTGTGCGTGAACTTGATGTTACAAATAACTACGAAGGCCACGGAAAAGCAAAGTTAGCAGTGCACCATATAGGCATAACAGTTTATATGCAGTGATTATCTACTGTCTGCAGAGTTCTAGCACCTCTAAATCGGGCGTTTCAACGCATGGATTCCGAGATAGATGTGGGGACGTAACGTGTATGCTAATGTGCAGCAGATGCGATTTAACAGACTTCTTAATAATAACAACGATATATACAATGGAGCTCGATGTCACACAATCTTTTCCCGTCCGTCAGACGACTCCTTGACAGCTAATTTAGCAGGAGACTTAGGACGAAGGTTCTCAATCTCCTCAGAAGTACCCATTAAACGACCGCCACGATAGTCTTGCACCTGTGGCCAGCACCCACTACCAGTAGTCCACTTTAAAAACTCATCAGCATTGTAATTAGTAGAACTCACAGCAGGACCCACCGTCACCCACCCATTGCGAATAGTAGCATCACTACCAAACAATTCTAATTTACGACGACCTAAGCAAAAACGATCTATGATATCGAAAATCTCACGTGGCTTAGGATTAAGATGGGTAAGATATATATCCATCTGCTTCTGAATATCCTCACACTCTTCTAGACGTAACTCCAACTCCATACGTAAACGTTCACGAGGATCACACTCTTCAGATATAATCACATCGGTATCTAAATTGGAGTGAACGAAATAGTCGTCCTCGTTACGACGAATGGGACCACGTAAACCAACTAGACAACGCTCAGTAGTTTTGTGCAGAAGGGCAGGTGGACTGATAGGATCTAAATTTCGACTTTTCACAACAGGATCGCCATCAGGGTCAGTTTGACTCCAACGAGAGTTGGTCTTTAACCAACATATGTCCTCACATTTACGAAATCCCCATTGACGAAGCGCGTTACGAGCATCGTCCAATGTATGATAATCACACCAAATAAAACAAAAAGACATAGCATCCACGATCTTATCAACAGGTATATGCTCGATAATGTCCTGAATTGTCCATCCAAAATGCTGATTTAACGCACGCATACGAGGAGTCCGCCATGGCGGATTTATAAGAACAACATCAAATAGTACCCTTAGACTCTCAAAATTAAAAGTACGAAGATCCGCATGAATATGACGTGCAGGAGTAGCACGTTTTGTTATAATCTCACGTTTAAGATTAGATAAACGATCTAGTTTAGGGTACTCTCCAAAACGCTTACCCTCACCAACATCACGAACAAAATTCTGTGGGCGCTCACCAGTATCCACAAAACGCTGATTGTAATCGTTCTGGATACGTTCACGGCCACGTGTTGCGATAAACGAACGCTTATCTCCGCGCTTTCCCTCAGGATGAGGCTCAGCATCTGCAGCCGGGGGAACTGACTCGCCAGCGCGACGAGGAAAAGGCTCACTTTTACGACGAGCACGCAGACGCTTCTTACTAAGACTGCGCATGCCACGCATCATGGCTCCAGGAGAAAATGGTACCTTCATCGGGAAAGGTGCAGACGCTCCTCCAGGCATCATATTCATAACCATGGGATTAAAAGGCATCATTGGCGGCGATTCGCCGTTAGTGTCATTCAGTTCGTCATCTGACATTTTTGCGATATTAATTTAACGAAATTCTATTGTAACGATGCCGTAATTATACGGTTAACGCGTCAAAGTAAGAGATACACACTACAGTCAAATATGGAAGGTAACAGATTGTAAAAATCAATTCTATGAATTTATACTACGTAATTAGAATTCAATGTATCAATGGTTACCCAAGCTATGGCCGTTGTCTCATACACCGATAATACGCAGGAAGCCTACGCAAAACACAACGCCCTAGTCTGACCGAAGCCCACGCGCCTGAGGTGTTACAAAAGCACGATGTGCCATTGATGTAGTTATGTGAGAGCTTGGGCCAGCACTGCTCCCAGAAGGCGCATTCCCTACGACGGGGCCTGAAGCCACACCGACCATATGCGTAAAGTTATTGCTCGGTACACTTAACCCAGTTTGATCGCCATTTATAGCAACTGACGGACGTACACTAGGTAATGTAGTTGTGGATGCAGTGGGTGTAGCACCCCGAAATGCATCACCTGTAAGAGGAGTAGTAGAGACTTGAGGTTTGAAACTCTTGAAAAAGTTCATCAAAGACTGAAGCTCCTTACGACTCTCAACCGCAGTACCTGATTGGCCTGTGGAATCGGGTACACCGGTAGCAGCTTGATTTGAAGGTTCTGACGGGGCACGGGCGGCAGCGTTGTCGTCAGACTCACCTGATCGAGAAACCTTGAATAAACCGCTCCGCTGAGCTTCCTTCATTGCGATCTTCCGCTTCCGCTCCTTCTCACGCTGCTCTACCATACTGTCCAATATGTTAAGGACGAAGGAACCCGATGAGGTACCATTAGGTTGCATCTCATCACGGCGGGAAGCAACAGGAGACGTTTCTTCTATACGACGCTTGGGTGACTGACTAGATGGTGCCGGTTTACGTGCCACACGACGTGGCTCAGGCTCCACGCGAACCGGCTGCGATGCGTCGCGAATTGCCTTCCACTTCTTAATCAAGTCGGTAGCCTTCAACTTCACGGTATCGTTATCACAGTCGTAGTCGATACCAAGTTTCACATTCTTACCACCTGTTGCAATACCATTAACAGTAATACCAATCCTGGAAGTTTGCAAAACGCGAAATGAAATCTCCAACTTATTCAGAAGAGCTAAAGCTTTCAATAGGTAGTTCGTGCTAGAACGAAGCTTCCCACTTGATGCCAAAAAGTCCAAAGCTGTTCTCAAATACGTTACACCGCGTAATTTTACGAAAGATTCCAATGCCGCGGGAAAAGCTTGAAGAAGGATGTCTAGTAGACAACTGTTCGCGAAATCATCACGAATATAATGGTTGCACGCCCACAAAAAGTTGCTCATCACTATCATAGAATTCAAGGCGCAGGCGTTTTCGCGTGCTGTGTAGTAATACCGCTGGAAAAACTTGTTCTTCGATACATCGGTAGAGGAGCTAGTGTCACCACGTAAACCGTAATAAAGAAGGCATGAAGCACGTAAATATGATTCGACGTGTTCAGCAGTAAGTGGTGGAGATTGATGCGTGGCAAAAAAACGCCTCAAACTCTCGGTTACAGCTGGACATATCGTAAAACGTGATGCGTGCACTATGCGCCATTCACTCTGGTACCACAAATTTAAACCTTTTATTATATCTTCACTTAAACCATCTACTTTAGAAAGTGTTGCCACCCGCGAAAATATACGATTGGGGAAAACCCGCAAACGTGAAGGCATAACCACCGCGCTATCAGACCCCAAATATGTTTCTGCGGGTGGTGAATCGGATGTTGGCGGATCGTCTACAGACATTTTTTCATGTAATTATGACGGTCACAAACCATATAGAAGGCTTCAGGAGATACGCGGAAAAAGAGACAGCCTCAAGTCACACCCCATTTAGGTATTTAGATTCGCATTCGGAAAATATCAACAAATATAAGAACTATGAAACTATATACAACTTAAAGAACAACCGTAATGAGGGTTGAACTTAGGTGTTACTTAGAACTAATCATCGTTGAGAACGTCGCTATCGCTGTGAACCGGGCGTGTTTGGTTTCTCTCGTATTCTTTAACAGCCCTCTCAGACTTCCACTTGCCTATTCGAGCCTTACGCTTTATAGCTTCAACAGCACGAAGCGCAGCCTTCTTCGCATACTGAGCAGCCAAAGCCGATACGTTACGAATAATACGCCCGGCTTTCTTCAATCTGTGAAATCGCTCTTTACCATTAGAATGCTTAATGGCGGCAGGAGGCACGGTGTCTGTGATATCTGGTTCCTGTAACGCCAAATAGGATGGGTGGATATACCTACCCTCTTCACCATAGCTCTTTTGTTCACTAGCGGCATCTTTCGGTTTATCGCCAAATGCAATTGCAACATCGTCATTCTCATCGATCTCACTGTTATCATTACCTTCCTGGTTAACACCCTGAATGGCAGCTTCACGCTTACGGAGATATGACCTGTAAGCATCCCTCCACTTGTTTGTAGTAGTTGGCTGCTCACTGATGATATCAACACCGCCACCAGACGAATCACCAGTTTCCTCATTCTTTCTTTCTTCTTTTTTTACATGACTTGACGGCTTGGAGGACGGCTTAGCTTTTTCTTGATTGTAGTCCGCCGGCATCTCGTCATCGTCATCATCATCATCATCGTCTTCTTGGACATTTTCGTAAGCTTGTGCGACGGCACGTGGCTCCACAGTCGATATGTCTTTCTCTTCTTCTTCGGGAACGTCTGGGTCAGTTTCATTTGTACCTTCGCTCGTGGACGGTACTGTGGTCTCAGTAAACTGAACAAATGAGGCTGAAGGCACCTTCTGCTTATTAGCCATGGCATCACGTTTGATAGCTTCCGCTTCTTCTTTCTTTTCTTCCTCCTCATTCTTTCTCACTTGCTCATTGTGTTTTTGAATGGTAGCTTCGGCAGCTAACTCGTCCGTTCTCTCCTCAGCCAACGCCGAAGCGGGGATAGCCTCAAATTCGTCATCATCGTCATAATCAAGAATCACAGGTGCTTGATTGATACTCTTTTGAGACATTAAGGAGGGTATATTGATACACTCCCCGAAATCTAAAAAAGAAAACAACAATGCAAAAATACCTGCAATCTTCATCACACGACCCGACCAATTGGTTTTCGGTGCCACACTTTTAATGCTCTCCATCATGTAAACACCTGTAAAAATCAAAATTATTCACTAAATGCAGTGGACTCGTAGGCAATTCGTAAAAGAAACGAATAGAGGTCTAGAACAATATTTATAAGCTGAACAAACACTCAATGGAAACAATAACAATGAGAATCGATTCTAACGATTATGTAGATATTAGAATATCTAAAAGTGTTAAGTGACTGTATAACATGTGTTATACCACCACGAATGTCTGAACCGATCCATTGAATCTATGACAAAGGGGTTAATGGCTCATTCGACACGTGGATTGATGAGCTGAGCGCAGACTCGCATGGGTGCTTCATGGATCAACCATATGGGTTAATTTTGGGCAATTATCAGCAATATCGTTACAACGCGCATTTGAGTCAAATGGCGCAAATTAGGATTCTAGCGTTTAAAAAATTGAAGCCACGGGCACAGGGATCGACGCAAGGAATCTGCTACGATCAGTATTTGCGTTTAATGAATCACTAAAAGCAATTTGAGCCGCATGGGCACAACATATCAACTGTCAAGCCGAGGCATGGGGAAATGCAGACCTTCCAGTCACGCAAAGTAATACACAACGATGCTATAAACAGCATCACACCCGTTCCAAAATGTCACCGCACACGAGCGGCGGCAATGCGGAGCCTAAAATTGGTCTTGGCGGCTTTAATGCTCCTCGCACATGCCGGGCGAGCGATAACCGTCGAGGCACATCGTAACTTTGAGCCACTGTGTGGACGACCTATACCAAATACGGCATTTTTACGCTCGAGATGTCCAGCAGCAGGTAGGATGACACCAACAAATTGGCCGCTATATGCAAGAAGACCGCACAAACTCAAACTCACGGCTGCTGGACAATTTAGGATCAAACCGAAGACTAACAAGTCGGTAGCTAAACGTTTTAAAATTACTTCTACTGGGAAGATTATGTATAAACGAGCTTGCACGAACCATCTACAACGTAACAAGTGTCATGGCGCTCGACGGCGATTAAAGCGTTCCGTACAGCTTAAGGATCCAACAATGATACGCAAAATACTTAGCGTACTACATAACAGATAATAATGACTTATGTGTAGCGGTATTGCTACCTAATAGTGATTGCTAGGAAGATCGTTCCGGTACATGAGTGTGTAGTCAAAAAAGAGTTGCCAGCAACTATCAGAACAGACTTCTGTCGACACCACATGTATCTACATTAATGTATATCGTAAATAATCTTGCTCGGCATAAAATCAAATACCAGCAGACCAGCTGGAAACCAGGGCCGACTTATCTACAGGGTTATCTTCCCTCCTGAAGTCCACATGAACAGCTTCCTTTAGATTAGGGTATTCTGAAGCTGGTGGGAAACCTAAATTCAGCCGTTGAGACAGTAAAGACTCGAGCTCAAGCGAATCTTCATCCTCCGCAGGCTTCTCAAGCTCCGGTAGCTTCGGGTTATATGTACTGCACCATTTCTCAAATGATTCACCAATAGCCGATGGTTTGAAGGTTCGAGCCATTATAGCTGCCTCGCTATGCCGGTTAGATCGATGCAGCAAGTCGATACATTGCGAAATGTTGTTCAACATGTAGTGACATGTGAAGGCGATGTTAGAGCAACCATCCTGAGTGGCGAGCTCTGCAATCTTGGCGATACCATCACGGTTACCAGTAACAACGTAAATCAACAGACATGAGGAGTAGTCACCGCAACGTACCAGACAGTCCACAGCCGTTTCGTAATCGTTCTGTTCTAAACAATAGGTTCCTAGACGCTTCCACTTGCAACGTAAGACGTCATCGCGTGACTTATCATGTTGTTTCACCTGTAAATCTTGTAAAATGCGTAGACATTCCTGGATTTTGCCCAGTTTCAAATACAACTCGAAGTGACGCTCAGGCTCTTCCGAACAGCGAAGAGCCAACTGATATTCACCAACCGATTCCAAAAACCCACTAGCACGCTCCTTCAAACTAGAACCGAAGTCAAATATAAGTTGATCCAATTCCGCATCGCCGTCGAATACCAGACCCTCAACGAGAGCCTCCATTTTGGAAGCCACAAAAGAGTGGAAGCGCAAGTATTCAATTGGTAAGGGGAACGCAACCACGTCATCCTGGCATAAGTAGAGCAGGCCGCTCTGCGGGGAGTGACCTATCATATGCAGTGGTCGATCAAGGTAGTGGAAAATCTCGCTGGCACCGGCCGTCCACAAGTTTAGATGGAGGCCAGCAGTTACAAATACGAAAGTGTCCATAGCCCAAGTAGCGCTACTTACACTCTCCATAATCTCACCCTCAAGCTCAAAAGCAGATGCTACACCGTTGGAAGCATCGTATTCCTGTACCTCCAGGGAAGATGCAAGAGCATCACTATTATACTTGAGGATGTAACAGTTACCCACACAACCAAGAGCTACCTTAGTACCCTTAACGTTCCACCAAATATCTGATACTGCTGCATCGATGGTACGAACTAGGTAGCCACTATTCCAGTCGTAGAATTGGACTTTACTGCTGGAACTCACACCCAATAGGCGACCACCGTGTAAACTGAGTACCGATAGATCAGGCTTTATTGTATTTACAGGAGCAAAATCATGATGTATTGTTATGACGTTTCCATCCCATGTCGCGTAGTCACCTTCAAATGACCACACCACCTGTGCAGCCTTACCGAAGGTCTTGGAACGCATACCCTGAGCAGTGTAAATCACATACTCAGATTCACCGCAGAGACAAATATATCGTCCATTAGGATGATGCGATAGATATTGAGGGAAGAATTCACAATGGCCAATATTGCGGAAGTCAAGAGATAATGGCTTTCCAATGCTCTCTTCATCCAATTCAGTGATTGAGCTCAAGTTACAACTCACAATGTCAAACATGTTAACCATAACTAACTTGTTGGAGTGCATTGATACAAGAGGCCTCTCACCACCAAACTGAACAACCAATGTACTTTGATCACTACCAATTGCCATGTTGGTAGCGTCACAAGCAATAGTCCATATCTTGCCCACCGAAAAGTTAGTGCTGCGCTTCAACTTGTACAAACTACTGTGCCATATATTCACATTGCTGTCTTCACCTGCTGTGACAATCAGTGGGAGACGTGGATGATGGAGCACACATGTCACAGGTTGAGTGTGCTGGCTGAGTACCTGTAGACATAGCTTCGTCTGATAGTCCCATACACGAATACTACCGTCATCACTACCCGAGACTATGTAAGGATTTGCCATAACAGCAGAGAAATCGATACAGTTTACACCGCGTGTATGGCCCTTCAGGGTGAAAAATGGCTTGGGCGATGATTGAGAATATTGGCGGCGGTCCAAGAGTTCCTGTGAAACACCCCAAAACTTGATAGTGTGATCAAGAGAACATGAAGCAAATGTATATACATCCTTTGGGCTCCACTTGACCATCATTACATAATGCTGATGGCCGTCATACACGCATAGACGCTCCCAATCCCGTTCAACGTCCCACAGCATAATAGTCATATCGTCTGAGCAACTCAATACGTAAGGAAGCGTTGGGTGGACATCCAAGTACCTCACATAGTCGGTATGTCCTTCTACAGCGGCCACCTTCTCCAAGGAGTTGTAGTTGTATACCCAAATACACATTTCGTCGCCCGCAGCGATGAGCCATTGTTTCCGTGCGATGAACTTACAACAACGAACTGGCGAATTACAAACCTCAATGCGTTTTACCAAAGATTGTTTTTTGATGTTGTAAATAGTACAGGCTCCGCTGTAAAGACCTGAAACTACCCATGGCTCTGAAGGATGGAAATCAACGCATTTTACTTTATCTTTGCGGATCTCCAGCTTCTTCACAAAACCCATCTGGAGCGACATTTTGGAGGATGCACAATGGTTTTGCCAACACACAATGTGCCTATTGACTAAAGCGGGCTCCGTCATCGCGCGTCATGTGTCCAGTCGAAATCCCCCAGGAACCGCCAGAAAAGGCACACTTACTACATTTATATCAAATATGCAACATTCTATTTAAGGTAAAATACACATGGTCACATTACATCGTTCTTTACTTGGCAAGCTTGCCAATGTCGTTTCGGTTACTGACAGCTCCGCGTATTGCGCGGGCGCTATCCAACATCGTACCGATATCTAGAGCGTGCTCATCTGCCACCTTGCTTATCAAGGTGTCCACCTCTAGCTGTGGAGCCAAGTGTGCGGTAGTGTCGCTCATAGTCTGATCGGTGTAAGCTTCAGCTACCTCCTGTGAACAGATTAGTTAACAAAAAAGGGGAGATAGCAACTACCATCATGTTGTATACACTGTTTCACAAATTTAATCCAGATATGAAACTTTAACATGTACAAATATCACGGTATGGTTAATCCATAAAAAATGCGTAAAGGTCAACGATGGAATGAAAACCCTGTGATTCCACACTTACCATATCTTCGAATATCTTTTCGAACTGGTTAAATAAGCTTGCGCTGTCCATGGACTTGCAATTTGCGATCTTGCGTAGCTGAGGTAATGCCTTGCGCATTTCGCAAGTTACCTGCGAAAAAATTGTATGACACACATGGTGATGAATACAGGAGCAATATGTACATGGTCGTTGTTTAAAAGGTACACCCAGCATATCAATGTAATCGATGTTACAACAGTTGATATGCATACGAAGGGGGCTCAGATGTAATCCTAGAGAAATAACTACCACGTTTCATGACATCAACGATTTTCATGCAGATGGCATATGAACACAAAGTTACCTTATTTGTTCGATCGGCGCTGTCTACTTGGTGTCGTAGTATTTCAAGTTTCGCATGGTATTGTAAAAAACGCAATGCTTCGTTGTGCTTACGAATAGCGTTGCCAGCATGGACCCGTGCAGCTTCCACGTTGCCCTTTTCAAGTGCACGCTTTACCTTCAACTTCTCAGATTCCTCTTCACGCTCACATTGAGCATGGAGTTTCAGCTGGGTGGTATGAGACTAAGGAATCACACACATTTACACACATAGACGTAATGTTGCTAATGAAAGTGAATATCGCTAGTTAAAATATAGGATAAATTGGAACATACCACCTCCCGAGCTTGCAGACGAAGGTTGAAGCTCGTGGACATCAATGATTGGCCGCCGCCCATCGTTAAACGTTGAAATCCAACGTATACATGTGTTAAGTATATAGTTTGTGCCTGGGCATCGGAATGTTGCCCGCAGTGCACATTGAAGAACCCCCAAGGCTTGAGGGTCCGCGGGCAGCGGTCACCTAGACGTCATCTATTGTGCACTACTTCAGGTGGGCATGGGTCTGTATTATATATAGACGTGATGTGTAATTTTTAATGAAGAATAAAAAATTATGTTTCTGGGCTTAGTTCCAGCTAGAGCTGCTATAACGGCTTATTCAAGGCTATCCTTATATTCACGACAGCGTTATCATTGTATAGAGTTGTTATTAGTACACAAATTACACACACCGGGATTACGGTTTACAAGTAATAAACCTGCAAAAAAACATCAGGAAGGTAAAAAACGTTCAAAGGAACACAAAACAGAACCGGCGGATCGGCAACGAACTACAGCCACTGTTGGAGATAATAAAAGACGTAAATCTCAACCAAAACAGCTAGAAATCGCATACGAGCCCTATTGGACCGAGGAAGCTATTGCTGAGTTAGAATCGAAACAACCAGAATTAGTTATAAGGGGCACAGTAACGATCCCCGCTTTTGCTACTGCAGAGGCTAAAGTCGTTACACATACGAAAACTAGCAATTCAAAACGCACTACAGACTCAAACAAAGATGCTAAAGGTGGTAGTGTATGCGCCTCGAGCGACCCTGATGTGGAAACAAAACAAAGTATTCGAGGTGATGACGGTAGACACGAAAGTGTAAACATATCAAAGGAATTGGATTCCAAAATAGAAACACAAAATAATCGACGATCTAGAGCTTTCGAAAGTGATGTTGAGGGGGATGGAAACCGTAAGGATAATTATACCGTTCGCGTATTTGGTTTCCTCGCAAGGAATAGGGCGTTCCATGGTGATGATGTAGTTGCAATCAAACAACGTAGGCAAAGGACCCCACCAACGAACAACTCGCATGAAAGGGCGGTATCTGATGAATGCAGGGTGGTGAGTGTGACCAAAAGGTCATCAGCCCTCGAAAGTTTTGTTGGAGTATTAGACATCGAGGTCTGCAAAGATGAAACACAAGAGGCCATCAAGTGTCAACCACATGACACGCGATGGCCCGCATTCAACGTACGAAGATGTGACATAGATGCTGAAATCAAGCAACAATTTTCACAGTTTCACAGCAAAGGAAAAATATTTTGTCTCATGAGATTTCAACAATGGAATGAAAATGATATGGAACCGACCGGTCTAGTGACCAAAATCATTGGAGATGTTTCAAATCCATCTGCTAGGATGCAGGCATTGATGGTTTTTCATGGGCTGAATCCAAATGGGTTTTCGGAACAGGTCATTAAAAACCTCAATGAACTCATCAAAACGGCAGACGAAACAAAGGACAAAAATAGAGTCGATCGGCGCGATTTAACTGTTTTTACAATTGATCCGCAAGATGCTAAGGATCTCGATGACGCACTATCTGTAGAAATAGGTACAGATGATAATGGAAACTACAAATACACGGTGGGTGTCCACATAGCAGATGTCAGCCATTATGTCAAAGAGGGGTCGCTAGTGGATCTCGATGCTAGACAAAGGGCTACTTCTGTATATATGGAACACCAAGTTTTTCCTATGCTGCCGCAAATGCTGAGCGAAAATTTGTGTTCCCTTCTGCCTCACAGTGAGAAGCTGTGCTTTTCTATGTTTGCTGATCTTGTGGAAAGTCATAATGGAGGAGAACTAATAGGCAACAACCTATACATTCGCAATGTTTCCTTTCAACTCACAAGGATTTTCAGCTGTCAGAGATTAAGTTACCAAACTGCCAAAGAGATCATACATGGAGAGTTGGGTAAAAGGTCCCTTCTCAACACCACAAATCTAGAGTCAATGAGCATGTATCGATTTCAAAGGGACGTTATGGAGTCCAATGATGGTCATCTGACGGAGACCAACGTTCCCTGTGAGAACAGAGGAAAACTCGATCATCCAAGGCAACGGCTTAAGGACGGTTACGATACCAAGACCGATATTACCAAACCTCTTCTCGTCCTCTACTTTATATCTAGGAAGCTAAGGGACTTTAGACTAAGGCAACGAGGAGCCGTTACAGTCGACATCAGCGGGAACCACAAGTGTCATATACCCAAGGTGGGAGAAAATACCGGTAGATTCTGGGTGGAAGAAATACCGACTGAAAGTCATGAGTTGGTTGAGGAAATGATGTTACTAGCTAATACGCAAGCGGCACAGCTGCTGGCAAAGAGCTTTGATCGCTATTTCCTTAGAGTGCACGAGAACACGTCACGGGCCGTTAAGCAGCTGGTCACATCGATGATGCCACAGGAACTCAAGAAGATTATTAACCCAGAGGTATTGCAGATACCAGAATTGCTTAGGAAATGTGCCAAACACATGGAACCTACAGCATTTCAATCGCTTAGTTTTGCCGCGCTTCAACAATTCAAAGAAGCTGTTTACTCACCTATCAACAGAGATGAAACTTCGACGGAATCCGTAACAAGTCATTGGGGCTTAGCATTGCCTATGTATCTTCATTTCACATCGCCAATACGACGGTATTCAGATCTCTATACACATCGGATGCTGAAAACAGTCATCGATAATACATACACGGAACAATCGCTGAAGGTGCTGGACGAGATATGCAAACGGTGTAATATGCAGAAGAGAAAAGCATTTGATGTGCAAAAGGAATACAAGAATTTTGCCTTCAACCAATACCTTCAGTGGGCGTGTACAAAAGAGGACGGTTCACAGCCTTATGCAGCAACCGATGACATGTTCGCCAAAGCATATACCAAGGATGATACAGATGCTTGGGGGATGGTCTATAATGATGCGTGTGTGTTCTCAGTCGTATTAGGAACCACCAGCGAGGGTGCTCAAAATAATGTGAGTATCGTGTTCTACATACCACTGCTTAATGAACAGCGCAGTGTGAGCTGTAAATCGCTTAATGTGGAGCCAATTCAGGCGATAGTTGGTGGAGAAAAGAAGAAACTTGACGCTGGGAAAGCGACATGCAACCAAGGCATTGTCGACGGTTATCATAAGGAGCTGCAGAATGACAGCAGCAACGACAAACGTGAAGATGACCGAGTACATAGTATCACGGTTCGCAAAGGAGACGAGGAACTTACACTATACCATTACCAGAGAATTAAAGTGGTGCTGGTACCAGGGTCACAAATGTGGACTCTGCGTTTAGCAAATGATTGATAGGTTCCAAGACATGATCCTCGTATACGGGCTCTTAGTCTCAATGGATAGCTTGTGATTTCGCTTATACTTTAGCTTTGTGGAACCACCACGTGCGGTGTGGCATGTTTTGGCCGCAGTTAGAAGCCTATGAGCACCAACTGCAGCTACGTGAGACGACATCAACCGTATATAAGCAAGATGACAAAGTCAGCCCACATATTATGCCATCGTTTGTCACCAAATGAGAGTGTCAACCGGTATGGCATGTCTATGGAACCCATCTCTGCGGTATCCTGTTGATGTAAGGTGATTTGTCGGAGTGTACTGGCTCTGACGCTCGACTCAACTGCTTCCGTCTCTATATGGCGAAAGCGTCAAAAGGCTGTTTGATAAGCAGTTTAGGGAGCTTGCAACTAACCAAACGGTGGGACGATCTTACTCAGAATTCATTCATGAGATGGTGACAAAAGGAAACGAAGCAACAAATCACCCTCTGTCTTCTCTTTATCTGGCTTGTAGCCTTTATTTTCAAAAACGGCAACTTCGATACGAAAACAGTCACAAAAGACCATCTTCTATCAGAGAGGTGTTATATTGGTTGATGGGATTACCGTACTCAGCAGTCCTCAATGAAATGAGCGGCAAGACATTTGGGAAATTATACGGCGATAAACACACTACCGGTTCCATAGTGTCCGTCAAAGGTAACGGGCCTAAAGACGTTATAAAACTGGAATTGGAAGTAGCGTACCAATACCTCCTTCCCCCTTGCTGATATGCCGGCTTCGTCCTCACGGCCATCGAAGGTAAACTACAGGGCAATAAAGAGGTTTCTACGCATGATGCAGCATTACTTCATGACATATATGCCAATTCCCATTTTAGGTTTTACTATCCCTCTAACATACAAGAATGTTTTGGAATGTTGTCAGATATAGTACATTCTCTCATGATTCAGTTTACTTTTATGAAGATACAATGCTATAGATGTATCTATATGGGTTGTGGATGGGAGTGGTGTGTGCACGGGCGAAATGTGGAGTATAGTGATATTACATCGTGGACATGTGGATCTCAATCTGTTACTTATGACCTCCGGGTTCTGAAGAGTGGCTATTATATGCATTTAGCAGATGAGTGCAAAATTTGGAACAAATGCAAGGAGGACCACGGCAGTTGTGGTCAGCCAGGCAAGCCTTTCTGTGTGACGCTTTGCCAGCTTTTGGATGTGTAAATGGTGAGCGTACCGTGCCTTACGATACTCACCTCTCACACCTCCAACCTAATCAGTGGTGTCACATACCTATGGGTTTCGAAGGTTACCTTGCCGGCGTCAGTCCCGCTCGTCACGGTCACTACCTCGCCAGTATCTTGGATTATTACACGAAAGCCTCGAATAGTTATGCTAGCTTATATAATTTCGTATGTAGTGTGACGTGTCTGAGTTTACGCACTCCCCGTAACGTGGGCGACATGTTCATGTTCTTCTACGGACTTATATCGGCGTATAATAACAAGAATGTTGTTGAGAGCACTGTACAAAATGAAATTAAAACCTCAATTAGTGACAAGTTGTGGTATTTCAGTGACGACAATGGCGAAGATATCCTTCAGCATGTCGATGCGTTAAATGGTAATGGGATGATTAATACTCACAGAAGAGCCGATAGCCACCCCGCCGACCTAAAAAGTTTGCAAGGGTGTAGTCAACCCAGCATTTCCTGTGGTCCATACTTTTTTCCTCTATCCTGGGGTATTTACAGCACTTTGGCAACTAAAAGCGCAGACACGTATTTGCCGTGGATATTATACTTGGCTGAAGAATTTAAAGAAGGTTTAAGAGCATTACTTAATGAATTTGAGAACATCGAATGTAAGAAGCATAGAAAGTCTCAAAAGACCATTTGCAATGCCAAATGCCACAAGCAGAAAACGTGTTCTTGTGGATCCGTCGTCGAGTGTGCTGATGTGCTTCCCGTGTTCTACCGCTTTGGTTTTTCGTACACTAATCAAGCGACATTAAATGGAATTGAACCTAATAAGCGTACGCCAGATGAGAGATATAAACGTAAATGCGACGCATTCTACACGCAGCTCGAAAAAGTAATCGCTTATGATCCATTCACCCAGCTTATCGCCGCCATCAACAGATTCCTTTACAATATCCGTTACCCTTTCATATTATATGTTACCGCATTTTGGCTAGGGGTAATGGTTTATATCTCATATGGCACAATTTTACCTCTCGATGTAATACACATCCGTTCGCACTGGAGGTCGGCCTCATCACACGATGTACACACTTTCACATTTTTCACACGAAAGACTATGCCGCCTAGCGATGTAGCGTATTTTAAACCGTAACACAACGACGGTGATGTGCATTAATAAGCATTTCAACACAAATGTACTGTACGCTATGAAACATAATGGTAATACTGTACTTCGTAAAATCCCTTGATTTGTGATGCTTGGCGTGGTGTAGTGGGTCCCCGGCTGTCTGGCATGCTCTAGTGAGTGCCATGGCCACATAACATATACTTTATCAGCTGATTTACATAAATTGACCCAAGTACTGTCTCGGGCTCGCTATGAATTAGATAAACCATCATTAAAATAAGTTAAAATGGCTAGTATCATATAGTCCGACAGTTACGAGGTATGCTGTCAGCTGGCACCCTCCTAACAACGTTTTTGCGAGCCATTGTGATCTTCAAACCATAATGGTCGGACAAAGTCACTAACATAACTTTCTTCATGCTCGTAAACGTTGAACATAAGCAGTTGTAGGCAGAACCCATTTTGTCAATAACGACAATAGGGTCTCTGAACAATATTTCCCCCGAAGATGGTGTGAAGCCCTGCAAAATTCCAGCAATGTTTTGCGGCGGGAGGAAAATGTAGTCGCATCTTAAGCCACTGCAACCAGCATGTGGACCGTGCATATTTAGCGGATTACGAGGGTCCCAGGTAACATCCATAAAATTGCGCCTTCTGTACCACCAATAAAAACGCTTCACACGTGGCACTTTGAGTTGCATTGCAGGGTTTTTAATGTGAAAATAGACCTCAGATGTGCGTATTTCAACCCTTGAACGTGAACTTAAGAGCGACGGTGGCTGCCCTGCCGGTTTAGGTTCTGTCACCCAGAGACTCCTAGATCTACGGAACAACGCATAACACTTCTCCCTAAACGTTTTGGCGTTCGTGTTTTTTCTACCCTCGAGGCAAGGCGCCCTTACAGAAACGCGCAGCCTGTGCTTAACCAAACGTTTTTGCAGTTTAGCCATCTTCTTGGACTTTGGTGTGCGTACATTTTCAAGTGTATGGCAACGCAGCACCCGTAGACTCATTGAGCTTCCACGTGGATAATAAGCTCTGACGTTCTGCCATGTGGCATCACTTCTGCGCATCCGATCATGTTTAGACGGTGCAAAATACTCCATAAATCTGGACCATCGCGAACCCTCTTGCACTGACCATTGCGAGAGCCTAATGTTGCCACCTGACTTGCTCCTAGGCAAATTAGACAAAACAGTCACCTTGTCCAACTGCGGCCTTTGACACCGATCGTCACCGAATACATTCTCCACGCCAATTGAATCGTTGAGAGACGGTGAACTCATTGTCTCGCTTCCACCCTTTGTCATGCGTTTTTCTCTCATTCCTAACGGTTTCTTTTGTTTGACCTTTTGTCTCGACAGAACATATGAGTCTGTCCAACCGCTATGGATGAAAGACATATAGTTACTCGCACAGTTGTTTGGCGCAGCGTTGAGGTCACCTATAATGATCGGGGCGAACCCAAGCCGGCAAGCTCTCTCCGTGGTCTTCAATAGTTGCTTCACCTCTTCGTTTCTGACGTTTTCAATGTGAGATGACTCCGGATTTACACTAGCACTTGCCATATGCATATTGTAGAATGCTATTTTACCTACCGCAGGTATGTCCACAAATATTTCCATATAACCCTTGTTCGCAAGAAGAGCTTCCAGATGAGTTACCACATCCCATGCGTGGAACTTTGCACATAATATGGGAAACTTGCTCAGGAAAAGTAAACCACTGTGGAACATGCCGATACCACGTTTCCTGTTCTTTTTGCTCTTTACGTAGAGATCTGCAAAATCCTTAGAAACGGGTAGACAATCGTCCCTGGCAGCGTATGGGTATAGATCTTTCAACTCTTGCATAATATATTGCGCATGATTATTGCTGTACACTTCTTGAAAGGCCACTACATCTGCATCAGCCTTTCTGATCTCACTAGGAACACATCTAAGCCTCTTTTCTGTATATCCGGGGTTTTGGTACATTTGAAGACCTAACATTCGCACCTCAAGTAGCCCAGCGTTAAAAGTAAGCATCGAAAATGATTGTGAGAGTTGAGTTGAAGCTCGAAAACTCGGTAGTGTGGAATTCCTGAAAGACTCTATTAATATGGGTTCTGTATCATTCTTCGCCGGTGCCACAACAGTTTCTAACCATGATGACTTTTGAGCGGCCATAAGTGATTCGTTCAGATTTTCAAGATAGGGCACTTGTATAAGGCTTTCGAACGGACGAGTGTCACGTTGTGACGGAGGTGGCGACGATCTGTCGTCCGACGGTAGTTCCTTTACTTTTGTGGTGTCCAATTTTGGTGGCAGTGATGACGTGGGAGACAACGCCTTTTGCGAGGCGTTGTTTCTTCCAACTATAGACCGTGAATAGCGCCCTCCATGGCCGGATTGTTGTATTTTCTTGGTACCGGTCCGTGTCCCCGATAATTTGAATTCCATAGAAGAGTCACATAACCATGCATCGGACACATCACCGTACGATGCACTGCCATCTTTGAGGAATCGGGGAGGTTCCCGCAGTTTAACCCTACCGGTGAGAGTTGTTGCATCCAGCGTTCCATGTCCATATTCCTGACATTGCCGTAGTTTGTTTTCGTGGGTTTTAGACAATTTGGAATATGCAGATCCTTTTCTAGGATCATAGAGCTTTGAGCGTCTAGGGAGTGGCCCGGTGACGTTGGATTTTATGCGATTTGATTTTACCGTTTCACCATCACTCTCCATTGCTCACACCTTAGTTCGAAGCCCCTGCCCTTCACAATCCTCTTGATCAGGGGCTCGTCTGACAGTGGCTTCACCCTCTGTTGATCTTAACTACGTATAGTTCCAATGTGTTCCTCTTCGAGGTCCAGTGGATAACTGATGGAGCTCCCATCGGTTGGGTTACTCTCCTATTCCGTGTCTCAGAAACCATGTGCCAGCCACTGCCGGGAACTATAAACACTGAAATAAGGTTTTTTGATGCCCAAACGATCCTCTAGATTGCTTAGAACTCACACACTAATGGGCACATTCAATGTGTAAGCGCCCCTTCAGCTCCCGGGGGTATCGCCAAATTGTGAACTAAAACTCTTGATATTGAATTGGTGTGTAACCACAAATTTCAACTCTTAATAGGCGTATCCTTGTAGTCTTGTAACGTGTCGATATTATCCCAATGGGCTCTCTCGACGACTTGAAATTGACGCGCTGGAGCGCCTTTATTGGTTTACGCTATGCGATAGACCACTTAACAAGAACGACAGTATACTCCGTCGTCTTGTAATTGAATTTTCACAGTTTTCCAAATCTTTTTTTGGTTGTATTGTCTTGATGGATGTACTGAACTATTGCAGTCGGGTGTGTTACCCACTAATTGTCGATCAAACACTTAGATATAGATCAGATGTATTTTTTCACTAATTTTGACGTTGTATATTCTAAATTATAATATGCGTTACATGGCGGCCGCAGGTGTGGGCGATTGGTACCCAAATGCAGTCTGGCTCTACTGTCCACTTTATCGATGCTGCAGTATCGACTCCACGCTATATGCCTGCACCAAATCTTCGACACGTGTTCTCACGTATCTATATTTTTATATTTTGCAATTTAAGAGATAGTAGGTCGTTTTTACGGTACGTTGGACACGATATCATCAGTTGGTTAATATTTGGTACCTAATCGAGCCTGGCACCGGGACATAAATTTTCGATGTTCACTGATACTATATGAATTTATTTATTCAGTTCGAGGGACAACTAGAGCCAAAAGAGGCTCAAATTTTGTCTATGATCTGGAGTTCATTTATAAATGATTAATAGGAACGGCTTGGTACACTTTGCAACGCCGTTTAAGTAAATCGATGTCATATCATGAAGACTGCTATTACTTGTGTAATCCGTTATCTTATCACCAGTTTAGCTTCTTATTTTGTAGTGCATTGTCTACCGAGCCAGATAGTAAAAGGCATTCCCAATTAATGTTTGCTATTCAAACCGCTAGACACATTTTGGCTACGGCAATTATATCGTCGTTGTCAATCATATATCTGGAAGGTTTTACTATTTGGCATACGATTTGGGGTACCACGAGGTACACATCTGTGGCACCTGCTTATGATATGTTTAGCTTCACCTATGCTGCTCGTGGGGTACACAGGAAGCTCAAAATATCAAAGTACCCTGGATTCAGTGAAAATTTTGGATACACAGATATCAAACAGAGGCCAAGCCATATAACACTTCGCCCTGCATCTTCGCGACGTGTTAGTCCTTTACCGGGGTTTTTGTACAATCACACACCCATATATTTCCATAATAAAAGTCGGAAGAGTCTGGATTCCGTAAATATGTCGACTACCGCTACTGCAACGACAACTGAAACTGTCACTCAAGCTGTCCAGAGCCTTACTCTGAAACCAGCTAAGCAACATGTTGAAATATTCAGGAAAGATTACAAGCCCACTATATACGACATTGAGCATGTGTATCTAGATTTCGATCTTCATGAGACCGCCACCGTTGTGAAAGCTGAATTGTTGATGCACCGAAAGGAAGGAACCGCTCCCGCTGACCTTGTGTTACACGGTGATGAACTCGATTGCAAAAAGGTTGCAGTAGATGGCAAAGAACTAGAGAAACGTGCGATCACCGGATACAGCATCGACGATGATGGAAATCTCACCATACCAGTCTCATACTTACCTGCTGAGGCTGGAAAGCAGTTCAAGGTTAACACAGAAGTTGTGATCAACCCAACGGCCAATCTACAACTTTCAGGACTATACAAAAATAGTCAATTGTTCACTACACAATGTGAATCGCATGGGTTCAGACGTATCACATTTTTCTTGGACCGTCCTGACGTGCTCTCAAAGTTCAGAGTTCGAGTACAAGCGGACAAACAACAGTGTCCAGTACTATTGTCTAACGGTAACAAGGTAATGAGCGGTGTATCAGGAAGTAAGATCTTTGCCGAGTTCGTTGACCCCTACCCTAAACCTTCCTATCTTTTTGCACTAGTTGCAGGAAACCTTAAGTCAATACACAGCACTTTCCGCACAATGAGCGGTCGTGAAGTTTTCGTTGAGGTGTCCTCGGAGCCGGAAGACTCGTCGAAATTGCATTGGGCGTTGGAGAGCGTTTTGAAGGCCATGAAGTGGGACGAGGAGTCATACGGTAGAGAGTACGACCTTGACGAGTTCCACGTAGTATGCACACGCGCATTCAATTTCGGCGCCATGGAGAACAAAGGTTTGAACATATTCAACTCTGCGCTCCTTTTGGCAGATGTCAACACTACAACCGATTCCGAATTTATCACTATCATGAGTGTAGTAGGACATGAGTATTTCCACAACTGGACTGGAAACCGTGTAACGTGCCGTGATTGGTTCCAATTGACCCTCAAAGAAGGTTTAACGGTATTCCGTGAGGCAGAATTTGCCGGAGACATGTCGTCGCCACTGCTTACACGTATTACAGATGTACGTAATTTGATGACATACCAGTTTACCGAAGATTCTGGACCTATGGCGCATCCCATCAGGCCGGAAAGCTACATTTCTATGGACAATTTCTACACTACTACAGTGTACGATAAAGGTGCTGAGGTAATCGGTATGTACAAGACACTTCTGGGCAAGGAAGGTTTCAGAAAGGGCATGGACCTATATTTCGAGCGCCACGATATGCAGGCTGTAACGTGTGACGACTTCCGAGCTGCTATGGCAGATGCTAATGGAGTTGATCTAACACAGTTTGAGCGTTGGTATTTCCAGGCAGGCACTCCAGAGGTAGAGGTTGTTGAGGCTGTTCGTGAAGGTAATGCGTTCCGCCTGCGCTTGAGACAGCACACTCCACCTACACCACGTCAAGAAACAAAACTCCCGTTCCACATACCTATAAAGATAGGTTTATTGGGCAAGAACTCGAAGCGTGACCTTAAGGGTACTATGGTGATTGAACTACGTAATGCTGAGGGCACCTTCATCATCAACGATGTGGACGAAGACTGTGTATTGTCATTTAACCGTGGCTTTTCTGCGCCTATTAAGGTAAAATTAGATCAAACAGACGATGATCTCTTGTTTTTGATGTCACACGATACTGATGGATTGAACCGTTGGGAGGCTGCTCAAAGAATGCGTACAAAGGTCATCCTGGAAAACCTTGAAAAGTCGGTACCCATCAACGAAGCCATTTTTGAGTCGATTAAGTCTATTCTATCATCTGATCTCGATGATAACGAAAAGGCGTTGTGTATCATGCTACCGGACACTCAGACTCTGGTTGCTGAGCTGGAGACCTACGACCCTTACATCTTATGGGATGCTGTACGTCGCGTTCGCAAAACAATTTTGGACAAGTGTGAACCTGAATTCTTGCGCCACTATGAAAGGCTACGTGCGGATGATGACACTTTAGAAAAGGCTGACATGGCTCGTCGCTACCTACGCAACACTTTGCTGGGATACCTGGTGTGCCGTGGTGATGCCGCTGCGGTCGAGCTCGCGAAACAACACTACAAGGCTGCTAGAACGATGACCGATCGTTACTACGCATTTGTGCAGTTGATGAATATGGACTTTGCTGGAAAGGATGATATAGTGTCGGACTTCTATGAGCGTGCTGAAGGGTTCGCTTTGGTGATCGATAAGTGGTTCAGTGCGCAGGCATTCAGCGATGCTACTGACTGCCTGGAGCGCGTACGTAAGCTGTCAACCCACAAAGATTTCACCAACACAAACCCCAACCGTGCCAACTCGTTGGTTCGTGCCTTCACTCGCAGTGTACGATTCCATGACCCTTCTGGTGCCGGTTACAAGTTCGTAGCTGACCAGATTTTGGCTGTGGATCCAATAAACTCGCATGTATCGTCGCATCAGGCAATCCACCTTACTAAGTTCAAGAAGTTGGACGCAACACGTCGATCTTTGATGATCGCTGAGCTGGGCCGTATCATCAAGACCCCCGATATCTCCAAGAACCTTTACGAGGTTGTGCAGAAATCGCTAGATTATGCAAAAGAACAGGGATTTACCTCTTAGACATAGGTATGATCACTCGAAAAAACATTGACGAATAATGTTACTACGTACATTCAAAATAATTCACGGATATGTTGTTCCGTTAATGCGATACTGCGAATTTTTTCTTTCTGTGATGCCGTACCTTTAGTACAACCAACAGGCAGAAGAAACCTATAATGTGGGCTATAAATACCGTCATGGCAATGAAATCCAGAGGGTTATCTTTCAGTTTGTTGACAAAATTCCTAGGAGTCCACCTATATTCAGGAGGGGCGCCTACCCTCTGTACGTTCCTCATGATGCGTTAAGTTGCGATATATAGCTTATGTTCGTCTGCTTTAAGAGTTTTATTGAGTTCCAGGTAGTTAATAGCGTATCTCCTAAGTGCCGCCTTGGCCACATCGCTGAAGCTGGCGGAACCTTTAATACCAAATTGTATTATCTCTTCGACGGATTTGATTGAGTATTTAGATGACAATTCTATGTATAGGACCTGTGTGCGCGTGTTTGTGGCATTGGGTGGTCTTACCTCTTCCGTGGACACCGCTACTGCCAAGGTGAGCTCCACAATACCGGCATTTAATTCCAGCTGGTTGGGATCTACACTCAATATTTTTTTATTTTTTTTATTTTCTACCTAGAAGAAGTTCATTGTTGAGCATAACCGCAGTGCAAGCTACCACAAGGTCCCTCATTGCGATTCCCGCGTCGATAAGTGCTATAAACACAGCGTTAATAACCGTAGCTAGTACACCTATATATAATTAGCGATCATAAGTATACACCAACCTCCATCAGCCTCTAGAACGTTAACAAAGACGTTTATAGCAGCGTCTTCATATAACTGGCTCAAAATAACACGTTCAATAGTCGATCTGACAACGTATGCCATATATGTAGTCTCATAATTAACTTTATTTCCCGTAAATCGTTTTTCACCGGGCAGTACGACCTCGCATTGTATCTCTACCGCGCTTTCCGTGTAGTCAGAGCCTTCCCGTTGTTTGGCCTTTGAGCTCTGTACGTGTTGTTGTTGTACTTTTTTTAACATACATCTGTAGGCCCATTGACAAACGCCTGTGCTATGTTAAACCCCTGTGTCACCTGAGCTGCTCCATCGTAGTCTGTGATATCAAGTCCGCACTCTATACCGCAGAGAATCTCTATGTTACGGGCCTCATTCTGACGTCGTCCATCAATCCTTAAACCTTCAAAGCTAATATATTCTATTTTGGACATTTTATGTATTATGTGTTTCGGGTCAATGGCTGCTTAGCCACGCCGCTCACTCAGAGTTTACGGGGGCACTACAAGATTACATTTTACGGCAATTAAAGAAAGTTAATGGTAACAACCGATGTTACAAACAAATCGCATGCTTTAATGTTGTGTAATGTGAAATAGGAGCAACGTTTAAGCTATACTAAACACAGAGAATGTCTACTATATTCCCTAGCTCCAAGGGGTAAACTGATTTTACACAACAAGGTTCTATTACATATTAGATGTTGTTGTATTAAGACTTTCATTTGAATCGAAGATGATTCTCGGTCCCCTTTTCGGGACGTACAACCTAAAAACATTATTTGGCAATAATAGATTACGACAACAGATTAACTGTAATATTTGATAAATTCTTTTTAAGCCGCCTTGAGCTGTCCTTTTTGAATCTTTCATTAAAGGCTATGAAGGGGTTTGCATACTGCGTTGATTAGTTTCCAAAGCGATCGAAGTGCTCCGGAGTTGTTTTTTTGAAAATTCGCCGGTGTAATCAGTAGATCACCCTCGTAATATTCAAAAAAAATTTCAGATAGTATTAGGCTAGAATGACGAATATTCATATGTAACCTTCCTTATGCGTAAGAACAAAGGACTTTCTTATTTAATTGTGGACAACGCTTCTCAACATCTTTTTTGCTCGCATGTAGATCGTATGTTGTCGAATAGAACGTATGGTAAGTCGGTGTGACTTTTGGGGGGACCTGACACTACTTCACTTGCAATTTTTATGTCTGATCCTTGGGAGGCTGAGGTCCAGTTTTTATAGTTTTCTTGTGGCTATGCTTTTTGTTGAGGTCAATAGTGATTTCCTCATCTTTGTTGTCCTTGTGGACTGTGTTCTTTCGGAAATGAGTTTCCTCGTTCCTATCGATTGCCTTCTCCATAAACATATAGGGTATATCGCTGATGGCCTCCTTAGCTGAGGTCTCGGCCTTCTTACCTTTTCCATCAGTACAACTTTTTATGACATCTACAAAGCAATCTATTAGGTGAATGAAAAATGTGGACAGGCATGATCCGGTGAAACCCCCAATGAATTCACCCGGGCTCATATCCCTGGTCAAGCGATGACTCATCATATCTCGTGGAAGCGATCCACCATTATCATTAACTCGGATAACTATGGGTCGCATATCATATTTAGCTTCTTCGGCGTACACTTGGGCAACATAGTTACCCATTAAGGCAAGCAAAAAAATATGTGCCAAACGCAAAAACATTTTACAATGTTGCTATGACATGCTCGTAAATATGCTTGTATGTTGATTACGGTTAATATTCCTAGGGTACTGTGGGCTTTATCATTCTCAAAGAAATATAAAGGGTGACTATTGAGGTGAGTACGGTAATTCCGTAATTGTACGCCGCAGTACTGCGGAGTGTTGTGCCACATGTATAGCCATTCTACGAGGTAGACATGCCAAGTGTGAACAGGGAATGTATCCTTGGCGTATAATCGTCCTTTTCGCTGAAATTAGGTCACTGACATTTTTTTCAACAACTGGGATTCTCAGTTACGTCGTTACTCTACAATCTAGTACAACAACGCTGTACATTGCCGATGACGTGGCGTGATAGCGTGTACCGATGGTTCAATATGGCGCGAGTTGCCTGTCTATGCCTTAGCCTCACCCGCGTGGGTCCCGTTTTTATGCCGTGTAGATAGGCGCAAGTCAAACGACCTTCCAGCGGTTTTGCGTATCAATTTTGGTAATATGAATATAATGTGGCACATATACCACACGAAGTACATTCTACCGCGTTGCACGGCCGACCTAAATGTTCACCATCGCGTAACACTTTACTCTGGCAAATAACTATCTCGCGCCTTTTATAAGGCAATGAACAGTTCGATTGCTATGTCATTGACGCGTCTCTCGTTAACTGTAATACGTCGGCTGACGTTTCCACTTCACACTGCATTAGGGGCATGACAGCCTTGCATAACCCCGAGCTGACACTAACGGGGCCATCTTAAATGGTTACACTGGCGTATATGTAGTCACCGGCAAACGTCTAAACTTAGTGAGCGATTACTATTCAATGTCTGAATTTGACGCAAACGTCACTAAAAGTCTGTCATTATTATGTTGCTTAAGAGGCCTTGCGCTTGGCTTCCGTCTCATCGTCAGAATCAGAACGTGGGCGTTTATGGCTGGATGTGGCTGCATCACCTTCATCCGCTTCCTCATCCTCGTCACCATCCTCTTCATCGTCGTCGTCCTCGTATACATCTTCTTCCTCTTCTTGTGCGTCATCGGGGACGAATTCATCGTCGTTCTGGTCGTCATCACTGTTGTAGTTCGCTTCATAAAACTTCTTAAGTACATCGTCTTCCTCATCATCATCCTCTTCATCGTAGTATTCTGCGTCGGAGTCCACGTGGCGCTCGACACCCTCGTGATCAACCTGGTCGAGGCTTTGCAGTTTAGGAAGTGCTGCAAAGACACGGTCCCTGTAGTCATCAGCAGCAGCCAGTGGGTTCATTGCCAACCCCAGGGCCACAAGGTGTTTCATACTGCTAAGTAGGTGAATTTCATCTAGTGATTTGAGGTGGTTTCCACCTAGGTGGAGCATGCTCAAATTCGGGAATAGAGTTGGTATCATAGAAAAGATAACAGTGTCCGAGAGGTGATTGTCAGTCATTTCTAGTACCTTTAGTGAACGAAGCTCAGGGAAGTTGGTCAAGGAGTTAAGTCCTGTTCCATTGAGCGAAAGTTTCACCAAATTCTTGCATTTAGATAACAAATCAGCATCGCTAGGGTTCAAAGTCTTGATAGGTGTTCCGTCCAGGATTAACTCCCGAACGTGTGTGTATACTGTTTCATCTCCTTCTTTTAACTCGAGCTCCTCACGAATAGCCTTGAGCTGGTTCTTAATAGCGGCATCCATTTCTCCACAGTTGCTGATAACGTTTTAGTTCTAGATTTATAGTTCAACTGCACACGGCGTTAAATATGCGACTTTTCAATAAAGCAGCGGCGAGGTATCTTTGAAGTTGTCGTTGTAACATACAGCGATTCAATAGTCACTATCGCTTAATATGTGACAATTTACAGTTCCTTACGGTGATGTGGCGACAAACTATTGAGAATAACACGGCCTACCCTAGGGCTGTGGTTCCTTGCGCGTCGGGACTGTGGGTAGGATTCTATTGCTACACAGTGGCTATAGGACCTGTTCCGACTCTCTAAGAATAGCGATTTAAACTGCTGTATAAAATGGGATTATATCCTACGAGTCGATTTTTCAAATTTTTTGAATAGGTGTATTTTTTTATCTCATGAACTCTAAAGTTGATACTAAGGTCCTTGCAATGTATAGATATTGCTTTGTTCCATCAAACTACCCTTATGCTTGTGAAGCAAGGGCCATAGACACGGTTACAGTGCTCATCTACCTTACTGTGGTAGCAATCCTGGACCCTGCATAATACACATCAATAGGTGTTACTTAATGTCAAATATCACAATCTTTATTCATAGAGCACCAGTTTCGGCATTGTAAAAAGGTTTTCCTATCTTCTTCCTTTGATAGAAATGGGCCTCCTACCCAAGGGGGATAGGTCATGAAATTTTTAGTGTAGCACCACCGGTTGCTGTATTCCCCTAATAGTTGTTGAACGAGTGCGTGTCTCATTTGATTTATGTTATATGATCTTATAAAAGAATGTATGACTGATGTCAGGACTGTTGTTGGATTGTTTCACTGAAAAAATACGACGTAACCTGATAATTGTAGACAGAACGTATATGACACGTGTTTTCGCTGAATCGTCCTTCTATGTCCGTTAAAACGGCGACATAAAAAGCACTGTCACAGAGACGTATAATGCGGTAGATATGAAACAAACGGTGTACGCCATTATTTTTTTTGTCTGACAGAAATTCTTATTAGATGACCAGTTTGGTGGTTTATATAACTTTTGAGTTATGTGGTCCTTATTAGCTTAATCATCGCCCAAGTACCTGCAATGTGTTTTTTTGGCTAATATTGCTCGAAATGATTCGATAACGTGAAAAATTTTATGACCCCATTAATGTCTACCAGTCTACAGACCACCTATGGTCCATATCATTTTTTTCCCTGATTAATCCTGAGTTGATTGGGAACGAAGTAGGAGTTCAGTGGAAAGCTAGGCGCCTCTTTCGCTGCCCCCTGAGGAAGCTCAATTGCTACTTTTTTCTTTGGTGGTGGTGGAGGAGGAGGTGGCGGTGGTATGTGCTGTATATTAGGGTTAATCCCTATAGGTTTGGGTCTCGGTGCTTGTACACCCTGGTTTACGTGTGATGTATGCCTTTTAAAGCCCGTCGTATGTCCCACCTGTACATTTTGGCCAGTGTTCTGAACAAGTATATCCTATGACTCACCCCGCTGACGGTTTCCGTATTCGGAGGCATTGGTGGAGCACATTTTATACTTTCCACTGTACATTCATCTTGAACGTCATCACGCTTTAGTTTGCGCTTGGTGTTGTCGGTTTTTAAAATCGGTTTGCCTGCGATTTGTATAACGCACTTGGTCTCCTCTTCATCGCTGTCATCGCCAGACGAGCTACTGTCAGACTTTGAATCGTCGACAGACGTATCTGAAACTTTATTTCACTAACAACGAAATCGATATGTAAGACCACGGTATTTGTCATCTATACGGCAAGCTGCACTTGTGCCTTGAGTTACACTAAAAATAGCAAAGTAAAACGATACGCGATGAACCAAATGGTTCGCACGCGGTATGGAAAGCGTTTAATTGCACAAAATAGATGTTTGTGACTTACCGTCTTCCGGTGGTTGGACTGCAGCCACGGCTAGATTAGCGGAATGCTTCTGCCACAATTTTTCTAGTTTCGCCTTTCTTTCAGCATCGGTATCATTTATCCTTCCGATGATGCCTAATTCAGTATTGTAAATGTTGATACTTTGTCATACTTTTGTGAGAAAGTTCATCTAGTTCCTTCTTAAGTTTTTCAGGGTCTTGAACAAGTCTCGCGGCATCTCTTGCTTCCTGCCTTCCTTTACGGTTCTATTTTGATAATTAGAATCCATATTGCTACCGTATTACCTTTTCCCTTTCCCGTTTCTTTTGGAGCTTCCTGTACGCTTCGACCGGATTGGCCATTTTAGTGGTTTATCTACTGCTTAACATCTCTGTGCACCTTGCACATTAATTTATATTGCTATTTACTGGAATATATATTGAGCTTAAAGCTTCATTGCAACGTCGTCGCCATGCGGCCAACTGGTCTCTTCACCTTCCGAGGCACAGTCAAAAACCAGATAAAAGGGACTATACAGTTCATATCAAGTGTAATAATACATATACAGTTCGGGTGTAACTATTGATTAAGTATTTAGTCCATGTGTCGACGCCGAAAGTATTGGCAGCTACTGTTCTTCCGATTCGACCTCTTCTTCGGTATCGTTTTGAACTTCCTTGGCAATTTGTGCGTAAGCGTCATCCCTATTTAGTTGCATATTCTTCATTTGATCAACTATTTCATCCAACTTGTCTCTTGGTGCCTTTTTAAGAATGTTCAACTGCTTGAGTTTGAGCCTGAGATTGTCCCTGACAAACCTCAATCTATCAAATGAATTTTGCATTGATAACGCATCATATCGCTCATCTGCTGTGAGATGATAGTCGAATGCTGTGTATGCGGCGATCTGTGCAAATGCTTGAGGGCCCTTGGCGAGATCTACGTTGAAATGGTTGAGTCTCTGGTCGATGAGGTCGTGCAGGTTTGGCCTGGCTTTAATACGTGCTACAGCATATGGCTGATGTAGCATTTCCATAATTTCACATTCTATCTTGTTGCAATTTTCATGTAGGTTTGTGATTTCGTCGACTATCTTTGGTACTTCCTCAGCGTTTGTAAAGTTCGGGTCATCTTCAATAGGTATGATTTTAGCTTTGATAAACGGTTCCTCCATAACTATTTTATGGATAACAACCCGGCCTAGGACACGTCCTGTGACCTTAATTCTTTCTCCTCCTCCGTCAACAAAAGCCTCTTTTGAAAGGAGTTCAGCATAGACGGCAAGCGGTGCTAGCTGTCCCGAGGTTGGGTTGATGAAGCACATACCATATATCTGTTTGGGATCTTTTCCCGGAATGTCCAGTGTATCTAGCACCGAGTTAAATGTCATGTCAACGTATTTACCCCTGAAGATTACTGGTTCCTCGTACCCCAATTGCAACGGTGACGGTACGAGGGAGTATTGGTCTACAATAATTGGAAAGAAAGACATAACCTTTTCACCCTCTTTCCATGATGGACACCATTCGTTAAGTCGGCCACTATTCACGTTTATCGGATACTCCTCTAGATTGAGTATGGCGTCTGTGCCATGACCCGATACCGTCGGTCTTTCTCCTTTCTCTAGTTCCTTAGACCCAGTAGAGTCGACAGATTTGACAACCTCGTCACTCAACATGTTCCCGTTATCACGGACCTTTTCCCAATTAAAATACTGTGATCCATCATTTGCGTCAGAGCCTTTGGCGCTGGCAGCCTCCGCAGATTGTCGATCTGTCGGTTCCTCTAGCAACTTATTATCAATATAATCAACGCTCTTTCTTTCCAGCTCATCATGCATAGTGGTATGATCTTCCTTGTCATAATGTACTCTGCCCAGTTGGCTCTCCACGGGACATTGAGTTTCTTCGGTATTTAACCCTTCGCTGCTGTCTACTCCAAGCTGAGTAACACTGCGATAATGAGAACCATAGTGTATGTCCTGTCTTTTAGACGGCGTCAGGAACGCCATTCTGGCTATTCCGACATGTCTAAAGCCGTTTTTAGCGTCATTGCTATGATGTGACTGCAGAGAATCCACTTGGAGGATTCCTGCCAGAGTCACTGCGATAATGCTTGCTGTGCGGCCGATGCCCATTATAAATGATATGTCTTCATTTTTGGAGGTACTTATATAACCCTTGACGCTTTTCAGTGGTCTGTAACGGGTTTTGGGGTAGAAGGGCATCCAATCCCACACACCACGACCGTAGTCGCGCATTAGATTAGGTATCTTGATTACATTCAATAATTTACACATACAGCTCTTAAGGCATATGAACTATGCCGGTGTCGTTACAGAGTATTTTGAGCGTAGTCTCACGCGTAAAGGAGGCTGCTGCTTCATTTCGTAATCCCGTTTTCCGAAACTATTTCGTGAGCAAGGTATGTGATATTGTTAACTAAAAAGTTGACTCAAATACAAGTCTATATTTTCGTGCCTGTCTGTGTGTTATTTGACCATGTTCTCAGGCCGAAGAGGAATTGCAATTGTTACGTGCGAAGGGTTCATCGATGTCTTCCTCCGAATTGGAGGCGCGTCTGCGTTCGAATACAGATTTAGAGGCAGTATTAAAGCGACAGAGCACCGTTCACAATCTCTATTACGGCATTGAGTCCCGTGTGGAGAAGTAGGAGCGTGCCGTGCGCTGCTTACGGAATCCAACGGTATAATATTAAAATCAAACTTATAATTATAGCGATTATGTTGCAAAATTATTTATGTTTCTTAGACCGAAGTGTACCGCGATGTACGCGTTGTTACATCGCTGTGGCCGCGGCGTCGTTACCTTTTAGACAGTGATTCCTTTCTACCGTGAACTCTAAATGACTTTTTACTATAAAGGTGCTTGATAGCTGCTTGTGTAACATATAACGTGTATTTCTACTATCATAATAATCTCTGTTTAAACTTAAGATTCTTACTTTAGGTTTTTGTGCTACGTTATCTGCATCCTATATGCGTTATGGCTAAGGTTTAACCTGGATTCATGTATTAGTCTCCGTTGTTGATCATGCCGGTAGTAACCGGCAACGGTGATGGTCATGAAGACCACGCTGCTGTGGACGTTGAGGCTGTGGCAGTTGAACCGTCGGGTGACACTGCAGAGGTCATTGCCGATCAATCTCCTATGCAAGTGGCCTCAGAAGTGGACTTTAAGCCGTCACAAGGCAATGATGAACGCTTTGTTGACATATACATGGACGCAGAGGACGATACACATCGCATGGGAGCTGACCTAGAGACTGGCTTTTCTGATGCCGATCCGAATCACAAGCCTATCAAAATATCTGAACTGCCATCAACGGAACCACCCAGTGATGCGCCGCCGTCCAAGGTAGAGCTGAGCTACGATATGCGTCGTATGCTCTTCGGGTTTGCGCTATGTTGCTTGAGTACTTTCGTGAGCCATGTATTGAGAATGCCCTTGTCTTCCACTAAAGTGAACCTACAACGCAGCATGGATCTCTCTACACGCGATTTGACGCATCTAGATGCGTCATATGCTATTTGTCACGTACTAGGACAAATGAGTACCCCTGCGTTATCTTCAAAGAGTAATAGTGTTGTTTTGGTTGCGCTTTACCAATTCTCCATGGGATTTGCTATGATGTTGTTGTTCGCACCTAGCCAACTATACTATTTCATTTTGGTATACGGCTTCACGGGATTTATGACGGCACCTACCTGGTCGGTTTTGTTTTCACACCTTTCGGAGTGGCTACCAAAAGAGTACAGTTTGCCATTGATCACCGTGTGGTTTACGGGTGCTGATCTAGGTTCTATAGCTGGCATCATGATTTGCATCTATGCAGAGGCAACTTGGGGATGGCGCAGCACTTATGTGGTGAGCGGCCTACTGAACATAGCAGTGGCTATTATGTTATTCTCCCTCTATGACAATTGCAAAGACCCGATGTCAGACGGTCGCTTAGTTGACCCGCCCGCTATAATTCGTGCCAACATTACAACTATGTCGAAATATGTACGTCAAATCGGCCAGCCCCGATACATGGAAACATTTATTGAGAGTAAGGAACAACCGCCTGTAACACCGCCGGATTCCCATAGGAATTTCATTTTATCTGGTATCAGCAATGTAAATCAACAGGCCAGGGTAAAAGACAGTCGCGCCTCGTATGTATTCTATTCACTTTGTAGTCGTATTTCTACGTTATTTGGGAAGGTTCGGCGAATGACCATTGACTATGTATCAGTACTCTATCGTGTTAGTTATATGGGTCGGATTGCTTTATCGTCCTTTGTTTTGAAACTTGTAAAGCATTGTTTTTGTTCATGGGTGAACTTTTACGTCTCTACTATGTATGGCTTCACACCCGCCCAGGGTAACTATTTGACCCTAACGCTTAGCGTGGGCTGTTGCGTTGGCAATATCTTAGTTGCCCTGGTCTGTCGTATACTTTGGAAAGATCGTCCACTAACGGCATGCATGTATTTCTACGGATTGAGTGCCATCGCGGTGTTCTTGTTTTCTCTAATGGACTTCAGCTGGTTGCTACTTTCCTACTTTTGTTGCTGCCTCTGCGGTATCGTCACTACCGCTGCGGAGGCCATTCTGATGGCTCGTGGTATCAAGTCGCTCTGTGAGCGTTCCAGTAGGTTTTATAAACGGTTTTAATCACGTTTTCCAGAATTGACACAACGGGAGTCTCTGACAGTATACGGATTCATTCTTGCTGCATCCACTCTTGGCTCGGTTTGCCAAGGTTTCCTCGTGGCGTCTATAGTAGATTGGTAAGCAAGTACACATTGGTCTTTATCTGTGTCCAGGTACGGCTGGAGCGCGCTACTAGGCCTATTCGTGGCCGCGTTGATGTGTGCCACCGCACTGCTTCACAAACCGTCTCAGACTGAAAAATAATTTTATAATACCATTATAAGAACTTTATCGCTGAAATATCTATCAGCGTTATACATTATGTCGTCTTCGCTGCGTGCGCTTATGCGCCGTGAGAAGGCGTCACGCCGTGGCATGGATCCATCAGCTTACTCGGCGCCTCCCAAAATACAGGCAGTAGAGTCCAAATCGAACCACGAACTTCCTGTCACTCAGCCAGTAGCGACGTCTCAAACATCGAAACCGACTACACAATCCACATCGCAGTCAAATGCCTATCATGAAAGCGTAGTGGAAGAGATATTCGAGCTTGTCTCAGACTCCGAAGATCTAGCAGAAGAATCTCCTATATCGCATACTGATGCCCGGAGTCGTGGAAACAACAGTTTATTCGGCACATCGTCAAATATTAAAGCCCGATCGCACGATGATTCTTTCGAAGATGTAACCGAGAGGAATGTCGATTCGTATAGTGGTTCCGAAGATTCTGTCGACCCATCTCCGAAGGGGAAACGCGCCAGACGAGCTTCAGGCCATGAAGACAGCACAAGTAGTTCCGTCCATGGGAAGCAACTCAGTAATCCCACTGCGGATAATAGTGCTTCTGAAAATAAAGAACCGTCTGCTTCTACCAAAACCGATAATGGGACGCCTCCCGTGGAGGCATTATCCGATGACATACATCTGTACGATCAGCTGAACACAGCATTCAGCAGTCGTATAGAATATGAGCGAGAACAGATTTTGGGCAACATCGACAGTTCTACAAACATCGATTATGGCATAGGCGGTGATTCACGGAGCACTATCACATCTGCTAACTTCGGCAAGGCTACCTTCCGTCTGCCAGCCGACGCAAACCTACCTGATGGCTTCTTCGACAACAAACGATCCGATGCGCAAGCTCGTGGCAAGTTGACGAGTTCTGAGGCAGGCGAAAAGCTCGCTGAGCTCGATAGGAGCCAAGCTGAGCTACTAAACGAGGCTCAATATGTGCAGGAGAAGTACATAGAATCGTGGCACGAGCGTAGGCGTCTGGAACATGATGAACACGAACACGAAGAGGTGGTTCGTGAGCTTTCTGTCAAGGTTGCCGCCATCAAAGGAGAGCTGATGCAGGAGCCCACTGCGGGAGTTGATAGCGTAAACATTGTTGAAGTTCATAGTCAGCAACCCTCACCTCAGGCTGTTGACATACCCAATTATGACGACTTCGACGATTTTTCATGGCGTAGAAAGGCCTTGATCTGATCTACTATACTTAATATGAGCCATACGGCTATACTAATTATGATTGTTTCGAATTATTGCATAATATGTGTTGCTTGTTGACCATGATCTGTGTAACACCTTTAGAGACCTATATGTGGACCCAAGAAACTCCATCTTTCGTAGCTTGTCATATTGCAGAATGCTCAATGACAGCAGCGCCTTTGTCGCTTGCTACCCTATTAGACATTCCTCGTAACGTGTTGAAAGTCTTGGCACTCCTTGTGCCGAACTGTATGGCTCTTTTTTTGAAATGAGCACAATGCTTCAATCCCATTCTCAGCGCTATTTCACGCAGAATCCACTTGTTGATGTATATGGCAACATTACGATTTCGATCTTCGTCTAGAAATTCACAGTTCCTCAGTGTATCATATTGAATGTTTTGGTACACTGCAAGTGTTTTGAACCATTCTGGACAGTTTAGTGCATCTACCACAGTTGCGGAGTTGATATTGAGTTTCATGAGCGTCCCGATTACATCGTCATGAAGATATGGATATAATGCTCTTATTCCTTGAGCGTTAACTACACGGTCATCTCTTCCTAAGTTCCGTTTCCACAACCGTCGTAAATCCCTAGAATATACTTAACCATTTGTGTTACATGAATCAACTTACTTGTCAACTTCGGTGGAATATGAAGCATCCTCAGTTTGGTGGGCCACGGCATGTCTACCGTATCCGCCAAAAAGCTCATCGGCGCCACTACCGATAAGGACCTCTTTAGAATTCGAGACATAGTCATGAACTAAAGGCTTATAGGAGGCATCTTGATCCCCTCCACTGATACTGCGCCCTTATCATAGCATAACTGATAAAACTTACAGTTCATAGAGCCCTTCCGCCAATTCACATTCGTCGTTGTCGGTATTGGCTACGCCTGTTTTCTTGGTAGTTGTTTTCGTTTTTTCATTGTTTTTACTGTCTTCATCAGCATATCCCAGGTCTCCACATGCGGCAGTACTCTTCTCTTTCATGGAAATGTTGACTCTTATGTTCACGCTTCTCAAGATTGCGACGCATCGCTTCAGTTGCTGCCACTCCGGATTCTGAATTACTTCGGGGCGCATTACTTTGCCACGGAACGCTACTGCGTAATGTAGCGCCGCAGCAATGTTCAAATCCATATGCGTGTTATTTGGGATGATTTTGGAGAATAGGTAAGGCTCCAACATTTTGTATTCATCCGTGTCTACATCCACCAGTACTAGTTTAAAATTCACATGTGGATATATTATAATTAAATCCTCGTATGTACACAAGGCCGTTATTCTATCTGGTGCCACTTTGGGCTTGAATGCTACATTAATAAGTTCTATGAATTCGATATCTTTCACATGTTCAGCAACCATGGCCACAAGGACAGCTGAATCTAGCCCTCCTGAGAATAGGATAGTGATTCGATCACGTTGTACCCTAGTTAGGCACAAATCTTTCACGGCACTTGCTATGCTGTCGGCTACCTGGTCTATGGCACGGTTTACGTCGGATAGAGTTGCATTGGAATATGCTATTTTAGTTTGTTGACAAAGCCTACTAAGCCTTGTTTCAGGCCTAATTAGAAGTTTAATTTCGGAATTTAGGATGACCATGAAATCTGGCGGTATCTCGTACCACGAATTTTGTATTGATGTTGCTACATCTGAGATAATAACGTCGTCTCCATCAGTGCCTAATAGGAGTGATTTGAAGCCCATTTCATCTTTAAGTATGTATATTTCGTTCGTTAAAAATGAAACATATATCATACTGAATGCCCCAGTGAGTGCGAACAATGCCTTGGACAGTGTATGTGGGCTGCCAGCAACTGGGATAACGTGCCCCAATTCAGTAGAACTATTGCCATATATTGCAACTATTGTGTGATCGTCGATTTGGCGTACATCTGTACCCGAAAGCTCGAATTCCACAACATCCGAACGGAATCTCACGACCACAACACCATCAGTTTCAGTTGTAACAACAGATTCCCGATAAAAACATTCTGAACTGCTATCCTGTTTACTCAGGGCGCCATATGAAACTTGATTATTAGGAGCATCTAGTGTTTCATGTATTTTTTTGGTGTATAGATCAGTCGATTTGATATCTACGATCCCATTGTCGTTGCATTGCTGCAACGTTTTTATCACTTCCCTGATGCCCCTTAGCTCCGATAAAGGCCTCAATCGAAGCCTTATGGAACCACAGCATGCCATACCTCTTGGTAAGTGACGCTGCTCTGGTAATTTCGTATGCTGAGCCGTGGCTGTGCCACGGTTCCTTCCTCGGCATCCGCCGTTGTGTATTATGTCCACCTTCTCATGGCATTTGTTGGTATCACGATGACCGGAGCGTTGGTACCATTGAGCTGAAGTTGAATGTGTGATGTCTATAAGCAAAATCACTACCTTACTACAGAAGTTGGTTCACAGTGGTGTCGTGGCTGTGTCATGTTGGGTGTCTAGCGTTGTAGCGCGATAAAAAATTTTCCACTCTCATTAGTTATACAATATTAATTGCATTATTCTGCATAAGATTTTAAGATATTGCAGATTTTTGTGTGTAGACGATATCCTTCAGTTAAGTGCTGTGTATGATATGTTGTAGATGTGTAAGTGATTATGGTCATCTGCAGAACCTCCATCTCCCAATCATTTGTTACGTGGAACCAAAATTTTTATAGATTATATACACAGGAGATTGAAACTTTCTAGAGTATGCATGGAGCTATATACATTTGATGTCGCTTGATGCGAAAGCTAGTTAGTGTGTTTGGTTGTCATGGATGTTAGCATGTCCTTACCCGTTCGTGTGAAGGAGGAACGTGTTTCGGTGTCCCATCCGACACGCCTACCTGATCCGGCAGCTCTGGTGTGTAGTAAGCTAACCTCATGCCCTTATTTGTCTGTAAGGGATTTGATTTCAGGTTCGGACGCAGAGCGGGCTGAGAAGACACAGTTATTGATTCTGCAACTATCTAGATGCCACCAGACGGAACATTTTAATTTGGCATCTGACGCTTCCGATTTTTGTGCGTTACTGCGTAGCGTTAGTAACTCGCTGCAAGTAAAGGTCTGCGAGTTGCTTGTGGCTTATATTAAGGCCGTATATGTTGATACCCATTTATTAGACAATGACGAAGGCATACGTTCGTCAGAGTCACTTTTGGATTTTTATCGCATACTTCATAACGACATCGTAGAGTTTGCATTGCCGAACGTAAGGGCTGGAGACCAATGCGCTCTCTTCATATGTAACCTCATTTCAATATGCTCATCACGCAAGGTGTTTGCTGCCATCGTGGATTTGTTCAGTCGCAGTGTACGTGATATTTTAACTAGCGGCGGAGATGGCACGCCGAGAGAACTTGCCGCTGATCATGCTAGACGTGTCATCGGTATGATGAAGGCACTATTGTTTTTGACGAAGGCGTTCGGCACTCCAACAGCACCGTCTGCTGAACTGTGCTCTATTGCTTCAAGTGTGATAACGTCTACAAAAACACATATGTGCCGACTATACAGTTATAACGTCATTGCATTCCTGCTACGAGATGTCAGCAGCCAGGATGCAATTAAGGACACGCTTCCAAATCTAACCGCTTCGCAGCTAAAGCATGTTGTAGCACTGATGAAGGAGGCGAATCATGTGGTAAACAAACGGGAATGGTCCTTTCAACATACCCCACCCACGCCGCCGGCCCCTGTGATGTCTACGCCTATAATTTCACAGCCACCATTGGAGCCTTCGGTTGAAACGGTGGTGAGACCTACTCTACCGTTACAAGATGTTCTGCCTTGTTCGCCAAATGAGCACATTCCTACTGTGTCTATAAATGAGGCCTCTGCTGTAGCCGCCACAGTAACACCTCTTGCTGTACGTCGTGATGTCGTTTCAGTGGGTGTAAGCTTCGCTGCCGCTACGAACGTAACTGCGGCAGTTAGTGACGTGCCTAGGACACTCACCGGAACTTATACGCAGAGTATTGTTAGCGTGGCTCCCTCGACGGCTCCTCTCACCGCACACTCCACACGGTCGCCTACCCGTCCTACATCGCCTGAACTGACACAGGAATCATCTGCTCATACGTTCAAAAACGACTGGTACAAGATGTTATCAATGCAATTCTCGTACTCCGGGCAAGGGTCAACCTCGTCTTCGTATGACAGGGAGGCTTGGAAGGCGAAAAACCAGGCTCTGACAGCTGTTGTGGAACATGTGCAACGCATGCCCTCCAGGATGACCATGGGCACCTATGGGACCCAGATCGTCGAGATTTTGGAGAACATTTTGAAGTTCGAATCTGCTATACCCATCATTTTAGGTGCATTGCGCTTGCTGGCACTTTTACTAGAGAAGTGTGGCGAGGGCATCATACGACATCTACGCTCTTCTACAATCTTTGATCTGGTATTTGAGCGTTTGAAAGACACTAACAGTAAGGTACAAGGCGTCTCAATAGAGACCGTTGCTTGGTTGATTAAGTATGGTGACGGTACAGTGGTGTTAGAAGCAATCAAGCGATCTTTAGGCCACAAATCACCGCAGGCACGTATAGCTATGTGTAACATTATCTGCGGGGCTGTGAAGTTACCTGAAGAGGTAGGGAACATATCACAAGAACTCCAATGTCACAACTCACAACTTATCCCACTCTTGTCATCTATGGTATCGGACAAGAATGTCAAAGTACGTAACGCTGCGATGGAATGCAAACGTGCACTGGAAGATATCAACTATGTGCCAGCACGAGCTTCATCGGCCAAGGTAGATCCCCTGCGAGCAACCCGAACGTTATCCGTTCCCGCTCCTGCCAAAACCCGCCAGCAATCTTTACAAGCTGCCAACCGTAGAACTGTATCAGCTGAAGAAAGCGCAGCTCATCTTGATTCACCAACTGGCAAGTCAACGGCAGTTGTATCGCGGGTTTCTGATGTTACGGACCAACCAGCTGGCCCAACGTCAAGCACTGCGCCCGTGAAGCGCAAGCTGGTTCGCCGTTTCTTAAAGAACAGTATACGTAAGAAGAGCGACGATAATAAGGTCCCAACGTCTCGACCTAGCTCCAATGCAACACCATCTGATGAGCCCTTTCCAACAGGGCCATCGAATGTGATGGACTTGGACGTCCCAGTGCCAGTTGAGGGGCGTTCAGCTTCGGTTGTTTCTTCTGGTGTGACCGAAAGCACTCCAAGCTCAGCAACGTCTGCACCATTTACACAAAAGGATTCGATGCAATGCGATGTTGTTCAATCTAGTCCCGCGCTGGTCTCTCATGTGACGCAAGATTCCACAGCTGCCAGTGCCACTGTAGACTTTAGATCTTACATCGGGTCTGCAACATCAAATTATGCTGTTGAACAACCTCCTTCTGCAGCAGAAGCGGCCTTGTCGGCACACGTTCCAGATACTATTATAAACAAGGTTGCCAGGCGAGGAACTTCCCGCCGTGGCTTCGCCGAAGGGTTGTATGAACTCTCTAAGTGGCTACAGGGTCATTTGGATTTGGCTGATCTCCTCAAAGACGATATTATACAGTTCATCAACGACTGCACCAACGGCTTCCGTGAATACACAAAGACGGGAAGGGCTGCTTTATATTCGTTCTTGGAGGACTTCGTCTCATATGGTATATGCGGAGATAGCGTGAAGATGGTTGTCTTAGCATTATCGTCTGAAATCACTAACCCTAAGGTAGCATCGCTACTCAAACAGTTGGCACCGGGCTGTGACGTCGACTCACTCGTTTCCATGTTGTTGGACGCCAACAAAGGTACGGAAGACACCTCCGTACGTTCAGCCATTTTGAATATCTTCTGCGAAGTACTTACACCGGATGCAGTGGCAGCTTTGAACACAACTACCGTGTCCACGATCGTCGATTTCTGTCTACCCATATCTGGATCTCCTCATGTGGAATTATCACGCTTGTCAGAAAGGGTTTTAGATTTGCTGGATGCTGTTCCCTCGGAAGGTGAGAATACCATGCAGGTGGATACTCCAGAATCCGCCGCATCTCCTCAAAACGGTATACCCATGAATACTGCCCAGCCGTTAAAGGTCACATTGCCTACGCCAGATCAGGTTACGACTCCTCAAATCGAAGAAGGGCCATACACTCCTCCTTCGACAAGTGACAAGACTGCTGCGAATTCAGAAGGGCACATCTCACCTAGTTCCAGTTCAATACCTGCCACAGCACCTGTCTGTGATGCACCAGTGAATGCACAGTCATTCTTTGTTTTAGCTGATAGGTTCTCAAACGAGGTAGCTGCACCACCTTTACGACTGGAAGGGGCAGTTTCTAGTGATTTGTATGCTTCTATGTTTGAGAGCAGTCAGGATAGTAGTTTGGAGCGTGCATGCCTGTTTTGGGAAACATTCCTTCACCAACCCACAGACTTACTTCACAATGTTCTATCTGGAGAAAATGTGCGCTTCGAGCTTTTAACTTGGTTATGTCAAACCTTGCTCCGCGGCACTTGTGAAAGGGTGATTTTGCGTTGCCTGGACCATCTATTTGGAAAGGTCAAAGAGATGGGTAATAAGTTATCTGTGGAAGAAGCAAGTATGATTATCGATTCGCTAGGGAAATATCATGACAGGAGTCCTGGTGACGCATTAATCGCTTTCGACCATCTATTGCAAGTGATAAATGTAACGGAAGAGATTATAGCGTCATGTTCTTCTCACAGTGTATGGAGAGATGTGTTGCCTGGTCACGTAGCATCCCCTTTACTTCAGCAGGAAGCGATCCAACCTCTTGAGACAAACTCGGAGGCTACCACAACTGCGAGTGCAAGAGAGGGTGAAACTAGCGATTTCATGCCAGTGGACACATTAGACAATGAATCGCCAGAAAATGGCACCGAGTCTCATGTTGATGGAGATCAGCAAAACTGTTATGCCACTACACTACCTGGAGCTGTGGAAGAACCAGCACCATTACGTATTTCTCTAGGTAGCCAACCAACGACACCTGTGACAGCACCCCTTTTCAACTCGTCTGTTCTGGATTTGGAATCCTCCAGGAAGTCGGTAGATAATCCATCGCAACATTCTTCGATGCGGCCTGGACCGGTCTCTGCTGATGTGTCACCATCCACGGCAGCTTCATCGTCGGCTTCAGTTTCCACACGTCCAAGCTCTAAATATGAAGATGGTCCATCTGAACCAGCTTCATCTCGAAGTGAAGTTACACCGATAGATTGTGAAGTTGGGTTACCTGAGGTACCAATTCTTTCCTCAAGATTATCTCTAGCATCACAATCTTCTCTGTCACCAGTTGCCTCTCTTATTCCCTTACTACCAAATGATGGCCAACATTGTGCCATACCCGCTAAAGAATTTTGTGACGCAGCGACGTCGCCGATAGTTGTCATCAACGAAGACCAGCTGGATCCCGTTATGGATATATCTTCGGTACCTGTTGACCACGCATTCGCGCATTCATTGGCTAGAAGTTTTACTAACAGTTCCGATATATCCAATGATTACATCTCGATGCCAGAGTTGCAACATTTCTCTGAGGCACCGGCTGACAACAAGGTTACACCTGCCACCCTCGAGATTGATAGCGATGAGGAGCATGTGGAACCTCTCGATAATGTTCTAACGAGCGGCGTGTCTGAGAAGGACACGATTGCAACTGACATTTCATGCCGAGTTGATGAGGCAGTGAATACCATAACAGGTCCATATGTGACTGAAAAGCATGAGGGAATCGAGATTGGCATTCAAACAACTCCTGTTGTTCCTACGGTGAATCTACAGAGCGAAAGAGAAGATGCAGGTGCTGTGGCCACGCCAAGTCCATTGGATTGTGTTGTGGTTTCTTCGGCATCCTCGGCTGTTGTTGAGTCTGCGCGCAGCTCAGTTTCACGCATTCTTTCGCGCCACTTACGCAGTGAAGGTTTGGATTGTGACAGTGATGAGGCGGTATGTTTCCAACGATCGATGAAGCTGGTTGAGGTTATTTTATCAGATTGTTCTTACGTTGCCAACTTCTGTTTGCTCTCGAATTATCAGGATTACCATACACTTGTGCCGTCATTTAACGACGACGGTATGATTGAGGGTTGTGTTGAGCGTGCTCATCGTGTGTTGGAAAACCTTTCCACATTTACAGATCCGCAGGTACTACTGGCTCTTTCTCCTGTGTTGATAGATGCGTGTCACGTATCTATTTTGCGTTTATGCAAAGAGATTGAAAGGTCATCTGAACTTGCCATTGCTACGGACAAGGTTGTTGAAGCCATAGTTGCTCTTATCGAACTATTTACCGTTTCGGCGCAGCATCTCGATGGTCGTGCATTGTTGCAATACTGTTCTGTGGTGATTCACTGTTTGGCGCTTCCAAAGGCGTGTTTCCACAGTAACGTGAAGCTTTACAATGGTCTAAGCCGTTTGATATCGGTTAACGCTTTGGGGCAGTCTACAGACATTCTTGCCCGTTTGTTGGTTGTCTGTCTGGAGCTTAGCGTGCAGTCTCTTCGTCGAGGGGATAGAGGCCGCATACTACTGGCTATGCTTCGCCTAACTAAGATATTCCAAGGACAGATTATGTTACGTATCGGTAAAAAGAAGACAGTGAGTACTGTGACCCGTTCTGAGTTGTACAAGAGTCACTCTACTTACGTGGGTATGTTGCGTAGTTATATGCGCAACGCCGCGTGCACTGCAACTCTCGAGACTCGCCTTCACGACGCTGTCTGCCAATCTAACCTATTGATGAGGTTGTTACGCGAGCTCGGGGTATGACTTTGGAAAGGCGTGAAGCAAACGATTTTGTGCTATACCAGGCAGAGACATTCAACTAGAACGAACATCAACTATCAACATGTATTCTAGCTATTCGTTGTTAACAGTTTAAATTGACGTTTAGTGATAAAATTATGCCGTATATTTTCAACGGCAAGGTCCAGTGTGTTTATCACTAGCCTTGTGTTATCTTCTGTAGGAGCTCTATAGTTTGTTCTGAGGGTTTACACGGTATCTGTGTTCTAACATTGTAGAATGTGCTTTTTAGCCTGGATTCTGAAATCCCCCAGAATAGTTCCGCATCTGGTGACTCTGCTAGCCTCTGGCATCTGCAGTAGTTTGAACTTGAGTCTTCATGCGATCCGCCATTAGTTTCGGTTTCGAAATGTTTACCGAACTTAAGCCCGTTGATCATAAATGTATAGATTGCACTTGGAAAGAGTACCCCGTGCACATTGAGCACGGAGGTATGCTTCAGTTTGTTGTGCGTCGGGGCTCCTGGGTAGCCGTAATCGAAAAGGTGGCCCAGTATCCTCAGAATCAGTATTTTACCAAATTCGGAGTCACCATGTTTAACTAGCCTGGGGTCACCCCAAACACATCTTACGCAGTGTTCCTCAGGATCCAACATTTCAACGACACCTCCTGCGATTGGCAACCATTTCCGCTGGTCTGTATAATATTTATAAGGGTGTTGAACATTCACTATGTAACTACAACAAAGCCCAAGTTGATGTGGCAATGATTTTTACAGTCTCATTGAACTTAATTACGAACATATGATACATTTTAACCACAGTCACTACCATTTTTGGTGCGGTAAAAAAACATACCTTTGTCTAGTTCATCATTTGACTTCAATTCTGATGCGATAATCATGACAAATCCTACAGTTTGGGGGTTCGATAGTCGTCTTATTGCCGCGTCTATACTTCGTGCGATTTGTGTTGGTTGGTGCATTTCTGATAATTCTGCCATTAGCTTTTCGTTAATTGCTGATGCAGACGGTCTCAGGGCACTTCGTATGCCAGTTTGTGGTTGTGAAGTATTACGCCCATTTCTAGCAGCTCTTCGACTTGATAGTGCGGTGTTCAATGCGGTGGAATTTCCATTGTCCTCTCCCTTCGTAGAGTCACCTGTGGAGAGCGCTTGTACAACGTCTAACAACTGTTCCTTTGCTAGACATGACACATTAGCAAGCAGCTTTACGAGCAGAGCACGTCTGTCCAGTATAGTTTCGTCACAGAAGGGTAATGGCAGAATGAAACTCTTGAGATTGGAGGCATTGAGGTAACGGGTGGTAATGTCCAGTAGATCAGTGGCTAGGTTGCCACTATGGACATCCATTCGTTCTCACATGCCCTTCTTAGTTCCAATGAGATGTCTAAAAGTGTTTTGTTCTGTGATTAGTGGCGTCGCATATACTAATGTAGCCCCCATGTGGATGCGCCTAAGGGTTGATCTGTTTGTCGAGATTTATTGGCTAAGTGACTCCTTAATCATTTCCTAAGTTCATATCTATTTTTGGCGGTATCGGCGCTCATTGCGCCATGTGAACCGTGGTCTCAACGACCGTGTTTCCAGCAACTTATCGTTGTTTCTTTTGACACAATGGGAGTGCTGAGTTCAATTGCTTATGTGTTCGTGGCGCCATTTCGGGCTTTGCGGTATAAAACTGCTACTCCTCAGATGCGTGCCCGTATAATCAAGCTGGGCGTAATCTGTCGCAAGTCATGGATTTTCTTTCCGCCACTAATGATGTACCAATACATCCGTGAGGTAGGTGTCTACAATTTATATTACACATTTTGAGTATTTTAATGATCATAAATCTCATTGTACGATAATATCGCCGTGTATCATGTTATCTATGTTGTTGTTTACCCGTGGTCTGATATTGGCGCTGTATTGTTGTTTTTCATTACGCTAATTTTTCCTCAGAAAGATAAGGAGATGTACACATCTGAGCTCTTTTACAAGAACTCCAATGTTGAGAATCCTAATTCCTTTTACGACCCTTCGAAACCCGAGGGCAATCGCCATTGGAAGATACAGCATGATCTTAGTCTGATTTCTGCAGCTGCTAACAACCGTTTTAATTAATATATTTTAAAAACTATCTACAGTGTGTGTTATGTTTTGGTCGCTGTTTGTCCCACACATCTGTCCGGGCGGCTGTGTGTCTTCCCACGTGCGTAACTTTTATTTCATTCAATGTGACAAAAATTGTCACACACATATTAGTATGGTAATATAAACACCCTTTGGGAATTTACGTTGCATCGCAATTGGTTATGCGGTGTGTGCCGATGTCGTTTTTCAGCATCTTGCAATGTATCGCAATATTATCCTTTACCTTGAGTTCGGCATCTAACAATGATGTTTTCGACACTGCAAGACAATTAAAATTAGGTCAACCGGCAGATGTCGGTGCCCCCGGGAAACCTTATGGGACCATCTTCGGTGTTGACTGTATGTGTAATATTTTTTGATTTTCTTGGCATCATTTTTGCAGACCTGCAGAAGGTAGAAGCAGCTTTACAAGGGTCTTATGGAGGTTGGTTTGCCAATGTGTGCGCTAATATTAACGTATGCTGTGCAGTTCGAGAAGTTGAATACTTCAGGTGTGTATTTTCGTAATGTCATTTCATATATGTTTAGGAACATGATCAGAGACTTTGAAAACCGGTATGAACTTCAATGCATAAGTGCTATACCTTTCAGCTACGTAGATGATGCAGATATGCGACTTGATGATCCAGATCTGAAGGTTAGTTCTGGAAACAAACTATTTATCACCTTGCAGTCACATATATCTGACAACCTGGGGGAAGAGTTCGTGACACACTACACTTCACCGAAACATAGCGAGGTAAGTGAAGGGTATAAGGCAGATATAACGGAATCAGACTGATCGAGAACATCGTATAGCTCGTGCATTGGTCGTGCTTATAAGGGAGCAATTCAAAGCGGTATGTGAATTATATTGTATATTCACGATATTTAGCTGGATGAGGTTCACGACAAGTATGTGAAACCAAACTTGGATCGTTTCAGCCAAGTTCAAGCTTTATCGCAGAAGTTTTCTATTCGAACCGATACCCCTTGTTCTACACAAGCAAGTTGTGATGGTTTAGAGATGCTGATCAACCTTTGTTCGTATATCCGTGATGGATCGCACAAAGCGTACGAAATCTTTGTGATACTCATCCACGTATTGGGGACTATGATGGCTGTTTTGTGTGGTTGCCTATTTGTAGGCCCTACGCATGTATGCTTCCTAGAAAACTTCCCATACACATGCCGCATACCATACCCCGTGTTCAACGGATCGTTTCAAGCTACAATATCGGTTTGGCAATTGGTGAAGATTGTAACAAACATTTGTCGTATATACGGCGACATTGGTTTCGGCTCCGTATTCGCATAGGCATAGACCTTGCTAGACACAGCATTTTAATCACGTATATAGCTAAATTATGTATTATGGAATAGCCAAACATTTAAGATACAAGTTAGACATCTTGCTCAACTAACCCCTTTTCACTGACGTAAATACCGTCAAGGAACTGCCTGATATCCTTGTTCCTGACGAGAGCGCACTGGTGGATGAGTGCGGCAGACCTTCCGACATTCTCTACGTTCACACCAGTGAGCAGAATCTCATCCTTAACAGCTTCTGATTTCTCAATTTTAACACCGGGAAGAACCTTGACGATCCTCACACGCTTCTCGCCCAAGAAGTTACGGATCTCGATAGCCTTTCCATCATCAGTAATGTTTGAGTTGATGGGAAAGTGCGCATGGACCAGCCTCATCTTGTACTGGTATTTCTTCATGACACCAGTGATCATGTTGCTGATGTGGGTCATAACGGTCCTGATGGTAGCGATCATTGATTTGGTTCCGAACCATTGCATGACAATTACGGTCCTCTGGTCCTTCGAAAGTCTGATTTCGATGGGTACGTGTGAAAAGTCACGTGTGATATCACCGTGCTTTCCCTTGACGGTGACCTTGCGGGACTTCACGGAGACCGTGACTGCGAATGGTTAATGTGGTGTACTAAATAGCCTACCTCCTTCAGGGATTTTAAGGGTGTCAGAGGATAGCGTTGTCTTCATCTTCGTTAATTCCTGCGCATTATTAGAGGTTCGTGCATCACATGGTGTCGCGGTCTACAGGTCTGCCGACCACAATGTTATTGGCCTCTGCTGCTGACCGGTTGAAGTATGAACTATACCTACCTTATTAATTTATATTCCACCTCAGGACAACGCTCAAGCAGATATTATGTTGTGGTATGGGCAATTTCGTGAAAGGTGTTAACGCTCCCAACTTAGTCCCCACTGACACTACCGACTGTCCTCGCGACCAGGGTCGCATTCGTTTATGTGTTACAACCGATTTAACAGTACATTACATAGTATAACATGTGTGTTTACACCAGAGAAAAGGTCATTTTCAACTGTCTTGCCTCGGCATCGCGTTTCTGCCTTGTTTACGGCATATGTGCCGTTCCACTAAAATAAGATGGGTACCGGACAGTATCCAGCTCCAGGTGCTGTAGGGTTGTATATGACGTATCTCCCTGCGATCCTTTGGGAAGAAACTCCATATGGCCACGCCGGGGTCACCTCGTCTTTGTGCGCCTTCGGCTCTACAACATCTATGGCCTCTGCACATTCAACCCACTGTTAAGGTCCGGTGGCGGTGGTTCCATAGGATGCCGGGTGTATGCAACTTTCTTGCCAGATGGCAGCGCTATCGGCCTCGGCCTGAACCTCCCTATGGCGTCGTGATATCTGTCTCTTTTTGACAATTAAACATACCCCACCATAGTTTCTGCCTAATCAGGAACTTGCAAATGTCGCCATCAACTCCGATGGTATTAGTTGCCTGCGTCAATGTGGAATATTGGACGTTCAGGTTTACCTTTGCCCTGTTCCTTGAGTCGGGCACAGAGAATAGAACACATTTTAGCTCTGCACATCGTTTATTAGCCGCAACGGTCCGAACACACTTAGTATTTTGCACACATGCTGGTACAGCGTGAAGTCTTCGTTATAGAGACGCTTCATGAGTTTATGCCTCCTGCTGAGCAATATGGCCATAGCTCGCTTTCTGCAATTATCCCTTGGGTGCCTTATAAGATGTGCCCTCAAATTCAGTATCTTCTCAGACACACAAGCCACTGCGAGTATATGGGTCGTTCTTTGAGCAAGGTAAACTAAAGCGGCTAGGTCGTTGGTCTGTCTTCCATCTACCACTGCCATCAACCACGTGGATTGTACCACCACTGATAAACACAGTTATGCAACCATAATTTGGAGCAATATCTACTTATGTGCGACCAAAGATAGTTCAAAGCTAGACTACAAACTAACATTGTACAGGCGCGCTCCCCGTGTCAAATGGTTCCTTTTGTAAATGTTTCATAAGTATAAGGGTTCTAGCACGTCTCACTTCCCTTCCACTTGCACATTTCAAGCTTAGAACCTGTGTTATACGCGGGTCCAACCCTGAGAGGTCCTCTGGTTGCCAACGGCCGACGAGGCCGTGTGGTACACGTGCACGTTCTGCGAGGAACGCTGCTTCAGCACGCTTATACCATTCTGTCTTCGGAGCTCTAACCTTTTCAAAAGGATAGCCCTTAATCCTGAAAGCTTTCACGTGAGACACTTCTCGCCTCTGCGTTTCCGCAGCGCAATGCCCAGCGCGCGGGCGATGTGCCTGGGATAGCCTTCTAAAAAGGCATCCTAAGGTAAGCATGATTCACAGGTGAATTTTAGTTGCCTTCAAGATGTCATAAATGGGCTACTTCGTCGATATTGTTGGGGGCACATTTCCCCATGTCTCTTCGTTACTGATTCTCTCAGTAGACACTAATTTCGCACATTTCATTCACTGGGAAACAATCGTCTAATATTCATCGCAATATGCCGACTGATGTGTCATCAGTGCGTGCTTTGTACCCCTTAATCGAGCAGATTCTACTGGAACCTACCAAGGAATCTCGTTCGAGAGCTGAGACTACTATACGTGCTAGGACATCATCTCCGTGGCTCGAAGAGCTCATTCAACTAGTTACTTATGCGTCGGAGTGTGATGTGTACAGGGGTGTGACCCTTTTGGATCGTTGCATGGGCGGAGGTGTTTTATTGAACGTTTCCGATGCTAATGCTGGCAGCTCATGTAGGTCGCTTTACGACCATTTCATACGCCAGATTGTTACTTTCGTGGACTCTGGGGCACGTGAAGGCCTTGAACAACTCTACGTGCTCGCTGGTGTGGTCTTATTGCTGAATATATTTGTTCGAGTGAATTGGACTGGCCCTCCGTGCGGTCTTGCAACAGAGTCTGACAAATATTTAGCTTCACGATACCGTGATAAAGTCGTAGACGATAAAAGGGATAAGGATGTAGGTATGGGATCGCTAGAGTCTTTGTCCAACGATGGCACGTCATTTGCAGCCTTTATTTCTGGGAAAGTGGCGTTAGAATTCAACGAGAGTTGCGTTTTAAAATCGCCTGATATAAATTGTTTGGACCTGGAGAAAGAGAGTGCTGAATATGTGGAGATGATCAATAGCATTCTAAACGAATTGCAGACCGATGGCGAGCCAATATATCCCGGTATTGTAGGTGTGCCTTATTTCGTCGCTGCTCTGACATTCCTGTCAACGTTGAATGGCAGTTTGACGACGTTGAACTGTCCTATTGTTGGGAAGAATTCAAGCAGCAACCGTTTTCGTGAGGCCAACGAGAAAGATGACCAGGCTTGGATATCCCCTCGTAGTTATCGCTCGGAAAGTGCTGTGTCAGATATTCCTATAATTAAACCCAGATTGGCTACTGTAGGTGTATGGCAAGGTCGCGTGGCATTCATATGGCAGAGTATAGTTCACGATCCTAGGTTCAACCCATGTCCAACATTGTTCCGCGCTAGTGTCCTTAATTTTGGAAAACTTTTGAAGAAATCTGGTATTTTGTCTGAAAAGTGCAAGCTATCTGTGTTTGACTCAAATTTATTAAAATCTGTGGATTCTAGAACCAGCGGAGATGATTTTCGTGACGGCACTGTCCCCGCACCGTATAGGTCTAGTGGTCTTGGAAATGGGTTCCTCCACAGTGCCGTTAAAGGTTCCGTTATGGCGCCGTTTAACTGCAAAAATGAATTGGCGCCACTTTTAATAATCGAGTTGGCATTAAGGTTGCCCTACTATAATATGACTAAACTATTTGACTCGCTTATTTCCTTCGCATCTGCCACACTGGGTTTCACTTATTCATTTACCGGTAAATTGGGTGTTCGTCGCAAGCATCAGGTTCGTGTGATCCCTCAGTTGGTGATAGTCGTTGACGGCAGTCAAAATGCGAATGGTGTTTCCAAAATACCTGCATTTAGTGAGCTCGAGGGCTCAGAGGAACAAGGTGATGTGGCTGTGAACACACCGCCAGAACATAACCTAGATGGTGAAACATCGGATGAAGTACGACAAGCTGAAAACGATACCCCGGAAGATATCGGGCTCACGCAGGTCAACGATGACACCGATATCCTTGAACGCCCAAAGCTGGCGGAGGAGTCGGAGGAGACCCATCTTACTCCTGCTGAGCAATGTATTCTTTTGGCACATGCGTTGCACATTCTACAATCAGCTCCCGCCAACGACGAGCATAATTTGGAATTTTTGAACGCTATAGTGGTTCGTTGTTTGGCTTCCAAGGAATGCGGTTCTTCGTGGTTGCTCTCTTCAGTAGCACTGTGGGTTCGTTGTAAGACAGAGTACCACCGAACGAAAACAGTGGAACGTGCTACGCTACAGCTACACGAGCTGAGCGATTCTTACTATGAATCCACTGCTTCCCCTGGCCGTCGCCTTGAGTATATGTGGCACGTATGGTCTCCTACTAGTTGGGATATAAAGCGTGAGATTGCACGTCGTATGTCATCTATAGGGTCATTTTTGACCGCGTTCGAGATCTATAAGAAGCTACATATGTGGGAAGATGCGATTCAATGCCTTATTATAGTGGGACGTAGGAATGACGCTAAGGAGCTGGTTGGTTACTCAATTTTTTACAGCACACTCTTGTCCAGATTTTGCAACATCTAAATACCAAGCCTACTCCATTGCTATGGTGTTTCTTAGGTGACGTCGAGGGTGATATATCACACTACAAAAAGGCTTGGTAAGTTATAGTGTCGGTTGGATCATTGGACCTACAGGGACATTTCCGATGGCCGTTGTGCACGTGCTCAACGTACTTTGGGCTCTTACTATTACAATAAAGGAGATCTATCGGCTGCAACAGAGGCTCTTGAATTGGCACTTGCTATAAACCCAATGCGTGAGTCGTCCCAGTTTTTACTAGGATGTTGCTACTTGAGGCAAGGTCAATTTGAGCGTGCTGTTTCGGTCTTTGCTCGCGTGGTTGCTTTAAATCCCTCGTGTCATGACGCATGGGCAAACATGTGTAGTGCGCATCTTAACGTAGGTTGTATTAATAATCGATCTGCACGGGGTTTCAGATAGGCAACCATCGTGAGGCTACTTTGTGTATCGATCAAGCTGTGAAGCACAACCCTACTAAATGGGAATTTTGGGGAATCCGTTTGAATATTGCCTTCCGGGTGTGTTTTTAATTCGCTTGCTCATTTACGTCATGTTCAGTGTCGTGACCTGCAGAATTTATGTCTCTCTATCGAGAAATTGATCGATTTGGGCAAGGTCAGTTGAAATTTTTTTTAAACAACACTTCGCAGAAATCTATGATAGAGCCTGCTATGGTCGCTTTTATTGTGGAGTCATCGCAAAAGTTTCCTTCCAATCATGCAACTCAGCGCGTGTTGGCACGAACATTGGATTTGGTGACGAAACATATCACCGATAACGCCGACATTTGGCATCTGTGCGCTCTATACTTCGGCTATCACAAGTGTTATCCTGAATCTTTGGAGTGTGCATTTCGGGAATATCGATCTATCGAGAGCACGATTGTGAGCAGTTTGAGCGAGGCAAAGGGTGACGCAGAAACGCAACGTGAGCATGACGTGGCTCAAATAAAGCGTTTGACATCTTGCCTGGGTGCATTAGTGTCACTATTGAAGCGATTAAGTGTGTCGGATCGTCGTGATAAGCGCGCTCTGGTGCTTGAAACTTTACGTAGTTTGCGGGAGCGTGTCCACTCGCGCATCGATGAAGTAAATGCACAATGGAGGATGGAGGTGGACTCCTTGATTGAGAGCGCTGAAGTAGAGGACGTTGTTTGCGTGTATGCAAACGATTGAAGATCACCAATGTTTCAGGGGCACCATCGTTCTTGTTGACGCATAGCGTCGCGAGTGACCTTCACTTAATATTTCAACATAATAAATAAATAACTATGGCACAACGCGAGATGCGTGAGAAAATGTCTAACAGGTCTGAATCCGGGCGCATTGATCCTGAGAGTAGGATGTTTATTATGGGCATCCCTACTCGTATGGACACGGTATGTTTTTGTATTTGAGTTGTGATCCGACTTTTTTGCACACAATGTTTGAACTATGTTCCACTGTTGTTCATATCCTCATAGAAATTGTATCAATGGCATTGCATAATTTTTTTGGTGAATAAATGAATTATTGTGATTGCATGGCGTGGTTAGGCAGTAGTCCCAATATCCATTGTGTTAAAGTCGTGTTCCGTTGATATTCATGTACCTGGTGATTATCATGATATTTATATCCTTTTGACTGTTTGACGGCAATATATTCGTTGCAGAATGCGCTTCGGTCCGAGATCGAGCACTATGGAGATGTGGAGGTATATCTATGTGAGAACTGTGAGGGTGACAATGGCTGGGCGTTCGTTGGGTTTTCCAACCGTGAGGCTGTTGAACGGGTGTGTCGAAAAGTGAAAGCACGACCAGTCCGTGGCGGCGCCTGAGGTTGTTCCACCATTCTATTCTAAAGCGGCCAGCCGAATATTACAATGGCATGAATTGACAACTTCGTTAATGCTTTTCGCTGTACGCTACATTTTGCATATTATATATGTTGTTTTTTGTTTGCCTGTGGCGCCTGTATACACCGTTCACATCGAACGTTGAATAACACGTATGATCACAAGGTGGGCGTTACAGATATGATGTTGAGAGTCAAGGCAAACTGACCGATAAACGGTCGTGTAGGCAACAGATTGACATTGCAACAGTTCGACATAGAAAAAAATCATCGGTGTCGATCTGGATCTATAGTGACAATACCCACTGTAGGTGGATTGAACTTTGGTGGTTTTGGCGGTACAGTTTTGCTCTTTTCTACGGCATTCGAAAGATGCTCGACGTTCGTCCGTTTGACAAGTGGCAAGAATTTGCCTAGGCAATTGACGAAACAGCAGTGTACCTTAGCACCAGTATGTGATATGAAGAAACGGTGGCATACTGAGAGCGTCGAGAATAGCGCTTCGTTAGGGAATTGTAGCGACATGATTTTTGACGGTTTATGATACATGCATTTGATTCCAGCTTTAGCAAACGAGCTCGCTATCTCTGTGGCTTCCTCTTGGTCTGAAACGAATGGTGATACAAACGTTAGTTGTGAGGATGCTTTACTCTTTTGACCAGTTTCTTCCTGTGGCTTATTTGTTAGCACCGGAAGCAGCTCCTCATTTTGTTTATCCTTTACTACAGTAGTTTGGTAGTGTGCTTGCGCCATTTGAGTTAACGCATCTCCGTTGAACCATAGTGCAATAGCTTCTGTATATATCCTCCAGCCGGAAGGGTCTGGGCACACCACTATTGTTGATGGGTATGCCTTAATAGCATTTGAGGCCATTGATGCCCAGAACTGCATAGCCTTAGCTTCTGACTCAAAGACCATGAGTGCCATTGCATCAGGTTGTTCGTTTATTGTTGTTAACTTGCCAGTGGAGCTTCGTGTGACAAAGTTCGCATCCCCTGATTTAGGGTACATCATGGGTATTTCGTTAATAGCAGTTCCATTGTTTCCAAATAGTAATATGAACTTTTTTAGTCCCATTTTATGCCACCAAATTTCTTGATTTTTCCTGAGGGTAGTGTCCGAGATCGGTTCACGTTCTCGTGATTCGTCACCTACTACTACATCGTCCCAATCTAGCAACCTATCATATGCCTCCATAATGTATGATAGGATTTCATGTTGTTTCCAGTGCCGTGGTATACCCATAACGAGTAATGACATAGCTCCTGTGTTCGATTACTTACGTGTATTGTACACTTACCTTTTAACCACCATTCCTGGCTTATTTGAGGTCTGGTAGCGCACATATACATGTTAACCCTCTCTAGAGGGCTTTGGAACATGTTATATGTCGGCTTAATGTTTTTCCATTGTACTTGAGGATCTATTTGTGGTGAATCGAGTGTCGTATCACCTGGTGCCATCTTTGGCAGGTTTACAACATCCAGCATAGTTGTCATCCTAGCTGCATATAGGTTCCTTCCAGTTCTCGGATCTGGTATTTTTGTATCTTTTTTCGTTTCGGAGTCGGCGTTCTTTGTGTCCTTACGTGTCTTTGAGACATTTCTACTATTCGTCGCAGCATTGATGCTTGAGCTTGTATATATAGTGCTACTACTATGTGTGTTTGCCCTATCCCTTTTCGCCGATGTCGCCTCCGCTGTGTTACCCGCTTTTGGCGGTGGAGCTAGATCGTTAGGTGGTGGCGGGGGTGGCGAATAATATGGTTTCCTAGGGTTAGGGCTGTGTCTATCGGAATATGGCGTTTGTGGTGAGTAGCTACGTGGTGACCTGCGGTACCGATCATACCTATCGTATCGATCATATCTATCATAGTGGTCCCTATCATCGTATCGATCTCTATCATCATAGCGGTCTCTATCGCCATATCTGTCCCTGTCATCGTAACGATCCCTATCATCATAATGGTCTCTATCATCGTAATGATGTCTGTCATCATAATGATCGCCAGTTTTGCGATACTTTGGGTGGTCGTCATATCTGCTTGCACGGTAACCTCTTGAGTCTTCGTAGCTGTCCCTATCATCATCATAAGATCGTCTATCATATCTGCTACTACGGTATGATCGTGATTCCGAATATCTATCACGTTCTCCGTATCTATGGTGCCTTCCGTGATCATCTATATCGTAATGCCTTCTGTAAGGTTCTGGGCTATGGTCATCATATCTCCTTCTGGATGAGTTTGCGTATGTTCCTCCATCTTTATAATCGGAGTGTCCTCGTCTTTTACTATTATAGTGTCGGTACTTTGAGCTGTGTGATGTACCTCTCTCACGACTTGACCTTTCCTCATCGAGGCCTCCGGACTTCCTGTCCGATACTCCTTGTTTCCACTCATGCGTTTTCATGTGTACTATAGGACATGGTCCGACCGTTAAACGTGCCGTGACTCAGTCTGGTATTGTTCGTGGGCGGGTATATGGTAGTGTTGTTACTAGTGGCCTACTCACATCTCATATGTACCGGATACATTATTATATCATTCAGTTGGTTATTTGATCACAAGGACCTTGACAAATGCTGAAGAGCCGGTATTACGATGAGGTTCGGTGTGTTAGCACGCGCCAACGCCTGTTACCGTAACGTCCATTCCTTCAGAGGGAATATTGGCATTGCTTAGTTACATCTTTCTGTATTTCAGCACACCTTAATATTCTTAATCCGTGTACTTTGAGTATTTCCACTTAATAGGACGGCGGCAGTATATTTGCCATGCCGGGGCGCATATCTTAACACATTGATACGTTGTACGGTTTACTTACCAACACGGCGCTAATAGTTGTAATTCCAAGGATGATCATGGTGACAGAGAAGTCCTGCAGCTCATATCCGACGAAGGTTCCTATGAGTGTCCCCAAGGTGAGAATTGAATAAAGGAGTATTGTGCAAAGGTTCTGGCCGTAGAAATCCTGCGCATATTTATATTACATTATTTTAATAAATTCAAGGGTCCGAGCAATCGGTTCTCATAACCGGGCTCGTTGAACGCACACTACTTACCACGTCGCCTTTGCGGAAAAGAAGCATGTCCTTAATTCTGTCCCACATTTTGTTATTATTCGGAGTATACTTATATTAGGTTACGTATTATACGAACTGCCGTGGCCGGGTTGGTTATAGTGTAATAGAATTTCGGAGGGGCTCCCGGGGCGGTGGCCCCAAGTTCGGTTGGCCGCCTGTCGTTGCTTCAGATACATTTCTAATCCACCCAGTGCACGATTACGGTATACGTTACGTGTCGTATTGAGTAGCTCTATTGCTTCTTCTCGTGTCGTAACTCCCACGCTGGGCGTGGCGATAATTTTTTCTACGGCATCGTTGGTCAACTGGGCCTGCACTGCATCATACTTCCGTCTCATATCCAAAAAGGTATTTACCAATGCCATAGTACGTTCTGGTAAGAACTCTGATGTATTTATGCTCTCAGGGAGCGATGGCAGCTCGTCACTGGTGTTGTCCGTCAGCGCCAAGTAATAGAGTGAGTCTGCTATCGATCCTTCAGGTACGCCTTCATCTTTGTTAATTACTACCTTTTGGAGGTAGGCTTGTCGAAGCTCTCCCATTATCTTTACACCGAGCGTAGGCAGTGTGCTGATGTCCTTTATAAACATGGCAGGTGTAAACAAATATCCTTTTTCAGCTTTTAGCAAAGTGTAAAACTCATGCATCTCGCCGTTGCTAAATAGTTGATGCATAGCCCTGTAAACCTGGTCAGGAATTGTGTGTGTAGTTATGTACAATTTACTCGGTTGTCCCATCCATATAACTTTGTAACGTCCGTCATCCATTCCTATAACCTCTGCTCCATGAAGGTTTATGGCATGGTTAATAGCTTGTATATCCTTTGCCTTGTGTAATAGCATCCCACGTATATGTGACCTCAAGTAACCGTAATATCTCATAGCCCTTCGCTGTTTTTGGTCCACGTGGTAAAACGGCTGCATATTAACACCGGCTTTACTTAGCCTTGATTCCAATGCTTCAAGACATATTTGTCGATCTAGCATATTTCGTATTACTGGTGTTCTTCGTTGTACGTCTACGTCGCCGCTAGCTATTTGCTTAGGCATGTGTTGGTGCGGGGGCCACATCCGTGACATAGGTCTTGTTAGGCCTCCTGTTGTTACCCTGCGTGTCCTCATGCCGTAGGGGAACTGTGTTTCATAAGCGTATGTAGCCGAATAGGATGGTATATTGTTTAGCTCCTCCATAGGGAGGTATGGTGATGCGTCACTTCTCACTGTCACACTGTAATACGGTACGTCGTATGTCATCGGTTCTTCACCATAATAGTTTTGCACACTAGTACTCAACATATCTGGGTTTAATGACGTGAAAGCATCACGACGTTCCTTCATGAAACTGGCGAAGGTACCTCGTTGCATGCTTGCTTTAAGCTTTTCATTTGATTTGATTGCTTCAGGTAGCTCTGAGTACCATTTATTTAATGCCTCTGTTGGGTTTAACCATCTGAAATCAATATCCATGGGCGCCATTAACGACGTCAATATACGTGCCACCGTTGCATGTGTCAATCCAAAGAGTGAGACCTTTTCAGCTCCGAGGCAAGTATTGCTTATACTTGCTTCGCTATGTAGTATTAGCCTTGGTTTATATCTCCGCCAATGTTCCGGCGCGTAATGGAAAACATAATGTCGTGCTTCAGGTCTACTGTGATTTGTAACTATTACCTTGAACTTGTCCATACAGTCGTGGACAAAGTTCCTGATATGCTTTGGGGTATAACGGCTAATAAGTGCCACCCCTCTGCTGAGTTGGTTCCCACTATACGGCGTGATACCTCTCCTTTTCATCTCTTCTAAAAGTTCTGGCACTATTTCAAATTTCTCCTTCAGCGCAGCTTCATATGCACGGTAGTCCTTCCGGGTGTGTACGTTTATAACTGTTGGATATAATGCGTCCGCTATTACTTTATTTACAACTGATGCTACATATTGTTCATTAATACTAGTTAATGCGCGATTTAATTTTAATTTTACCATCAATTTCAAACCGATAGCATGTCTTTCCAAGTTGATAATCCTGTCAAGAATCGTATCTATTGTCAAAGAATTGTCGTTTTCTTCATTTTCATCTTGCGTGTCAGTTTGTTCGTTTCCGGTGCTATTGTTTGGTTTTCCCTTTTTTGTTTCTTTTAAATATTGTTTGACATAGTCGTATGCGTCTTTGCTGTAATGTTTTAACTTACGCAGGGTATCTATTCCATTTAATGCCATTGAATTCTTTAGAATATCCTTGATCATAGATTTGAACTTTGGGTTGAAAGGGTAGTTTATTGGGCGTACATCAGCTATTGGTTTGCCGAATATATTTTGTAGTCCCCCAGTGTTACTCTGCAGCGCTTTTTCCATAGCATCTATATCACCTTTTCCATATATTGGTTCACTAGAATTTTCAAATGGGTCATAATCCCAATTTTCATAGAATACTTTTATTTCCGGCCACTTGCTAGCAAGTATGAAATCCATCGGTCCTATAGCCCTTCTAAACCACTGTGCTACATTTTGTGGGTTCCATGCATTATAGGAGAGTGCCACCATTTGGCATTCGTTCCTCATTGTCGTTGCTATGAAATCGCGTAGTGTTGATGAAGCGCGTGTTTTGTTATTAACTTCAAAATTGTCAATAATCACTATGCGTTTTCCCGGTTCATCTAACTTAACCCTTTGTACGATAGCTTCTGGTGTATAGTAGTGTGTTTGTGACCACCTTAATTGTGACAGCAAAGCTTCTTTTTGTGGTGGAAAGTTTGAGTTAGTATCCCAATCTCTATTTGCCACCTCTTCGTGTGATTGTAGGAACGAGTTGACAATAGATTTGATAGTTGTTGCAAATTCTTCGATATTTTGATCATTTAGTTTTTCATCTCCGACGCTGAATGTCAAAGTTTGATTGGTTTGGTTTGTTGTTGGTTCATCTTCAAGTTGTATAGATTCCTCTAGAGTGATTGCACGCCTCAATTTTTCCAGGAGCCGTTTCGTATCTGTCGCATCTGTGGTATTAACAGCGTTGTATACGCCTAACAATGCTCTTATATTGCTAACAGTCATGAGATTGCTCGGTTTTACATTAATGTTATTGCCAGTGATAACATTGACATTGCCTAGATTATGGAACACAGTGTCGTATTCTTTTAGAAAGTCCCTAGCATGTCTCATAGTATGCCATATATACAATATATGCGGTGCGTTTTTCTTTTTTCTTTTGTGTTCTGCGAGTCGATTGATGATATTTACCAAAATCTCGTGCCTAGCCTTACCCCGGCAACCCATAACGCATATATGTTGCGAGGGAGGTTGATCTTTAAATGCCTCTTCTACCATATCATCTAGTTTAATTCGACTGATATTCTCTTCCTGTGCGTATACACGTTGGTTATCGCTTGTTGATAAATCTGTTTCATCTGTTGTGTTAGTGTCAGGGTAACTACATTCTTCTGTGTCTTGTTCACCTATTTCCGCTTCATTCAGATCATTTTCGTGAATTTTTACAATTTGTGGCTCGTTTTCACTCACATTTGTGTCATTTGTGTAACCTGAATGGTCTTCACTTGTGATCTGTGTCATTCCATCTTCTGTACCATTGTCGATAACCTCTTTTGGTACTGTTATTTCAATATCCTTACTGGCATTTTCGCCGAGTGACGGTTCTTCAGATACCTCATTTGTTCCATTATTGAAACTCGTGGTGGTTTGTGGTACATTAGTTACGATGTCTTGTTCGTTATCCTGGTGATCGTTGTCGACAAGACTCTGTGCGATATCCTCCGTTTTCTTCTTGTATAGCGGTGCGATGCGATCATTGTATGTAGTGTGTGTGATACCTATGAATGCGTGTATTTTTGCGGAAGGATGTGGTTTTGTCCTGCACAGTGAATGTAGGTATCGTCTGTTCCTGGGAAAGGTACCCCTGGCGGCGAGTACTATGGTGGCTCGTAGCAACAGTATCAGCCAGCCAATGATGATGTGTTTGGGTTCCATTTGTAATGTGCAGGCTGTGACTCATTCTTTTCGTTGTGGAAGGTTATTCCAGGAGGCTAGGGGTAAGTACCCCTAAAACTGTGAACCTAGTCACACCTATCATGTTAATTATGCATAGATAAATTCGATATTAAGTATTTCTCTCAATATATGGTAAATTATGTATCGCGTGTTAACAACACCTTGATGGGTGAGTTGTGGCTTGTCTATGTCTCTCAATAGATCGTAGAAACATTAAGCCTTGCTACCGGGCCTGCATAGCTCAGTAGGTTAGAGCGTTCGCTTAGTAAGCGAAAGGTCGTAGGTTCGAATCCTGCTGTAGGCTTTTTTCTGGCACCTCAGCTTATGATAACAAAAAATTCTGAAATTTTTTCAGAATCCATTTAATGTATTTTTATGTATGAATTTTGCCGTGCTAGCTGTTGAAAGTTGTAGCAACGGTATGAATTGAGTTTTGCCTAGGGCGGGCGCGCGCCATGATTTAGCTAGCTAATCGGGTTTTACCTCCTAGCCGTGTACCCACATCACATATAGTCGGGTCACAAAACATTAATCAGTTTCTTTAGTTGTGGCATATAGTGAAAATATTTTGTTATCTTCGCTGTATCTTACTAACGTTGCTTACAAGCAAATAAAAGCGTCTTGGGCGGCTTTTTTTCGAGGTCCGCTCAATTTCTGTATTCGCACATCAGCGGTTACAGAACAAAGCAAAATTTTTATAATTGGAAGAACTAATTGGTGAAACGTTTTTTTACGTTTTGCCAAGGTCGCGTATAGATTCTGTCTACACATTACGGCATTTCGGTACTCCTACCGGGTGATTACCTTTTGTTGTGGATATTTATCTTATCTATGTGCGAAAAGTGAACTAGGATGTTACGAAAACATCGGTTAAAGGTTCGTATTGATTCTGGTAGTCCGATTATTTGAATCTTTGGTAGTCCCAGTAAAGGTTCAAACAGTGACATACTGGATATAAGGAGTAAATGGAACTTAAAGATTCCCTTGGATTTACGTGTTTTAGATTGCAATCTAAAATATGACGAGCGATATGCCATTATCTAAGAGCCTGCAAGCTCAATTGGACGAGGTCCACGCTTTGCATTACATATTTTACCCCGCAACCCTACAATGCAAGGGTGAGATTGATCAGGAGTTGTTTGCCGATGATATGATGCCAGTAGAAGAGTATCGAGAATTACTATCTCGAATGACTGAAAGGACTCGTATAGAACTGAATCCTGAGACATCATTGAACGACGCATCACCTGACTCTTTACTTAAAATCGGTTTTCGGGTTTCGCCGTACTACGGTGACTTTTCAAGAGATTTAGATATACCACAGAGCTTTATAGAGGTCACGTTTCCGGCTGATTACCCTGAATCTTTACCCCGGATGGTGGTCATAATGAACATGTCGCTTTCACCTTCCACTCAGAAAGACGTTTTGTCCCGTATGGAACGTGTAATGAATGAAACTGATGATGGAGTGTGCGTGTTCAATGCCACCATGTGTATGAATGAAATGTTAGGAGATATCCATGCGAAAGAGTACCGTCTGTGGGACACCACAGGCAAGGTCCTTGAGATAAACCACCACGAGCTTAACCGGGATAATCTCCGTGTACTAGAAAGTATCGGCACAAGTAATCAGGATAATCCGCATGTCGTTACCCACCCACAATCACCCAAGTCAACAGAAGCACCTTCATTGACGATTGTGGAGAACCCTGATGTAGACAACACTGTAGTAGCCGAAACAGCAACTGTCCCATCTACTGGACGAAGATCATTATACTCGTTCCAGGATGCGTCAACTGTTGATCGGGAAATGTACGCATCGAGCGTTGACGCCGGCTGGTCGATGCAAGCCTTGATTCAGGCGCCTCTGTGGTATGATCCAGGGCGCAGGCAGTTGGATGAATCTTCCAAAGACTCAACGAGTTCATATGTTATGCAGTTAGGAGGTGATGTGAGACGTGACGGCCATCTTTGGCATCCGTTTACGTTGAGTGAGGCATTGGCGGATATCAACAATCAGATGCAGTCACAGCGCACTTGGTCCCGTGAACTCGAGACGCAGACTGATATTACGGACATTAGCATCGGAAAAGTATCTTCGTCGACATCAGCCCAACCTCTCTCATCAACAGACACTAGTAGAACTCCGGATGTACGTGAAGGTGTCTCACCTCTAGATTCCGAAACTGTTTTGGCGGTTACCCGCTCAACGGCGTTGCTCAGCTCCCTCACTGCTGCCAACTATGTAGAACGCTACCGCCAGGACTTCACTGAAACAATGACTATTGTGCATACCGATTTCTCTACCTTCGTAAAGGCGCAACATATGCTTGACCAGAACCTCTACATGGTACGTACCTATGAATTGCCTAGTTTCTGTGTTTTGCAAACCCAGCGTGCTGATTTTGAACCCAAGGATGATATTGAGCACTTCGGGTTACGGCGTAACATGCTTATACAACAGCTTGTTGCCTCTGTAGCGCTTCTATCGCGTTTACAACACAACAGTTTAGCTCGATATTACCAGTGTTGGGTTGAAAAGATACATCTTTTTGATGTTATTTCCCAGTTAATGAGATCTTCGGAGTCATTGCTTGAGGGTAGGTCCAGCAACTTCAATGAGGTTAATGACAAGGAATCCTTGCGTAAATGGTCGCAATATCTGTTGTTGAACACCAGTGCTACTTTTGCGGATGACGGTGTCCCTGAATTTATTTTGGGTGAAGCAGTTACTCGCCGTCGTATGTATATTCAAATGGAGCACTGTGACGGCACTACTCTAGACGAAGTGATTCAGAACGACTCTTTGTACAAGGATCCTCAGCGTATATGGACTTTTACTAGGCACATCTTGGATGTATTAGCATACCTCCACACGAATCATTCCTATCATCAGGCCCTTTCTCTAAAGAACATCATTGTATACACGGATGATAACGGCACGGGTGTTAAGGTTTGTGAGTTCGGTATAGCTCGGTTGTTGCGTCAATTCTGTCACACTGGTTTCTTCTGTAACCATCCCCTCTGTAACTGTCATGAGTACAGTAAGCAGCTGCGTCGGGAGTTGTTTGCTTACCACCCTTCTTCCTTCAGGTTGGCCAAGGATATCGATTTCAATGACCAACAATCTCTCCAGGGTGCATCTGAATTTGAAGCACAGCAAGAGGATATGTTTGCCTTGGCGATATTGTTATTCCGTATGTGGCATCCTCCCACAGATGAGCGTGTGTTCAAGGAGTTATTCACAAAGGTGACGGCATCTCATAACTTCCCTGATTACTTTTTGCAATCTACTCCACCTATAGTAGTTACTACTATCTTGAGGTTGGTGACTATGGACCGCCGTCCAACTGCCGTTGAATTGTTGACTGAGACATTTGTCCCTCCTGTTATGAACAACGACCTGTACAAGCAGTATCTACGACGTTTGCAGGATCCAAGTTCCGAAGAGGCGGTGGACGCGTTGGAATTCCTTTTCCTACGTGCATGGCCAACAGATGTGACCCGCCTTCATTCGGATCTCCCTCTAAGTTTACTTGCTGCAAGATCATATTTGATGGGCAAGCTCGAGTGGTTTATGCGTCGTCGTTCTGTTGTGATTACATCTCCTCCCATATTGCAGCCGATGTTTGCTGACGATGCCGAAGCTGGTGTAACTGTGATTGACGAGGACAATACTTTGCTTAGTTTGACTGTCAGTCTTGTGCGATCAGTGGACAACGTTCTTCAACGCGTTCCTATTAATCCATACAGTGTCTACTATAAGCTTTTCAGTGTAGGTGACGTGTTTGATGGTTCCTCGTGTAAGCAGTCTGCGGTGTACAGTTGTCTGCAAGGCCCACTTGATGAGACTTCTCGAGCCTATAATTCTCTGAGTTACAAGCGTTCTCATGGACCTCGGAGAATTCTTACCTTTTATCAACGTTATGTGCCATTGGAGTGCGATGTTCTTTGTACTGTTGCACGTTCCCTAGACACGTTAGGTTTTAAGAAGCCAATTTCGATGGTTCTTCATGTCCCTACTTTTGTGGTTGACTTCCTTGCTTTGACCTTTGGCACTGATGTAGAGAGGGCGCATAAGGTGTACAAGAATATAGGTGCTGTTGATGTGAACCACTATACTTTGTCAAAGTTATTGCACGAATTTGATGTTGGTGGAGATTCTGGAAACCGTGATGTCGTGGAGCCGGTGTCAAATGCTCTTCGCCGCAGATCACCTTTGAAAGTGGCGTTGCATGATATCCACTCTATTGTCACTAGGGATTCCCGTTATACCGACGGTCAGTTTTCTCATCTCTTCAAGGACGTTGATTTGGCTTTTGACCGTTTATCAATGCCTATAATTCGTGATCGTTCCGATTCTAGTAGTTCTGGTGATTTTGCTAGGTTAGACCATGTTCAGCTTGAGCAGTATTTGCGTGGTATAGGTCATCTGTTGTCTATAGCTATACAGCTTGATAAGATGAGATATTTGGATAAGTGTTATATGGAATTTGTTTCTGGATCAAACATTGTCGAGTTATGTGATGCTTCTATGGACTTTCCTTTGTTTGCGTGGTATATAGGTTCTGGCGATTCAGAGACTCTTGTAGCTGTGGGTGGTACTTTACTGGGCAATGATGGTCGCCAGCACTGTTACGCTGAGTACATGATCGAAGTTTTGACTGAATTGTGCAAGACAACGATATTTGTGGATGAGAACGGTGAGCCTTGTGGGCCCGATTGTTTTGATGTTGTTGTAACTTGTCGTAGTAACCAGTTGTTACCGGCTGCTGCTACGATAACAAGTCGTTTAGTGGATGCTGGTATAAGTTGTGATTGTCGAGCTACTCCTTTGATTCATACTGACCACTTTAACGAGCGTATTCGCAAGACTGGTAGAGTGAAGTTGCGTGTTCATTTGCAATATGCCGTGAACACTCCGTTGCTCGACCCTAGCGTTGGCTCCGATGTATCTGAGCCTGCGTCTTTTGACGTGGTAAACTCTGATGAAGCTGCTACGGAATCTAATGTGGATATGCATGAGTTGGATATGTGGCGTCGCGTTTGCAACGTGACTCCTACATCTGCACCTGATTTGTATTTGGAGACTGATATAAATGCTTTGTGTGAGAAGGTGATAGCCAGAAGCCGGGCTCCTGTCGAAATAGACGATGAGCGCATCTTTTCTGGTATATCATTTCAGGTCGAGCCCATGCACGAGCGTTACGGTCAGTCCAGGAAGATTGAGGGTAGTAACGCTTTAGTTCGTTACGTGAAGTCGGTATTATCACGTGAGTGAAGTACTAATGAAGTTGTGTTATGTGGTTGAGATACGTGTTGCTCCACAGAACTGTTGGCGACAATAATTGTGGTCTTTCTAATCTAGATGCATATTACCATATATGTATATTTTGTGTTATTTTTTTTATATATGCGTGGGTGTGTAGACGCTAAGGGTCGTTTTGGCTGTGTCGTGGTATCGTTCCGCGGTTTGTTTCATCTTCTAGGCTTGTGTTGTCTTCTTTGTTGTTTTAGAGTGTCTTATTGTTACCGTAGTGTTGTAGGTGCATTTTCTGTGCCTAACACGGGTTTATCGCGCGTACGTGTGTTGTCCGCTGTTCAATCCGAGGTGGCTGTAGAGGTCCGTCCCGGTGTTGGTGGTACCGAGGCGTCATTATGGGCTCAAGAGCTTGCTAAGGTACGTCAATGTCAAGTTTATATTTGAGTATGACCAGACTTTCAAGCGTTTCTGCCAGTCACGTGACTGTATTGTTCGGGAGGAGAGTGTATGTTTCTATATATATTAAGTGTATTTAATTTTAGGCGGGTAATATAACGATATTGCGTATCCGTGGTGCCGACTGTAAGTTCCGGGAGAACGGGTATGTTAATTTTGATGTATTTTTAATGATATGTTTAGTTGTAGCGGTTTAGAGGAGCGTTTTTTGCGTGAAGCTGGTATCCATCAAGTGAAACGTGTTCCTGTTAGTGAGAAATCGGTATGTTGTCCATTTATTGTTGTTTAATATTTGTTTAGGGTCGTATGCACTCTTCTACGGCAACAATTGCTGTGCTTCCTGCTGATTTGACGGAGTGTCGTTTCGATGCTATATTATCTAAGGTTGTTATCGATCCTCGAGATATTGAATGGAAGACCTGTCGATCCAGCGGTGCTGGTGGTCAGAATGTGAATAAGGTGTGTTGTGTAGAATATATGTTTTTATTTAGTCTGTAGGTGGAGACTGCTGCTTCGTTATATCATAAACCTAGTGGTATCCGTATCGAATGTCAGGAAGAAAGGTATATATGCACTATTATGTTAATACACACATATTTGAATGTAGGACACAGAGTAAGAATAAGGAGATTGCTATTGAGAGGTTACGTATCCAGCTTGCGCGTGAATTGGAGTCTGATGTGTTGGCGGATGCGCGTAGTCGTCGTCGTTCTCAGGTATTTGTATTGTTTTAAATTATAATTTTGTTAAGATTAAAGGTTCTAAACGTTCTGAGAGGTTGAAAACGTATTTTTTTAACACCCACCAGATCATCAATGACCGTTGTGGTTGTAAGTACAACCTGAATGACTTTCTTCGTGGTCGTTTAGAAAAGGTTGACTGTGATCACTTTTAATATAAAAATAATATTTCATCGTTTTGCTATTAGTTTGTTTGTTTTTTTGCGATGTGTCTTTTGCTGTGACTTGTTTTTTTCTGTGTCTCATTATGCCGCTGTATATGCCAAATGAATCTGCGATAGTTCCTGGGTCGATTGCGCATATTGCGTTGGACGATCCTTTAGAGCCGTCTGATACTGCTGCTATATTGCAGTTTACAGAAGCTGAGCTTGACCCTGAGCTGCAGTTTGACGGTGCGGCTCAGAATGCGTTGGTGGTCCACAATATAACGGCATGTTCTGATTTTGGTGTTCCTCTTGATTTAGATGAGGTAGTGCGTTGTTTGGGTAATTCAGTGTATGAGCCGCAAGAGTTTTACTGTGCAAGGGTTGACGTTCGTGTTCGGGCATCTTTGTGTTCCGATATTCAGATACCTCATTCTAAAGGTTTTTATGGCATCGAAGATATTGAGGTGACAAGTGCGCCACGTAATCCTATATTAAAGTCGCTTGTACCCCGTCGTTTTCCTAATGTGAGTGAGCGTCATGTAGAGCGTTACGGTGCTCAAGGTATGTGTTTTTTTGTCTGATTATTTTGATTGTCTGCAGCTGAATTCAGTACTCTGAAAGCTTCTCTGTTTAGTAACGGGAAAGTATCTGTGACTGGTGGTAAGAGTATGTTATCTATAGCTGTGGGTTTGTGGAAATTGTGTCGTGCTATCCGTAAACGTATAAACAAGCGAGCTGTTGTGCGTGGTTTTACTGCTACTAATATATTGGCGGTCTACCATTATCCTTATCAATTGGTTTTGCAAACATTGGAGAAGCTATGTAAGGGTGCTGTGTATGACCCTTTTCGTTTTGCTGGTGTGAGGTTGAGGGTCCCTATAAAGTCGACGATGTATGCGTACGATGTCCGTGGTACTATATTATCGTCCCTTGGCAAGGGCCAGTATATGATGCGTCGAGCTTTGGCGCCGCCATCAGCGAATGCTGGTAATGGAGATGATAGTGACGAGTTTGAGAATATGTCAGAGGGTGCCAATCCCGTGTCACTATTCGGCCAGGGCCATGTGCAGCCTCCTGTAAGTGGTGTGAGTGCCGTTTCTTCAACTAGGACGACTAGTAATGCTGTTGTTTCTAAGGTTGTACCACGTCAATCTCGTCTTAAGGGTAACTTGCGTCGTTTAATAAACGACGCTCTTCCTTCTGGTAAACGTCGTGTAAGTTATATTATGTATCTTCTATATGTTTAAACAGGTTCACCAGGGTTCTTCTATATCTGCGGTTGCTCCTAAGAAGTTACGTCCTATAGACTGCGGTGCGGGTAACCGTGTTTGGTGTAACAATAAGAAGGAGCCTACAATAGAGCCTGAATGGTCTAAGGAGGAGGTGGTTACTGTGAATGTGTACACCACTGGTAACGTGATGTTTACCGGTGCGCGTTCTGTCGCGAGTGTCCAGTACGCTTTATCTTACATATATCCTTATCTGCAGGCATCTGTTTCTACCAATTTGAATCAATAATTATAAGTATTGATGGCGAGCGGTATTGGTGAGGTTAATACCGCATCGCTGGTTACATCCACGGAGGGGATTCCACAATGTGCGACAAACGCTGGCCCTTTGGACGCTCCTTCTGATTGGGAGGAGCGTTTGAATGAGGAGTTTGCAGCTTTGATCCATTATGTTGAGGAGAACAAGGCTAATGACACCGAATGGTTTAAAATAGACTGTAATGATCAGGGTACCAAGTGGGTATGCTGTATGATGTAACATTTCCGTTCAGGTGGTTTGGTGAATGTTGGCACGTTCATAACATGAAAACATATCGGTTTCGTTTGGAGATAAATGTATGTTTGTTTTGTTAGCCTGTCTAAACTTTCAGATCCCAGCGGCGTACCCTAACGCTCCACCAGACATTGTGTTACCAGACTTGGATGGCAAGACTGCTAAGATGTATAGAGGTGGTAGTATTTGTCTCGATGCCCATTTCGCTCCTCTGTGGCAGCGTAATGTCCCTAAATATGGGTTAGCTCATGGTCTTGCTTTAGGGGTAAGTTACTATTTTTTATATAATAGATTTTGTTTGTAGCTTGCGCCATGGCTGGCTAGTGAGGTTCCTCAGCTGGTATCAGTTGGTGTTTTGGAGCCTTGAAATAATAAAACACGGTTTTAAATGATACTATAAAGCATTATTAATTTGTCTTTCAAAAAGACTAATAGATAGTGCCATTAACTCGTGTGTTCTGAGTATTTCATTAAAACTGGCGTTATTAATTCCATGTTGTCGCGGATCTGTTGAGCTTCCTTCTACCGTTGATTTGGGATGTTCCAGTGCCATGTTCATCGCATCTCCGAGATTACGATGGATATTTTTCATGTTGGTCACTAAATCGTGTATCATCCCTTCTTTCGATTGTTTGGTTCCAAATCTTTTATATAGAAGTTCTGGTAACCGCGGTGTAGATTCCATAGCGTCGACATCTGTTACGTTTACCAGTGTAAGGTCGTCTAAGATCCAAACCCATCTCTGCGGCAGCACATGTGTACCGGTGTATGTTGAACTTTGTGGATTATCATGATGATCTTTTCCCATCCCTTTCCGTGGTTCCTCGCCGAACATATCAGTGTAGAGCCTTGTAATGCATTTGTATATGTTTGTGTAGAACTTGTTGAATGTCTCTTGGCTCGGTTTAGATTTTGCAATTTGGCAGCGTTCTATCGCGTCAAAATGTACTATCCAGAAGGGTAGCCACTGTATTCCTTGTACTGCGGTGTAAGGTATGAGTTCCACTAGTGTCATTGTGGTATATTCGCGTCTATTTAAACATGTGGCGATATACGGCAGAAATAGAGTGGTCAAATGTTCGTTGTTCATTTTTGCTTCGTTTAGTGCTGCTAGAGTTTGTTGTATAGTGTCCATCTTTGGGGTTTCCAAACATATCCCTAGAAGCTTTGTAATGCATTGTTCTACGGTATCCGGTATCTGTGACTCACTGTCTTCGATTGGTATCAGAATATATGAGTCAATTACAAGTTCCCTAAGTTTTTTGGCAAGAACGTTGACGGCATGTGCATCCAGTTGTATGGCGTCTGTGTCGATAGTACTGTTCCTGTGTAGCAGTATTACCATATTCATGATACTGTCCAATGAGTATATGTTGTTATCTGTCATCTTGCGTTTTAGCCTTATGCAGATATCATTGTATTGTTGTATTGTTATCTTATTTTTTTTTGAATTTTGGCAATGTCTTTGAATGCATGTTGTAGCCTGAATTAGGGATGCTATATGCATCCTTCCTCTACTTCCTCGTGTTTCAATATTTTCAAAATATGGTTGAACTCGATGATATACGATTTGTACCCTGGTTGGTAGTTGTGTTATTTCTTTAAGATGGTTTTCATCTTTTTTCTGTATCCTCTGCCATGTATCTGTTATTGTGTCTATCTCAGCCAATTCTTTGATCCGTTGTAACATAGTTTGTTTAACCATGTTATCGTCTAGGCTGTATACTGTATATCTCGAAGCCAAGACCTCGGAGATGAGCAGGGCGAGATTAAATTGTTCCAATGACATTTTCGGAATACAGTTGATCATCTTTCTATGGCATGCCATGATTAGTATTGTTAGTTTGTCTGAATTAGCATTGAACCATTTGGAGTAGGGTTGTACGTGGGTTGCCAATGTGCCTGAGAGTAGTAATACTTGATCGGCATTGAATGTGTTAATATGGCTTAATATAAACTCCTTTCTATTATATATCGCTTGTATATTTTGTTTTCCTTCCCATATTTGGTAACACAATGCACATAGTGCTGGTATGTTTCCTTCATCGGTTATAAGTCTTTCCTGGCATGTATTCCGTTTAATTTTTGTTGTTTGCCAGTACCCAGCAACATCCAAAGCCGTTCGCTTTGAATTTTCATGTATAACTGTGGATACTTTTCCATGCCTAAGTATTCCCACCCTTTGCAAGAGTGTTTGCAATATGCCTTCAAGTGTCTTTGTTTTCATCTTTTAATTTTATTAAAATTGATATTTTGAATTCTTTCGGGTTTTTTCTCTATTTAAAATGGTTTATAATGTCCAATTTATTTTTTTCCCCCCCGTTGTGACATCCAACCAGTTTTACAAGAGCCTGTTCAGTGGTCTGTTACCTCGCTACCGTACGGTTTCGTGTTGCAGTGAGTATTCTATTTACATCGTATGCGTATGCATATTTTCCACGTGGGAACGGCACCATGCGTTTTAGTGATATATATTGTACCCCCTTGTATTGTTGCGGGAACTGTACATGTCCCATTTTTTGTCTATCATTTTGCTGTCCAGCTACATTTTTTGGGAATGGTTGTAATGTGACATTGACATTAGGTGGATATGGTGCTGTTAATTTGAATAATCCATTTGAGCAGGTTGCTAATCTGAATTCCCTTGGTCTAAGTTTCCTATTAGGTAATTTTCTCCGGTTTGCCAATATATCTCCTGGTACAATTTGTCGATACAATGAAGAATCCTGATCGTTAATAGCGTAATGTGTGCTTTGTACGTGTTTTTTCTTGGCCCAGTGTCTCACCCATCGCCTTGTTCCTGAGAACAACGAAAATCCTCCTGTAAGAAATATGTGTATTTTAGTGTTCATGGTCCCATTTTTCTGTAATATTGTATTATGCTTGGTTATTAATATGTGTCATTATTGTTTCAATTTTGGTGCGTGATAAGAGTCTTGTGTTTAATACGACGACGCGCGATATTCTGTGCGGGTCCTGGGTGTAGTAACACATTGCCCCAAACTTTATTTGCAGAATAGAAATTGTTCTTATTGGTTAAATATTGTAGTGTGTGCACAATGAAGTTGCATAAACAGGATGACTCGCGCAAAAGCAATGGCGTCAGTTCTAAAACTACGTGCCGTGTAAGCTCTGGTGTATGTTCGCTATGGCGAAAGGTGAAATGGTTATTGAGTGATACCGATGAAGAGTTTGTAAGTCCTGTTGGTAAGCGTGATAAGAAGAGACCATCGGAGTTACGTTTTTCCAAAAGGTTTATTCGTTACAGTTGTATTTTCGGTATGTGTTTATTGCCCGCGATAATTTAGTGATGTAATACAGCAATACTGATATTTGGTCTATTTCTGGCTGGCACTATAAAGGTGTGTTTGTTGTTTTATCGATTTAAGATCCACAGCTGCTCGGTATCGGTCCCGTCCCCCGCCTTCCGGGGTTCAAGTATATTAATGTGAATAATGTTAAGCAACTAAAGAGTAGGTCTGTATATATATATATATACTTACAAAATGTCTAGGCGCCATGTCACAGAGTGGTCCTAGGATTGTATACTGTAGTAATATTAGACTGACTGCGGGTCAACAGCGCCTAGCTTCCGCTGCGGTGAAGAAACTGCCGTCCTGGATTAACCGTTTTGCCCTTGATTGTAGCGTACCATTACCGTCTGGAAGAACGGCATATCAACGATTTGAATTGAACCCGTCGACAACGTTAATGTTTGTCCAAGCGCATGGAAAAAAAGCGGTCACACTTACGGATCACCTACTGGACAACCCTGCCCAATTTATACAAAGGGTTATCAATATTGCGTCTCATTCTCTTAAAAGGATTAACGATGTCGGTGATTAATGTGTTCTAATAAATGCGCTACAGGTCGACACATTCAACAGACAGCTTAGTGGACGTTCGCTGTTAGTGGTCACGGATGGGCGAAAATTCAGTTTATATAACGGAGAGCATGTAATGTCGATTTCGAGAATTATCGATAGTAACCGTCTGTATGCTATGAAAACATGGTTAGTGAACGATGCGATCCATGAGGTTGGTTATATTTTGTGTCCCATTGCATCGTATCCAGCTTGTATTTGTTGATGATGATGTGTCTCGAGGCGAAGGGTTTACCATCTACTGTTTGATCCCGTATGATGGAAAGTATCTATTGGGGACTAGCACTGCTGCCCCTTTTGGCAAAGCTACTGAGGGGTTCATGCGTCTTTGCGCCAGTGTCACGGAGCGTATGTTGATACTATCGTGGGATATAATAATATGCAGCTTCTCGGGATTTTAGGCAGATAAATGCCCTGCCAATACTGTTTGCGAGGCGGCCGAAACGCACGGCGCGTCAAAAAGGTAATTATAACGACAACGACGAGACGTGGCGTCACGACGAAACTACTACACACGGTAAGCATTATAAATTCAGATGATAGAGAATTTAGACCGAGATGAGGAAGAAGTTCTGGAGCTATAAGCTCATTGTGCGCTCGTCACGAGTGCAGACGGCTCGAGATCCTCGTCCCATTTAACTACAGACACAAACTTGAATCTAACTTCTTTATCCTTGAACTCGCAGTATTCATTTTCAGCTAAACGTGCTAGCAGCGACTTGCCAGACCGACGTGGTTTCTTTCCTTGCTCAGTGGTGCTCCGACGTTGATCCGGGGTACCGCCACGGTTATCGTTAGGAGACTCAGCACGCGAATTACGCGAACGTTTATCATCACGACTCTTTCGTTTATGAGCTCCGGTGGCACCAGACGATCCATGTGTATCGTCATCCGGGCACTCGCTGAAGATGTGCGCCGCAAACAAATCACGCTCGTCCCTTAACATGGCGTTCATCAAACTAAATTCGCCATTGTACGACGTAGAAGAACTCTTATGACGGGCTCCACCCTCACCTACACCATTGACAGATGTGTCAGGTTGCTGTGTATCCTGACTACAAGATGCGGTAGATGCGGGGACTTGGCCATGGTGGGATCCACGTGAACTTGGCCCCATTAAAAAAGCACCCCATCCACGTAACAATACGGCCTCGATACTGCGGGGATCGAATTGTTCACTACAACTTGAATATGCTTCGCGATACAGCTCCGATTCTATACGCGTATCTTTCGCGCGACGGGTGTTACTCAAAAAGTGAGCCAACTTGTTGATAAAATCACGCTTCTCGTTGTATATTCGACCCATTGCTGTAGGAAGCGGTTGATGTTGAGCCCGTACTACGGCCGAAGCGACGTCATCGTTGACGCCATGTGCAGCTGTAAACTCTCGCGTCAGACGCCAGCGAGATGTAGAAAGACACTGTAGCAGGTTTATCACCTCTTCTGTACTCTCTAAATCACTGAAAATTGGTGTCTCACGCGTACGTACCACGGGTCCACTATTACCAATGCAATTGGGGTCCAATTCACCAGTAACAGTGCTAGACACACCAATCACTTTGTTTAATTGACCATCATGTCGAATACCTTGGATATTCATACCAGCGTCCGCAAGACGGTTCATACAAGTATCCATAAGGGAATCTGCGTCAGAGCAGAAATCGGCAGTAAGTCCTTTACCAGCTTTTTTGCCCTTGGTAACGGGTTTACCAGAGTCTGCAGTGTCACCAATCGAGGCACCAATCGATTCTGTATCAACGGTATCGGATGTCAAGAGTACAGGACGCTCAGCTGGTAAAGATTTCATTACACCGTCACGAGCGTATACCGCACCGCCACATTTTGTGCAACGAGGTTTCTCAGGGATACGTATCAGGAGGGTAGGGTGACTTGTTTCAAGATTATCAATGTCAACATCTTCTAGAATCATCCATAAACTTATTACACTGATACAACCAAGTAGACGACGTATAACTGAGATTGGGCATCTCATTACACCGTGACACGCCTCGGCGACAATATCGTTTACCGTTAATTCACGGGTTGCAGCTTTCTGACTACGGGTCAATGAAGCAGCTTCGGTACGACTGGCATGCGGATCGGTAGATTCACTTGTAACTTGATGTGACTCTCCAAAATTACGATCAGAAGCACGTACACTCCATATACCTGCACAAAGTGCGGCAAAATTTAATTCCGGGTGTAAAAAGGAAACCAAACGTGGTACCTCTTGTAAAAAATCCACGCTACGGTTATAAGGAAATATAACCAAACAACGTTCGGGTTCAAAGAACCAATTGCTACCTATTTTAACCATAGACAAGGCATCTGGATGGATGTTAGTAAATGGTAAGTATCTTGGTACAACCCATACACAATGTTGGAATTGACCTGTTAAATTGTTATTGGTACCTGAGTGTGTTTCCGATACACAATCGAAATGTGCTTGGAGATCATAGTTTAGTTTATATCCACGTAGAGTATCCACATCGAGAGTAACGTCACCACGGTCATATAGAGAAGTTAGGACCACCTTTTTGGGGACAAGACCACTTGTCATCACCGAACGACCTTCGAATACACGTAGCGTATGTCCATTACAATGGCATGTAGGTAGAGACAATATAGGTGTTGTAGCATCCTGTGTTGATGGCAGCGAGACATCGTTATAAGAAGCGTTTGTAGATTCGTCACATTTCATATCGGTACATGATGCCATATAGCGATCCAATATAATTTTTGGTGGACACTCGATATTTACGGTGTCTGCGGACCCGCCACTAGGTTGTGTAGAAACATCAGTATCCTCAAAATTTTGACTAGTTAATTTAGGCTCGTGACCAGCATCAGCAAAGAATACATGTTTCCCAGGTTCGGCGCAAGTTATACCCTTGATCTCTGTGAATATGCCATCGATAATGTCTGCATTGGACATTGCAGGGGCCACGGACATCCTATTATCAACAGGTTCTATATGAAGCGTGGCCGATCCACTGTGGTCCTTAGGACCACTGGATACTTTAGTTGTGGCCGTATCAACCACTGGTAATATTGAATCCTCGAATATGGTCTCCTCGTTAGGAGGTTTAACAGGTGCTATACTGGAGCCATCCCCGTCTCCAAATAAAATGTTTGTAACAACTCGATCTACATAGCCCCCAACAGTTTCATCGTAGACACTTAGACATGATCCAACGTAAACATCCCTCTCTATATCAAATTCCCGAGGTAAAACACGCCAATGTGCTTTTTCTAAACGTGTGAGTGGTACATTGGGTGGTACAAAATTGCGCATCATATACATACGATCTGAGGATGCAGTGCGACCGGTTTCTTTGGTACCATGTGCTTCGATAGAGACCATAAGCACACCAGATGACACGGATGTTACTGTCCCCAGTGCCCAATACATAACAGTTTGATGTTTCGTTGGTAACACCTGGAGCCTTAACCCTTCTGTAACTGTATGCGGGATGCCAGTGGAGGTGGGCCATGGTGTCCTGCATGATTTTTCCAGACGCTCAAATTGTACATGGATATGGCGTCGTTCACCTTTGTCAAATGGTATACTCAACGTTTCGTCACTTATTACATTCTTGCGGTCTACCATACCGCAGACGTACCGGGGGAAATGAGGTTCACCACCAGGATGGTATAGTGCAGAAAGGTTATCCAACATGGCTAACAGCTGTCTGTTAGACTTGATGCTTTTAAATCCACCTGCTGGGGTGCCAGGTTTATTAGAAACGTTTCCATCTGCACTATTGTCATGGGTTTCCTTATCGTTAGCATGCGAATAGCCGCGGTCCAGACGTGCCATGAGTTCCGATATCGCTGCAGTACTAGCTTTGTCATTAAGTTGACCATTAGCAGCCGATTCCGATACGTTGAGTACCTTTTTTAGAGCGCCTTCTTCGTTGCAGCGCATTACTTGTCGGATGACCTCCATCTCGGGGTGTCGGTAGAGCGCCGAGAGTTGTAGCATGTGGCGGCGCAGTGCCGATAGATTGATATATGCGAGTAGGCGTCCGTATGCGCTGAGTGTCCCGAAATCACTTTCTGGTTGTAGCAATTCTAGCATGAATTTTTCAATGGTACCAAGGCTCGCAACATCCGAAGTGGTGTATAGTGATTCGTGTACCCTACGTAATAACCGCACCTTGGCGTTAATATCACCCTTTCCATCCGGGTTATCGGATGCAAAATAGGGGGCACCATATTCATCCAACAATCCTGATGTGTTACAATCTTTGAAAAGTGTGGTCACATCATCATCATCTTGTTCTTGTTGCGATTCAGGTTGAGATGGTTCCTCTGGTAACCATTCTAATATTGGTGATAGTGGTTGTAGCCCGTATTCCCCATCATGTATCGAATAATCGATTGATATGGACGTGCTATCTCCTTCATTCGATTGTATTTTTACAGTTCCATTGAATAATGCGCGTAGTTGTGACAACGATTCACTATCTTCCACAAAATGTGCAGCATAATCTGGTGGTTGTCTATTAGCCGATCTTATTGGCCTAAGAGTGGACGATACACTTCCGTTAGTTCTTGATGTGTTTGAATTGTCTGATTGGTCTGTAAGGGCCATTTCACGGCAGTTGCATGAATGTGTAACGTTGTCTGTCGATAGATTTCTTGGCAATTTCAAGGAGTGGATAGTTTGTTTTCGTAAAAATGTTAACAACTCTGCATCTAATTTAGCCCTCTCCCTAACGCCATGCCGTATCATGTGTTGCGGTGGTCCTGAGAAAGTACTAGTTGAAGAAGGGCCATCCCGTCCATATGCAGTGTCAGCTTTTGTTGAGCTTGAACTACTTTGATTAGACTCTGATAGTAGTTTGAATGCCTCTTCTGGTGAAATTCCAAGACCGACCGATTTAATTTTTGGCACTGTGAAATTGTTCGACCTTGAGCTCGCAGAAGCTGTAGTTTGATGGATATCAGAAAATTGGTCCACAGATGATCCCCGTCTGAAGGTCCCTCTTGATGAACCTATCGAATGACGTTGTGCACTTTTGAGTTTCACTTCTCTAATTTTGGCAAGACGTGTCTCCTTGTCATAATTTCCCGGATCTGAGCTTGATGAGTCGTTGCCGATAGAAAAGGTTCTCCTTGCCGAAGAACCGTTTTCTGTCGGTTCATCATGTGGAGACGCCAGTATAGTGTTCCTGGGTGAATTGTTAATTACATGATCGTATATTTTTGTCTCCCTTGATGTGCCCGAAGTAGACACCTCAGCATGCGCGTTGTGGGGTAAAGAGACGGATTTAGTCTCGTCCTTATTTGCAGCGTTAATTTGGGCAGGGACAGGCGTAGGTGTCCCTGACCCTTCAGCTGTGGCATCAGTCCCACTAGAAGGGTCGGTTGGGCGCAGCTCAATGGTCGGACTTGTTTCCAGCATACTACAGCTTTTGTGAATCCGAGCAACTTAATAGTCGCAATCTATGTATCAATGTTGATAGCGACTGAGTGCAAGTGCAGCTTTGGCCAGAACCTTGCGTAAAGGACGAAATGACGTTCCTGTACTGCGCAGACGTCCACATCAGAGTGTAGTATAAATATGCTGCCGTCACTGGCTGCTACTGATAGTTGTGTAGCTTCTCCGGTACTCCTACGCACACCAAACGATTCCCTGGTAGATCTCGGATAATTGAATTTACACGCCACTTAGAATTCCGACAATTATAAATGTACACCCCAGCATAAGCGCCGCTGCTGACACTACGCGCGATGTTTGATGGTAATTAGCGGTATGGCTGGATGGTTTATGACAAGATCTAACTCCAATGAATAACTAGAGTTGGCGAAGGCTTATTGGCTCGCCATATCCAGCTCCGCGACGTCAACGCTATGAACATGTTTACAAAACCCGGAAATGTATATCCGATTGGTATTTATAACACATTCCATAACGGATAAGATACAAGTAACAAACACACCCATACATGAACAATTTTTTCAACACACTACCGACCTGCAACTTAAGCAACACTACAATTCACGGGCGGCACGCGGGGGACAGACGCATTTCACTCACCTTTTCCTAAGCTACAAAGAAATACAAAATCAATGCTAAGTGTGTGCTAACGCTAACGGTGTCTCTATAGTACAGGGTTAATGTCATTTATCGACATTCATGTCGATAAATCGAACATTAATTTGTTGGTGCACCGCTGTCCGCGTCATGGCACTTGGAGGATACAACACCGATAACTGGTGTCTATACACCTCACATACAAGGGATCTATCCATCGGTTCGAGAGATAGGATGCGGAATACGCTGAACACGCACCACTCGTCTGTTACATTTCACGGATAGTTAGGGGGCAGTGACGATGCCACAGAAGGTTACATTCCACCTTCGTAACAATCAAAAGGTATTACGCCCTCAAGCCTAACGTTATAGACCATACTATACCTTAAGCGGTGGGGGCGTATGTCATACCTCTTCACTGGGCCAACCACATCCCGGAATGGGATGTGAACCCGCAGGCGTTATCACGCAGCCCAAGCGGTTACACATGACATACGTACATAGACAGCACTTACTGTGGCCTATTATGGCAAGTTTAGCACTCACACGCAAAATTACAACACATATGGCATTTATTTCCAGACATGCGCAGGTCACAACCAGCCGGATACCGCATTATAAACACACCAACGGATAGCTTACATGATACAATAGCAAAACAAGAAAACTTGTTGGAATGCTAATATCATATTACGTTAAACGGATTCAAAGGACATTTATATATAGCCATATATAGTACGTGCACACTACCGCTAGACTCGGGATATTATAATTACAGTATTTTGCGAACAATATTCACGTACTTTACATATACTAATAACAAATATTAACCATACTATCCAGCTCTTATCGACATAACATGGGGGAACAGAGACAACTGCGCCTCCCGTAACGGAATCACGCATAACCTGAGCAACTCGAAAGCGGCGCTCAAATATTAGCGCACATAATAGAAAAGGGCTCAAAGAGGCCATATAAAGCAACAATACCTCTATCATTAGACGAGGAAACTGCGCAATCCCTCGAAAGGGTCGTAACAGCAGATCCAGCGGACATTTTTACCTGAATGTTAAATATCTCTCTCCATAAAGGGTGAAATGGAACTTATAGATGTAGAAATCGATGATCGAGGGGACGCCCTCGACCACTCAGATGAGCGGCGTAACCTCCAACAGGGTCCGACAGAGGATATAAATATAAGTGAAAATGTGGACCCAGGGGATTACACAGATGCTGTAAAACATGAACAGAACCTAGAATCATATAGTCATCAACATGTACAAGAAATGGACGATGCAACTGGTGATCACCAACAACATGAAGTTCATACTGGAAACCAAATGCAGTCTGAAGGTAATCCAGAGCAAAAAGGATCAGTGAAGCGTGAAAGAACGAATGAACATGAACATACCGAGCAGAAACACGGTAACAATAACCACGGATACAGAAAGGATGGATACAATAAACAAAAGGTACGAAGAACTGATCGTAATGATACCAGGGGTGCTCGTGGAAGGGACTTCCATAAACACCAACGGGGTCATTCAGGCCATTGGAATGCCGAGGCGGCACGTGCTAAACGATGGGATACACAAATTATTACTATACTAGATTCATTCGACACTGCTAAAGAGGATATTCTCACACTCACGGGCATAATAGCTGATGTCAATGACTCCAGTAAACCGGCAATCGCAACTTTCGAACGATCCGTTGAAGCATTCCCAATCAAGACCGCGGCATATGCTACTGTAATAGGCATACTAAGAGCTAAAAAGAAGTCTACCCTTGCAGAACAGATAATGCAAAGGGTCCTACATAACCTAGGGTCATATATAATCGCAGGAAACAGAATCGCAGCAATACACGCTATGAGGTTCCTCATTGGGGCCCATTGTTCAGGTCTGGTCTCTTGTCAAGTTTATCAAATTATTGAAATGCTTATCAATTTGGCAAAACGCCTGGAACAAACACAACATGATAACCAAAAAGAGTATGTGACTGCTACTATCGCTGCCGACAACCTGGTGTACATTGTAATGGCCAGTATCCCATGGTTCAGCCGGGAAGAGTTCAGTAAGAACATAGAATTAATTAAAACCATATGCAACGAGATCACGGCATACAACGACAGAAGAAATGCCAAATTAGCAACATTGGTAACAGACGTTGATATCAAGCCGGGAACTGGAGATGCAACGGAACAGCTCCGCAACCCATATGCGTATATCGCGGCGTACCAAGCATACTCAAACGATCTGGATTATAGCGATAGGTTGGCATCTGGTGTTGAATCTATGCAATCGTTGATGCAAAACGAATGGTCTAACACAACAACTTACAGGTTTTACCAGAGCAAGGGGATAGTCGAACACATAACACAGCCTGTATCGGAGCCAAGGGTAACAGAAGAAGTTGCAACTGTGACAAATGAAATTTTACAAGCAGTATTGAAAATTGATACTGATAAAATGGTATCATTTAAGCCCGTTCCGTTCATGCCATTGAAATTCAATGCGGATTGCCTCGCGGCTCAGCAGATTACCGTGCACGACAAATGGATTTTCGAGGAACATGTTTTGCACACAGTATTCGCATTCATGGACGATGCAATGCTATGTGCGAACCAACTGCTCAAAATACCGTTCAATAACGACTACGCGGAACATGCCATAGTACAGGTACTTGTAAATATGATGTTGGCACCAATTTACAAACGTCATTTCACCATGTTTGCCGTATTGGTGATGCAGCACATGTGCAACGTGCAACCTAAAATTGAGGAAGTATTTCTTAACATATACTCTCAACTTAAGGATAAAGCCACGGCACTGGACCCTGGAGTTCTAGCGGACCTTATATCTTCAGGTGCATACTGGTTCAGCGTGGAGTTCTGCAAGGTGCGCAAGGAACCTTCAAAATCAAAGTATCAACGTGGGCAAGCGGAAGCAGGGGCCAACGGCATGGAAGTTGAAGCACAGGTCACCGAGGATATGACCAAGGAAAAGATTAAACAGAAGAATGAGCGGCTTTTCAGTATAATGTTCAAACCGGACAACAACGAACACATCAATTTCAATCAAAGGCTACTCGACGCTATTGCAAGGTTGGTATACATGGACAGGCTACTCATATTCTCACCCGAATCCCTGAGAGAGAGTATCAAGGCAACTGTGCAACCGGCTCCCGCAACGCTACAGCAGCTACTGCGTGACAAAACTATAGAACATAGGATATTCATCAACCTGCTCCATTTCAACAAACTGGCAAAGGAAGAGAATGAACTTAGAAACCAACGTATCATTGGGTTTATCAATAACCTGGTTGGAAAGGAACCACTTAAGGAGATGCCGTCTAACCTATTTGCTGAGGACAAAACGCCCGAGGTAGTCATGACAGACGCTGCGACTGATCCCAGCGGCGTTAAAACGTGGAACCGCGATGACCTGGTGCTGATATTTTGGGAATCGGTCGTTATTCTAGGGAACAAATCGCTAACACACCTATTAAGGCTTATCGAGTTTCACGGAGAGGTACTCAAAAACTACATCAGCCATGAACAATCTGGAGCTTTTGAAGATACCATTTGTTACAAGGTGCTTCTGCTGACGCGAAACACGCTCAAAAATGATACCAAAAAGTTCGAATTGGTCACGGATGAACTCCTGAGACAAAAAATAGTAACGCCGGCAGATGCCTGTAGGTTCGTTTACAGGTTCTACCCGACGGCAGAGTTCTTCTCAAACCATGCGCCGTGCATACTGGAGTGTGCGTTCGACTTTGTTAGGGAGCGACTTGACCACTCACGTGCCCGTCTTGCCGAGGGTGGAAGTAACATGGACGTCCTTCACAAAGCTCACGATGAGCGTGAGGCCATGATGCGCGAGCTCCTCAAGACGATTACGGAGCTCACAAATAACCTCTTGATGCAAGGAGTTGATAGCGGTCATGAGGCCATTCTTGCGAGCATGTTGAAAAACATCATTTTAAATAACGCTCGCGAGATCAACATGATCATGCAGTTACGGTCAGAGGCACTGGAAAGAGGGTTCCATCGCCACGTTGTTTCCGCCATAGAAGTGACATTGTTGACACATTACGTGCAAGCACCTATTTAAAGGGGTATCGCAGACTCAGTATAATCTAAGTGTAGTTATGAAATTACATGGTTAGGGGTTAAAGTAGCCGTATGTCACAGGCACCGGCCGGGCGTCGATGATCTGCCGCAGGTTTAGTTTATACATCAACTCAAGGGTTGCAAATATTGGATCCAAACGTTCCAAGTCGTCGGAAGTCATGGCGCATGACTTATCCGCCGGAGCCAATAGACGGCGGAAATCACCCAGATATGTGTCATTGGTGCTCTCCAGCAGCTCCGGAGCCATCGGAGGGTCACCCAGATTTGACAATCCAGCGATACCGCCTATGAATGCGAAATCTGAAGGGATTGCCAGATGGCTGCATTTACGCAGTAGCGGTATGCCGTATAACGTATTCCGAGCTATACGGAACGGATCTGGGTGATAGAATGGTGTGTAAGGGTCTAAAGGCCGTTTCTTATGGCTCTTGCGTAAAGCCACAGAAGGTATATCATCCACAGGATTTGTACACTTGAATAAACGAATAGCTGGCATGTCTTTGTATAGTACACCGATATCCAAGAGCAGACGCATTACTATTTCGTTGAAATGCATCTCCTTCTCATGACCATGTGCCGCACTGCGCATACGCTGCAGACCACGACGTGAATTAGATAACATCACAGAGTTAGCCAAACGCACCAATATAAAGTTGATACGGGTAAGTCCATTGGTATTCCCAGCAGGTAAAGCGTTGTCCTCCACCTGACGGCCGGTGTTGCGCAACTTGTAGGCCAGACGAGTCTGGTCTGAACGTACACGTTTGTAGCTTGTGTTGTAAAGTTCGTTGTAAGCTCTGCAGAATACCTTGTTATACTTTAGTTGGCCCACATGTGGCATCCACCAGCGGAAATTGTAACGAGAATGTAACCTGTCCAAAATCTTGGCAGTCTCAGGACCGTTAAACGAACGCATTCTCATTGTCACACGCTCACGTTCCACCAGCGGTGGAGCGGGAGGATCTGGTAAGCCCTTAGATCGAGCATCTTCTATCATCTGCGCATGGCGGCGTTCCCACTCATCCAACTTGGCAAGCAGATCCTCTAGGCGCTCCCTTGGCTTCGGGCCATAAACCACAGCAGGGTCACGTAAAAACGAATAACGCCCCGTAAGCTGATGGATCGCGCGTTTCAGAGCTATCGACTCGCTTTGCCATGCACAATAGAAAACGACGGCATAGTAGCTATTGCTACTCAAAGGATTGTACAGGGACAGATCACGTAGACCTTTACGCTCCGGGTTATAAGCAGCAGTCCACTCGTCAAAATTACTAAGCAACGTGTTCAATTTGTTGCTGTAACATGATACTATCTCACCGACGTCCCGAAACGGGACCAGTGACCCTTTGTCCTGGTATCTCACATCCACGTACGGTAGCGAAGCTATATGGCGGCACTCTCCGGGAAACGACCCAATGTTAGAATAGCGATAACTTGAGAGGACATCGTCCATCACATACTCCGCTGGTATACGAGGTGGAGGAGGAGGTACTGGTGGATTCACAGCACGTACCTCCGCGTCGTCGAACGGGTGAGAAGACACAGGGCGTAACCTGCGCTCGGGCACAGTTACTAACGGTAAGAACGCCGATTGCGGCGGCGACACGCCGCCGCGGAGCGCCCAAGCGAATACGATCACATGTAATATAGCCAGCGCATACAGTAAGAAAGGCGTCATATGCGATTATTAAACGCACATTGGCCCTTAAAGGCACACAATGCGTGCGCTAAAATGCCCTGAGTGACCCTTCAACGGCTCAATACCGAGAATAATCACCTCGCCAGCACCACAGTAGAAGGTCATAGACAAGGCAACAGATTAACACAACGCACTGCATTAACAATGTTCACAATCTCGATAAATGTGTGTGTGAAATAGTTGTAATGGACTACGCAACCAAAATACACAGGTGATGCGTAATACCGTTAAACGGCGGATGGCAGCTCCGACACAGAGCCCATTATACCCTTATCAACCTCTGGTAGCGCATTAACGTCAATAGTCTTCTCCACCATCGTAGCTGGAGAATAACCGTCGAATCCCAATGAGTCAGATGTTGGAAGCTCATAACCTAATACACCATTGAACCAACAACAACGTGCAAGGCACTGTGGAAAAAAAACTAACCTTGTTCACGTAACAGTGACAAACCCTCCTCTGTACGGAAAAATGATACAGCCGAATCACGTTCCTTCTTCGTAACTTTGCAGAAGTTAAGGAAACGCAGCGACGGAAGGCGAAGGACCATAGAGAGCCGAAAATTAGGTACAGCCGTAACAGGGTTGTCCAAAAGTGAAAGACGCTCTAACTTAGACAAAGCAAAAAGAGGAGATAGATCACGCAGATGAGTGATACTGTTACCCGTAAGCACTAGCGAAGTTAAATTTGGCAGCGATGTACCCAAATCTCTAGATATCTTACTAATGCGATTGCCAGCTACCACCTGAAAACACTTTGTGACACAAACATATAAAGAATGGAACTACTGGCACCACTAGCAGCTACGCACAAAAAAATAACAAGGTCCAAACAACCTACCAGAGTACGAAGACGTGGAAGTAGCGGAAAGTTATCCAATTTACGGATCTCGTTATTGCTCAGGTCAAGGCAATCATAACCATCACGAGTAGCACCGAGGTTAGCTATAGCAGTAACACGCAAATCTGAATAAACACGTCACGCGACAATACACATAACAACGTACCACGCATTGACAGAGTACGCTCACCACCAGGACTCAGCGATTGCCGACCCTGAGAAATATGCTCCAATTTAAGCTCCATCGTAATGGAGCTATCGATGATAACTGATACCGGCAGCGAGGGGCGTGTTAAACAGCATAGCCTTGTGATTATCAATTAAAAATATGCCACCCAGGACAAGGGCTTGTGGCGCAACGGTAGCGCGTCCGACTCCAGATCGGAAGGTTGGGGGTTCAAATCCCTTCGGGCTCACTTTTTCATATACAAATAATGACATCCATAATTAGTCAATATGACGAGTTGATGAAGGGTACTTGCGCTGATATTCAGCTATCTTCTCCAAAATCTCTTCATTGGTGAGATCGGTCTCCACCAAGTCTGACACCGTGTTCTCCATGGCTTGAACGGCACGAGTAGCACGTTGCCCATCTTTCGCATTACGTAACTGCGCAGCAACAGCGATACTGAGGTGCTCTTTAACCCTACGCAATCTCGCCAATTCGTGCTCCTGAGAAATCACGTCGTCCACGTCACTCGTACGACCAGACAGCTCTTCAGTGGCCTCGACACAAAGCTCAGAGTAACGACATTTCAAATCATATAACACGCCAAGCTTAGTATTCTCAAATAATTTGTAACATGAAGCCAGAGATGATATAGGCACGTTCAATGTGGCGATACTCATCTGCCAAGGGTTTATTGGACCGGCGTCAAACAAATCACCAGAATATAAATTCTCTATATAAAACTCCGTGCTTACAACGTTGCCGCCACGCATATGCGCATTCAAACATTTGTAAGCGAAAGAATAACGAACCAAAAATTCCTCCCAGTCTAACGGAACGCTGAAACAACCGTGCTCAACAACGTAACGACTCACAGACTGCTGAATGCACAGACAAAAAGCACGACGTCCTGCAAGAGTTACATGGGTGTTGCGTTCACCGTGAAGCGGACGCTTACGAGGGGATGCGTGACCGGTAAATGGACGCTCAATTACAACATTGCATGTGTTGTAATCAAACGTTATCTGAGAATGACAATGCCATAGTAACAACTTCCTACAGAAACTCCAAAAGTTAGGTAACGTACCAAGACGACGACGTAAAGTAGGACGGAGGTCAGAAATAAAACCACACTCTACCAACATGTACCACAGTAGCAAACAAGAATATAACAAACTCGCAACAATTGGAAATAAACCAGTGTAGTTGAAGTCGTAACTAAAGCTTCCTAAAATCAAAAACCCGGTAAAACAGTTCAATAACATAGCAAATAACTCAAGACGGTTAAACAAATTGTCATCACGCACTTGGTAAGGTAAAACCGACAAATGAGCTATCAGCAACAGAGTTGTAACCAAAACACTACCAATCATACGAAGCTTCTCAGAAGAACCGGGAGACAACGTGTAAGGTTGGAAAATTACAACAACAGCAACCAAAAAACGACGAACGAAAAGAACCGCATCCCACGCTAATGTATGACGCTGACGACCGCTACTAAATAGACGCACAGAACCACGACGTCGAACAGAAAAAAATACAAAACCGATGCTAAACAGGATCAGAACCACTAAAACAGTACAGGACACTATTTGAGCAACCGAAAACAAACGGTCATCAGTATTGCAGATTACCGTAGGCATATAAAGAAGAACACTAATTGCAGGTTCCGACTTATATTGTACAGGCACGCACCAAAGCGTCTGAAGTAACTCCTGACAAATGAATTGGAAACTAATGTAGTACATAACCATCAGACACCTGCAGGGGCTTGTCCATTGCCAACGACGCAGGGAACGCATCTCCTCGAATATAGAACGACCATTGTCATGAGACGAATCAGTCAAAGCATCCATGTCGCTACCTGTAAGCGCATTAACATTCGACCCCTGGTTATCCAGGGTACCTGAAGGACTAGCAACAAAACTATAACGCCGCGGGATGTGCCGACGAAGACGACGTAACACATGCCATACTAGACGCAACAAAAGAAGAATTACATACAACAAAGATCCATCCAATATAGGTTGAAATAGAGACAAGTACCTCTGAATATACCATTTTTGAGCATTCGTCAAGTCGTAACGAGCATATTGTTCAATCAGACAACTCACACGAGCGTAGATGAACAGACGTTGCTGGTGACCAAATACCGCGTTATATTGAGATGCAAAACGTTTCAAACTTGACTCAGAATTTAATGGGAAAATACCATAAGGAACCATAGAAAAACAAAACTCCAGCCATATCTTCATTATCACAAATTGGTAAAACAACCGCTTGTGAAGAAGAAACAAAATAGATGACGCTATGACCCACAATAACGCTTTACGCGAAACATACGCTCTAACAGCACTCCATAAGCCGCCACATTCGATACACTTGCTACGGAAAAAAGGACGGTCGTAACCCTTCAAACACTTCATACAAAGGTAACCCGTAGAACCCTTCTCGCAAGGAGTACTATCGCAACTCGTACATAAGTATTCCATAGGACACGCGTGAAAGTCAAGCATGTCAGTTGAAACATGGCGAAATGATGATGGAGATTGACTAAGCGGCGACCAAAGAGCAACACCCTGATCTTTGAATGCCGCAAAATAACCGAAACGAGCCATAGGACGACGATGGTCCTTCAATTGGATCTTTGTATAGGTACGGTCGTTGCGCAACATGTCAATCACCGCAGTAGACAAACCACCGGGGCAAATCGCACCTTCAAGACAACGAGCACAACGAAGCTGCATAGAACCAAGGGTATCATCCAACGTCATGTAACGGCCGTAATTGCAAAAACATTGCTTTGGAGATACGGCGCCACCGTACGTTGTCGCATATTGCATACAACGACCACTGCAAGAGGAGTTCTCTTGACCCTCCTTGTACATACCCGCCTCGCACTTCACGCAATGAGTGCGAAAGTGTAACGCTAGCCAATCACGAGCAGTCACCGACGAATGCGATGAAGAACCCGATAAAAGAGCACTCAGACTTGGTTTAATAGTCTCCTGGGAGTCCGTAGCACTCTGATCTATACCCTCAGCAGTAGCCATGGGATTAAAAAGTGAAATCGTAGACGTATCTTTAGATTCCGAGTTAGACTCCGGGGCCTGTTTAGGCGCCGGAACTTTAGGGACAGAAACCGAGGCACTCATAGGAGCGTCAGTATTCAAACGGTAACCAGGGATACACAGGCATTGGGAAACAGATGTCGCGTTAGTCGCTTCCGTAGGAACGTTGGAACCGTCTGGACACCTGTAAGGAATGTTGTGGATCATACGTTCTGGAGATGACGACGCCCAACCACCGGGACAATAATGATACGGCTTGCACCGCTCACAAGCAATAATGTAATCATCATCGGTTATCACCGCAGCAGGACCATTTTGAGGTAACAAAAGTAAAGCCTTGGACAAAAAGATAAAGGAGTCAATATGAGAACGAAAGTCAACCATATCACGAGGCAAACCAATACGGTAAGGGTTAGCACTACCGGATCTAGAAGCATTCCGAAGCTCCTCGGTACGCCATAACTCTTGATAAAAGTTCATTAGCTCATCATCAGAACTTTTCAAAACCGTATGGTCCTTCATGCGCTTGTATATCGCCTCATACGTCAAAACTTCTGGACCCCTTATTAGACGTGCATAGTGACCAGGACTGCAGGCACAGTCAGTTATCAGCTTAGCTCCAGTCTTAAAAGTCCTGAACTTGTCAGGACAACGACGACAACCGATATTTCCAATCTCTTGCTTGTAAGACCCAAGGGAACACGGAACGCAGACGCTGTTCTGGGATGTAGATATCTCGTAACCAGCAGCACAGAGACAGTGATTCACATCAGAAGCACCTTCAACCATTGTAGTAGAATGCTCCGGACAGCGAGTATAACCAGTCCCTCCTTGGCAATAGTAACCCAGTGGACAAGGTTTAGTAACGAACTCGTACTCATACTGTGGATCGTAGACCTTGCAGATTGAGACAACGTCATCAGAAGATACATCGTGAAGGCTTCCCTTACTGATTTGCAGGAAACTAAGCGAAAAAAAGTAAAGAGTACACACACCGTAAGATTCCTTTAGGAAACGCAAACCATTAAACAAAACAAACTCGTTTGCATTGTGAGGGTTCGATTCATAATCCACAAAACGGATTGTATCTTCAAAGACGTAACCTTTGCAGTAGACATTATCCACACAACTAACTTCACATGCATCACTAGTATCACGCAGCACAGTCTCACGGTGGGCCGATTTGATGCTAGAACGCGGAGTGAAGAAACACGACATCCACGAATGCTCGCGATCAGCACCCAACCTATTCTCAAAATCATCACCAAGCTCCTCCAAAAGATCAGTCACAATCCCAGAATCACGATGGATCTTAGTAATCGATAGGTACGAACCAGGGTCAGCTGAACACTGCAAAAGTGATGTCGCACCGTGATTAATTGTTGAGGAATGATCGGGGCACGGCAAACACCCGTAGTCAATGAGGTTAAGGTGCTGAAAATAACCTGCTGGACAATGTTGACACCAGATGGTACCCGTTGTAGGATGACGCCCTTCAAACAGATTACCATAACCTCGCTCACAATAACAGTCCATAGAACTCGTACGGTTCGTAGTTTTGGTGATACCGTTCACACCACAATTAGACGGTTGATAATCACCACCAGGGCAAAATCGATCTGCAGGACAGCCCACACATGATCTTGTATTTATATCAAAATAAGAGCCTGCGGTACAATATTTGCAACGGTCCTGCGTCCGGGCGTGGTTCGTGTCCGCGAAAAGTGTAGCCGAATCCAACAAGTTGGTCAGAGATGAATGTAATTGAGGGGCTTTTCGAGCATAGTCTTCTAATTCATTAAACCACTCCTCTTTGCTAATAATGCGGATAGGACCAATGTTTGGCAGCAGAGGTAAAGTTATAGGCACACCGAGGTTATCATGGCAGGACCGGCAATCGGTATTACCTACCACATCTTTGTAACCAAATCCAGAACATGCAACGCAACCGAACCTAGCTGAATACCCATAACCCTGGTCACATACACAAGTTGAAGGATCGGCGTTGGCAACATCAGTAGTGGTGGAACCGAAACCACAACTCTGAGGTAAAGTATGATTACCTGGACAATAATAACCCACGGGACATGGAATACACGCGTTAGAAGGCGCTTTAAAGGTTTCCAAATTAGTAGGCTCATTTGTATCTTCGTCAAAAATAACGCCCACGGAATCCAACACGGCCTTAGGTAACGTAGACCACCGCTTCACTGCAATAGCAGGATCGAAATACTTCTCCACGCACAAACAATCATACACAGGCTTGGGACCGCTGTTGTTAAGCACTGACCTACGATTGGGAGCGCAAGTGCCACTGCAGGGAATGTTGCCGATCTCGCCCTTAAAAGTACCAGTCTCACACGGAACACATTTATCATCCTTGGGGTAAAACTGCTTGTCACATACACAGTCAGCGATGGTTCTGGCACCAACCGTAAGTGTCGTACTGTTATTCAGTGCATCGCTACACTTCAGACATTTGTCCACCTCCTCATCGTCACGGTAAAAACCAACAGGACAGAGATCACATTTCTGAGTATCTAGGTTAAACTCGTGAGATGGAGGACATAAACCCAAAATGTCTACAACGTGAGTCTCACTCTTCAAAAAATTACCACCAATTATGTGCAGCTTGTAACGACCAGACACACGCAAACGACCAGTAATAACACCCGTATTGTTATCCAACTTAAGACCCAGAGAATCAAGAGTACTAGGCCCTGCATCAGTCTCTACTATACCCTCTATAAAAAATTCAAAACGGTCGCCAACCAAAACAGGGATCAGCTCAATGTTACTCCCGATGGTGTACTTCGGTAGAAGGTTGTAGTAAAATGATAACTCAACATATGAGTTAATTGTACGAACATACACGCAATTTATCATGTTACCCTGAGAAATACCCCAAGATGATAACGCCAAGAGACCATTCTCGATAACATTCACAGAACTCAAAATCACATTTGTATATATCACCTTGTATAACTCAATCTTAGAAGGCACCACGATAAGCACTAAAATTCGACCTGTTATGCTCTCACCGACCAACAATATCTCAACATGATCAGAGTCAGAAGTCTCGACGTAACCGTCAATACAGCATGGGTTGGTCATTGGGGTTGCAGTGTCACTCTCCGCGCTAGGAAGACCGTGAAAAGTATAATCATGCGCCAACGCAAGCTTTTCGAAGTTAAATTTGTAACGAGTTACGGTATTAGTTAACGCATCCAAAGCAAACAAATCACCGATATCACCGCCACGATCCACAAAGTACAATCCGTTGTAGTAACATTTGTAAACCAATGAATGCGTCTGCCAAACAATACGCTTACCCTGATGAATCTCACGATAAATAGTCAGACTTCGCGTATATTCATCGGAAATTAATATATACTGACGCATTGTTGTGAAGTCCATGGGATTGTATAAACCGTGCTTAAACGCATATAAAAGTTTACCACCATTATCTTGCATAGGCAGAGCCATAGAAACAAAGTATATACTACCGAGGAAATATATCTTCTTAGAATCAACAGCTTTGCAACCCTTCCACAGAGGCTCAGGATCCAACATCCATTCTAAAGATGTTAAACGTTGAGGTTTTACATTAGGACGTGATAAAACATCAATTTCAGGAAGCTGAGCCAACCATAAATGGTTCTCGCAATCAGAGACGATAGCCATACGCTGCATCGCTAGGATACATAATACTGAAAAATTACGGTACCATTCAGACCTGCAAAAAAGACCAGAACCACGTACTCGAGTTTTAAATGGTATGTTATCCGATGAACGAAACGGAAGAATTAACAAATCTGGCAAACAAAAAACTTGATAATCAACCACATTTAGGATACCACCAAGGTCCCATTGGGAACTGCCACTTTGTTTCTTCGACAAATTGAAATCTGACGCCTTTCGACGAGCTGAAGTATCAGCTCTTTTAGCATGCCCAGATTTAGAAACGGTGACTAAAGACAAACCTTGTGGTTTTGACGTTCTATCAGGCTCTTTGGGTTTAGAAACCGCACCGGCACGTTCACTTTGTGACTTGGGTGGCACATCTTTATAATCGATAGAAAAGAGAGTAGTATCTAGTGCGGACGGCAGTGACGCTGGGTTTACACTCAAGCAAAACTTATACAAACCAGCCTCAGGGACCTTAATATCACAGAAAATAACAAAGTCTTCTGTAAAACGCTTGTAGGTAGTGGCATACGCAATTCTCGTGCTATCCTTTATATTGTCACAAGTACTGCTCGCTTTTATGACAACTAGACCATCAATGAAAGCAGGTTTCATTTTATGACCGTACACAATAAGGTTGTTAGCCGTACCGCTCGTAATATAGGGACGCTGCAATGGAAAATAACCGCTGTGTAAGCTGCCAAAAACACGATGGTGTCTGAATAAACCTTCGAAATCTTTATCACGAGTTACCTCGCAAATCTCTAAAAAAAAACCCTCGTGAGTAGAATGGTGACGTCGTAAGTAATCAGAAATGAAATCACTAAGGCGCTCTCGGTGGTCAATTACATTGTAATATGATACAGAATGCTGAACAGATACCTTGGTAACGCACTCAGGCAAACGATGGTCAATGTCAGAAGGAAACACCGTAAGACGCATCATATGAACATCGCCATCGCTCTTCGGAAGAGTTGTCGCAACAACCCCTAACCATTCAGTATAATCCATCATATTTTTGCAGCTGTGACGTGCCGTAGAAGGACAAAAACATATATGATACAAAATGTGGGAGTTGCTTGGAGCCTCAACCGTAGGCAGACCCTGGGACTCCCAAATAAAATCATCCTTTTTATATATCCCAAATGCACGTAGCGCCTCTGGCAAATTGGAAGATTTCGTAGGACGTAGACTTTGCTGGCGAGCAATGGATTGCCGAGGAGTTAAAGCAGGTGGAGCAGCACGGTATAAGCTGTGGGCACCCATATCACCGCACCGGCCAACGCCGAGAAACAGCCTTATACGGTCAAAATAACTCACGTAACCGCCAACTACAAACATATTTAGCGGACGCCGATCATATGGCAGGATCTGGAATGATGGTGGCGTCATATCATACGGAATGTAAACACTTGTGCGGAAATCGCCAAGAACAAGACCACCATCACCCATACAGCTGCAGATATACGTATTCTTCGAGTAGACCAACGTAGGAAAATGATTACCAAAAAACTCATAAGTTGGTTCATAAACTGATAGAGCAACACGGGTAAGATCTCTTCTCCAACTATTAGATTCACATGACTCAAGTGATGTAGGCTCTTCCAACAATGTTACAACCAAAATGTAGGCCAAACCAGGCGGTAAAATCTGACGTTGAAGATCACTGAAACCACGAGCACCATCCGAAAATGATTTGGTCAACAGAGGCGTAACAAACAGCATATAGCTACGGCCAGTGGCATGGTTCCTATGGGCGCCTGAGAGACAAAAATAATACCTCACAGTCTCCCCTCTTCTCCCTTTCTTGGCCATCTCACGACCTTTAGCACTGCGCAATATGGACACATACGGCCATATCATTATGATCGATCCCATGTGATCAGTGGTAATTGTAGGAGACTCTGGCATGGACAAATCGTAGTTATCGTTGCCAATCTCAATGTTGCAATTAGGATCAGTGGTCAAAAAGCCAGACATATCAGACGTATATGGACCTCGCAAAACTATGTTGAAGGGCCTGCCTAAAAATATACCTATAGCAGTGGCGCTGCTTACGGAAGCGCGAATATAGATATCAGTGATCTTCACGGGTTCCTGGATATTAACATCCAGATAACACAGGTTGTAGGTACCAGGAGTATCATGCTGCAGAGTACCTGAGTAAAAAAGATCGTGCTTCAAAGTGTAAGTCAGGCCCTCATGATCCATCACAACGCTCTCGGATTTACCAGAGTAGTTCAACACATCACTGACAACATTGGTAGCGTTGCATTCTTCCTTTTGGATCTTTAGTGTTGAATTGGCTGAGGGCAATTTGATATTTCTCTCATCATTGCTGTAGTAGGACCAAAATTCTAAACGGATTGTGCAAGAGGATTTCACATCGCAATACAGACCAGCGGTGTCTCGAAAACCGCTCAAAAATATCTCACCAACCTCCAGCCTGAAATCTTCACGCCTCTTACAAAGGATATCGCCATGCGGCTTGCACCAACACACTTTCAACAAACTCCCATAGATTGTCGGAGAAGCATAAAAACTTTTATCCGTGTATAATGCTTCTTCAGGAACCGGACCGGTGCCGTTGCAGGACTCGGAGACAAGAAGATATTGATAAATCTTATTATTGCCTTCAACATTAGTAATAATAATATTTTTTAAACATACCCTTCAAATTTAGTTCAACCGTGCCAAACAAATCCAAATAGTACCGGGGCTCTAGCAACTCTAACCCTGAAAACGGTACATATACAGAATCATCAACACTTACGTTCTACGTAAAATTCTTGCTGAAACAGGGGTAAAATATCGGGAGTAGAGCTCTCACTAGTCTCGCTTCTAAAACAAAGCTTGTATTTTCCAACATCGGCTGCAAGAATATCTAAAATAGCCAAAGAAAACAAACCTGATGTACCAATAGAACCTGTAAGATGAACCATGTTGTGAATATCGATTCGAGAAGCTGCAAAAAATAATGATCCGTTCTCGAACTTCAATGCATTTGTAAGCTCGCAAGTTGGAGAAAGATAGAATTTGGTAGCATCATCACTACTTACGGCATATGTAGCGCAAAAGGATCCAAGGTAACATTTTATAGGCACGCCGACTTTTGGCGTCACATAGACATTACCAACTTCCACTCCATAACCACTATCAGAACACTCAGAATCAAAACCCAAACTGACACCACACCAACATAGCTTCAAGTTATCACCAGCTACCACCTCATAGCCAATACCTGAATTAAACCACTTAAATGAGGCCTTCTTCTCAGCACTCTCAAGTCTCACACGAGAAACGAGACCATCCAAAGTCATATATGGAAATTCCACAGATTCCCAACCGCAACTACGAGCAAGGATAATCGGCTCCGTCCTTGACAACGCACTCATATTGAGTGTTGGCATCTGGATGCATACACTGTTGTCTTCCGTTACGAGACGATTGACGTATTCCGTAACACCCTTCGGAATTACATGACCTAACAAAGCACTTCTAGAAGTACTGTCAGGATATTCAGAAGAATCGGATGATGAACCCTGCCAACTAACGGAAAGACCGTATTTCTTACCGGACTCGAAGGTATGGCTAATTAAAAAATGATCCTGTACCCTTTCAATCGTTTCAATATTAGTCCAGATGTTTCCCACATCAACGGAATCACTGTCTGAGATCAACTGCGTAAACTCAATTATAGAGAAGGTAGCCATCTCAAACTTTGATCCAGAAAGAGGAAGAAATAATTGCTGAGCACCGAAGGGTAAAACATATAAATCGCCCTCATAGTAATTATGCAACCAGAGAGTGCCGATATCCACTATTCTAGGATGCTGATTGTCACTTGGGAACCATTCTAGCGTCAACTCAATGGACTTGCTGTAAGATACGGTATCCTTACTGATCTTGAACTCATAATTCTTGCCTTTATCATCCAGCATCGTGTATTTAGCGAAGCTCTTGCTGGGGGACACAGCAAATTTCTTCTGCGTGTTATTGAACTTACCGTCAATGTTGATAAAACATCTTGCACCGAAAGAACAATCAACAAACATACGCCCGTTGATGTAGGGACCTAAAGGAAGTTTTTTATGCTGCAATATACGAATTAAACATACCCTCTATTTCTGGATGGCTCAGATACTGTTTGTAGTCCGCAACGGTTGTACATTTACTAGATAAGGGACATACACAAAGCACAGTGCCCATAGTGTACTCTTTCACGGACTCTGGGCCATGGTAGGTCACGCCGTAGAGCACTGAGAGGGATGGAATCGACAGATAAAAACACTCACATGTTTTCGATTTTTGCGTTTTCTTTTGGGGGGTAACCAAAATACCGGAACCAGAACTGCAGTCCTTATGTTTGAAGGCGATGTGGTAATGAGTATCATTGAACGGTTTATCTTCCTTAAAAGGGACGGATACGTCGGCAGTCAGCTTCCATGATCGGCCGTAGGATATGTGCGCCTCGACGGTTCCTAGACGGATACCTGCAAAAGTTCTCACTATGAAAGTCATTGAAAATACCCTTGTAGTCAATTATAGCCACGGCCTTATTCACAACTCCATCATTATAACATAAATAACCTCTAAGGACGTAGCGCTTAGGGATGTAGATTGAATCGACTACAGGAACACTGCTCCCCGTACAGTGTGCTGGAGAACGGATATCGTCCGTCTCTATTACAAAGAAGTCCTTCTTCGTTTGGGAAGATGTTAGACGCGATAGGTCGCAATCACCGAAGCCCGGAACAGCACATGTCGTTCTTGGCAATTTTCCTGAGCAATCTTCGATGCAAATAATCAAAACACACCTGCCGATTCAGACGCACAAATAGAAAACAGGAACAATAACACGCTGCCAAACGCCAAATTCCACGATATAAAAGGCATTGTAAGGTACATTGTAATATTATTAAACAAAAGTGCCACTTAAAGAGGGAACTCGAGGCAAGCTCACAAGAGCCGAGTAGACTCGTTGACACATCTAGTGTTGTAACTTGTACACAGGCGCCGATACACCTTTACGACGACCTGAAGGGTCAGAACTACCGCCGGCACTATTTGATATCGCAGATAAAATATCTTCGTGACTCAAGTCAGCAGCAACGATGTTGTCTACACCCAAGTGTAGGTTCAATGCTACAGCAGCGGCTGCACGACCAGCCATAATAACTTGGTGTTCATGCTTAATGGTGTCCTTGAGTTTGTCAATACCAGACTCCAGCTCTTCAATTTCAGAGGTCAGCTGATAACGCTGTAATGCCTCAGCACCGGACTCCCCTTTATCCGCTATGTCCTGCTTCAAAGCAGAAATAGAATCATTCAGACTGACAGCTTCACGTAATAGGTGGAACTCCTTTTCATCCTTCAAAAATAGGGAATGGATCCTGAATGCTTCAAACATGCGGAACACGACACTGTTGTGTAACTGATTCAGTGACAAAAGACCCGAATAAAACTCAACCAATGTTACAGGACCAAGATCATACACAGTGTCGAATAAACATTCAACAAGGAGACTTTCTGCTACCTCGTCAACCTTGCGCTTCTTTTTAGAACCAGAGAATATAGCACATTTACCATCGCAGCGTTTCCCATTGTGGTGAACGGAACCGTGCGATGAAAGTCGTCGAAGGGGAAATCTTGTTAAGAAATTAGACAAAGACAACTCATCCATATTTTCCTGCGGGAAGAAGTGGTAATAAACAACTTTGTGGAATAATTCGTTCTCCGATAGGTTTTCGTCGTGAATATCAATGTGCAGACAATGACAGTACCAAAACACGTAACGCGTGATGAAGTAAAACCATGTGTCCGAAAGTGAAACATCTTGCTTCAGCATAGAACGGCGCTCTATGGTGTCACGAATGCAAGAAATCAAAAATTCGCGGTTCTGAAGAGTGTACGACCATGCGCTAGGACTTTCAGGGCCCCTAGATGCTAAACCTATGAAACCAGCGGATTTCAATAACGGACGAGATATCACATCGAAGAAGCTCCGAGAAAGTTCCTGTGATTTCGCTGATTCCATAACAAGGTTGTCGTTCTTGTAGTCGTAATATACGAGTGCCGTGCGATGCTCAAATCCAAACGGCAGAAGGTCGATAATCATGTTTACGAACTCATTCTTCCCGCTGTTCTTCATATTAACAAATTGAATGTCCCAGTACTCCAAAACGATCGTCCAGATAATCTTTATATGAACTAGCAGAGAAACAACAATGGGAAAACCTCCTAAATCAGAAAAGTCATACAAATAACTGCCCTGAATGAAAATAGACATACACAGGTTACTGAATAAAGTCAAAGTCTCCAAGCTGTTGAAACAGTCATTGTTCCGTTTATCGTAGGGAGAAAAGGTCAAGTGCAAAGTAACATAAACGAAGTGTAAAATGAAATAACAGGTAGCACGTACATACTCAGTGTCTCCCTTGTTCTTTATCGAATAGTGGCACACAACCAAACAAGCCAAAAGGAACTGCCGTGAGAAATGTACAGCATCCCACCATCGGCAGTTAGAGTCGCAACCAGACATGAACAGCGTGTTCCAAGAACGGTAACCATAGTTGGACGTCGATAGCATATAAAACATTGACAAAAGCATAAGAAGCCACAAGGAAAGGTTGATTATACCCACGGCACGGCCAATGCGGAACAAACGATCATTGGGATCACAAACTTGATCAGGGAGATGCATCAGCACGTTTACCAGGCCTCCATCCTTGTATCGCACAGATCCACACCACAGCATCGACAAACTGTTGATCACCGTAGCTGGTAAGTGGAACGCCAGCAACAAAAGAATCTGCTGTATCAAAAACACATCCCCGGTACGACGACGTTTCATGTAAACCACACCCACGGGGTCAGAACCTTCAACAACGTCCAACGACTCAAGACACATATCAGACACTGCAGCATCCTCATCATTACCCTTTTGAGAATCTGTTTTAACCATTTTGCTCAACGCCATTAGGCGCTGTCCCAATGCAGGGGTAGAAGTTGCACGCTTAAAGATATATTTCTCAGACCTATACAAAACACTGCATAGGTAATAAAGGATACAAAGCAAAATAACATCAGTGAATGGTTTCGCCAGACCCAAGAAACGTTGCATATACCATAGATAGATATAGTCCAAATCATCCGGAGAATTTAATTCTGGAAGAGGGAGACCTAACCATCTCAACAATGATGAAATCCAAATAATAGAGCCCTTCCAGCATCCTAGACGCTCCGTGTGCATGAACAGATTAATAGGCTTGTAGAAGTAGTTGTGGTAGAGTGTGTAGAAACGCACTAAACTGGAAGATGTGTTCAGTTGTTGCATACCAAGTGGCACAAGGGAAAGCGAAAACATGTACCAAATCTTGAAAAGTACTACAATAGAGAAATCACCGCCTCTTGAAGCCCGATCATTCAACTCAGATACAATAAACACCAACATCAACAAAATAAATCTAGGCGCAACGAGATTTAAAAACTCATAAAACGGTCTTCTACATTGAAAGCAGTCGGACTGGAAGTGCCGTACATCGTAGCCCGAAGTACATTTGCCACAAAGATATCCATTAGATCCTTCTAAACAGCCACCTTCACCAAAAGTGTTGCAACGGTTAGAATAAACGCAAGGATGTATGTCAGGGATATTATCATAAAGACCATACTGCGCTGGGGTAGGCGGTTCAACAATGTACGTTGAGTGGTCATTGGGCATCCACTTGATACTCTTGCCCGCAGTAGCAACATGTCTCTTGAAAATGGCCATGTATCCAATACGAGGGTATTGCGTTGTGTGACTAAAGATGGCCACTTGTGGGTTGTCGGACAGCCTTGCCGATAAATGACGATATGTGAAACCACCTGGACAGACAGTACCTTCAGAACATTTCTTGCAGACAAACTTCTCTTCACCATCGATAAGCTGAAGGGTCATGAAACGACCAGGAAGGCAGAAACAATCTTTGAACGAAGACGCACCAGGGAATGTAATGGCATAGTCGTTGCAACGACCAGGACATGTTGACGTTCCATAGGTCTCACTGAATGTACCAGGAGCACATTTCTGACATGATAAAAACACATCACCGCCAAAGGCCTTTCCAGCACCATAACCTGGTTTGCAGATACATTTCGCTACTGAATTCGCACTCTCGGAGAATCGAGGCACCGCAGATCCATCAGGACACGAAACAGGTGGATTATGGATGGAAAATGTGTTATTGGGTAACCATCTTCCAGGACATGCGTACCCATCAGGACACGTATGACATTTAATACTATTCAGCAGCTTAGAGCTGTTGGTATCGCCCAAAATGTTGAAGTTGTCCTTCAAAAACTTCGTCAACACAGACTTGCGTGAATACATGCGAGCTGTGCCACTTAAACGCAGGAATGACGTAATCAAAGCAGGAGATTGCGTCACTGGAGTCATCGCCGTGACTGGAGACGCAAAGTAGCCGACAGAACACACACATTGACTTGCAGAAACTGCTCCTGTATTGATTGTAGTCATCATTTCCGGGCAAGCTGAGCAAGGGGCATTGGATGTAGAATCTTTGTAAAAACCTTCCTTGCAAGGAACACACTTGCTCAGACCTGTGCTGCTCGATAGCTCAAAACCTGGCAAACACAAACAATGGCCACTGTGGCTGGCTCCGTCAGTGATTGTAGTGGAGTTCTCAGGGCACGGGAACTTCGTGAATTTCTCTCCACCAGGACAATAATGGTTCATTGGACAACGCTTGATCGTCAAAGAACTGTAATCCAGAAACAGTTTTGGACGTGAAACTTCACATAATACTTGGTGTCGATGTTTCTTGAGATCAAGGGGTTCCATCGATGCTCCTAACTTGGGCACACGGAACCGCTCATAAGCCATTATCAGCTTGCAAGGACGATACGAAATGTAACTGGAATCGCCTCCTAGCATAGCATCAGTGTGTACAACCTCGTCATACGCATCGCCATAGGATACAAAACGACAGTATATGTTATTCTTACATGAATCGACGCAAGACGAAAGAGAACGCGATAAAATGGTGATTGCAAACGAATCATCGAAAGTAACTTTGGAAGCACAGGTTACCGTAGACTTGTCCAGAGTGCTGCCCTCAAAAGATTCCATACGTGATACAGTGTTTTTAATCGCATCGCCACGCTCGCTGTAAAAACCAGGACCAGGTAAACATTCAGCCAACGAAGTCGCACCCGGCAGTGCCGTGTATGTGTTTGTAGGACATGGCATACATGGCATAGTTGTACCATTCATGTGCTGGAAGGTATTTATAGGACATTGTACACACGGGTTGTCCAATGAAAGAATGTACCGAGTTGTAGGGGCATAACCATGACCTTTCAGGCAGAAACAGTCGTTTTTACCGGCGGCTTTCGTACCTTTTGTCATAGTGTTGCTTGGACAGAATAACGGGATGGAACCCTTTCCGGGACAAAATGAATCCACTGGGCAAGGGACACAGGACAACCTGTTGGCATCGTAATAATAACCATCGGTACAATGCATACATTGACGAAGCGATGTAGCACCGTAAAATGGAGTGTATACCATACCCTTTGAATTGGCAACCGAGGGACACGATGTACAACTAGTGTTACCGATCTCCTCCTTATATGATGTGCGAGAACATGGCACGCAGCGCCCATCTGTCCATTCATAACCAGCGTTACACAAACAATCTGAGCTGGACTTAGCGCCAGCCTTTTCCGTAGTCATACCATAGCTGCAGCGGAACGGTTCCAGGGCACCGCCTAGACAGTAAAAACCAACTGTACAAGCAACACAAGCATCACCCTTGAGATAAGTTCCTACCTTGCAAGACATATCAACTTCGGCATTCTTCTTAACCTCATCAGCAATCGTTTCCGTCACACCAACCAACGGACAATTCTCAGAACCGTAACCCTCCGAGGTAGTACCCGGTGGACATGGGTGGCATTCGAAATCTTTAAGGTACGATCCGGGAGCACAAAGACAATCAGAAACAGAACGGGCTCCAGTGTCAATTGTCGAACTGTTCTTGAGATAGTCCTCACATTTCAAACAGGAGAACTTGTCGCCGGAGGCACTCCAAAAGGTTCCTTTAGCACACTTAACGCACTGCTTTGCTGCTTCATTGTACAAACTACCAATTTCACATATAAAGTCAAAGTCTATCTTGGCGTAGCTCGTGTAAAAATCACCCAGAACTCTTATGCTCACGGAAAGTTTACCCCTCTTTTTCGGTCTACCGTAGATACGACCTGTTAGGGGGTCCAATGTCATACCGTATTGTTCAAGTTCTGGCTTTTGTCTAGTGTAATAGCGACCGGAACGATTACCATTGGATTCCGGTTCAAAGGAGTAATCCTCTTTCACGTGCAAAAGACGTGGGATAGTAGGGTAGCGCAAGGAAACAGTAAGCAGACGATTGAGGGGGATCTCAATCACGGACTGCGATATCTCCCCTATACGCGATATACCAGCCGTTAAACCCAACAGGTAGTTCCTGTCTAATGCAAAATCAACCATCTTCGCAGTAGTCTTCATGTGACCATAGAAATTTAATTTATCAGCTAGCACTTCGAAAATGGACAAATTCGAACAACCATAACTGTGTACAAGAACAAAGAGCTGAGGGGTGTCCCCAAAGCTCCTAGGCGTGCCCTTTACAATCAAATTTCGGTTCTCGTATATGTCCATATGATCTGTCAAAGCCAAACTAGAAACAAGAGAAGTGTTCATAATGATTTTGCCGCCATAGTCTAGTAGATTGGCAATGGTGTAATGCAACGAAAGGGACTCGTCAATGTAAAATAGATGATATAGACCAATGGCCTCAGATGACAAAATATCCAACGCCAATATACGACCCTTAATACCAGGCAATGAAATTTTGGAATATGTCGACAGATCCAAGAGCTTGTTATCGTCTTCCATTATAGCTTCAGTAGCTTTGCTTATGTCGGGATAAGGTCCTGCAGAGAAAAATGATGGTATGTCATGAACTTCACCGTCATCGGTTTCTGAAGCTGTAGGCAAAGTCTTGCGCAAAAGGGCAAGAGTCCTCTCGGCATGTTCACGTGACAGCTTTTCGTCGGCACTATCGGTGAAGCCCAGTGGATCAATTCTGAAGTCGAAATAGAAATCCCCTTCCAATGATAAGAAGAAGGCCACGTTTGGGAATGAATAGACTCTACGTAACTCTTGAGCAGTGCGAATAACCCGGCTAAGCTTCAAGTCCTCATCATATTTCACCAGTTTACCTTCTTTAACCACAATCATACAACGCTCTTCATTGAATACAACGTCACGTATTGAACCTTTAGGATCCCCAAGCTTTATAGACGAAGGGTTCGCAGCTTTTAGATGACTAATAGTGTTGAAACAATGTAAGTCGTCTTTGCCGTATACACAGACGTAGGACCCAACGGTCACGCGAGACAGTAAGGAAACGTCAACAAATTGGGTGACGTTAAAAGAGTGTTCTTGCGAATATGTCATAGTACCAGTTGCCGTACAACCATCGTCATAACATACACATGCCTTGTACAACGCTTTAGGTGCGTTTACCTTGCCTCGGTACATTAACGTAGAATTATTAAACACCCATGACTTCTCATCCATTGTCAACCAGAAACCAGCAGGCAACGGTTTAGGAGTGGTCGAAGGAAATTTGCTTTCTAGCTTCAACTCGAAAGGCATTTCCTTCGTTGCCTGTGAAGCCGAGTTTGTGACAAAAAATGTGGGCTGCGACTTAGCTTCGTTGTATAAATTCGAACAGTTATACGACAAATCTTCAGACATGTAAATTCCCTTAAATCGTAATTGCTTAACGAAACCAGTGGTAGTGAACACTGGACCCATATTGTTTTCTTGAGGTCGGAAAAATGTGTGTTGATTTTTGGACAACCTAAATGGGTTGAGGATTGTCAAAAACTTGAACGTCGAACCTACTAACGGGGTTGGCTGTTTAACAATAGATTCTTCGCTATTTACACTGTATGTAAAGTCTTTGCTACCCTGAAAATTGTAACAAATACAATATACGTTACCCTCCTCAAGTCCACTGAACTTATACTGAAGTTCATAGTCGTTAATGACTCTCCCATTATACATATCGTTCAGCGTGGCCTTATCACGAGTACGCCTGTTGCCAATGACATACGCAACGGAATAGGAGGGGCTGCTGCATACTCGGTCGTAGTCAACGATTGTGTCTGAAGGGATCTTGACAGCGATCAAAAAAGGAACAAAGGGACAAAACGGGGCTGTTGTAAGAGTCAAGATTACATGGTTGTCCCTCCACTCAACTGCAAACTTGGAGAGGATGAATCGGTTAGGGACGACATATCCAATGTCCTTGTCAAAGTCCGAGTCAGACAAACAATGTGGGTGTTGCCAGCGATCACAAACCGAAATCTTATATAGTTTGTCAATCCCGAATAGCAATTTGGGGAAAAATTTCATTGAGGTTGACCAAAACCTGCGAGTACCCAACTGGTACGAAAAACTAGGGGTGTAGGTAAGATAGGAGGGTTGCAACGTCCGAAAGTCTTTATGAGCAACAAGTCTTTGAATCGAAGATGGGTCTAAAGACACATCTCCCAATTTATCCATGGTCTTTTTCGTCTCACTCGTCACCCTCTTGAAGATTTTAGTCAGTTGAGCTGAAGTAGAATGCCCATGTATGCTAAGCATAATATCATCGTCAGCTGGTGTTAGACGAATCTCACTCAAGGGGTGAATGAGACGGTCCAAAGTAATGCTGGCTCTACCCAAAGCATCAACATTTATTATACTAGGGTATCCAACCGCTGGAGAATCATTTTGGAGCACCGTCAGCGCAAATGGCATAGTGTATCGTTTTATATCCTCAATTTCCCGATCTAAGGTACCACAAATCAAAACACGCTCCCCTGCCAAACGTAGAGGCAGATGTATTGCAATGACACGTTCGCCTGACGGTGAAGGTACTTTCACGGGGAACCCGACCTCGTACCACTGCGCTGAGTCACTGCCACAAAGGCTCCCAGAACCGGTGATTGATGTAGCTGAAAGAACTGCCATATGAAGTTTAAGAAACATGGTGTCTATGCCCCAAATTCTAACAATAATCTCAGATGGCGTGACGGCAACCTTAACCGGCCCAATTAAATCTTGTTTGATCATGCTCACCACACCTATCAAATTTCCATAGTCATCGCTACTGTACGGCTTGATGTATATATAGAGTTTGAAAATGCCAATTTTCGCTGTTTTTGCGATATCTTGAACCTGGGATACGGCCATACGGTCTTTACCACAACTCACTGTGGGCAAAAGGAGATTATATTTATTAACATTATTTGCTTTAAAGAAGTTGCATCCCAGAATTATATTAGGGCCTCGAGCCAAATCTTTCAATAATACACGAAGCTCGCCATTGATATCCACCTCAAAGATGATTTTTGACGGGGCCTTCAACAGGTAGACATCACCGATAGTGACAAGTTGTTCACCACCAAACTTCCATTGTGAATACATGAGTGTTACGATCTCATCACCGTAATCGCCCACATGTTTTGGCATAGGAATGACTTGCAGATGCCTAGAGCGCGACTTCGCCTTTTCCGTAAACTCTATCCTCTTGCGATCACGCAAGTCCAGGTTTACGTTGTACCAAAGAGCATTCACGGAAGTGACAGGTCCATAGTAATACAAAAATGCAGTGCAATTGCTCTGTTGCGTAGCAACCATTTTACTATCAACCCAATAGAAGGGGTAAAGCAATGCTTTGGTTGTCTTTCCTCTAACCAAAAAAGGTTTCCTAGAAACCATGGCGCTACAGAGAGTTTTAGGAATAAGACAGTTCATACCCATGATACACCAAAACATATCTTCGGTGTAAGCGGATTTATTAGGTTTCGGGAGAGATGCAATATCAGCGATCGAGAGCGATGCTAACTTTAATGCCTTCTCCCCTGCAACTGTCGAACAAACAGCGAACACCAGCAACAATAGCTGGTTCACTGTGAAGCGTAACATCTTGGATAGAGTCTTAAACAGATTTTTTGAAGACAAAGGGTGTAATGACACACCTGTGGCGTCAGCCACGATGGTAAAGTAAAAACCAACTCACATACCCATAAAAACGTTCATCCTTAAAGTCGCAAAACATACACATCCCGTGTGTGAGACGCAGATAAAGCAAAATGGAATCCGACACTTGTGGTGGCTGACGAGTAGAAAACACACAAGCAATACGCGCTAACGCAGAGGTAACATATGTGCGCATAACAATAGTAGCAATATCTTAATCGTAACTTCATACATAAAAAGGGTGTGTGTTTAGTATCGCGTGCTGCGCGATGCTATCAGGTCATACCGGAGGCGATAACCAGTAAGGCACCTTTACCTAATTATCACTGAAAGAATGCAAAACACACGGGTACAAGAATTAAACATTATAGGTTAACCAAAATACGCAGGGTGTACCCATAGCTGTCACAGCCACACGAATAGATATGAAATTGGCAATAGTAGCTGTCCCAGGGTCTGTCATTGAGGGGTAAGGGCGCCAATCGCAATAATGAGGTTATAAGATTGAAATAGGTCTGACGGTGGTGAGGTAATAGCAGCTCTTGGAGGGAATCATGCTATTGCACAGCTCCATAGACCTGAAGCAGGTGAGTTATATGGCTCACAAAACAATATTCGTAGACATCGCTTTAAATATAAGCGTAAACGCAAACAGGGGGTTTATTATCGCCAAACAAAATATTGATGGGAAACCATGCGCACTATTAGTAAAGGTGAAACGCTGGAGCAATGGGCGGCGAACGGTGGAAATCATTGGAGCTGCCACAAAGATATTCACATTCAATCAACCAGCAGATTTCATACATATCGCAAATGCGCCTACAATGGCGGGTGCTGAAGTGGGACAAAATGAGACAAATCAACTTGATGATGGCCTGGTACCACCATTCTTCACAAAAATTAATTCAATCGCGAATTTATTCAAGGGAAACTTTTTAAATGCGCCACAAGAGAAATCGGGCAAGATTAATGGGTCACAAATGTTTAATGCAGTCGCACACTTCGATGATGACACAATTCCAACAGAACCACTGCAATCCAACGTGCTAGCACCGCCAGGTAAGCGCTACCATTTGATATAAACACAACCCTGTAGATGAGTTATTGGTGGCGGCGCTTGAGAACCTTTTCAATCAGAGGCCAGTATGGCTGAGAGCAGCCATGGATGAACATCTTCCGACAACGTTCTCCACTTGGAAGAAAAAAGTCGCGTTCGCACGCACGTGCTACATTTTCGCAGGTATGAAATATTCTTTGCCACATACTCAAACCATCAGATGGGCCGTGGAGAGGATGTATGTGTAAACTCGGTTATGACCCAAGGAAACACCGAAGTTCGCGAATATATCAGGTACACCGCTACATAGGGCCCATAACATCACATTTTAGATCATCGACTTTAGGGACACATATTACAGAACTATATCGTGGAAAACAGATAAACAGGCGAATAACAGGCCGGAACAGGTCACGGAATCATCAACCATGGCTGTCGATGAAACATACGCAAACGCAGTGGCAAACATACCACATTTCAATCCAGAGGTTCATTTCCTAGCACCTCCGTCAAGGCCATCGCAACTGTATCAATTGTGTGATATTTTCGACGCTGCCATACAGAAGTTGGTTAATGAGAATGATGCGGACAATCTTATGGACTACAATCCCACATGTTCAAAATCAACAGGTACGCAGTGACACAGTGATACATAAAAGGCCCTACAGGATGGTATTCACAGTCCACGTTGTCGAAAATTAGGGATATGATGAATGTGAAGAGTCTCAGAATGAGACAAACACGACGTGCAAGTTAATGCAGTTGTAAACAAATAAATGTTGTTCGTTTGATCACGAGGCTTTCTCCGCCAATAGTTTTTCGAATCAGTGGTCCAGTAATTCCATCTATAGGCCACATGTAGCCGTTTGGCTTGTACAGTGATGGCAGGTCCTTAGTAGATCGTACATCGCTACAAAACAACTAGATCACTAACGCACAATAGGCTAAAGTGTTGATTATCGTGCTGAACATGTAAAATATCGTTACGACCAATTAGCACTATAGCAAAAATCTTTAAAATCTGGCTCTTCATTTCAAACGACGTTTTCGTCCCTTGTTCTTCGCCTTACCTATCACCAGGCGGTTTGACTGCTTCTTGGTCCTTTGCATCATCCTGCGGCGCGAAACGAAGTCTCGGGCAAAACTTAGCAGGGTCAAATAATCGCTACTCTGATCCAAAACGCGGAAACGATTCTCGATGGTGGAAATGATTTGATGTGCGAAATCCGATACGGTCAACAGTCTTTCCGATGTCTCTTCGGATGCAGAACTGTGATCCTTAGTAGACGGCAAACGAAGATTGCAGGTTAGAGCTCGACTTGAAGCTATGATAACACGCAACATTGGGGCCCTCAAAAGTTTCTCGAAAGCAGTGACATTAGCCACGTAGTGATGCAGCAGTGATAATAAAAGCTCAATGCGGCGACCACAACGACGGGACTTGCCGAGACATAGACGCAAGTCATAACAGAGTTTCGACACGAAACGATGCACGTTTTTATCTGACTTGCACACGTGCCTGAACATGTTGTCAATAATACACATGAGACACTCTTTTAACGCAGCACCAACCTTCTCGTGGCGCTCGACCATACCAGTTTCCGTAGAAAGCAATTTCATACACGGCTTCGCCAATGAGTACATGTCTCCATCACGACTAGTATAAACCTTGTCGTAGTCTGCTGGGCAACGCAGCACCAGGGATAACACACGCAACGATGCAGCACGGACCCACGGGTGATTAGAACTGGTGCCATATTCCACGGCAAATCTCCACGTCTTGTTCATGACAGCCACCATGGAATCTTCTTGAGGCGACGCGACTCCATCCAATGACAGGATGTCGATACCTTTAGAAATAGTTAGAAAATGAAACAATAACCGCAACCAGTAATATGGAAACTGCCAAAGTATGTCACCGGCCTTTACGCATAAAGGTCGATCCAAACCGTCCGTAAAGGGAACAATAGTGTCAAAAATGCGACTTTTGCGCATCCAAGAAACAGAGATCTCAGTTGACAGACAATGGAACAAAAAGTAAGCAAATGCGGCCTCCTTGAAACCGGCAGATTTACCCAGGAAATGGCCAACGCAGTCCAACAAACCCTTCTTGAGGTCGACAGAACTTTCCGACCAAGTGAAAGAAATAGTAGTAGCCATAACACGCTTGCACTCCAAGTCAGACTCATGTAACAATTGCATAGCGATGCACACAACAACCATTTCACTATAACGCTTCCATCCTCCCTTCTTCGACAAACCCTTAAGCAGATGCTGCAGACATTGAAGAACCGTCAACCGTACCAATGGAATGGGCGATGTTACATGCTTCAACAGCAATCCAAATCTTTTGGACCGATTAGATTCTTCCATAGGGATGCGAATTAGAAATTGTGCAATCGCACGTGCAGATGCTCGCATAGCAGCCGGAGTTAATCCACCCTTTAGCATACGTACGAAAATCTCCTGAAAAGCCTCATATAAAGTCTTGTCAACAGTTGAATTCGACACTTCAAGCTGTAAAAGCACCGTGAACAGTTTCAAAAGTGCACTTTGCAAACCCACACGATCCAGATTCGCCTCAAGCAAAAGTAAGAGGCCGGAAACCAGCTCGTTGGGTTTACCTGATTTCTTCCATGCGGTAAAAAGTATATTGTTTGATCGAGATCGTAGAAACTGGCAACATAGACGTAGGTGGTCCTTTGCTAGGTCCTCAGAGCCGACCAATTGCATCGAACCAAGGCGTTCCACCAGATGCTCCGCAAGGACAGGACCGCACATATCCATGAAAGCCACATTGTCGTTGCATAAATGAAATAAACATGACGCAGAGGACCGCTGTAGTTTCAAATCATCGCAAAAGAAACATAAAACAATGCCAAAAGCTGTTGTAATGCTCGGAACGTGTGATACAGAAAAATTAATAAGACAACCTACAGAAGCATCAACATCATTGTTAACGGATGAAATAAAAACATTCCCAGGAACTGAAGCCATATGTGCATAAATCCTCAATGCCACATTAACCAACAGTGGAGATACAATGTGGTCATCGAAACCCATCTTTTTAGAGGTGGACAACGAGCGGCCAGTTGACGTTCCAGAGAATAACGTATAATGCTCCTCTTTCTTTTTGTTGGCATCGTTTGACACATATTTTGTAGAAGTTACGGCGGAACCGGGGTCCCCCCCAGTATCCGACGAAACAAGTTTCAGTGACACGGCGGCTGCTTTTGTGATAGCAACGTACTGGGAATATATATCGGGTGGCAGTTGTGCCTTTAATCGTTTGGACATACCGCGAACTAGCGGCAGATAACCATAAAACAAGGAACTTGCCAAGCAATACAAATCCACATTTCGGTTAGCAATGAAACCGATGATAGAACTCGAAATTAAATGATGAACCACCTGCAAAAGCTTATTGGAGTATTCGAAGCATGAATCTGGTGGCATCATGCAGGTACCTTTCAAAATAGACCAGAGGTAACGACATATACCACGACAAACTTCAAGATCGCCAAACTCGCCCAGCAATTCAATCAAACCAGCAGCTTTAGAGTTTCGTGCTTCATCTAGCTTGGAGGCAATGCCATCCTTCTCATGCTGCAAAAGTAGCTCTACTGTTATCATATGAAGCATAGTTTCCAAACCGTCGTCACAGGTAATCTTTAGAGAAGGACACAAGTTAGAAAATGATGACAAAATAGAGTGACAGGTAAAGATCAAAACCTGCAGTTGAAAACCGCGAGTCATAGTACTTGATAATTCCTTCAAAATAACTGCGAAATACGAAAATCCCAAACAGTGCAGGAACTTAACAAGCGACAGGCGTCCGTTGCGACGAACCTCCCGATTTCGTGAACAGAGTGATTTGCACAGTAGCCTAGAGTGCTTAATTGCCTCTTTCTCCCGAACATCAGCTCGCTGGTGATGCAATAGCGAACCTACCGCCTCATATGTGTCGATGCAAGGTATATCCACACCATCCTCAGAACGCATCAGCCTACCTCGTAACCTCTGCAAAAGCCAGCTATAGGACTCATTGTTACCATCATCTTTCGATATCAAACTAGAGCTTTCGCCATCCGAACTCACGGGGAAAGCACGCACAACGTTCGAAAAAATCTGAAGTGCTGACTGCACATGGTTATCGTAAACCTCGAGTAGCTGACGCAAAAACTTCAACAAGGTAAACGCTGATAATTTCTTACCACACTCAATCAAACAGTCGCGGGCACCCTCACGAAACAATTCATACCGAGGTAACTCGCTCTCCTGCAAAAAGTGAAGACATATGGGAACAAAGATCCTACAAATGGTATGAGATGAAAACACACCACCTGAAATCAATCGGCACAATTGTTTCAGACCCTCGTTGCGGACATGCTTTTGTACGTGATGTAAGTTAGACAGGCAATCTAGTACATCGCCGTTACACAAAAGATCACCATGAAGACATTCTCCAAAAAAAAAACTTAATCTCGAGTCAGCACTGAAACACTTGCTGAATTGCTCCAAAAGCTCAATAGACACGAAAAAAAGGGTTTCTCTTAGATTAGTAGCCGAAATACAACGCTGAATAAATGGAAATATGCCATTTAATAACAGCGCGGCGAAAGGGGTATCGCCAGTATCCATATAATCGCAAGCCGACGAAACGTTGGAGTGAACCAGAGGCTCGCACACCGATACATCAAGAAATGATCTGCTGATGACACTCATCACTGAATGAGTGAAAAGTAGCACGCAGCGGCGTACAGTAGGGTCCTTGTGACCACAAAGTAACACAAACAAGGCATGCGATAAAGCCGTGAAGAGTACCTTAGCTGATGGATCCTTTTCCGCAACATCCGTTACCAACAACGCCAAGCGATCGCAGTTCACGTCAAAATCTAACTTGGCATCCATGCTGCCGCTGGAAGAATCATTCATGGTAAGGAGATGATCACATAGTGAGACCAATCTTTTATCTTGAACGGGTAGGCAAGATAAAACGGAACATGAGAGGCGTCTGCATTCTAAATCGCCTATATAGAAGAGGCAATCGTTGACAAAGTTCCAAATTTTGTTGATGATAGACACGTTGCCTGCCCTCAGCAGAGAAACGCACAGCTTCAGACACTCCAGCAGACGACGCAAAGACCGCAAGTGATCGTGACTCCGCAGCTCTGTCCTTAGCTTGTGAAATGAGAAAATTTTCAAATCTGGCAAGTTGCTCAGCAAAATGCTCAAACATAGTGAACGGTGCACATCTTCTACCGGAAGAAGCAGGATTGCCTTTACAATATGTGTGGCAAAAGGTTTGTAATCCTTGATACATTCCAAAACAACAGACGACTGTGCAACCAAAAAAGATGTCATGACATCGCACGAAGCGGAACCGCTAACTAGTGAGGGTGCATAACGGCAATACAGATTCTCAATAATGCCTACCAGCTGAGGGGTGGGAGAACGTTGGAATATGCCAGGGAAGGCGCCACGTATCACAGACATGCACAGCTCCTCCACGATATCCGCACTACTCGTCAAACACGCAATAAGAGACAAGACATCCTTGTGCCCGTTCAAAAGTGTCTCTATAGTAGTGCCATGATCCGATATTACAGCCATGAATTGTGGTAGCATGTTTCCAAAAGTGTTTAGCAGATCAACCATTAATGTGATTGTTACGCTGATTAAGGAATCGATGTTGCAGTCGGACAGGTACGTTTCACCTGGCTTCAACTCGGCATCAATAGGCCTGATGCAAGTTGAGAGTATACCCATGCAACAAGCAAACAGAGGTAGAGCTTGCAAGTTTAGCCGTTTTTTGAGTCTATTCACCATCACTACAACCGTACGAATAGCCTTCTGTATAGGGAAATTGTTACAGACATCTGCATTAAAACCAAGCACGTCGACCATCCACGAGAAGGCAACATCACCCATGTTACACGGAGAAAAAAACAAATTGCCAAAACACCCCGGTAACAACTCCGCGCACAACAAACTCAGATACCGGGGATCTAAATTCGACAAGTATTCGAAGACGTCCTTGCCGTGGAGCTGCTTGGAATGTTGCAGTATGCGTGGGCAAAGCATTCGTATCTCAATACCAAGGGAAAGCTCCCGCATCTCCGCGTTTTTAAGACGTGTTGAAGAAGAATCGTCGTCTAGCAATATAGCGTGATGATCACCGGTGGCCAGATCCTGCAGACGCTTCATATTAAGACCAGGATAACGTTTTGAAACTATAAGCAATGAGCATTCTCGAATCCCACCATCAGACGAACGAATTCCATCGCGTAAACACGTATCAACAATGTTGGACGGGGTCTCTTTTAGTTTGTACTTCTGCAACAATGTCGCCAAGGTTCCAAGAGCATGCTTACGGAACCTTAACCGTGACTCATCCGTCATTTGTGCGTGTGCGTAGGAACAGATGCGCATCATATAAGGCTCTTTGTTGCTCACATGCGATATTACGATAGTCATCGCACGCAATACCTCACGCTGCAGCGTGACAGCGTCGGTGGGTTCGCTGTTGTCATCGGCGATGAAAGGAACTACGAAGGAGGGTAGTGTTTCCACCTCCATTGGCTGACCTGCTTCTGACGATTCTAGTAATTTAAAACACGAAACCAACATAGAATCTAACAGAGAATTCAGGGTGGAGGATTTCTTACCCGTGAAAAACGTTGCAAGTCTTGCCGTTAGCTTCTCGAGGCTTTCGTATGCAGCCTGCCATATCGGAGCATATTTGACGAGATATTGGCTCAGCAATATCTTAAACAACACGCATACAAGCAACTCGTTGTCAGGTGTGCTATCCCCGGACAAATGCAAACTTTCAACACTCTTCCCCAGCAACAAGGATTTGCGACGCTCGTTATCCAACGATGGTTCTAAACTCTCCATATCAAAAAGCGTCACCAAGCTGGTGTTGTTAACGCCAATGCCGGAGAAATGTGCCGCAAAAAATTTCAAGCAAGCGGAGCGAAACTTCGTTTTTGCGCTAGGAAGCATAGCAACGATGCTTTGCGCCAGGGAGTGCATTGAGGGAGAGAAACGATTTGACATTTCCTCAACTACGCGATAGTTCGACAACAGTCGAGAGTTCATCTTTGTGGCTTCAACTAAAGACTCCATTCGAACAGCACTATCCGATGGGCCTATCACTTTGCAACAAAGTAGATAGACTTCAACAATTAAACAACTATTGTCAATGGTTCTTAAATACTGCAAGCACTCCCCCAATAAACGATCGAACACATCAGTGTCTATTTCTATCGGAACCGAGTTCATCTTGCACCTCAATGAAGAAATGCTAGAGAGACCAGCAAGACAGCCATAGACAATCGACATTGCATTATTCAAACGACAACGCCACACATAGGTCGGTTGAGTGCCTAATTCCCGCCGCAGGGAAATTATGTCCTCCAAACATACCGAAATGCAATCTAAAATCCTCTTGCTAACCCCTGGGTTAACGATAACAGGGTGGAAATTTTCCCGATTATCAAACACACGCGATATCACCAACAAAACTTGAGATACGTGCATCAGGTTGGCACTTTTCAAACGCCACTCGAACAACACCATCAAGGGGTTAATGCTAGTCATATCATCCATGAAATACAGGAGGTCCTCAAGGATATCTGTAAATCTATCACGCAAAACACCGGTTGCATCGCTATCAGATCGCACAACTCGAACCAAAAGTTGACAAATCTCGTTAAACAGTGCGCTCCCTGCGGATTTGACGGCTTTCGCAAAATGTAGAAGAGGCACTATATAGTGCGACAAAAACACATCAAAAGACGGACCCGAACGGATCAATGCCATGTCCTTTATCTTTATGCGATAGTTCTCCTGGAAGAGAATCAGAATCTCAAGACTCAATTCGGCAGCTATGGCATAAGCCGATACGGCGTCGTTAGACAATGTTTCATTGTATTTAGAAACGAAATCGTCATACAAAGGAGCTAACCAATCCATTTCTATCTTTCCACCTTTAACGTGGCGGGACATCATTAACACGCAACGGCGCATAGCGGTGGATATACGGCACCTAGCATCCGACACGTCCAAATCACATGGCGCCTGGAGCTCAGAAGACGAGAGCTTTGTTAACAAAAACTTAAATAGAGAATGCGTTTTAGTTGTAACAGTGCCATTCACATTCTTTATCAAACCGAACAAAAGGTGCTCCGATCCATCCCTGAGTTGTGTTCTGTTGCCATTAGACATTACACTTACATGCACAGCAAACGGCAGAGCACTGTACGTTGCTTCATTTCTGGAACTCTTCGTAGTAACAGGCTCAAGGTCTCCATGGATAAACGGCGCAACAAAGGGTGTTTGTGAGTCAACCATGGAGTGAAGTGTAACACCAACTCGCCCAAATCGTCGCTAACGCAACGACTGTTGATCCTGCAAAAAATGTCCATGCAAACGTCACAATGTACCTGAAATGAGTAGAAATGAACGAAAATATGGGTTCAGCATTGTTCTCCGGGTTAGTTTCTAAAATCTCCAGGAGGCCAACGAACGGAAGATTGACACCATCCTGGTCGCCATAGTCCTGAAACGATAATTGCCATCTAAAATGTTGTAACAACCTTACCTTAAAGAAAAGAGCGAGTAGTCGACACAACGGCGTGAGCTCTCGCTTACTAGAGACATGAGCGCACCGCAACAAACTCTCGATCACGAATCCGCTCCACTCTGGGAACGAAAACGTCGAAGTGAATTGTCCTTCCTTTAAAACAATGCATTTGTTAAGAATGTCCTTTAGATCCTGTTTGTGCCTAATCAAATCCTTGCTGCGCAGGGTATTGCGAACATTGTTAAGGAAAAAACGGCGCTCTTCTAAGGGAACTGCAAAGTATATTATTTTAGCGTGTGAAGCTTACAAAAGCAAACCACGAGAACATGAAAACAAACAAAAGATCTTTTTAAAAAAAAAGTAAGTCGAGAAATAGACTCACCAGCAGTTTGTACGACAGTGCTAATGTCGCTGAAAGTGGAAGCTCCTAGAGACCGCGACCTTTTAGAGGCGGATTCAAATTTAAACTTCCCACGATTAGTCATTGCGGGAAAGTCTATTGCAAATGGAGCTGTCCAGATACCAAAGACAGCGTAACAATCTCAACCAAAGCACACTTGTTGCACCCATCACCAACTACACAAAGGCGGCTCGATTAAGCAGCATATCACTTCGAATCTGATTTCTCTCGTAGCGAACGAAGGTGGCGTTCATGTCTAATGAACAAAAGCTGCGCCAAAGTACGGCGTGTATTGCCCAAAGAACTTGGATGAAGTGCCGGGTTCTTTGTTTTGCGGTACAACTCGATCTTGGCCAGCACTTTACGAACTTTTCTAATCTCCTGCGCATATATGTTATGTTTGAAGAGTATGCCGTGCAATTGTACTCTAGTTTGTGCATATTAGCTGAGTACGTATATCGAAGCAAGTGAAAGTAGAGTTGAGCAGACACAGAACACAATAACATGGTTATATTGCTACGTCACACATATTAAACAGAGACCAACCTCTTCGATCTCAGGGGTGCTTAATTCACGCCAAAAACGTGCCTTGCGGTACTGGATGCAGTTGACGTCGTAGTCCTCACAATCACCAGTGTGAATCACAGTCTCAATGGACTTTCGACTGCCTAAAGACGACCAAAACGGGGTTTTGAGGTGATGTGCGACTGATGATTCGCAACCTATCGTGATCTCGGAGCGAAGAATACCGAGATAAGGACCACGACGCGCTGTGTTTTGGTTAAAAAAACAGCTTGTATAGACACTGAAGGCTAAACAAACTGATAGCGTTAAAGCCAGAAATAGGAATCCTAATGAACATAAAATAGCGTTATTAGGCGCCGTTGTACGCATCCTAAGAAGCGCAAGACCAAATTTACTGACGGTATATAATACACCATCAAATTTATGTATGAAGAAATATAAATTAATCGTACATTTAACTGAGGTAGACAGGGTCTACTGCGCTCCATTGGGCTTGCACAGCGCGCAGGTTCCACAGAATACGATCAGTACAAATGTTACGTCACGGTTTAGGTTTGTTGCGTAGGCGTGAAATAGGATTAAGTTTATATAAAATACGTTACGCGAATGGAAGGATACCAATATCACCTCCTATAGCCCCGAACACCGAGGTATGTGCATAGGCGTAACACACCAAAAGAAGAATACATGTATCCTCGTAAATTACATGAACACGCAGAAGTGCGATGGAACATCAACTGAAAATGCTGATTTGAATAATGTGCTTAGGGCTCCTAAGAATCTTTTGAGGAGCAAAGCAACGCAAGTGGACACCGATGGATGTGCCTGCGCGAAAGAAGGGACTGTTCAAAGGGCTAGAGATACCGGCCATGTACTGGCACAGTGTAATGGTGAAAGTATTAATCCGGACTTGGAAATTTTGGAGACTCATCTAGGCAAAATAGGCTCAAGCCCAGATACAGAAAAACTTGAGTCACTTTATCATTGCTTAAAATGGTTAATCGACAATGGAACGGCTATAGTTGCAACTCACGTCGAGAGGATAATGGAGGTGGCAGCAATATCGTGCGATAGGGATCGACTCCTGGCACTGAAAATACTATTCCTCAACTTGCTGGCGTACAGGGGAAATCTTATGCCAAACCTCGTAGCGAGAATTACAAGCATCATAGATGTCTTAAGACGGTCTCGAAATTCGGAGCATCTGTTAGAAGGTATAAACATCTATTATGCGATCCAAGTGCATCATCCATATATCTTCGATCAGCTAACACCACAACACCGTGCGTATATGGAATACCTAAAAGAAATGGCGCATTATATCAGGATGCATGTTCCACATGAAAACGAAACTGTGCAAATAAGAGATATTAGGCTTGCCTTGGACGCACTTGAAGTCAGGCATTATGCAGCAATAACCGGTATGTTGAACGTTCATAACGAACACACCTGGGAATGAAGGGCATATGTACATTCCAATAGTGATACAAGACACAAATCTAGCTATAGAAGTTGTAACGGAACGGTGAGTTTATGCAAAGCAAAACAACAACAGCAACACAGAGATGCTAAGTGTGCAAACATGGACGTTGGACACCCAATTAAATTGTATGTCAATTGAAATAGGAATGTAAGAATTTTATAGGAGGAAGTTGTTATTGGACAGAATGGGTTGGAAAGTAACCTGGATTCAGAAGGAGCAGTGGGACGCTATACAGACAGGTAGGGGAAAGCTTCATATTGCACGCACACACACACTCACAGATAAAAAGAGGGCGGATTTCCTAGCAAAACTAATTGCATATATGTACATGGATGCGCAATTTATATACAAACCAGCGTGGGTAAAACCCTACTCACCGCACGTGTGAAAACGACATCAAATGCAACCTTACCACAGAACATTTTTAGATGACATGGCATCGCATTTTATAACACGGAAATATAAAACAACTACGAAATGAATGCCTGGGTGTGTGTACCCTTATTGGCAACACACATCTCGCTGATAACAGTGCTGAGATGTGTTAGTTGAACAATGAAAGCGCCATCATATTGTGCAGGTGTACGCCGAATGGGATACATATTTCGTGGAAAATGCAGATACAATACCCTCAATCGAAATCAAGCTATCGCCGCCGCAAAACGTAGGACTAAGAACCGAGAAATAGAAAACATATATATGCAGCCTCTTCCTCAAGTCGCTCATACCGTAGACAAACTTGAAGAGAGACGTATACAAATGGAGGAGGTCTGTTTAATACACAACATCTGCCTTAATACTGCAACAGGGTATGATGGCCAAACTCGAAGATAAATTTAACGAGACATTGGTGGAGTCGCGTGAGGCCATTAAGCAAATAATTAATCAGGTAAAGTCATAACCCCGCTAGTGGATGCATAACGACGCAGCAACTTGCTATATTTAATGACAAGGAACTAAAGGCAAACATCCTTTCGACTATAGACAACAACAGAAAATCATACAACAAAACGCATCGGTAAGTTGCCCACGAGGGAAACTCATCTTACATTTACCACAGTCTGGCTTCACCGCCTTCGTTTTTACAAATAGGCGAAGAAGTAGTACCGAGCTCGGTGAGGGTCATGATGGGTGACGTCGACGTTCCGGATCCAATCATCAAAACAAAGATGGAAGAAATCGAACAGAGTAGAAGCTATGATGAGATACAGACATTCCACCAACAGTCAGATGAATTGGAACAGCTCACAAATGTGACACTGATAGGTACGGTCCTCTGAATTGAGATGTCATGGCGGCGCAGAACTGGAAAGAGCTCTGAAAATGCAATTGAGGCCATATATAGCTCAAATGGAGGTTAGAGCCGAAGTGTTTTTACAATAGACATCAATGTGTAGATCTCCAAGGCGCCGTCACACACCAATGCGGCAATGGCAGGTGTATCGCAAATAAAACAGTCTCCGGTCTTTTTAGAAACAAGTGCCGTAGCATTGCCAAATACAAAGCAACTCAATGTCAAAATAGGACAATCGGAAGATCCATATCCTACCGTAGAAGACTACGTCATGAACATGGAGAAGAAGCGCGACGCGGCCGAGAGGAACGAAAGAAACGCAGTACTTGCAATGTATCTCAAGCTAGTCAAAGCACAGCACGAAATGATACGTGACGAACTGAGAGTTGCCACTTCAAGTATAATATCCCAATATGGTGGAATCATTGATGAACACACCAAACGGGAAATCCGAGGACACACTCATAAGTGAAAACACATTTTAAAATTATAAAACAATATTCCACACACTTATGGCGTATGATTTGGGGAACGTTCTGTATCTTAGTGGCTCATAGCCTTTGCTTTTTCCATCTGTGTAATGTTCGAGGATTCATGCAAAGAAGAATGAACAAAATCGGAGATGCAGCACTGGGTTGTCAAAAACACGAACAATCTGCTGGGCAACGTTCCGATATTTTCAATAATGGAACTGTTCGGGATAAGATTGTTGTCATTTTGGGTCCCACTGCAACAGGGAAGACTGACGCTTCCATAGAAGTCGCCCTCAGACTAAAGGAATACAATATCGCAGCTGAGATCATTAATGCCGATTCCATGCAGGTAAAATGCGGGTAAAAGAATATTATCAAAAATCCAGGTTTATGAAGGATTTCACGTTGGCACGGCAAAACCGACGTTGCAACAGATGGAAACAATTAAGCATCACCTTTTTGGATTCGTTCCACCAACTGAATACTACAATGCCTCAGAGTATGTGCATAAAGCGTCGGCATTGGTCAGATGTAAAACTAACAACTTAATGGATTTACAGATTGCAAACATGCACGAGAATAATATCCTTCCTATACTGGTCGGAGGGACCAACCTTTATATCGAAGGACTGATTTGGCCATCGGTGATGGATATGCCTCAAGAAGAAAAGGGTGTGTGTTTATCGTTGTTTGACTTTCACTTTTAATGTAGAAAGCAATGAAGCGTATGAAGGTAGCAGTTCTCATCCCTTAGGCTGACTACCATCAGAACACACCACATCGGAGTTATATGAACAGTTGATGAAACTGGATCCAGAACGAGTAAGCTTGAAGAAATCAAGGGTGATGAAAACTTATGTAGGCCGCTGCAATTCACAGGAATGACCGTAACAGAATTACTAGGAGTCTGGATGTCATTAGACGTTGCGGAGTGAAGCACAGTCAACTAATAATGCAGAGCCGTAAGGAGAAAACGAATACTGGGCCAAAGTAGGTTGATTTAATGACTTAAAACGTAGATATAGATATGAGGTGCTCATATTTGCTATGCTATGTGAGCCAACGGAACACAAAGAGAGAATTAGAAAACGAACCCAAAAAATGATGGAGGTGTGAATGTTTTTCTACTGAGTGCATAATTATCGTAGAATGGGATACTGGAGGAGTGTCATCAACTTGTGAAGCTAATAGGTAATGACTTTGTTCAGCCACTAATATTAGGGCAGAAACCCAAAATGTGGACACTAGGAGAGGAATTTGTCAGAGTATAGGTTAGTGCACACTGTTACAGCTTGCTATAGTTCCTATTTAGCCTATAAAGAGCTCATTCCGATACTGAAGGCATTAAAAGGCGATGAGGCAACACCTGAGGAATCCATCAAGGAACAATGTGCCGCGAAACTAGAAACGGCAACGTGGCAATACGCTAGGAGGCAAAATACCTGGATAAGGAACAGATTTGAGAAAGAGAGACTCTTAAAAATGGTTCTAATCGACACGACAGGTATACCAAATCACATTGCCGAAGGTTAAATTTCTTCTGTAGATGTCTCATATTGGAATACTGCCATAATTGGCGGTATGGTGGATGAAATACTCCATTGGCATGATTCATCGAATGAGTCGTAGTAACTAAAACGGTCAATTGTATATAGAGCACAGCAGCGCTGTTAAAATCATAATTCATGTAGCATAGAAATATGTCACGGGTTGGTCCCCGCTGTTTATGCCTGATGAGCCGGGTGGCAATATGACGACCACATCTACTGAATAAAACTCGAAGATATCTGTATGGTTTTATACGTGCTACAGTAACCTTTGTGATGCTACATTATTGAAAAATATTGAATAGCAAGTGAGTTCACGCCAGTCTACCTCGTGTGACAGGGTAAGTGGGAGCACTACCACCATTATTTGCGATAAACCCGGTGTCAGCATCATCGGTCAATGGGTAAGAACGCAACGTCATATTTGTCCACTGCTGGAGTGAAAGGACGTCTGCTGTGGAACTTCTGTATAATATTTTTTGCCGCAGTAAGTATGGATGGCATCCTCTTCCTCTGATACAAAGATGAAAGCACTTCGGAAAGCACAATCTGACGATTGCCGAGCCTGGCACCATTCAACGAGAGCAGAGTTCTAGTGGCTATCTCAGGTGTTGAAAACTTTATGTAGCCGTAACCTCTGTGACGCTCTGAACAGGAATGAAAGAGAACGTGCCAAATGACAACTTACGTGTATATCTGTCCTTCACTAGCTTTGTGGAGCTTGTTAGGGGACCATGTATGTAGTGAATAAGGTAGTCTAGAGCATCCTGTGTAATCTCGGGATCGACATTGCTAACAAAGAGCATTTTCGCATCCTGGATAACCCTGTCGTTGCCCTTAGATAACTTGCAACGTTCGTGAGTCAACTCTTGTACGTGGCTGCGGCGTATATCACGCATAGGACTGATTCCATGTGGCCGTTTTCCCAACTGCGTTTTAAACTGGGCTCCCAGGTCAAGACGACGATGATAACCTCCACTTATCTGCAACAAGATGAATGATATTGTAGCATCGTATATAACGCACTGATTGCCCATTAGTTAGGATAAAGCAGACGGATGGAGACTCCGAGAGCAACATTAGCAATATGGATAAGTACAGCAGTATAACCATGTTGCGAAGATTATCACATGGCCTTCCTCCATTGCTACATGGATAGAGAATAGTAAAAATAGATGTAATCACACTTTTTGTACTGAAAAATTGTCAGTAAACCTCCCAACGCCCCCGTAGTGCAACACCGTTCGCGGCCGAGGATTCTGTTACACACGACGGAGAAGTCGACAACTTTAAGATTTTTTCAACGTATCTCGAGAATATACCGAACTTTTGGTCCTTAGGTAGGAATATGAGTCCTGCCAATCCGCACGCTGATCTGTTGCGGAGGACCAAGTTCGCTCAAAACAGAACCGCCTATAACACCCTGAGGAATACGCTTTTGGGTGTTCATCAAAGGAAACTCTATGTAGTGGAGCAATATGAACTAGCAAAAAACCATAGACAGCTGGCTGCAATCAAAAAGGCATTTGCAAGTCGTAGAAACTCGAGGAAAGGGCCGTTTCACAAACTGTTGCCACCGCACGTCTATTCACATCTGTTTGGCGATCCTACGTACTATTCCAACGATGAACTGTGTAAGACATGTGCTATGGCGGCGGAGATGCAACTCACAGACCGTCACTTCTGGTGGCAAATCAGTACGTTGATTAGTAACGACGTCGGTTTTAATACGATACAGCTGAAAAACTCAGGAAAGTCAGAGATATCATACAGATAAGCGACCTTTTGCGTTGTCTAGAAGCATTGGTTGCGGTAAAATACAACGACCAAGACCTCCTGCGAATGCTGTCTAGGGAGTTTGTCGACGATATGAGCAAATTGACGCTACCGGAGATCGCGCAGCTTCTACAGTGTTACGCTCGTATGAACGTTTATTCAGTAGATCTGGTGGAGTCTGCGGGTAAAACTGCTGCAGGTTGCCTTATAAAACATGTTAAGAGATCCGTTCCAAAAGAAGCATCAAACCGAACAGACGATAGCGGTGAGGCACACGAAGATGACGCAACACAGTGGCCTCCAGGGACATTAGGTCTGTTGACAAAATGCTTCAGAGTGTTTGGATATAAAAACCGGGACTTGTATCTTTCCATCGCATATTTGGGAATCAAACATTGGCACAACCTCGACTTTTACGGCAAGTGCGCACTATTCGCAAACTTAGATCCAGAGGATTTCAAGCCGGAACCTGGAGTCAACCCCGCTGGTTCGACTGTGGAAACAGCGAACGAGATTGCAAGGGAGACTACGAATGCGTTAGTGAGGCAACTTCGGAATTTTTCCGACGACTTCGTTATTAAAAGGCTGGACAGCATCACTGATGAGGTTGATTTTTCAGCCATAATCCCGGCTTCCCTAGATTCTAGTTATGACAGCTACGTCAAATCGATGCATTCTGTCTGTTGCTCGGTTGGAGCGGTCAACAATTTGGCGAAGGTCATATGTAGACTGGCTGCCATAACGAACAACTCGGACGCGGATCTTAGTAGTGTGGTCGATCTAGTCATGGAAAAGATGGTCTCCGTTGTGGCCAGACTGATGTCTTTTGCTGATGACTTGCACTCGGAAGCGATGAAATTGGAAAGGGGACAAATGGCATTGTCTATTGGTGACGGAAAGGCAGAAGTGGAGGTGAAAGGTCACTCTTCCGTTTTCTGCCCTTACCTAAATGCGTCACGTTTCGTGATTGTAGATGCCATGATGCGAGGTGTCTGTGCCGTTAATGCCGCTATACGTCTACGGGTTGGTCCCATCTATTAATTGCAATAAATTGCTGTGCAGCTGAATATCTTAGTATCGCAAAAGGAGGCCGTTTGGGCAAGTGATCTGAAGGCAAGTGTAGACGACGGTAACATCCATTCAGATTTATACAAAATAAGCGGTAACACATGTTTAACCTCTTACGAGTCTGCTTTTTTGGGTCATTTTATCGACACCGTCTGTAGATATGGGTGCGGTTCCCAGCATCCTGAACTTTTGACAACGGCATTGGAGACTATTGCTCTCAGTTCTTGTATGGAGTCACAGTCTACAACTAATATCGCTGGCCGCCTGAAGGATATCAATGATCTCCTCGCGGTAGAAGCCATCAAAAATTTGATATGCTTTGAAGACGAAGCTCGTTACCGAATGATGTTGGCGCTGCGTAATGGAAATGTTACCCCGAATGTCTACCTGGAACACGGTTTACGTAACTTAACTAAATATATGAGGAAGAAGAAAAGCAGTGTAAAGATTGTCATGGAACCACCGTTCCAATTTCCTCTTAAGGAGAAACCTACCCCCGTTTCTTAAACACGTAAAAGTGTGACAGCCGCCCAGGGATTTCAACGACTGCCAACCGCACTAAACATATAATAAAAGATTTTAATACGCTAGTTAGTAAATTAATGGTGTTTTAGCGCTTGGTTTATGGCGCAACGGACATTGAGTAGTCTGAATTGAGTTACAAAAGCCTCGGCAATTTGACTATAGGCACAGCCTTGACCATAACGCCACTTTCACGCGTAGCTGTTTTCTGTTGGGCGTTTTCCGTATGTGCTACGGTTGGCTTTTCAGCCCCCGCTGGTTCCTCAGACCTTCCCCTCTGAATGTATGATAACACGTATGTTCGCAGAGAGTGCCGAGCTAACGCCCGTTGCGCCGTTGAAGCGCATGACGCGCTTTTTACGCCAGTGTCTCTTGGTAAGTATTGCGGTAATACGCGTTGGGCGCATTGTAGACCATTTTTCGATATCCGTCAGCGTAAGCCGCAGTTTCGCGGTTGACTCATGGGTGTTCTTGTTGATACGGTACGCAGATAAGCTCCATTGGGTGAGCGCAAAGCGCCAGCTACATTGACTTTCGGATGCATGGAAGTACCAAACGGCGAAAAGTGAAGCAGCGAGTGTCAAGCAATGAGACAATCACGGCAACCGCTGTGGATTCCCCTTGTGCCCTTTCGGCATTAAACGCACGGAGACTTTCCCCATAGTGTGTAGGATAAACCCGTATGTTCACTACGAAGTAGCTTCGCGACCGTATCGAAGAACAACCTGTGGCACTATTTGTCTAACAAACTATATTTTAATGACATAAAACGCCACACACTTTTAACATGTTTCATATAGTGTCATGAAGCGTTTGGACGTCTTGTTTGTGCTACTAATTGGCACACGCCGTTTGTCCATTGACGCATGTCACCCGTGCACTGTTATTTTGCGATGCACTTTGACGAAGGCTGCAGGTCTTCGCAGGCCTCGCTTCGACAGCATCAAATCATGTAGTTTACAGCATGAAAAGGTTATAAACACGTAACATATTATATATAAAGTGTGTATCTCTGTCAGCGCTTCTTAGAGATTATCGCATCATCACTACCACGAGTCAGTGGAAGGAGAAGATAAGCTTTCATCATTTATGATACACACCTTAATACGTTACTTACCCAGTATAGGTTTTGTTAGTCACTGGTTGTGTCTAGTAACATGATACCCCATGACAATGGCATACCCCCCCAAAGGGGGGGTACCTCCTCTGGAGGTACGTCTATATCTTGACATGGTTACCTTTTTGGTGTACTGATTGTACCCTGAATAATGACCATGTATATACACAT